AAATCGTTGAAGAACTTATTAAGAGTTGTGGTATTGATCGTCGTCTCAGTCTACCCTACAATCCTTTGGGCAACTCTGTTAATGAAGCTTACGTTGGCATTGCTAAACGTACTATTTGTGGTATTTGACGACTTGTGGAGTTAAATATCACTTAGTTAAAACAATAAAAAGTTAACGAGATCAAACTAGTACGTTTTATTTTGAATCAAGTCAAGTTCAAAAAGAAGAAAAATATCTACTGCAAAAATTTAAATATCTTCTTCATATTGCGGAACCTAGAAACTGGCAGCTGAGTTATTCTACTCAAAGAAGACGTACGTCTTCTGAACCGTAAAAGAATAGAATTCTCCCTTGAGGAGATTACGCATCTACCCGGAGCGGGTGGACTTGTAAACGTATCCATGGCTTGATCTAGTGATCATGCAACTAACCTATTTTCCCGTGCTAACCATTATGTAGCACTGCTTGCAGGAAAATAGTATTAATTAGGAAAATAGTATTCGTGCGTGGTGTTTGAGTTGAGTGAACAGTTATTGTAAAGGATGATCACAACCTATTATCTTGTAGTCATTCTTTATGCCGAAGGCAGAGAATAGTACTTATAACCTATTATACCTTGGTGTTGAATCAATACATCCTGCATGTCCATATATTAATTCTACTATATATCCTATGTCATATAGTAACGTATTATAGCAAAATAAGTAAACTATATATCCTAAATGACAACCTGTTCAGCCTTATACGAGGTAGCTAATCTCGTATAAGAATCATCACTTATTCTATATTCGTTTCCTACTCTACTTTATATTATTTCAGCAGTAATGAGGTGTGAGGATCTTGTATAATTTGTATACGAGTTCTCCACATCTCATATGATGCTGTCAACTAAACACAACACTTAATTCACGGTACTCATATATTAGAGTTTATGTAGTTTCTAATTATTTCTGGTTTGCAATATTGTATAATTCATCTTTATCCTTCATAAAGTGAATTATATCTTTAATATTTGTATATCATCTACCCTCAAATACGACATTGCCCCCCCCTAGACGGGTGTTGGCGGATTTAGGTACAACAACGTCGATCATAAGGAGTTGAGGTAGATGGTATGGTTTGTCTGATTTGTGTCGTCATCAACAAATGCAAAGTGTCATTCGTGTGACAAGTGCAAATGAGGATACCAAAAAAAAAAAAAAAAATTGTGTATTTGATTTTCTTTTCCTTTTCCAAAAGAAACGGAAAGAAAATAATCGAAATGCAATAGACGATTTGTCAACATCTACTTGCGAAATCTAGTTTTGTCCGTAGCAGGAGTATAATTATGGTTCGAGTTACCCTTAGATTTACGATTAAACGCTTTATGACCTGGACTACTTTGTACCGCCTTAGTTCGTGGTGAAGTCCTTTGCGAAGTACGTTTCGGTTTGGAATTTGGAGATGAGGAACTGGAGATGTCAGTAGAATCAGCAATCTCTTCGATCTGCGTCAACATATGACCTTTGTCCATCACATCGAAGGGAATTTCAGATTCCTCAGTCGTGAGTTTGTTCAATTGAGCAGCATCCTGTTTAGGCACACTACCCTTCAAACGTCGCCAATAGTTGATAATGGCTTGAGGATCTGTGAACATATCTGCAGTAATCCAACTGTCGTCGGCAGCAGTGTAGTTTTTCCAACGTACTTTATATTCTCTTTTACCGGGTGCACCACGATGACCAACAATGGCATCGAATTCATACACTTCCTCTGATGAGACAACTGCATCTTGAGATACCAATTTTAACTCGGATGGTGTAAATTCGCGTGGCAATAACAGGCCAATTTCATCACGAAGGGTGTAATTACCATGGTCTGTCTTACGAACGACTTCATATGGACCTTCGTAGACAGGAGCGAGTGATTTTTGAATACCCTTCTTGCGGACAACCACAAAGCTACCCACAGGAAAGTCAACCAGACGATGTTTCTTATCGAACTGCTCTTTCATCATTTTGTTATAGACCTCAGTGCGTTCCTTGATGGCAGGAAAGACAATGTCAGACATATATTCGATGCGTTTGAGTAATTCGTCAATACTCATCGGCTCAATGTCATCTTTGGGGTCATTATAAGAGGATATTCATTTGTCATTTTACGCGCAAACATCAGACAAAATGGACTGGTTTGTAAACGCTTGGAATTTTACAATTGAGCATCAATTGTACGGAATTGATTAACATATCCCAATTATCCTCAGAGTTACCTAGGATCAATTTGGATAACAATTTCTTTGTATTTTGGACAGCACGTTCAGCGCCACCATTACTTTGAGCATAATAAGCCGTGCTTAGACGCTTATCAATTTTCATGGCTTCACAAAGTAGGTCCAAAATTTGGTTTTTCCATTCAGCACCACGATCAGAATTGATGATACGAGGATAACCGATAAGGGAAAAGATTGATACGAGTTCACTCGCAACCGTTTTAGCAGACTTGTCAATAATAGGACGAAGAATCACAAAACGAGTAGCTACATCAAGTAAAACCAAGATGTATGTATTATTTTTGGAAGTGCAGGGGAAAGGTCCACACAAATCCATTTGATAATGCCAACCTGGAGTATAACAGTATAATGGTTTCAAAGGGTTATATCCACGCTTGGAAATGACGAATTTTTGACACGTAGAACATTGTTTGACAATTTCAAGTGCGTCTTTCATGATATTGGGCCAGTGCATACCTTCATCTTGTCGTATACGCTTAACAATGGCTTCAGCACCAAAGTGACCGAATTCATGTGCTCTTTTCAAAATATCAGAGCGATCTTCCTCAGGAGGAATGATGTAACTGTCATCCATATTTTGGGCGTAGTTGATTTGAATGTTTTCATCCACATCACACAGGTAATTGAGTTGTTCATCCAATGTATCATGGATGGTGCGGATTGACCATTGTTTGATGCGAACGCTATTATTCGCGAGAGGTAAGTCATCATCAACTAATTCGTTAGATTCGACTTCGTTATCATTATTGCCGATATGACAATAAAAGTTTTGAAAGTTGGGAATTCTTTCAATGTTGATTAGTTCATTTTCTTCAATGAACTTGTCTTTGTTTGTCTTTATGATTTTATTGCCACTCTTCTTTTCTTGAGAGCTTTGGCCTTTTGATTACGGTTTTGCTGAAATAATTCAGGAAACAAAGCTTTCTCATCTTTTTCGAAGAGAACACGATCCTGTTCCTGGGGAAACATACCAGGCAATTTATCGCTCATTACATTTTCAACGCCAGGAATCCAGACAACTCTTATATTTGGAAAGGAGAGGATAATTTCCATGTAACGTATCATCATCATGGACAGATGTTTGGTAGTAAAAAGATATGATAAACTTCTGTGATCCGTATAACATGTGAATGGTTTCGATCCATCCTGTATCCAACAGCATATTACTCTTGGATTATTACATAATACTGAAATAAGAGACTACGGATCCTTATGAAGGTTAGAATAACCGTGGGTGATAGATTTGTTACAACAATTCTTTTCTTTTGCGGAAGAATATTTCATCTGTATATCCGAGACAACATTGGATGAGTAATTGACTTCATTTAGAAATAAGATATTATAGTATTTGGATTTGATTAAATCAGATAATTTTATCTAGCACATCAAACCACAATACATAAATCTAATCTATGTAAGCTATTATTTAACTTGTTGATCCTTTGCTTTAACTCTTTACATTCTGACAGAATTCAATAGGACTGAAACGTAGACGTCAGCAGAATCCAGGAATAGTTTATCTTGTCCGTCACTTTAGTTATAATGAATCTGCCAAGGTGCGGGTCAAATGAACTTTTACTCAGATCAACTCACTTACCTCCTGTCACCGATCCAATCGGTCAAGGCATCGCTATAGCATGATGAACCGTGCAGTAATAATTGGGTATGTCTTTTCTTTTATCATCAGGTCATCTTATACCTAAGAGTCTCGGTAGAAAAAGTTTTTAACAATATCCACGAATATAAATAGAAGTACTTTTTTCCTACATGGGTTTTGTCTTCATTATTTATCAGAATATTCAATTAATCGTATACTACAATAGTCCACACCTACAATCATAGTATTTATCAGTGTTTTTATCTGTTCTTCTCGGTATTACATCTTCCTGTCGCGCTTTATCTTCAGTATAGTGATCTGATAGTCAGCTAACAGATTACTGCCTTTATGACATACATACATGCACACATTCATACATATAATAGTTTCAGTATAAATTCTATTCCAAACGTAATACTGGAGGAGGCCTTTCTTCCGGGCAATCTGTCATTTTTCACAAATGTATTCATCTGGATGATAGGAATCCTATTAAATAATATTCGAGTTTTTTTGGTTTTTTTTTTTTTGGTATGAATTGGGTTTTGGAGTGGAATGAGATTGTGATTTGGTTAGTTTGATTTATTAGTTATCTTATCATTATATTTTTGTTATGATTCAGAAATTTGCACGATCAATCATTTAGATATAGTATAATCACAGTAAAAGAGGAACTTCGTATTTATTTATCTTTTTCTTGTATTCACGTCACCGTAGAACTCATTTCGTTTATTTTTCCACATAATCATTTATTTATCTGAGGTATTTGCTTAGTTGAGACTGTTAACTGTTATAACGTCCTTCTGATCACTATCTATCTTCTGATAGGGCTCAAAACTTCACATCCATCTTTATATCAGTCAGATCTCATCAACCTAATGCATTTAGGACGATCTCAAGTAATAAACTCTCTATGCTCAAGACACTTTCTGGAAACTAACACATAAAGCAACGCAATACTACATGCTAAAAACATAGCATTTACTTTCATAAATTAATAAGCCTTCTATTTTTGTTCTTAAATCGAACTTAGATTCTGAGTGTTTGTTTTTACCATAGGGCGTAACTTCAAATTACTGACCAATTGTAAGTAGCTCGTTATTTTTGCTCACCACATTTTTGTTTTTTCACCTTTGGCGTAAATTCAGGGACGAATTTACAGTTGCTTTTCTCCCTCCTTTTTCGCACATTCTGATTCCGGTTGTTATCATGTAGTCTATTCTAACGATGATCTTAATAATTTTACATTTTATGTGAGGGTGAAAATGGAAAAAGGAAGGGAACGCTATCCAAAAAGGGAGAAGCATCATGAGAAGAGTGTGCTCAATGGTTAGTTACACACAGCTACGATAACGTGGTGTTGTACCTTTATTCCTTATTGCAACACTTTCTCTCTCTTTAATTCAGCAATATATGATTCAAAGCCAACATTCAAGACACTTCCCATCCTTTGATCGCCATTCGTTTGATTCATCTCCATCCACCGCTTTTAATAAAGACACCAACCCATTGCGACAACCACCGATCCAAAGACAATGGAGTATACGACAAGCTAATAGCAGACTAGCCCCTCATGGACTAGAAGCAGCATTAGAACATGATCTCAGCAAAAAGCTGGAAATTGACGAGAAAATAGTTCAAGGTTTAGCGATTCCATTAGATGAGCTAAATTCTCCATCTGACAACTTTTATCAATATGTATCAGCTAATAACGATGATCAAAGCAACAGTCAATTCTATCTTTCTGGAACACCCATGATCCAACAACCAAGTCGTACACATATTTTCAGAAATTCACGCCAAAAGGTATATGGTTATTCAGATCCATTTGCAGTGGCGCCAAAAGAAGCATGGCAAGAAATACGAGATTATAATTTACGAGTCAACGGAATACCAACACTAGATCAAATGATGAGGTTACATACTTTTACACCATTAACGCAGTCTAATTTTGCCACATTTCTTCGACGACGAAATGTTCATCAGAACTTGAACTTTCTAATGGAACTGGAAACTCACAACAAATTATGGAAAGCATATATTCAAAGCGTTGATAGGCAAAATCGACAGAGACTCTCTCGATTTCTGGAATCGGCGGCAGAAAAAGAAAACTTTACCAATTCAGAGAAAGATCAGCACCACTATTTACCACAGTCAGTGACAGTCATGTCATCTGGAGCGTCTTACGTGGAAACACCAGAAACAGACGATCTTTTAACACCACTACCACCACATCCATTAACATCTCGCACATCTTCAGATGATACATATGCCTCCCGAGGAAACAAGTCTTTGACTCATCATGATCTTGTACAAAATGCTACTCGAATATATCGTACATATTGCTCCCCGCTGATGGATGCAGCACAAACAATTCATCTTCCCGATGATCATAGAAGAGCACTGGAAGAGTTAATTGAGATTAATGAAAGGCCAGAACCAGCTGTATTCAAATCAGCAAAAACACATGTGTACGAAGTGTTAAATGTATTTTATTATCCGTTATTTGTTGATGCTATTTTACATAAAAATATCTCGCCTGGATGTACTCGTCTATGTTTGATGCTTGGTATTCTTACTTTGACAGTGGCCCTATCATTGGAGTTATCTTTCATATTTTTGGATGTAGGCAGCAGATACGCAATCCGATGGATTCCTATAGTATCCTTTCTTGCAGGTTGGTCGTTTTTACTGAGTAGTCTGACAGAATTTGCCTGGTGGTTGGGAATTTTTTGTATACGGTAAGTTGTGTCTGCCATTTGCGGTTGATTTTCTCATAATCATATACTGATCAAATTCCTACTCTTTGTGTCCATAATATGCAGCGAAAGTCAGCTCTTTGTAATTTCTGAGATCCAAGATATAACCGTTAAAAAACTACACCGTAAACGTGGATGGATTTGGTTGGGATTTACAATAGCTCTATCCCTAATTTCAACACTTATTTTTGTCTTTATTCCTTCACATCATCTCTAATTCAATCTCTACCTTGCAACGAATTCCTATAGTTGTATCGACTATTATGTTCATATAATTTAATAACTAATTCCCAAACAATATCTTCATAATAATTTGCTGCCATGTAGACAGGTACATATGAGGAAATAACGCCTTGACAGATGTAAGTAAAATATTGAATTGCAATCTTTCTCCTTAAATCATTATTAATCCAAAGGTGTTTCGTCCTTTTTTTCATGATCCTAAGCATATGGCTCAAGTTAGATCAGTTGCTCTTTTCTTGAAGTTTCCTAAACGCTTACGTAGTACGCTTTCATTTTGTAATAAAATCTTTTGCAAGTATACAGTGATTCGTTTTTAATCAATATCATACTGCCGTCCATACGATAATCACATGAATTCATGCTTTCGTTAAAAGCGTGGCAAACAACTTAGTTAAAGGTCTGTGCTTTCTGTAGCCACCCATTTGTGGTCAATTCAATATAAAGGAGCACTACCATCATAGTCTCCTAGGCTATCTATTGGTACATATAGTCTGAATGAAGCATTTTAATGTAAATTATTCAAATTAGTCATTTTAGCAAAAAAATATACGGAGAGGGGGAACAAATTAGGCTATAAATCCAAATAAAAAAATATTATAAAATACAAAAACAGAAAACATGAGTATAATGATAGCAAGAGGTGGGGGGGGAGAAGAGAAACAACAAAATGATTAAATTATAGTTTACAGTCTTCATATGTAGGAGTCCACATGCGAGATTGAACGTAATCGACGTATTCGTTAGGTTTGACTGACAAAACCTCATTGGCAGTAGCAAGTTTGTCTTTGACAGCCTGATCCACGACAGCAGCAGCAACGGAAGCGGAAACTTCACGAATACGGGAGAGTTCAGGATACAAAAGACCTTGCTCATGCTCTTCGGATGTGAGAGAATCAGCAAGAGCCTTGGAAGCACGGAGAACGATATCATCTGTGATATGCTTGGGACGAGCAAGAATAGCACCCATACCAAGGCCAGGGAAAATGTACATATTATTGCCTTGACCTGGTTTGTGAAGTTCCTTGGTTTCAGAATCTTCAATAGCGGGGAAAGCAGTACCAGAAGCAAAAATAACTTTGTTGCCTGCATATTTCAAAGCGTCTTCATAAGTACACTCCGACTTTGTAGCAGGGTTAGAGAGAGGGAAGATGATTGGTTGATTGTTGATATCCTTCATACGTTTCAAGACACCTTCATTAAATGCATTATGTACTGTCGAGAGGCCAATCAAAGCAGTGGGTTTGATATAGTCAACAACATCCTCTAGAGATTTGAATTGTTTACCCTCATTGTCATGACGAGCATAGTATACTTTATGTTTAGGAAGTTTATCACCACGGTCCGAAGTCACCAAACCTTTAGAGTCGCATAAATAGAAAATCTTCTTTGCTTCTTCTTCAGACAATCCGTGCTCCTTTTCCATATAATCTTGAATCTGCTTTGCAACACCTACAGCAGCAGAACCCGCACCATGGAAGACGATACGGTGGTCACGGATAGATACCTTTGATTCCTTTTCTACTCTTCTAAAAGCATTGATCATACCCGATAAAATGACAGCGCCTGTGCCTTGTATATCGTCGTTGAAACAGCGGATGTTATTCTTGTACTTGGCCAAAATTCCAAAAGCGTGATCACTTGAAAAGTCTTCAAATTGAATGACAATATCAGGATAGTGACGAATTAAAGCTGCTAATACTTGGTCAATGGCATTGTAAAATGTGTTATCATCCGGTCTTTTTTCTCTAACACCAAGGTAGAACTCATTCTTTAAATTGTCCTCATTGTCTGTACCGAAATCCAATACAATCGGTAATGTCTTACGGGGCTTGATTCCCGCACCAGCTACGTACAGCTGTAATTTGCCCATACTGATAGGCATACCATTGAGACCGAGGTCACCAAGGCCTAGGATACGTGAGCCGTCTGTGATCACAGTAATGTCAGCATGATCACCCACTCTATGCTTATATGTTTCGATTATTTCATCTAAATTTGGTAAATCCGCAAGTCGAATATATAATCCATCAGGTGTGCCTAAAATGTAACAACGATCGGCAGTCAGACTAGACCAGTTTCCTGCTGTTTGACATCATTGCTATCCTCTATCTTACCTGGTGGAGCGAGGAAAGGATAAAGCTCGGAATATTTTTGGCAAGCTTCACCCACAGTTGGAGTGTAAATAATAGGTGCAAATTCCTGTTTAAAATTCAATTACAATAAGTCTTTAGGTAGGCTTGCTAATCACTTGTTTGCCGTAAAAAAACGTCAGCTCACCTCTATATTCTCATTGACAATCTTGTAAAAGAGACGGGTATTGTTGTTACGCAATTGAGCCATGAGTGTATATTTCTCCAGTTGTGTCTCCTTTGACCTCAACAATTTTAAAGCTCTATCGGTTTGCTGCTCAAAGGTTTCCACGCGGGATGGTATCTGGCCAACTAATCTCCATTCTTGTCGTAAGTTTGTCGGTAATGCGGTACCTTATTGATTTATAATCAATTGTATAAGGAGGTTAATGACCCCGCTATTAGCATACCTTAAAAATAGATTATTACTTACCTATATTTTGATATGCGCAATGTAGAGCTTCACTAGGTTGAATATGTTTTGAAGTTTCAGTTTGAGGAAGCTTTTTCTCGATTTTGAACATAGTGGCAGCAGCAGTAGAATATCGCTTTTGAGTAGTAAGAGAAGAAGAAGCGGTTTTGCGAAAAGATCCGATAAAAGTTCGACTGCTACTTGACCTTGAAAATAAATACTGAGGTCGCGTCGTCGACATTACGACAGATTTATGCAAAGTTGAACTAACGGACTTTCCAATACCCATGTTCTACTGGTTCTTTTTTTTTTTTTCTTTCTTAGAAGTGGGCAGGTTGTCAAATACAAAAAGGAAAAAAAAAAAAAAAAAAAAAAGTTAAAAAAAAGGACGCAAACTGTTCGTAATGCCACCGATCAGATAAATAAAAAAAAAGTTAGATAAGGGGGAGGACAAAAATTTAAGACATTTGTAAGCTTTGACAGCAAATGAAATAATAAGGCTGAGAATGATCCAAAGCTGTGCTGGAGTCATCATGATAATTTTTATTTCATTGCCTTTCAGTCGGTCAGTCATAACCTGAGTTTGGAAATTGATGACAAATATAATTGATTTCTTTCGTTCGGTGGACTGTATAGTTGTATATAGTGTGAAAAGGAATTGATTTTAATCTACAAGACCTTTCAAAAGCCATTTTAATGATAAATACGCATCTATAATTTCGATCTGCTTTGTTGATTTGGTAGACGAACTGAAGGATGTAAATGCATGTCTATTACACCTACTGCGTTCAGTACAAAAACTACAATTGAATTCTTGAGCTGCAGAAGATACCGAACATCTGTAGCAAATACACAAATCTTCAGTAATTTGCTTAATTTGATCGCCCACACGCCAAGCTAACTTTATCTGCTCGTTATCACCATCCTGAGCTGGAATATTGATCCATCGTGAGCAATATATCTTCATAGATTGAAATTCAAATTCATTCTCTTCAGTCAATTGCAATGGAAGATAGCAGCGTGTAATAGTTGGGGATGCTTCTTCGAACCTTAAATATTCTGCTTGACTGCAATATCCTTTACAATTTAGACTAGCTACCGGTGTTAATGAAAGAGCGGTTTCTCGGTTACCAAGAATTTCTAAGTAGGCTGACGGGGTATAGAATGAAATATTCCATCTTTCTCTTTTAGCACGAGATATGATTTCTTGTTTGCACAGTGATTCTAGGTAGTGGTTCGTTAATTTATTTGGAAGAGGAATTTCGTTTGTATGGCTGGCGGCATTTAAAACTTTACAAATAGTGCAAAGAGACGTGAATGACAATATGTGTAATATCACATCTGTAGGTAGGGCAGACATTAGAATGTTGGTGTTTAATGAATATGAAAAGGGAATTGTAAAGAGAAATGTGTTCAAATTTTGGTTTTTAGTTTATTATAATTGTTATTATGTCATTTGCATTGATTTCTATGGTTTTGTATCAGATAAATCGCAATTGTAAATGATCAAATCGATAAATTTTAGGCATCGAGCTATTAGACTCAAACAGACTACAAAAAGGAACTACTGCATTTCTAATTGGCTCATTTCTCAAACAATATTCTGTTCATCACGATGAAGCTACCAATATTTTAATTGCGCTTGAAGACTTTACGTTATACAGTATGCCCTTCAGCACTAATTTTGATTGAAGTAACGTCGAACTGTCTCATGGTATTTTTTGGACCACGGTTTGAGAAAAAGACATGGCATTGTCATCAATATATCGAGAGTTAAGATTGACTGGTAAATACATTAAAAGCACTCTATTACCAATTTTTTCACGGCATTTACAGAAGACAAATGTATCACAATTTCTTCTAAGCAAAAGAGCTTACTCTCAGATGGCAGTAGTTGGTGCATTGATGCCACTCATTGTACCACTAAAAATCGAGAAAGAATTTTTGTATTATATTGTCATAAGATATCCTATTTCAGGATCAGGTTATTCAGTCGCTTTTCTCTTCACTGCCAATGATTCTTTAAGCCCCTTGCGTCGCTTCTTGACCTTCCTGAAAACGAGTATCCTGATAACGGCCCCTCAGAAAGTAACCATTGATGTTAGACTCAACTGGTTGATGCTTTGTCGAGTATTTATCCTTGAGGTTAGATACAATGGTATTGCTTCCATGTGGCGAGGGCTTGAACGAGTAAGCTTCGTCAGTATATTAAAGTAGGCAGCACAAGCGAAATCAAGCTCTCCGTAGAAGGATGATGGCAGTCTTAAAAAGTATGAAGTGGGAAGGAAGCTCAAGTAACTTTCGTATCAAGTTATCCGCATTTATCGCCAACAATGAGTATAATGCAATTACAGCATCCTTCACGTATGTCAAACAATACTATCTTGAAACGATGCTTTGATGCGTTGGTCCACCGCCTTTCAGCATCAAATGTTTACTAACCTAGAGACCAACGATTCCATTGAGAGTTGGCATAATCAACTCGAGACAATGTAATTTAAAAGAAAAAGAAATAGACGAGTCGATAGAATCTTATATATTCTTGTCAACGATGTCGAGTTTGATTATATTAACAATATTTCTCGAATCTCATTGAATGTTGGGCGCATGAGACCCGAAGAACGAAGTAGACGACAAAGAAAACTGATGATAATGATACAGTTTTCTAACTCTTTACAGCAACGGATGTCTCATGAAAGCTCGCTTTCAAAACGATGTCACTGCCGGTTATACCTGCCAGGTCTGTTATAAACAAATTCCTTGTAAGCACATGCATTTGGTAAAACGTGCAGGGTCAGAGTTAACGATCACGACCCCAGATAATATCAACTCCTATTCTCAAACGAAAACGTAGACGAGATTGCTGCTGGTGACAAGGTTGAAATAACCTCTGCTATCAATGTTTTGAATCTCATCAATAAAGTACAACACAGCTTATCTTTGATAAAAAAAAAAAAGAAACAAATATCTCAGCGAAACATCGCTTTTTGCAGTGACAAACGACGAACTTTAGATATACTGATATAGTATAAGAACTATTGAGACCCAATTTCGAGACAGACCAATGAAATATGATAAATGTATATGGTATTCGTACGTGAAGAGGCACAAACAAAAAAAAAATAAATAAATAAAGAAATGCTGTAATACTTACATATGAGATGTAAAGTCAAAAGTTAGAGCTGAGCAGACTGACACATTTGACAAAAAAAGTAGTGTTATTGAGGGGTTTTGACAGTCCCTGTTCAATTCTTTATATATCTTACCTAAAAGGTATTACAGCCATCGGCTGTGAGCGCATGTACCGTTTCTGATTAGGAAGGTACGGCATATACATCTGGTAGTAGCAAGTTCGAACAACCCGGCCAGCAGAAGAAACCATGAGTTAGAACAAAAAGAGGCGAACCATGACACTAAAACACAATTGTATGATAGCCAGCATAAGCAATGTCCAGAAAAGACATAAGAACGAATAACAAGTTACCGGTTCCCTTTTTTTGAGAAAGGTGAAGGAAAGAGCAATGCAACCATTTCTATCTCTGCTTTATATAGACTTTATCTACTCATTGGTTGTAATTTGCCCCTTTAGGTCACCAGAAGAAAAAGAGAATATACTAGTATCAATCAAGCTCAAGTTCTAGTCATAACTTATGTATCACCCAATAAGCAGAATGGACAATTTATGCAACAATGAATACAAAAAGTGTTAAAAGAGCTCTGATTAATCAGCCTTATACATAATCTCGAGAGCACTCTTTTTTTTTTTTATATCTATCTCATCTAATTCTACAGCATAATGCGTAGTAGAAGAAAACAAGCACAGTTTTACGAATCTGATACACCAAATAATATTGTTCTGTTATTGAATTGTACAACGCTACTGCGATGAATCTAGATTACCAGTAAGGTTGAAGTGTGCCTAAAATCTTATTTGTTCCAGTGCACCATAATTCGGTTTAGACTGTACAGTAAATCTGAGTATTTTAGAAAGATTTCATGAATTAGATGTCAGAACATGACAATCGTCCCAGTTCTTGTTCATTACTAAATTTAAGATGTATTATCTGATGTCGTTGATAGAGAGTCAATGTTTATATCACGGATACAACAGCTTACAAGTGTTTTATCCTTCATAGAAGAACCTAGTTGTCATATTAAATAATCGTATCATCGGCATTGACCCGAATTGAGCAAGCAGCAAAATTGATTCGTATCAAAATGTTAACCTAATTACTTGCTTTTCTACGTGTCGCGACATTATCTGTGCTGTATATTGTAGCGAGGGGAAGCTAAGGAAGAACCTTACAGTCGATTAGCACTCGTTTATTTTAAGTAATGCATTGTATAGGCATATGACCAAACATTCTTTTTCATTGACAAAGACAGCCAACCAATGCCGTATACCAAAAAAGAAATCGCCTATCAATAATAGCGAGCGCTTAAAGGTGTAGATCAACAGTTGTGAATCACGCTATCGCGTTAATTCAGGCTCACAGGACTCCTACTTCGTTTAAAAAGCCGTAAAGTATGCACTATCCAGGAGACTACAGATTTGATTCTCAATTACAGCCAAGTATAACATGTGAATTACCATATAATCTATACCTGTACTAAATATAGCTCTACTGACTATTGAAAAGAATTTCATCTTCATGAAGTATTAGCATTGTGGTCATAAAGGTTATGTATTCTAGCATATAGTTGGCCTACAACTTTGGTGCCTGTGTGCTGGCCCATACTGATATCAACGAATTATATAAACCGCTCGCAGCTCAACGATTACATCTAGGATTAGTCATATAGAAGAAGGTTAAGGCGACAACAAAAACAAAATCCACAACAGACACATGGCCACTTCGAGCGTTTGACGATAATCGACAAACTGTAGTGGCATACGACGATGCTAGCATTGAGAACGTACAAGAGGCACACTCCTATACTCGTCAAAATAAAATCACAATTTTTGAAAGTGAAAGAAAATTTTATTTTGCTCTTACAAATAGATTACAGATCCTTATAATGATTAAGTTAACCTTAAAGTGATAGATTTGTTAGAACAATACTCTTTCTTTTCCGGAATCATATGCTACCGGAGACAACGTAATATTAGTATTTGACTTGGATTGGGTATGAAATTGAATTTGAGTACTTTATGTTGCAGAACAAAACATAAACTCTGCTTTAAGCTATCGACTAACTTGTTGATCACTCTAACTCTTAACACTCTGACAGAATGCATATAATTTGAAAGGGAGGGATATTATGACTATGCTGCAAGAATCAAGGAATAAACTATTCTATCCATCCAATTAAACATAATAGATCCGCCGAGAGTACTGGTCAAAAGGACCGTTAGCTAGATTAGCTCACTTAACGTTCTTATACCGATCCAATCAGTCAAGGCACCGCTCTAGCACGATCAACCGTGCAGTAACAATTAGGTATGTCTTTTCTTCTATCATCAGGTCATGTAGTACCTAGAAGTATCGAAAGATTTAAGTTTTAACAGTACCCCCAAATATAAATAGAGGTATTTCTTCCTAATGGGTTTTTGTCTTCATCTGAATTTGATATCAGAATATACCAATACTAAAGGAAGATAACGGAGCCTTCACGAAATCCTTTTTGTTTTCTTTGCACTTTGATATTTTGTCTTTCTATATCTACATATACAAAACGATCGGATGATCTCAACTATGAAGGTGTTTTAATTATAGTGTCTCATCAACATCGATCCATCGCTCAGATTATTCTTAACGAGCCTGTAAATTTCCATAGTATAAAGAGCGTAAGTCTCGCAGGCGACAGACCCATTTTGGGATCGTTAACGTTCAAGATGCTTTGACAGCAACTTTACGCGCTCGGCCTCACAAGCTTGTGGCCTCATACGCAGCCTCGTAAAAATCAATCGATAACATAGATTCCTCGATTTGATGCTAATCAAGTATTAGCATTTCAGTTACTTTACAGTTACTCATCGCCTCTTCTACCCGCGGAAAGCAAAAGTTTTGTCAACAGTGTTCAGTTGATGGACGATGAGTAAAGACATTCAGTATTTTAATACAAATCGTCCTAGATAGCTTAATGCTATACTGTATATCCATTTAGGACTAAATGGATATGAATGCTGTTTGTAACGTAAAATTCATCCCGACAAGATATCTAGACAGCAATTTTAATTTGCCCTTAAGACCAGAAGAGCTATCCAAAGGTCGATATGATAGAGAAAAAAATCAGGATGTCTGGAAGTACGTTTACAGTGACTTTGCTATACCGGTCGATGTAAGTACAAAAAAACCTGTCGCAAGCATAATTTCTTCTTGACCTTTTCAGTTTCTGCGATTTTCGTAACTATTTCAATCTTTGAATATTCTATTGTCCACACTTCAGTCAGGAAATATTCCAGGCCTATTCTACCGTTGGATCACTATTCTCGGACAAAGAGCTTTATAACAATCTCTCCTTACTTCAATACGTGAGAGTAACCTGCGAACTTAACATTCTTAAACTTGAGACACACTTTGCCTTGCAACTCTGACTTAATATCTCAAACAATTCGAGTATATGTTGATGGCAGCTTAGTTTTTAACAACTTAATTGTATACCTATTTTAGCTGATTAGACATAAAAAACCTAGTTCTCTGACTAGCAAAAGATTATTTGATCTCTTAATTGACCTTTTCAAACTCCTTAAACCTTTACCCCGCGTTTTGACTCAGAAACCCAATTATTTTACTTTTTTACAACGTCGCTTATATGCATGCGATTTACGTACTGCGTTCGTGCCTGAATTTAAAAGAAAATTGGTTCCTGAATTTTTGAAAAAGTAGTTTCTTTCGCAACCAACAAAAATTAAATATTTAAACCTTCCAATACACTGTCGAGCAAAAAATACATCAACATGGCTAACTTCCGTAAACCTAAATGTCCTTCAACCCTTAAAGGAAAAACCATTAGCAATGATTTACGCGTGATGCTTGAGCTCCCAGAATTTTTATTGCTGTCAGACTATTCTAATTGGGATATTTCAGCAATAGTGGACGATTATTTTTTATTCAATCACTCACCAGACGAAACTGGTCATAATCTGTTTCAATTGACAGTTCGATCCCTTCAAAGTTTTATTGATAATGAAAACAGTACAAATTCTGAAAAAAGTTTCGCTAAAAAATTCTTGGAATATATTAAGCAGCCGAATAGCAAGAAACAGTTTTTGTACTATTACAAAGATTGTGAAAGGAAATCACGCTTGCATAATTCAATTGTTCGATTAGAAGAAGAGGTAGAAATTGCCGGTAACGAACTTGTTGGTGACCATCTGCGTGATGAAGTTGAAAAGAGAAAGGTAAAAATATCACGATGCAAATGGAACGCCTTTCTCACTATTTTCACCTTAGTTCTCTGATTTAGCCGCTGATTCTGATACAAGACCTATGAAGATTCAGATAAAATCCAAAACTTATACCATTCAGTCGCCACAAAACGCTGCTGTATTGGATTCTCCATTAATTGAAGAAGCCAATATGAGTACACTGAGTAGGAGGGTTGACATCTGCTTGCGGAACAGCAATAAATTCGCTTCCCCAGAATTACTTGAGGAGTACAAAGTACCTCAAAATGATCATAGACAAGATTTGAACCTTTCGAGAATGAATCATTCTTTGAACCTTTTCAACAAATTCCAAAAATTTGAAGAAGACAAGCTCCTGGACAGTTTAGCGGAAATGACTTACGAAGGGTCATTTAACAGATTTATGAAATTCTCGTTAATTGACTTTGCTGTCAATATAAAAAGAATAAATCCCATGCCTATCATGGATGAACGAACCATTTTTGTTGAGACAGTGTCTCAAATGTTTAAATACTTTGGCAATACTACTGGATTATTATCATTTAAATGGTAAGTATACAACTGTAGAGAGAAAGCTATATTATTAAAATCATTTCTAGGTGCGAAAAAAAGAATAGTGTGGTATTTCCATACCTCCTATAATATATAAAGACGAATTAGACACACCTTCAAGCATTTGACTCGTTATTATGATCATAGAATCATAATAACACTTGTACACGTCATCTTGTATTTCTAAAGACGCGCATATGTAATGCTGCATTATTACTGGTTGAGAAATTCAGGTACAAGTATTTAACTCCTTTTTTTTAATGTTTCTCTTTCCTTTCCTTCTTTCTTTTGTTGTCAATACAACATCCAATTCGCTATGAACGCTCCCCTCTCTGATTTTCAGTGTATGATAAAAGGACTAAAGGAGACTCATTTCACCTTACAGTTTATATCAATTATAAGTCGCGTTCACAACTACATATAACCACAAATATCACAAATAGGCAATCAGCAGTAGCGATCTTTTTCATGCAACAAGAAAAACCTGGTACTTCCACGCTGCTGGATGGAATTGGAAGCAGTGAGAATGATAATACTGTCATTGTAATCGAATCATCCGGGTATAGTTTATATTGGTGTAATAATAGAAGAATACTTTTTAATGTATCTTCACTTTAGGTTAAATTTAACCACCAACTTCGACCACACTCTTGAAGATTCGATTAAGAATGTTAAAAGTGGAACAGACGCAATGAAAGGGATAATGTGTAGGTATCCCAATGCGTCAAGGACTACAATGGAGAAAGTACACGTGTATTCCATACACGTTATACAAAAATCCATAACTTTGGTCAGGTATTCGCTAAAGAATGAAAAATCTTGGAAAGCTGTTGAATGTGGTTCCGTCACATTGCCGCTGGTTTACAAAGACAGAAAACAGCTCATTCAGGTGTATGATCTTTTTGCGTTGTTATATGTAAGCCTTTTTTATTGCTTAAAGATCTTTCAAAATACTTACAACGTACGGACTTTGTATAGTCTCATAAGTTAATTATGCTAAATCATTTTGAATTATACAGGCTGACCTTGAAGAACAACGAACAGTTTTTAGAACACTTGAAGATGAACAGTTGGGGCTCCTCAAAGTTGAGGAGAAAGATATGATATGCTCCTGTACTTCATTATAAATAAATGTTGTAACTATAACCTTACTCTTAAAGTGATTAAAGATTATGCAATTATTACTTTTCATGTGTGCAAAATGAGTTCGGTTAGTGTACAATCAAACAATTACATACTTTTGGGTGGGCAAGTCTTTTTCAGGTAGTGTATCTTCCAATGCAATTCTTACGGCGGCAGGTACCAGTTTTTAAAATGTAAACCAATTGGAAAGGTCGAATATGGTTCGTCGATCAGACTTCATTGAACGATGTTCTGATGGTGCTTTGGGACAGTACGGAATCCCATTCTCAGCAGGCGTAAGGAAATATTCCAAAGGGCTGAAGATAATACCTTGCACATCGCGCGAAGAAGCTGCCTGAAGATTGGACAAAGAAAGATCATCATTGAATGTGCCGATTGATAAATTCGAAAGAGTCGAAAGAAACCTTTATCAGCAATATCAATTCAACGAACATTCTATTTTATACTCCAGTCATCTAATCCAAATGTTGATTATGTTGGTTGTATAATGCTTAATTATTCTTCTTCTGTCTGCCTTTAGCTAAACAGATTTCGCCCTAAAATACACTCTCTCCGCAGCTCTAATAGAGATTATATCTTCTAATGTAATCACGAGTTTCAAGTTTGAGATTCGCTCCAGTTAAAGAAAAAATACCCTCTCATTTTTTTTTTTTTGTTTAAATTCATGTGACATTTATTCAATAAAAACGGACGTTAGAAGTAAAAGATTAGGAAGGATATATAGGTTAAAAAGGGATGAAAGGCCTTGTTGATAAGTAAAACCTGATTATAGACGTGCCTCAGCTAGGTGGGTTAGCCTGTGCCCTCCTGAGACAATGAATCGACGCTCCTAACAGTAATCTGTAAGGTAACCGATGATAACAGCCGTTGGTAAGCATTTTCAATGGACCAAGTGTCTTGACTAATAACGGTAGTCCAATGATACTTCCATAGATTTTCCAAAAGGAAACCTAACAACTCTAGCGAGTAGGGTTCAATATATTCATCAGTATTTGGCAGTCGTAAATTAAGCAGGGTATGCATAACATCTGCTGGTGTTCTTAGTACATTGGAAAGAGAAACGTGATCCAGGGCTTTTACCCAGTATGACCATTTATCATGGCGGCCAGCAATAAAGTGGTAGTCATCTTCGATGGGTGCTGAACACAGCTTACACGCTGCCGAAGGCCATCGTCGTGGCCGTACACGGTGCAACGAAGCTAAGTACTTAAAGAGTTGCGAAGCAAAAGCCACCAACAGGTGGTAACTTTATGTGGTAGTCTCAACGACCAAAACACCTTCCAAATCCGAGGATAGCAAAAGCCCGGCGGATATATATAAGGAATTTGTGGGATGCCTAGCAATGATAATGGACCTGGTAACTTCTCCTGAAGATAGCGCTGCGACCAGAACTGTCTCAATATACCAGGAGATAATTTTTCAAAGAAAACGGTTAGATTGTCACCGAGTTTGATAGTCCAATGAGTAAATGAAGGAGTCCACACAGATGTATCAATGGTAACTATTTGTTGGAACGCTGATTAGCATTCTGAAAACGTTTATCAGACGGTGGAACATCGTTACGAGCATCCGGAGCCATGAACTTCTTGATGCTATATCTCCATTGAATGGGAGGAATGTCAGATGTTATTAAATCTAGTATCTCGGCTGCCTTAGTAAATTTCGGACTATCTATCCGCAAAAAATTGGTGAACATATTATACGGATATGACCAAGACACTGCGTTTGCTAAAGTATAACACAAAGGTATTTGAGTGAGATTGTATTGCTCATCAACTGATAACGAGGTGACAGGAGCAATAGCAAATCGTAAAGGGGTATCCGCATACCAACGGCCTGGCCTAGTAGCATGAGACGGGAGTGCCGGAAGTTCGGTAAGAAGCCTTGTGAGGAGAAATAAAGTAGGAGTTTTCTTGAACAGTGGCAAAAAAAATTCGTGCATGCTGTAACCATGGGGCAAAGGAATGATGACCAGTACATAGATGGATACAGTAACCGATCAGTGGGGTAACGAATCACTGTTGCTTTTCGGGCGAAGAATCCGTTGAATGTATATAAGCTGGAGGGCCAAATGCTGGTGATGTATATCAATGACTCCTAGGCCACCAAGAGACTTGCGCAGACAGATGGATTGCCAAGAAGGAGCCGGCCGAAAAGGTAAAACAAACTTACAGATGACCGTACGAACTTCATTCAACCATATCTTAGGCACTGGCAAGTCCCGCAACAAGTGCCATATCTTGCTGAAAATTTGTGAGTTGGCCAACAAAGATAATCAGCGGACGAAAAGACCTCTATCTTTCAGCTGACTGCAGTGAATTTTGAGGACATTCGTTATACGATAGATGTAAACATTCAATTGCCTGGCCGTTGAGTAGAGAGGATAGCCCAAGTAACGAACAATCGTTGCGTTATGCTTGGTATAGTATCTGATACTCTCAGAATCAGCAATAGCAACCCAAGATGGCCTACTTTCACCTGATAAGGATACAATGTTGGTCTTGTGAAGGTTAACTTTGGCATTACTGGCTGAGCCATACAAGGATAAGATCTGGCATCAGACGGGCCATTCGTCGGGCAATGCCAAAAAAGCTTCAAGATCGTCAGCATAACTTAGAAGATGGAAGACAGGTTGCTCTGACCATTTAATAATACTGTCGGCCTTTCCAGTATACGGATGTCGGATAATGGGCATTTTAGCCATGGAATAGACTGGTGTGGATAAAGGTAACATTGTAATTCCCTTTAGTGAAGAAGCCAGAATGGTACGCAGTAACGGCTCATACATCAGATTGAATAACAAAGGTGAGAGACGGTCCCCTTGTCGTAATCCACGACCTTGTAGCAAAGGCTGTCACAAATACCCATTGATCGACAGAGAAACGGCGGTTGAGAAGAATAAAGATATCATAGCTGAAATAAGATGACCCTAGAAGCCGAAACGCTGCAGCACTAAACGGAAATATTGTGGATTAGACTCGATCATACGCCTTTTTTTAATCCAACAGAACGGCTACGGCTGTAGAAGTCCGTATGTCTTTACAACGTCGGTAATTTTTCATTAGTGTCATATTAACCCATCCATTATCAGATACCAAACGATGGGGGCATAAAACCCTTCTGGTAAGGGTTGATCAGGTTCGGTAGGGTAGTATTAAAGCGGTTCGCAAACAATTTAGTGAAAATTTTCGCATCGGTATTAATGAGTGACAGAGGTCTCCAATTGCTTAATAATGTCGGGTCACCTTTTTTGAACAGGAGGACCATTCTAGTCTGCTTCCATGATCTTGTCGTGTAATGTCTCATTTAGGACTGCCAAGAATAAGAATTTTGCGTTGGGAAATTGGTTGAATAAGAATGTGTACACTTCGAAAGGCAGACCGTCTAATCCAGGAGATTTTTGAGTGGGAGCATGATTCACAACGTCGATAAGGTAAGTTACAATTAAATCTTTCCCCACCGCACTAGCAGAATGGTCCGATAACCCAACATCGTCTGGCGCATTGGTTAAAAGAGTGTGAATGGCTTCTACATCTATACCCTCTGAAGTATAGAGCTGGCTGTAAAATTTATGTACTTCTTGTAAAATCTCTGGAGTAGTCTCCAAAAGTCTACCAGTGTCGCTGCATCGTAAAGCATGAATAGTCTACTGATTCTGCCGTGACTTGATAACTCGATAAAGATACTTGGTATTTCTTTCCCCTGGTTCATGCCATCGTGTAGCAGAGTGAAGATAGAGTTTGTTCATTGTTGTCTTGGTTTCTTTTTCCAATATCTCATTCATTTGCTGGATAAGTTCCTGTTGTCGTACCGCAGCAGGAGTACCACTTGAAGCAATATTGCCAGTAAGTAATGTTGAAGCTCTTGCTGTATGCGTTGAGTTTCACTTCGCCTGAATTTATGGAAACCCGCTGTAAAGCGTTCACAAGTCTCGGAGAGCCCGCTTGAGGCTTTCTCAGGTTGATTGAGCAGTAGAGACGACTAACGAATCAACAAAGACAAAGAAAGTGTTTATCACGTCCGTCAGTATACTGATAAAAGTGTCTTTGTGCAATAGGGACGTGTTGAAACGCCAGAATCCCGGTCCAAGATCATCCCTGTCCGCATTGAGATCAAATCTGGAGCAGTTGGTGATCAGTCCATGAGGAAGGTATGTACGTTTGCTGATTGTTAGGCTTGTGGATGATAAAATTTGCTGCAAAAAATATAATCGATGAGGGAAATTTGGGTACCCCTCCTAAAAGGTAGGTTGTCCGTTGGGTAAAACAATTTTCAAAGTGCTCTTCAAGCCACTAATGCCAAGCGATGAATTGACTAGCATCGCATGTCTCTACGAGTTTGACAAACATAAGTTAAAGTCGCCTAATAAAATAGTTGGTGTTTCTGGAGAGATAGTATAGTGGAAAGGTGAGGACATGAATTTGTTTAAAGAAGGTAAATTGTGCTCAGACTGAGCAGGACCATAAATGTTAATGATAGAACATTCCACTTTTTTGAAGATCTTGATTATAAACTGTAGCACGAATACACCGTTCATCAAGGGAGACGGTAGCATCATAGAGTGTCGGATTCTTGTTTAAACATATAATGGCGCAATATTTAGTGAAAAGCACGGAACATTGAGGATATAGGTATGACTGAAAGTAGTGGCATTGGTCGTGAATTAAGTAAGCTTGCAGATGAAAAGCTGAAACTTCCTGTAAACATAAAATATCTAAAGAGAGAGAAGGTGATTTGAGGTATGATAAAAACACCCTTTGAGTGCTTTTATCAGCATCCTTGAAAATGCTACGAGCATTTAAGGATGCAATACGTATGAATTTGTTACTCATTACCCTTACGGGCGGGAGCAGCAGAAGTGGAGCTGGAACTAGCTAACTTTGATTTTGATTCAACAAATTGTTCATCGGGAGGTAAAGGTGCGGTGGTGCGCTTCAAGATCTTTTTGGGGATGAGTAAGGGAGAATCAACATCCATGGTTAAGCGGTCTGCCATGGGGGCATATTTTGAGTATAAAGTGCCCGAGCGAGGGAGGGCCGATGTGATCTCGTTGTCAGCCGTAGACAAGGTTGTTTTAACGCTGGGGATTGACGCAGAAATGAACTCCTCATCATATTCATTCATTTCTTAATCGGGGTTACCATCCTTGCCGATATAACTGCTATCGGTGGTGGGCTTGAGCTCAATGTCGGAAGATGGGATAGGCGTCAAAACGTGCGATTCAGCAACGGGCTGTTGAGACGTAAGAATCTCATATCTATCTAACTCCTTGGCGAAAGTTGTTTCGTTCGCCTCAGTTACTTCATCAATAGTCTCAAAAGGGACACGGTAGCGTCGCTGAGTATGGCCATGGCCACCACAGCGGAAACAAACAACTTTTTGGAGGGTGGGGTAGTCCTTCTTTACATGCCCTTCTTGACGGAAATAATAGCATATGGGCTTCGCTCCCTTATAACTAATGGGAACAGTTATATCCCAAGCTTCTAAATACAACATTCGCTGTAATTCTTGATAAGGCGCTATGCCGTCCGCTGACTGTCGGTCCAGCAAGACGGACACATCTCCTTCCAAAAAACCGTGGTTCAGGCGTTGTTTAATTTGCAGAACCCTGCCGTAATGGGACATGGATTCTTGCAATTTAAATTGCAACTCGTTTTGTTCGGCACGGATAGGCAAAGTTAATGTCTCTAACATGATCATTCGCTTCGCAGTTATCCTTATATGGAACAGCTTTATACTGCACCTATTGTGAATAATGCCCTCTTCAATAGCGACTCGAGTGAGGCTATCGTCACGAAAGCGGGTGTAAAAAATCAAATCCCCTCTAGAGCGGTTACCCCGAAGAGAAATTGAATTAAAGTAGTTGCCTACTACAGGACCAATTTGGTCAACTACCAATCTAAATGCTCAGATTGATGTAAAAATAGACGACTAGGAAGAGAAAAATGATAGCCCCAGGCTGAATTGCCGTTTGGACAATCGAGTGGACACGTTGTGACCTGAGGTATTGGGCCACTTCAGGTTCTTCAAATATCGTTTCCACACTGTACGATTCTTTATTGCCAGAAATGTCAAAACGGCTTCTTGGAAGAGGAAATTTGGTCTTCAGACCATTAGTAACAATGGTCGACCAGTTAATCCCATGTTTAGTTAAAATTCGATCGTTATGGGCTGATCGATGACTAGAGATCTTATTGTGGAGATGTAGTTGTTGTTCGTAAATGTTGCAATCTGATTGGTCTGTTCAATAAAAGTAATGAATAGACGAGAAGAAAGGCCCACCTTCTCAGTAATTCCTCTGAGCTATTCCATCAACTCTTGGAAGCTTCATACACCTTATTCGAAAGTTGATTTATAAGTCTGCAGTTGTATATCGAGAACTGTAGACTCCCAGAAACCATCGTGTGGCTGATAAGAAAGCAAAATCTATCGCTTGCTTATGGTCTTTTTTTTTTTTGGGCAGTTACAAATTGGTTATTAACCTTTTCTGGAGTTACTTTGCTTTAAGAAAAATATTGCTTAAGATTTCACAGTGGTAATTCGGTTGCGCCATCCAGATATGTTTATGTGGGCAAAGATCTTTGTGGGGTTTATTTCCAGAAACAGTGCACAGTGCAAATGATGAATAAAGCAGTTGCGGTAGCTTTAAATCAGATGAATCACACGGAAAAAAAATGTCTCATTGATTTTTTTCTTTTTTTCGGGCGCGAATAAGAGAAAGCTTACACCTAATGTTTGCTAAATTATCATGAAACCAGTAACAAACAAGCTTTGAAGGACAATCAAGGGTTTATGAAGTTTATAAACAAGGATGAATAGAAGTACAGATCAATACGTTAAAATGTCAATTTTTCTGGGTACCATGAAGGTTAGTGTTTTTTTCTTCGCTGAAGAGATGCAATTAAAGACTCCAAAGAATAAAGTGTAATAGATTGTATAATGAATGCTGCTGTATGAGTAATTTTGAGAAAGAAAGGTTGTCCACATTTTTTTCCTTTTTTTATGGGTATATATGCTTTTTTGATTTTTTTTTTTTTTGCACAAGATTGTCCAACTGAAAGTAGACCCATGCATACTTAAATGAGCTGAATACTTGTAATACTGGATGGACTGGGGTATATGGCAATGTCGTTGTTATACTGTATAGACCTGCTGATAGTAACTGAGGCTCTCCTTTCATGGTTAAAAGAAGATAGGAAGGGGTCTAATAATGGAGAGGAAACAAGAGAGGTGGAGGGACTTTGGTCGAACATAAACGGCGAAACGTAAGCCTTTTTCTGCTTGATGTCTTGCGTGCGGCACGTTTCAGAGCAATATAACTATGCAGAAAGATGCTGATGAGTGAGTTGATCCATGGTACGAAAATATTATATATATATATATCTTAGGATACTTACATTGTCTCCAGTACAATGACGATCGCAAATGATACACCAAGAGAGGTCCATGTTAGAAGTTGGTCGAAAATATGATGGCGTTGATCAATTTAATGATGATAATATAGATGAATGAAATAGAGAAAGAAAATCGAAATCAGTTACTATTTATATATCCCACACAGCGCTAGCATAAAACCTAAATAAAGAAGGGTTTCGGTCAAATAACAGATCCACGAGAAACGGGGATTTCCCGCATGAGCAAATGCCCATCTCGCGGAGATTACAGATGCTGCCTGAATAAACAACCCATCCAATCAAGACCAGCAAAAACCCAACCGTTGGTATCTTTGTAAATCACCAATCGATGCATTTGAGAACGATTAGAAGCTTATCATCAACCATATAAAGTACTTTAAGGTGATTTTTAAAAACGAATGGAGCTCTTTGAAGAATATTAATCTTTTCATTGAGCATCTTCGCACATGGCTGATGATCTCAGAACCAAAAATTGTACCAACTTTAATACAGTGTATTAGGAAAGTTTTCCATTGGCTTATTTACGAATTTAATAGAAAAGTCTGCAAACAGTCTAAGAATAATCCTTGGTTATTCAGCCCTAGCTCGAAAATTGTCGGTATGATTGAGCTTTTTACCTACTTGAGTAAACAATTCTCAATACACTAGTTTGCTACAGTTTTTTTGCAGTGGAAAGTGTAGAATAGTATGTGAGATTACCATACATGTATGCGAATATACTTTGAATTGTTCTCGTACAACAAAATGGGCATGAATTTTGAGACTGAATACAAAACAAGGGGTTAGAAGAAATGTGGCGGACATTTAAAAGGACAGATCACCATCATTCAATCTCCAATGGAGAGAGACATAAAGAAATGACTCTACAACAAATTAAAAAGATTTAATTGAACTTTAACCTTCTGTTCAAAATGAGTATAATAATGCTAAGTTGCGAAGATTTCGGATATCTGGTAATTGTAGTATTCTATGCCTATGGAATTGAGCGCACTTCTTCTATGCTGGGTATAATTTTTGTATCGGAAAATTGTTACTGCACGAGCCACCTTCAAGTAACAATAGACCCTGTAAAAAAGCAAACAGTATTATATGGATATTATCTTGTTTCATATCACTTACTTAGAACTGGGCATCAGCTCCCAAAATATTTATTCTTTTTGGTTTTTTTTTTTTTTAAACCCATGATTTTTCACTACAATCTATATGTCTAGTAATCAACGGAATTGCTTATAACCGCATGAAAATGGAGTTTTCGATGTGCCTAGCCAAGCATGTGCCTAGCATTCTGATTCCGACAATATTATGTAGGTCTCATTGTGTATTACAATCATGTCTTTCAGTTCTTTCCTTCCCCATGTGCAGTTTCTGACATTTTACAAACTAGTATAAACTTGGTAACTGCTGTGAGTTTGATTCGTATGAATGAGTATCATGAGATATTTTCAAATTTTAATATATTTTGCTGGCATGCATCATTTGGATGTTATTGATAACACAAGCTTTACAAAAGCTGCATTTGCAAATAATACCACGCCTAGCCATGTAAAGAAGAAATTCAAAGGGAACATCCTAAAATCTATAATCAATATTCAAAGACGTAAAAACGTGCATTACATTATAGACTTTCCAACACTCGCTAAGAGACTGCCCATATTCAAGAAACCGACTTACATTTGTCGATTATGACACCAAGCGGAAGTACAATCCAATGCAACTTTCCAATTATGCTAGGTAGTTCATATAACCATTATATTTGATACTAGAGCATGTTTGAATGACTGAAGGACACCATCAAAAAACGACCAGAGTCAGTCAGGTAATCCAAAATTTCTTGCTTGTATTCGGATGATTAAGCCCTTCTTTCTTTGCTTTCACAAAACATTCAAGCAGGAAGTAATTGATTCTGATATACTTCTTAATCTCCTCTGCAATGTCACAATTGTCTATCGAGTGGCTTACACTTATAACCTTTTAACTGTTTGTGGGAATGTATTTGCAACCGAAACTAAATAAAGATGGAAGTGTTTGCACTGCGAAAGAGAAAAGTTGTTATATTAAGTCAAACCACTACATCTAAAGTAGCCTATCCTTAAGGATAAGAATGTATGAATTACCAAATGGGGGCATAATAGCGGCCACTTATCAATAGTAAGCTCTATTTTTTTGCTCGATGTACAATGTATCAGCTGCTCACATCATGTTCGTTTGAACTTTTAAGAAACCCCTCGTATATTAGCTTTCATCCAGAATTTTCTTTAATGCAGGGCTTAAAGATATAGACTTAATAAGATCCCAGGCATAGTAGAGAAACCTATGCAGATATGTGGCCTTGATACATGTGAAGAATTATGTGAAAACATTTTATTCGTACGTGTGTGATGCTTGCAGAAGCTCAAAATCAGGATAGCGAAACCACAGCGGAATGCTTATTATGTACTTATACCCTAGAGAAACACCCTATTTCTGGGTTTTCTGAAGGATTAGTAGCCGAGATAAATAGAAATGATAAATAGTGCAAGCGCATAGAGTATAAAGCCTCACGCAAAGCCATTATCTATTATGGATTGGCGGCTCTCTGTTGGATTTCAATTCACAACTGTCGTGGCCTTTATTGATAGAAATGGTTGCCAAAGTGCAATAGACAAGCTAAATTGATTATTGCTGGGTAACATATTTTTGCTAACGCTGTTAAAGACTGTTTTTGGAACATCTAGGGATCAAATGTCCATGGAATAAAATAAATAAGACACGTCAAATGTGATTCGTATATCAAAGGTCTTGTCAAAATAAAGACGCGAAGAATAGGTTCCTTTGTTTACAAAGCTTTTTCTAGCAAATCGGAAGTCATGAAGTAATTAGCTTACTTAAGAAAGAGTGTTAGAAGCGAATATCTATAAGTAACAACGTCCATTATTAGTCAAGTTTGTTTATAATGTAATTCAAAATTCATTTAAACAAACTTCAAAACCTCAATAAAACACTACAGTTTTTCCTATTATTCCGTTGTTGCTGGGTGATTTTAGTCGTACCTTGAAAAGTTCAAATAACCCCGGATTGACTAAAAGCAGCTCTTCTTTGTTCATTTTATACGAAAACCAAAAGCGATAAATGGAGTCAGAAAACAGAGTTGAATCTTGCGATTATGTTCCTCTGAAAGAATGTCTTGAAAAAAATAACAATGACCGATCGAAATGTTTGAAGGAATGGGAAGAATTTCAAAGAGCATGTCGGGAAAGAAAGTAAGTTCTTTTCATGTAGTAATCGATATCAATTTATACTAAGCATGATAATCGCCTATCATTGGATTAGATTAAAGTCAAAAGACACAAGCGATTGTATACCTTGCAAGGAAGGAAATAATTAATCTGTGCCTTACTATTGCCTTTTATTACAATAATACCTCCATCCGTGAACAAAACTACTATTTGTGACAGCTTATCATCGATACAATAAAGATATGCCTAATGTGATCTTCGTTGGAAGAGACGCTTAGTGTCCTTCTTTTTGTTGAAATTATCATCTGGTCGTACAATAATAACGGTGCATGGACTATGATGACTGCAATAGTCACTAACGCTGCCTAAAAAGGCTCTTTTGACAGACCCCAGTTGACGTGAGCCCATTATCAACACATTGGCTTCTAGCTCGGTAACTTTGCGAATGACTTCTTCTCTAGGATCACCCGTTAAAGCAATGGCCCTGACAGCAATCTATTTGAATATGAGTTAAATCTGACAGTAATTTGCTAACAGATCACTAAATTACATTAAAGGGCTTCAATCGTCTAGCGTATCCATCCAGTAACTCATGACTTTTCCTCTTTTTGGTTTCGTCAACTGCGCTTGTACTTGCTGTTGTATTTATGTAAGGCGCTACGGGAAGTTCAACTGGACGACAGTTTAAGAACACTACCTGTTAACAATTATATCGACTCTTATATTTGAATATATACTGTCAATGATTTTCAGTTATATTGTGAGAAAGTTACCAAATCAGAAGTAGGGTTGATGAAGTTGTTAACAGCCCAATCATACACATATTCAGCGGAGCCTTCGTCAATGCTTATGGCAACTACACGATGATGTGCTTGCTGTTGAAGCTCTGAATATTGCGGTGGGTTATCAAAGTGAATTGTCTCGTCAATTGTAGGAATATCTGTCATATTCTTTTTGCGAACTAAGAACAATTTGAAGAAAATGAATACCCTGGGCTTTCTTAATAGAGCGAAATTGAATAAATTGGATTTCTAAATTTATCAGGAATGCTTAAACAGTCCAATTGATCAGTGGTTTGAATTCCAACGGGAAAAGTCTTACTGTTTTGCAAACAGGAAAAAACTGAATAAAAATTTGGTAACAGTAGATCAGAACGAGTCAATAAATAGCTACTCGATAGTTTGGACTGAATATACGTCTAATTAAATCAGTTATTTACTTCATTATCGTACTTCCAGCATCTTAGCTGAACGCGTAGCTATCTATTAAGCCCTTGCCTCTTGCGAAACTTCGACACCATATTCCTAGAGTCAACTTCAAGAAAAGATGACTGTGCAGTGTACGCTTTTCTTCACAGAACTTGCTTTTGGTAATTCCATGAGTATGCTTCTACAGTTCTTCCATATTTACGTCTGAGTAATCAGCGCAAAGGAACATACATGCGTAAAAATTTAATCTCACCTACGGAACTTGTCAATGTTCACAATAGCTACCGAGAAGCATACTCTGTCTTTATACAGTAAAAGGTTCTTATACAACTTACTTCTTACATTTGCTGTGTAACTATCGAACTTTGTGACATCCTTCCCTTCATACCATCATCATTATGAAATTAATTTTTGGAAGAAATGTTGTTATTTCTACCATAATTGATAGCGTCGAAGTTTAACGCAAGTACTACTTCCATTGCTGACTGCTAACGTTTTGCTTTGTATTTTATTCAAGCTTGAATAATCCCCTTAATTTCGTCTTTTCAAGATTATAGAGACTTGCAATTCTCCGCCGAAGCCTCCAATATCAAGACAGTTTATCAAGATAAGATCATATCGACGTTTTAGAAAGGTAGAACCTGCTAGTTGGACATGTAGCTCTAGATATACTCACAAAGGTGTTAAGAAAAAAAATGTAACAAAGACAGTTAAAGACCGGAAAAAGGCAAAAAAAGAGATAAGAAATAGAGTTGCAATGCAAATCACAGAGTCGATTCAAGGCCTATCTGCGAATTTAAAAGATGAGTTATTATTGCTGTGTAATGCTGAAAAGCAATCTGATGCTTGAACCGCAACAGCGTTTTTTTAACTATCGTGCTGTTATGTCAGCACGAAGTAGCCAATAAAAGCTACCTACCATTTGGAGATTGAAGAAACGCAAGTCCTGAATTATAGACTATTACAGAACCTTAAGCGCGATATTATAGCAGTAATTTCTTTCCATTAACACTAACTAATTATATATTCATTCTTTTGGACGTGTAGCGTTTGTAATCCAACAGAGGGTCCAATGATCAGTTTACGACAGCTGCAATACTTTGGAAAACGTGATCATGCGACTGCAAAGAATAAGATGTATATTTTATCAATATTCAGAAGGAACTTGACGATTCGCTAAAGTCTTTCGTCTATAACAACAGGATGCCACAAAGAACCGTGATTTACTCTTTCTCAAAAAGGACGCGAAAGTTTTGCATGTAAAATAGTATTCGATTTATTTTACAAAAGCTGTCAAAATATGCATTCTTACCTAAAGCCTTTATTTTCTTTCTAAACTATGAACGTCTTATCTTGAACTAAAAAGACTCTGTTTCTCCATCCAATCAAAATCAACTAATGGGTCTAGATTTTCATGCAGGTTTGTCAAGCTCAAAACGCGCTTTCAGAATTGTTATTTATAGTGTATAATGTGTATGGTTTAAGCTCATATTTCAAAAGACATTAAAAAGGTTGATGAAAATATCATGTATATATACGTAAGGATATCAACAAGAAATATTTTCATATGTACAGAGCCTTATATACTTCTCTACATTACGTCAGTTTGTTTTGTAAACTAAATGGCTGACGGGGAGATTTTCATTTGCTCAAGTGGAATAGGGTCAAAATTATGAATGTCAATACCCCTCGACAGAAGTTCTTGTTCACAGTGTGGAGGCACTAATCTCGTAATCAAATCGGGTCTTATGGATAACTCTATTAACGTTCAGAAGAATAGTGTTAGCTCCAAGATTCACAACTTGATCAAATAGATGCTGTGTTCCTACCTTCTCTTGTAAAGTTCAATACTGGCGGCAAAGGTTGTCCACCAGGTAATCTTGTGTTAGAATCACGAATCGGATCAAAGAATGAATGAGATAACGCTTCAATTGCGCTAATTCTTTGTTGTGGATGATATTGCAACATGCGTGATAGTAAATCGACCGCTTCGGGAGTTGCATGTGTAAAGATCTAATTGGAATCCGTTAATATAGAACCCTTTGAGCGCACTTTGCATGTTTATAAAGACACTTACAGTTGATAATGGATGAGGCTTGATCATTGGGAATCTATGTTCAACATAGCTTGCATTCATTGCAGCAATTTGTTCTTTTGAAGGCGTACCCAAAATCTTTATAATTTCCACTAACTGATCGATCCCACTCTCTCCAGGGAAGAAAGGCTGACCTAAGATCAACTCTGCCATAACACAACCCGTTGACCAAACATCAATATTAAGAGTATAATTTGTTGCACCAAAAATTAACTCTGGAGCACGATAATAACGAGAACAGATATACGATACGTTAGGTTCGCCAGGAACAAGAATCTTTGCACTATTTATAGATTACAGTTGGGTTGTTGAGCCATCCCATATCCTGTTATTTTGAAGGCTTTAAGTTTTTAAACACATCATCGTTATTACCTGCCAAAATCACACATTTTACAAATACCACGAATTGGATCTAATAATACATTTTGCGGCTTGATATCGCGGTGACAGATACCCAAAGAATGGATATAGGCCAAGGATCGTAAGACTTGATACATGTACAATTGAACCAATATCATAGGCATGTGTTGTTTTGCTTTAGCGTAATGTCTCGTTGCCCTGTATAATGTATCCGGTACATATTCCATCACCAAATTTAGATATACTTCGTCTTCCTTGTTTTCCACTTGATTATAAAAATATGACTTGAGTTGACACACATTAGGATGACTAACAAGACGCATAATTTGTAGTTCACGATTCTATAAAGCCCAGTATTTAAATAATTAAGATCCTGTAAAATTCAATTTTTATTTGGATTTTTACCTCACCCCCCACGACTTCCAACAACAACCCCACCTTCCACCTTTTTACAGCCTTCAAAAGTATATCTTATGCTTACCTTAAATCTACGGTCTTGCAGCACTTTTTTGATAGCAGCTTCCTCATTTGTACCAATCAGCCGCGTTTGATAGACGACACCAAAGGACCCATTCCCGGTGATCTTTTTATTTACATATTCCAATTTGATTTGTTTACCGGATTTTGCATCCTTGGCAATCACTTTTATTGTTTTATCGTGATGAGCTAGAGATTGAATACTTTAGTATATGCTGCTTTTTCTTTTCTGAATTGCCCTTTCTTATATACCTGTCATGACGATTAATTATGTATAGTTGTTGCGTGATTCAATAGAAATTACTACACGAAAAAAGAAAAAAGTAAAAAAGGGAAAACAGAAAAATGGGAAGAAAAAATGGGTGGGATCTTCGGGAAGAGATGAGTCTAAAATTAGTTTCTTTTCTTTTTTCAAATTGGCATGGAAAGCAAGCAAATAACAAACACCAAGAATGAATTGCACGCTAAAGAATATTTTTATGCTTGTTGAGCAGTGTTTGTCTTTTGATGCCACTCGCTCTATTTTTACAAGTATCATCTTACCGAAAACGCCAGCGCATTGTTGTTGGTTCTTAGGCTACGTCAGTTCCAATGAAGCCATTGGTTTGTAGTGTTTTTGTTTTCGACTATACAAATGCCTAAAAATTCAGTTCAAACATTTTAAACCAGATATGGTCTTTTGGCATGGATAATAAGCCCTTGATCACTACTCATATTACTTTGACTGGCGCAAGGAATGATCTATTGTTTGAGGGGCAAAGAAGCGAGAGTGAAGTTTTGAGTTGGTGTATTTTTACTTCTATGCGAGATAATTTCCAATTTTTTAGTGAACAATCTGAGTTTTTATTTGGGGGACGTTTCTAGGTAAAACAGGACACGCATGGAAATACTGTACGATCTTTAACACTTTAATTGGAGACATTGCTTTGAAGGTTATTAGATACTTTTTAATTAATAGTGGCACTACGTCTAAAGCACTACGAGAAGTATTGAAACTTTCAGCGCGCGACACAGATCTTATAAGTAATAGACACAGGGTTGTGGTTTACGAGACGTTATTTTTTGGATCAGATAATTGATCTACGCGTTCTTCCGCCATATACGTAAATAACGGTTGTTGTCAATCGTTATATATAAAAATAGATGTTGTCAAACTCGAAGCATTTAGATGTCTTTTCTTTAACTTTTCATCATCATCTTCTTCTTCTATACTTTCTTTCCTCATCCTGCAAGCCATTACTCACCATGTACAAAGCCAAAATCTTGCAAAAAATCAAATCGGTGGCAGAAGCCCATAAGAATAAAGTCAAAGATGAGTCCTTCCGTAAGTAACACATGAGCGCGCTGCCACAAATAGGTTATAGTGGTAATCCTCAATTCATGTTTCGTATGACTAGTAAGCATCGAGTGCAAGGATTGCAAAACACGCGGACATTTCAACAAGGCATACCATGAATGCAAGTTTTGCAAAGCAGTTTCTGCGCGTGATGGTAAATATCATGATCTCACTGCAAGACAAGTTTATGTTTGCTTAACGGAAATTTAGTTGGAAGTAGCGGCAAGAAACGTAAGCAATCAGCTAAAACCAAGGAAGGAAAGAAGCAAACAACTGGAGATATTAAGTGCATCAGTTGTGACTTAAAGGGTCATTCTACTTCTCGTTCCCTCGAATGGAAAAGTTGCCAAGTGTTATACAGCTCAACTCGAACAATTCCGTAAGGTCTTCGACTTCAAAAAGTTAGGCTTCAGAAGGTAAAGTTGATAACATCCTGCTAAAAGATTCTGTTCTCAAGATTATTCTTTCACTTTTATCGTAGTGTTGCTGAGCTTAAGACAAACACAAGTGTGCTCTTCCGGAACCTGATTCGATCTGATGGCTTCACTGTAGACTTTTTATTTAATCGTAAGAAGAAACCAAAAGAAGACGAAATCATTGATCATCATGACTTGAAGTTGGAAGACTTTTTATATGAAGAGATAACGGCAAACTACAGACCCGCAGTTGTTGATCCTGGTCGAAAGACCGTATTTACAGCAGCAATCGGGTTAGAAACAGAAAGACACGAGATACGACGCTGCTCAACAAAAGAATATTACCACATGACGGGTAGTACTCGTATCAATACAGAATAAGAAAGGAAAAATGCTAGTTGTACGATAAAAGATATAGAAATTGATATACCGAGTTGGAAAATAGGCTCGCCTGAACAGTATGAAATATATACTACTTATATACTGCAAGATTTAGAGACTCTGTTCTCATTCTACGGGTCTGGTATGGGTGAAACAAGATTCCGTCTGTATCAAGGGCAGCAAGCGTGCTGCAGATACGATGGTGAATATGCTTGTTGATGGAGGTATCAAATATGACAAAGAATTATGAAAAAAAAGAAGGGAAGAACAGATGAAATGGCCAAAGAAAGGGCAAACCTAAGCGTAATAAAAGAAAAAAGAAGAAGAAACAGAAAGAGAAAGAAGAAGAGAAGCAGAAAAAAGAAAAGAAAGAGGAAGAGAGCCACGTTCGGTAAGTCCTGTAGCGATTAACTGCCAGCTGAATTTGTGTATATTCACTCTACTATCTTGTTTCAACAAGACGATGGACCCCTGAGAAATTCAGGTTGAGTGATAGCAAAAAAGTTCCTCTGATTGTATTTGGTGAGGGCATGTTTAACAAATCCGCCGTTCATCTAAAAAGCCTTAGAACTGGTGTCGCTGGTGTTCTTTGGTGTGCCTTGAAGCGAAGAGAGGCTGCTGGTGATTTACTAGTGATAACCATTGATGAGTATCTAAACTCTCGAACATGTAACAATTGCCGCTCCAACACCGTTGAAGCATTGAAGACTGTTCAAGGCCAAAGTATCCATGCCTGTAAAACCTGTTCAATACTTTGGAACCGGGACGTCAACGCTGCAAAAAACAGGTTGGCAATTAGCGTGTCGATTTGGAAGTCAACTGGAAGACCTACTGACTTTTGTAGAAAACCAAGGAAGACACCTGCATCAACCGCTTAACAGCATCCTCTAATCGCCAGAACGAGACTGGCTCGATTTTTACAGGTAAACCTAAGTCTAGAAAATTGTAGTGACGGCTCGTAAATTTGCTGTGGAATTGTAAACATCAATCTTACTTCGTCTGTAGTGATGTGTTGACCCGTATCCACCACGAGTAAAAACATCGTAGTCCTTCATACCGCCTACGACTCCCCCATCAGTCTGTGACCCAATATCGCATGTTCTCAGCCGTCTTCCTACGCATCCGATTAAAAGCCCATCCCAAAGACAAGCCTGGCATTTTCGATGGCCAGTATGTTGTCACATTTTGTTTGAATTCGACTACTTACACCACTCTCAAGAGCCGCCCACAAATCCTTGGTTAAGGCATCTATTGCTCGACTGGTTACCCTTTTCCCCTCCCCCAACTCTTTAGTACATAATCCTTTTTACCCTTGAGCCCTAAGGGGTTTTTAGATTCTACTCAGCCTTTGGAGCTGCCAGGGCAATTTAGATAAGTTTCATATCTCGTGTCCATTGGGCTTTAAAAATTAATGTTATGTTATAAAATTCTTGTTTAAACGTAGTCCTTCAAGTAAAGCTGGTCTTCAGCTCTAATTAAGTCTCAGATGATCAAGTTAACTTTAACAGTGTTCTCCTGCTGAAATACAAATACTGCTGTTTCACTCCGCTAGTTTTGCCCGAGATTTTTGATCTCTTTCTGACAGGAGGGGTGAAACCCCTTTTCTTTCCTTGTTTGTTTGCCCAAGTCGATAAAAATCATCTTATATAGCAATGAATAATTATGATACTGTCATCCTTGATATTGAAGGAACAATAACTCCAATAACGTTTGTCAAAGCTACATTGGTTAGATATATTGTATTTTTTTGAGGCAGTCTTGTCAGAGATTTAAAGTCTTTAACGCCCATTGTGTATTTCAGTTTCCTTATGTTATTTCAGGGCTTGAGTCTTTCTTAAATAGAATGTGGGGGTCAGCTGAATTGCAAGAATATATTGCATTGTTACGAGAACAGGTAAATCAGAACATGGCATATAAACTGATATAAGCTGGTTACAAGGTATCTGCTTTTACCTACCATTAATACGCTGCATCTTCCGCATATTATCAGGCAAAAAAAGATGTAGAGGGAAAAGCCTCTTTAGAAGCAGTCTTGATACCTACTGAATCAGAGGCGTAAGTTTTAATTTCCAGGGCAAACCGTTTTTATGTGCTAATTATCCATGACTCTGCATTAATGATTTTTTGCTTTTGCCCGCTGTCAACGTATAGCTCCGCGGATGAGATAAAAAATGCAATCAAAAGGAATATAAGATGGCAAATGGAAGCCGATCGTAAGATAGGGGCTCTCAAATCTTTCCAAGGATACATGTGGAAGGAAGGCTATGAGGCCGGTATTCTGCGGGGAGAGTAACATCAGCCTTTTTGATATATAGAATTCTAATGTCGCTTTAATGCCCTTCTTACATTGTTTTATCTTGTCGTTATGCTGTAGGATTTATGATGATGTTATACCTGCATTAGATAAATGGAAGGCTACAGGAAAGAAAATCTATATATATTCTTCCGGAAGTGTTTCTGCTCAGAAATTATTACTCACTTTCTCGAACAAAGGAGATTTATCCAATGTAAGCTTATCAGTCTTATTAGAATTCCTACGAAAGTTATAATATGTACAAAATATTAACGCAGGAAAACAGTATTTCGACGGCTATTTTGACACAGCTGTAGGTTTAAAATCCGACACAAACTCTTATAAGAATATCGCCAAGAGCATTGGAAAGGAGAACGATACCAAAAATATTCTATTTGTTACAGATAATATTCAAGGTAGAGCTTTGATATAAGCGGCAGATGGGGTCTGAATGGGATTCAGTGTAATCCGTTTTCACTGAACGCACTATTTGTTTATTGTAGAGATATTTGCTGCAGAAAAAGCTGGATACCAGGTCGTTATTTCTGATCGTCCTAATAATGCACCATTGTTGCCTGAAAGTAAAAATTACAAAATTGTTTCTTGTTTTGATCAAATCTAGATGAAATCCGTTCGATATTCGATAATAAAGTGATTGCATGTTTTAATTACTTATTGTGTAGTTGTTTTAATAAGACGTGAAGTAGCTAAGGAAAATGAATCTGTCTTTTTGGTTGTCTTTTCTAATTAAAGAGTAAGCAGCCAATAGGTTAAGTCACAATGTTGCCTTTATGTAATAGAGCAACGAAGTATATTCTAAGTTTTCAAAATAACATGTAATGTAAAAAGTAGTAGCAACAGTACATCGATGAATTATTGACATTTCGTTTCAATGATAGATGGACCAACTTCTTCATACTCTTTCTTAGAAATCCATAATTGATTGAAAGTGCCTAGTGATGCCAAAATAGATCCACCCAACCAGCTACTACTCTTTCTTTCAACTTGTGTATTGAAGCCATGAACCTTTACTTTACTCTAAATAAAGATTATAAATGCAGGTTAGTTCATCTGTTCTCTTCGTGTACTCTGTACTACCAAACTTACTCCTGGTGCCATTGCTGGTAAATCGTTACTGAGTCTTTCGGTGAAGCCAGGGAATAATGTGTTCCCGCCAGCCACAATAACGTTATTGAACAGTAAAGGACGCAGATCGATATCACATGCATTTATACTATTGAACACAAGCTGAGATACACCTGCAGAGTGTTGTATCTGACTTCTGGTAACATTTAATCCGGGAATAGGTTCAGTTTCCTTTCCAGGCTCTACGGGTGGCTAGTAATCGTAATAAGAAAAATCAAGTGAGTACAAAACCCTTCAGTAAATCCGGCTATGCTTCTCTGTTATTTGGTAATGCAATCGGGTTCTTACCAATCGAACATGTTGTGGATTGAACATGATTTCTGGCACTCGGTATCGTTCAGCACCAAAAGTATTATTATAGCCATCAGGGAATTCAAATGGTTTTTGTGGGCGTTGTGACATTATATTTTCGTCGTAAGGGATCTCGGATATCTGAGAAACTGATTCTTTATACTCATGTATGATTTTCTATTGGCGTGTGTCAAATGTAAGGTGATGGATCAGTATCTATGCAAAAGAAGGTGGCAATCTTTCATCCCGAATACTTTTTCTTTTTTTCAACGGTCTTACAGAAATTTGAAAATCATCAAAGCTTTTTGTTGTATTAGGCCGATCGCGTAGTTGAATTTGAGGAGACTGGCCCGACGAAACTGTCTTTTTACTCGCAATTTTATATAGCGGTGTCACTTCATAGTTTAGGTCGGTCTTCAAGTGATCTTTGATCTGCTGTGTCAGTAGATTGCCGCCAATAGGTTGGTGAAGTATACCCTTCTTCAATACGTAACCATCATAAACAGGTACCGCACTTGTTACATCTCCTCCAGAATCTAACACTAAACCTGTTGCTCTACCCACTGAAAAACTACGAATTAGACATCAAAGCAAAAAGAATTTAGTTTGCACGCTCTAATTGAAGCACTGTCAGCAAAGATATCTGTGCTCGTCGAACATACGCTGTAAGAACTGCATCTTTGGAAACATAAAATGCAGGTACATCGAACTTTTCGAAAGCTAATTGCATCATCTTTTCTCGGTTCTCTGGAGTATTCCAAGCGGGCTCAGTACATAATAAAGGATGTTGTGAAGAATCGACACGTAACATATCATTGTAAGCTGCTTTCCATAAGTATTCTACTGCATCCCAATCTTTAACGAGGCCATCTTCCATTGGATTTTTTATTTCCATATCAGGCCTCCATGTATTGATTTTATTCTCGCCAATATAGTAGTTGTTGTCTTTATCGATACCGTATGAAGTGGGAAAAGTTGCTTTAGGGACGTCTTCACCTGCGAAGCCAACCCGGAATGAGGTTGATCCCATATCAAACACAAGCGCGTTTACTTCGTCTATTGTACGAAATTCATTTTATTCTGTCAGTTGGTTTGATCTTTCTGTAGTATGCGATTTATACTTAATGTCGAAGAGGAAAAGAAAATTTACCTCCTCCATAGGTGACCATCGTTAAATCTATATATGTATTGGTTGTTCTGAGTGTAAGAGGATAAGGAAAGTGTAAATTGTTAAAAAGGGTTTCCAGCGAGAAATTGGAAAAATCAAGACTAAACGAAAAAGAAATGAAAAAGAATAAGTCCTGTTTACTCGCAATAAATTTATTTTGTTATCTGCAAAAAAATTTCTCAAAATTGCTCTGAAGCATAAAAATGAAATACATTAAAACAGATTAGAAAAAACTATGAATTGCTTCTCTTTTTACCACTGTACGCGAATGGAAAAGTGATATAATCAAAATAAACACAACCAAAAGAAATGCTTTATCTTGCAAGAGTCGCGGGAAAATGGAAATTTATTCATAATTTATATAGTTATAGAATTGTAGGTAATGACACGTATTCGAGCGAGTGTGCTACGTGTATAAAAATAATTGTTCTTAAATTGATGCAGCCTGTCAAGTACAAAAATACTGCTCGCCTTTGCAATAAATGGAAATGTCTGCTTTGTTAAAGCATTATGACCTTTGCTAGAGATATTCAAGGGCAACATTTCTTTGATTGAGCGCTATGCTCCTTGTTTTGACAAGTTCTTTGCGTGCATTTATGACGATAATTCTTGGTTTGAATGCGAATGCCGCTTGGCCTACCAGAGGAATAGCTGGCAGAGTTTGTGCAGTTGACATTAATTGTAGAAGTTGAGTTACCAGCAGTAACATTGGTATTGGAGACAGTATTAAAGGCCATCGCAGAGTTCGTGGCAGAACTAATGACAGATTTAGTGGCAGAGGCAGTTTTGGAGACAATAGTAGAGGTAGAAACAGATGGTACCATAGGTAGCACGGAAGAAGTAATGTTTTTTGGTGAATGGTCATGGTGCGAAAAAGGGAAGACACAATGGAACCGTCGTGTAGTACTTCCAGAGTTGATGGCAGAACCTTTCAAAGTACAGGGTATGGTAGTATTCATGATGTTCAAAGAAGGAGAAGCCGAACCATTAACCAAGTCGAAAGTATCAGAGAAAAATTGAGCAACGAGGCCATTGCAGCCCGTAGAGTTTCTTTTGATAAGAGTTAGGGGCAATGTGGAGAGTGATTCACATCCATAGTCGCAACCACCAACCATAGCACAGATGGTATTGCTTTGATTTTTTAATTCAATCATGGAGAGTTTAATATTGATCGCTGATGCATAAGCGATAGTAGCAGCAAGGAGAACAACTAGTCTAATATTTCTGAATGTCATGGATACAGTATGCAACAATGAAGAAAAAAATTGAGGTATATGAAGAGAAGTCAGTTGAAATAAAATAACACCTTTTATACAAATCTAATGTTGGCTTTGGAGTATGCTGTGATAAATAATTTTGACAGGTTGATTTGTGTAATGACTCCTCCTTCAAAAAAAATAAAAAAGCCATATTGCATTCTTTTTGTGATGGTTCACACAATTTACATTATTCAATTGCGTCCACACAATATTGTTCGGTCTAACATCAAGCGGAAATACCTATATCTTTCAAATCTAGAAGTACTATATAAAAAAAGTAAAAAGAAAAGAGCAATATTGTACTACGACTCTTACTTTAACAAATCTGGACATCATACAAGATTTATTGCAGACACTTCTACTTCATAAAAAAAGAGCTATTGCGCAATTAATATTTTATTAATGGCTCGATGCTTAGACCTGAAGTTTGGATTGCCCAAATTTAAGAAATTGCGACTTAAAACTAATTCTCTGCTAGCTATTTTGGTTGAAGGTGCATTCTATTTCCTTTGTGAATCACCATTATGATCGTTTGCGTCTCCTTTAAAAAGATGGTTATGTCTAACTAAATTAGATTTCTATGTTTGCAGCATTAAGTTGCACAATAATTCATCTCTGTTGATGAATAGGCCGCCCTGAGTTGCTCTACAAAAAAATCGTGCAAAGAATAGCGTAATTAATTGACTTTAATGTGCCCTAAGAAATGGCTAACGGTTTGTGCTTTCTAACTCTAGACAAAAATCAAATGTAACATTTTCTATTGAACAAAAGACCAGCAGCAGAAAGGAGACTTTTTCTTTTCCTTTTGCTGAATAAAAAAGTAGGTGTAGACTGCAAATCTTAATTTGTAGAAGAAAAAAAGCCAATGTTAAGCGCAACCTTACACGCGCAAACTCTTTGTTGTTTTATAGATGGTGTAATCACTAGCTTTACTTCTATATACACCTGGTTACTCAATTGATTTTCAACCTGCAAAACAATTCGAACAACAGTGTTTAGTCAAGATTTTTGGCCAATTTGGTTTTAATACTGATGTCTGGTAAATATAAATGTTGAAAGCCTGTGATGATGCAGACTAACTCTTCTTTTGACGGCAGAGCTAATCCGTGATAGCAGACAATAGAACCCTCAAGACCTAGGGAATCTCCTTAGGTTTGCGCCTAAAGAATGGAGGTACTTTGACAAAAGACTGTTGGAAGTCAACCACAACAGTTGGCCAGCTCCAAGGGAGACACGTCCTTTTTCTGTAATATCCGTAATATATACTTTACAAGAGGGCGTTTGATTTCCTGCAGCTTAATGGATACACTTGTCAATTTGACTTCCTTATGGAAGCCGAAAGGTAGTGGAAAAAAAAAAAAGAAAAAATAACAGTTTAAGGCAGTGATATTTGTGAGTTACTTGAATTGATGACTTTTTAATTAATAAAAACCCTACTGTAACCAATGCAATACAATTTGTGCGAACAAAGATTCGGCTTATGGAATAATTCTATCTCCTTAAAATGAGCATAATAAAGACAGTTTTTTGAGCTCTCAACGTGCAACTGAAACTGCTGCAAATATACTTAAAGCTACCCTCTTCATTTCCGCATAAGCAAAACAAGGATCCAATTCAGAAACGTAATAATCCTTATGTCTACTTAAACAATGTATCGCCTCATTCACAGATTTGAAAGCGGATGTTTTTTCAGTTATATGGTATAGAACAAAACATTTTAATTCTTTTGTTTAGAGTATAAAGGCGATAATAAATTAATGCTTAAAATCATCAAACGTAAGCATCGTAGACAGATATATACATCAATACATTAGTTAATGTATTTCAGTGGCACTAAGCAAATTCCTGCATATCAAAAATGACGATAGTTCCCAATTCAGTACCAAAGACTAAAAGCTCCTCCTGTGGAGAAATAGCTGAACAAATCACCGGACTATCAAAGCCTCCTACTTTAAATCTCGTTTTCGGTGACTTCAAATCCCATACAATAGCTGTTTTATCTCCTGAAGTACTGACCAACTTTGAATGAATAGGTGCCGCTGATATAGACCAGATGGTATTAGAATGCACATTAAGTGAAGCGACCTGTGCATCTTCTAGACTAGGCACCGCAAAGATCGATACTGCTCGATCTGATAGCGCAGCGTAGGCCAGAAAAGGAGGTACATGAATGGGTCTTTTTGCATACACGTAACAGTCGAGGGAACCATATCCCAATTTTCTTCTCATTCTCAGGTGCTTATCCTCATTAACATCCTCATTAACATCTTCTGTATAAAGAAATTCATTGTATACGGCCATTGCTGAGATAGGACCGTGTGTTTTCATTATAGAGCTTAGAACCTCTGGCTGATCTTTGACGATGGTTTTCTTCAAATCCCATAAGAAAATATTTTGATCGCTGGAACCCGAGATCAAATAGCCGGCTTTGTTACCTTGAATAGCATTTGATTCTGTTTTAGACCTGCAGAAGTTGGGAGGAAGGTAGGGTATATAAATGATGGAATTGATAGTGTTGCTTTGTCCATTAAGTATGCGCAAACATACCCCTGCCTTAGTATCCCAAATACGTATGGTTTTATCAACAGATCCGCTGATGAGTGGTGCAAAATAGTCCTTCTTTCTCGTGATTGAATCTATTGTTGGGTTGCGTTGGGTGCTGAAAGCAAGTGCTGTTACTGGTTTTTTATGTCCGCGTAAACACATCTTATACTGAAAAGTGACCAAGTCGTGAATGACAATAGTATGATCAACCGAACCCGATGCTAGCAATTTTTCGTGCCTAGTGGAGGCAGCAAGACATGATACATGTCCTTTATGGGCTTGGATACAGGTGATATACTTTTGGTTTTGTGAATCAAAGACGTGTATTTTTCCATTGATGTCACCTGTAATGACACGTGTAGGATGGACTATTAACAGAGAGAGAACCGGTCCTGTATGATAATGCAACTCTATCCGTCTGCATGCTAGATTCTTCCATGTTTTACATGCAGTCATGGCTCTGCGAAAGATGTCGTGGTAGATAGGTACTGTTGTGTTAAAGTTGCCCGCTAGGCTTTTTGATGGTGGGATGACACTATATTCCTGACATTTCCTTCTCCAAACGGAGTCATGTGTTACTTTTCTATTCCAAGTTCTTGATACTAAATATACGGATGTAGTAATGGTTCGTATAACGGCACGATTGACAATGGCATTATACTTAGAATATATATGTTTACAAACCTAGCCTTAAAATAGTCAACTCTTCCGGTTTAAAATAGCCGAAAATAAGAGTAGTGATATCCAACGGTAATTTCTCGATGAGATCAACTGTAATGGAGCAATTTTGTAAGAATTGCAGGAATTCAGCACGTTCTTTCAAACTTAGATTAGAGATTACTGTCCTCTTTAACACCGAAAGAGTTTCCTTAGGGTCTCGAAGCTCTGGTAACAAAGAGTGTTGCATGACTTTCAGTTGTGAATACAATAAGAAATGCTGTAAAGAATAAGTATAGCAAGATGTATCAGAGGTGGCCTCAGTTTAAGGTAAGTGGGCCTGAACAGACAACATTCTGTGTTTCGTATCTCGTGATTTTGATTTGATCGTAAAGCTCTGTGTCCCTGAGTTTTTCTTATCAATTATCATTTAGCAAACAGCATTCTAGAACTCACATTTTGCCCATGACTAGACTTCCGCCATGAAGTTTGTCGAGAGCTAATAGACTACATGTCTAATTGCAGTATGTTATATGTGAGATTTTTTTATAGTCTATGATAGTAGTAAGCAGATAAGTGCCAGCAACGCGCCAGTTTTAGGACCTGTGAGACAAAGTAAGCAAATGTGCGGTGTTTTGATGAGTGAAACCTTCCCCTTTTGTACCTATCCTCCTCGCAACTGCTGCTTCCAACTTTAAAATATTCATTTAAAAGATATAAATTAGAATGATATAAGTTTTGCACGCTGTTTTCTTCGTTTCCCTTTCCTTTTTGCTCTGCTTAGTTTTTGCTTCAACTTTGAACGCAGTAAATTGAAAGAAGCTGTTGCTGCTCTCCTTCTACGCTTTTCATTCAGCTTTTAGCCAGTTGTACCCCTTTCAATAGACCTCTATTTATTTGTATTTATTTCCTCTCCTCAATTTTTTTTTTCTCTGGTTAATTTATTGATGCTATTTTAAATTAATTCCAAGGCTTTTTTTTTTTCCCTTCATCCTTTTCAGAAAGAAACTCTCTTTTCCTTCTTTGACTGCAGACAGATCGATAATCTCTTGAAAAAAAAAAAAAAGATACAGCAGCACAAGCATTAAGACTGTTTCAAGAAAACAAGAACTTCTTGGCTTAAAAACCGAAAAATTATACAACAGAATGTGGATCATATCTCGAGTTGTAAAAATATAATTGAAGTGGAATCGTTATTGGAAGAAAATATCTATTGTAACTCTAATTGTTTTAAAATAAAAATAGTTTGGAGAATCACGGTGGACAAGAGCAATATTCTGTGCAATCATCTTTCAAGCGATATTGGCTATTGTTTTTGAGGCTGTGATATTTGCATTCCATGCCAATGAAGTAAACCAAATTGAGAGTCTTGGTCTATCACAAAAAGAACTATCGGCTGTATATACAGCTTACGCAAATGCCAGATCACTCTTAGTTTATTTCATCCTATTTATATTAGCACAGATCTTCACTGTTATACTCGTCGTAGATGCTGTAAGTGTAATTTGAAAAAGAAAGGGAAGGAAAAAGACAAACTAATAGCTTCACGTGCCAACAGATATATCAGCGAAATACTATTCAGCTCATTGCGCTGGTCGCTTTTGAGTTGGGAATGAGCGCTTATTCCATTATACAATTTCATCAATCCTCGACCTTAATAGACGATAATACAACAGGCAAATCGACCATTGTTTTAGAATACTTGATGAATGCTTATCACTCAGCGAAATGGGCCGAAATCACACAGATATGCATCATGTTTGTTAGCACAATCATCTTTATATTTTTAGCCTACAAACTGTATTTAGAATTCGGTTGGCATATTTATAAAAAGATCGGCGCAGACTTGGCTATGCGAGGTAATTGTAGATCATTAAAAGGCAGTCCTTCTCAAAAACGAACGACGCTCAAATCTGTATTGTCATTTACCCCTAATAGATCGCTACAAAATGTATCAAATCTTCATGATGCTGCTGAAGTTTGATTTTTTCTTTTTCTTGGGATTTTCGATACAGTACTTGGCATTATTGATCGTAGCATGGTGGCCCGATGCTGAATCCCAGGGGACACAATCACAAATTGTAAAAGAGCTAATAGAGCATATAATATTAAGTTGTATTATCTCAGTAACCATGTTGATATCAGCTTACTGGGGTGTAGGTTCATTTATTTTGAGAAATTGAGTCAATTGGCAAGAATCTTGATTGATATTTTACATTTGGTAGTTACGGCGCGAGAAAAAAGTGCATATGTATATTTTTTTGATTTCATGTGCTGTGAGCATGGGCTATTATATTTACATGCTGATACAGATTTCAAAAGATCCGCAGAGGTTTTTAGGCTCAAAAGCATTTTTAACATTCTTCTGTAAGTTGCTAACCCAGACAACAAACTTTTTGTAATTGCTGTTACAGATTTTGAACTAAAAACGAATTCTTACACAAATTAGTATGCGTGGATATGGTTTTGATTTTGGTAGGTCACAATAAAGCATCACGCCAACCCGCCCATACAAGATGCCATTGTTAACCCTTCCTTCTTTTTTTAAGGCATCTGTACCTACTGCAATCATATGCTTGAGAAATTTCAATCTTGGTTTAATGAATCATAGTAAGTTGTAGATCAAAAACTACAAATCGTCTTCGTTACACGGGTATTTCTTGTGCGTTATCAACAGAGACTAAAATTGATTTCCTTTATAGTCTCACATGCTACTGCATCAGCTACTTCGGCACACTCCATGACTCATTTGGGTATAGAAAAATCGAATACTTCAAGGCGTTGGTCAATTGAGTAAATTCGTATATGGTATTTTATCACTTTCTGAAACCGTTTGTTCGTGCACTGACGAAGGACTCTACTTTCTTCTGCGACTATTGTTTATTCTTTACACTTCAAAGATATAGCTAGCGATCTACACCTTACTAATCTCCCTAATTTTATGGATTTCCTTTAGCCACCTACCCCCCCCCCTCCATTATTGTAATATTAATAACTATCACTTAATAATTGTTCTACTGTAATGAATCAATCCAAAATATGCTGTCGTATTTTCATAATACTACCTTTTTATTGACAAATCCGATTATAACTCAAAATTACAAATCTTTGTTATGCCTTATACAGCAAAATAGTAGTACGTGGATCGTAGTGGAGCTGAGTATATTGGATTTATTGAGACAGCGATAAATAAAAGTTATCATTCGGTAGTAATATTGCTTGAATTCCACATTGCAAATAAAGACTAAACGTGCAGATAAGAATGGACAGGTTTACGTTAAGAATCATGGGATTCTCCCATCTTGAGACTTGTTTTAAAGGCACTCACGTAGAATCGCGCGTGGTACAATTCCGCTAGTAAGCGATCCATGGAGTCAATAAGACATTTACTCGGGAACAAGTTAAGGGCATTTCCGTAACAGGTAGGATATTGCGTCCAAGGATATCGTTTTCGCCCGTAATGAGCTGCTTTTTAACCTCAGGCAAGGCCCAAATAATCCCTTGCTGCTTTTATCGATACATACCGTTTTCGTATCGTTACTGCTCAAGCTAATACAGGGGACAATCTTTTCTTGTGTAATCCTTACATACGAAGACTTTTCAAAATAAGTAACAATAGACACAGCAATGATGGAAAGAACAACCATCTGATATGCCCACAATGATGTTGCCCTGCAAGCAGAGAACAAAAAAAAAATGTATTTCGTGGATCACACATGGCATCACCGTACCTGAAATGGAACGAATTTCCCACGTTCTTTAATGCACTAGCAGAATAAAATCATCAAGATTGCTTGAGCTGTAATGAACTTCTCCCTAGTCAAGATCGTCCCTCTACTGTAAATAGATGTGCAAAAAGTTACCGCGTGGGTTTTGTTGCTTTAAAGTCCTTTGATCTCTACGCAGCTAACGAGTAATAGTTTAATGGACTAATTTTCGGGCCAATAAAATTCGAAAGAACTCTAAAGACGACGCATAATAAAATGCATCGTTTAAGAAGGTCATATTATCTTTTCAGAAAACGATAGTTTTCTTTCTTCTTTTCTATCTTTTTTGCACAGCTTCAATTTCTCTACAGAAAACTATGTCAGCTAAAAAGCAACTCGATTACAGCAACGACCCTAACAGAGAGAATTTAGACCTTATTGTTCGAAAAAAAGCACCGTTTAATGCCGAGCCAAGACCAAATGATCTGGTGAAAAGTTATATAACAACCGAAAAGTACTTTTTCTGTCGAAATCATGGCCCAATACCAGACCTTGATGAAACAAAACATACCGTCAGTATACAAGGTATTGGCTGTAAAGAGCAGACGATAGAGTTAACTATGCAGGATTTGAAAATGAATTATGAAAAGATATCTGTAATGATGGTTATGCAGGTATAAACAGAGCATATACATGTTTCTATCGCTACATAGTATTCTTACTTGCAATTTCACCAACAACTAAATGGAATTTTATTCTCAAACAGTGTGCAGTAAGTGTGAGAATAGCGAAAACCTAAATGTAGTTCAGTCAAAAGGATCCTTACAAACAAAGAAATTCATTAGGGAAACAGAAGAGATGGCCTTCATAAAGTGAAACATACCAAAGGTGTAAGTTATGCATTCTAAATGACATATATCACTCTCTAAATGGGCTGCTCGTTTCTGATAATGTGTTATAACACATCATTGCAGGTGATTTGGGGACCGGCTGCTTTAGGGAATGCAATTTATAGTGGCTGTAGGTTACGGGATGTACTTGCCACGATTGGTGTCACCACAGAGATACCTAACATGTCAAAATTACATGTTGCATTCGAGTCTGTGGAACAGGTAACACACGCTGCGATATTGTTTTTGCCTATCCAATACTGAGTGACTTCATTTTCATCACTGCTGCTATTAGTGTGAAGAAGATAAGTGTTACGGATCTTCTATACCGTTAGCAAAAGCTCTGTAAGTTTCGCTACCTCATTCATAGGGTACATTGTGGTGCTTTGAACTGCCTAACTGAGTACCTCATTCTATAGCGATCCATTTGGAGATGTTTTGCTAGCCTACGAAGTAAATCAAAGTACTTCTGAATTCTAAACATTATGCGTTTACTGAAGTCTACTCGTCTCATTTTTCCTTCTAGATGAACTATAAGCCTCTATCGCGTGATCATGGTTTTCCCTTGAGAGTCGTAGTTCCTGGTAATTGCTTTATATTCCAAGGGCTATATCGAGGATGAACACATTTACAAATCTACTTTATCATTTATTACAGGCTATATTGGTGCAAGATCAGTCAAGTATCTGAAAACAATTACTATTCAAGATTATGAATCTATGTCTTTCTTTCAACGCAGAGACTACAAAATCTTGCCAGAACAGGTAACATTGTTACAATCGACTGTTCTACCCATGTTGAGAAGATAAATTCTAAATTGTTTTGCAATTAACCCTATTTTACACAAGGTTACTGATGAAAAACAAGCAGAAACGTACTGGTGTAAAATACCATCTATTGGGGAATATAACGTACAATCATACGTTTGTGACCCTGCAGATGGAATACATACTAAAAAAGATAAAGAAGCTCAGATAGCTGTGCAAGGTTATGCCCTGTCTGGAGGAGGGAGAAGTATACAGCGCGTAGGTTAGTAGCTAAGATTAGCCGTGTAAGTGACTCACTCATCAATCCAAGGCAATAATTATTTCTGCGTTTGATTTTTGAATAGATGTATCTGGTAATGATGGAAAATCTTGGGTAGTGGCAGAACTCTACCAACCTGGGTCAGACGGTGGTAATTGTAGATTTTATGGATGGTGTTTATGGTATGCAAAAGTCAACGTGAAGCCGGGTGTACGAATTGTAAGCCGTGCAGGTAAACAAATACTCTCTACTAATTATAAGGGAAATATCAGCACGTGTGATTCATAGTTTTGTATTCTTACTACAGTTGACTCCTCGGGAAATGTGCAGCAGGAATATCCAGTGTGGAATTTCAGAGGAGTGATGAACAACTCTTGGAGAACGGTGGAGCCCAACGCTGCAGCAGAGCAAGCTCACATTTAATTTGACTCTTGCTTTGGAATTATTCATATCCCGCAATAAAACTTGAAACTGAACGTTAAAGCAGACTTCTCTTTTCTTATTCTGTGCACATTGCATAATCTTTGACGCATTTGTAATAAGCTGTCGCCACTATGACACTAAGTGCTCGTAAAGACCATTTAAATAGCCTACGTGAGAGATTGGAAAAATATAGACAAAAGAGTGAGCTGATCGTAAGTTTCTTTTCTAACTTTTTCACTCTTTTCCACCTGCATAAAGTCTAAGCCTTTTCATTCATTTACAACAGAGTCAACAGGAAAAAGAAGAAGAAACCAGAGCAAGTGAATTAAACAAAGTTCGAAAAGAGAAGAGAAAGCACAAAAAAATAGCTACACCTGCGTCTGACATAATAGCAGCAATGCCACTGACACAGGCATCAGTAACCTCACCAGCATCCGTAATCGCAGAATCACCCATAATAAGTAAATACTAATTACTTGTCGATTGCATATTTCTATTTCATTGATGTTTATAATTATTTCTTTATACCTTTTTAGAAGAAGAAACAAACAATCAGCAATTACAAGAGCAATTAGCACAGCAACAAATATCAGAGAAACAACAGCAAGAATATGTTCTTCTACAACAAGAACTGCAGCATCAACTATTACAACAACAACAACAACAACAACAACAACAACAACAACAGCAGCAGCAACAGCAGCAGCAGCAGCAGCAAGCTTCACAATCATTACAACCGCAAATGAAAAAAACGCAAACTCAATCCTTCTTCTCGCCTGCTCATTTTGGCTATTCAAACATTACAGAGAAAGACGCTATTGATTGGCTAAAACATGGTCTTTAAGGCTTCTCCTCTGCTATTTATTGTTCGACCGAATAAATAAAAACCTACTATACCCTTGTGTCGTTCGATCAGGTCGATGATTGCTTGTAAGAACTGGTATCTAAAATTTGCTTTCCACACATGGCGCAGATCCCCTTTTTGTAAGCACAATCTAGGTCCAATTTTTACGATTTAGTTTCCAATGAACAACCTTTTTCACCCAAATACATTTTTGAAGGTGGTGCTTTCCTTACCTTGACAGTAGTGTGCTTTTTCCTGATGAACTCTGGTTTTGCATAATCTACATTTTGTCTCAATCGGGTTGAATCTATAGAAAACTAGCCTCGTCAGACACTTCCGATGTTTTAGCACTCAACAGAAATCACATACCTCGTCTTTGAGCTTTTTGATAATAGTTTGTTTTGATTTAACTTTCTGCCGCTTGAACCCGCTAATGTTAATAGGTCACAAAATCGTCAAGTTTAAAATGCTCATTACAGACGTCTAGATGTGCTATATTCGTACCCACTGCATTTTTCGAGCCTTCTTTCCATTTATCAGGCGCTGCTAAAGCCGTTAATTTCTTCTCGCATTTTTTACAAACCATGTGTATAGATGTTCAATGTTGAAGTATAATTTATTGATAAAAAAGAAAAAAAGAGGAATGAACAATTCTAGAGCAGCTCCCCCTTTTTTCTTTTTCTACAATTACTTTTTATGGCAAAAATTTATGCGTAGCTGTCAAGGCGTTTCAAAAATGTCTCTACAACTTGACAGAATTGAGTTTGAGATTCTTTAAGGGTAATAGAGTGATCTCCTTTAGCGATAATATGAGTTTCCTTGATGGCTGGGCAGACGTCTTGGTATCTTTTCATCACATCAGATTGACTTGCCTCGCTTGTTGGTACGTAATATTCATCGTTTTCAGAATAGACCCAGCAAATAGGTCTCTTCACATTTTCATACAATTGAGCTATGCGCTCCTTAGTGAAATCAGTGGAAAAGACGTCATCATCACCACTATTTGCTCAAAATTAATGTTATGTTCTTTGGGATATCGATCGAATTAAGTACGTGCACAAGCTTACCCAACAGCAGTAAGTGAAAAAAATCGGTTGGCGGTGATTGGAACGCCATCCAATGCCTTACGAGGCATTAATTCTTCCCCCTTATTTTCCTTTTGGCTTAGCTGTGTGGCCATTTCAACGTATGCTCTAAAGTTTTCAAGGTTCGCTTCGAAATATTGTCGGTCTGATACAGGTGCTTGTAATATATACCCATTTACATGCTGATTGTGTTTGCCATTCTTGTTATGCCAATAACAGTCTTGGCTACCTAAAAGATAAAGTGGAAATGAACATTTTTATGATTTTATCCTGTCTTTTGCCTATCCTTTTTTACCTGTAGAATGACCCAAAAATACAATACTGTCTTTATGTCGTTGGTTTTTCAAATGGCTTACAAGACTGTCCAACTCTTCACTATCTGTTTGCAAATTGCTTGTGCCAAAGCCTTGATAACTCGAGCTTAATTGAGCCTGAACTAAGCCCCACTGATTTTTGAACAGCATTTCTGAAAGTGGTTCAAGGAAAGGAACTGCGTTAAATCCGTCTCCTAATCCACTAATAAACACGACTACTTTGTTGAAGAAGCCAGAAGAAGAACAACGGCCGCTTTCAAAGGCTGTCAACCTTTTCTCGTCATTGTAAGTAAACAGTTCTCCAGAAAATATCATCTTTGAAAAAGCGAATAACAACAACAACAGAGAAAAGGGAAACTCATCAAAGGATCAACTCCGGTTTTATAGGCTTTTGAAAAAGTTCGGACAGCAATTGGCGCTAAAGCCACACTTTTCTTCTGTACCACAATCGGGAAGCTTATTCATTGGGTGTCAGGGCAGAAAACATACACGTAAGTAGGCACCATCAAACATAATTATGGCAACAGATAGAGACGCTACTGAGAAAACGACTGACGCGAGATTGGCAAGAGACATCAGATAGCACAATAGTAAACAACTACAAGGTATGTCAATGATAGAAAGCGTACTATCTGTCGCCTATTGAAGCTATCTGTTCTTATCGTCCAAGTACTTTCTCTTCAACTTAGCAACGTTTGATTGAGGAGCGTACAATTTGCAATGATGCAGCGGTTGCACACACTATGTATTGTATAGTTCACAGCACCCTCGTGCCGCTACTTTAGGGGTCTTTTAAAAGCATATCAAATAATTAACATTTCCTGTCCGTCGTAGTAAGAAAGCATTAATTTTGCTTTGCTTGGAGTACATAAAAAAATAGTACACTTTTAAGCACGTCAGATATTCAAAGTTGTGTAGTCCTTTTAAGGCAGTATCTTTCCTCCTCTGTGAAGATTCCAAATTGCTATAAACAATTGCCGTCTACAATGGTCATGGTAGCAAATAAGCAATTCATTTGATCAGAAACTGCTTCTAATGCTTAAAGAACTTTTAATATGTAAACAAACTATGCAATAATTACAAGATAACATTTGGCTATGATATAATATTGTCAGCACATTAAAGTTACTACAACGTATACGAAATTTATAGACAATGCCCATTGAGCTACAACTGACATTTTTAATACTACTCAGATGCTCACTCGTCATTTGCATACGGTATCTTTTCAGCGTGAAAATGTACTCTTTATGGCATTAGTAAGGCTCTGTCCCTTAAACATCGAGCGCCTACTTCGTCCCATTCCTTTTGTCCTATCCACATATCTTTTGCTGAATCCAATTTGGCCATGACTGATGCCCCTTTCCAAACAAGCACCTCAGGATCTAATTCTCTTGGAGCGGGTAATACCTCGACAATAGTAATACCAGCTCTTTGAGCAGTAACAGTGGATAGAACACTAGATACACAATGGACTTGCCGTTAGAATTGGAAACTAAGTTGAATGGTTTCTGAGATGTAAAACTTACCGATCTTCAAGCACTTTGCTGAAATTTACAATCTTGCCACCTCCACCGACGAGTATAATGCTTTGGAAGTATCTTTTCATCTTTTCTTCGGAGCCATTTGCACCACTTTGAATTGATTGGGCAATTGCTACATCGATGGGATATGTATCATATTCACGGGTCTAAATGAAGAGAACATCAGTAACAGAAGTGAGGACACTGCAACATTCATTTTGTCACATTACATTATCCATATCATCCTTTGGAGCATCCTCTACTACTTCGTCTGTAACGTCCTTTTGTTCCCAAGCATATTCTTTTTTCTTCTTTTTTAGCACATTGGGATACATTAAACAAAGCGGTGCCAAGAACACCTCATCATAGACTTTGCATTGATATTTTAGAGTGGGTTTGAAGGGTGTACGTGCAAAGAAATCATACACCTGCACACTTATATCCGCTTCATTCATAGTGCACCATTTCTCCTTCAATGTCTCTGCTAGCTTCCAATCATACGAGGTGTTCAGATTCATAGCGGCATATGGAAATTTGTTTTCCATCAGAAAGTATGCAAACGTCTCAGTAATGTCGTCACCACCCATATTAATGGCTATTCGTGAATTCACTTGGCATACGCCTTCCTCAATACAGGTAATCTTTGTTGTTTGAGCGCCAATATCGACCACGACTGCACTAGATATGCCTGCACCATAAGTAGCACACACAGACTCTTGTTGAAGAATAACGCCTTTAAAATTCATATAGCGCAACATCATTGTAGTAAGATCACAAATATAACTGTGATCCAAAAGATCGGGTATCACTAAAACTGCATTGCAATTCTATGTAAGGAACAATAGATCGATGATGTTATGTCGACCTGCTTGCTTGAACTTGTCCATCCTTTGTTTGGCATCCTATGTCCTTACCTTAAAGTCACTTCTTTTTACTTCCAGTTCGTTTACAATTGTCTCTGTCCAAATCGCTTCTAAATCATTCAAAACTGCTTGTACGCTGTCATAATTTTGATTATTCAAAGTTCCATCTTTCCAAGGGTAAAATAAGCGCCAATTCGACCCCTTTTGTGAAATGGGCACCTTCAACGCTTTTTCTCCCACATAATAGTCCTCGGCTGCATTATTAATATCTGTCCATTCCACCTTATATGGATCATTATGATCGGGTATCATTTCTTTGTAAGCACTGGCGTTGAAGCCAATCACTTGTTGTTCAGCATTAGGTACGGCACGACGTTTGGCACTTTTCATACGCCATTTTAGTTCGCCTCTGATTTCTTGAAGTGCTATTTCGTATTCCTCTTTCTCATGTTGGTCTTTTTCTTCTGAATTATCAATATTTTTGCTACTGTTACTCATATTTGTGTCTTTATCGTTCTTATCGGTTTCTGTCGTATCGCTTACGGCAGACGAATTCACTTTAAGCTTTCGGGCAATAGCATGTGGTATAGAGACTGGAAAAGCTTCTGAAGCAAGTCCAATTCTCAAATTTCGTGAACCAGGATGAATAATAATTGTATCTCTCCACTCTTCTTCTGGCTAGAATGTAAATAAAATGTAAGAAGAGTGTTCATCTATCTCACACAGGATGTCCTTCGTGTTAAAACTGTATTTCAAATTATTCTTACATTTGGTGATATTTCTTCTGCGCCTGATTTATTTCCAGGTAAATAAGATTGCTCGCTCTTCGCAAAGGTACTCGTAATATTACGTGTCGGTAAAATGTTATACCCTTTCACTGGAAAGATGGTATATTTGAATGACGGTTGTGGATGTTGTGGTCGCTTTGCTGGTTCCTCCGCTGGTTGTGTCTGCGTTGGCCGTTGTTCCTGTTTCTCTAACTCTTCATTCTGATTATTGCTCGTTTTTCCTGCCTTTTTATCAGCGTCTCTCGAAACCATATTATCTGTTGCTGTGGTCATTCGGGATGCATTCTTTACTGAGGATGGGGAATCGTTACTACGGGCTGATGAAGTCGATGTAGCTGGAGTAGATGCGTTTGGAGATTTATTGTGTTGTACGTTTAGTCTTTGCTTCTTAAACAATTCTCTATCCGGCGAAGCGGGTCTTGGCTTTTTGTGTCCTTTTTTGGGCGATGCGCTGCTACTTGGCTGGCTCTCTTTCTTAGGAACATTGTTAGAAGTCGTCGATGAGGTTGAGAGAGGTGGAGACGGCGATGCTATCGCTTGTTCCATCCATGCATACTTTTTTTGTGAGAGGTTTTTGAGAAAGCTATTTGCTGTACGATTAGAAGAATTACCGTTATTATTGCTGTTATTACTAGGTGAGGTGTTAACGGTAGAATTATTTGTCATTATGGAACGATTGTTAAAAAGAAACGTGTCTTAAATTAGTCAAAAAACGAAGAAAATACAAAAAAAAAAAGCCAGATCGGCACTTAAAAAAAATTGAGAATGATTTGTTTTAAAACGACTTCCATAAACCGACAATCGGGGGGAAATGGCATTAAAAATGTTTGGATGGAAAACGAGCCTTATTGTAAACAGTCAGGAAGGATCATCCGTGCAAAACGAGATTTGCTTTATCAGACGAGTTATCTGCAGACAAGAAGCTTTATTTAACTGTTTGTTGAATACATCAATTAAAGCATCAGTCATACGAATTATATGCTTGAAATTGAAATGCTGTGGAAAGGTTGCTGCGCGCTTATTTGGAAATTTGGGCCCGTCCCTCTTTACATACCTCTTTTTTTGGCTCTTGTCTTCACCTTCTTTTTTTTTTTCATTCTTTCTCGCATTTGCGGTTTTATAGGTCGGCTTTTTGGATTGCTATTTGATATCTTACCTCTTTTCTCGACCAATTTTAAATGGAAATCAACTATATCTCAATTTATGACAATACGGCACAGGCAAAATTCTTATTCGTATCAGAGAGTGTGACGGAGGTATTAGGGTTCCGTCCACAGGAACTCATCGGTGAAGATGGCTACGATCTAACGCATCCAGACGAAAGAGATGCTCTCAGCCTCATTCACAGCGTTAATGTAAAATACGAACGCATGTCCACTATCACTTCTTATCGGTCGCGACATAAAGATGGACATTATGTGCAATTAGAAACAGTAGTCCATTATTGTTACGACGTCTTGATTTGCACCAACTTTGCCATAGTCTCTCCCGATTGTGTCAAACATAAAATGCGACAACATTCAGCCGATGAAGCATTCATCATACATCCTGACGGCACACTACAAATTGATGGTGTGGCATGGAATGATACTCAAGATCGTATAAAGAAAATTCTCATAGAAAAATACCCATGGGATACCACCAACAATAAAGTAACACACATTAAACAAGAACCACGATTCTGTTTGTTCATTAACCGATATACCATAAAATCCACCATCGTTTTTGCTACAGAGATGATCGAAAGCATGGTGGGTGGCAGCCAAGTCGATTGCATCGGTGAATCACTGTATAACTATATCGCGCCTAAAGATAGAGAGAATGTTATGAAACTAATTGAGGTGTCAAAGTCAACAGATATGATTAATAGAATCCGATTCGATTGGCTGAAATCTGACGGAACATCTGTGCCACTGGAAGCAGTGGTGAGTTGCACTTATGATGGCTTGGTCATGGTGGCTCGTGTTAGTACATCATTTATTACAATTAATACATCAACATAACCAGCGCGATCATGCAAGGTAATATGTTTATTACAGAAAACAAAAAAAGAAAAAAAGCAAAAAATAGTAAATAAAGCTGTTGATATCCTACAGTTGTACTGGATAAACCCACTTATCAACGCTTGGTTTAAAAACTTGATTCACTGTATGCCTTGTCAACTACACCGTTTTCAGTGTTTAAGAGCTCGTGAATTTTGCTACTCCAAATTCAGACGATGTTAGTTTTTTCTTTAACATGTCAAAAGTATTTTTCAGATTCTTAGCTTACATTTTGTGGATAAATTAAAAAATTCAGATTAGACAAAAAAACTTTAGTTGGAGACGAATAGTAATTTATGTTCAGACTTTCTACCTGTAATGATCTGCGACGTTCTCACCACTTACCAAATGATGCTCTACTAACCTTACTGCACCCCTACATCCAATCCATCCAGCAAATCAACCTATTTTCGTCTAAGCCGCTCTCCTATTTGGAACCGAGCTCAACAACAACAGTCTATTGATCATAAAGTCCTTAACGAATGCATTCGTGAGTTTCGAACAGAAACCCTACATGAACTGCAACAACCACACCAGAACTCAAAGCTACTCTCTGCGTGTCGGACATCCATCAGCTTAGACCCTATACTCTGGCTTCCGATGACTAGCGAAGAGCGTAACCGCTGCCTCCGATGGCGTCTCGGATGGCTACCTGGTGGTCATTCCAACTCCGGCCATTTGCCACATTCTTTATGGACTCGACCATTTGTTTTATGGATTGGATCAACCTCTACCAGACCCCTCTCTAGGCTACGCCCTATTACAATGGTTGAACCAGCCCTCATACACAACAACAACTGCTTAAATCCTTTTTTACCCTTGTTCCCGAAGAGGTTTTTAGAAATACATAGTCTATACTATAGAAACTTTAGGATCTGCCCGGGCAATTTTTGGTGCTCATTGGGTTTTTAATATTGTAATAAAAGATTTCTTTAAACGTACTGCAAAAAGCTACAGCAATGTTTACAAGTTGTGCTACAGGTTTTGAATTTCCGGTTGATTGTCATTGGGTAATATTCTCACGATGGCTGCTTTGAGAGAGCGCAAAAAAAAAAAAAAAAAAAAAAAAAACGAAGAGTGTCTTTTTTCTTTTTTCTAATCTTACATAAGAAATTGGCATAGAAATCACTGTGACACCAGACAGTAAACTATCTTGGTTTTTTACTTTTCCTCTATCCTTATTGTCACTACTCTTGGTATCGTGTATTAAACAATAATGTCCGTCTATCAGCATTCCAGGCGGACATTTGGTAGTAAAAGTGTCCTACCAACAGCACATGTTCGCCAAAACAATAATAGTAAACTCCTAGGTAATCTCATCAAATCTTTTGATCTTCATCCTTTTTCTTCATTTCACTTAAAATCATTATGATGCAACTTGTAAACCTATTTTTACTGTACCTTTGTCATTGAATCAACCCAAACTTCCGACATTAAACATCATTATCGTTTTTGGTCGACATCTTTCCTCAGCCCAGCCTATTCTATTTGGGTTAACTCGAAGACAACTATCACTCATCACTCTCGTTGTTCAAAATAGTACACTTGTTCTCATGATGCGGTACTCACGAGTAATTCAAAAACCTGGACAAACGATGTATATCGCCTCTACTGCTGTATTTTTAGCTGAAGTCCTCAAAATTATTGCCTGCCTTCTCGTAATGCGGTATCAGCAAGGCACCAACGAGCGGTTTTTGTATCTGATCAAGAAAGAAATCTTGGAACGACCTACAGAGACCTTAAAAATGTTGATCCCTTCAGGTTTATACGCTTTACAAAACAATCTGCTGTATGTAGCACTGAGTAATTTAGAAGCTGCAACATTTCAAGTCACTTACCAATTGAAAATCATGTCGACAGCTGTATTCAGTGTCGTTCTATTGGGGAAGAGTCTCAGTCGCGATAAATGGTTTGCGTTATGTTTGTTGATGATTGGTGTGACATTAGTACAATCACAAAGTATGACTACAGCATCAACTTCAACAACCTCTACAACAGCATCAGAAGCAGGAGCACTGGAAGCGGATGTTACAGGGACATCACCAACAACATCAGCTTCGACAGCAGTCATGATGGCTACCCAGAATCCATTTATTGGCTTTATTGCAGTGATGACCAGTTGTGTTTCATCTGGATTTGCTGGTTGTTATTTTGAAAAGATCTTGAAAACATCGGAAACGTCAATGTGGGTTCGTAACATCCAGTTAGCCATTTCAGGATCCTTCTTTTCTTTAATTGGAATGTTGATGTATGACATGCAAGCCATTCGAACGGGCGGGTTATTACAAGGATATAATTGGCTCACATGGATTGTGGTTGCCAACCAAGCGTTAGGAGGTTTACTAGTAGCTATTGTTGTTAAATATGCTGACAATATCTTGAAAGGCTTTGCAACTAGTCTCTCAATTATTGTATCAGGAATTATCAGCATATATCTGTTTAACTTTCAGCCGACGATAGTCTTCATCACCGGTGCATTTATTGTCATGGCATCCTCGTACCTGTATGGTTCGCAATTGAATATCTTCAGCAGCAGTCGAAAAGATCGAATCAAACCACTTTAAAAATATTTCATTTTTCTATTGTTTAATATTATAATATTAGTTTACTTAATTACAAAAACCTGTATATAAACCGTTAAGTTATTTCTTATATGAATAAAATTTTTTAGACTGTATATTTTTTTTTGATCTCTTTACTTTTTTTTTTTTTTTTTTTTTTTGGTAGCCAATAATGTACCTAATTCATGCGATAGTAAAGTCGGGTTGAAATTTTTCGCCTCGTATGCAATCTGCGAATCTCTTCTAAACCTTTTTTGAACAGTTTAGCTATTTGAAGCAAAATGAGTCATTGTCACGACGAGCATTGCGATCATGATCATGATGATCTGCCCGAATCCGGAGAACAATTTTTGCTATATTCAAAGATTGATTTAGATAACGTACGTTGTCTAAATGAAGCTGAACCTGAAAGCATCAAAAAAGTAATTCGTCCTTGGAATGAACGCTTTGACGACGGAAAGGTAGAAACCACCGCCTCTCATATACGTGTATTAAGGGAAAAGAATTTTTGAAAGAACATTTTTATGGTTTGTAGTATACAGAGAGTGATGCCGATGAACAATTGATCGTCTTTGTTCCGTAAGTTGCATTGCTGTTCCCTCTGATTACTGCCTTGTTTGAAACTAACAAATTGCTATACTGCATTTTTTAGTTTCACTGGAAGTGTCAAATTACGTTCCATCTGTTTACGTACAGATAGAACAGAGTCTGCCCCCTCTAAAATGAAAATGTAACCTAAGCAAAAATGAAAGGCTTGAGTGAGCTGTTTACTCATTGCTAGCACAAATTACTATTAGCTTTATCAACCATGATGCGATTGATTTCGATGCAGCCGAAAGTCAAAAACCTGTTCAGGAATTTGAGTTAGTACAAGGATCGAATGATGTTATTGAATATGGTGTTAAAATAGCAAAGTTCTCCAATGTCAAAAATATTACTTTATTCTTTCCTGAGAACTTTGGTGAGGACACAAGTATCATTCGATATCTAGCATTTAAAGGCGAATGGACAGAGGTAAGTTATTTGAATTAATGAACCGATTGGCAATAGATAAGGTTGCGAAATTAAAGGGTTCTTTATAGGTTAAGCGCGATCCGATCATAACTGGTAAAGTGAGACACCAAAGTGCCACAACGACAACCTAATTGTAATTATTGTTTACTTTTTTTTTTCTAGTTTATGAGGCAAATGCAAATCCAGCAGATCATAAAAAGGTTCCAGGTACAGAAAATCAAATGGGCCACTCAATTCAATAAAAATTTACATTTGGATAGCTTTATAAATGTTTATTCAATCAAAAAATAATCAAAGAAAGAAACTAAACAATTTGAATATGTATAAAATTGGGAGATAAGAGATATATGTATGATTAAACGAATAAATTCAGATATAATAAATATGATAAAGAACTAGTACATTACTCAAAGGAGTTTAGAATAAAGCATAACCTGCTGCTGTCGCTGTGAAGATGAAACCTAAGCTTGCTAAATTCCATGTAACTGAAGTGGCAGAATTCATCGTTTGAGCAGCTTGATGAGCATTCATACTGCCACTGATCATGGCTCCACTATTAGAAGCTGTAGGTGCAGGATTCATACTGTTGAGACTATTATTGGGAGGAGTAGTGGGTGTTATAGGTTGATTACTAGCAGCAGGACCAGAGGGTTGTGCGATAGGATTATCCAATGGAGAAGTAGGAACACCAGAAGGAGCAGCAGATGGAGCAGCAGATGGAGCAGCAGATGGAGCAGCAGATGGAGCAGCAGATGGAGCAGCAGATGGAGCAGCAGAAGGAGCAGCAGATGGAGCAGGAGCTGCAGTCATTGAGGGCATCATCGGATCGGAATTTGTTGAGTTGTTCGGAACGTTGGAAGCAGACTACACATAACCGCACGGGAAAGGATGCGTTAGATGATTCGGCAGATTGAAAAATCCTCAGACTCATAATACAAGTTTATAAACTTACGCAAGGCTCGGTCATACAGACGCAATATTGTTTTCCGATATCTAAATTATCACAATCCTATATCGTGGAAAGTTGATCGTTTACTTGATTAGTAAAAGTTGAACAGCTTAATAAACTTCCTTGCATTAGGTAAACTCGATTACATACATGTTTGGCGCTGTGATGAAGTCCAGGATTCTGTTATAACGAAAAGATGTAAGCGTGAGTCACCCGTCATCAATCCTAATTGTTGGTGCTTCTGACGTGATATTTACCATATTATAAAATTCCTTCTCGTTAATTCCATATCTTTCAGAGACTGCAACACATGTATCAGCCTCAACAACTATATATTCAATTGAGTAGCGTTACTAACTGTTTCTGCACCAAAAGCAATTTGTCATTTCTTGTACTTATATTTACCTGTATACGTTTGAAGACAACCTTCTGCAGGCTTCGCTAATGTACCGCACAAGGTTGAGAGAGCAATGGCAGAGTAGAGAATAAAAAACTTCATATTTGAATAGATATATATTTGACTGTCTGCTTTTTTGATATGTAGAATTTAGTTGAATAAGATTGATAGAAGAAAAGAGCAAACCTTCAAGGAGATTTGACAGTACCCTTATATACCCAAGTTTTGATGAAAAAGAACCTACCATTAACCCGCTTTAGTGGTCATAAATCGTCACGCACATAGTCAGTGAACATGCATATTACAATAATGCCTACCAATTACGGAGAACATCAGTTAGGTTGTGTATTTAGTATCGAAACGCAAAAAAAGAAAAAAAAAAAAAAAAGAAAAAAAAATTGCAGGGAGAGTAGAAGAAAACTGTCAAATAACAGCAGATAAGGAGTAATACAACAGTCTGCTGCCTTACGTTTAGAGCTACTTCTTTGCTATTTGACGAATATTAATGGAGGACTTCTTAACATTTTTTCATTGAGAAATTTTGAGGAGAAAATCATGTGAATGGATTAAATATCGGTTAGTTACTAAAATTAAAATCATTGTTGACTCGGAAACTCGGTATTTGTCTTCCATGAAAAGATCCTATTGTAGTTTCGCTCAAGCAGCTTGTTTAATACTACCTTCACGCGAGTGAATGGACCCTAAGACCCTGAAACCATAACTATAACAGTCTGACGAACATATTGGTTTACTCATGTCACTGAAACTGCAAGCTTGACTGGTTAAATACAAAAAGGCAGCTTAATATATCCTCCCTTACATTGATTGGAGAATTTAAGTTATCCTAGATCACAACGATATTCAGTGATAAGCATACGCTGCTGACTAGACAACAGTTTTCTTGATGTAATGGTCAGACTCTGATATAATGCTTACATTTGTGCGCAGCTCTCAGAAAAAAAAATATATAATAAAATAAAAGCTACTACAATTAATTGCAATCATCCTTGTCGATGAGGTCAGTTAGCCGAATTGCTTGAATTTTGCATACAGCACATACATACTATATAATCTGAGCTTTCAACCATCATGCCGACTTAGTGATAATTCCGGGGCAAATGGCTAAATATGATGTATTATCGACTCATTCACGGGTACAAATCTGACGTATAGTGCTATCGAACTCTGCTCATGAGTCTCATAGGCGTAACTTCGTCAAATTTCTCTCAAATGCAGAAAAATTCGAAGAGGACACTAACGTTTTCTGTATTCCAACTATATACTCTTTAACATTTCCCCCACTTTTTCTTCCATTTTTCATACATCCGAGAAGGTTTTCTCAATGCACATAATATCAACTTTGCATCAAACCAACGAGCCGCGGAGTAGGAAAAGAGATGACGACTTTGCTTCTACAGCTTCCAGCAGATGGTTATTAACATATGACATATCAATTCATATCCATTCAGAAATTCGAAGCGCATAAATCATGATAAAAAAATTACATACGGCACAAAATTATTACATAAAGTCTTAACATCATTTTAACACGTGTTTGCACCAATCTTTGATATTGGAGGGGATCAAAACGGTCTGTCTAAAAGAAGACGTAAACAGAATATTTAAAGAACGAGGGACAGCTCAGAAAGAGTTGAGAGTGAGAAAAGAGCCTGAAACCCGCTTTTAGTCTGGTTTTTTTTTTTTTTTTCCTTTTACATCTACGACGACAAAGTCGTTGTTTGACCCTCAATGAGGAGAAAAGGAAAATGTTTGAGTGAGGCACTTTTTACAACACGACGAAAATCGCATATAAAAAGAGTACGGCATTGTTTGTATTCGGATTCTGTAAATTTCAAAGAAACATAGAGTAAAAATATGGATGTTAAACCTTCTCTTACAACTCTACCATCAATAAAGCGTCTTTTAAGTGAAGCGCCAGGTATTGCAAAATTGAAATATACTTCCTTTCATTTTCACTTAAACTAAAAAATATAGCCTGAATTGTCTTGGCCATAGTGAGGGAAGCCCCTCAAATTGTAAAGGATGAAACGATTCAAAATATCTGGCAGGATACCCCTTATACAGAGCAAAAAAGACTCATGAGCCTCCGTACCCTTATTCACCCAATACCCCTTGAACCCTCCATTCCCGATTTTAACAACACTATTGCTGCAGCTGGTCTGGCAATGAAACACAACTATCATATGAGAACTCAATCCGATGTGACATCAAAAAGAATGTCTAGTAATAAGCGAAATAAGCACAATGCATTATATCAAAGTGACCAACACATGAGTCAGTTTTATCACAGAAGGTCCTTGTCCGAACAAACATTTGAATTCGTGCAAAAACAAAAACAACATCAACAGCAGCAGCAGATATATATTTCATCTGGACAAAGTCCTTTAACTTCAACCAGCGCAAATATTACCACTAAAAATATACCCTACTTTTACCACGAGGAAGTCGAGGAGACCGGAAGCGATTCAACCAGCTCGTCTAATAGCTCATCGACAAGTTCACCAATAATTCCATCATACTCAGATACGTGTAAACGTCTACCTGGTCAGCTTTCGAGCAAATACGTATGCCCTCAATGCAACAAAAGGTTCTCGAGGCCATCCTCATTGAAAACGCATACATATTCACACACGGGAGAAAAGCCGTACGTTTGTGGATTTCCTACCTGTAACAAAAAATTCAGCGTACAAAGCAATATGCGAAGACATATGAAAGTTCATCCGTCGATTACACATCACTAAAAAATATTGAATGCGATATATTCATTACATATACGTAGTTTTCAATCCATAAAACTATATACCACTGAGGTCTTTTATCACTCTAAGCCTTGCTATTTTTAGGCTTCATCTTTTCATAACAGGAATAAATCAACAAAAAAATTATTTGGCTGTTATTGGCCAAAATAACTTTATTACACAGATAAATGGTATGAGATCAGGTATATCGCGGTGAGATTTATATTTTACTTTGCATTCTTCTAAGGACCATTTTTTCGACTTCAATAAATAATATAAAGAAGATCACGCTAACTACAGTCATTGTCCAACATTCCCAACCGACAGGAACAAGTTGAAGCCAACTTGAGATACCTGTAGATCGAACGATGTAATGTAAGTTAAACAGCAGTTTGAGATACAATTTGAACAATTTGTAATACCTGGCGCGTAGACACCGAGGATCATCAAACTAAAGGATAGAAAGAATGCACCAATCATCCAGCGGTTACTGAGTATACCAGTTCTGATAATTGATTGGTGGACACTTTTCGCGTTAAATGAATGCATTAATTGCAAAGTCGTAAGTGTCGTAAATGTCTTTTCATTGTTGAATCAAACAGGATCGTTCGAACGGCAATCAGTTTTTTTTCTCTTAAGTTTGAAAAGAAAAAGAGACTTACCATTGATCTTGCTGATTGTAAGTCAACCTTCAAGACATACAAGCTGATAGTATAAGCTGCAATCGATAAAGCAGCAATGAGCATAGAGTTGATAAATATCACGAGCCAAGTAATTTTTGTTATGACATTCATTTGTGGATCCCGCGGTTTTCTTTTCATTAAATCCATTTCTTTCGATTCTACACCTAGAGCCATGGCAGGCGGAATATCGGCTATGAAGCACCATCAGAAGATTAAAATATATGTTAATCATCAGTAAAAGGTAGGTATAACATAAAGTCGGACTTTTGAAACCATCCTTTTAGCGTCGATTTTTAGATTCTAAACGGAAATAACCATACGCTATACTTTACCGATAATATTTGCCCACAAGATCATCATTACTGATAACGGCGCCTCAATATTTGCTATGGTGCAGATCAGCATTAAAAATATTTCAGCGCCGTTGCAGCTTAAAAGGTACACGATGAATTTTAGAATGTTATCGAAAACGTGTCTTCCTTCTTCTACTGCTTTGACAATGCTGGTGAAATTATCATCGACGAGTACAATATCAGCTGCTTGCTTAGTAATTTCGGTACCCGCTTTTCCCATCGCTACACCGACATTTGCTTGTTTGATAGCAGGTGCATCTAGAATAATCAGAGTGATAACGGAGTACAATGCTTTAGTCATGTTTCACCTTTGCAAAGAAAAAAAACAACAACCAGGGAACTCACCATTGACACCATCGCCAGTCATCGCTACTAATTCTCCTCTACTTTGAAGTGCTTTTACAATAGATAATTTGTTTTCAGGGCTGACACGTGCAAACACAGTAGGACATGGATTCAATTCCATTATAGCATCATCCGATAGCAGATCAAGTTCACGACCTAAAATTGCCCGGTTCTAGAATAGATAGAGGTGATTAAAAACAGGCTTTTGGTATCATTGTGCTGTTTGTGTGGGGCGGGGGGGGGTTGATCATAAAGATGGAAGGCAATTGGAAGGCAAATGTGTTCGTCTGGCTCTTAAGCAATATCATCGAAAATGAAGGTCTTATTAAATCTTACCTTTTTTGAATCGCTGCGTTGGAAGATGCCAAGCTGAGTTGCGATGGCTGTAGCTGTTTCAATATGGTCTCCTGTGATCATTATGACCTGGATTCCCGCCATTTGACAAATATCAACTGCTTCTTTCACGCCCTTTTTGGGCGGGTCGATCAAACCAATTAAGCCGACAAAAATTAGATTGGATTCAGCAAAAAATTGATCTTTTGATAAATCATTTTCATCTAACACTTCGTTTTTGTCGCTATTGTTGCTGTTATCGATAGAGCCATGAGTTCCTTCGTTAGCAAGATTATCAAAGGCACCTGGCGGAATTAGCTTGTAGGCTAAACCAAGAACACGTAAGCCTTGCGAAGCCATACGAGTATTCTCATCATAAACTTGGGCCACAAAATCATCGGTTAATTTAGCATAACAATCTGGAACCAACAGTGACTTTTCATCTGCATGAATTTGTTGAGTAGCTGATGAAGATGACAATGGATTTGTCATAAAATGTGTACATCTTCGTAAGAGTTCCTCTGGGGCGCCTTTGCAAACCATAACTACTTGAGAACAATTACTGTCCATGTCGGGCATCGCTGAAGTTGATGTAGTATTAATAGTATTCAAAGCAGCTTGGACACTCGTATCAGTCATTCTATAAACTGAGCTCATCAATTTACGTTCACTATCAAATGCGTGTTCAAAGATTTTTCGGCTATTTCGATTACGGATCCAATGCGAACGGCCCAGACCAGCCTTTTGAGAGGATACTAATAGGGCAATTTCAGTAGGATCGCCGATAGTCTTAATCTCACCAGTATTTTCATCCTGATGAATGGATGAATTATTGCAAAGGCTAGAAATCATCATAGCATAATAAAATTGCGAGCTATATGAGTCCGGACAAGTAGTATCGACTGTTTTCAATTTTAGAGCTGCGTAGTCGATCGGCTTATAACGATCTTTTCCTGTTGAGCAATTATCCTTATCAGTCGAGATTGTAGTAGTAGTGCGTCTGTTATGAACCATCCGTCGCCGCAAATCAGAATGTTCTAGGATTATTTGGCCGTCATTAGGATCGACCGAAGAAGGCTCCGTAAACTTGTATAAACAATTATCAGTAGTCCATAATTCAGAAGTACCCATTTTACCTTCAGTCAAGGTACCTGTCTATATTGTAAGCAATTATTAGCAACAATGGCAACAGCCCAAAACAATATTAGCATACCGATGTCATATTCAAGATTAAATAAGTCTTATGGATACCTTATCTGAACAGATCACAGTAACACTACCTAAAGATTCTACTGCAGGAAGAGTTCTGACAATGCACTTACTATATGAAGGAAAATCTATGTCAGATATATTGTATTGATAAGTGCAGACATGTAATAGACAAATTCTACTTTGCTGTCATTCGTCTCACTCCTATAGCCATTGTAACAGTGGTAACAGCTACCAAACCTTCGGGAATAACTGAGACTGCCAAACTGACAAATATTGAAGTCAGTGTATTAGAGCGTCACGTCTATGATAAAATGCTTTTATTCCTATCCTTACCTTAAACCTATATTAACCATTGTACGTGCGTCATGCTTCCAAATAATACCAATAACAACAACAAGAATACAAAGGAAAATTGCTATTGCCACCAAGTATATTCCCAACTTTTGAAGCTTTTTCTGAATGGGTGTCTTGCCTTTGTGCTGACTCCCACTCTGAATTGCTGCACTAATTTTACCAATCTAAAACAAGAAGAAATTAACACGAGGTATCTCTTTACTCCCAAGAAAAAAACCATACAATATTACTTCAGTTTTAGAACCTGTTCTAACTACAATTCCTCTTCCTCGACCCCGTGCAACAGTAGTCGACATAAATGCATTCCCTTTACAGTCAGCAAGAGGGATTCGGCGCGTCTGATCCATGAAAGAGTGTTCCTGATTAGAATATCAAAAAAGCTTCAACTATATAATATTATGAATGCGTACCTTTGCTTTTATAGCTTTTGTTGTTTTATGTACAGGAAGACTTTCACCTGTTAATACACTTTCGATGACGCCTAATTGAGATACATCGATCAATCTAACGTCTGCTGGAACTGCATCACCCTCCTCCAGAACGATTAGATCTCCTGGTACGAGCTCCGCAGATTCGATGAGCTTTTGTTGTCCATCACGAATCACTGCCGCGTTCGGAACGGACAGATTCATGAGTGCATTCAAGGTTTTACTTGCTTTCCATTCTTGAGTAAAACCGATAACTGTATTCAATACAACAACAATCAAAAGAACAATCATACTATCGAATTCTTTCTCTGCCGCCTCAACAACAGCCGCTGCAATTAAAATAAGGACAATAAAATCAGTCAGTTGTTGCCAAATCATTTTGAGTGCATTCTGCTTTGGAGGTTTTGGGAGCTGATTCCAACCATAATGCTCACGAAGAGCAGGAATAAGAGCATTGGGTAAACCATTGTCCTTGTCAGTTTGATGGAACATAGCCAGGAGTTTTTCTACAGATCGATCAAAATGAAGCGCTTGCGGTGGAGGAAGTACCAAAGCATTGACTAATTGCGGGGCTGTTGGCATCTTACTGGAACTATTTTGGTCTCCTAGTTTGATCTCTTCTGCAAGTGGAGAGTTTAACAAACGCTCCAGATCGTCTTGTTCACTTTCCTTGATCAAATCACGCCAATCTCCAAACTGGCTCGGAAAGAATCGCGCAAGTTGCATAACAATAGCTAATGCCCCACGCTTTTGTTTCATCGTTGATGAAGGCTGGCAACGATAATGAATCTTTAACTGTTGGCGCAAGTCAGATATATCCATTTCGCTGATAATTGAACGGAATTCTTCTACTTCCTCGAGAAAATCACCGAAAAGATAGAAGGCAGTATCAGCAGCATCCGTTGTCTTTTTCTTTAAGAAACTACCCTCTGTATGACCCATATTTAAGAAAAGTCCTTCGGATAGGCGTTTCATCAATTGCTTATCAAGTCGAGGTTGATAGCCGCCTTTAATTCTGAAGTCCATGAGGTAACGAAGTCCTTCTAAAATATCGTTAAGAGTCACTGATTTGTTGTCTTGAATATTGAACATATCATTGACTGCCATTGCAATGAGTTAATATGTTGCCATTAGGTAGCAAAAGCATTTATGTCACAAAACGTACCATAAACCTCAATCTGTTGCTCTATTGAGAGCTTGCCATCGTTGGTTGAAAATACATCTATAACAGCATGTTGATTTTCATCTGCTAGAGGTGCTTTCGGTTCCATAAATTTAGATAAACGTTTTGTTGAAAAAAATAAAAGAAAAGAAAGAAGAAGAAGAAGAAGCAACTTAAAGAGGGAAAGATTTAACTTTTTTCGATCTGAAAAATCCTGTATGAGAATCTCTGAGTACTTACCAAACTGATGCTGATATATGTCATGCTATACTATTTTAATCAAGATTCAATTGTACACTCTCGACTGAGCGTATTGATAGTAATTATGAAACTTTTTTGGATCAGTGCTTAGCTGTAACACAATTAACTTCTTGTTCGCATGAACAAATCAATCTGGAGACTACTCGTTCATGCATTTAAAAATGTTCACTTGAAAAAAAGTATTTACGGAAATATAAGGTACTGCATCTAGAGTAATGCTATAGGGATAATTTGTAATCTGTCTGTACATAATCATCCGCGAAAGAAAAGCTTGATTCAATCCGGACTTAAAACGTTCATTTGTAACACAATATTGCTGGCATTTTAGATTGCTATGAGTTCTTTTATTTACTGTACTTCTGAATTTCATTTTACTTTTCGAATAAAGGAAAACATCCATCTCTATCAGACAAATATTGTAGAATATCAACGTATCAACGGTAGCATTTATCTGATCTAGAAAGCTGACCATGTACATCGTAAAGGAGAGAAGTATCACATCTGTTGCATTGTCTAACCTATTGCTATTTTTATTATATTTTGTTTTTTGTTTAATGCATCGCATCCTTTTGTTCATTTTGCCCCGCATAAATCTGTCTTTGCTGCTGCGGATTTTCAAAAGCCATAATCAGTTGTAGAAAAAATGCGCCGTAGTTCGAATACTTGGATAATGCACCTTCCTCTGTTGCCTTTCTTTTTTTGATTAGATTATGAGTAAAAGGAGGTTTGATGGTAACGATAGCCGCGTGATGGTGCTTTTTTATAACAATGCTGTGATTATGTAAACTGAACGTTTTGAACAAGATACTGTTAGTGACGATGAGGACGATGTTCAATTAGATGCTGACCTTCAGTCAAAATTATATGGTGAATTACGATTGTTTGTTGTTTATGCTTGGCATCAAAGCCATAGTTCTAATAAAAATATATTGAATAATTTTCAGTACCCAAAAACGCAAACCTCGAAGTGAAAGCATTAAAACCAGCCAATGAAACCATCGATGAATCACTTAAGTCAGATTATCTTTCACACATTTTCGGTCGTGAAGATTATACCTACCTTCCATTGAAACAAGATCATGCTTCACGACCATTGTGGATCAGTCCCGAAGATGGTCATATTATTTTAGAGGGCTTCTCGCCTATTGCTGAACAAGCACAAGATTTTTTAGTGGCTATCAGTGAACCTGTCAGTCGGTAAATAACTATTTGGGTTATTATAGCGCAACGTTTTGCTTTTTGGAAAAAAAATTGTAGTCTCTGACATAGAATCTGTCTATTCATAACATGATAGTCCTGCGCACATTCACGAATATAAATTAACACCGTACTCATTATACGCCGCTGTATCTGTGGGTTTGGAAACCGAGGATATTATTGAAGTACTAAATCGTTTGAGCAAAGTGCCTGTTCCTGATTCCATCATTCAGTTTATTCGTCAATGTACTCTATCATACGGCAAAGTCAAGTTGGTGTTGAAACACAATCGATATTTTGTTGAATCTTCTCATCCAGAAACTCTGCAAATGCTTTTAAAGGATCCTGTCATTAGTGTAGGTCGAATTGTTAGAGATGAAAATGATCAAGTCATTAGTGCTCCTCCTGGGTCTGCGGCACTTTTGGTCAATCAGAAACCAACAGGAAAGGATTTGATGATTCCAGGAGTGAAGCCACCAGCAAAACCAAATGAAGGCGAGAACATAGACAAGCCAAAGGAACTCACTGCAGAAGAAATAGAACGTAAAAAGGAGGAGGAGAAATATTTTGGAGCCGTTGTCGGCATTGATAAAGAGGATGAAGAAGACGATATCGGCGGCGAACAGGTGCATGCATTCGAAATTGCTGCTGAACATGTGGAGAATATTAAGAAGAGATGTAATGATATTGATTATCCAATGTTGGAGGAATATGATTTCCGTAATGATACAGTAAATGCCAATCTTGAAATCGACTTGAAACCTACTACTACCATTCGTCCTTATCAAGAAAAGAGTTTGTCAAAGATGTTTGGTAATGGGTAAATAATCCTTTATACTTTTTCACTTTCTTTGGAAAAAAAAATACCTCAATAGATTTTTATATTAACCTTCGTTCTGTATAAATACTTGTAGACGCGCACGTTCCGGTATCATTGTGCTGCCTTGTGGTGCTGGTAAGACACTTGTTGGTATTACTGCTGCTTGTACAATCAAAAAGAGTTGTCTTGTCTTATGTACTTCATCGTATGTAATCAAAAGTATTTTGGTTTTACCCCTATAAACTAACATATTCTTATGTATCAACACTTAGTGTATCTGTTATGCAGTGGAAGCAGCAATTTCTGCAGTGGAGTAGTATTAAGGAAAACCAAGTTGCTGTGTTTACATCTGATTGCAAAGAAAAGTTTCTTGGCGCATCTGGTATTGTCATTTCAACATATTCAATGGTAGCCAACAAGCGTAAGCGTTCATATGACGCTCAAAAGATGATGGATTTTCTTGAATCAAGAGAGTGGGGCTTTTTGCTTTTAGATGAAGTGCACGTTGTGCCTGCCAATATGTTCCGTACTGTTGTTACTACTATTGCCGCTCACGCCAAATTAGGATTGACAGCTACTCTAGTTCGCGAAGATGAAAAGATTGATGATTTGAATTTCTTAATTGGTCCCAAACTTTATGAAGCTAATTGGATGGATCTAGCGAGCCGTGGACATATTGCTAATGTACAGTGTGCAGAAGTATGGTGTCCTATGACTCCCGAATTTTATAAGGAATATTTGTACGAAAATTCTCGAAAACGTGCACTACTTTATGTCATGAATCCAAAAAAGTTTCAAGCTTGTCAATACCTCATCGGTTATCATGAAAGACGAGGTGACAAAATCATTGTTTTCTCGGACAATGTTTACGCACTTATTGTAAGGAATTACCATTATTTCTTTCTATAGAAAGAGCTATTTTGTTCGTATTTGCTCATATTTACTTTGTTTAGGAATATGCGAAAAAATTGGGGAAACCGTACATTTACGGTGGTACTGGTCAGCAAGAAAGAATGCGTATTTTACAGAATTTCCAATATAACCCTCTCGTGAATACAATTTTCTTATCGAAAGTCGGTGATACCAGTATTGATTTACCGGAGGCTACCTGCCTGATTCAAATATCATCTCATTATGGTTCGAGACGTCAAGAGGCACAGAGACTTGGTCGTATTTTGAGAGCCAAAAGACGTAATGATGAAGGCTTCAATGCATTCTTCTACTCATTAGTGTCTCGTGACACTCAAGAAATGTACTACTCTACAAAGCGTCAACAATTCTTGATTGATCAAGGCTATGCTTTCAAAGTTATCACTAACCTCGAAGGGATGGAGAGTGATCCAAACCTTGTATTTAGAACCCATCAAGAACAGATGGATCTGTTGAAGGCTGTATTGCTAACGAACGATGTGAGTATTTCTTGTGTTCTCCATGATATTGCAATCGTTTAAATTAACAGAGTATTTCTGCTTCACTATTATTAGAACGACTTGAGAGATGAAGAGCTAGTAAATGTTGATGACGTTACTAAGATTACTGATAAAAAGATTGCTGCGAAAAACCGCGCTACAGGGCTCGTTAAAAGACAGACTACTACCTCCAAAACTTTGGCTGGTGGTGATAATATGGCTTATATCGAATATAATCGTAATGCAGAAGGACAGTTCACTGGTCGCAGTCGGAAAAATGCTGCTCCCGCTAAAGAACACCATGCTCTTTTCAAGAAATATATGGGTAGAAAATAGATATCATATTGTTCTTTACTTCACTATGTATGCAAAAATGCTGGATTTACGTTCCAGGCAATTTATTTTCTTTTATTTTTTTTTTTTATTTTTTGCACAATATCTCGCTTTTGTTTAGAAATTAATCTGCATATATAATGGTGATCTAGTGAACAAGTATTATAAAAGATATTGTCAAACAGTTTTATTTTGAATGGATGCTTTATTGCATCATTTTTGAACAACAAGGCTTTAGAATAAGATGAATTGTTAAAGGGGGCATATGAATTTCTAATTGTCTCTGCTAACTATTTATTATCAGATGTTGGTTTCGCTTTTTTTATACTTTTTTAATCCTTGTGTGTAGCTGTCTTTGTTATTAAAAGACTCATAAACCTTTTTGAGTTCCTTGCTGAGCATCACCTTATGTTGGTTGAAGAGTTCAGCAGTTTCTTTCCAGGTCGCGGGAAAAAGATCTGTTTTATCAGATTTTTTGCCAGTGATAAAATCAATGTAACTTTCCTAAACTGTTTAGATAAAGTGTTAAAGAATAATGCTACAACCAACTTATTATCATTGACTTCCGTAAGCTTGTCAAAGAGATAGGATAATCAATCAAAGTCACTAATTTCAGGTCCTGATGAATTATAAACTCTTAGGCCACTATCTTGGTATACACTTGTATATAACCTTTATTAAATGCAATATAGATACACCGTGGTAAATTTTATTCTCTACCTGAGTATATGTACTCGAGTATTGTAGTTGTTATCTCCTCGAACGCCTCACCAAAAACACATACCGATAAACGCGCACAATTTATAAATACCTATACTGAATGACGGTGGACCCTTGACGCATCTTCTTTGTCACACCAAATTGTGAAAGACTGGCCTTGCTTATTTGCTAGCCAGAGCAATTGTGTTCTCCAAAGAGAACATGCTGCCGAAAAAAATATCAAAAGATCTTTGCTTGTATTGCGTTGATTGTAATAACTTTCATCATTCGCCGTTGGCAGTTACGCGGCCATGACGCATGAAAAAAAAATAAAAATGAGTGAACGCCGCCTTGCCTAAGGTTATGACTATACAAATAGATCAGTTTCTCACCCCCTATACGAGTAATTAGTTTTGTTATCAAGCTCCTCCTCGTCTCCTTCCATTGTTGACTGTGACGCCTCTTCCTGGGTTTCTTCTATTGTCAACTGCAGCATCGAATCCACGGTTTCAATTCCAGTTTCTGCTGATGGAGTCTCTGTGTACTCGGGAGGCGCTTCTAAAATTACAGCACCAGAACATTCAATCCAGAAATCCATGTGTGAGAAGGAACTTTCCTTCCCTCCCCCAATCTATCAGTGTCCAGAAGTATGAACTATCTTTTCGTAAAATGTTCTGGTACTGCGGTTTTAGAACGACCTCCTCAATATAGGATAACGGATTACAGGCTGCGGCATCTTTGCCAATTCAAAACGGCGTTTGTTGTCTTGTGTCAGGGGCAAACACACCTTGGATATAGGTTAGGCGAAGGAGCAGTGTAGCATGTACAAACCCTTTCCGCGTCTTACCTCTTGCAATGACAATGAAAAGGAGCAAAAATATCTAACACATAGTTTAGATACATATTAGTAACAGAACGATGGCTGTATGTCAATAAAATGGCTAATGCAGCAATCTACTTCTGGTATGATCGACCGAAAAGGAAGTATTGCAAAACGCAGTAAAACGGGGATGTTTGGGATTATTTTTATGAAAACAATACAAAACAGTAATACACATTTCTCAAACAGCAACCGCTATATTGATGTCTACATCCAGGACTGTCGGGAAGTATTCTTTCCATGTTGTAGCTGAACGGACGAAACCAATTTATAGACGAATACATAGCACTAAGTATAAATTAAATGCCGTCGAGAAGTAGTAAAACTATAGCTTTTTATAGGCTACTAATATAATTAAAAGCAGTGCCTTGGTATAATATCATTCGATCGAAGGATACTATCTACCGATGTTATATGCTATGAAACATAAAAACCTAAGAATTTACTCATTCTTTATGCCGATATAGCTTATCGTATAGCTTGTGTGCGATGAATATCAAACCTATTAGAGTTGCTACACCTTGAAAGATTGCAAATATACAGATATAACACCTAATGAAAAAGGTGTCTGCATCCTACTGAAACTTATTTTTACTGGCTTGCCACATTCCAGAGTACGAGAACAGCTTAAAAGTTTGATATTTGGTAAGCTATCAATTTTATTTCTTCGAAAGCGCCGCTCTTCTACTATATGGAGAGAGAGATCGTTCCTTTATTGGAGAAGGTGAACGCAAAGGCGATCGGCTGCGGCTGTATGAATGGCGTCGTCGTTGTCTCTCTCGATCGGTTTGATGTGGACTGGGGGATCTGTTGTATCTATTTCGTTTACTATGATATCTATCATGTTTGCTACTATATCTGTCTTCCCTTGTACTATGACTAAAATGATGATGTCGTGAATCGTAGTCATCATATCTATCAGGATTTCTTTCCCTTCGATGGCCGTCACTGGTCTCCCTACTATGGCTTCTATCCCTTTCATGATGGCGATGATAGGATCTTCTCCTGCTATTACTGTCAGTTTTCCCATCAACGTCACTGTCATCACTATCTTTATGGTGACGATGACTACGGTGTTTTTTTGATTTCCTTTTTGCACTTTTGTCTTTATGATGCTTCTTTGATTTTCTATCTTTCTCTTTCTTTGAAGACTCCATATTTTCTTCGCTATTGGCTCTAAAAGAAGGTTGTTCTACTCTGTCTGCTGCATAGGAAGGGTGTTGATGATAGCTGTTGTCGCCAGAAGAGCGACTCATCACTTCCACATCTCCTGCCATTGCTTGTTGTGTCATAGGTACTCTTTTACCATAGCCAAGACCTTTTTCAGTCGTATCTACTCGTCGTTCATCATCATCGGATTCATCATCGTTTTTATTGAGAGCATGCTTTAAATCGTCCTCTGTTACATTACTTTCCAACTTTTTTTTCTTTCGCACACCACTAGTGTATGATGCTTGGGTTAATCAACGGTGCTTCATAAGGGATACTCGTGTTAGCAAACTTACAGTGCAATAGCCATTGCTTCAGCTTCAGCTTCTTTTATTTTGGCAATTTCCGATTTCTGTGCCTTTGTTTGAGTGTCGTCTTTTTTATCCTTTGCATACCAAGTAAGATCCTTGCCTAATTCCACCATTCATTCATAACGCATTATTTAGGTTTAAAGAAAAAAGAAAAAAAAAGCTCCTATATAACCTTTCAAACTTTTTCTTCATACCTTGCTGCCAACGACCCACTGGAGCCATAAGTGAGTGACCAAGATAATATTCTCGGTATTTATCATCTTTTACATCTTCCCATTTAAACTGAGTGAAGCCGAAAAGTAACGAGTAAGTGATCGAGCTTTTTTCCCTCATGTCGACTTTAATTAGAATAGTCGTTTTCTTTATACCTGATCTCTACCTCCACGGGTGCCTTTAAAATTCAGCGTAAAAAAAGATACGAATTAGCTACCCATGACCCAGCTGGGTACTCAAAGACTTGTGCAATCCACTTTACCTCCTCTCGTTGGGTGGAACATACTGTTACGATATTAAACAAATAAAAGAAAGGAAAACGGAGATAATTGAAAACAGAAAAGTGAAGATGGACTTGTACAAATTGAAAGGCAATGATCCCGCCAATCAAATCTATTTATTCTGGGTTTTGTCAATAATTCATGACGTTTTTAATAGCATCAAAACATCTTATCATACTAGGTATGTAGAATTTTTCATAAACCAGCGGGAAGGGTGTATCCCAACCACACACTCTTTGTATCGGCGCCTCCAAATTCAAAAAACAATGCTCCATTACTGTAGAAGCAATTTCTGCTCCTACACCGCCTGATTTGGGTGCTTCATGTGATATCACCAGTCTTCCTGTCTTCTTTACAGATTCAACAACTGTATCCACATCCCATGGTAAGATGGTGCGTAAGTCGATCAGTTCACAGCTAAGCCCGGGCATCTTTTTCTCTGCAAGCTGAATCGCGTTTTCCAAAGTATATATCTGGGATCCGTAGCCAACGATGGTTACATCCGTTCCCTTTTTTATAACCTCAGCTTTTCCTAAAGGAAGCTCGTAGTCTGCTACAGGCACTTCTTCCACAGCAGCACGGTAAAGTATTTTGGGTTCGAAAAAGATGACAGGATTGCGATCTCGAATAGAAGCTAATAAGAGGCCTTTTGCTTGAATCGGGCCTCGTGGTGTCACTAACTAAAGAAGAATGAAATCGGGGGCATCGTGAGAAAAATAAACAAAAAATGGGATGTTTGGGTAGGTTTGACAGAAACCATGATACCTTTAATCCGGGACAATGACTGAAGAAAGCTTCAGGGCTTTGTGAATGATAGAGAGCGCCATGACCCACTGCAGAGCAAGGTGTACGAATGGTTAATCCTCCAACGTTGAATAAGTTCCCTGATCTATATCTGTATTTAGCTGCTTCGTTGACGATCTACAGCGAACAGGGTCAGATAGGCTATGTACAATAAGGAAAAGCACATGTATAAACTGCCCATACCTGGTCAAAAGCTGGGAATATATAATCTGCAAATTGTATTTCGGCGATGGCAGTGTGTCCTACTGATGCCATACCTATTGCAAATCCTGCGATGCCTTGCTCTGTGAGAGGTGCATTGAATACGCGTTCTCGACCAAATTTCTCCGCCAAACCAGTCGTTGTTCTGAACACACCGCCAAAGGAGACATCCTCGCCAAAGACCACAGCTTTATCGTCCGTAGTCAAAGCAATGGACATGGCGTCATTGACAGCTTGGAATAAGTTCATCTTTTTCGTCTCACCTTAAAAGTTAGATACTTTACTTTTTAATATGCACACACGTTCCTACTTTTTAAAAATAGAAAATTGAATGAAAACCTATTTACTTACTGCTGAAAGTACTCAGTTGCGCTAGTTCAGGTGATCGAAAGACTTCTTCAGAATTCTTTTTGAGCAAAAATGAATGTGCTACACCTTGTTGGATACCATCATTTACAGAAGGAGTTGCAGCAGCATACGTTCTTTTCAACTATAAAATGGAGTAGAGTGTTCTTTGAGCAATCCGTAGTTCAATTTCCGATTGCCATCCTAGTTGTTTCATTCTTACAATCAATGGTAGTGCTTTACGTGTTGTATGTTTGAAGGAAAGCATGTGTTGTGTGCGAGTAAGGAACAGTAGGAAAAGAAAGGCAAAAGAAAAAAGTAAGGGAATAGAAGACTTTTTGGTTTAAAATGAGAGAGACAATGACAGGTTTTGATCGTGGGAACAAATTATCGCTACTGCTGATGCTGTTGCTGTTGCTGATGCTGCTACTGCTGCTGCTGCTGCTGTTGTATATGACGTTTCTACCCCAAAAAAAAAAAAAGATAAAATCATCCCAAAAGGACAAAGACCCTTTTTTCTTTTTTTTTTTTTTCTTTTTTATTTTACACTGTTAAATCGTTGAATTCAAGCTTATCCACAGATTTACAAACTAGTAAAACTGCTCCAAATTGAATGTCTTTTTCCCAAAACTGTTTTTCTGTATACGTTTTACGTCTTTGAGCATTCCTGGCCGCTTTCCATTTCTTATCGGTCATTTCAAAATTGGCAATCATGGCTGCTTCTTCTGTATTTAGTCTTCTTAATTGTTTATTAAGCGCTTCAGTAGAAATCGGTAACTGCTGGTGATCAGAATGAGTATTATTTTTATCTGTCATGGTATCTGTAGTATGCTTGGTAGTGGTGGTGGTGGTGGTGGTGTTGTTTTTGTGAATGTTCGGCTTATATACATGGTAAAATCGCCACATTTCAGGTGCCGATATACTTTTTCTATGGTGTGGTGAAGGGTCGCTTGTAGAGGCATCCAGCTGTTCTTTGTCTTTCACGCTCTTCTCCCTTTCTATCTCCTTTTTTCGTGCAGTCTGTAATCTTTTACTCTGCTTCTCATACCTCATCGACTCAAAGAGCGACAAAAGCGTCATGTTGGCTTCACATTTTGCCTTGGGTCCACCCGGGTTAAGATGTAACTGACTTAATTTAATATGTTTAAATCGATGCTCCGGCATACGTATCACTATAAACGATGTTTTACGTGCTTTTTCTTGCACACAGTTCGTGATCCACAACTCGTTTAGTTTTGAGCAATCGTGCGCCAAGTAATCGATTAATCGGTCGCCTAAATAGACATGCTTCATCTTTAAACTCTTGAGTGGATTGCTGCTGCCCTGTGGAGGAGGGTTGCCTGCTATGTCTATGCTACTATGACGGTCACTTATCGTTACCAACGCATTGGACAAGCTCACGTTTTGTAAAACTTTACAGTTATCTAATAAAAGGTCTAGTCGCAATCCATGCCGTAAGGGTATATCACACTCCAAATTCAATTCAGTAAGATTCTGACAGAATCTCAAACTTTTAAACAAATGTGTATCGGTTTTTTTGCCTGTCCATGAGAATTGGATGTGTGTTTTGGATAAAAGTCCAGTCACTGTCGTAGCTGTTTTAAATGAAGAAGCAGGGTCGATCGTAGCCCACCACGCTGCATCAATCATTTCAATAGCAACACACTTTTGACATGGATGTTGCTGGTAATGCACATGATCGCACTTGCGTAACTCTGAAATTTCATGAAAGAACGCATCATAAGCAAAGGGAAATACAGATGTATTCATCCTTCGAAAACGTACTGTTTTCAAATGAGTGCATAGTTGAGCAAATCCCATGAAGGCATCCATACACGTTTCATACACTTCCACTGTCACGTCGTCTTGATAAAACCAATCCAATGTCAAATGTAAATCGAGTACTTCGATGCGGTAGAATGCTAAACTGAGTAACGTGATCATTCGCCAATCTTTGACATGCACGTCCGACAAGGTGAGGGACAAAGTCGATGTGAATAACGGCAGCATGGTAATGGAGTTGATATCGTCGTCTTCTAAAGGAAGAGTCACGTTGACCAAGGTGAAATCCTTCAACGAATTGAGTTGTGCTCCGATCGACATGATTGTTTTTACATTGAGCTCACACGCACTGTTATTACCTGTGATGACGAGTTTCTCTACACGAGGCACGCGATGCCAAAAGGATGTTGTCAGATTCTCTTTGATCAAAAATTCGGTGACTTGACCGCTCAACGATAAATAAGTCAATTGAGATAGGAATGCCCTGTCTGCGCTCATGGATTTGGTGGTCAACATTGTACTGTTGCTTTGGTCTTGTTCCACGTCCTGTTGTTGAGTACTACAATAAAATAAAGGCTGAAAGATGGCTTTTCTATTGAGTTCTGGTAATTGCTGAAGAGATGAAAGCCGTGACAAGCCAACAGGGTAGCGCATATACTTCCATAGTTGTGGATCAAAATCCAATATGCGCAAGTTGTGAAAATAAGTCGCAAAGCTCTCTAATTCATGACGACTGAATCCTACTCGATGTTTCGTAGTTTTATTGTATGAAAACCGTAACTCTTTAACAAGCGTACCTAATGAATCGTCCATTTCTGAAGAAGCCTTAATGGTTTGATAAAATAAGCGAAATTGATGGCGAGAGTGGATTTCGACGGTGGTGTACAACAGATCTAAGAAAATGGAGTACCACTCATAACATACAAGAGCACACGCTGCTTGGTCGGCTTTACTTAGATAACCCCCCACATCTTTGAGCAATTCCGGTGAAAAGTACATTGTCGGGTTGTGATGGTTGTTGATGTGTCTTTCAGAAGGCGTGGATCGAGTGTAAGAGAGAAAGAGAGAGAAAAGAGGTTTGGTATATAGGAGGGTTTGAAACTCTTTTGTTATCTCTATGGAACTGTAGGACGAGTATCTAAAGAGTCGGAAGGGGATGAGGACTATACAGGTAAAGGGAGCGGGGTTGGGTGGTGGGTTAAAGAAAAGCTATGATACAAAAGTTGAATGGAGAAAAAAAAAAAAAGTTTTGTTACGCTCACCCTCCTTTCATGATAAGAGTCTAGCAAAATGAAAAAATTTTGACTCAGCTTTAAAAGTAGAGAGAATTAGCTACAGGGATTTATGCATTTGTTGGAACTGAGATATAGTACTGTATATGTTAAGCATTCCAATAACCCGTTCACTGAGACACCCTATGCAAATCAATACAAAGTTGAAAGGCTGCTATCTCAGTCATATAATCTCAATCTATGCATACAATTTCTATTCGTGTTTTTTACTCTACAAAAAGGATCCGCAATAGGATCATCCTACATAAAGTTATCATCAGAAAACTACACAAAATCTCTATTATCCACGGTTTTTCTGTGCCATCAATCGCCCTCCAATGGCTCCTCCAGTTGCTGCGCCATAAAAAACGATGCCTGCTCTGGCTAACAATTCAAACCCTAATTTCAAGGTTACTATACGTATATTGCTGTTGGCGGGTGCTTTCGCGAAAAACAATCTATGTCGAGTAGCTTGTGGAAAGGTTAATTTGCCCAAAAGACCTGCTGACAACAGTGAACATCCTAAGGCAAATACTGTAGATGTTGGGAGCTTTTCATTCGATTGCACTATGTAAATTATTGATGAAAGAGCCGATAAGTTGTCAATGCTTTCAGTACTGTTGTAGACATTCCGTACCCTCTGATTTATGTTGTATATCACCACCAGCTGTTGTTGTTGTTGTTGTTGTTGTTGTTGTTATACGAGGTAGACTTGGGGCGGCGTTGTTGCTATTGGCTGATTGTGTGATTCGATAGACACGATCGTCAACTGCATCAAACACTTTTGACCAGGTGAAATAACCAATAGGAGCACCTAAAAGAATAGGAAGGAATAAAGCCATTGTTTACAATAATTGATAAAGAAAAAGTGTAAAAAGAAGGCTTTTGGCATTTACCCCACAATTACGTAATTTGAAATTATTTTTAATTTTTTTTTTTTTGTTAGAAGCATGATAGAACTTTTTTATTGCCAATTAAGGTATCTACAAATTGCAAGAAAGACGTCAAATTCTTCAAATAAATAGAACTACAAGAAATTATATGTATGTAAATAGAGATACAGTGGAAATGATATCAAAAAGGGATATGTTATATGAATTGATGATGAACGGTAAAGAGCATGTAAAGAAGTATGAAAAACATTATGTCAATAACTGGATGGGGGGCGAGCTTCTTTAAGCTGCGGGTGCAGCAAAACCGCTAACCCAGTTCATTGAAGTTGTGTTTGACCAGCAACTATCTTCATTACCCACACGTTGGACTATATCAGAAGCAGAAGCATTTTCGAGGCAGTAACGTAATAGAAGTTGGCGAAGACGTTGGTAAGAGTTACTACAGCCAGCCTATACGTGAACAGATGGATACCAATGTCATGAATTGTGTTTATCCAGATAATAGCACTTTGAAAATAATAAATAACACTTACAGATGCCGCCCGCTCATACCAATGAATAGCTTCCTGTAAATCTATATCTGTGCCCAAGCCTCTTTCAAAACATAAGCCCAAATGATATTGAGCAGATACCTGTCCTTGATTGGCAGCACGAATGAATAACTGGAAAGCCATTTCGAGATTTTGTCGACATCCAAGACCAGCCTGAAGATGAACGCCTAGTTTATCTTGAGCACGAGCATGATTTTGCTGTGCTGCCTTACGATACCAATAAATCGCTTTGGCAGGGTTTTTAGCGATGCCAATACCGTTTGCATAGCAGAAACCAAGGTTACATTGTGCCCATGGATTCCCTTGTTTTGCTGCTTTCAAATACCAATAGACTGCAAAATTAGGGTCTTTCTTAATTCCAAGGCCCTCTTCATAGCAGAAGCCAAGAGAATTTTGCGCCAAAGGATTGCCTTGAAGAGCTGCTAAACGGAACCATTTCACAGCCTCGGCTTCGTTCTTCTGTACACCTAAACCGTTGCGGAAACAGAATCCCAGCGAGAGTTGAGCTGGTGCATGGTTATATTCAGCACTACGGAAGTACCAGTACACTGATTCACAAAGATCGACTTCGACACCTAAACCGTTCTGATAGCAGTAACCTAGGGAGTGATAGGCAAAGATGTTTCCTTGCTGTGCGGATTTCTTATACCATGCAACCGCCATTTCTAAATTCTTACTGACTCCGATTCCGTTCTGATAGCAAAAACCGAGGTTATGTTGCGCACGAGCATGTCCTTGACGAGCCGCTTGACCATACCAGTAAGCACCCTCCATCGCATCCTTTTCAGTGCCAATGCCATTCTGGTAGCAGTAGCCCAGATTGCACTGAGCCCACGGATAGCCTTGCTCGGCTGATCGTCTATACCACAGTACGGCCATCTGTTTGTCTTGAGGTACACCAATCCCATCTTCGTAACAGTAACCTAACGAATTCTGAGCAAATGCATTTCCCTTTTCAGCTGCCAGTCGATACCATCTCACCGCTTCGACAGGGTCTTTGGGACATCCGATGCCATCTTCGTAGCAATAGCCTATGTTATAAATAGCCACCGTCTCACCTTGCGCAGCTGCCAATCTGTACCAGGCCATGGCCGTCTTTTCACACTTTTTGTCCACTCCGAAGCCTTCACCGTAGCAATAACCGAGTATACCTTGTCCGCGAGCATTTCCTTGTTCAGCACTGAGCTTGTACCAATGGAAAGCTTGATGTTCGTCTTTCTCCACAGCAATGCCATCGTGGTAACAGACACCAAGGCAATACTGACTAGAAGAACAATGATCCACTTCGGCAGCCCGACGCATCCAGCACAGCGCAGCGGTAGGACCAATGCGACGTAATTTAGATTCCCAGTAATCAGCTTCCACACGGTCGATTTGCACACCAGGTCGACCGTATTTGCGTAAAAAGCCAAGTCGTGCCATAGCCATTAAAGTGGCCTCATGAAACTCAATCCCTTCCATTTCTTTGTCGTTATCGTCTTCATCGAGATCGCTGTCGTAGTGTTTAAAAAGGTCTGGACTCTCTTTTAAGGCCGTGCGAATGGATAATGTATAATATTTTTCGGCAGCTGGAAAATCAATTTCGACTCCTAACCCAAACTCGTAACAAAAGCCAAGCACTGCCTGAGAAGGCGAATGATGACGTTTATCAGCGGCTTCTTGAAGGCATAATACAGCAAATGGCTCATCTTTGGCATAATTGCTTCTTCCATACAAATAGTTCAAGGCTGTCGTGTAAAGCTCATGGCCCGTTGGGTGCCGACGACCTCGTTGCTTTCCAAGTTGCGAATAAGAACAGCTTTGTTGATGACTACTGTGCCGACACTTATGGAGCTTGAGCGAGAATAATGGATTACTACCGTTACTGTTGTGTTTATTGTCATGATTCGTTATTGTAGAAGTGGGTAGGGGTAAGGTGACTGTGCAATATTGCGACGGCTGTTGACTACTATCATCGGGAGGGAATGTTGAAGAACTGCTAGAAGAGGAGGAGGAGGAGGAAGACAAAGAAGCTCTAGTAGCATATTGGGTGGATGGTATCTTTTCATTGCTGTTGCTTTTACTGGGTTTGCTTCGTGCATTTTGATGTGAAAACTTTCGATTAATTTTGGTGAAGATTCGTCGTGAAGCTACTATAAAATGTGACATGTTAGTTGCTGCCATTGTCATCTCTTACACAGAACTGAACAAAGGGAGAGAAAAAGAGATGATGACTAAAGAAAGGAAGAGGAAGAAGAAGACTTCAATAAGAGAAAGGAGCGTAATAGAATGGAAGGTTGCAGTAAGAAAGACTAAGTGAAGAAAGAAAGATACTAACTTCAAAAAAAAAAAAAAGAAAAAAATATTTATAAGCACGAAAAGGCAATGAATAAACAGATTGGCATTTAACCCAAAAATCCCAAATGTGGGGTTTCATTAATCTTTTATCGTTCAATCCTTTCCTTTGCGCACTTGTTGGTTCTCTGCTTCATCTGATTCACTTATTCTCGCGTGTAATTTCTGCCACCATTCCACAGCATTAACATCGAATTCAATCTCCGACAACCATCCATGTGCAGTAGCACACGATCATGCAAACTTACAGCAAGTGTTGAAGCTATCCGTTATATTACAGCTTGCTCAAGCCAGTAGTTTCTTACAGCTCTTGATACAACATTTTTGTTTTGTCATAAGAGAATTTTCCTTTTTATTTACATATTCCTACTTATAAACCGTTCATTTCAACTTTTCCCTTTTTTTCCTTTTTTTTTTGTTGTTGTTTAGAAAGGCCCTTTGACTAAATTTGGAAAGGCAATTTTTCTATTTCCGCGGTTTTATGCTCTGCAGAGAAAAAAAAAAGGGGAAAAAGGGAGCACCAAAGGTCTGAGACCAACCGTGCGCACGAGCCTCCTTATTGTCGGATACGGACCGAAGACGGGTCAGTTGATAAAACTCGATTCTGTGTAATTGTAACAACCAGGCTACGTTTTACTATAACAGCAGAAAGTCTTGGAAAAGAAGAAGCTCAGTCTGTTGGTGGCATCCATGATGGCGTATTCTTCTAAAATGGAAAAGAGCCTATTACTCATTGAGCGGACTTCTTTTGAAGTGAGTATCATTTCAGATGGTCTAACGTCATCACATTTATCAGATTAGATTATGTGCTTTTTTTTTTTTGGTTTTTGGTCTTATAGAATAGATTTGCTTTACGAAGCGAATTGCTGCAATGAACCCACTTTCTTTATTCATCATCGGATTGCACTTCCATGACAAGCATTTATCCACGTTCCATTAATACTCTCTCCGCTGTCAATGACTCACAATTCAAAGACTTGTTATCAATATGGATATATCTTTCAGTTGGTCTAGTTCTGCTTAAATCTCTTAGACAGACAATAGGGAAATGTGACTTTTAGCCAACGTTGCTAAGCAATAAGATAATCATATAGTATTTGACAAGTGAATATACATGTCATTGAGGTTGAACATCCTTATAAAACCACACCTTCTTAATGCAATATTATTATATTCGGTTTTATTGGGTCTATACACTCATTACATGAATGAGAAATCTTAAAATGACTGACACTAATGCTGTTTACTACATAACATCTACTAATTGATGTTTTCGTCTAGCTAGTGCGATCAGCGTATCATACTCTCCACTAGTTTCACACATATTGTTGAAAATGGAGCCTGGGGTATTGAGGAGCTCTAAAGGATTTGCAAATTCAGCAATCTCTCCTTGATCCAGGACTAAAATCTTGTCATATTCTATCACTGTTCGGAGTCTGTGGGCGATACACAATATGGTACAGTCTGCAAACTCGCAAGCGATCGTCTTCTGAATTGCTTCATCCGTCTCAAAGTCTACACTAGCTGTTGCTTCGTCCATAAGAACAACACGACTTCTCTTTAATAGGGCTCGCGCCAAACAAATCAATTGTCTTTGGCCTTGCGAGAAGTTCAACCCGCCTTCACTCACAGGCGTTTCCAAGTCTGTAAAAACATTAGAGTTCAAGTCTTCGTATCCGTCACCTTCTTCTGGAACATCAACGTCTAGATCATCTGGTGGTAACAATTCAACCCGCCTCAAAGCTGCCTTTATACTTTCTTCATCAAACTCGTCAAATGGATCGAGATTCGACCGGAGCGTACCAGAAAACAGGACAGGGTCTATAAAAAAGATGTAAACAATCATCTTTCTTATGTACACCATAGGCTTGAAAAATGATAATTTCTGCTTAACTTACCTTGGGGTATAATGGTTAGACTACTACGAAGATCGCTTGTACCGATTTTACAAATATCAACTCCATCAATAAAAATTGTGCCCTCGGACGGCTCCACAAACCTAAAGAAAGAAAGGGCCAATGTAGATTTACCACTACCCGTTCTACCGACGATGCCAACTTTTTCCTTTGCTTTGATAGTAAAGCTTAAGCTTTTCAGCACTGGATCAAGCTCTGGTGCATAGCGAACCTCGAGCTCTTTTACTTCAATATGCCCCTCGGTTGGCCACTACAATGAATAAAATTCGCAAAGTTCTAGATAAGTATGACTGGCGGGACTCAACTACAGCAGTTGTCTTTCTTTACCTCTGAAGGAGGTCGAATACTGGTAATCGCAGGTGCTTCCTGCTCTATTTCCATAAACTCTGCTACTCTTTCAACAGCATTGAAACTCATTTCAAGCCTTGTATACCGCTTGATAGCCATTGTCATCTATGTTCCAGTTGTTAAATAAACAATTCATAAGTTTTGGAGATTTTCAAGTGCAGTAATTTTCATAATGTACCTGACTTGTGTATGATAGCACGAAACTCATACAGAAACCAGCGAGTGATGCGTCCATGTAACCAAGGCTTAGCAGAATAAAGATACCAGTACAAAAATTAACTGCAGCCCCAAGGAATGAGAAACGGACGCCCACCCAACGATTAGCCAACCAAACAAAATAAAAGGGTCGAGAATTCTCATCGATTTTTCTAAGCATTTCGTTCATGAATTGACGAGTAACTCCGTAAGCACGAATGGTAGCTACACCAACAATCGTTTCACCAAAATGAGTGAATAAGGGCGAGCGAGTAACTGAATCCATTCTTCTAAGTTCGCGTGAGGCAGTACTGAACCGTTTACCAATTGCTATATTCAAAATTGTCACAAGTATCATTGGTAAGATGAATACTGGAAGTACAAAGCAGACGGTCAATATAGCCGAGACAATCACCAACCATTGAATGAAGAAATACATTAAATCGTTGGGAACACCTGAGTCAACGAATTCAAAGTCTTTGGAGAAACGATTGAGTATACGGCCGATGGGTGTAACATCAAAGAAACGCATAGGTGCATGCAATATTCTCTTTAACAGGCGTAGATACAGCTTCCTACTTGCTCGTAAAGTGCCATAATATAAAGCGGCAAATCGACATGCCCCCACAAAAATATTAGTAGTTGTGATAAGTATATAAATAGATAGATACATGTCTAATTGACTCTTTCCATTCGCACTTCCAAATGCAAATAACTTGAAACTATTGCTACCAGTGTTGGCCACATCGAAAAGCGCTTCCGACGAAGGCTGTGAGTTGAGAATATTCAGCTGTTGATCCATAAGCATATACTGTGCTTTCGGTGTAGAAGCTATCGTACTATTGACAATGTCGTTTGCTTCATTAGAGTGAACCCATTTCTTTATCCACCAGCTTTCGGCAACATCCAGTCCTCTAGAACCGAAAACAAAAGCGAATACGACTGCCCAATAAAAAGGATTGCCTAAGGCTCGGAAATACCTCATGTACAAACTAAATTTCACGTGTCCCACCTCTCGACCTAGGATCAAAACAAAAAATAGACAATATTCAATATTCGGTAAGAAGACAGACGCCTTATCTCATGCACTTACTTTCTTCCTGGACAAGTGACTTGGGCGCAATGTTGCTGATTTTTGACAAATCTACCAAAGCGTCAATATCTTCAAGCGTATCAGTTTCATTTTCAACAGTTTCGTCATGCTTGTCGTCACCATGACTTGTTGTATCATCCAATATTGTCTCCAGAATCCCGTCTGCTTCAAGCTCTGTTGGAGAACCACTGAAATGGATATGACCATTATCAAGATGAATCACATAAGCGGCCCCTTGAATACACAATCCAACATGGTGGGTGATCAAAATACGAGTGCGACCCTGCATCAATGGTCCAATAACACATTTATTGTATAGATGTTTCGCAGTATGAGCTATATTTGATGTTACGAAATACGAATGAGTATGGGATTTTACTCACAGTTTGGATCGTGTGTTTAACTTTACCATCAACAGCACTCAGCACATCGTCCATGAAAACATTCCTTGCTCTCGAATACACAGCGCGCGCTAATGCTACACGAGCTTTCTGGCCTCCAGATAGAGTAATTCCTTTTTCGCCTACCTCGGTTGCGTCTCCATCTTCCAAATAGGCCAAGTCCTTATGCAATGCACAGGCGTAAAGCGTTTGTTTATAACGACTTTCTACAAATGGTAGTCCAAACAGAATATTATCACGAATACTGGCATTTCTTAACCAGGCTGTTTGTGACACGTAGGCTACTGCATGATCCAAAATCCAATCCTTCTGAGAAATCCTAGCCGTTGACGTAGAATCAAAGTCTGGCTCCAGAGTATCTGCAACTGGTGTTCTGGGGCAAAAGCTTTCCCCCTCCAATAATACAGTCTCGCCAAGTAAACTCAACATCATTAACGATTTACCTGAACCAGTTGCACCACAAATAATACTTAATTCGCCGTTTGGGAATCGAGCATTGAGATCATGTAGTATAAATGTATCGGCGTCTTCAAAATTACTGGAGTGAATAGTCGAGGATGAGGCAGTCAAAGGTGTAGCAGAAGTGGGAAGTGCCAACAAATTATTGTCGACGTTACTGCTGGGCGTTGGTTCTAATACGTCTTCCTCATCTTCATAGAAATGCGGTACATCTACCCATGAGACTGTTGCGTTTCTAAATCCTATATTTACACGGCAATTGGGATTGAGGTTTGTTGTAGGAGGTGAAATTTCCTTTTCTTCCAAATAGGACTCGATACGTCTTACACTATAATATACTTTATGAATGCACTGTACCATCCGTTACTCTAGAATATCGAAACCATTTACCTAATGAGAGCTTGCAATACGTCAACAACCGTTTCAGGTAAACTGTTTAAAGCCGATCTAAGCTCTGTGAAAACAGTAATGGCTGTAAAAGCAATGGGGGCTGTTAATACTTGACCTTGCAGTTTTGTGAAAGCAAAAAATGAAACAATAGTAACTAGCAAAGGTGTTCTATCAATTGAAGTTAATGAGCATTTGCAGGAAGTGATCATGTAAAGTTGTTCCTTTCTTAGGTAGGTTACCCTTGCCACAAAAAGTTGAAAAGTACTTCGGTTTGAAAGGTGGTACGTAAATGCTTCATTTCCTCGTCTCTTGCCTTAAGCACACGCTTCTCCCATTCAGCTTCCCAGGCAAAAAATTTGATCTGACGAATGCCTTGCAATACTTCGTTCATTAATGATACACGCTTATCTCTAGCTTCCATCAATTTTTCTTGAGTTTTAGCAAACAAAACTGAATTGAAGTGGTTCAGCGGAAGTGTGATAATCATTACTGACAAGCCCAATAGACAAGAGGATCCGAGTAATGAATATAAGAATGAAATGCCAACGGACAATTCAATAGGTGCTTCAATAATGACAAACCATGATGTGGTGAAATCAGATATACGCTGTGAATCTGTACTCATAAGATTGACGATGGTACCAAGTGAATTATGGCTGTCCTCATGTGCTGTCTCAGTTTTGTCTATACTTTTGTTATCGTCTTTCGCAGCATTTACATCTGTTCTTTCTTCTTCTTCATCTTCTTCGTCCTTGTCTCTGTTCATCGCCAAGACGCCTAGTCTTCGAAGTGTTTTGCGGTAAAGTTCAATATTTAGCATAGCCTTGATGCGAATACGCAAAGATGAAGAGCCTAAAATAACGCAAAGATCCTAAGTTCCTTTTTCCTAATTTGAGTTGGCACAGTCTTAAGTTTATTACCCCAATAATATAATTGACCGACAACAAGACTCAATATCATCAATGACAATGCTAGACCAGAGACGTACACAAGACCTTCCATAAGGTAGTATTCATCTTGTTTCCCGGTATCAATGTCTTGTATGAGGGATAAAAATTTGTTTAAAAAAAATGCTGGTGCATAATACAAAGCGGCTGAGATTGCTGTTGTTATAGATTGTAATATAATGGCTGTTGAATTAGCATGGAGAAGACGGTAAATAAGCGGTCTATCACGTTCTGCGCCGAACATATAGAAAAGATTGTAGCCTCTATAAACTGGTGGCAAGCTAGGTAGATGTATCTCTTTTGGATTTTTGTAGACAGCATTCACAACGGATGTTCCCCAGCTGAAATACAAAAAACTAAAAATAGATGCGACCGTAGCTTCTGCTACTACTACTGGTTCGTCTATCTTCTCTCCATCGTTGTCCCCATAAATATCCAAATAAGGTGGTCCTTGTTCAGCAGAACCAGTGGTATAAAAGAGATCGGCAGAGAACAGTATGTCCAAAATTAATGGTAAGCCTTGCGCCAAGGTAAGTTGACTGTCGTAATGGAGCTTTAGACCTTCCCAAAGTGAATAAAGTGCCGTAATAAGTGATATTGTATAAAAGGCGAATAAATGAATGTTGAGTATAAATCCCCATTTATTAGGTAATTTATATCGTTTTGATATAAATGCTAGGGTGAGTGCGTATAACCATGCTATGCATATCAATGATTTGGATATAACGTCGTATACTGTGACAGTATCTGGATTTTGTTTTGTTTCAGAGATGCGAATAACAGTAACATACAAATTGTAAAAAGCCAAAGCTGTCATAAATAATGTCTCAAAAGATATTCTTACTAAGCGATTGACATCAGAGAAGGGAACGGTATAGTCGCGTACATAATCAAATTTTAGTGGAGATGCATCTTGCGCTTGCTGCTCTTTGTCGTGCTGTAAACGACGTTGAACTGTCAATGCGACTGAGCTAATACAAGCTATCCCGGCTAGGCCTCCTGCTGACCATACTGATGCAGGTAGTTGCTGGTCCATTTAACTTGCTTCTTGTCAATCAAGATTGCTGTAAAGAAGTGAACGCTGTCAATTCACAAATGATGAAAATGTAGAAATTTGTGTGATACAAAGAAATAAAAGAAAGCTGCATTGCATCCTGGATAGAAAAGTAGCTATGCTGCTGCTGCTGGCTACAAATTCAAGCCGCGAAATGAAACTTACTGAAAAATGAAACCCACCTTTGCACTGTACATTCTTTTTTCTATTAAAAAAAAATTATTGTGTAATGTTTGTAAAATACAATAAACTAGCGTGTAGTTTGATAGGTACTTTTTTTGCAGTTCTAAGCTCAATCTTGGCTTTTGTTCCTAAGTCTGAAAATCTCGTACTGTGATCGGTAAAGAGAGTGCTATATCGTCATTTGTCCGTATAATGTTTGTTTGCATAGGCATAGAGATGCTTGAGTCCTAATGGTAGATAAACTCGCAAGCTTTTCTAATTAACTACTGTAGTCGACGAACATTTACCGTGATATACAATGCTGTTGACAGTTATTTGAAACAAAAATTCTACGAAAAAAGTGGTATGATTTTAATTGTATGTTCGAAAAGGACAGTCAATCTATACAATCATTGCAATGATAAGCGATGGTATACTTGAAAACCAGAGAAAGAACTGAAAGCTATTCTTACATTTGCGAGTGTAGTAAGCAACTCAATAGACCAGTAGAGGCATTTTAGCAACAATACGGAGGCACAAATGTTCAGGAGCTCCGTAGCAGTTTCTTAAAAGAATGTGTATATCATTTATACATCACTTTCAGAGAGCGTACAATGTTCTATATCTCCATTACATAGTCGACTTAATGGTACCATCCGGCTTTAAAAGATTAGGGTCAAGATTTGAAAAGAGAGCATTGTAATGCCGCTTGTTAATCTAAGTTAATAATAAAGGCAAGACGCAATAGAGCACACCAAACTTTCATTCATGAACAATATGGCAAATTGAAACGGTAACTATCACAGCTTATTTTGACTAATTTTCTCATTGTTTGAATACGAAAACTTCCTGCTGAACCGCTTCAATGAGACTGATTGAGCAGTACATATTTCAAAGATAATCAGCAAAGAATTAGTGCTCACTTACATTAGACTTTTATGGCTTAATTGTCCCACATTACGGAGACGATAGCATTAATAAGCTTGCAGATATTTCGCATCAAAATAGAGGGCCAAAGTTTACATTTAATGGATTAAGGAGTATATTTAAAGCGTTGTACTCGGTTTGATTTGAAAAAAACGCGAGTAAAATTTCTGAATGATGGTCAAGTTGTTTCGAAGAGGAACAGCATCAAGAGGTGCATATCTGCAGCTCATCAGGATTGTGCAACAAATTATTCAACTTACTTAAGAATCGCAATAGTTCAATTTTCTGCTTTTCGTAACCGACTGTAGATTAATCTTGGTATTGGTCTGAACAAGCATAGATCTCCAATAATTGCGAAACTGATAAGACGGGATAGAAGATTTGCGAAAGACTGAATCTACTCATGGAGATAGGCGCATTAAATTCTTCGAATTGAAAAGCGTTTAAAATGCTGCAGTGTCAAGTGAAGGATTCTTATACAAAGGAAAGCTAGTAATCGAAAGAGATGTGCTTCGTCCATTTGGCTGAGAAATTCCTGAATACCTTCAGTTCCTAAACTTTTATATAAAAAAGGCAAAAAAAAAACCAAAAAAAAGAAAGAGGACAGATGTGTGCTTGTTGAGTCAACATTCAAAACTCACTGCTAATTTCGCAACGCAGAAGCTACCTGCAGACAGTTAGCACTGCAAGATTTAGTAGAAACTCTTCCGAATCCATCAGTTGAAATAAGTGTGAGAAGATAAGCAACTTATGCCAAGCATAAACAAAAAATGAAGATTTCTAATACGTTAATACTTTTTGTTAGTTTTATTTGTATCTGCGGCGTTCCATTACGGTGTCTATTGCTTGAATCAATGAAAGCATTACCAATACAATGTTATTCAGTTATCGATTGCTGTTAGCGGAGAGCTGCATGCCTTCTTTGGAAAAGTCTTGCTTCCATATAAACTCTTCGGCAAAAACATCGTCTCCAACTGGACAATTCTGCTTACAGGAAAAGATATACAACGATCCCCAATCCAACGAATCAAGCGCCACATGATCAATACCAATATAATTTAACAACGTGGATAGAATTTGAAATTCAAAGGTCCTGGGTCCATGACAGCGATCGCAATTGGGTATAGTCGCTGGTTTTTGATGTGCTTGAACCCATAAGGGTTCTAATGCTGGCATATCATATTCAACGCGTTCATAACGAAGAACTTGGTCTGGATTAGCTTCTATCTTCAGCTGAAAATTCAAAAAGGCTTCATCTACAGCCTGTGTGTCTTCTTCTGCTTCGTCTCCTGCCAGCACTAAGGCTTTAGAATCAGAACTCTTTTCTTCAGGATTGTTGGCTTTGAAGAACTCGGCTTGTTTCTCCTCCTCTTCTTCATCTTTGTCTTTTCCTTCAGGCTCGCTAACAATTTCTTTTTCTGTGAATATTCTTAGCGATCGTAAATGATTTACTGTCTTCTGTTCTGTTTCGGTTAATGTTGGCTTTTGACAAAATTGCTTATGTTGACACAAATTCCAATCGACCATCTGATGCTCTTTACAGCAGTAAGCTGCATTGCCACATTGGCCGCACAGTTTTGCGCCTCCTAACCCACATATACTGCATTGAATTGGAGGTTTGAATGACTTTGGCGTGAAAGATTCCAACACTTTTTCATCGGCAATGCTTTCGTCATCGTCATCCGCGTTTGGTGTTGCTGGATAATAAGGGTTTTCACGGGGAAGTTGCGATCGGTAAACTTTAAAACTATTGACCGTTTTTAATGAATTGACAATTTCTAAACCAAGAACCAAACGAGAGCGATGTTTTACCTGTTCTTCCAATCTTGCTTGACACAGGAACCATTTCTACAACAGTAGACGTAAACTGTTCTGTGGAATGCTTCTTCTGGTTCATCCTCAGGTGTATATAACTACTTTTGAGACGTTCAATGTTAATACTAGACGATTGTGTAGGTAATCTAACTGAGCGATCTAACCTGTAACAATAAACTCATAGGTTGACTGCAATTACCGCAAGTTACGTCCTTAACAGTAAGGAATTTTTCAGGGTTGAGCCAAGCCTAAAGACAAAACATGAATATACAATGTGCAGTTTTTTCGTTGGGCTTATAGTCTATGCTTTACCGGCTTGCCACCCGATTTGCTTGGAAAAGTATCGGCTGTCAAAGGGCTTTCAGGATCTTCCACGTAGCCAAGTTGAGCAGTATATTCCTTGGAAATTTGAGATTGACTCAACTCAGGGTTGAGGTCAGATACATCGCTATTACTATCAGCTCTTTTGGACATACTTCAATTAAAAAAGAGAATAGGTATTGAAGAATAAAAAAAAAGTTAAATTAATTGGAGGTAAATTTTGGGTGGCTTTTTATGTAATCGTAAGTAGCAACCCATTGCTTGCATTTTTATTAAGGTCATTCCCAACGCCAAAGGGCTGTGGTTTTTTCTAAAAATCTCTAAGCTGCAGAATGTAAACCGTACTGCATACAACTGGTACAAGAAGGTGTCAAGCGATTATAAGGAACCAAACTAACAGACACTCTAGTCAGCAAAAAAAAAGAGAAGAAGAAAGTTGGTCGCCCTAAGATTTGCACGATGAACATGAACAATTTTTATTGCAAAAGCACGGTGAAGGCTCTTGAGCTATAGTCAAAGAAGTAGTAGAGAGTCTCCTTACACAGTTTATTTGAGTTTTTTATTGTGAGCAACGTTTTACATACTGATTCAAAAGACGCTTGGTACAAATGAACTCTGATGCAAGAGCAGGTACTTTGATACATGTGATAGTGTTCTTAATTTGAACTTGTCCATTGAAGATCCTAAAAATGGGGTAATTGACCCATACCTGTGAATATATCCAGCAACAACCAACAATTCGTATTGACCAGCAAATATTGAGATTTGCATAAAGTGTTTTTCTGTGTATGTTTTGCGAGATACCTTAGCTGTGGCTACTCGGTCAATTCTGCTCATGGAATGGGCACAATCGTCATAAAACCTGTGATTATGGTAGAACACATCAAAGCTGCTGATTAATAATGAGAATCCATTAAGATTAATGATACAATTGAGGAATTGCTGGATTTGAGAAAATGCTTCATCAAAACCACAGTAAAGAATCTTGAAACATTTATAGTATCTGTGTACGTAATGACATGGCTGATGGTAGCGAAGGGTTTTCAACATAGCTGTTTGCGATTGACGGGCCTCAATTTGACATATGTAGGTGCTCTAATAGAAACTTCTGGCTTAATCTGCGTATTGTCTGAGGAGAAATATCATACCCTTGAGCACGTAGGCTTCGGGCAGCCTCTACAGCTGTCAGAAAATGCCCAGTGTAGGAATATCTCATTATTTTCCTACCGAGCAATTTGCTGATTTTAGATGGTCTACCACCTTTGTTGTCAGAAGCCGATTGATGATCTTTAGCAATGCGGTCGACTGTTCTGGTTGAGACTCCAAAAGATTTGGCAATACATCTGTTGGACTCAGTACCATTAAGTCTAGGAAGAATATCCATCATTTTATCATAAGGAATCAAACTCACCGCTTGAATTAAAGGTAATCAGTTGTAAATGTGAAGTACTGACTATGAGGTTGGAGCAGATGTCTAAGTTGTACGAAACAAAAACGGATAAATGCATTTAAAGCATTAAATGAATGGTACGAATATTAATTGACACTCAAAAATCCCTTCGCTTTTCCACAGGCAAGTGATCTTTCGACATCACCCATTTTATGCGTGATGTCCAAAATTCGCCCATCGGCCAAATTTTCTAATTGATGGGAGATCGTTTCATGCAAATGCCCAAAGTATATATGAAATAAGAGCTTGAAGGCTCCTCATTCTATTACTCGTTTTCATTTTGTATGCTTACTAAGGAAAATTGATGGTAGACTTGCGATTTATAGAAAATTTGAAAGCATTGTCGCAGTTTTGTGAGTCATTGAACCAAAAAAAATCTTACATTTTGCGTTCTTTTCAAACCTTCATGGTCTAAACTGTGTTGAAATAAATGAAACTTATGAATTCGGACTTTCATACTTTTTTTTTTTTGTATTTAATTCACGTACTTTATTAAAAGCGACTATACGGACAATAAATTATATTTTGATAAGTGGCAATAAAAGAAGTGAAGAAAAGGCATACATAAAAACTACGACAAAGAAACCATTAAATATACTACGAGCTCGTATTGAGTGTTCTGAATCGAACCTCGTCTTGGTAGACGGTACGAACTCCTGCTAGGGACCAAGAGATGCAATCAAAATGGCAGCGCCAATGATATTTCCAGATACTTAAAAGTATCAAACTAACCTGAACGATTGTGTGGTCAGGCAGAGGAGAATTATCTAACGGGGAACAAAGTGTTAACAATATATGCCAAATGCCAGTAGGTGTGGCAGGAAAAGAGATAATTCTATTTTCCTCCAGTGCCGTGATCCAAAATTGCCATTTAGGTGGACAACCAACGAAAAAATGAAAACCATCCTCAGGGGAGTCTCTGCAATGGCGGCAAAGAGGGGAGTCAGCTATGACAGGATTGATGGAAAACAGCCAAGCTCTGTACCCAATGCAATTATGCCATAAACGCCACCATGGAGTTAGCACTGCATGAGGGATTGAGAGTGACCAGAACCGTTTCCATTGAGCCGGAGGCCGATACCATAAAGGAAACACTTGAGGAATCCGAGGAGGGTCACTAAAAACGGAATAATCAGGATGCCAGTATAGCCGTAGCATACCAAGCGAAAGCTTTAAAATGGTGGTATTGTTCTGAGAACCAGAAGGTACACGCCACTGGGACATATCAGGCAACCATAAGGTGCTGTAAGATACATTAGGCCATCGTGAAGTGGGCGTAGGAGCAGCAGCCGTAGGAGGGGCCCGGACATCAATCAATCGGTTTTGAATAAAAGGAAGCCATTGTATTACACCTTGGGAAAGCAAACTAGGTATCCTTTTCAGTTTCGGATAGTCCTGAAAATACGTATACCCTAGCGTGTAGAAGCAGTTAGTTATCGAAGACCAAAGGAGAACAGTAGAGACGATTAAATGCCGTGGGTGGCTATTGAGATCCACGGGTAAGGGGCCTACAAACGAAGGGGAACGCTGTAAGGCACTACGAAGGGGCAAATCAGCAATCCAGCGGCCATGCCATGAGGAGGAAAGAGATGATGAAGGAAGTTTCATCAGCAGAGAACATAGGTGGAGCATATTCGGAAGGAAGCGAAATGATGAACGATAAGTGGCAGTCGATAAAATCCATGGTAGTAAGGACAACTGACCGGTGTACACTTGGATACAATGTGCCAGTAATGGGGAGACAAAATCGGTTGATGAAGGGGGCTGTAGAAGGCGCTCAACATACACAAGATGAAGAGCTAATTGTTGTCGGTGCAGATCCACTAAGCCTAGACCACCAAAACGTTTAGGTGAGCACAAGCGCTCCCACGATGGAGCAGGCCAGAAAGGAACCACAAAAGACCGGACAATGCTACGAAGCTTATCAAGCCAGTCCACCGGAACAACTACAACACGCAGGAGATGCCATAACTTACTAAGTATCAAGGAATTAGCAACTAGTGAGGCACCTCGGACAGACAATCCCCGTTGTTTCAGGAGGTTACAGTGACGGACTATTTTCAGTTCAAGGGAAGCTAGATAGTGTTTTAGTTGAGCATTGGTTGAGAAAAGAGGATAGCCAAGATATTTGGCAGCAGATGGACTTTCAGCTGTATGAAAGGTTACAGACTCCTGATTAGCAATATGGAGCCATGCCGTATGCGGATGACCAGAGAGGGAAACAATTTCTGTTTTTGTCAAATTGACACGGGCATTACTAGCGTTACCATAAACTGTAAGGAGGTCTTTCAAGACACGCCATTCCGTAGGTATGGTCAAGAAAACCTCTAAATCATCTGCATAGCTCAATAATTTGAAACGAGGGGTGTCTTGCCAGTCAAACAAAGGCTGTGGTTCAAAACGGACACTCAGACTGCGAGCTAGAAGTTGTCCATATCGACTAGAGGAGGCGGAGGTTGAGAGCAGTGAAACGCAGAGCTCGACAAAATGGTACGTAGTAAGGGTTCGAAAGCTAAATTGAACAACAGTGGTGATAAGGGGTCTCCCTGCCGAAGGCCACGTTGTTGGCGAACGGGAGCACTTAACCATCCATTGATGTGAAGGGATATTTCTGTGTCAAGAAATAGGCTAGATAAACAAGATACGAGGGAAGCAGGAAAGCCGAAATGCTTCATAACCATCTGAAGGTAGGTAGGATGTACTCGGTCATATGCTTTTTCTTGATCAAGGAGGACAGCAACAGCAGGGTAAGACATACCACAATGGCTATAATGTGACATTAGTATTTGGTTAACCCACCCATTATCCGAGATTAGTCGGTGCGGTAAAAGGCCAGTCTGATAGCGATTAATCAGCTGTGGTAAAACGACATTGAACCTATTAGCTAATAGTTTTGTGAAAATCTTCGCATCAGTGTTGATCATCGATAGAGGCCGCCAGTTCTGTAAGAGTTCAGGATCTCCCTTTTTGTACAGTAAGACCATCCGAGTTTGTTTCCAGGTGGCTGGGAAAATATTTTCAAAGGCGTCAGCATACACTTGAAGGAAGAGTTGCTTAAAGCTCGGAATGTTCCAGGAAAGCAGATGGCGGTAAACCTCATACGGTATGCCATCTAACCCAGGACTTTTTTGTGAGGGCAAGTGGTTAACTATAGAAATAAGTTCTTCTGACGTGGGCGGTGCTGTAAGATCATTCTGTTGAGCGTTTGTAAGACCAATCGCCTGCGGAACATTATCGAGTAACGTTTGAACTGCCAACAGGTCGATAGGATCAGGGCGATAAAGGTTGCTATAGAACATATGAGCTTCCTCAAGGATAGCATTAGTACTAGTTAAGACAGGGCCATCTTGACCACTTTTTAAAGAGTGAATCGTTCGTTGTGCTTGTCTTTCTTTGATAACCCTGTAAAAGTATCTATTATTGCGCTCTCCTTTCTCATGCCATCGAGTGGCTGACCGTAAAAGATGTTGCTGCGCGGATTCTTCCTGCAATTTGTCTAGTTTCTGTTCAATAAGCGACACTTGTCTGTTGGTTATATTGAATGCTGGCTTATTTAAGGAAAGCAGGGCTTCCCGTTGGTGTTGAAGTTCGGCAATGGTTGTCTGCCTTTTAGCAGTAGATCCATGGGAGAATAGGCCTGCAATGTGTTTTAATAATTGTTTTAGAGCCTCCCAGGTACTTTGTGGGTTGGAGGTGATATTATTACGGACTTCAAAGAACTCAATGAGGGCAGTCTTTAATAAATCCACAAATATATCGTTAGACAGCAGCAAATGGTTGAAGCGCCATACCCCGGGTCCTACGTCCAAACGATCGGGTGACAGGTCAGCCATCATGAGGACATGGTCTGTCCAAGCGCTAGGTAGGTACCGTTGAGTTCTGTTAAGGACTCGTGGGGTAATACTTCGGTGACAGAAGAAATAATCGATGGTACTGCGAGTGACACCACGCTGGAAAGTAGGAATGCTTGCAGAGAAGCAGTTATCATAATAATGAGTGAGGTGACGATACCATTCATGAAAACTAGGATTGGTTGAAGTGGTTGATAGAGAAGCTAGCGACATATTAAAATCGCCAACAATAAAACTGACATATGGAGCCTCCTTTGTAAAAAACGGTTGTGACATCAAGGAGGCGAGGAAAGGCATTCTATCATGGGTAGTTGCTGGAACGTAAATATTAGTTATAGAGCATATAAAATTACGGGTAACTGTATCGATGATGGTCGCTTGTAAACAGCGTTCATCGAAAGTGACAATTTCATCTGTTAACAATAACGTCGGGTTTAAACAGATAATGGCACAATACTTAGAGAGTAGGATTGCACACTGGGGAAAGAGGAAGGAATGGAAATATTTGATTTGATCGATTGTGAGGTGGTCTTGTGAATGATATGCGGATACTTCTTGGAGACATAAAATGTCAACAGACAAAGCAGGGGAACGTAAATGGGATATATATTGTTTCTGGGTATATTTGTTAGCATCCTTGAAAATGCTGCGAGCATTTAAGGATGCGACGCGTATTGGTCGATTATTCATTGCCCTCCTGGGCGGTCATGACTATATTGGGAGGAGTGGTATCCGCATCTATTATCAGATCCATATCATCGGTGTGAGCAGGAGTTAAACGACTATGAAGGGGTGTAGTTGCCGAACTAGTGTTGGCATCGGAAGGCGCAGGTGTTGCAGGCTCGTCTAGAGCCATACTGGCAGCAACAGTGATACTGGCATATTTTGAGCCGGCAGTACCAGTGGGTGTATTGAATGGAGACAAAGTATGATCTACAGAAGCCTTAGCGGTCGTTGATCGGGTAGCATATCGTTTTGCCTTTTTCGGGATGATAAGGCCAGACTCATCATTGATGGTAGAGGAATGTGTAGGGCTATCGGTGGGGCGTTCTTTATGGGTGAGTTCACTCAGGACTTCATATTCGGCAATGGCGTCAGTATCACTTTGCTCATTAACGTTTAAAACAGGAACGGGGACGTCTGCCATGCGGCAATTTCGGCGAATATGACCCTTGCGATGACATTTATAGCAGGTCAAATTTTGCAAAGCAGGACAGTCTTTACGAACGTGCCCGGCTTGGCGACAGTAGTAGCAGACAGGAGGTGCGCCTTTCCAGCTGGCAGGGGCTAACGTATCCCATTCAGACAAGAACAGTTTACGGTCCAATGGTTGTACGGGGGAAGGGTCATCGTCATCTCTACCGCTGGTGTCAAGCAAGATGGAAAGTTCGCCCTCAAAGAAACCTCGATTGGTAAGCATCTTGATCTGGCACACCTTGCCATAAATGGCCATAGATTTCTTAAGCTTACTTATCAAGGTTGCTTCATCCTCAAATTGAAAGAGGGTGAGGTTGACACGCGTGAAAGTGGTATCAACCTTATCTACGAAGCGGCTGGCTTTGTAGGTGACATGCTCAACAGTTACGCCATGCGAAATGGCTTTGGTGTTGGCATCATCGGACTTGAACTTTGTTGCAATAATTAAATCGGAAAGGGGACGTGTACTACGTAAAGAGATAGGATTAAATCCCCCAAGGACAGGGCCAAGCTGATCAGTGATCAATCTATACGCGTCGGTATAATGATCAAAAATTTTAGAAGGAAACTTGAAGATAACCGACCCACTCGTAAGAGTTGAGTGGACGATCGACGTGATTTGTTGTGAACGCAAATAAGCAGCCACGTCAGGTGCCTCGTAAAGCAGCTTAGCAACGAAACGTTCACGTTGGCCATCATGAACCTTTTTTAATGGCGCCGGGATACGGCTGGCGCTTTTCCGAGCAGTTACAGTTGCCCAGGTAGCCTCAGAAGATGAGGATGCAACACTCATTGTCAAATGGGTTGAGATGGTGTTGGCAAAAGTGGTTACGGGTTAGGAGGGGTATGTCGCGATTTGATTGGTGGATTTAGTTGAAAAACAAAATACACGGAAGAGAGCTTTTGGGGACTTTCATACTGTTTGCTTCAGACGAACAGAAATAATTAGATTTTGGAAATACCATAAATACTTTTTAGATTTTGATAATTTTAGTTTGATATGAATTTTTTAGAATCTGAACTCAGGGCCAAAAACATCTTTTTAACAAGACCTACATGTCTGATTGATATCACTCCTTTACACATCCCTACAGTGTAAGTTGTAATATATTCATAGAGTAACGAAAAGGCCGAATGCTTACTGTTTCGTCCTTATTTACTCAACTCACAATTCGATAACAATTTAGGTAATTTCTGGTAAGTGCGTCTGAATCCATGATAAAATTTATCTAAAATATGTAAATAGTTTTTCTCATAAATATACTCCATTTTTCCAAAGTTGCATTTCCGATTTTAATCGAAAAAAAACTGGGTCAAAAAACTTGTATGAATACTTTTAAACAAGGATTTTTATTCTGACATTTTTTAAAGCCCAATGGACACGAGATACTAAAGCTTATCTAAATTGCCCGGGGCAGTTCGATTTTTTGAGAATAGGGCGATACATAGTGTCGGTCAGGGTGCCGTGGTGGGCGAAAAAGCATACTATCTAAATGGGGTAGGGGGAAGGGGCTAAACTAATCATTATAATTGTAATTGGTAGGCTAAGACTTTGGGCGCGGTTCGGGATCTTGCTTAATTAAGTCTGGGCGGGCACCGCAATTATTCATAACTTGTTTAAACACCAACACCGACCGAGAACCACCTTGATAGCGGCATTAAAAAACGCTAGGAAGCAGAGAGAAAGGGATCAAAGCTGAAAAAATATCAGCGGCGTACAGGAATCGAACCAACAATCATTGGTTTGGAAAGCCAAGGTGCTAACTACCTCCACCGGGGGTCTGTATGAATACGATTAAAATAGATTTTATTGACAAAATATTTTTAAACCCAATGGGCACACAGATAAACTACATATCAAAATTGCCCTGGGCAGAACAAAAAATGGAATAAGAATTAAAAAACCCTTAAAGGTGCAAGGGGAAAAAAGGCAGTGGTTCTTGAAGCAGACTAGGAGATAATGGGATCCTCAAGTATTGGTGGTTGTGGGCGCATAGAGCCAATCTAGGAAAAGCTGTCCTAATGTTTCTGACGGGGTGGGAGGCATTTTCTCATGTTGAAGGTAATCGACTTCAAAAAGTAGCAGTTGGACAATTGGCCAGACTATGCTCCAGTTGACGAGAGCATTGGCGCGCTGTTTTATTGGTCGGGTTGGAAGCTGGTTCAACAGGTGAGAAATGGGATCAGAGATGTCGTGTGGCAGCTGTAGACGGTTGTGCATATTGAGGCATTCGATGGCATGGTCTTTCGTGAGAGTGCGTGATGGGTGATGCAGGCAATGGGCGGAATAGTTGTTTGGAAGCCAGCCCAGCCTATATCTAAGGCAGCGACTACGTTCAATAAAAGGCATGGGAAGCCAAAGAATAGGGTCAAGAGAGATGGTTGGACGGCAGCATTTAATCAGTTTCGAGTGAGGCGCGGAGCGTGCTGCATTGAGATTATCTTGACGGTATGCATCGATGGCCTGTCGTAGCGTTCGGCTATCGTTGATCGACGGGTTGCACTTCCAGATTGGATTCGCCATTGACAGTTGGTACCATAGGGAGCGACTATCAGCTCGGGTGATATGGGGTAGAAGACAGTGAAGTAGAGCATTTTCAGGCAGTCGGTACGATCGTAGCAGAAATTTTGCCTGAAGAATGTGCAGTCTTTCTCGTATCGTCGGGAACTTCAATAGGTGGAGCATAATAGTCACTGAGGAGGTGGAGGAACCACCAAAGAGTCGACGGATGCAGGTTTTCTGGGCCTTTTCCATGTGGTCGATAACTGACTTTTTGTACTTGACGAGAGCAAGGCCGTATTCCAGTTGAGGGCGGACAATTTGAGCATAGAAACGAGCAGCGAGCAGTCGACTAAAACCATTGGGGTTGACACCTATCGCAGTCAGTTGATTCAGAGTTTGGAGAGCCTTCAGTGCGTTCTGGGTTGCTAATTGCTTATCATCGATAAGACCACCAGGCTTAAAGGGGACACCCAAATACGGAAAAGTGGAGGCGTGCGGTATCACTTGATCATAGAGTTTGTAAGTCGCTTCACCAATAGTGCTGTCCAAGATCACACATTTTTGGGGGTTCCATCTGAATCCCAGCTCAAAGCTGTAACGTTCACATTGGCTAAGTAGGTTGCACATTTCGTCTTGAGAGGCTATCAGGACAACATCATCGGCATATAGGAGGCAGTTAAGTGCAGAGGCAAGCTGTAGAGGACTAGAGTTGTCGGAAATTTCCTTTGTTCTCAATGTTCGTGGTAATCCATTGATGTACTGCGAGTACAGAAACGGGGAGAGAATGGAACCTTGCAATACACCAGTAGCTGGATGGAAACGGAAGGAAGTTGCATTTTGGAGTAAGACTTCGATCTGCACTTCATCAAACAAATTCCGAAGAAGAGCTACTAATGGTCGAGGCGTGACGGGGTCCAACATATTCCATATTACATTGCGGTCTACGGTATCGTATGCAGATTTTATATCTAAGAAGGCGAGGACTGGCTGGGTGCGGTACTCCCGGCGAAAGATGTTACAGATTTCAGCAAGACATAATGCTTGGTCTAAAGATCCACGTGCTTCTCGGAAGCCGCCTTGAGCAATATCAATGGGTGGACTATTTTCTTGGAGAGGATCCTTAAGACAGCGCTCTAAGATCTTACGGAAGGTAGACGTCAAACTAATTGGCCGGTAGTTGGTAGGGTCCGTAGTGTTGCCTTTCTTGTAGATAGGGACCACTTGAGCAATACGCCAGGACGATGGGGGTATACGCCCAGGTCCAGCAAAGAGTAAACAGTGCTGTGAGAATTGGTGCTAAGTCCGTAATCAAGGGTGTCAGCATTTCGCGTCGGACATGATCGATTCCAGGAGCTTTGCGGTTGGGCAGAGACTTGATGGCTACTGTGACATCTTCGATGGTGATTGGGCATTCCTCGACAAAGCCTGCCGGTGGAATTGGGATCTGTGAGGAAGTAGTTGTTGAAGGAGGGGGCAAAAAGCGGCCTGAATAGGTTGTTTCCAAAGAGGCGGCCATAATGTCAGCTGCATGCTTCGGCCCTTCCGCTGTCGTGAACGTAGGTTTCAAAGCTCTACTTTTCCGTATTTTGCTAAATCGAGATATAGCTTTGCTGTATTCACACGTGTCCATTTGGTGGCAGAATTGCTGCCAGGTTTCACGGTCTGTATGAATACAGTGTTTTAACTGCTTTTTCAGACTTTTCACAAATTTATTGGACACTATTAAATCTTAATTTAGACAACTTTCATTTATTTTACGATGAAGCGGTATATCATTCTTGGACGATTTCGCTGATAATCAATTATCCAATATCATCCAAGCAGCATTAAGGATGGCGTACAAGCTAGTCCTAAAAATGAGTCTTCATAGTAAGGAAGTCGCTAAGAAAACTCTTATTGGCGTGACTTTGCAATAGGACGAGCTACAAAAAGCTTGACAACTTTTTCGTCAAATGACGATGTGTTATAAGACCCAACCAGATGTTCGTCAGTGCCTTTTCCGGAACTTTGCCCAATGATAAAGACGTGTCTTTCTTTTCTCGCGTTTTGTTGTCAAAGTTAAATTATAATGAAGAGGTTCTTTTAAACGAGAATAAGATCCCTTCTTTTCCGTATTTCGCTTTTTTTGTAACTTACAGCTCTATTCATGTACAAAAGTTTCATTATACAGAAGATTAGATCTATTAAAGAAAAGCATAAGAAACAGGTTAAAAGGAACCCATTTGGTAAAATGCTTGATAATTGTAGGAGAACCGTCAGATCAAGATATAAGGATTCTGATATTTGTTGCAACTTTTTAGAACATACCAAGTGTCGAGACTGCTATGAACCAGGTCATTTTGACAAGCGTTATTACAAATGCAAGTATTACAAAGCCGTAAAAGCTGATGATGGTAAGCAATAAACCTAAATCTATCTTACACACAGCACTTAATTGCTTGTGAGTAACCTCCTTAAAGTTGGTAGCAGTGGCAAAAAGAGAAAACAGAGTGACCAAGTGAAAGAGAAGAAGAAAGCAGTTAAACGGAAAAAGACCACCGCACAAGCTGCAAAGTGCCTCAGCTGTGGACAAGATGGCCATACCACTGCTCGTTCGCCGCAATGCCTCAAACACACGCCTTCGAAAGAAGAACTCATTTCATCTGTTCTTAGTGATGATGCTACTGTATTCACAAGAAAGCTTCCCATCGACAGTGCGGTGTTACCAACCTTCCGCGAGAAATTCAGAGAAAGAGTCATTTCGTGCTGCAATGACATTAGGGCTATTGTGTTTCGTTCGCAACTATTTGTTAACGCTTATCTCATCCATAATAAGAAAGACACACCAAAAGAAATTTTCACCCAACAGTTCTGGTATTCGGTTGGACAACTTGTAACAGGTAAAACAGTAACCAACAAGAAAGCAATAAATGATTCCATGAAAAACTTCTATAAGCAGTTCAAAGAGAAGCATCCAGCTGTCGAAGTAAGTTATAGCTTCACCAAAGGCTATAGCCAATGCTTGACAGAAGCTTGTAAAGAGCTCAGCATCACATATACAAACAGCATTGTTGAGCTTTTTGAGCAGCGAATGCTCAAATATCTATACTATACCTTGCAGAATATGTTCCCGGTAAGGATTAACTTTACATTAAACCAAACAGCAGCAAACTCAATATTCTTTTCTCTTTAGAGCATGGTAAAGCGCGATGTTGACGAAATCGCAACAAAATACTGCTATCAAGTGATTTGCAAAGGCGAACCCGAATGGCCTGGTAAAGTCAAGTTAAGCAGTGATGACAAATTAAGAATAGATAATTTGTGCAAGAACTTTGCAGACCTTGTGGAGGAAAAGGTTACGCTTTTATCATTGGCGGCCGATCCGGTCAAATTTGTCAAGCCCTTGTGGTTTATCCAAGACTACTACGAAGAAGAGCATTCTAATTATCTTGCCTACGATGTTCGTAGATTACCACTACCTCATCGCTTCTTCCCTTTTCCAACTCCCTCAGTATCATGGCGCTTCATTACCATCAGCATAAACGCCCTTACTCCTTTTTTATTTCCTGGAAGACTTGTGAAGGGTTATTAGAATCAACTTGAACAATTTTGTAAAGTGTTCAACTTCAAAAAGTTAGGCTTCAGAAGGTAAAGTAAATAGCACTCTGCTAAAATACTCTGTTCTCAAGATTATTCTTTCACTTATATCATAGTATTGCTGAGTTAAAGACAAACACAAGTATGCTCTTCAGGAATCTCATTCGATCTGATGGCTTCACTGTAGACTTCCTATTTAGTCGTAAGAAGAAACCAAAAGAAGACGCCATCATTGATCATCATGACTTGACGTTGGAAGACTTCTCCTATGAAGAAATCACGACAAACTACAGACCCACATTTGTTGATCCTGGCCGAAAGACCGTATTTACAGCAGCAATCGGGTTAGAAACAAACAGACATGAGATACGGCGCTGCTCGACAAAAGAATATTATCACATGACGGGTAGTACTCGTGTCAATGCAGAATTAGAAAGGAAAAAGGCCGGTTGTACGATAAAAGCGATAGAAAGCAATATACCGAGTAGTAAAACAGGCTCGCCTGAAAAGTATAAGAGATATACTATTTACATACTACAACATTTAGAGATCCTGTTCTCATTCTATGGGCCACGTATGGGTGAAACAAGGTTCCGTCTGCATCAAGGCAGACAGCGTGCTGCAGACATGATGGTGAACATGCTCGTCGATGGAGGGATCAAATACGACAAAGAATTACGGAAGAAAAGAAAGGAGGAACAGATGAAATGGCCAAAGAAGAAGGGCAAAATTAAGCATAAAAAAAGAAGAAAGAAGACGAAACAGAAAGTGAAAGTAGAACAGGAAGAAGAGAAGGTGAAGGAGAGCCGGGAAGAAGAAGAGAGAGAGAGCGATAACCACGTTCGGTAAGTCTTGTAGCGATTAACTGTCCACTGAGTTTGTGTATACTCACTCTATTGTCTTCCTTCAACAGACGATGGGCCCCTGAGAAATTCAGGCTGAGTGATCGCAAAAAAGTTCCTCTGGTTGTATTTGGTGACGGCATGTTCAATAAATCCGCCGTTCATCTAAAAGGCCTTAGAACTGGTATCGTTGGTGTTCTGTGGCGTGCATTGAAGCGAAGAGAGACTGCTGGTGATCTCCTTGCCGTTACAATTGATGAATACTTGACATCACGCATATGCAATTGTTGTCGCTCAGACACATTGAAAGCATTAGACACCGTGCGTGGCTGTAGTATCCTTGTTTGCAAAACCTGTAAGATACTATGGAACCGCGATGTCAATGCAGCAAAAAACATGATGGCCATCAGCATTTCGGTATGGAAAGACAAGGAACGTCCTATGGAGTTCAGCCGGAAGACAACTTCTTAGTCTTTTGATATTTATTATCGCCAGAACGAAACTGGCTTGATATTTACAGGTAAATGTCTCCATTTTAGTGTAGTTCGATCTTCAAACTCTAACTCAATCGTCTCAAAATTTGGTCATTCCAGTTATTTTTAACCTGTGTCTAAACCCGCAGTTAAAAAAACTGTAAGTTTCATTACATTTCGTTCGTTTTAATTTTTTTTATTCTTCAAATTTTACAGTCTTCTTACAAACTCGACATGAGCGTAAAGCAGATGAACGCTGACGATGTACTTAACCTAGAAACAATAGTCGATCATGAAATAGGGCCAGAAAATGAAATACAATTACTGAAAAAGTTCAAAAGATTTCAGCAAATGTATCTGATAGTCTACCTTACAGTGATGGGTATATACATTGATATAGTTCTCTGTGTTATCGATAGCATGATTAGATGTGCTGAGTTGTACAATTCAAACTGAATATGACATAACCATAAAAACGACGATAATGTTGTTAATAGGTGCCGACTGGCTTCAAGGACCTTACTTGTATAAATTATATAATGATTATGGTCTCAGTTTGACAGAAATAGCCATGTTGTTTCTGACAGGATTTGTAAGCGGCGCATTTGCTGGTACAGCAGTTGGCGGACTAGCAGATACATGGTTAGTTACAATTACTGGACGCACATAATGGCTTGAATTACTTATATACCTTAACTATGCTGGTGATTTAGGGGCCGTAAACGTGTTTGCATTGTCTTCTGTTTTACGATGATTATTGCACTTCTGCTACGTTTAATTAATATTTACCCGCTACTGTTCATATCACATTTACTATCTGGTTTAGCTACCGCGCTCATGTATAGTGTATTTGAGTCCTGGTATGTTTCTGAGCATACCAGCCGTGGATTTCCTGCTGATTGGAGAGCTCGTACATTTGCTCTCAGTACTTTGCTCAACAGTATCGTTGCGATTTTCGCAGGCGTAATTGCTAATGAATTAGTAGGCCTTTGGGGTTTTCGTGCTCCGTACATCGGATCAATACTCATGGTCTCAACTGTGGCAGTTATGGTGCTTTCGACGTGGACAGAAAATTATGGCAGAAATGTTCAATCGAATGTAATTTAATAAGAAGAAAACGGCTAAAGAATACAAAATCAAATCTCTGACAACCGCTTTCTTCTCTCGTTATGCGATATATAGATGCAAAATGACAACCTTTTGAAAACTTTGAAGACGGGACTACGAACGATGCTGAGCAGCAAAAATATCGTTGTTCTTGGATTAGCACAAACCTTATTCGAATGCTCCATGTACATATTCGTGCTTCTCTATACGCCAGCTTTCGAAAACGTGATATTTAACAACATTGGCCAAATACCCGCAGATGGATTGAATCTAGGCTATCTATTTTCCACAATGATGATGGCTGTCATGGTTGGCTCTTTGCTTTTTCAAATTGTTGAACTGGAGATAAAAAAAGGACCCAACAGAACATTTGCAAAATTTTCGGAAGAGAAATTACTGATAGTGGCACTTGCAGCAGCGTCTATTTCATTTATATTGATGGCACGCTACGGTGAGACTTCGGTAATATATAGAGAATACTATGAGCTGTAACGAGAAGTGTTCAACCATATTGATATATGAAATTTATAGATCACAACTTTGCTGATTGCATATCATGTATTTGAATGTACAACTGGTTTGTACTACCCATCTATTGCCTCCCTAAAAGCGGAAGCTATTCCAGAAGAAACAAGAGCAGCCGTGATGACATTAATAAGAATTCCTATGAATCTTGGTGTAGGCTTTATCTTGTATCATGTAGGTAGTAATAATAATAGAAGGTAACAGCAATGTTTGGTTTTTTTTTATACAGTGTATGACCTTTTCAATGTTAGGTGGACGACGTTTCAAATTCAATGCTATTCGCTATTTGTGGTATGATGACCTCCATTGGTGCCCTATTTGTCATCATTTTCTATCAGCGATAATGGTAAAATTGAATGACAGTATAGCCCAATCAAATACCACCAGCATACTATAATTCTTGATGATTTTTATTTCTCGCTTCAAAGGGGCTTTTAAAATTGTATGTTCATACAATCACCACGACGCGAGCTATTTCTCTAACTTTTCAATTGTATATTAGAGTTTGATGTATCAGTCTGCTAGCTTTACTTAAAACTGTCAAAGTTCCTAAATGAAATGGATTGGTATTTATTACAAGATAATTTTTTTTCGGGTCGCCCAGAATGTACATCATCGAGAAATTTGAAAAATAGAAAAACTATGCTGCAAATAAATAGATATCCTTTCGCGAAATTTGTATTATACCCAGAAGTAAAATAGCAGTTGTTCATATTGAGTTGAATCGGAAAAGAGTAGAAACCTACTATCAACTGCATTTTTAACTCCATTTGGCTTTTGTTGGAAAATTGTCCGTATTTGCTACTTTCAGGAAGCTCACTTTCCGGATGTAATGGATTGTGCGCCTTCAAAAACCATTGATTTTGCAGGCCCTCCCATCCTAACATCTGCAAGTTCAGTTTCCAAATGGCAATCGAGGTATGTAGATAGTTAGAATATCTGGTAAAAGTGAAAGAATTCAAGATTTATAATAACATAATGATAAAGTAAGAAAGGGAGTGGTATAAAACAATATGAATGGTATCAATTAGTCAATAAACTGCTATCGTTTGTTTAGACCGGCACACAAATAAGTTGAAGGACCTCTTCTACAATTTCAGACGGTACCTTAGAACTCATATCCTCTTGTTCCATTTCATCGTCTGTAGCACTGATTGCTAGAATATGTAGACGATGGCTGAATACTTTCCCTGCAGCAATTGAAACAAGATCAGGTGTGAGAAAGCTGCTTTCGAATAACGTAGCCAAAGATCTAGTGGGAGGAGGGGGGGGGTAAAGAATGAGAAAATGTTAGTTTTGCAATAAAGAGATTGCATACACTCCTGGTCTCTGGGAGGATATGTATTAAATATTTAAATACGTTACTTCAAAACTATAACAAGGTCCTGGCTGCATCGAGCAGTAAGTCCACCTTTCACAAGAGGATGAGTGCGTATGCCGACAACAATATCCCTAATGTAGCGATTAATATCAATACTGACGTGCACTCTATTGGCCTTTTCTGAGAGAGCCTTGATTTCCTATTCATAGAAAAAAAATGGACGAAGGATGTATGGGCTACTACTTGCAATACTGATCATCCAACTTCTAATTTGATGTAAATAGTACTGAAAAAGGTTTTACCTCATACTTCATCAATGCAAATCTTCTGTTGTTGATGGATTTTGAAATAGTGCTCGACTGGGGCGGATAAGAAAACATATTCTCTTCAAAGCTGTAACTGACAAAGAATCTATCCATCTATTTATGCATATAGAGGAAATTGTCAGGCTATGGGATACAGTATGGCTCACATTTGCAATCATGACAACGTACCAACTGTGATGATATTGCTAATCGATTGTATCCATGAGGCAATACTGCAATAATCAGGAAAAAAGGTTTTGGAATATTGTATCTCACGTTTGCTATTCTTAGTTCCTTTGCAACAATCAATTCCAGTAATAATGCTTGCACAGATTCATGAGAATTATTTAATTCTTGAACAATGACAGCTGAAGCTATTCTTGTGGGCAATGTATTTGATATTGTCCAGTAACCTTTTTCTTTTCTACTATGGCTCAATAATTCTTTTTGCGAGATAGAATTAGCGTAAATAGAGGGCGTGGATGGATGGCCACGGTTCACGTGAAAGGGTGGCCTACTATCTCTCTTTTTCAAATTGAAGTCTATAGGATTGACAAGTGGGCTATAAGAAGAGCTGTACTCATCATTGTTATTACCAGAAGAAAACTACATTAAAAAAAGAGATATTTTTAAATTCTGCACTTCTACGCTGATTGTAATGAAATGATGGCCACTCATGGTTACTTTAACACTTGTTTTTTTGCTATATAGTCTATGTGAACTGTCTGGTTGTGATTTATCGGAGCCATTTGAGTTAATTGTATGCAATGAATGGCTAGGTATTTGTATAGATGAACTCTGTGCTGGAGTGTAAGTTTTATTATTCTGGTTATTAGCAGCAGTATCAACGTTTTCTTTTAAATTGAATAGTGTATCAATCAAATCTGCTCTTGTTTGCTCAGGTGTGCAAGTTGTTGTTACTGTAGTAAGCCCAAATATACAACGACTGATCTATTCAAATAACTATTGTTATGATATAATTCAACGCCTTCTTCAAGATTATGAAAGCTTTTACTTGAGTCGCCATCTGTGAAATCTCGTTTACACGATTGGGGGGTGCTGTCAAAACTAAGTGTTTATTTCGTCCAGAAATGAGACACAATAAAATAGAGATAAACAAATCATGATTGAAAGCAAAGCCAGCTTGCTTTTTAAGAATCGCCATTCGATTCCTAATCCACACTCTGTTCCCTTCTGACATATCAACAAAGCGAAGAATTAAGCTGCAACAAAAGGTAAAATCCCTTTTTTTTTGATTTCATATTCTGTATTAAAAGAAAATTAACACAAGGTCCGCACACCCAATATCTAAATATATAATCGAACAAACACAACACGTCCTCATTGATTCTCAGTTGTTTACGCCCCTTTATCTCAATGTAGTCATCACAGCTATGAGATGGCCCAAACGACTGGTGTAAAGACCCTTAGATTTCTGGAACTTCAACACTTGAATCATAAATACAAAACAAAAGAACATTCTTTGAGGCGGCAATTTCTTTGACCTCTCAAATTTATACATTTTACGCGAGAGCTTTCCAGAATCCCTTTAATACACCTTCAGACAGGTTTAAAAAAACAAAACATCTAAAGATATGCCAACAACAGGCTTATCTCGCAGGTACAACGGATGCAATCCTTAATAGAATCAGCATTTTACAACAGCTCATCAATTAACTGGAATCACAGTATTAATGTTGTGCCTTCTTCTGGAAACTTTATCTCATGGTTGTTTCTCTACTAGCTGTTTTTTCATCTTTTCCTAATTCAATGTATAAAAGAAAAACCATGAATAAGAACAACCAGATATAAAATTGCTTTCCTCTCTCATTGACTATTTAAGTGTTGATCTGCATTCACTGTACAAAATTCATGAGCAAATGGATCTGGTAACAACAACAAACATAATAATTAAGCATTGCATTTTATTGATAACTATTTAAAAGAAAATACATTGGAGGAGCACGAGATTTCAATCTTATTTAAGCTACACAACGAAAGTCTCAATGTTCAAGACCAACGAAGCCCTTTCGGTTAAACTGAAAAAGAGGAAGGGAAGTGAAGACCGTATTGATAGGGGTTATGGAAGCTACTTACGACATTATTGACGGCGAATGGCGGACATAGGCATTTTGGTGGCGTTGAAGGTAGCCGGATTACGATAAAATATGATAAAAGGCGAGCCAAAGGTGTTATCAGGTTGGCTCAATAATTGAAATGAAACGAGTGGATGAAAAGACAATGAATGATATAAAATAAGGGGAATGGAGAATGACAGGCATTGATGTTTGTGTATGCTATGTATGTGATTGCAATGAACCGGAGAGGGTTGACTCAAGGAACAGAAGGAGATAAAACTCATCGAAACACATACACCTTTCATCAAAACGGCCATACCACTAATATTCTGTCATTACTTATCCTACATCTGCCGAAATCAAGACAAGCTCCTTATGTCCACACTTTAAAAACGGCGCAGATCAAATGGAAGATTTCTAATAGAGGACAGATTGCGTTAGGCGTTGAATATTACTATTTGAGTTAAGATAATGAGTATCATAATATTATGGTAAGATGCCGCACATCTTTAGTCCTTGGTATTGCTCTGCCCGTGTTTTATGCATGGATATACCCTATCACAAACTTATGTACATGAATTTTGGCAAACAGACCTGATAGATATGGGCTGTTAAATAAGGAATATGAAGGTAGATTTTCGGTAAGTATCAAGTTAAAATAAGTTGCCCAAACTTGAAGCTAGTTGATCATTACTCCTCCTTTATCAGACTAACGAGTAACTTCAATAGTCATACCTCTGTACCATTTGAACTCTGCTTCAAATCCATAAGGAAAGATACACCTGTTAACTCCAAACACCCGTCTATATTCTCTATACGAGTAAATACTTCTCATGAGATCAGCATTAATGCAAATTTGTATGTATGGATGACACTAACAACGAGCAAATCTGAAATAATTGAACAAACTCTTGTTGTAGTCTGCAAATAGTCAATAACACTAAGTAGCTTAATCTTGGTCACTACAGACTTAATTGTGAAAGCTCATTACGATTATCATTTGCATTATTGAGGGATATAATGGTAGCCATAGGCTTAAAAGTCTCGTTACTGGTAAAAAAATTCTTTTAGTATTTGCTCAAGTATCTAATTGGTAACTATAAATGAGTCTATGACCATGAAGTTAGCGTCAATTATTCTTTGGAAAGAGGAATAGAACGTATAAACATGGTGATGGTGAAACAGAATATTAATATTGACATGGCAGATAGGCGAAATTGAAACTCGAACAATTAAGTAAGAATCCATAATAGGGCTTTTGCAATTTTCTCTTTGCTGTGCCATAGTTTATCACATAGCGCATTAACGATATTGTTATCGCTTGCTAGTAGATGATAGTATAGCCTGATACCAATAATGCGTGATTTTGAAAATTATTCTACAAAAGCGACATAAGTATTGCTGTAAGATTCTGCTGAAGGGTGAACTATGCCCCATTGAGTCAAAGATTCCATTTAAATTCATAGAACAAAGAATCCGCAGCTTTTTAAATGATATATGAATTTATTGTATATATAATGTACAAATTACATGGAACAAGTATTAAGTTAAAATAAAGTTAGGATGATCTATTTACAAACAAATTATACATATGCAGGATATTGTGCATTAAACAATATAAACAAAAGAATAAATAGTGAAAAAAAACCAGTATAATATTGAAATCTAAATCATGTCTTCATCTTCATCACGATCACTATGGCTACTGGAACTGGCACGTTCCCATTCCTTTTGCTTAAAGTCATCTAATCTTTCCAGCATGGTTTCTGCTCGCTTCACCAGAGCCTTACGTTCGTTTCTGATACTCTCATCTCCCTCTGAATCAATAGCATCCAACTTCAACAATATCTTCATGATTTGGTCTTCATAACCCAAAAATTGACGATTCTCAGCAGACGAAGCACTAAGAGTATCAGGCAAAGTCGTACGAGTATAATCTACCACATTTGAAAAATCTAGAGTTGTATGGTGAAGAATATGGTCCTCATGTTTCTGACGAATTTCATTGAGCTCTTCTTCAATTTGATTCAAGGCTTCGTATTTAGCAAGCTTAGCAGGATCTTCTTCAGGAAATTGTGTAAAGCCACGTTCCTCATTAGAGCTATTTAAATCATCGCTCATATCAGTATTACCGAGGTATTCTTGTTGTGATGACTCAATACTGCTTTCTTCATGATCATCAATATGATCTATAGCCATTTCTATGATGCCATCGTCTTCAGCATGTACTTCCTTGTCATCATCCTGTTCTTGAGAATGGGTGGACTGACTATCATCATCTAACTGTCTGGCTTTTTCGCGAATATGATCAATAAAATCATCAAATAAAATTGTATCTTTATCGGTGACTTCCTCAGATGCTCGATCATCCTCGCGGGTGTCAGTGCTTTCTTGCTCTTTCTGCAGTTGTGTGTTTGGGTACTGTTGCTTGACAGAATTCATACCAAACAGGAGGTTCAAAAGCGGATCAGTCTTTTTTTCTTCTTGCTGCTCTAGTTCTTTTTGACGTTGTTGACAGAGAGCAGCATAATAGGCTTCCTCTTGCTGTTGTCTTCTTCTTATTGCTTCTTGTTCACGCTTAATGGCAGTATAATAAGCTTGAAGCTCTTGTTCTTGACGACGGCGTAGCAGCAAAATATTCCTAATGCGTTCTTCTTCTTGTTGCTGTTGCAGTCTTCTTCGTCTTTCTTTTTCTTGACGTACGGCAGCTTGAAGAATGGCTTGTTGTTGTTGCTCATTTAGTATGGCGGATAGATAGTTGTCCATCATTGAGTATGGACGACGTTGATGATAGCAGGAGGGAATTTGTTGTTCAAAGTAGATAGGGTACATGATTGTTTTAAAGTAATAATACCGTTCAAAATGGGAAAAGTTAATGTGATTTAACGAATTCAAAACGTAAGTTAAAAAGACAAAGGTATTTCCTTGAAACTGCTGTCAATGGAGGCATATTTAATCTAATTTAACAGAAGGTTCGCGCATTTGCTCGATTTCTCTAATTGCTCAGCTCTGGCTTAGAAATTCGACCTTCGGTTAGCCAACCAATCAGATTTCCTATGATTACGGTAGCTTTTCTGGAATTTGCTCAAGCCTACTGGAATAAAAAAGATTTCCCAAGGCTTTACAAAAAAAAAGATCTACACTTTTCAAATTGATTGGCAGCCAGTAAGTATAGCGAACAATGCAGTCAAAAAAAAAACCTAGAATAAAAATTACCTGCATTCCTTAGGTTTAGCAAAATAGTTAACCACTGTTCGCTTTGAGGTAAATACGAGAAACTTTAGCGGGTCTTTATGCCCTCTTATATAAAGATTGATGATTTTAGCGGCCATGTGGTGCTACGATGAAAAATATCGCAGTTGTTATAAACTAACACTTGATTGATTGTTCGATATCTAACAGGCCATGAATAAGAGCACGTAGTGCCAGTATGCTATTATTCCTTGGATATTTACTCTTGAGGCTCGAAACTCGATAATCATGAGCAAACTTAACTGGCTTTGCTTTTCTTAAAATTCAAGTGCTTTCTAAATTTGTTTCCCTAATTTTACAAAGACCTTTGAGTTCGGTATTATTCTTTGCTCATTGAACCATCACAAAAAACTATTGCAGACATTTTATCTTTATCAGCATACTGATGTATTATATTGCTTTTCAAGATTGTAAAGTTATAGCAGTTTACTATAATTGGATGATTACTTTAGCTCTATATGGTGATCAACATTATAACTTCGTCTGCTGACCATTCATCTCGTTTATTCTTGTTATACTTACGGAACCATTTACCATAACGACATACAGTTATCCAAATAAGACAAAAGGCTACAGTATGTCGGTTGACAACCATAAATATCTATTGTCTGGATATTCTCGGCTTGCTACGACTGCGTTTCATATCACAGCTCACTTACGAGGATCGATTTGCTTTTACACTAAAAGTAAAGTTGACATTGAAGTGAATCAGAAAGCAGGTAATAGTGCTTGGACGCTTATAAAAAAGACACTAAATATATACAATGTTACAGTTAAAGAATGTAGCTGTCAAATGTTGGCTTTCAGCTAAAGGGAAAAGCTTGCATTTTTTAAGATGATGGGTCAGTTTGTCGTCATCTGCAATACCAGCCAGGGCTTTCAACAGCCTTTGTTATTTCTCTTATTGTGGTTGTGGTACTGCTTCCATTTGTAAATTTTTTAAGGAAAAGAATCTACCCTTCACGACAATTGTTGTAGTTGGCACTAAAAAAATCGGGTTGAAAAATTGTCACTACTACTGTATACTATTATTGAAGTTCTTTGTCTATGAGACATACAGAGGTTTTATAATTGAAGCACTTGAAGTGTTCTTCATAAATTTAGTGATGCAGCGTAAATTGATCTGTAAATGCTACTCAGGCTTAACTGCTGAGCTATAACACCCATTAAGGCCGTAGACCGATGGATAACATCGTATCCGTTTGCATTTCATGCCTACGACCTTCGAACTCTACATCTTGATGGAAGCTTATTGGGCAGTTACAACTGCCCTCCGGAAACGCATTATCCTTGCTTTCCTGAATCGAAGCTGACAGATACTTTCTAAACGAATTATTTAATTCCATGACAACCAACACCGTTCCGGAAAGGTTGGGTTACATTGTTATCTATCTATGAGAACATTATTGGCATAATGCCGAACCAAAATAAGGTATAAATAGCAAGGCATCATGAAGTTTGGCAAATTACCAAGTATAACCTATCCAGATAATTTACCCACAACAATTTAAAAGGCTTTAACACAAGGCATTTTCAGTGGCTCATGCAGAGAGAATATATCTTTTATTACAAACTATTTGCAATAGTTTAACAAACTAGAATCTAATTTGAAAATGTAATTATAAATGAAAAGGGATATGAATGCTAGAAAGGATTAAAACACTGGATAAATACATATATGAAGATAAATAAAAAAGTGATATATACAGAAGGAAGAAATTAAATCAGCTGGTTTAATCAACCTCTTCCATCTTGGAGGTTTCAGAAACTTCCTCGGCAGGGGCTTCAGTACTTTCAGCAGGAGCTTCTTCAAGTTCTTCCTCGTCGATACTGAGACCAAGAGAAACCATACGATTAATACGAGTAGCGAAAGAGCTGGGGTCGTCCAAAGAGAAACCAGATGTCAAGAGAGAGGTCTCGAATAATAAGGTAACAAGATCCTTGACAGTGCGGTCGTTGGCGTCAGCACTAGCCTTCTCCTTAAGAGCCTTGATGATGGGATGAGTAGGATTGAGTTCGAAAGTCTTTTTAGAAGCCATGTAGCTGGACATTGAAGAATCACGAAGAGCTTGGGCCTTCATGATACGTTCCATGTTAGCGGACCAACCGAATTGACCAGTAGTCAAGACGCAAGGGGAGTCAGTTAAGATTTGAGAAAGAACGACCTTCTCAATCTTGTCACCGAGAATGTCTTTTACAGTCTTACAGAGACCTTCGTATTCCTTTTTCTCTTCTTCACGAGCTTTCTTTTCTTCTTCATCTTCTTCAATTTCGGCACCTTCCTTGGTAATGCATACTAACTTCTTGTCCTCATATTCTCTTAACTGAGTGATAGCATATTCGTCAATAGGATCGGTCATCAAAAGAACTTCAATACCCTTCTTCTTAAAACCTTCGAGGAATGGAGAGTTTTCAACAGCAGTACGGGATTCACCAGTGATATAATAAATGTTCTTTTGCTTTTCACCCATACGTGTGACATAATCCTTGAAAGAGGTCATTTCATCACCAGACTTGGTGGAATAGAAGCGCAACAATTCAGCAAGCTTGGCACGGTTCTGAGAATCTTCATGGATACCAAGTTTGAGATTCTTGCTGAAGGCTTCATAGAACTTGTCAAATTGTTCTTTGTCTTCAGCAATTTCTTGGAACATTTCAAGGCATTTCTTGACAAGATTCTTACGAATGACCTTCAATATCTTATTTTGTTGAAGCATCTCACGAGAAATATTGAGAGGAAGATCTTCAGAATCCACAACACCCTTAACGAAACCGAGCCATTCAGGGATCAACTCTTCACAGTCATCCATGATGAAGACACGACGGACATAAAGCTTGATGTTGTTTCTCTTCTTCTTGCTCTCGAACAAATCAAAGGGAGCACGTTTAGGAACAAAGAGGATAGCACGGAATTCTAATTGACCTTCAACGGAGAAGTGTTTGACAGCTAAATGATCTTCCCAATCGTTGGTAAGGGCTTTGTAGAATTCAGCATATTCTTCTGGCTTGACATCTTCAGGATTACGAGTCCAAAGAGGCTTGGTCTTGTTGAGCTCTTCGTTTTCAGTGACCTTTTCCTTGATGGTCTTCTTCTTTTGTTCCTTCTTTTCATCTTCATCGGTAACTTCTTCAATCTTGGCACCTTCAGTGGTAACTTCTTCAGCTTCGTCATCAGAAACTTCCTTTTCAATTTCCTTTTCAACAACCAATTGGATAGGATAAGAGATGAATTCAGAGTGCTTCTTAACAATATCCTTAATTCTGCGTTCTTCGAGGTATTCCAATTGATCTTCCTTCAAGAAAAGACGCATTTCAGTACCACGACCCAAAGAAGGATTTACTGTATCTCGGGTAATAGTGAAAGAGCCACCAGCAGCAGATTCCCAGATATATTGTTCATCATCATTATGCTTGGTGATAACCTGAACCTTGTCAGCAACAAGGTAAGCAGAGTAAAAACCAACACCGAATTGACCAATCATTGAGATATCGGCACCAGAGGAAAGGGCTTCCATGAAGGCCTTAGTGCCAGACTTGGCAATAGTACCCAAATTGTTAACCAAATCGGCCTTGGTCATACCAACACCTGTATCACGAATAGACAGAATGTTATGTTCTTTATCGGGAATGACGCGGATATAAAGATCCTTGCCAGATTCGAGAACGGATGGGTCAGTCAAAGATTGATAACGAATCTTGTCCAAGGCATCAGAGGCATTAGAGATCAATTCACGCAAAAAGATTTCCTATTAAAATGGGTGATAAGAAAAGTAGTATTAGCAACATCCTTCTTTGCATGGCTAATGGCAAGTTGTAAATACCTTATTGGAATAGAAAGTGTTAATGATCAAGCTCATTAACTGAGAGATTTCAGCTTGGAATGAGAAAGTTTCAGTTTCGGCGCTCATGCTGGTCTATTGCTTTTCCTTAGCTTGATAGTATAAGAAGAAACTAACAAAGAGTTTGATACTTCAGTACTTATTACATATTTATACATATCATATGAACTCCGCTGTTGAAATTCAGATTTCGAGCAATTTCCAGTACCTAAAAGAAACTGTGCCTTTATTTGTTCAAAAGAAGGTTGGAGAAAAAAAAATCATTGTAAATGTTTCTCGGAAATAGAGAAATGGTACATACCCACTCTTCTAGTAAGTTCTACACAAAGTATCCGCAACTCTGCCGGTTTCGAACTCTTGAACATGGTACCGATAGAACAGTGTGTAAGAGCAATATTCCGGGGAAAGCAGTGATAAAGAGAAAAAGGCCCATGATTTGATATTGATGTTGTTCACAGAAAATCCCTCTCAAAGAGCACACATATGAATCATTCTTAGTAAATGCATCATTTTGTTATAAACAAGCAAATGAATTCCTTCCCTTTATTCCTTTAAATCACTTCTCTTTGAGAAATAAGAAAAATACATCTATAATATGGACAAGAGAATTTTTGGATGATAGATACATTTTGGTTTATTCCCTTTACGTTTTTGTTGCTTCAAATATAGAAAAATAAAACGGTGTTATATTTATGCCTTGACAGCATACTTGCGAAGAGGGAAGTGAGCCAACTTCTTTTGTTCACGAACAGTCTTTTTGGACTTTTCGAAAGGAGTCAAAGCTCTACGCATAGCACGAGTCTTCTTGACACGAAGATCAAGAGGAACGAACTTCTTCTTGTGATAGAAGAGACGGAGTTGTTCACGTTGAGTTTGGTTGATGACGGTTAAAACACGGGCAACGTTCTTACGAGCTTCACCACTGTATTTTATAGTAGCAAAATGAAGATGTACAATAATAATCTTAGTGAACAGTCCTTCTATGCCGATAGTTCAACTCTCATTGCATATATTCCAACTTACATTTCTTGAAGTCTACCACCGGCAACCTTTTGAACACGAAGGTTAGCAAGTTGTTGCTTTTGTTCGTCAAGGATCTTGAGGAGTTCAGCCTTGTTCTTGTTGCGAAGTTCGTGGGCTTTAACGTGGGTAACCTAGAAATACAAACGTTTTAATATCTTAATTCTTCCTTTTCAAAATGCTGGCACTTCCAAAGGATCAAAATCAATGAATCTATAAGTGGAAAATTGAAAAGTAGCGCCATATCGATGCAATGAGTCGCTTTAAAGATGAGCAATTAACGTCTACAGTTGTAGCAAAACATAACTTTGGCTGATCTACATCATCTGGAAAAAAGCGGGCAATCCATATGACATCCTTTGCTGAATCCATTACGTACTGGCATTGCTGATGGCTCATCCATTCACATCTTTATAAAAAATTCATTGATTTTGTTTCCTCTCTTATCAAGTTAGTGTACTAACCATTTTATATGGATGTGTATTAAGAGGAGGATTCCTCACTATTGCCCTTTTCCACTCCTCTAGTCATTTTCCACCCTTTTGAAAACAGTACAAAAAAAATCCCTTAGTAGGTGAGCATCATACAAAAGCCCGGTACATTTCCGGTCCGGAGTATTTTATTTTTTCTTGGTATACAGTTTTGCATGAATTGTGTGATAATTACTATTCAAGCATATCCTCATCATCTCCAAAGTCTCTATCGTTTAAAGCATTCCGCTGGTAAGGCTGGTACACAATTGCGGCGTTATTAGGGGTATCATTCCATATTTGCAACAAAATTGATTGTGGCAGCTGACGAAAAGTAGTCGTTTGAACAACTGCGCCAAAATGCTCGAAAATGAAATGTAAAGAAGCCTGTAGCAATCCTCTTTGTTCTGACAAACTAGCAGCATGATATATCTTGCCAACATTGTCAACATTCATTTTTTTGAAAAGATGCCGAGTACATAAGGCCAGCAATCTACGTAACATGTATTTGTGCGCCATTACCATTACATCAGCTATTGTCTCAGTTGTAAAATCCGGGTGCTCCAATGTATCTGTATATAGAAATCGAACAAAGCAGCCAACAGTGAAGATGGGTTCTTCCATTGTTAGCGTATTAGAGACAGACTCTGCCATGCCTGAGTTTATCATATGCTCAAAATAAGGCCAGCGCGCCAACAGCACTAAGCGATGAACGTGTATTGGGGTTGCATCTGGTTCTGCTGAAGAACAAATTGTGAAATCGGTTCCTTGTTGTAGTTGTTGATTCAATAGTAGTGCAACAAGATCTTTCCCTAGCTGTGGTGGGGGGACTGGTACAATGCCTAATTCCTCCAACTCAACTTTTAACACCGTTCCATAAAATTCGTCAGGATCATCATCTGTTGTGCCAAATAAGAAGAAAGTTGTACTGTGTTCTGCCATAGAAAAGCAATGCCAACTGCAACTTTCATATCTTGTGCCCAATTCCTTACAATGCCATTGCATGGAGGGTATATCTAAGGTCCAAAGCCCTGTCACCGGTGCTTCCATTAATGCTTCTCTAAATGGTAAGGTGACTAAAACGATTAACTGATCCCCACATATCTGCGCAAATCGTTGCCCTAATAAAGACGGTGCGGCTGGTGAGCTGATATCTAGCTGAGTTATATCTTCCGTTTTATTCAGGTCGATAAATGCCAAGTGATTAGATCTACTCATATCTTCCCTTAATCCACCAAACACATAGAGCCTAGAATTGTATATAAAACTCATATGTTGCACCCTTTTAACAAACGGTATTGGTGGCTCCCATTCCCAAGTTTCTAAATCAAGAATTAACAGTGTATCTGCAAATTCTGACATAGTTGCACCACGTCGAACACCTCCTGCAATATATAATTTGTTTCCGCATATAGATGCTGAATGCCGGATACGTCCTTCTGGTATAAATCCGTGCACTACTGGATGCAGCCAACTCATAGTTGAAAAATCTAGTACAACAATATCATCAAGATATATATCCTCTTCTTCTGAACTACCTCCAAATATTATCAGTTTGTCTTCATTCCATAACGTCGCTGTATGATCGGTTCGTTTTGCAGGCGGATCACCTTTTATGTAAATGATCTGCTTCCACTGACAGTCATCTTTATTATACTCTAATTTGTACAGTTTATTATAAATTTCGTCTGTATACTGATCGAATCCACCAAACACATAAACAGTTTCGTTAATGTTTGTAATGGACGCACCAACGAGCGAGGCAAGACGTTCACCTGTAGTGCGAATGGGTTTTGTATAATTTTTGACTGGCACACCGTTTGATGATGGCGTTCTGTCTCTTGTAGGTGTATTAGCAGTAGTGCGAGGTGATTGTGGGTATGAGTTCATGACCAAGCACGTACAATTTCGTGAAGCGTTAAAGAAAAGAATATTCAGAGAAAAGAAGAAGAATAAGCTTTATTCATTTGTTTCTATGTATAATTGGTGTACTGAAGAGAGAAAAAAAGCGAACTGACAATGAATTTGCTTAATGCGTGCTGTCAGCCGAACCATTCATTGTTAAGTTTCATCACCAATGAACTGAAATTCAAAGTCAGAAATGAGAAGCGTAAAACTGTATCGATCTTGAGTACTAGAGGGTAGAGAAAAGGAGAGATAAAAAGGCACAAACTCAATATTTCAAACAACGGTACAACGGAGCCCTTCATAATAAACTGTTCGTCGTGAAATTATGTTAACTTCTGTCGAACAGATAGAACAGAGCATAACTCCAAGCTCTAAGTGATACCTTCTATGTATCATAAACACTCCTTTCACTTTTTAATAACTAAAATCACTCGTAAATGCATTCGTATGGAAATACATCGCTCCTGCTGCACTCATTTAGCTGTGCCCCAATGACTTATAAGTTTCGTCCAACACAGCAAAAAGTTTTACAATAAAGGACAAAAACTCTAATACAAAATTGACGTTTAGGCAGATGACTCGTTAACACTTGAGAAAGCAAGATGATACCCGGCCACTCACAGAATTTGCTTGGAATTCTTCCTACTTCACATTTTATTGACAATCAATTCTTTCACCCTTGAAAACAATTTAATGATGACCCTATAACATTAAATTCGTATAGGCCATTGTGAGTTCGTATGTAGTTGTAATGGCAAAGATCGATAAACCTTAAACGAAGTGTTAAGAAGCACATATAAAAACAAATGAAGGCAACAGCACAGCGATCCAGGTATGACCTCCTCTCGTCTATTCAGACTTACTTTTACAGAAATGTAAGTGTTGATCTCCAACAACTTACCTACTGTTTTCAATTCAATTCTTTTTTTTTTTTTTATTTTGTTGGCTCTCTTTCAGACAATGACTAATATGCACGATTTGAATGTAGTAGAAAGCACTCGAAGTTAATCTACTATTACAGATGAGCTTAATTTTTCCTTTACATGTCATCTAATTGTTTGTTAATTTCCTCTAATTGCTCGCTTAATTCTTTATTCTTCTGTACAAGCTCTTCATTCTTCTTTTCCTCTTCGGCGAGTTGAGTTGTTAACTGTTCGACCTTCTTTTCAAGTTGTTCAGCCTTGACATCAGCTTCACGGAAGCTTTTGTATAGAAAAAGTGTTGTTAACTTTCATTCTATAGCCGTTATTATTTCTTCTTAATACTTACTTGGACGTAGTTTCCTTCAAAGCCTTGTCGGATTCTTCCAACTCCTCTTCGAGCATGGCAATCTTACGCATGGCGTTTTCGTATTCCTTCTTATAATCGTTATCTTCGGCCTCATTACCCTTTAACTCTTTAATGGTATCTTGGGCGGCTTCTAACTCACTTTCAAGTTGTTGGTTTCTAGTATTTAAGGAAACAATTTCACGTTCTTGTTGAGTATGTTCCTGGGTAATTTCCTTGAGCTTGGCTTCTAAATCATCAGCTCTGGCATTAGCAGCTTCGGCTTCGGCACGAACAGCAGCAATTTTCTAGATAGTATAAAAGAAGGACTCTGAGTTTTCCGTATATCTTTCTGTACCAAGTGTAACGATCCACGAGCCCTTTGTTTATTCATTGCTACCTCACGAATTTTATCCATCTTACAGCTCTCTTAAAATAGGCGGAAAAAAGAAAAAGAAATTGTATAATATGAGAAAAGTATTCTTTGTATACTATATTGTACTCAGCTGTTTCTTTGGGGTGACGTGTCGCGTGATAATTAAAATTATGCCTTAATAGTAATTTAAAGATATTCATGCGCACAGACCTTTGATAGCTAAAATGGCTTTTCATATTGCTATTTTAGTTTATAAATTAAAACTTCAGTGAGTGAGTTGAAGGTTCTAACTTGTATATTGTAAGGGTATTGAATAAATAAGGTATCGTAATCAAAGCAAAGGCTTAGACGAAAGAGAATTTTTCAGTTTGTAAATGATGATCTGTTTAAAACTTTTTCAATCTGCCAATAGTTTTAATAAAGCTTTCGTTGTTTGGAGCCGCTGATGAATTGATATTTGACGTTGATGTGTTCGGATTGGAATGGAACTTGGCAAATGGAGAGGCTACGAGTGTTTCTTCAAACAGTTGTAACAATAAGCGCTGTTCATTTGTCAAATGACGAATTGCTTCGCGTTTCGTCCAAGGCTTCATAAATTGCTTTTTGGCAGCCATCCATGGTAAGGCAGGTTTGATGCCCATTGATAGTTGAATTTGCACTATAGAGGTCATACTTTCGGCGTGTAGCACATGTAGAACGGTGGACGAAAAGGCACCGTCTGCATTCGAAGTGTTCAACGACTTTTGTGCAGGTACAGATTTTGAAGAAGAGTAGGTTGTTTCAAAAGAATGTTTGTATTTGACAGGTGATGGTGGTAAGGTGATATGACTGCCACTACTTGTGCGCTCTGTTGCCGCTACACCAGTAACACCATCAGTGTGACTATTAGATGCATCATTATTAACAGATGATGAAAAGGACGTGGCAGGATGAAGCCCTGGAGAGAGTTGAGCCTTTGATGAATTGTTTGAGCTTTTCAAGCCTAATCCATCAAGTTCGGTTTCTTCAGCGTCAATATGTTCGATGTTCAGCTGCGGAATGATACCGAATGGTGATGACTGTAAAGAGGATTGGTTGCTTGAGGTTAAATCATTTTCAGAGCTTCTTCCCCATTGTTTACTACTTCCTTGAGCTCCTCTCTGTATATTGGCGGACGTTGGAGGGTTCATGCTGGTACGAGGGCTTGGACTGGGTGTATAGATTGTTTGATTGTTATTCATGACTTTTAGTTGAGTAGCCTTCTCATAAATGAATCCTTTGAGATATATATATAACGGGCAACGATAGTATAGAATAAACTCCATAAAGCGCCAAGTAGTGAAGTCATATATCGTGCTTACACCAAATGACGCATCAATTGAAAAGGCGTTACGATTTTCCGTTGAAGGTGTGGCTGCTGTCCAGTTTCCCATCAAGGGAGATGCACCGCCAGCAAAAGCAGGAATAGCTGGAGATAAAGCACCTGCTAAAGGCGTGGTTGGTATTATAGGTGATGAACGACCAGATTTCGGCTTCAAGAATTTTAAGCTTTGGCCGAATATCAAAGCATTCTTTATAAAGTAAGCGATACTAGCCCATGCTCCTTTCAGTCTGACTAAATCAGCATCAGCTCGCACCAAAATAATCTTCAACGCAACGAAACTAAGAGAAAACAATAGTGCGATGGATAGTGGCGTTTGTTTTGGATCCTTTATATCCGAATAGTCGTTTGAATTAGCATCCATTTGTGTGGCTCCATGGCTCATATTTGCTGCGAAATGAGAAAGTGAAAAACCATTGGATTTCATTTTTAGTAACGATGCCTGACTGCAAGCAGCCGTTACGTAATTTAATAAGCGCATCCAGTTACTGAGTGAATCATGCTTGCCTCTTGAAGTTTTTGAAATGTTTGCGTAACCTTCGTTCCTATTGTACTTCAGGCAAATAGGTATCAGTATGTCAATCATCAAACACGGTGTTGCTACTTGTTGTTCTATAGTGCTCAGCATGTCTAAAGATGAATGCTCGGTAACTGCTAATATAACACGGACAAGAGAATTGCAAAATCTATTGTGCTCTTCCTTATCGACTCTATTTGTAACTGATCGAGCTGCTATACTTAAGCCAAATGTTACAAATTTCTCGTTGACAACAGCTGCTACATCGTACATGTTCATCGACTTCTCTTGGCCAAGCTCTATCATAATTGCTATTCCATCATATAGATCAGATGCATCCACAGTTTTATATTGAGAGCGGTATTGTAAAAATATTTGACTAAGAAGTTTTTTCAAAGGTTTCGCAAAATTTCGTAACGCAGCCATCGAAGGTACCGTATTGACGAGATATTCTTTTATCCAGTCAGTTTTTAAAGTAAGATTTTTGAAGTTGCCGTAGTCGCGCATGATATTGCGAATGATGGAAGCCATCTTTTCATGGCATACTTCGTTCAGAGATCCATCAAGTTTTAAGTACGTTTGCACCAGCCGTACAAATTCAAGTCTAATCGTAAGTCTATCATTTTGTTGCCACTGCTTACCGTAAGCGTGTTGTGCCGCCTCAGCTCGTGGAGTATCAGTTTCAGGCATTACGCCTTGATACCCCCCACTACTAGACTGGTGTGTAGCAGTTGAAGCATTGCTTAATGTCACTTTTGCATGCTTACCGAACTTGTTAAAAACGTCTACGAGAGCTGCGACACCTTCATCTAACAGACTCCTTAAACCTGCTACTTCTTGAAACTGAGGAAGCAAACGGCGGAAAATTATGACAAATTGTTCGGCACGCAGAGAACCAGGGTCATAGGCAATAATGGTCAAGAACAGCTTGATAAAATTTCGTAAATCAAAAGAGAAATTTCCAAAATTAGCTACGTAGTTGGCGACTATAGGCATCGTCATACTTCTAGCCAAAGGTTTTAAAATGCCTGTAGATAAGGGCATTACCATAGGATTGCTAGCAGCATCAATCCGTTCCTGTACGCTTCTTTCATGGTCATCCAATTCTACTTGAAGCTGTAACCCTATCACGTCTGATGTTGAGCCAGGATAAGGAGGGTCATGCAAGGCTTGCATTAATCCGAAAAAATTATCAGACATCCAAGACCCCAACTCTTCCGATTTATGATACGCATTTAAAATTAAGGGCACAAGTGCTCCTAACATTTGAAATACAAATGATTCTCCGTGAACAGCATAAAATCGACACCACGCAAAGATGATAGCAGACCGAATTTGTGGGAAGCGTATGACTTCACAATAAACTTTAAATAAAGCAGGTAAAAACGTGGGATAGCCTCGATTGGAAATGAACAATCGCTTGAAACGAGTAACAACTCGTGTATAAAGAATTAATGCTTGGCCAACGATATTAAAGTCGTAACTGTGGTTTGCTATAATCGTATTGATACCTTTTAGAATTTGCTCTAGTTCTTCGCGATCATTGTAGTTTTTATTCAAGCCGGTCAGTAAGATATCAATGAAGCGAAGCCAGACACGAGCGCGAACACCTGACAACATTTCGATATCAATTGTTGACTGACTTGACTGTCGTTTTGCTGTTTCCACACAGATTTTGTCAGCCGCAGTATTCTGATTACTGCGCTGTGCGATATCAGGGAAATAATCTTCTTGTGTGGCCCATCTTGTAGATTCTTTGACGCTTGGTATCGGTAAAGGTTCATAATCTTGTAGCATTTTTTTAACGGCATAAACTTCCCTTGGATACCGAATCAGATAGTTAGTCAGAAATTGTATATGACTGATACGCAAAACAGCCACAGAGAATATTTCTTGAGGTATATCTAAGATAGTGAATGGTGTACGAACATCAGATAAATACCGAGGGAAAATTCCAGCGGGTTGTTCATGAGTGAACCAAAAGCGGCCCGTACTAATCAACAAGTGTTCGATTTTGTTTTTCCTCAAGTCGCGAATCGATAGATCATTAGTCGAGAGAATGAGTTCCGCCAATATAGGATGAATGAGAGTCATGAGGATAAGCCCGTCTTTCGATCTGTTCTCTCGTACCAACCATTTCAGCATACCAGCCAAGTAATTGAACAATATATGTGTGAATTCAGGCGGTAATTTGCTTTGTATGCTTACTAAAAACCTTACACGGGTCAGAATGTCCTTATGACGCTCGAGTTTGAACTTGCCTAGGTTGTTTAAAAAGGTGCGCAGAAAGTGTGAAGGATCATCACGTAAAAAATACTCTAAAAGCTCGTGTAAGCTGTTGAAAGTGCCACCATAATCATCATTTAGCAGATCCACCATACTTAAAAAGGATACTGTCAAAGCTTGGACAGTACTTGCTCGTTTTCGGCGGTTAATAAGTTTACTGATATCCGCTGACTTTCCATTTCTTCGAATAAGACCAGGATTATCGTCCTCATTCATACGCTCTTCTTCTTTTTCTAGAAACAGAGAAGGCAAGAGAGCCAAGGGTGTCAAAACCTTTTTTAAAGCTTCTTGTTCTTCACCGTTATCCTCATCATCCCAACCCAGCTCTTGGATCTGCCGTTTCAATTCAACAGGAAAGTTGCTAGCGTTTTTCAATTTAGCCATCCAGCGAGGTTCATCTAAAGTGAAACGGTTGCTGCCCAAATCTGTGGGAACGAATGGAGTGGAGAATGCTCCGCCATCTCCTCGAAAGGGTCTCCGACGACTAGAGATGGGAATATACTCCTGGCCCAAAACATTAAATCTGAAAGCATTGAGAGCAGCATGTCTGTGAATGACTGATAAGCGTTGTAGTGGATCATCACTATGTTATAAAGAAGATATTAGTGAATCTTTCTCAACTCTTCCTACGGTAGATATAATTCTACCTGTAAAAATCATGAGTACAGGTCTCAATCATCAATTTTGGAATTTTTTCTCCACACTGCATCAGTAAAAATGCGGCGGGAACCAAAGCCTTGGGATCTTTGTCATCCATAAATCTGTCCCAGAGAGGCTTAACAAGGCGTGCAAATTCTTGGGATGACAGTGTTGAAAAAACAGCACATAACAATGAGAATATGGAGCCAAATGGGTGTTGGTTGATTTCACTTATATGTTCAAATCGATATTTGACCAGCTTTAAAGCTGTGTCCTCCGACTTGCTAGAATCCTCGCTTTCATTATTGAGAACATTTTGAACGCTCGCAGGCGGATCTAATGTAAGCGCAGTCAATACTGCACGACTCATTGGGTACATAGTGTAGATATATTTCTGTCGTTTATGACGAGGAGCTTCAACTGATTGTGCGTCAGACTCATCTATTATTTCAAGATTTCTCGAACCCACATTGAACATATCATCAACTTCAAACTGGAATTCCCCTGTGAGGGCGCCATAGATAGCCTGTATCTTCCGATACATTAGAGAAATTTGTTCCAATGAAGGCAGATCAAGAACAGCCATCCTATTTTCATGATGATGTGTGGTTGACTGTAATGATATATCAATTTCCGAGGCAGCTGAAGTTGCTTGTAGATCTACAGGTTGGGTTGCCCAATCAATAACCCTAGTTAGCCATCCAGGACGATGAGTTGTATTGCAAAAAAATCGTATGTCAATGAAAATATTGCACAGAATATTCCTCAATGGCATAGGAATCAGTGTTTTCATTTCTTTTGCCGTCAAAAAGACTGCTAGTCGTTTCTCCAGATCAATGAGAAATTTTTTAGCGATCTCATCTTCCTCCATATTACGAGTAACATCGTCTTGTTTATGTCTTAATTCTTTTACTGCCCACATGAATTCAGTCGCTATTATGCACTGGCCCAGGGTCGTACTGCCCCATTGTTTTATCTGTTCGTGCTCGGTAAAGTGCTTTGTTTGAGAATCGCTCGATTGAACAGTGTTCGCATTAATGGAAGGAGCAGACAAGGTGATAGTACTGTGTTGTTGTTTACGGTTTTGACCCGTATTGCTTAATAAAATAACATTGATCATCTCAGAATCGTGCATCCAAAATTGTACGCCAGAGAGATATCGCCGTAAGCAGAATATAAGTTTCATCATATGGGTAACCTTACTCTCGTCATCAGATGCTGCGCAAGCAATGACAGGTTTATAAAAGGTAGTTGGGAATTGTCTTGATAAATTATACAATAGGTCACATAAAGGTTGAATTGCCGGTGGATGTGTGTCTAATAATCTCTTGAATAAACTTGGTAACGTTTTCTTCGAGATCTCCTGTCCCATACTTTGATTGACATTGAAAACAAGGTTTTGATAAGCGCACGCTACTCTTTCACTTGTTGCATCTTGTAGCATAGATTCTGTGGCTTCTAGTATAAATTCTTTATACCCTGTATTCCAATATATTTGGACGAATTGCTTTATTGCGAGCGCAACCTTATGTTGAAAAGTTGTATCTGTGAAGTTTATATTTTTATCGTCAACGGTAAAATGTTCCTCTTCATTTAAATTGTAATTATAAGTGTTTGGCGTTGAGGGCTGTTCAGTGAAATTTACAGACGAAGCAGAATTATGCCTCTCTTGCTGATCGTCATTCATATTCCAGATTGTCAATAATGCTAGCAGCGCATTGGTCATACTTAGAGCTACTTTTCTTTGTGTTTCTTCTGTATGTATTTCAGTCAGAAGCTTTTGAAGTTTTCTCGGTGACAGTTTTTCAAGTACCAAATGAAACAATAGAGATACCGTAGAGTTTTCGGCTTTAAGATCCCTAGCTGTCGCTCCCAAAAAGGTTTCGCAGGCAAGCTCTGATAGTAGAAATATAATCTGCAAATAAGCCGGATTTGTAGTGATTTCAGGCTCTATCCAGAAGCGTTGCAGTAACTCCTGAAAAATAACCTTATCTTTTCGTCGTTCAACAGAGTTAGCGCTAGCCTGCTTTTCTTCGCCTTGATAAGGGTCGTTTTGACAACAGTCGCCTACCATGGCTGACTTTAGCAATGATTCAACAACGCAAAATTGTGCTACAGATATAGGTATATTGCTTCCTGTATGATACGTTGTCCACACAGCGCCTACTGGTGGTATAAGTGTACCATCAGCTAACTTGTCAAGTAGTTTAAGCAAACCGTATCTGACCTTGTTTTCATCGTTTTCTTCATTTGATCCTTTAACATAGTTGTCACTTGTCAATTTATCATCAAAGGTGAGCTGGGCAATTGCAGTTGTTATGGTATACACAAGCGATTGATACGCTTTTGGTGAAGATGGCAAATCCATTGCCGAGTCTCTGCAGGCTTGTATTTGAGCTTCTATCGATTCTAACAGACGTATCTGTTACCAAAGATTTATTAGAGTTTTATACAACTTACTATGTTGTGATGTTAGTACCTTAGTGTTAATGCTACCAGCGCTCATTAGATGACATGAAAACAAAAGTTGTTCAAAGGATTCCTAGCACAAAGTATGAAAAGAAAAATGAATAACAAGCCAGAATTCGTCACCTTGTTCTATCCTTACTGCCGCATCAAGTTGCGTGAACCTGTATCTGATGTAATCAAAAATATCCAAAGCTTGGTCACATTCTGACTCTACCAAAAAGTGGATAAGTAAAGCTTTCAATTAAAGAAAGTTGATATGTTGATATACCTAATAGTGGGATTCGATCAAAAGCAGAGGCTAGAATAGCAAAAATTTCTTTTCTTAGTGGCAATCGACTGGCTGATTTATGCTTTTTAAGAGACTCCATTATCAAATTCATGATGTGGGATGTTCTTGTTACTCCCGAACGTATATTTTCCTTCAAAGGAGGCAGATCATTGACAAAATTTGTACTTGTATGGAAAATATCAGCTATGGATGATCGTCTAAATACAGATCGCTTGGTATAAGTGTTCCCTAAAGGATGAGTTGATATTAGGCCGCTTTCAGCATTTGTACTAGTTGAGACGAGGGTGGATGCAGACTCTGCAAAGCTCGCAAGCCGTGATCGAGAGTTCAACTGTGATATAATTTTCTCTAGCTCTCTCTCTAATTTATATATATCCTGCTGCACAGCGGTAGAGGTGGCATAAATAGCACCATTATGGTGTTTAATACCTCGAAAATTACGAGCAAAGTTGGTCATACCAGCAGCTTGAGCAGCGACTAGTGTCGTGTCTGCCAAACTCATATTTTGTCGACAGCCCTTCATATCGCCTCCATGATTGTTTATGAGGTCTCCAGCAAATGACCGTAGGAACGGATTGCTTTGATGCTTTTTTGAGTGTGGACTGAATGAAGTGGCGATGCTGGAATGTGAGGAGGCAGGAGAGGAGACATTCGAGGAAGACGGCGAGCCTTTGAATGCACCGTAGTTGTTGACATTTCCACGAATTTTATCCCAATTGGAAAATGGATTCTTTTTCTTATTGTCGTTAAATTGCTTATTTATCACTATTTGTCTAAGATTATCATCTTTTTGATTCATGGTTTTATTATTGCTGAAGTCGTCATTATACATGTTCCAGTACGAGGTCAGATAGACTGCATTCAGCGGTACATTATTGAACAGCTCCTCGATTCTGCTTAATTTTTTTTTGGGTTTTTTTTTTTATTGTCAAAAAGTTTAATTATTGTGGATATGTTTGGCCAATCATCTTTTGAAAAATCAAGAGAACGCGACCAGAAAATTTATCCAGAGACCGTGCCTTTTGACTGATATAAAGCTAGAAATGATCAACTTTTCTAAGGTCGATATTGAAATTTGGTCGAAGCCCAAAGTACACAATTATATGACTTTGACCATTGATATTTTCATATTTTATCATTTTATTGTTGATGATGTATAATGTGAAGAATGTTTACATATAATGATGCCGCTATAATTTTAAACACCTCCTCGCTTAACAGTAAAGAAGTTCTTGATAACGAAGACTTGCAAACAGGCCATTGTAACAATTGCAGCACTTTCTAACAAGGCGAACCAGAAAATTCTGCTTTCAGTGGAGTTAACGGTGGCAGCATTCCGGTTTTCTCGGGTACGGAAGTATTTTTGTGTACGATAAATATTGGTGACAGAGCCTGAAATACGCATTAATGATTCTTCAATGGCAGTGACTTTGGCAGGTTGTTCATTGCTGTTCTCTTTGTATTCTGGACGTTGTTCATATTCAAGCACAATTTCGAAGTCAATCAACTTTTCAGCCCAACTTGACTTTTGATTAAAGAAACAGAAAGAATATTCTCCCATCTGATTTGCTGTGAAGACATAATCGCCCTGCTTTTCTTGCTCGCCCTGCAATACAGTTTTGGAATTAGGTGCGGTGATGTCGAAATCTACGTCAAAAGAGCCACCTTGTTGGACCTAGGTTAACAAATTAGAGATTATGTATTTTTGGACATAGTTCTGTTCTATAAGGTAGCTTATATTTCGCAACATACGGCAAAATAAAATCCAGCTTTCTTTCCTGGTTTGTCATTCCAGATGTAAAAGCAGGCGTTTTCGTTGCTGCCCAAACGATATGTTAAGGCAGTAGCTTTCACATAGGTTGGCCAACCTAAGAATACAAAAAAGAAGCTCAATAAAACTGATAAGAGTGGTGTTGAGGCGATTCTCATTGTTCAACACGTAGAGCTACAGAAAACAGTGTTTAGCACAACTATGAAGAAGGAGGAAAATGACTTTGGAAATAGAAATTTCAATTAAGCCAATCCTTGTTGTTTGCGTTCGGATGTCGGATCCAATAAGACCTTCCAAACCGCGCTTTTTTATTAGAATTGTACATATCCCCGAAGCTACTACAACACATTGAATGAGCGAGCAAACAGGGTTTAAATGTAGCACTCTGCGTTACAATACTAATAGTGAAAAGTTTCTATAGGAGGCATCTTAACTATCCATTATCGAATACGAGCTGACATACTCTTCTTAAGGGTTTTATTGGAAGTGAGCCATTAATTAGTCTTTTTACCATCAATATTTTGCTTAATTTTCACAGCAAAATCTGAAATATCTTTAAGAAGTAACTCTGGCGCTTCTAATGCAGGGAAATGGCCGCCCTAAAATTTACAACGGTAAAAATGAGGATAGCACCTGTAAGCCTTCAGTGGGATAATTACCTTTTTATGGGTTCTGTATTGCACTAATTTGAAAGTAACATCCAGCCAATCTTTGGGCATCTATAATATAAAATTTGCTGTTTCAGGATCCTGTGGTAGGCATATATCAGAGAGTGTACAAACGCGAACCTTGAATGCCTCGTTTTCGAAGTAAGACACAGCAACAGGAACTTTTATGGAAGATTTACCCAGATCGATTACTGATTTTAAATCGTTCTTTTTAGTCTCGTAGTAAAGACGATAAGAAGAAGACATTGTATTGGTAATCCAGTAGATGGTAACTTGAGTTAGGAATTCATCAACTGTAATAGTTGATGGCAAAGCACGTGTCTCATATTGCTCTTCGGAGTCGAAATAACTCCAAGCATGGTAAGGTTCTAGCATCCATCCAAGCAGTCCTACTGGGCTATCGGTTAGCCCATACGCCAAAGTATAAGGCCTCGTAGACTGAATAGCTCTGTAGCCTGCACTATCATCCTTATCGCAATTAGCAAAAGCCCTTTTGCTTAAATTTTTTGACTCATCCTTGCCATAAATTGCTTCAACACCCATGAAGATAGACAAGATGAATAAGAAAACTCTGTAAGGACGTGTGATCAGATTTCTAAAGTTAGGCAGTGGAGGCATTGCAGAGGGCATATTGGTTAGAAATCCCATACAATGCTCAGGATAGGCATTGGCCATCTGCGTTCCTATCATAGCTCCCCAATCGGTTCCGTATACCACTATCATATATTAGATTACCATCAAAATTGTACGTATAAGGTAAATATCTTACTGTATTTTTCATAGCCTAATCGTTGCATTAATTCATGAAACATAGCAGCCATTTCAAACAAGCTGCAGCTACCATCCAAACGCGGAGCCTCCGAAAAGCCATAACCCGGCAAACTGGGCAAAACAACGTGAAAGGCCTAAGAGGTGTAATTCAGCGTGACGAATGAGATAGATAGAGTGAAGTTTTGATAGACATCTTACTTGAGTTTCACTACTTTTCAAGGGCTCTACCAATTTGTGAAATTCATAAAACGTGGAAGGCCAGCCGTGAATAAGAATAATTGGGATTGCCTCACTTCTTAGAGATGGCTCATGGACAAAGTGAAGGTTTAAATTTTGAATCTCGGTAACGTAATGTTGTAGTTTGCTTAAATCTTGTCTCTTCCTTTCCCAGTCAAAGTTATGACGCCAAGCAGAAATGAGTTCCTTGACAGCCCAACTGGGTGTACCACATCGCCAACCTACCTGTTCACTATCTGCGAACTCATTAGGAAATCTCACACTGGCTAATTTGCTTTTCAACTCTTGTTCATCGAGTTGTGGTATTTCGAAGACTTTTATCAAACCGCACATTAAAAGATTATAGTAGATAAAGGTGCAGTAAAGCAAGCTTTAAGCACCGGAAAACGTTGAATAACAGATCTTCGTCTTCTCGTAAATTTTTAAGTGTATGTCTGAGCCTGTGTGAATATATTCCTTTATGACTGATTGCCTAAGGTTGCTTACTTTTACTTTAATGCATAGCTTGTGAAACGATGAATGAGAACAACCAAAAAAATCATTGTTATGACGAGAATGCATACACTGTATATCTGCAGCTTGCACGATAGTTATCATCCTTATCAGCAATAGTACTTGTAAGCAGCTTCATTATACGAGTTGCACGCTTTTATTGTATGACAACTGTATTTTACGCACTCGCTTATAAGGATGAAACTTTGCCATGTTTTTTTGTTCCTTGACGTTATATTTCGGCCGCTTCTATTTCGGACTTGTGTCTCCCCACTTTTATTTTTATCTCGTCTGAGCGATATTATAATCTGCAGTTTCCCTGCCATTGTCCCCGTACCTCTTCTACATTTCAATCGAGCAGTTCAACAGAAGAATAACAGCACCTGGGATGACATCGTCTAATTTAGCCTTTGAGCTATTTACTCTTCCAGTTCATGTCGAAATCAATACTTTTTGGACGACCTTAAAAGAAAATAGTTACTTCCTACTTCAGCAAACGAAAACGCAGAAGAATGGGCTAATGAGGAGTGTTTTGGGTACTTTACAGAATGTGTAAGTTGTGATATTATTATAATGAGGCCGTTTTGATGTATTGTAAAATTTTAAGTAATAATTAAACTGATATTTCAGCCTAGATACGAAACAATCTCCTTATCGTATACTATTTCGACGCCTCGATGGTACCTTTTTACAGGTTGCTGTAGCGGAAACAGAGAAGAAAATTGATGTAGCTTGGCTATGGATTGAAAGTAGGAGATTTTTTATTGTACCATATCTAAAAACATTAGCTGTAAATTGATCAGATAAGCGTCTTTAGCCAATTTGAATCCTTTACTTGGTAATCTGGAGGAAGAGGAAAGAGAACCTTTCGTTACCACGAAGATAAATTCTATTGTTACACGCAGAGGTATAAACGTGCTTTGTTGAGGAATCAGAACGCTATATTGTTCTAACTACTATACTTTTCCTAGGTGCTATCACTGATGAAATATCAGAAGATGAGAAGGTTAGAAAAGTTTCTAGAAGCTTTAGACAAACTTTTGAAGTCGCTCCAACAGAGCGTCTTGTGAGCTGTAAAGTTTATAAGCATCATATATAGATATTGTCCTTTGACTTACTCTACCTGAAAATTGCGTGTAGATTATTCAGGCGCTTATCATACCAATAGATTCACCAGCCAAGGGTGGCTTTATATCAGTGAGAATTACTTAGGATTCTATTCCTTTTTGCTGGGTTATGAGACCAAATTATTGTTAGAATTGAAGGATATCCAGGATATAAAGAAAGAACGTTCGAAGCGTGGTGTTTTTTCTGACGCGATTAAAATCACAATGAAAGATAAGGTTGAGGTAAGTACAGCTTCATAAATCAGAGCTTCTGTGCTTGGAATGGCTGATCTCTTTGCAATAGCATTTTTTCTCCAATTTATTTAAAAGAGATGAAGTGTATGATACTTTAGTGCAACTTACAGGGCTTGCAATGCAAAGGGTGCTTAAAAATACAGCTTTGGAACATGCACCTGGAGGAGATCTTTCTATTGATATCAAAGATAGTGATATTGAAGCTGCAAAAGACGGTAACAAAGCTTTGGTGGCTGTAGATTTGAAGAAGCTGATGCAACCTTTAAAGTCAAATCTTGATGCGCAAAAAAGGGACGAAAGATTCAGAGCAAAATTCAGACTGCCGCCTTCTGAGCATCTACTGTATTCCATAAGCACTGCCTACCCTGCAGAAGAGGAGATGATGGTTGACTCCAAGCCAATGAGGATAACAAATAATTACACTGGTTTATTGAACCTTTCCGAAGCATACATTACTTTCGATTCGACAAAGCAGGGACATTACTACGAAGTTGTTATGCCTTTATACACCATTCGAAGAGTTGAGCGCATCACTAATCAACCGACAGAGTACTCGATAAAACTTGTTAATTGGCACCAAACTGAGTTCATCTTTAATCTAAATGCGTAAGATTTTTCTTCATCAAGTACCTTTCTATACAATTATTTACAATGCTCCTTAATTTCCTATAATTTAGCTCTAAGAAAGAGTATGAGCAGTTTTCGACTTTATTAACAGCAAACTTGAGGAATCAGATAAAATTCATGAAGACGATGAAACAATTTTTAGCAACTTGTGCATCAGAATGGCTGGTTGCTGATAAACCAATTGAAGGCCTGAGTTCTATTCCAGGAGGCCTGGGATTACAATATGAATTTCCTGGAGACCCAAGGAAATTAAAGGAAAAAAGTAAAATGAAGCTTTGGAAGAAGTACTTTAATGGTAACGGCCATACAGTAACATTCTCTAGCGATTATAATGTGCGTAATTGTTGACATCTATTTTGTTGGGTAGAGTATGGTAGAAACTTGGCTATTCCAAAGACATCTCGTTTTTCCAAATTGATTCGTGTTGGTTTACCTAACTGCTTACGAGGTGAAATATGGGAAGTTTGCTCTGGTGCTATTTACGAAAGATTTATGAACCAAGGCTTGTACGAGCGCATTTTGAACGAAAACAAAGATAAAACATCGCTCAGCTTAGAGGAGATTGAGAAAGATCTAAACAGGTCTTTGCCCGAATATAAAGCATACCAGCAATCCGAGGGTATAAATCGTCTAAGAAGAGTTCTAAGCGCTTACTCTTGGAAAAATCCAGAATTAGGTTATTGTCAGGCTATGAATATTGTTACATCAGCTATTCTCATGTAATTTGCTTGTTCCTTCCTACAACAAATGGCCTGGAATCTAATCAATGATTTATTTATAGTTATATGAGTGAAGAACAGGCCTTTTACACACTAGGTGTACTATGCGATGATATGCTGCCAGGTTATTATAGTACATCAATGTACGGCGCTCTTCTGGATCAAATAATCTTTGAAAACTTGCTTGAAAAGATGATGCCAAAACTGTACAACCATTTCAAATATACAGATATACAGCTTTCGGTTGCTTGTCTACCTTGGTTTTTGAGTTTATATATAAACTCTATGCCTTTGTTATATGCGTTTCGAGTATTAGACTGCTTTTTCTTGGAAGGACCCAAAATTTTATTTCAGATTGGGTAAGTAAGCTGCTGTCAAATATCTGATACTTGGTTGAAAATTACTAACCAGTTGTAATAGTCTAGGTAAATAATACTTCACTTACGACTCATGAAGCTGTAAGGATATTTCACTAACGGTCATTTAGCTATACTAAAAATTAATGGTGACGAGCTTATGGAGGCTGCGGATGATGGCACTTTCATGAACATATTAAAGCATTATTTTAGCAACTTAAATCAGCCACTTTACCCCAATTCAGATAATACGAAAGCAAAAAATTTGACGGTAAGGCTTCTTAAAAGCATGAGAACACGTAAGTCAATTAGGCATATTAAATTGGTTGGTTTTTTTTTACTCTTAAAAGAAATTCAATGAGCTACTGCTGGTCGCTTATCGAGAATTCGGTGGCGTATCCGATGAGCTCGTTCGTGAATTGCGACAAACTCATCAACTTAAAGTGGTGGCAGGAATCGAATCGTTCACAAAACGCTCAACAGTTCGTAATATTGAAGATTCTGCTGGGTTGGACAAAACAGAGCTGGGCATCTTATATGATAAATTCTATAACGTTCTCTACTACAAATCGAAATCAGACTCTTCAAAAATGGATTTGCAACTATTTGAAAAGTTTATTGGAAGCGTAGCAACTTGGGCAAAGATTGATACTGAGGAGTATGACGGCGATGAGCGACGACTTAAAGTAGCGAAAGGATTCATATATCGACTATTCAAAGCATTTGACCGGCAAAATCACCAGAAGTTGAATTTCCAGGTTAGGAAATACCATCATATCATCGCTTAGAATATTTCCCTACTCACTATGCAAGACTTTATTATCTATAGGACGCCGTCATTGGAATTGGTAATATATGTAAAGGCGATCTAAATTCACAAATTAAGTTATTCTTCGACCTTCATGATATAGACCAGGATGGTTTCTTAAACAAGGAGGAAGTTGTCCAACTTTCAGAAACATTATTGTGGATTTTTAGACACTCGCAGGCTGAAGATTATCTAAATTCCGTATCAACATTTTTGCATAATGCATTTGAATATTCAGAGAAGAAAGGGGACGAAAAACTGCTCTCTCTGGCTTCTTTAAGGTAACGATCATCCAAGTTTCGTAAGCTTAAGATTTTGACGACTTGTCTGCGACCTAACTGACGAATTGCAATAAATTAGGATGATCATTTTAGCAGACGAAAATTTCGAAAAATTCTTCAATTATGGATTTGCAGAATCCTTCCAACTCACTGAGAAAGCTGTTGAGCAACAACGAAGCCTTGGTAGAGAAATCTTCAATAACTTGTTAGCGACAGGCTCTAAATTAGCCTCGACAACCCGTCCACAATTTAGATCCAAAAACTCTGACAGCGACCAAAATTCCTCAGAGATTCAAGATACTATCAGCACACTAAGAAACATAAACTTAGATGAAGCCGTGACAAAGATACCCCCAGATCACAAAGAGGTCAAAGAAACCATTGAGAATGCTAGCTTGAACGGCAAATCAGAAACGGAAGTGACTGAGAATGAATTTAAAGAAAAGGTGGAGAAACATGTTCTGGGTGACGATAGTGACATTTCTGATCAAGAAGTTGAGGACGAAGAGGAGGAACTGAGTCCCGATGTTTTGGAGGAAGTTGATCGACTATTGAAAGAGTACGATGATGAAGATGAAGAAAATGAAAATGAGAAATAAATGCAAATTGCTGTAGCGTAAAGGAAACGATATTGTGTACATATTGGAATTTTCATAGTATTATTCAAGGATGATTTTAAAAGGTGTCAGCTTGTATGAGATTGCATACTATGCTTCTCTTTCCTCAATTTTCTTTTCTCTTTCTTTCGTCAACAACTTTTTTTGAGAAACATTTAGTATCATTCGTTAGAAGTGCAATAGTAAAAGTTTTTCCCTGATGGATTACTGGTGGGTCTACCGAATCATATCTTATCGCAGTACCCTCTTGATACTGTATTAAATGCTCGAACAGACGGATATGTGCAACATTTACTAAAACATCCGGATGAATGCCCCCTTTTTCCATGTCGATGTTTGTCTTGATCATAAGCTCATATGTATACCTACACCTTCACTCCGAGGACAGGAATCAAAACGAGATCTCTCTATTCAAGAGTTTTTTTTTAGAATCAACCTCTGTTTCACTGGTACACAAATAACAGTATTTAAGCCTATCTATTTATCCTCAGAAGTGCAGGATATAGCCAGTACAAAATTAATGTTACTGAGTTCAAATGATTTTACTAGCTCGCATAATTATCCATCTACGACCATTGCATTCAATGGATAAGCATTTCGAGCTCGCAAAAAAAATTATTGAAATAAGAGATGGACGGATAAAGATCACGAAAACTGTCAAGCACATTACTATTTCGCCTATTCCTAATAGCAAATCTCAACTGCTTTGATAATAGGTCCTCATTGTAATTAGATACAAGAAAGTGTATTCAGTTTCCTGCTTGCCTATTTAGGATTTACTTTGTATATTGATAAGAAAGGCAGTAGAACATAGCATGACTTCGATTGAATGGAGGGGGTCAACTGTATTTGCATCGGGGACAGGTCCCATACGGCCACCACGACGGATATGGATACGGTAGATGACATAAACTTGCTTGGTCTTTTCACTACCCCTATGTTCTAGCGTTCGAAAACTATTTTGATAAAATACGAGATATAAATGTTGAACGTGCTCAACACTCTTAACGAGTTGATAATAGTTTAAAAGACAAAAAGTTGGTTATGGGGACGGTTACAACAACTGATGTATGGTATAAACTTCTTATGCTTGCAAAATGGGCACAAATCAGAAGATCCATACATCTCAAGGTACAATGCTGATTCTACAAATCCAGCCTATCAATTTGTATGTAACAGTACTTCGCTTTGGTTTATCTTACATCCATCGTATAATCTTCCCTTTTCCCAACGCTACACTTCAATTTTTGTTACAGTTTTTTGTCTTATGTTCCTAATTCATCCAGACAAACCTTCTAACTTTTCAGTCACATTACTTGAAACCATCCCTACTCGACTTTGCACAATATTAACTGCAAAATGACGTGTACGCTGCTGCATAAACTCTGTCTGCTTTAATGGTACGAAGCAAACATACCTGTTCTGGTAAGCCTACTGCTTTACTAATGCGTATTATACACGACTCAGCGAGTGTTATGTAGAGGTCTATGTGTCTAAACGGCTTGTTATTACCAAAGAGTACCTTTATGTATAGAAGCAAATAGCCTTGATCTTTTGAAATAAAGTGCATGAATTGTTTGACTTTGCAATTTTAAAAATTCTAAATTGATCCGTTCCACATCTTTATTATACCTGAAATATTGGGAAGATCCTAATATTTAGTATATCAAGTCAGCAAATCAAAATTGATACCAAGGGTTTTTTTTTATGACTTCAAAAACACAGATTAAGCGAAACATCGACTATCATAGCGACGTTACAAGTATGTCATGGGTTTACATCAAAGATCAGAGGGTGAATATAAAAGGAGCAGAAAGTTTAACAATCTCGTATATAACTTTTTATCTGAAATACAATAATTTCAATACATCAAAATGGATAGAATTTCTGGAACTTTTAAGAAGGCTGCCGGTACTGTTATGGGTGATGAGCGTATGAAGGCTGAAGGCGACGCTCAAGCCGCCAAGGGCCAAAATGCTAACCAACAATACGGTGAACATGTTCCTCAGACTCAGGCTTCAAGTGGTCCTCAAGCAGCTAACAACCAAAGTGTTGATACTAATCAATGTCAGAACAACACTGCTGGTAATAACACTACTGGTAGAAACACTGGTCGTACTCAAAATGACTGGGGTACTTTATAAATTCCAATATCACTCTAGCTTTGTGAATTTGTTGTAAATTTGTTATGTACATATATTTTTTCCGTTTGTAATTACACATTGTTTCCATTTTACTTTGAAATGAAACCAACCTTATCAAAAATCCATCAATAAAAGAAATGCAATTTGAGCGACTCTATCAACAAACAGTATCTGTCTGTGATGGCTATCATAATGTCTGAGAGCAATGACCATGCAAAAAAACTGCGCCCGAACGGAAGCTTTCCTAGGCAAAGTAAAATAAACAGCGGGCATAAACACAAGAATGAGATTGTTGATAAATCCACAATGAAATAATACTCATATCGCTGTTAATTTTCACAGTAGGCATGTTATATTAATGAATGACGGCATTAACTCTGATTTATTGCTGATAAATATTACGTTGATCAAAGTGTAGGATTGTAGATAGAAAGTTCAAACAGACGTTAGTCTGTTTCCTCTGTGTGGTAACCGCTACGTCTACAAATACAAGAGGGGATTGTCAAATTTTCTATGCAAATAAAGTTTAGCAGAAACAGTAGTCTTACCTCATTTCAGCCAATATGCGACGAGCATTAGTTAATTCAGCATCCAGTTTCAAAATTTTGACTTGTTGTTCCATTTCTCTACATTTGAATTCATGGACAGATAACTTGTTAAAGTCGATTTCATCGGTTTCATCCTTATTTTGTTGAGCCACAAGACTCTTGATTTGTTTCACTAATTCAGCAGCGGCATCCTTTACGCCCTTGGCAGCCAGTTCCAGACGTTCTTGAGTACGCGACATAAAGCTAGATTTCACACGAGAAGCGGACACCAACTGAGCGGTAGCAGCTGACACTTCGTTGGAGGCAACAATAAGCTGCTCAAGAGAATGTGTCTTACTTATCACACCGTCTGCAGCTTCTACTAACATATTTGTGGCGACAGCGACAGCTTTCGCAGCCGAAATCAAACCTTCTGTCCATCTGTTATGTTTTTTATAGAATGCAGCTTTGGAAGCAGAACCTCGACCTTGAGCGACAATTTCTTGCTGAGAGGCAGTGGCGCATTTAATCAAATTAGCAATAGCATTGGTAAGAGCTAATACAGAGTTTAAAATCAGCTGATGGACTTGAATATCAGTAGCAGAAAAGGCAGGATTAGCGGGTCGTTGAAGTAGTTGTTGGATTTTAGCAGAAGCTTCCTCAATGGTGCGAGCAGCACGGCTCATTTCTTGCTCAACAAGATCGCCTACTTCTCCTTCTGCCATCTTATTAACATCAGCGGCTCCAGTCAAAATCAAATCTTCCGTCTTTTGGGATAATTTCGTCAAAGCTTCTTGAACACGCATATCCCCTTGAATGACCACCTCCGGTCTTTGAGCATGTGGCAGCATTTTAAGGTAGGTAGACATGACACTGCTAAAGTAGTGAATACAGGCTTCAGCTGTATTTTTACCAAGTTTAATAAGCTCTTCTCCGTCTTCATCTTTAGTAGCATATTGAGTTAAACCTTGTGCATGTTGAAGCACATCCACAATAGTATCTGAAAATTCAAGAGTACGAGTGATGGTGCTTGTATGATCGCCTGTATTACTTCCATCCAAAAATTTGCTGAATGCCGACATGAATTCAACTGATGTAATACTAGCCCTTTCAATCATGGATAATGCTAATTCTGGCGTTGCATTTTCGTTACCGTGCGATCCAGGAGCATCCAATGCGTAAATACTGTCATTGATTTTCTGAATGCAAGTACTCAGAATGGAATCTTAAACAAAAGCCGGTTAGTCATCCTCACCACTAACTTCTATACCTGAAAAATCTAAAGTTTACCCAAAATTTGGTTCAGTTTGTCATTTTGTTCAGATTCCAAACGATCAAGTTGACTTTGAAGTTCTTGCTGTCTATCATTCTGTAAAGTGCGCAAATAGTCAAGTTTTTAGCATGTAAAAAGACCCAAAAACTCTCTCGCTTACCTGTTGAAGTTCAGCAAGTTGTTGAAGGCATTCATCCATACCAGCTTGTAAAACAGCAATTTCTTCATCTTTTTCCTAATAACTATACGTGTGAGTAAACGTTCTTATTCAAAAATATGGACATGTGAATTTACTTGGCGGATATGATCGGTTTCGCCTTGTTGCTCTTCAATTTGCTTCAAGAATTCATCAATTAAGGCTTGTTTTTCCATTAAACTAGCTTCAAGTTCTTGCTTTTCCTTATTGAATTTTGTTAAGAGAGCACTAACTTCATCACCTTTTGATCTGCCCATATTTGAGATTTGTTCACGGGCACTGTCCAATTCGCGACGCAAACGATCCATATCATCACGCTGATTCTATACCGTGCATAGAATGTTGGAAAACAACTCTTTTTTTTTTTCATAATGGCTCTTCACATTTGTCTACTTACCCCTTGTATACGCGCTAACTCGTTACGGGCTCTATCGCGCTCACGGATTAAATCAGCAAGCTCGACATTCTTTGCACGCATATCAGCTTGAATTCGTTCTAGCTTTTCCGTAGTTTCTTGTGCTGAATTGGCCTTTACTTGTAGTGCCTTGAACTTATTCAATAAATCAATATGCTCCTTTCTCAACTGACTGTAAAGTTTAGCCAATGCCTCATATTTGTTCTTCCACATTTGAATTTCACCTTTTCAATTAAATTATATGCGTGAGTTTTTTTTATAGCTAACATACCCTTTTACTGAAATGGAACCTACTCTGTAAAGAGCGAATCAACTCATCCTTTGACTGATCTCTCTGCTGAGCATTAGCCGTGACAGAAGTCAATTCTTGTTCAAGAGCCTTGACTCTTCTATCATACTGCTCTAGCATCAACTGATTTCGCTCCAATTGGTTGCGACTATTCAACAACTGCATTTCTAAATCATTGATTCGGCCATTTTGCTGCATTTGCATTTGTTGTCTCAATAACTCTTCTTGTCTTTGTCGTTCGAGATCGGCCATACGACGCTGCTGTTCTTCGTACTCTCTTTGTTGTTGCAATTGCATTTGTCTGATTTTTTCTTGTTCTTCGGCTCTTTGCTGAGCTAAGCGCTGCTGCTGTTCGTCATATTCACGTTGTTGTTGAGCTTGTTTCTGGGACCAAAAATCAATGACAGGCTCGGGAGAAGCTTGAGCAGGTGGAGCTTCGATGGCACGGGTCACCTCGGGTCGTTTAGGAAGTTGAGGTGTGCTCGAATCGGTGAGAGATGGTGGATCGGGTGAAAGTTTTGGAACATTGATAAGACTGGTCAAATATTTGAGGTTAGAGCATTCATAATAGAACTTTAAAAGAGCATAATGTTGCGCATTGAACTTTTGCTTCAATGGAGTAAGAGCCTCTGACGAGTCAGTCCCTATAATAAAACCCCCCTCCCCTTTTAATCAGTCTTTTCCTTTCCATTTTGTTGCTCGCTTCATTGTAGCTCTTCATAACTTACTCTGATACATAGCTCTCAACATGCTGGTGATGAACTTGTAAATACCATAACTTTCTTCAACAAGAGGTACAAGAGCAGCAATACGACATTCGTTGTTCGAGTGGTGTCGGAAACTGTGGAATACAACTTTCTGAAATCTGTCGATATGATCTTGCAGAGTCATCAAATCGCTGATAGTTTCAAAACTGTCATTAAGCAACATGGTATTAGTATTTAGAGAAAAACGAGTTTTTCATTCAAGCGAAGGCTGTATATGTTACCCTTCATTGGGATCATCAATATTTTTCAAACTGATATATTCCTCATAATCAAATGAACCATTGAATTCAGGGTGGGTACGGTGATATTGAAGTTTATGTAATAAGAAATCGACGTAGGAACGAATCAAAGTACCATAACCCCGCATGCCGTCGCCATTGACGCTGCGAGCACAGGTTTCTAACCAATTCGTTTCGCGAATGGCATCTTTAATTACCTACATAAAGTCAAATGGTTCCATGAGTTAAAGCTTTCTATCTGGGAGCAAGCAGTAAAAGAGGTGAAAAACCAAGTGCATGCGCCTTACGTTAGGATGTCCATCCTTAATGATTTTGTGAACCAAGATAAGTGCTTTAAAGGCTTGAATTTCGTCAGAAAGCAGAGGCTGAACTTTCAAAATATTCCATATAATAGCCGAAGTTCTATGATCCCAGGTATACACAATGCATTCTATGTAAACAATTAAATGGTTATTCATAAGTAGGACGTCATTCAGTTACCCGACATTGCTCTCTTACTTCTAACGTGTTTTTGCTTTGGTGCGGTTTCTTCTATGCTACAAGCTTTTCTAATACTTTGAGCAAGCTCTGATTCTGCCTTTTCAGCAGAAAGGTAGGACATAGTTTAGCTGTTTCGTAACCCAACAAAAGAGAGTAAGGAATATTGAACTTTTCTCTTTGTCTTTTTTCCCTGTCTGTTAATGTGTGTGCTTTTATGCCCGTTTAAGTACTGTTATTAAATCCCCGCATATTTTTGCTCCAAAATCCCATTCCATCACCAAGACGGTTTAAGGACTTTATATGAAACTGCAGCACAGCCTCTCATACAAAACAAAAAAAGATGCTACAGCCTTGAATCAACTACAGTACTAATTAAGAATTTGAACAATTCACAGATTTCTGCATGTGCATGCTAACTCTTCGCTCAGTCAGTGAAAAACAATCGTCTTATTCTTGAACATCCGAAGCTTATTTTATCCCGAGACCCATTTTTTGAGTTATGTGTTCAGTGGTTTGAGGGCATGGTGTTTCTTTGAGCTATATAATGCTTACTGAGGTTATATTTAATTGTAACGGACTGCTTAACGACAGCTTTTGACTACATAAATTGCTCAGTGTGATGATCAGCTTTTGAGAGCTTTCTGAATATAGCATAATCGCTGTAGGTTATAGAATGTTTAACCGTCCCGCCCAGCTCAGATGATAGAGGAAGGTTCGTTGTTCAAATGAATGTACACCAATTATATATGTAATCGTACCAAAAATAGAGAAATGCTTGCATATTCGACCACGGACTTGTTACACAGATGATGGCATTTCTGTTTGCATTAAACGCGTTACAGTATATGTAGATAAAGCTTTCTTTTTTTTAAAATACAATAATATATCTTAAACTTCAATGATTTTATTCGAATGCTTCTTTAATGCTACATGTGGTAGCATAGCAATTTAGTTAGTTTGGATTTTTCGTATAGGATATTTTGTTGCTGAGTTGGGTTATACACTAATTTTGCGGCAAGTTGGTGCACAAATTTCATGTCGCTGCAATTATGATTACTTGGTTTGTTGGTGTTTTTTCTCCAAAGCTTCAAGATCTTTCTTGATAGCCTCTGTATTCTTCTCTTGCTTGGCTAAAGCTTCACGCAACATTTTGATTTTATCAGCGTCCTATATGATAGAGCATTCAGTTTGAATTCAAAATTTCCTTCCCCACATTTTTAATAAAAATTACAGATCAACTTATGTATAGCTTACATGCGAACGGGCCCACTGATTTTCGATCGCCCTTTCCTTTTGACCGAATTGACCAGAAGATGCCGTGGCACCTTCAGAGCCAGACTGATAAGTGGTGTATCTTTTCGATGTTAAACGAAAGCTTCTGAATGGAGCTCTTGAGACGGATTTTGTAAGCATAATAGTTTGTTTTAAATTTTGAAGGAAAAACAGAAGGAAAAAGACAAAAGAAAAAAAATTTGAAACCCCCTGCCTTTTTGTAATTCAAGTTATAGACAATTAATTCATTATTTGCTTGTGTGTGTGTGTGGTTTTTTTTGTTTTGGTTGTTTTTTTTTTTTGGTTGGCGTCATCCGTTTTTAATTGAGTTAGAGTTTTTAGATCGTTTAGTCAGAATTTGAAGTGATAATTTGAGACTCTACTTCCATACGCAAGTCAGTCGTACAATAATCATTTACTTTGGCTGTTTTGCTTTAAGTATTTCCTAGCTAATTATTACCAGCCCAACGTTAGAGAACTATGAATAGCTAGAAGCGTTTACAACTTGTCATCCACTTCAGGAGATACGTAAAACGGCGCTATTTATTACTTAATAAACATTTGAATTCCTCTTGTGAAGATACCAAGAGGTTTCCGGAAAAAGCAAAAAGCTTATGATGTAGGGTTATCAGGCTTGCAAATGAAATGAACAGCTTTATGTCGTTTCAGCAACATGAGAAAACAGTTGTTAATATCCTATTGTTGTGGCTCTCTCTGATGAATTGCGTATTGAGGAGCTAGCCTAATTCCAAGCTGCTTTCTGAATGTATCCATTGGGGTATGGAAATGTTCTTCATAATAAACGTTCATTAACGGTCCACATGTACTTCCGCACTGGATGGCCCATGGAACATAACCGCCGTATAATCTTCGACGTTCCGGCCATGTCAATCTCAGAGGGCCAAATAGAGATGCCAGCATGGTCATTGGGAGACCTGTTTGAGCCCACTCGAACCATTTGAGGGCCACCTCTTCCTCTACCGTCACTCCTAATCCAGTCAATACATGGAAGAAATCATGAATTTCGCGATAACGCTTCATCACGTAAGCTAGCTCTTCATCATCGACGTAGTGTACGTCACGCCTTGTATCGGGCGTAACTCCTTGCGCTTCCAGCCAAGTGATGTACTCGTGGCCAAAAGTGCCCGGTGCACATGTCTGCTTCAATTTGTCAAAGTGAATGGTTTTGGTATTAATGATGGGTCTTTCACGTAGAATACGTCTGCCGGTAGGTGATTGTAGCATCTGGTCTCGTAAGCGCCTCAAGAATAGCTGACCGGTTGTTTCACCTAATGTAGCTACCATATCTATCATTTCCATGAGCGCATACACACACACACACACACGGAAAGTTCGTTAATGCTTCCGTTCTAGGTTTTTGCTTTTCTGAATGTCGGTTTCATTTACCTCCACGTAGAGGGTTATTCAAAGCAGTAAAGGCAGAAGCAACTGTCAAAACTGCTCTCTCTATTTTTGAGATGGGTCTATGTGTATCATACAACTTCTTCTTCGTCGCTGGCATGAAGTCTAAGTTTATAGTTTTGAATTGGGTATCAGTTGAAACATTATCCCGTTGCTCTTCTTTTTTCGAAAAAGACAAGTCCATCATTTAACCTTGTGGGTCGACTGTTTCAATAGTTGAAAGTCCACGAGTGAACACTTGCACATGGCAACTTGCAATGACTTGTCGTTTTAAGTGTTGTTGGACGGGTCGGTACGCGTGCTTAAGCATAAGAAAGAAAGAAATGGGAAATGCACAAAAGGGAAAAATGAAAAGAGCGCTCATCCCCGGGGATTATGCAATTTTATCAGGTTCAAATTTTCTCTTCTCCAAATAAGTTGCTGCCTCATTGGCCGATAGGCAAATAGGTCTCCTCACATCTTTTAGAAAACGATGCATCTTTGAGGCTGTGCTCTTTACAGGCGAGAGACGTGTATTTCCAGCACACAAGGATGCCCCCGATTTTAAAAGGCAGTGGTAAAAGGGCCGTTCCATTATGCATGAAGCAGGCGTTCCACACTTTAAAAGAGGACTTCTCAACAGTCACGATGCGATTTCGCTCTGGATATAAATACGCAGTAGAAGTTTCATTCCATTGATCCTTATTTACATTTATCTTACTACAGTATACCTTTGAATAAAAAAGCATGAGTGGACCAGCAACAACACCAGCACCAACCATGCAAAAAAAGCCTATGGCCACTTCCACACCAGGAGCTACTTCACAGAAAGATGCACAGCAACTCTCTCCAGCAAAAAGAGTGCCTCGTCGCCGAAAAAAGAAACCACTAACGCCTAGGCAAAAACTTGTACAAGACAGTGCACAACAACGATTTAAGATAGAAAAATTAGTGTTTGTATGGCAAGAGAAACTCTTTTCGCAACCCAAAGTGACGATGGATACGTTACAGAGAGCAGCGACTTATCTACAACCTAAAACGTACGAAGAAGTCGTTGAAGAGCGTGTAGTGCAAGAATGGTGTGGTTATCCCATTTGCGATGATACAGCAAGAACAGGTGTACTCAACAAGTTCAAGATATCTTTATCCGAACGCAAAATAGTCGACCAGACTGAGCAAGCTAATTACTGTTCGGAGGAATGTTATCGAAAGTCAAAGTATTATATATTGCAATTGTCTACGGAACCTGTATGGTTTCGCGATCTGAACGTTCCGTCAGACGTTCATATTATAAAAAAAGAAGAAGATTTCAGGTAAAGAAAGGGAACAGTTATATTTGTTATTGAAAGTTGTACTTGGTTTACTTACTGATGTTGTTTATTCCATTCCACCCATCGGCAGATCGGCCATCGATCGACAAAGAAAGCGATTAAAAGCCAAGAAGTCAAAAGAGGAGATCAGAAAAGATTACTTGCAGAAATTATTGGGCCGCCTTCCAAATGATACAGACAATCAATTTCAAATTGTTGAGAAATCGGGCATTCCAATAGCAGTTGATACGCAACAGGCTGGGTTACATGATTGTATTGAGGGATATCGGATAGAATTGAAAAATGACAGTAATAAACCAACTACCATCATTTTAAAGAAAGAAAAGAAGAGCGAAAAAACAGAGGCCAGTAAGGATGAAGCGTATAAAGTAGATGGAGAGAAAAAGATGCAGGAAATCGATTCAGTGGATCCAGAAGATCCAGAGGCTCTTTTTGAGACAATGATGATGTTAAAGAGCATGGATTTGGATAAAGAAGATCAGACGGCCGAAAAGATGGGTCAGCAGCCTGTCAAAAAGAGGCCAGCTGCTGAGGAAAAGATGCCCAAGGAAAATAGCATTATCAGTAAGCCTCTTCAATGCTTAGACACTGGTCATGGTGAGCCGCAACAAAACTTAAAGTCACAATCGCCTGCTAACAAGGTACCCACAAAGGATACGTCAAGCAATAAAACCACCCATGCGAAAACGGCAAAACCCAGAAAAGCGAGTAAAAAGAAGCAACATCGCAATGTTCCAGAACTGTCTTTGTTCGGTACCATTTGGACCTTGTTAGATAGGCTAACTACAAAGGCGACTCGAGTATATTTGAATGAATTGGAGTCAACAAAACAACGCCTAGATATACCCGCATTATTGAAAGAGCATGATTTAATAGATGAAGAAGCAGCTCTTTTAAGAGCACAAGTATTTAGTGAGCAAATCATTGAATCGTAAGTAACATGATGTATATGTTCTTCACTTTCATAGCTGAGCTCTCACAATAGGGTGAATTTAATAATTAGTTACCAGATGATTCAAATACAACTGGGTATCAAAGAAAATCTACAAGACGACATATTGAATGTCATTCGAACGTTCCGTTTTTCAGACGCAACCATGGCCTCGCTGAATGCTGCCCAATGTTATATGATGACGTTAGTTATCATGAAGCCAATAGCGGATAGCTTATTGGATGATGATCGCTGGATAGAAGGATTCAAGGATTGTTGTAAAGTGGTTGATCAGTCTGTTGATATGGTAGATGCTTGTGTGCGGGTTCTGAAAGTTGCTAGTACATAGAAACATCAATAAAAAATGGATTTGTAATAGAGTCCAACAGATGCGATGACAAATCGGTCAAGAGTTTCATGTATATTTTCGTTATGAAATCAAATGGTTCCCCATCTGTACATATCTAAAGATGGACCATGTCATTTAAATGATTAGCCTATTCATATTGGGCACAATTTTGAAAGAAGGGCTATGGAGAATCACCTATTGCCTTGTATGTGTTTCAGATCGAGAGGGTTGTTGCAGATGAAATAGGAGCAGCATCCCGAGGCTTGGAAAATTTTTAATGAAAGCTTAAAGCAGTCTGAATTAAGAAGTTATTCATTCTATTTGTAAACGAGCCATTGTATATACAGTAGGCTTCTATTAGACTGGATGGGGGAAGAACAAAATTTTTCTGCTGAACCCGAAAAGAGAGCCAGTAGGTGCAATATGAAATGAGTGTAGGCTACAGCTGAAAAAGGGCACTCTGTACAAGGCAATGATCGTAGAGACTCACATGGGTGCAAACCAGAAATCAAGATCTGAATTGCCGAGTATTTGTTATTTATAGGAGGAGCAACAAACTGTTCATATGCAAGCTGATACAACTTTGTATTTTGTATAATAAGAGGGGCTGGCCTTCCCATCATTTTGCTCTTTGCGTATTTCTATTTCCTTTCTATCCTATTGTTTTATTATTCTTTTCTGTGTATTATGCTAGAGCCATTTTCGGATGGAGTCAATAACCACAGTACAACTGCTGTCATCAGCACCGCTACGTATACCTCTATCATGACAACCTATCAAAGTGACAGCCTTATGCTTGGTCCGACTCCGTTACTAGCAGCGAACAAGCTCTACAACAGTTATCTGCTTATTGTCACCGTTGGGCTTTCGGTTACCTATGGACTCACTATCTGTCTGCGACTTTTTATTCATTGCTGTCGACGATATCATGACAGGCTACAGCAACAAGAAAAGCGAAGATTACGGTCAGCCTGGGCTAGCAAAATAAAGAGAATGAAAGTACAGCAAAAGATACAGAAACAACTGCCATCCACATTATGTCGATACCCTTCAAAAACGCTTCAACCTATTCCCTTTTCTGGGCAACAGCAACGCATTCAACTACCTCTGTCTCATCATTCGTCCATATCGTCCTTGACACTGAAAAACACAACCGCTTCGTCATCATCGTTCGACCATGCCCATAAACCCCTCCTTCGTATCGATTTTATCAAGGATCTTATTCATATGAATAGTCATAGCAGCAGATTAGAGAAACTGGAAGAAGGGGAAGACTGCGAAGAAGAAGAAGCAGAGGGTCATAAAAGTTATTGTTCGTTAAAGCTAGAGACCCTCAGACACACGAACAGCAGTAGCGGTAGTCAACAGCAATACAATGTGATGAAAGTCCCGCTGGACTCGTTGGAAATTGCAGATTTTTCACAGCAGGACAACAGATCTGCCAAAGCGGATTTTACACGCAAATTCAGTTTGAAGAATAAGATTCATAGAATTTCCAAGACGAAGAAGTTAGATTTATTATGGCAGTGGAGTATATCCATGGGCTACTGTGAATATACTCATGCAGTGGCTATGAATGAAATGGCTCAACAATTGATACAACACCATCGAACAACAGCACACGAATAAAAGTAAGCTTATACATAGATAGGATGTGCATTGTCTCCTCCTCCTCTACAGAGGATGTCTTAATAAATAGAATAGAAAACCAATGATCAGCATTATTCGAAGGGGTTACCTTCTAAGACAGTGATATATCTTCAGCCGAACCCAAGCCATCCAGTTTCGTAATGCATAGTTTGCTGTGCATCCAATTGTCATCATTCTTATGCACTCAACTGAACTTTTTTAGAAGAGAGTTGAGGGTGATGTTTTGATAGCGGACAACCCGATTAGTTCAGATAGTTGGGGAGGGTTTCCTTTTTCATCATAGAAAGTAATGACAAAACAGCTCTTCTTTAACTATTTTTGATGATGTGCAGTTTTATCAAACGGCAAAAACAGTCCTTTTTATTCTTCTTTAGAAAGGGGATCGAAAATCCTTTTTTTCCTTCAATGATAACCTTATCTATCAACAATGGAGAGAAAAAGGGTTTATCGACGATTTCTGCATGACGTTTTTGATGGAATAATAGTGATATTACGCTTTTTTACGAAATGACAGATTTTCCAAAATTAATTTTGTTCAGTGATCATACGCGTGTACATGCAACTTAAAGAAAAAAAAAAAAAAAGTAAAAAAATTTTACTCCTTAGTGATGTTGTAAATTCAAGGGTTATTTCGTCATAACGTATAATGCACCTGCATATATTCTACGCTTGATCATCCTCCAATAGAGGAAAAGTTTAAAGAATTGAATTTTGTTGGTTTTTCAAATTAGACAACATTACTTCAAAACGATGCCCTTCTTTTTGGGACAATGGCACGTAGATAAATGGAAAAAAAACAATAGCATTCAATGAAGTCATCGCACTTATTGCTAGCTTCGCACATAGGCATCACATCGTTCTTCCACTTACGGCCGCAGCAATGTGCGAAATGGATGCTTGATAGATTGAATGCAGTTTGTAATTATTTGAGGAGTACAGGGAGTGAGGGGGGCGGGGGAAGAGAAGATAAAATGATCATAGTAATAGTAAGGTTACGTCAAAATAGAGCGGGCTATTTAGATATAGGGTTTAGTACAGTAATACACGCTTTTTTACATTGAACAAAAAAAAAAAAAAGGGTCAGAAAAATCTTCGTAACAAGTTATTAATGCTTGTATTTTTAACGCTCCATCCTGTGATGGGGAAACTCATGTGTCCGGGTTCTTCCTGCTGTTGACCTCGCGTCGCCTAACAATAGAATAGCGCGCTCAATGAGCAGATGAATAAAACTCTTCGCCCTGTAGTAAACACTCATGCTCTACCTCATTCTCGTTGAGCCTCTGCTCCCGGTCGTCCTCGTCGTTGTTCTCCCTATTATATTCATCCACATCGACCTCCATCGACTCATAGGGTACCATGCGTAACCATTGCATCTTGGGCGCTGCGGGAGACAATTCATTAATTCTAAATCCATAAATACGTGGTTGGTATATACGAGGGTTAGGCTTGGTGACAAGCTCAGGGTATGTTTGAAATAAGAGATGAGCATAAGTAGTTCCAAAATGGGCTCCGTCCACATTCTGATAAATTGAGCTGGGACATGCATAAAGATCCATACAGCATGGGCAATATAAGCGGACACTTTCGCGGGCTACCTGATCAAAACGCCCGCATGGAATGACAGGGCATTCAAAGCAGTAATACCGAGGACAGACGCCAAATTCCTCGAGGGAGTAACGCTCTGCCATCATCCTTAAGCCATTGCGAGTCAGCAAATATCGTTGATGGATCAAACCGTAGAGCATGATCGCATAAGGTTCGATGACATCGGGATCTACCCACGTCGTTGGATGATCCGTTTGAGCTTGTATTAGGCGAGAAGAAGACGATGAAGAAGGATCGTGTGTGATTCTATTTTGCTGCTGCTGCTGCTGCTGCTGCTGTTGCTGCTGTTCGCCATGAACCTCCACTTCGGTGGGTATCACCAACACTCCTCCTTGGCCTTGCCCATGGTGTACGTCTGCACGCTTTCCTACACCTGCACTCGTACTATCTTCAGGATCGATATCCAGCAGCATTTCCAGCGCTTCATTATAAAAAGGAACCATACTTGACAGTCCTGTCAAGTTGAATTCGTCTTCAATGAATTCTTCCGGCACTTCCAAATAAAATTCATGTCCTGACAAGGAACAAAACCAGTTGATCCAGCTTTGCAGTGAGCCTTCTTCGTCACTGTTGGATGGAGAATCATTGTCGTTTGCTATATTTCGCATAACACCGGTATATATATTTTAGATCCAAAAGAACTGAGTTTAGAAAAGAACGACTGATACATACATATTATGCAAAAGGAGTAAAAATTGGCATCTTCATTTTACCAAGGTAAGTCATTTGTACATTTTCCAATCTTGTTGGCTTGAATAATCTACTCATCAAGGATGTCAAAAGTCCAGAGTTGTTGATTTTGTTTTTAGCTTGAAGGTGATGTGAAGATGAGATGAGAGGTTGAGGGAAGGGGAAATAAACAAATGGGTCTGTGTGTGATTTAAAAAAAAAGTTGTTCAATTGGAGTAAAGTTGCTTAACTCGACTCTGATTGGCTAAAGAAGGATTCAGTTACCCATTCCTTATTGTTCTTGACTTGGCCGTGGCGTCTGGAGTTGGAAAAGAAAAAAAAAGGGGCGTCTTTTTAACGTGTGCAATTTTTTTTTTTCAAAAACTTCACTGTACAAGGAAAATAAGCAATTCTATTGTTTGCTCATTTCACGACACTTATAAAGGAGATCGGCATAAAATAGCAATGGTATCTCAAACGAGCATAGTAGAAACGACTGATGTTTGGGACGATGCACGCAAACTCAAATACAGAAAGATGAAAAGAAAGTTGATTGATTTTATAGCTGTATGCCACATAAGCTTTGAATACAAAAAAGCCTGAAGCTCGAATGCTAATCCCTTCCTGATGACGATAGCGACAAAAAGAAGCACAAGCGGCATTGGATAGGGCCAATCGTAGAATACAAACATTGGAGAAGAAGCTACGGTAAGCAACACTTTGATTGTGTTTTATGTATCTGTTGGCTTCAAGATAACATTGAACGGTAAAAATAAATAGTCAAAAGCAAAAGGCAGCCCCAAGTATACCTGCAGCAGTGACAAGAACAGCCTCTTCATTATCGTTGACAAAAGAGGATCTTATGGAAACAAGCCAAGCTGAAGAAGAAGAAGGCGGGGAAGCGCATGCTACTGATATGAAAAGTGATAAAGAATTGGAACCAGAGGATGAAGATGATGAGTTGGACGAAGAGGATGAAGACGAAGAAGAAGACGAAGAGGATGAATTGGAAGAGGATGATTCAGGTAAAAGAAAAAGAGTATCTACACATTTTCTTTGTGCTCCTTCGTGCTATAGAAAGTAATAGCAAATCAAACTTTTCGATAGAACCTATGCCAAAAAGACAACGCGTATCACGAAGGAAACGAGTGGTTGTACCCAGGGATGAGAACGGGAATATCCAATTGCCTTTCCAAATAGCTTCTTTAAATGTACTTGATCTTGGTAAGATCGAATGGAAAAGACCTGCTTATCATAACGACCGATATATATTTCCTATCGGATATACAGTAGAAAGGTAACCCAGGACAGAGTAGAGTGAGTATACTTGAGGGGTGCAGGCTAAACCATTGTCTATAATGATAGAACCTATATGAGTATGGTAGATCCCGATAATCAAACAACATACACGTGTAAAGTTGAAGACGGGGGCGATGGACCACTGGTAAAGTATTGCTTATAAATGAAAGCTTCTGTTCCTTTAGCTTGAGAGCTAATTTTTTTTTTTTTAATTTAACCCAGTTTACGCTTAAGGCAGCAGATGCTCCGGATATTGAACTATCCGCTCGTACAGCAACAGGAGCATGGGCGTTAGTTATTAAAAGGGCCAATGAAGTCAGGCAAAAGGAGTCAGCAAATGCAATTTCAGGCCCTGAATACTATGGATTTGCGCATCCTTTAGTACTTGAAATGATTGAGAGCTTGGATGGTGTAGACAAATGCGAAAGATATACCCGTAGACATCATGACTAAATGTTTGTATACTTGCAGCTTCTCCTTTTACATTTAATTGTTAACCATATTTAGTTAGGAAAGAAGAATCGCCTTTGTGTCATTCTTTTTCTTGAATTGTGAAAGTTGGTGTTTCCTATTCCTTTTTTTGCACAAAAAAAATAAAAAAAATAAAAAAATTTAGCGATCTCCCCTTTATCCCAAAAAAAAAGAAAAAAAATGGTGATCAAATATGGTAAACCATGATGTCAATGTCGTTTATGCATAAAAGTTTAAATCATTAATCGCCTCCCTTCTGAGTTTTAACTCTTTTTTTTTTTTTTTTTTTTGTTAATGGTTACGCGAGAAAGGAAAACCTTGGAATATATATAAAGGGTCTTGACTTCTGCCCATTTTGCTCTTCTTCACATCTTCTGCTTGTCCGAATTCATTTTTATCTTATTTATTCGTAATTTTTTTTTTTCTTATTCTTTGTACATAATTCTATTATTTACCCTTAAAAGCAACATGAATAACGCAAGGAATTGCATGTCTATTAATGCACTTGTAGACCATAATGATACCACTACTATGAGTAGTAGTAGTAGTGCTACTGCTGCTACTGCTGCTGCTGCTGCTGCTGCTACCACAATCAATGACTTACCTCTCACACCACCAAGTTCGTGTAAAAGCCGTTCTCCTACGCCTAGCTCAACCGAAAGAGACGATATACAGTACGATACTAGAGAAAGAAGAAGTAGTCTGCAACTCCCAATGTCAGTGGAAGAGAGACGTTACCGAAATAAGTTAGCCTCCGCCAAATATCGCGCAAAGAAGCAAGCCAGCATGAAATCCATGGCTAACAAAGTATCTCAGTTGATGAACAGTAATACGACACTGCAAAAAGAACTTAGTCGAGTAAAGCAAGAAAACGAGATATTACGTGCTATGCTCTTGACTCAACAAACCGCCACCAATATTGCCTCGGGTACTGTTCGCTCTTCTTCCGCATCTACACCCTTACATTATCACAGACCCACTGCAGCATTCTTTTAAGTTTCTTTTTCTAAAGAACGTTTTTTTTTTTTTTTTTTTTTTTTTTGCCTTACAATGATTACTCTTACCTATCAGCCACATAATGAACCCCTTTTGTACAAAGTTCCTCCCTTTTCCAGCGCGCTCACATCATTTTTGTAAAGAGAACAGGATGCTCTTGTTTCCCTGCATTTCTTTTTTTTTTTCTTTTCATGTAAATTTCTTTGGTTTTTTTGTTATATAGTTTATTTCTTCTCGTTATACCTTTCTCTATACATAGTGAGAGATATATATATATAGATATGTGTATATATCCTCTACGTTTTTTTTTTCTTTTCTTTTTCAAAAAAAATAAACGTCCTTCTTTTTTCTTTGGCAAACCGTTGTTTGAGTAACAGTCCTGTCTATTGGAGTCTTTTTTAAACATAGAGTTTCACTAAAGTTCAGAAATGATATAATAGAGTACAACCTTTTTGTTGTGTGCCTCACATCGCAAGCAAGCCGTGCATCCTACGAAGAAAAAAAAGTCTAATTCTCAAAGCCGAATAGTCGCTTTTTGGATAAAACTCGATTTGAATCGAAAGAATTATTCGAACGTTGTGTAACTTGCAACATGTTCTGGATCTGACCATTTTTCCCTTTTGTTTGGAACGGACATAGACACTGTCAGGGAAGAAGGGTCATTTATTGTACTGAGACATTGACAGACATTGATCAATGGAAAGACGTTGCACCGCAGGCAATTTTGATAGACAAGCGAGCCGACAAAAAAGAAACTCCTCAATGTCAGCTATTTCCGTACAACGGGAGCTCAAGGGGATGAGAAAACTGTTTTGCTATCATTGTATATATCCAGAAAAGATTCATTTGCTCTATCTGACAATAAAATCACGATGACGCCACTCTATTGTCCCCTAGTGCATTGGTCGTTTTTCCCTACGATTGTCTTTCTTTAACCTGGAAACTGAGAATGGTTGTGAGATTACTAGATGTTTCTTACCATCCCTTTTTTTTGTTTTTTTCTTTTACAGACTAGAAAAAGAGCTTGAAACTGGAATGTGACACTGTTTTTTTTGCACAACTCAGTACGATAGAACAACTTGAATGAACCAAACATCGAAGTAACAATGATTTAAGATCTAATTTTAATCCTAAACAAGTAAGGCTTACTCTCCCCATAAAACGCAGCAGAGAAACAAAAAAAAATCGTACAGGGCTGATCATTGTTTCATGCAGCGCACACATGGAAAAATTAAAAAAGAAAACCATTATCAAACAAAAATTACTCTTTTCTAGAACAAATGCATACCAAATATGCTTTTTGGCGTTCAAATTGAGATCCGAGCCGCCCCGCAGGCTCGGACAGGGCTTTTTGGTTTCTCATTCTTCAGTTTGATGTTGGTTGCTAGATAGGGCTTTCGTTCAACATGTCATTACGCTTCTCTGATCTTTTCCAAGAACATGAAAATAGCATAGTATTGACGCAAACTGTGATTAGGATATATCGTCACTTTTAAGAAAGGCGTTTTTTTGTTGGATCACTTCCTTTCCCTTTTATAGATATCAACCTTTTCTGTCATTGGACGGTTTTTGTCAATAAGTTAATGCCGCCCGATGAGCACTTACAATGTACAACGAGGGAAATATCCATAGATTTTATACATCATTTGCAAAAAAAGTAACGTCGATAAGCTAATCAGTAAAACTGAGAACATAAGAAATTCTAACATTCCACAGATCCTGTCTGGCCTTTAAAATTCTGCAAAAGACGATGGAATAAGCTCTTTTCGTACGCATACATTTCTTACGTGAACGCGTTGAGCACAATTCGGTAAGAATGATGAATATCGTTTCTTTTGCTGTTATGCGCTTTTCACCTTCTTAAAGCTTCATGCTCTCGTCAGTGTTATGATGAAACGCATCGTTATTACATAATCATTGTTATCTCATAGAGGGTGACTTTTTTTTTTTTTATTTCACCTCTTGAAAGCTGTTCTCATCACTTTAGTGCAGCACTAAGTACAAGTCGCATTTTCCATGAGAGAGCCGACCAAACCCCTAAATCTATACAGAAGATGAAGCCTCATGAACAAAAAACAAAGACAGTAAATAGTCGAGGAGAACGGCATCTATTTTTTTTTTTTTTTTTTTTTTTTTCCTTTATTTTCTCGAAAATGAGTGAGTCATGGGATGATGAAGTAGATCATAGAACAATGGGTAAACTGAATAGGGAAAGTCAAATAAATAATGTTTGGCAGAGGAGTATAGCTCTAACGATGAGGGAATGATGGAATGTATTATTAACAGGAGGAACGAGCACCATTTGTCCATATATATGTCCCCAATATAACAAACATAAAGCATTGTCCAACGACTACCGATAGGATACCGTATATATAGCTGTGTCTTCTTGGAAGCGTTGTCAACTCCACCATAAATGTTGAAATGGTGGTTAAGCATCCACAAAATCCATCTCCTAAGGCTTCCACAACATTACATGAAATGGGTGTCAGCTGAGGACCTGATCTTGACAGTATCAAAGCAGCCAATACCGCCGTACCAAAGATGTTGGCAATATACGTCCCTAAAGGAAAAGTCACATTTTTCTTGTTGACAAACGACAACATCCACCGTAACAGTGCACCCACAGGAGCAAAAACACAGGCCAATGCTAGCTCTTTCTGATTCTCCGTAAAAATAGCGGCTAGAATCACGCCGATCCAACATGCAATCCCAAATAAAATTGTACAGTAATCTTTTCGTGTCAGAGATCGAACGGACCAGCCCTTGGGTACAATTTTTTCTTCTGACATCATCTTATTCTCTTCTTGTCTGCCAAAACACCGTGTAGGATGACTGTTAAGAATGCCTGTTAGCCATTCACCTACATGCTGTCCGAATTTAAGACCGTTGAGAGACATAGCCAAAGTGACTACAAACTCAGATATCGCTGCCAAAATGTTTTTGCCTCGTGTATGTGGATAAGCATTAAAGTTGGCAAATTCCTGGAATATCCCTAATTGCCATGATGAAAATGTCGTGATTGAACCACATAAACCAGTTGTAATACCCGGATGACATGGTTGGTACCTGAAAAAAAAAAAAAAAAAAAAATCGCCGTGTCAGATCGACATAAAACGATCATTTCCTAATCTATATAAATTAAATTTCCAGATCGTTGGAAGGAAAAATGATTACCATAAGCTGATAGGGCTCTTTAGCTTGCCAGCCATTCCCATGATAAAGCAGCCAATCCATTGTGCATAGACAAGTGCAAAGACAGGCGCCCCAGGAAAAGTTTCAAGTCGTTGGAGAGCAAGACGTATCAGAACCCCCGCTATTGAAAACGGGATGATCGCTGCAGCTATTGCAATTCTGTTTTCGTTGACTTCAATCGCCTTTAATGTTGTGCTACTCATTTATTTGATTCACAATCTGAAGAATCTGTTTAAAGAATCGCTTTTGAATAAACTGCACTGCACTATGGTAATACGTTATCAAGCTTGCGGAGCAAATAAGCTTTCATACAATAAAAGAATATAGAGTCAAAAAGATGAAATAAAAAATAAAATAAAAAAGGAAGCGTTTTTTGTATACAATTACTATAAATGTGGATTATGTAAAGAAAAGTGACTTTCTTGACAGAAACCAAAACAAAAGAAAAAAAAAAAAATTGGTACTCCTTATCACAGCAAAATCTGTTCCTCTTTTTGTCCTTCCTTACCAATTTTTTTTTTTTTTTTTTGTTTTTTTAATAGCTTTTCAACTTTATTCTCATCTTGTCAAAGATGACTAATTCCAACGATCTATATACAGTTCGTGCAGCTAGAGAAACCGATATACCACAAATCCTCGATATTTATAATGAACGCATTCTCAATTCTACCTGTCTATTCATGTACAATCAAGTATCCCTTGACAATCGTTTGACATGGTTTGTGGAAACAAAGGCAAAAGGCTATCCAATTATTGTGGCCACAGAAAAGGAAACAGATAAAGCAATTGCATATGCCTGTCTTGGCGGTTTCAGACCTCATACTGCTTATGTACTGTAAGTCATCCTTTAGTACCTTTTTTCTTTCACGAGGACATGTTCATGTTGAAAGCATTCTGACTACGGCATGACTAATGTTTGGTTTTTTTTTTGGGGGGTTCTCTATAGTACAACAGAAATTTCGATTTATGTCCATCAGGACCATCAGCGTAAAGGATTAGGAGTACGCTTATTGAAGGAATTATTACGTATCGGCACAGAAATGAAATTCAAGAATATACAAGCATGTATAACATCCGAAAACGAAGGGTCAGTCGCTCTCTTTTCTAAATATGGATTTAAACATGCGGGTCATTTACGTGATGTTGGATATAAGTTTGGTCGATTTTTGGATGTGGTGTTCCTGGAATATATAACAGATGTGCAAGTCGAAAAAGATAAAGCTGTACCAGCCTTCAAGCCTTTTCCTTGGAAGACTTATGTATATACCGAAAAATTGTACGATAATTGAATGGACAAGATATCTCCCCCATATTATTTAATGAGAATCATTTAACCCATGTAATTTATTCGATTCATTGTTTCTGCCTGCAACTCCATCACTTTTTCTTTTTGTATAAAATTTGTTTCCTATTTGACTGCTTGTACTCGTTTTCTATTTTTTGGCTATTCATCGGCAAACAGTGGACAGTAAGGTAACGCTGCAGTTAGCCCGCCATCGACTTTGATATCCTGTCCAGTGATGAAAGATGCTTCGCGACTCGCTAGATAAGCTACTATAGATGCAATCTGTTGACAAAATTTCGTCTTGTTTTAACGAAAATGACATGATGAAGGGGAGTACATATGAGCCGTACGTTTCATTACCTCGTCTGGTTCACCATATCTTTCAAGAGCACTATTGCGCTTCATTAAATTCACTAATAACTCATTACTGCTGACAGCTTCCAACACTTTCTTGGTCATTTCAGTTTTAATCAAGCCCTGACATCCGAATAGAAAAGACATTGTACCATTCACATATTGGGAAAGAAATGTTAGATTCTATTGTACACTTCAAGCAAAAATATCTTTATATATACTCACACGACAGATGGCATTCACCCGTATGTTTTTCCCATGAAGCCTCCAAGCGGCAGACTGACATATATTGATCACTCTATAGTATACAATGTCAATCCATACCATCTCATCTTTCGTTTTACTTTAATGTTTGTACAAATTGGATTCTATACTAACGCAGCCTTTGAAGCAGAATACGACATGGGACCAGCACCGGAGCGTACACCAGCAACTACTCGATAGGGTAGCAAATCCCTCAGTGAAATAATAAGATATTGTCATGTGGTCCAAGGGGGCCATTTACCTGATGCAGTTGCTATAATCGATCCACCACTCTTTGTTTTCTCAGTCGACGTCTTTTCCATTGCCACTGAAGCATACTTAATAGCAGCATACACACTGTAGCGTATAATAGCAATAGAGTGTTATGATTTATCACAACGATAAATAAAACTAAAAAAGCTCATCGTATACAGCATAATACAGATGCTCCCTCACCCCCCTATACAATAGTGGATTACCTCCAAGCATTCACTCGCATCATGTTTAAAAACGCCTCCGATGTTTCAGTAGCCATAGGATGCCGGCCGGCCACGCCAGCATTGGCAAAAAATACATCCAACCTACCAAAAGTACCCAAGGCATCTGCAATGACATTCTGAATATCTTTGTCAGCTGCTGCATCCATGCATTTAGGTATACACTCGACACCTGTTGTGCTTGTTATTTCTTCAGCGAGCGGAACAAGATGGTCACCATTGATATCTGTAACATAAATGGCACGGGCCTTCTTTTTAGCAAACGCGAACGCTGTAGCTCGTCTAAGTGTCGTTAACGTGCAATACAAAGAATCAAATTTAACACAAAGCTGAGTTGCCATGAACCATAGGGTAAATAGATCGAGAATGGCTGCTTACCCAATACCACTCAGCGAATTTGCGCCTGTTATAATGCAAACGAGTCCGTCCATAATTGATAATGTTAGATAACTTATATAACACAGAAAATAAAAAAGTGAAGAAAGGATAGGAGAAGAAAAAGTGCTCAACCATAACTTTAGCAATATCTTGCTGAAGATTTATAGTGTGGGAATATAAATATGGATACACCGTGTACGAACTCTTTCATATTGTATAATTGTAATATTCGTTGAATGTTACTCTTCAGAATAAATGCAAAGAGCAACACATTTAGTCAACTGCTGAACAAAACACTGGCATCTACGAAAAATAGACCTATGGCTACCCAATACTAGACAGATATTTTGAGATGTAATTGAAATCTCTCTTATTACGCTTGTATAAGTCTTATCCTGATTCCATAATTTGCACTATAAAGTCTCACCTGAACTTTATATAACCTATTCACGATAATTAACACATCATCATAATACGTTCGCGGTGTCTTTGCGTGAAGGTTCTATATAATCTCAAAATATAAAAAAGAATTAAAGGCGAATGAATTTTCCAACTTTACTGACTATAAAATAATAAACAATAATGAACAACAAAAAAAATCCTAAACTTGATTTTGAAGATGATTTGGTTCCTGCTTGATATTTATACTATAATTATGGAGAGGGTGTGCATTAACATTATTAAAGTCCGAACCTGATCTATCGCCGGTTAAACTTCCGGCATCGGAAAAACGTTTAACCTACAAGTCGAATTATATCCATTTTCACCACGTATAAATCTGTTATGTATATAACTTAGAATGGAACTCAAGAGTCCAGGTTCAACTTAATATTAAGTATTGTAAATATGGAGAAGGGTCCTGTTTATTCTTTCGATCAAAGTGACATTTAAATACAGTTAACTATTATACATTCAATTTCCGCTTCACAACCTGATATCACATCTGAGCAATTATGAGTTCCACGCCCCAGTCTATCATATCCGTTTCTGAGTTCGAATTATCTCTTCCTACTCATCCTTTAATTAAATCATTACAAATCAACTAAGTGTCTCTGTGGCTCAGTTGGCAGAGCGTCAGTCTCATAATCTGAAGGTCGCGAGTTCGAGCCTCGCCGGAGGCATTTCTTTTTATGTGTTTTAAAATGTGGTGTGCGTAAGGTTTTTGTGATTTTACAGTTGCTGCGTACATGTCCTTTTTTAACACCACCACCACCCCACCCCCATACCTGAGGTGCGTCTATAGTATCAGCTTTTACCCATTAACAAGACCTTTCTTCCCTATTTAATTTATATATTCTTCCTAATCTTTTACTTCTGACGTCCGTTTTTATTGAATAAATGTCACATGAATTTAATCAGAAAAAAAAAACCCCTTTTTTAAAGTCTTTAGTCTCTATGACTATTGCAAATGTTCATGTGCGTTGGTTCTGTTTACTCAAGAGCTTATTACTCACTCAGCATTCTATTAAAAAAAATCACTTATTTGGGGTCTCTGTTTTGTCAGATGTTTTCGGTTGCTGACGACGATCTCTTTCACTTCACTGTTGGTTGCTCTATTAAGTAGGCATACTGGATTGTTGCTCTCAGTACGTATTCCTTCTACTATTATTGGCATCTCTTGTGGAGGGAAGACATACTCTCAATAATCTCCTTTACCAGAACACCCCTCATTAGAATTACTTGAAAACAGTTTCGAAACTTTGGAAAGACCATTGACACTGTATCACTTTCAAGACATCAATGCCATTCAGCGGTTTAAACCTTTTTGTGCTCCATGACCCACGCTTGGTTTCTTATGTATTGATATCTGTTGATGAGTAAAGTTATTTGGCTGATGCTGCAATACGTCGGACAATATTGAGTTGTTGACACTTCGGGGCACTATAACCATACTCTCCTATTCTTCATGATTTTTGCACAATTATAAGTCAACAGTAACTTTATTATAGACCATAAACAAACAAACAAAACATTCTGATGTGTATAGGTGTTCTGCTCGTTGCTTGTATTATAGCTTAAATATAAATATTGTGATGAACAACCGAGGATCAGCTCCAGGGTTATCTTTTTATTGTAGAACATACGCAAGGTTTCAAGTTACAATGAAATTTGAAGCCTTAATACTGCATGTGACATACAGCTTGATTGTTGTAATACACTAACTTATTATGAACATCTTTTTTACTACAATCTCTGAGCATGCTAGAGCCAAAGGTGCTAGATCACTACAATGCTATTATATTTTTTGTTGTTGAATTTATACTGCTTTGCTTCTATAGGGGGGTTTTTAAAAAGAAGCATATTTATTTGTTAAAGGCTGTTCGGCATGTCATGTAATATCTTCTATTAATTATTCTTCTTGAGGTTCGTTATCTTTTCTGTATCCTCCAGTAGCTCTCACTCATCCAGTGGAAAAAACCACAAACCACGAAGAAATGCATAATCATCCAAAGCACCACGGTTAGATCTCGCTTTTATAACCAGATCGGACGCGGTAATTTTATATACTTTTACGGTGCTTTAACAGCGGCCACTGACTCTTCTCGTCGTTTTTATCAGACACGCTTGAGCACTTTCTTTCCTCCAGTTAGCCGCAATCACGATGCCCTATTCTCTTCATAGCCACTCCGGTCAGTTTTGCAAACATGGTTACGGGCTTTTAGAAGATGTCGTCAAAGAAGCGATCCGTAAGGGATTTTATGTTTACGGTTTAACTGAACATATGCCTCGATTTGCCGATTCAGAACTTTATCCTGAAGAAATCGAAGTAAGTACATTAGAAACTAACGGGCTCAATCTTTTTTTTTTTTTTTTTTTTACGACGGCTCAAAGTACCCGTTGACTTTGAGTGTTTTGTGAAAGAAAGATAAAAGAAAGGATGGAAGCAATGCAAAACGAACAAAATCATTGACGCCTCACCTTAGGCTAAATGCACTCCTTCCTCATTAGCGACAACGTATAATGATTTTTTAAAGGAAGCTAAACGATTACAAGAGGTTTACAACGGTCAAATACAATTAATTATCGGCTCCGAGATCGAGTTTATCAACGAGGAGTACGCAAAGTATGTTCATCAATTAAGAAAAGACACGATTGACTATGTCGTAGGATCGCTTCACCACGTTCAAAGTATACCTGTTGATTTTTCACCTGAACTGTATCAAAAGGCACTCCAAATAGCAGGAAATGGAGATTTGAAAACACTATTTGTAAAGTATTTCAATGAGCAGTACGAAATGCTAAGGTCTGTCCGACCTGAAGTAGTGGGCCACTTTGATCTGATACGCATATTTTCTGACCCGGTAAAAGCTGAACAGCTTCTCACTCCATCATCTACGGAAGCAGCAGAGGACAAGGAAGAGCATAACGATGTTTGGGATTGCATCATTCGTAATATAAAATACGTTATTGAGTATGGCGGCTTATTTGAAATCAACTCCAGAGCTTGGAAGAAGGGTTTACGCGACGCATATCCTCATCGCAATATTATCAAAGCAATTTTGGTTGAAGGTGGAAGACTCACGTTGTCGGATGACTGTCATGGACCAAACGATGTTGGGCTATTTTACGAAAAGTTGCCTGATTATTTGAAGGAGAATCAAATCAATAGTATCTATTATTTGAAACGCGATCAAAACATTGATGCATTATCAGTAAAAGAGCATAGCAATATATTAGACGATAAATTTTGGCAAAGCATGAGCAAGTAAATAAAAAAAAAGCATTGACAGTTTATATTAATACAGAATATGATGTTAAATGATGATGGAATGGCTGAGCCACGGAGATTACGAGGATATAGGGATATACTAAGGTAAATGAGATTGCAAGTCTTGGACGAATACATAATTCGTTGTATAAGATATTAAAGAGAGTTAGCTGGACAGAAAGTGACTTAGGCGACAGAGTCCAAAGCCGCTATCCTTCTTCTTTTACGAGCAGCGTGTATCGAATCAAACACTGAAAGACCGTCTTCGTCATCGTCTTCTCTAGATGTTTTATTGCTACTTGAATCGCACAGCAACTCCTCATTCTTCATCAATTTTCGAGCCAGCATTCCTCTCTGCAGCTTGTCTGAGCGCTGTATCTTCTTTGTCGATAACAATTCTCCCTGCAAGCCTAAATTTTCCTTTCCGATCAACAATTCATGTACATGCTCAATTGACTTGAAGTATTTTACAGTCTACAAATGACGACATATAAGCAACAAAATACTAATTCATTGTCTCTGAAAACTATGAAATGAACGAAATACCTTAACATGAAGCTCTAGTGTCGCGTCTTCATCACACACTATTAATCCTTTCGGATGCATTTGTATAGCTGATACTGTCCACATATGGTTGATACCTTCCTCAACCGCTTTAGCCAAAGCAATACTACAGTTGTAAAGTATTTAGTTTATCTTATAAGTAGCTCTTCTTTCCATATCTAAGAAAGAGCATGAAGCTTGAAATATATTTTTCTTTTCTTTTTTTTTTCCTTTTTTGTTTGTTTACCTTCTGTGCGCTCCTGTTATGATAACGCATACTTCTCTGGCATCCATTACGGTGCTAGAATGAATCAAACAGAATTGAATTGAGTATCTATTTTGGAATTGTCCTTACGTTGCTCATATTTGAATAGCCAAAAAAAAACTTTGCTTAGAATCTGATGCTTACGCTACTCCCACAGTCAATGCTAGTTTGGGCACTTTAGTAATATCTCCTTCAAAAAACCGTGTATTGGCAATGATAGTTTCATAAGCTAAAGTCTTTACTCTCGTTCTGGATGTCAACGAAGAGCCAGGTTCGTTGAAGGCAATATGTCCATCTGGTCCAATTCCTCCAATAAAGAGCTCAATGCCCCCTACCCGTGCGATCTCAGCCTCGTAACGTCTACATTCGGCCTCTAAATCGGGAGCATTACCATCTAGAAAATTGATATTTTCTGCTGGGATATCAATATATTGGAATAAATGTTTCCACATGAACGAATAGTAAGACTGCTTATGCGACCTAGCAGACAGTTGAAGGAATATATTGAATGGGAGCAAATCTATGATGTAAGAAACGTTACTGAATTTTCGACAAAACGAGTAAAAGCAGGGCTTTACCGATTCAGACCAACATATTCATCCATATTGAATGTTATTACATTAACGAAAGAAAGCTTTCCCTCTCTAACAAATTCTGCAAGTCTTTTATAAACATTCATGGGTGAGGATCCTGTGGGTAAACCAAGGACGAAAGGTCTTTCTTTGGTTGGTGCAAATTGGTTTATGCGTTCCTTAATATAATGCGCTGTTTGACAATAAGCAAGAATATCAGTACAGTGGTAATATCATATTCAGTGTCTAGTGAATCTTACCAACCCAGTCAGACACCTCATCATAATCATTTCGTATGATAAGTCTCATAATTGCTCGTTGTATGAAAGATAGATTAGTTGATTTTTCACTCAAAAATGAAGAAGAGAAAGAAGAAGCAGAAAAATTCATGTAAATTTCTTCTATTTTTCCGTAAGCTTGCTGAGAGATCCGTACTTTTCATGATCCCGCGGAAAGGGAATAAGGACCTATACGAAAGAACCTTGTTTCTTCGAAACATTGTGCCTTGGAAATGAAAGCTTGTTTTTATTAAGAGTTACACAATAAGCACGACAGTAAGGACACTTACGTGTAGATACGCTTGATTCTAGTAAGTTGCCTAAGTTGCCTGAAGAAAACACCACATTGTTAACAAGTCAGAGATGTGAATCAAAAGATTTCTTGGTTGCCAGAAGTGTAACTGTTAGTACAACAAACTACTAGCTACTTTAGGACTGAAAATAGCCTTTATGGTATTTGAAATGGGATATTGAAGACTAATAGCGACATTTACGCACTTGGTCGGTTACTATAGTACTTTGTACAGAGCAAACTTTCCACTCCATTCGTTTCAAAAGTTAAAAAATCGTCCTGAGTATGTCTTCTTTCCCTGAAAAATTAGATTGATCTTTGTGACATAAGCATGTTGTGAAGACATACTTTTTGCATTAAGAAAGGAATTCCAATTTTTTTCTTTTTAGGGTGATTCTGAAAAAGAAATTGACAAATGAAATGCCCAGGATTTTTTTTTGGGACATGGGCCTATGCAAAAAGGTTAAAAATAAGCTACTGATGAAGCTTTTCTCTTTTTCTTTACATTTTCTTGTATTTATATTAATCACATACGGTATGGTCAAACTTGAAGAAGTCTCTGCTGAACAATTCGAAGAAGTTGATGTTACCAGTGAATCTGATAATGACTATTCCGACTTTTCTGACGACGACGATTATGAAGACGATGAAGACGAATCTGTGTTGGATAGATTAGTGGCTTTAAAAGATATTATTCCCTTGAAACATAGAACAAAGATCTCCAACAGTGTATCGTCTTTGACCTCGTGGGGTAAAACAGGAATCACATTTGTCGGTAAAAGCGCTTGGGTGATTACTACATCCATGTTCTTGTTGGTTTTACCTTTGGCTTTGGAAATTGAAAAAGAGCAAGCTTTGGTTGCTTACGAAAAAGAAGCTATGCAACAACAAGGCACACAACAGGTTGGAATTCTTTAACCGTTGTGCAAACTTGCAAAAGAATGATCGTATGTTGACTTGTTTTTTGTTCGCGTTCTTATAGATGCTAAATAGCGGCAATCCTTACGGACAAGCTTTACTTCCCGGCGGACAGCCACAACAACAACAACAACAGCAACAAGTAAAGGCGCCTGGTTTTTAATCATCATTAAACGGATATACCACGGCAATTGTCAACTGTTATTGTTAATCGGGTAGAAAAAGAGAAATGCAACACCACTCATGTACACTACTATATATACACAACTCACGCTCAGTCACCCTCTATATGTATTTCATGTCTATAATAATGAGCGAGCTATCTGAAAATGTTACCACCATAAAAACTGTTTTATTAGCTCTGATAAAACATAGTATGATTTTGTTTTTGGACTGCTATTTGAAGAATCTTACAAGTAAATTTGCAACAAACCGAGGGATGAGGATGTCACTTCTACTTTGAAAATGATAGTTTCTGTTTGAACTGAGAAGTCTGTATAGGGTTACTTAATTATCGAAGAATGGTCATCTTTGTGTAATTATGTTGGTTAGAATAATCTTGCAACAAATTGTACAATTAGAAAACCACTCAATAATCACTTACAGTTGATGGTTAAGAATGAGCTATTATTAAGCACCTAATCTTTCTTCCATGGGTTTCAGGAGCATAATGCAAAATCCTCTTTCTCATAGAATCGGTTAGAGATCCAAGATGAATCTTTAAGGTGTCAGTGACTTATAACAGCAACCAGACCGTTAATGTGCTCATATTATACTGACAAGATTTTTTTCGATGGTGTATTATACTGAAGAATTCGACTAAATCAAAGAAGCTACAACAAGGAGATTTGAAAGTAGCCAAAGATTTACTTTATCTTGAGGCATATTAACTGATTTGCAAGTCCAAAGTACGAATACTTTATTCAATATTCTTTAGATGGTATTACAGGACCACTGCGCTACCACATACGAAGTGCCATTACTGCAATCATGATGATTAGCTGATATGAAACAAACAAGTGTCCATTTACCAGTTTCTGATATGGTTATGTTTCCATCGTAAGTTTGGTCTTGAGGATAGTACATCAGTTTACGCAGTTTTCCAGTCGGGCTTTTCAACGCTAACTTGTGGTGAGAGGGATGAATAGTAGTATGCCTAATTGTACTGTGATTGCACTTTATACTGAACTGGTAAGTCTGGAGTGGGTACAAGTAGTAACATTGAGGCTGCTGAATATAATATTCCTGGCTTAAATGCTTTAAAGGAAGGTGGTAGAGTTGAACAAATTCAAATGATGATGATATTGTTTGGTCTGCTTGTGCGGAAGAATTAATATCCTGCTGTTGCTGTTGATAAACAGGTATACACATGGTTAAAGCGTACCGCCATTTTTGAAAAGGCTTATTTTCTTCAGTCATTATATCTGCTGTTGACGCGAAGTAGACCTTCAGCCAGCCTTTTTCTTGATGTGCTGGTAGAACGGCTTTAACATCATATATATTCTCTTGCTGCCCAGTTGCTGTCGAGCGTTGAGTTAGGCAGCGAGAATATCTTTTCCCATTATCAAATTCAAGTTCTGTATAGCAGTGAGCATCTGGCTCTGATGACTTTAGACGCAGGAACAAAAGATTGCCCGAATGGCTTTTCTCTCTGCCATCCTTGTTGTAGAAATTGACAATGCGTACAGAGTATTTGAAAAAGCTGGGCCTAACATACGGCAGCTGAAGGAAGTCTGGAAGAGTTATGTGCGCACTAAGAAACTGCTCATGGTAATCCCTTGGATAGTGTGTCAGTATCATGTCGGACGGCTTCGTTAAAAACCAATGTGTCTGTATTTGGCTACTGTTATGAGGATGAAAGAGCGACGCCAGCCAGCAATCTACTAATCGATATTCCCCTTCTACTTTCACTATTGTTTTAAATCATCTCAAAAAAATTGTTAGTATGCACTGACCAAGTTGATTCTTCTTCTTTTTCACAAAAGATATACCTGCACACCATGCATGATTGATTGGCCATAACTTCTTCTTTGACAGCGTAACAGTGTCTGTAGGACCTATATATTAGAAGGATTTGACAAATTAGAAAACAGTTGTGTCCGTACCTCGGTTTTACAAACCCTCTTTACAAAGCTAACGCCTTCATATAATAATAATAACCTTTCAAATAACCATAAATAACACGCACCTCCTGTAGACCTGCTGCTAAAGCCATTGCATAAAAGAGATGCGCCATTTCAAAAGCTGTCTTACACAACCTACTGTTGATCAGTTCTTGATCTACCATTTTTTGCTCTTCTTCTTCAAGCTTCAATTCTTCCAATGAACTGAACGATGGTGGCAATAAGCTGAGATGTTCTTCTTCCAAGAGATGCATGGCGTCCAACGTAATAGCCAAAGAATTGTTCGGGTGTTGATTACTACTGAATTGCTCAAAACTGTCATTACTCGTATCAGCATAGCGGTTATCACCGTAAAAGATTTGCTTAAATTTGTTCTTCTTTTTAATGTAGTTACTATCTTCTATTGGAGAATCTGGTAAGGATTGCTGCTGTTGACGCTCGAGTTGTAATTGCCGTTGTCTCTGTAACAGTTTAAGGTCATATCTTTTTTGGTGGTATTCGGGACGAAGATTTTTCACTATCCATATAAATATCGCACGTAACTTGTATATGTCATTGTTTGGAAAAGGTCTCGCTAAGAATTTCCGGGACAAGAGACTTGGAGTTAACAGTGGTCCTTTCTGCTGTATAGAGGATGCATATTGATCCACAGAAATAAAAACATCATCTTGATGGTGGATATTCGCATTACGTTGACTATTGTAGGTATCTTGACTATAAGATGATTCAACAATGACGAGATCGTATCAATACTAGTATAATATCTCAAATTAATAACAGGGTTACAAGGGAGGTTTTACCGATAGATCACATCAAACGGATTAATTTCGTCAATGTCAGAGGCTATAGGTGTTTGACATTTTTCCAAAGCATCTCTACAAAGCGTTTCATATTGCTCGTTCAATGCTTTTGTTTCAATATGAGTTCGATGGGGTTGCAGTAATCCTCGAATTTTTTTGGTTAAGTTTTCCTTTAATGGCAACAAAGATTGGTGATGTATATCCGTTTTTCGTGGATACCAAAAGTTAGTATTGGCCCTCGTTTGGACAGTTGCTGATGAGTCGGTAATCAAGGACGGGTAAGTTGTAGCAGTCGCTGTGGTTAGAATAGAACGTCTGTTATCCTTAAGTATTATGGGCGAGGATTTGCCTTGAACGTCGTGTTCCTCTGCTTGCTCTTCTGCCACAAGCGATTTCCTCTGTATTATAGTTGGAGCAATGCACTCAAACAGGATGTGGTCATTGTTCGTGGATGGTGCAACAATAGTCGAATGATATCGATTTCTTCTAGTTGCTTCTCTCTCATAAGCAGACATAAAAGGAGTAGCGACTGTAGTTGTTGTAGTACTGGTTGGAGGAGGGGATTGAGTTTGTTCTTTTTGCCTATGGATCCTGTTGGGATGAACGGTATCAGCAGCTGCATAATTTCTATTTTTGAGCTGTTGTAAGTGCTGCTGACATCCAGATTGCTGTCTTGGAGCACAGTCGTTACTCTGTACTGTTGGATGGGAAGCTACAGGTTTTCTTGTTACTTTCTGATACTTGTTTGCCGTTTGTTGTTGAGCTCGTGGATTTACAATTTGAGGATATTGAACTCGGTTTACAGATGATTGGTAAATGGACACAGTATCCAGGCTTCCCCCACCACTTGTAGTGGTAGTAGCGCTGCTGCTACTATGAGGGCTTCGACTAGTATGCCGTTCATTATGATAATAAAGATCGTCTACAGTAAGGTAGTAGCCATTCTTTTGGTTGAATGTGTAACAAGGTGCGTGATAATAAAAAAGGTTACTGTCGTCCATGAGTTTGAAAAATAGCAGAGATGAGAAAAGAAAGAAAAAGTAAGAATAATGCCATGGCTTAAAGTCAAGAGACTGTTTCATTGAACATGAGTTCTATGATGCAGACATAACCGAAAAGTGCAAGAATGTTTACTTTATTGTTTCCTTTTTAATCACCATTATTTATTATAACCTTTATAGAAAGGGAATCCATATTGTTACACCAGTAAGGGGAAAAGGTAGCGGGTTTACTGAGTTTTCTTTCACAGACGTTTCTTGTTTATTCAAATGCATGAACGGCATCTTCCATTGCTTCATCCTCTCCATTCACAGCCGTTCGTATTCTACTATCTATCTCCTCTTTTAGCAATTGATCCTTTGCTTCACGCGTAGGTGGCAGACGTTCGTTTTCCAAATCAGAGCGTTTAGCTTCTTCGAATGTTGTAATTGCTAAATTCAGAACAAAAGTTAGCTTATTCCTTACTGAAATGTATACGAGCTACATGGACTTTACCTGACTTCAATCCTTCTACACCTAATGCTAATGTGCCTAGCGGTAATTTACCAGTAGGGGATAGCGATTTTAGCTCCATCACACGCTCTGAATTTTCACGTAAGACAGAGAAGACACGCGATATCTTGCCGACTGCCATAATTTTATTTCGGATCACTGTTCTACGCTGCTCTGCATCATCCATTATATTACTTGACATGCCGCTGCCTGATTCTAATAACATATCCTCGTCTTGCAATTCTTCCTTGCTACAAACATTCAACACTGCAATCAACATGTCTGTGACTGTATAAATGTGTTGAATCAATACCGATATCCATCATTTACGTTAGTCCTGAATCTAATGTATAACTTACTCTTCTCTCCAACAAACGGTAAACTCCAAGAGAAGACATCCATAAAATTAGGAAGCCAATAAGGATGGGGTGAGCAATTGAACTGTCGAATGTTCATGACGTTATTTTCGTACTTCAATACAGCAGCTTTGTTGTTGTATACATCCAAATAATTGGGTGCTGAGAAGATAGTCATAACAGAAGGGAACGACGTTGTCTTACTTTTGCGATACATTCTATATCCAGCATCTTGTGCTTCATGTGCTCGAATAATAGATAGTAAATTATTACGTTCCAAAAATTGACATGCTGCGTGGTAGCTGAAGAAATAAGAGCATCCTCTCACATGATTATGTACAAATGTTTCATTCGTCTTTTCCTGTCCAAATTCTTCCAAAGGATCTGCCCATAGTAGGTCGCACATTAATCCATGGGTGGGTGGTTCTCTGAAACGATCAATCTAGTAAATATCAGAAAAAGGTCATGTCAATAACACTTTTAGCTAATAATTCCTTTTACACATATTTATAGATATACCCTCTTCAAATCTTCCAATGTCTGTAATTCGGGTGAAAGTCCACCGTGAATACATAAGAATTGTCTATTCATAATGGCAGCTAAAGGCAACGCACAAAAGGAATTCATGCATGCTTCATATACCTCTTCTGTATACTTATGTCGACCTAAAGTGATTATAAAAAAAACAAAATGAGTATTTTGATCTAATTGATTGTTTCCTTTTTCATTGTTTATCAGCTTACATTCAATTTTGAACGTGAAATAATCTGTCAAGTGCCTGCACTCATGATTACCGCGTAGTAAAAAGAAAGTATTCGGATACCACATCTTTAAGGACCATAAATATAGCACGCACTATAAAGTATAGTCGACGAAAACTATTAGCTGCAGAGTAATCATTTAGGATAGTAATCCTTACACTTTACTTCGATTGAGAAATACCCTCTGTCGACGTAATCACCTAGAAATAGATAAGTTGTATTTGCTGGGTCGCCACCCACTTCAAATAATTTCATCAAATCATAGTATTGACCATGTATATCTCCACTGACTATTTGATTTGGATGAGTAAAGGTAACGTCATTTCATTACTGCGATAGATGCGTACCTGTAATAGGCGCTATAACCTCTAGTAAATTCGGTTCGTTTCTCAATAACTCTGTTCCCTTCTCCAGAATAAATAATGCTTGTTCTTCGGTCAGCCTTCCTTCTCTGTAAAAATGATCTTTTAAGAATTTGATGTCAGGTAATCCAGGTCTGTCTTTGCTCCAAAACTCTTCGTCTGTAGGCAAACTAACAGCAGGTGCTGGGACATCTAATAGAGTATCGAATAATAGTAAAACGGGCCAACGAGTGAGTAACAAAACACTCATTTCTCTATTCTCCTTCGTCATTCTACCTTTGATAACGCGATCTTTTGTACTAACTACTGTTCCATCGTCTTGTGTGAACACGCTGAAGTCAATACGTGGTGCTTCTGGTTTATTACGGAGCCTCATTAAAGCTGGACTGACGGATTCTTCCAAATGACTGCTATGACTACTAGTACTACTACTCATTATTGCTGCTGATCAGTTGATGTATGGATTAGAGAGACACTATACGAAATTCGTTACTGATGATTAAATGACGATGCAATTTATAAAATAGGAAAAAGAATAAAAAAATTAAAAAAAAGAGGGGATGGTTAATGAGGGCAAAAAAGCTCTTCTGCATCTGTAACACCATTTAGTTCTGGGTAACAAATCAGAATTGGGTTTACTAAGGAAGGCTCCTATTCGCTATCTCTACCAAATTACTATCTGTGTGTAGTATGCAAACATACAATACTAGCATTAACATCTTATTCTGTTATTGTTATTTTCGGGGTCTTTCAAGTTGTCTCAGCAGAATGATTCAATTTCCCAAAAAGAACCGAGGCTGGCGGAAAACATCATGAAACCTTAACAACTTTATTACCACTTTCAGCAGCTAAAGGAGGCAGCTAAAGGAGGCAGCGAGTGTCAAGCACAATCAACAAAATGAAGCTTTACATCACTGTGCCTATTGATTGGAACTTTACTAAAACAACACGGGCTAACTCATAGCTCCGTAAGATGATTTTCTCGACTGTATCTCGAGGGATAATGCATCTTGATGGCTTTTAATGCGTGATGTATGTTATCTGTGAGGATTCTAATATAGGAACACTATTACTGATATATTCAAGTCGGCTGTTGGTGATCAATATTACATCCATGCAAAGTGTCACTGATGTTTCGTGGTGATGGCTGCATTAAGAGGAATAAGTTCTTATCAGATTCCCGCCCAGCAATTTAAAACGCGCCATAAATCAATTTATTCCTTTTGTGTAACCAATCACCATACAAACATGGTGTTGCCTTTTTTTTTTCCTTCCCTCCCCTTTTTTGAAGAAGCTGAAAATCGTGAAAATGACAAAGCTTTTAGTATTTGTTTGATATATTTTAATTTTTTTCCTTCGCTTTTTTATCGTTTCTATCTCTTAATTTTTTGCATATTATGAACACTTCATCTTTTCAAGCTTATGATGGCATCAAATTTATCTATAAACTGATCACTACTGTCTTCTTTCGAGAAATTAAAGTCAGGTAATAACAGTGTACAATCCTACAAATATAGAATGAAGCGTATCTTGAATACCAATTTTATCCGATAGTGGAGCTCAATATATACCTCAAAACGATCCATGCATCTTCATTGTTGCGCCCCATGCCAATCAGTAAGTTCTCGGAACGTATAAGAAACCAACTTTGCGAATTGACAGCTTAAGCAATGCTATTATTTGACATAATTGCAGGTTTGTGGATCCGGGAATGGTGATGATATCATCCCCACGCTATGCCTCGCCTTTAATGGCAGAATCTTCTTTTAAGCGTAAAATAATAGGATGGGGCGCCAGGGCTCTGAAAGCCAGTAAGTTATACTGAATGTTTTGATAGGATGCGTAAGATGTCAAAGAATTAATCGCCGCTATATTGATCATTCTAATAATGACTAGTACCCGTTATCCGTCCACAAGATCTAGCTTCAGAAGGCGTTGGTAAATTGATTGTCAAAGCAGATGATAAATTTACTTTATATGGAGAAGGCACACAATTCAAACGGCAAGTCGCACCACGAGATACCATTGTTATATCAAAATCCAGATCCATTTCTTACCAAATAGAGCAAGTTATATCAGATACTGAGATCAAATTGAAACAAGAGTTAAGCCAAGAAGCCATTAACTTTATCACCCACGCCAACAGTAGTAGCCCCTCAAAGCAGATTAAACCTTATAAAATCATACCTCATGTGGATCAGAGTGTTTTATATGAAAAAGTGACTGAAAGACTGACGAAAGGTGAATCCATAGTTATTTTCCCAGAAGGTGGTAGCCATGACAGATTAGAAATGTTACCGTTAAAAGCCGGATTTGCCATCATGGCCCTAAATGCTGTGGCCAAGAACGAACATTTGAATGTTAAAATTGTACCCGTGGGGCTGAATTACTTCCACCCTCATCGCTTCCGGTCTCGAGCTGTCGTCTCCTACGGTGCGCCCATTTCTGTTTCTCCCAACCTTGTCGAGGCTTACCAACGAGGAGGAGCAGACAAACGGGCAGCCATTGCTAGCTTGTTGGATGAAGGTTATGAGGCACTTAAAAGTGTTACAGTGAATGCCCCAGATTATGACAGACTGATGATCATTGCTACGGCTCGCCGATTATACAAACCTGCAGATGAACATAAATTAACTATCGATCAAGTTGTAGAACTGAACCGCCGATTTTTATTGGGATATACGTTTTTCGAAAAGGATCCTCGCCTCGTTGAACTAGCACGATGCATTCAGGCCTACAATAATACACTCAAATATTTTGGATTGCGTGATTATCAGATAGCTAAAAGCACCTCAATTGCATATAATGATGATATGACAGTTTATTCAGCCTCACTTATATTGCTATCGCGCGTTATGAAGCTGCTATTTTTGGCTATTTTTGGCTTTCCTGCGTAATGTATTCACACTTCACTCAGGTCAAAATATAGTAAAAGTACCTCATCGCTAACAGATGGTCTTTTACTTTTCGGCATGTGTCGTTATAGCTTATTGATCAACTCCCCTATCATCATACTGTCTTTGATAATCAGTCAGAAAAAGCAGAAAGAAGCACTTGCCGGGTCTTCTGTCAAAATTGCCGCACGTGACGTATTAGCCACCTGGAAGATATTAGTGGCTGTCGTTGGTATACCTTCTCTCTATGGCTTCTATTCCGTTTTATTATTTGCCTATCTCTATGTACACGAATACAGCCATGCCTTCTCTTTATCCTTGTTAGTCTGGGTCCTATTACCGTTTGTCCAATATATGTGCGTATTACTTTTAGAGAACAGCATTGATATATACAAGTAAGTGTCTTCATTCCAATATGCACGCTCATCATTTTACCTTATGTAATATTTGTTGCAGCACTCGAGATTTTATATATATGAAGAATGACCCAGGAAAAAAAGACTAACATCATTATTCTGACTGTCTATAGGTCATTGTACCCTCTGTTCCTATCCTTATTTAACCCTGATGGGTTAAATACAGTACGTAAAATGAGAGAAAACCTCTCGGAAACGATTACTAAATTTATAGATGAGAATGGATCGATTGCTTTAAAGGATTTCGACAAGAACAAATTTGATAAGCTTGAATTACATGAGAAGGTCAAATCCAGGAAATTGATGAAGGATATGGAAGAGCCTGCGACCAAAGGATTACTACGAAGATGGTTTGATGACAAATATCTTTTCTTCAGTTCTAAAAGAAGAAGATATAGCTATGAAGATAATGGCAGCAGCAGCAGCGATATTAATAGTGGCAGTAGTAGTAGTGATAGTGAAACTAATTTTTGAATTGTAACACAAAACTGAGGCACTTTTTTTTTTTTTTTCATTTGTTCTTTGTACTTTTTTGCCCCTTAGAACACAATAAAGCACACCGAAAATATAAAAATGAAATCTTTGATTCTGTATCGCTTCTCTTTTCTCTCTCTTTTCTTTTTGCTTTGGACTGTTTGCTGGTAGTCCTTTCTGTTACATCTATCTTGATCTATTTTTGTATTTAACACCTATAAAGAATTCCAACAAAGATTGGCCTATAACAACAGCAACATAGAAACGAATTAATATAATTCTGGGATAAAGTTATTGTTTCATCCCGATCGACGACTTGCCATATCATTCTGAACAGCTATTATTGAATCCGACATCGACATTTCTTTGTCTTGTAATTGTACATTAATACCTTCTTTAAAAGATATGGGGGGCGGCAACATAAAGGTAGTCGTTCGATGTCGACCGTTAAACTCAAGAGGTAAGACTATCACAGTGATCCCGACATAGTACGTTGAATAAGACCACTCACAGAGTATCAAAACAAAATCAACAATCCTACTTAGAGCTTGCTCGTGGCGCAACTTGCCTGATTCGAATGGAAGGCGACCAAACTATTATCAGCAAGCCAGCAACATCCGACCAACAGCAGCAACAAAAAGAGGATATCAAATCCTTCACATTTGATAAATCTTATTGGTCTTTCGACAAAAATGATCCAAATTATGCAGATCAGCAATGTGTTTACAATGATTTGGGTGTCGATTTACTCAATCATGCATTTGATGGATACAATTGTTGTATATTTGCCTACGGGCAAACTGGCGCTGGTAAATCGTATTCAATGATGGGCTATGGCGAGGATAAGGGTATTATTCCTCGCACTTGCTCTGAATTGTTCACTCGCATCGCTGACAATACTGACACCGCTTTGACTTATCGAGTCGAAGTATCCTACATTGAAATTTATAACGAGAAAGTACGTGATTTACTAAATCCAAAAAACAAAGGCAATTTAAAAGTACGTGAACACCCATCTTTGGGTCCTTATGTCGAAGATTTATCTCGACTAGTAGTGAGATCGTTTGATGACATCAATCATCTAATGGATGAAGGAAATAAAGCAAGAACAGTTGCTGCTACAAACATGAATGAAACGTCTTCCCGGTCACATGCTGTTTTCACCTTGTTCTTGACGCAGACGAGGTTAGATGAAATGACCAAGCTGGAAACAGAAAAAGTGGCTAGAATTAGGTAAGACTTGAAAGTTAATTCATCCCAAGGAATACATTGTAAATAGTCCATAAAAGAAACTAAAGAGGCTTCCTTGCAATTGCTTTATCGTTTATAGTCTTGTAGATTTGGCAGGTAGTGAACGCGCCAATAGCACCGGTGCAACAGGTGCTAGGCTAAAAGAAGGCGCCAACATCAACAAATCGCTCACAACGCTCGGTAAAGTCATTTCCAGTTTAGCAGACCAATCATTGGCTTCATCAGGAAACGGAAAGAACAGCAAAAAGAAAGATGTTTTCATACCTTATCGTGATTCCGTCCTGACGTGGTTACTCAAAGATTCATTGGGCGGTAACTCTAAAACAGCCATGATTGCTGCTATTTCACCTGCAGATTACGATGAAACACTCAGTACATTGCGTTATGCCGATCAAGCAAAAAAGATCCAAAACAAGGCAGTTGTTAATGAAGACCCTAATGCTAAAATGATACGCGAATTAAAAGAGGAACTGACACTTTTAAGAGATCGATTGCGTGTATACGCGCCTGAAGTAGTAGAAGAATTATCGGGATCAAAAACATTGCTGCAACAGTGCTCGACGTCCAATGAAGGAGGACGTAGTGGTAGTAGTAACAATGGCAACGTACCCAATCCTGTACCTTCTCAATCCTCAGCATCCAGTCAAGTACTACTCATCGACGATGGCAAGGGTAATAAGAAAAAAATGACGAAACAAGAAGTCGTCGAACAACTTCAATCTTCTGAGAAGCTGCTAGCCAATTTAAACGAAACTTGGGAAGAGAAATTAAAAAAGACGCAACAGATACAACTTGAACGCGAGCAGGCATTAAAGGAGCTCGGTATTACCATTGATAAGAATGATATGGGTATCTACACACCCAAGAGTATACCCTACATTGTCAACTTGAATGAAGACCCACTCATGTCAGAATGTTTGATGTACCAAATTAAACCTGGAAAAAAGACTATTGTAGGTCAAAAAGAGAGCAGTTGCGATATACGACTGAGTGGCGCAACAATCTTTGACGAACATTGTTGGTTCGAGATAGAAGAAGAACGACGGCTATCACCAAACTCTGAAGATGGCGCAGACGGAGATGTCGAAAAACAGCAGCAAGAGAGTATTGACATAGTCACACTTTACCCTACTGATAATAAGGATGCTCTTACCATGGTGAACGGTATACGTATTCATGAACCTACAAGGTTGAAAAATGGGTACAGGATTATTTTAGGCCACCACCATATATTCCGATTCAATCATCCGGAAGAGGTGCGACGCGAAAGAAGTAATGATGCGCTGAGAATGACTGCTGCCAGTGCATACAGTACGGACGGTTCTCTACCTTCATTGGATATAGCCGCTGCGAATAATGCAGGCACCTTTACTGGGCTAGATACATCAGTTGTGTCGTCACCATCTCCTTTGCCTCCACTTACTCCTACAACAGAAGTCATTGATTGGAACTTTGCTCGTTCAGAGGCCATGAGAAATAGCAGTAGTTACTATAATGTCGCTATTTCTTCAGAGAAGAACGATTTTAGCGGACTGAAAGATGAAGACATCGAAAAGCTGTATGATGATATTGGTCGGATTCGTAATAGTAGAGGACGTTCCTCGAGAACCAACAGCCGCATATTTGCTGGCAGTGTCACTGACAGTGACGATATTACATCCTTATCCACTATGAATACAAACTCGCTTCATAGGTTGTCAACAGCTGCTACCACAGTTGTGGATGATGCAGGAAGTATTTTTACTGATTCAACGCTGCGTTACAACGGAAGCTTAGTAAGCTCGCCTCTTCACCAACAGACTTTCAAAATTCATGAGGAAAAATTGATCAAGGATGTTCAAGAGAAACATCAAAGAGAACTCAATCAGCAGCGTGAATTCTATGAAGCTAAGCTACACCGTATGTCTTCCATGCTTGTTCATAGTCCTACCAACATTGGCAGCAGCATAACATCCGATATGAATGCAATGGATCAACTACTCAAAGATAGTAACGTTTACACCTACTCAACTCGCGAAAAAGAGCTGATCCAAAAGACAATATATTGCTGGAAGCGGATACGCAACGTCAGCATGGCAGAAACAGTTCTAATGAATGCTGCCTTACTGAAAGAAGCTAATATTATCTCTTGCGAGTTTAAAAAGAATGTTACATATCAGTTTACCATCATAGAGGAAGGATTTTCCAATTTGAAGTCTTATTGGGAGCAGAAAAAAACCGGGCTTTTGCATCAATTCGAACAGGAGGATGAATATGCATTCTTTGGTCAACCGCAGCAAGAGCAGACGAGTAATAATGTTGAACAGCACAAGTTGAAATCATCCCCACCAAAGCCATGTATCGGCGTCAAAGTTATTGATCACAAACACCAATGTGTATACACATGGTCACTGGAGAAAATGAAAGAACGCTTGGAAAAGATGCGTAATCTACGCCAATTTAGTGATAGACCTCATTATCGTCAACATTTAAATTTTGAAGACCCTTTCTATGAAACACCGTGCCCGACTTATTCGTTTATAGGAAGTGCAGCTGTTTCTATGCGCAATTTAGCTTTTTCTCATCAACCACAAGTTTACGAAAGTGAAGTAAGTATTGTATGCCGTCAAACAGGCCAAGTAAAAGGCAAGCTGGTGTTGCTCGTGTCACCTATTGCTCAAAGTGGTTTCCTATCCGAGGAAAGCAGTAGTAATAGCTTAGCAGAATATCTGACAGAAGAACCTTTATGCCTGCGAACAGAACCAGGCATACATGGTGATCATGAAGAAAAAAACAAAGAAAATAGCAACTCTCCACGAACAGCTATCAGTTCCAGTCGCAATAATGAAACAAGCATTATACAAATCGGCCAACAGTTACTATTTGAAGTACGACTATTAGAAATAAAAGGCATGAATGAACAGGAGTTTACAGATATTCATGTCCAATATCGACTTTCTTCCTTTGGCGTGTCTTCATCTCAACAGCAGCAGACTGAAAGATTGTTCGCTTCCAAGCCTGCAAGCGGATTTGGTACGAGTTCTATCCTGCTGAATTCAAGTCAAACATTATCCATCATGGTGACTGAATCAACCCAAGATGTATTCCTTAACAAAATGATTAATTTTGAGGTGTATGGCAAAGTAGCTGCTGCCACCTTAAAATACATGGAAAGATGGGATAACCAACGAGAGATAGAAAGGCTACCACTATCGTCTGTAAATCCGGACAACAATAGAGCTGAGCAGCAGCAATCTCACACTGCGTTCGAGCGTAGGCCTGAAAACGAATTATTAGGAACAGAAAGACACGATGTTCTTGCTTGGATTCAAATTTGCGAACTTATGCCAAACGGAAATTACAAACCCGTACTTGTTCGTTCACAGAATTCTTTAGATAGAGGGTATTTCATACTCAAACAAGGGTTGCAGCGGCGCATTGTAATCACGCTCTCGCATACATCAGGCCGGCAATTTTCATGGACAAAAATGTCGAATGTTAGACTGGGTCATATACGTCTATTGGATGCCAAAGGGCGTATCATTCATCATAAAAGCAAATATCCGATTTCGAGTGCATCAGTGTCAGCCAATAATCATTACAATGGCGATAGCGAAACATATAAACATAATGATGATCATATCGCTATCAGCTTACTACCTCAGCAATCCATAGTATACAACAACGATGGTACGAGCACTTTAGTAGCCCAGGGTGCTTGGGATTCATCGCAACATGATTGCTTATTCTTGAATCGACCCACAGCTTCCCAGACTCGAGTTCTCATGAGCCTGTCATGGGAAGTTGAAGTACCCGGTAAAACTTCCAAACCTATTGAATGCCAGATGGATATATCTGTGTACATCCAGAGCCGCGACACTTCTTCCTTGTCCCTTTCGGCTTCAGCTTCGTCTTATCAATTTGCATTACGTAAATTATTATCTTCTGTAAGTACCAGCACTTCGTCGTCTTCTCCCTCGTCATCATCTGGAAGAAAGAAAAGTAATGGCTACTGCAGTAGATACATGACAAAGTGTAGCGGCCTCTTTCTAATCCAACTTCGACCTCCTATGACACGGCGTGTAAGCCAATTGTGGAGACTGAATACTACTTCCAAATACATACCGGGCGAAGAAATACTAAAACAGGATAATGATTGTTGGAAACCTCGCGGTGTTAGCTTGATCAGCGATTTCCAAAAAATTCAGGAAAGCATCATAAAAAAAGAGAAAGTAACAGCTACTTTACAAGCTCTTATGCTTCATACAGCAAGATCCCAGACAAGCTTAAATGCAACAACGTCCAGTGCGTCATCAACAGCTATCAACTCGTCGGTTGATAATAAATTGACCGCACGACAAGCGGAGTTGCTACGAAAAGTGCTTGGACTGTGGACCAGCCGATGGGGTACGAATAAAGAGGTAATGAACAAATGGTTAAGAACATGAGACATTGATACTAGATATTTTTCAAAAGACTGAAATGTATTTGGTAAATGTAGATAACGCTTAGCCAAAGCCCTCCTATTTCTGCTACTGAGTCCTATCACGAAAGAATGACAACACATAACAATCAACATAAAAATATGAGTCTTGCTACTCAGAAGTTAATAGCAGAAGTCAAACTTGTTACTGAATTGTGAGTTTCTGGGGGGTTTTTTTTTAGTATTATGCAAAAAAAGGAGGAGCTACTAATATCAGTTTTGCACCTTTATAGTGATAATATAACGAAGAAAGGTTATTTAACCTATCAAGAAAATGCCTTGGACGACCGATGGACAAAAAGATGGTTTGTCCTACGCAGGTAATTTCAGTGGGCTTTAATATCTTTGCATAAGCTTTGGCTATTATTTTGTGTCACTAAAAGAACGTATCCGCATTTTAAGACCTTACATCTATATTTACAAGAATCAACGTGAGACTGAAGAAGAAGGAATTATTAACGTCTCCAATGTTAGAATTGACTATAATAAAGCGCTTGAAGAAATGATCAAGGTAATGGAATGAGGGAAGGCCATCATCACTCAAAACATAAAGTTAATCATCCGTTTTTTCGACTTTTACTCGTATAGCGTGATAACGTGTTCTCGTTATACACGAACAATAATGCTTACATTTTACAAGCAAATACGAAAGCTGACATGATTGATTGGATGAAGAATATTGACAAGCTTTTTAGCATTGACAAAGTGCATTGAAAGAAAGCTGATAATGCACTAGTATACAGAAACAACTATAAACCTATGCCATCATCACTTAGCAAACGTTATTTTGTTTGTATATGCTCTGACTACGGACAACATGAACTATGCCGAAAAACGAAACAAGGACATTTATGCTTATTCAAACTCTTCCAATCTTTTCGATACCCCTTTCCTTATACACATACTCTTCGTTATACCCAAAATTTTCATCACTCATTTTATTTATTTTGATTTTTGTTTACCACAGTCCTTATCTATTTTGTAACCTCCTACTTTAGTCGTTTGTACATTCCTTTCATCAAAAATCAGCCTATTAACCAAACTATACCATTCATTTTCCCTTTATGAAAACATGCAAACTATACCGTTGAAATTCCAAACGTCTTCTTCTTTCTTTAACAATTACAGCTTAATAAGATTAGAAAAAGGACAAGCAAATGTCCACTAGAATTCTTGGAAGAGTGCATAAAACGACATGTTTTTTGTCACATGCAAAACAAAAGGAACAAAGTGTACAGATTTACAGTTTTCCGAGTGTGAGAGAGGCACATGAATTCTATTATCAAATCAGATCAAACAAAGTTTTGTGGCTTAATGCCCTATCAAATTTGTCCGTTAGTGGGAAAAGATTGAAATTAATGCTTATGTGTGTATATATCCACCTGATTCCATTCAATGCCCTTTTCTGGCCTTCTCCTTGTTTAACCGTCACTCTACACTGTGTGCCGAGTACGAGTGTGTGCGTGAGTACAGACTTGCAAATCATAAATAATTATAATATTAAGTTTGACTTTTGAAGGGCCAAAAAAAAAAGGAACTACTGATAATTTTTCCCTTTTCTTTTTTCTTTCTCTTTTCTCTTTTCAAACCAATTTCCTTATATTATCTTTAACCAAAAAGGCATTTTTACTAGTCTTTTACACTTGATTTCGAAGCATGTCCCTTAATAATCAGATCATCGTGGTTGGTGGTGGCCTTTCAGGTCTTTCTGCTGCTCATACAGTACTTGAACATGGTGGTAATGTCTTATTGCTCGATAAGAATCCTTTCTTTGGGTAAAGTCATCTTATTATTTTCTATTAAAAATTTCAATTTTTGAATTTATTCTCAACCAACCCTGTTTCCACCAGTGGCAACTCCACCAAAGCAACTTCTGGTATCAATGGAGCCCTCACACGCACGCAAATTGCACAGGGCATTCAAGACTCTGTTGAACAATTCTATCAAGATACTCTTAAATCTGCACGTGATTTAGCTCGTCCTGAACTCATCAAGGTTTTGACTGGTCGTTCAGCATCGGCTGTTGAATGGCTTCAGGACAAATTTGAGCTCGATTTGTCGCTTGTCGCTCGTTTAGGTGGCCATTCATTCCCACGTACTCATCGTGGTAAAGAACAGTTCCCGGGTATGACCATCACTTACGCCCTCATGGAGGGTCTTGAAGACTTCGCCGCTAGTCAACCTACTCGTGCCAAGATTATAAAAAAAGCTAAAGTCACTAATCTCATCAAAGATAACGACAACAACGTTATCGGTGTTGAATATGTGATGGTCAATAACGGTAAAGAAGACGGCCCCGTGAAGAAGGAGTATGGTCCCGTCATTTTGGCTACTGGTGGTTACGCTGCTGATTTCACTGACAACTCGCTCTTGAAGAAGCATCGTCCTGAGCTATTCAATTTGTCCACCACCAACGGAGACCATTGTACAGGTGATGGTATTAAAATGGCCGCTATTGCTGGAGCCAGTACAATCGACATGGAAAAAGTCCAGGTTCACCCTACTGGTCTGGTGGATCCCAAAGAGCCTGATGCTAAAGTCAAGTTTTTAGCTGCTGAAGCTCTTCGTGGATGCGGTGGTATTCTTTTAGATGCTGATGGTAACCGTTTCTGTGACGAGTTAGGACATCGTGATTATGTCACTGGTATGATGAATAAGAACAAGTTCCCTATTCGTCTTATCTTGAACACAGCTGCATCCAAAGAAATTGAGTGGCATTGTTTGCATTATGCTGGTCGTGGTTTGATGAAGAAATTCGCAGATGGTAAAGCATTAGCTAAAGAAATGGGTATCTCACCTCAACACCTTGAACAAACTTTCGAAACCTACAACCGTATTGCTGAGGGTAAAGAGAAGGATCCTTGGGGAAAGCGATTCTTCCATAATGTTCCTATCAAAATGACTGATTACTTTTATGTTGCCCTCATGCAGCCTGTCCTTCACTACACTATGGTAAGTAGTTTATTGTCACACACTTTCACAAAGCTTGTCTATGAGAGCGGGTTCCTTAACAGATTTGTACTTACTTTTAGGGTGGTGTCGAAATTACCCCTGATGCTGAAATCAAATCTACCCAAGGCCAACCTATTCCTGGTCTCTTTGCAACCGGTGAAATGTGCGGCGGTGTTCACGGTGCCAACCGTCTTGGTGGCTCTTCACTTTTGGGTTGTGTTGTATTTGGTCGTGTCGCTGGTCAAACTGCTTCCCGTTACTTATTCTCTAACTTGGTGAATAACAGCAACCCAACACAAGTTGCTCGACAGCGTTTGGGTGCCATTGGTCAGCATTTGAACGGTGGTATTGGTCTCAATATTGTCGTCCATCCTAATAATGTCATCAGTTTGGATATCGCTTTACCTCAGCAACAGCAACAAGGTGGTAACCAAAGCATCGAGGCAGCTCCCAGTGCTATTGCTGCTGCCGAAGCACAACAGCCAAAGGATGAGGAAAAGAAAGCAGATGAACCCAAGAAAATGGGCGAATATACACTCGAGGATGTCGCTAAACATAATAAGCCTGACGATTGCTGGGTTGTAGTAAACGGCCAAGTTTTAGATGTTACCAACTTCCTTCCTGATCATCCCGGTGGAAAGAAGGCTATCTTGATTTATGCTGGTCGTGATGCTACTGCCGAATTCAATATGATGCACAAGCCTGATGTTGTTCAAAAGTATGCCCCTTCTGCTATCATTGGCACCCTTAAAAAGTAGAATAATCTCGTCCACATATAAGTATATTATGATAAAACCATTGCTCCATATCGGTATCCTGTCTAAGCTTTATTCTATTCCCCTCTACTCAAAAGAATGACCATCAATAAAAAATATTATTCCCCTTTCTATTGCATGCAAATCACACATGGATCAAAGTATTGATTTATACAGTCACTCTTTTTAACACTTGATACTGTTTGTAAATGTAACGTACAAAACAAAGATGAGTTGAAGATGGCTATGGTCGTAGCGAAACGAATATTGATCATATAATTCAAAACTAACTTGAAGACGATTGTGGCTGAAGCTATAAGAAACAACTGTTGTATACAAAGTGCTACATCAAACTGAAAAAACCTCAGTATAAGTTTTATAATATGGCACATATCTTACATTGCTGCCTTCTAATTATCTCGATCTTGTTTCGTCAGTTGAAATGCTATAGCTCAATCAAGGAAATAGTTGGCATCACTCTTAAACATTCTTTAAACGTTAATTTCTTTCTTCTATCTGGTCCATTTTATTATTTTAATTCTTTATTTATAGGGTGTATGTCAGCAGATATTCAAAGGAGCATTTTAATCAAAAGCGAGAGGGTGGCAATGTTTCTCAATGCTGTAGCAAAGATATTTTAGATATAGGTATTGCCAACTTGTTTTACGTAGTTTGATTAAATCGAATCATATGTTTTTTCAACCGAAAACGATTGGAATGTTTGTAAATATGATCAAATTGACTTGAAAAAAAAAAAAAATTAAAATAAAAAGTAAAAAGACAGTAAGACTAAACAACACTTCAAAAGTTAATCATTGGAAGTACGAGTTTCTTTCAATACTTTTTCGAAGGTAAGCTGAGCTGGTAGAGGATCATAAAAAGATGTGGCTATATCCAGCAAGTGCCGCTAGTATAAAAGAGAGGTTTTCATTGCGAGATGGCTATTATGTGAATGTGAGCCATTTTCACGTACGTATAAATATAATTAAAAAACCGTATGTATTCATAGTTAGTTTGGTTCTATGTTCAACGCTTCAAATATGACAAGGTTACATGAAATGCTCCTTTTTTCAAGTATTGCACTTTTGTTACTAAATCCATACATCTCTTTACGAAAGGACTAGGGGGAACCATTTCACATAACTTCTTAAACACCTTATTTGTTAAAGCAAATCTATAGAAGCACAAATCTCATAGTGTCCGTTACAATACAATTATTAAAGGAACTGAAGTTGAGCCAGTGACGTTGTCTACTTATGTTTTTGAATTTCGCCATGCTCATAATAAAGCACCCTTTATCATTGCGGATACTGTTTCGAACACTTTATAGTATTGCTCTCGTTATCCATGATGATGCTGGCTTCATCGACGTGACAACGAGATATATGACAGTAGAACAGAAAAATTTTTTAATCGATGTATCCATCATGCTTACCTACTGCTATTCACATATTTGTAGTTGGTGTTCGATGAACTCCCGGGACAAGCATAGCAATAAATCCATGCTCGAAAGGATACTAGCAACTTATACGATCAGCTGGAATTACTGTGGTTGCTAGTGTCGAACTTGCACTCCAATTAGTACCCTTTTACGAATTTGAATTGTACTCATCTCATTCCTGTTGTGAATCAGTTGTACCTTCCAAATAATTGTGTACAGAGCTTGGATGGTTCGAAAGAGAGTTCTATGTAATGTAATTAAAGCAAATTCGATGGTGTTTTATTCAAGGCTAGAAAAAAGGATAGTCTCAGTACTTGTACAATTCACAAAAAGTATCAACGACAAGCTTCGCCATGTAAAGATTCCAACGATATCAGAAAAGTTATAACGCCATATGACTTATGTCAAGAAAGATATTGGTAACGATAAAAGGTCTTGTATGCGATGCTATGATAATACTTTGTCATTTCTTTTTAATGGCTAAACATCAAACTTTATCTTTTTATACTTTAAGAAAGGGCTTTATGGATATTTCGAAATACTCATAAAAACGATCGTGCTATGCATAAAAGCATAAGTGTAACTGAGGTACTATATATGCGAAGAAAAACTGAGAGCATTTACTGAAGAAGTCCCCAAGAATACTCGCATGGTGTTACTCTATCATTGACCATGGCAGCTCTTGGAACTTGCCCTGATTTAAAAATTATCATCGTACTTATTTTACGTTCGTTTTATAGTGTGCGCTTTTTTGCAACTTTAGACCATTTATTGCATATGGTGCATTGAAATATTAAATGTAGGGTTATATCGATTTTACATTGAGAAACATGTGAACCGGAATTTGATCAAATGATGGCTTGCAAAATTAAGCAAGTAGCTTCTAATTGAACCAATGGCTAAAGTACTGTATTAAGAATGTCAGGCGTATATGGTATTCAGCATACTGAAAATCATCCGATCTGTATTCACCTGCACCTTGGAGCTAAAATTGAAAGGACCATAATACCTCGCGAAGAAAGATCCACGATAACACCTTTGCCATATTAATAAGCACTCTGGATTGAAATTACATTATTGTTCCAAAAAAGCGCGACTAACCAATTGTTAGTTTTCACTATTTGATCAAGCAAAGTGTGCATGTGCTCAAAACGGTTCGATGACACGGTTAAATTACTATAGTTTGCCATAGATTTCGGTGAAGGGCCCTTGACATGCGGCTCTCGCAAAAAAAGATTAGCCTTGAGAAAGTTGACGCGATTTAAAAACAATTGCTTAATATTCGGATTTAACCGTCCGCAAAAATTCAATACTGATAAAGAGTCTACGATTGATTGCTGTGACATTCGCCCAACTCTGACCATGACAGTAAGTTTGAAACCTACTGAATAGCTTTGATACTTCATAATGCATCATAAGTTTCACTAAACGATGCTTTTTGTTTTCTATAAAGAAGATGGCCTGTAGCACAAAAATCTAGTTTTTTCGTTTAAACCTTTTCTGTATCTTCGAGCCAAAATGCACTTAATATTGCTCTAAGCGTTCTGTCAGATGAGCGTCTATTGTTCACAAAAACACAATGTCAGTATTCATTCAGGATTTTTATTCCAAGATTTGCAAGTCAATTTAAAACTATATTGAACAATGTCTAGTTGACAATAATCCTAATACTTGGACCTGATTGTTACTGTCCTTTCGATTGGATATTTTTACCATAGCCTTTTTTTTGTCTAATATTTTGCTCCCAGACCCCGGAGAGAGAAAACTGCTGACCGCTCTTATGGAACAAAGACTAAAATTCACCAAGCAAAATCGAATGTGCACTTTAGAAATATACATCTGAGGACTGAATTCACACATCGCTATGAATTAAAGTAGGACGAAAATGTTGATAAAAAGGGCACTATGTATGTGATCGGTCTGTTTATGACTATAAATGTATATGTGTGCATGTGCGTGTGATTGTAATAGTGCTTATTAGAAATCAGAGTTGATCTTACACTTTAAAGCTGTTTCAACCTGCACGCTTTTGTTTGTAAATTATTTTAAAACGTGTAACATCCCTTCAGTGAAATATCCTGGAAAATGTCTTGGCACTAAAAGTGTAAACCTTAGAAAACAGGACAAGGAAATAATTTCACCAAATAAGGCAATTGCCATTAATAAGGTTGACTCTCCCCTTTATTGCTAAATTAAGAACATGGTAACCTTTTGTAATCAACTGTAAATCTTCAAATCATAACTCCAGCAGTCCATCCTTCATAGATATGTTTAGTCTTACTATTTACTGTTCTGTTCTTTCCTTTTTTTTTTCTTTTTGCATCTTTTCTTTTACATTACTCTCTTGCTTATTAAGTTTTAACATTTCCCATTCCTTCATTTTGCACCTACTCAGAAAAGAACCTACTGCTTAATTGAACGTTGATTCTAATCATGAACCAACAGTCAACAGTAAACCACAGCAACAATCATAACAGTAGTAGTGGCTGTACCTATCGCTTTATCGATAGCTCCCTTGCAAATCTTTCCCCAGAAATGTAAAAAGAGATATATGTCTACTTAAAAGAATGAAAAAAACCAAAAAACTAATCTATGTACCCAATAAACCTATCACTCTATCTATCTTATAGCAAGCGTGACCTTGAAATTAGACAGCAACCGAGGCAAGCCAAAGTCAGCATTATCAATGAGAGAGGTACGATAAGCAGCTCGGTTTAATGGTGTGAATCGCTAGTTCTAAAGATTTAAAATTGATAGACCGCAGACCTATCGAGCCTCCACCTATACTTCAAATTCACTGGAGTGGATGCTCAGAAGAGGAGTTAAAGTATGTGTGCATTTCATAGACACACAAAAAGTATATATCAGCCTGTACTGATATTATTGTAATTATTAGAAAATGTCTACAAAGTCCTTTTTATTACGTTGTGGCAAATCTTGTTACCGAGGATAAACCCGACATTCCTCTTTTACCTGCAGAGAAGTACCTCTCGGGCTCACCCGTGTCATCTCTCCATAGACTCCGCGACATCGATAATTCAGGTAACCTTTTTTTTTTTTTTTTTTTTTTTTTTTTTTTTTTTTTGCAATTGTCTCACATATTGACATCATGTTGAATTCTCGGTAATTGTTTCTAACTCCAATCAATCAATATAGAGGGCGGATACTTTGTCTTTGGTGACCTTGCTGTTAAAAAAGAAGGCAAATTCAAGTTACGTTTCTCTCTTTTTGAGATGATAGAGTACGTAGTGTCTTTAATAGAGACGTAATTATGATTAGTGCATACACACTGACGCAAATTCATTTTAGAGGCGAGGTCCGTAACTGTAGAACACTATTATCAGATACGTTTACCGTGTACATTCCAAAGCATTATCCGGGGTCTGTTGAGGCAACTTTTTTATCGAGAACATTTTCCGATCAAGGCGTAAAAATGAGAATACGTAAAGAACATAGACTCCAGAGGTAGGCAAGCAAATGCTTTCAAGCATCAATCAGTTGTAGAGGTGTCTAACGCATTATCCCACAATAATCGCTCTTGAACGTAGTAGAAAACGCAAACACGATATTAGTAATGATGCTTCCTCTATAACTTCATTGAGCAGCGACAATAATTCGCAGCAGCCAATCAAAAGAGTCTCTCCAAAACCGAGCAGAAGATCAACCGTATCATCCTCGATACCAACAACCAGCTCGACTGGTCATTTTGGCAGATGGCAGGCAACGGCGCCTCCCTCTACCCTTTCGAAGGTAAAGCAGCAAGATCAGCGTTCTACAACCGCCATCCAAAGTCGACAAAATACTGTTACACCTTCACCCCAGCAGCAGCATCATCAAACCACGTTTGCGTACATTAATACGCCGACCAGCAACTTCATTCATGACCATCGTTTTGAGAACGCCAAAATACAACAGTTACAGCATACCTCTTTCCCAAGCCCTGAAAGCACTATTTATAATACTACTACTACCAGTGTCGCGTCAAGAACTTCGACCCCTCAATTCTTATCTCCGCGACATACAGTCAATGAAGCGGGCACTAACCTTACACAGACATTATATCATCACGATCCTTACTTAATAACGCCAACAAAAGTCTCAGCAGATCAATTACCAAAAGATCGATCTCTGGCACAATACCATACTTGCAATGATAGACATACCACATCCACAAGAAATAGATTACCATCACCGCCTATGCCCATAACAAATCTTCATCTACACGCGACAGGGACACAGAATTGGGGTACGCGCTTACCACCCTTGAAGACCATTATGAACGATGACAGTAATACCCACAGTTTCTCAACACCTACTACTACTGCTACTCCTTTAATACTACCGCCTCCACCAGCTCTTATGGCAAAACAAACTTATTACTTCCAATAATATGATCACTGTTTATCCTTAGCATATTGACTTATTCAGTTCATCTGTTGTACATTGTATATTTATTCACGCTTTTACTGCTTTGATTGTATATCCCTTTTCCTTCCTTGTCTATTTCATATATATACTTCCATTGATGTATTCATCTGATTTTTCTGCTTTTAAACCAAATCAAAAAGACAACGTATATCAAGCCTGTATTTCATAGGTCATCGGTAATATTCACACTTGTTTTTTGGTGTAACACCAAAACACAATAATGATAAAAATCTACCAAAATAGTTTATAATACTACAAAAGTACTTTAAAATAAAATACTGTACTACGAGGTTCTTGTTTCACAAAGAAGGGAACATGTTGCATCGCCTGTGTTAAAATTGGCATATTCCTCGGTTTAGGGATTTCCTTTACCCTTTTTTCTCGGGTTAAGAATTAGTCGGTTTACACAAGCGTATAAACTGGAAATGTGTTTAAAAAAGTGGCTTGTGTTTTACGTATGGTTAGTGACTCTAATTAATCGAGCACAAAAAAATCAAAGATGTATCGATACAAAAGAAAAGTTGCAGCCCAAAATAACAAACAGAATTACAATTACAAAATAAGTTAAAGTGTTTATAAATGCTGTTGTAAATATGAATGAATATGTCACAGAGAAAGGCGAGGGTATGAATGGGGGCTCTCGTGAGTATAGTTTTGAAACACCTATCTAGTTGTTATTCCATCACTGTCAATTGGGGTAAGTTCAAGAGGGTAACACCTTTTCTACTGTCGCAATCGAAACCCCAGTCTTTCCAGTGATTGGCCTTGCCATGGCAAGGATAGCACATAGCGCAAACAGTCGTTTTGAATCCATGACACATTTTCCGTCCCTGTCGCAAATTATCCAGCATATCATACATCGTACCGCCTATAGCATCCGGCTCTTCAAAGTCTCCGAAATGCTTAGCGATCATATCGTTCTCGCATACATCAATCTGTTGGATACGACGGTCATGAATGGGCAGGATATTGAACGGGAACAACCATAGTCCTAAGTTTTGATCTTCATTTTTCACAAATAAGCGTTGCCCCTTTACACCTGCGACTAAGTGAACAATATCTCTTGATAAAATATAGAGTGCACCTGCTGTAAATGGAGGGAAGATAGGTAGTGGATAAACCATTTCACTATTTTTATTACCCGTATCGCGAATTGGAGGTATATTCCTACATTCATTTCTCCGTTAGTAATTCAACGATGACCTTTGCTACTCTGTATCAAATCTAACATTTTTACCAGTAAGCCAACCCTCTCCAATATCGGTTTGTCCTTCCAGCTAACTCTAATTCTTGACTGATAGTATCCCATCTAACAAAGATATCATCATCCGTCTTTATAAAGTAGTCGAAATCATACTGATTCGCCCATTCAAATGCCGAGTACACTTTTCTACTAAGGTCTTCATAGCGATCCGAGCAATCCAATATCAAAAGATCCCCAAATTCTTCCATTTCTTTCTCAACAATAGGCATGACGTTCTTTTTGACGAGTTCATTGTCTTTCGGAGGTTGACCCAAAATGAATTTGTAAATGTAGGATATTTTCGTGTTATCATCCTTTGGCATCAGTTGGAGTGTTGTCTCACGAAACTCTTTTCTTTTGACAACTCCTTTTGCCGTCCAGGCAGATAGAACAAATACCATCACACGTACTTCGGCGTCATTGTTGAGCCCAGGATGAGGTTCAGCCACAGGAACCACCATACGCTTTTCTGCTAGTACAACCGATTCCTTTCTTAATTGCCCCACTTGATAAAGTAATGCAAACATGGTGATAAAGACAACAATCGTCAAGGGCAAAATTAGAATACGGACCATCGTGGATCGTTGATGAGTGGTTCCACGTTTTTTACTATCTTCGAAATCCATGGTAATCAAACTACCAGTAGCAGTAGTACTCGTAGTATTTTCCATTCTTAACGGTGTTGTCGTAGCAGCAAATTTCTTTTTTAACAGATTGGATACCAAAAAGATAAGGCATATGGTCATCCACTTCCAAATAGGCTGATCGATGCCATAATGAGAGCCAAGAAATGCTGATACAGACCAATTGATCACAATGAGGGTGATGAGACGAACGATGACACTACTGATCTCATAGTGAAGAAGCCATCGATTCAACATGCTTGTGGTGAAGATCCAACTCCAATAACCTGCTAGTAAGCACTGGATAAGTAGACAGAATTTGTTTATTTTAACCCTTTGTTAAAGTCATACAGCTATAGCTTTTGTCTACTCGTTTTCAAGGACTCACTTACCCATAGTAAAGCTACTTTATGAATGAGTGGTGTACTTTTGTGCTCAAATATGCTAGCTGAATGTTCATTAGGGGCGATGGTACTTGCGAATGCTTTTGATAGATTATCAATCACGCCAATAATAGCAGGTATCAAACACAATAACTTCAGTATGAACAAAGGTAGTTGAAGACGTCGAGGAACAATAAACGAAAAGGTTCCTCTCTTTTTAAAAGAGGTGTGACCCTATGATAGGTATTTGTTATGCCGGAAAGCTTGTAAGGATAAGAGATTTTTATGCGTGCTTACAGATGCCATACTGATTAATTGCGTATATAAGTATGAAAGTGTTCTTCCTACTATCAGATCTACTTATTAATACAGATACAACTGCAAACTGAACAACCAAGAAACGGTTCATGTCAAGTGTCTTACAATTTGAAATTATTCGGCAAATTTGAAATGGCGCTATTATTTTTATTTTTCCCTTTTGAAACGGGCTCGGTCAGGGCAATCAATTTATTGACCAAACTGTCTTTTGCAACCGATTACACAAGAAATTGTGATCAAAAATAACATGCCTTCTTTTTCAATGATCAATGATTATGTAAATGTTCGTCGATATCGTATCGTGTTTACTATGTCCTATTCTCAGCAGCTTGTTGACGCACTCTTCTTTCATATTCTTTCTTATCCTTTCTAAACAACATATAAGCTTCCTGTTGGGCGGGGCTTTCAGGGTTGGGATCATTTAATAAATCTTGCACGCCAAGAAGAATCTTCATATTTATAAAAGAAAGAGGGTGTTAAAATGGACGCGTTCTTATAAGTAAAAATGAAAACGTGTGTCGTACCTGCTTCACTGTGATAGCGGGTTTCCATCCTTCGTCTTCATTTAAAATCGATAGGCAAACGGTGCCTGAAGGATAAACGTTAGGATGGAAGAGTGGTGGTGAAAACCTGCCTATAAAATTATGGAACTATCAGTTAAGAAGCTGTTTTTCCTTTATTGCAAACGGATGCTGAACTGCGCGCAAAGAAATTGGTCTTACATTTTGGTGGTTTACTGGGATAATCTATTTAAAATTGATGATTAGTCCGGTTCCCACCAAGCAAATAGTAATATGCTGTTGAATGGTTGTGTTCTGTTACCTTCAGGAAATGACATGGTGAGTTTATAGGTTGCTTTCTCCCAAGGAGTCTACCAATACGAAATAGAACAAAGGCATCAATATGTCGAATTCTACAATTCTATAGCACTGGATGAAACCAAAAAAAGAAGGCTTACTCCATCTTTTCCTGGAATACCGCAAGTCCAATTCATTAAATCGAGCGAGTTATCTGGATTCTTGCCCGGTCGAGCCCAAAAACCCTACAACAACAAAAAAGAATCTTGTCGATGAGCGAGATTCTGATTTCTAACTGAGCCTCGTCGCGCGAATTCTACACTTGTCGAAAGAGTGGTGAAATTACATGAGGATGATCTTTTCTCCATTGTTTTCTTTCTTCCATTAAACGGCTTCGTGATATGCCTGTACTCATTTTGTAGTATCAATAAATAGCTGGTATTTTATTAGAAGAAAAGAAAAAAATAATAGCAGAAAAGAGCGGAAAACAATTTAATCTTTCTAAACCAGAACAATATTGTCTCGCATAGTCACGACACTACAGCCTTTCCTTTGTTACTGGGTTTTGAAATACGTCCAAATGTTTAATTCAAAATCCAATATTGTAAAAGCGTCAGTTATTGTTGCTTGGTAGCTCCATAACGTCGATAACTGTAAGAAGGACAACAGTTAATTATAGCTTCAGTGCGATTACCTCTTTATATCACTTACTGATAAATTCGGCCAACTTGTACCATACCCGTAAGGAACACACTGAAATTTACTGCTGCCACCATATAATTCTTGGGTATGATAACGAACCCATACCTTGTCCAGATCAAGCCAGTCAGCGCTAATGCTACTCATATAAACAGCTTAGCCCTCATCTCATACTAGAAGGAAATACTTATTATGAAACACTTAGTATGCTTACAAAAGTTTTGTCGTACGCTTAACTGATCTGCTGGCTTTTTTAGGTCACTTAATCCAGCGATCACCAGTCCCTGATATAAATATAGGAAATATATCAGCTCATGACGAGAGCAGAGAGTTTCCATGTTTTGTCATTCATAATAAAACTGTACCCACTTCATAGTAGGCGCCCAAAAATGGATTGTTTTAGGTCCTGCAGGTGAATTCAAGAATCTTGTGAAAATGGATGGTGAAGTGGTGACAGCTGCAGCAGTAATTGACATATTTGTAAAACGGAAAGTTGGTAGAAAAGACAAGGAGAAAAAAAAAATAGAAAGAACGTACGGACTAGTTTAAAAATAAGAGAGACAGGATTGTATGTGTGTGTGTGAATTCAATGTTTCGTCAGACTTGAAAACAATAATAATAATAATAGTTGTAACTGGTTTTCTTTATTTCTGGTTGCTCAACAGTACAATTTTATAGTGTCAACTCTGTAAAAAATTTTTATTGTAATTTTCTGAGCAAGGTGCTGGCGGTGAGGAAGGCCTTCCAAACATATTACTCGCTCTATTCTTTAACTGTAAACTGGCACGATTTAATCTTGCTGACAGCCGTTTATTTCGATAAGGGGTGCTCAAGTCATAGACGCCATCATGATATATTTGTTTGTAATACGCAGAGTCTACAAAATTCGTATAAATCATGAAATATCAGACTTTGACTTACGGACTGGGAAAATGATGCATTCAAGCTTCTTGATTTACCTTTGGAATCAAATTCAGGTAAAAAGGATCTTCGTTTAGTATATTTCTCTAACCTCCACAACTCAATTCTGTTCTTTAGTTTTTCTGTAATGTGCATTGTAATTATTAAAGATAGTGAGGAACAGCAATAGACAGGAATGGTATGATATTCAAAGTAGTGTTGTTGAGGACTCTACTTGTCACTAAAGCAATAAGTAAAAAAAGAAGGAAAAGTATAGCAGATGAACAAAGGTACTAATAATATATATCATTGTTTACGCGGAGTTCATGCAAACAACATAATACCATTACTGTATACCTACTTACCGTGAATTGCCAGCACTGAAAAAGAGTAATGGTTTCTTCTGTTTGAATCTTTTTTGATTTGAAACTGTTTTACCAGCGGGCAACACGTGCATTTTTATTTAATTTTGGTACTATCTGCCTGCTTCATAGACACTATGTTGAATCTATCTAAAGGACAAAAGTAATCATCCTTCCTGAGCAATTTGTTGTCCATATGGTTACTTAGCCTATTATGGTAACTGGGCGTATTTGAAAAGAGCGGAAAGCAGTTGAAAAACTTCAATAATAGAAGGGCTATTTGTACAATATAATGCTTAGCATAGATAACAGCAGCTTTCTTAATTGAGGATATGCAATATTAAGTACAGTATAATTGACTTTCAAGTTTTTGCTTTTTTGCAATTGTGCTAGTTTAGTGGAAGATAATCATTCCGATATTCCTTTGACCTATCCATTATGCCAAAAAAGTCGGAAATGGAGCATTTTAAAAATACAAAAGATAAGCATGTATGATGTTGATCAATTTAGTGGCTACGCCTCAAGCCCTATAGGAAACTGTAATATGGTCCACACAGAGGCCAATTTGTCGGAACTAAAATTAATGTTTGGGCAAACTTCTCCGACCGATTCGTGGTAGATAGCTTTGATCTTCACTGACCTTTTGGTCAAGGCCCAGCTCTTCGAACAGGGTCGGTCTTTGCGTTAGTGTCGGGACTTTGAGTCAAGGCCAACTTGAATGATTATCGAAATTATATATCAAAAGTCAAAAGCATGGGTCAAGATAGCAGCATCGAAATTTGATGTTATTATACTATCGTACTGTGTATTTTTCCTTAATGTGAAGTTGACTGCTTGATAAAAGGGATGTTCGAAAGCACAATAGACAATTGCTGTTCCATATAACCAGATGGAAGTGGAGATTCAAGTTTCTTTATTAAGTATTATTTGAATATAACGTGACGATAAAGAAATGGAGGAACAAACGAGAAACTAGTCTTCTACCAATACACAGCTTTGTTTTTGATGTCCAATGCAACAAGTTGAACTTTGGTGATGCATTAATGCCCGTTAATATATCAGCTTTCGGAATAATATCGAACAAACAGACCACATCTATAGTACGCTCCACGGATCTGCTTAGATTTTATAACAGAGTTGTAGGCATCTTCAAATTTCGTGGAGGTACCAGCGTAACCTTTCTGACTGACTTCAGATTGCTTGAAGGTTGTTTGGAAATATACTCTGAAATGAGTGGTAAATATTACCAAAACTAAATATTGGCAAGAAAACAGACAAACGTCAACTTGAGCGGTAGCAGGTGAACACGTGTTCTACGGCTTCATTTTCATACGACTTTCGAATACAACTAATGGTTACTACAACTGCTTCTTTTTTGAGATGTCTATTAATGGTTTAAATGTTTATGATAGCATTGTAATGTTCGAGAAAGCGGTAAAAACTTAAAACCGTAGTAAATGATAACTGACTTTGAACATTTATCTGCGAACAACACAATGGCATGATTCGTAGCAAGGATAGCCAATATTGAAGGGCTGTTTTTGACGACATATGAACAATCTCAACCTTTACGTAACAGTTTTCTGTCCAATATTCATCTTTATTTCAAGTTCAACTCATCAGACTTACGAACCTTTGCCTATAACGAAGGGAAGATTTGCACGTCTTTAAATAACAAACTTCTTACAAGTACATAATTCTGCAACAACAAAATACGTGGAAATACATCTATAGATCAAACAGATCTTGAAATAATTCTTATCATAGTACTTCCGTCAAAGAATGATCTTCAAAAATTGTTTTGAATCATACGTTCAAATAAGCCCATATTCATGAAAATCTCACAGTAGGACGCTAGAAAAATCATTAGAAAAGATCAAAGAAAAAAGAAAAGATGCAGCGGTTGACATCATATCATTAACGCCAACACCAGCGCCATGGACAATCTTTGAAAAGACTGCAGCACAGTTGAGGCCAAAAGGTGGATGATTCAGTTTCAATGGCCGCTAAAAAATAAGGTATGAGCGTTGTTGCGTCATTAAAATTTCGTGGTGGACAAATTGGGGACTCCTCCTCCCTCCCCCTCCTGCAAATCTGGATATTTCAAAACCCCACATTTATTATAACTTTCCAAGTTCCCTTTTTAACGCTTTTTCCAGAAAACTCGAAACAATAAATATGTCAATCGCTCGCATGGCCCTTCGCTCAGTTGCTGTCAAAGTATATATTTCCTCAGAAGGATTGATGCGAACATTCATCAAATGGTCGAAAACTTACAACCATTTTACTTAACGCCATTTAGTCTACTCTTCCTTCCATTGCTGCTCGTTCATATAGCGCTGCTGTTATGCAGAAAGGTAATTTCGTGACCTTTTTCAATTGAGTTTATTCATCGACTCACTCTTTCCTTGTGCTTTGGATTCAAATTTAATTCACTCAGACGTGCTTCAAGATTTGTTCATTAAAGAATTGAAGGCTTACAAGCCTCAACCTGTTGTAAGCTATGCAAAAGTTTAAATCCACTTTCCGACGAAATAAGCATGAGATGATAACCCAATGTTATTACTGTTGTAGACTGCTGCTGATGAAGCTCCTGCCAAGGATTTCAAATTTCCCCTTGCTCCTGCTGTAAGTTGTACACAGATTTGATGCTTGGACACAGTGGATAAGAGAAGAATGTTGATAAGTCTAATCAATAAAACATAGGTTCCTGAAATCGATGCTGATTTAGCTCAACAATTGGCTGCTTACGACGCTGAACCCGAGGAAACCTCTCAATAAAGCAATAGAGAAAATCACAGCTCTCATCTTCGACCCTCACCCACAGACACATTATAGTAATATGCTATAATATATATCTTTCAGCCCAAAGACCAGACTTGAATCATGACAGGAAAAAAAAAAAGAAAAAAAAAAAAGAAACAGATTTAAAGTAGACTTGATTCTTTTTTTCATATATAAAAAAAAAGATGATAACAGCTCAAAGGCAACATCGTGTATAAATAAAACTTGATTTTTGCTGCTAAGTTTGAATGCAATATCAAAGACGGCATCCAGATATTTTTAATTCATCATAGATGTTTGCATTTTCTTCCCCCGCTCTTTGTTTCCTGTTCCTCTTTTATCTTTTTTATTTTTTTTTTTAGAAAATTGCTGTAAATAATTACTCTATGTCCATGTTTCCTTTCCCCAAAGTAAAAAATATAATATACTTTATTGTATTGACGCCTGTCATCGTCATATTATTAACCATTGGTTGGTACCAACAGGCCATTCATCATAATGACATTCCACAGAAGATGTTGCCGCCGAGACCAGATGACTCTTATGTCATTGCAGGCTATTTTGTCAACTGGTAGTAAAAAACTGTCTTTTTTATTTTTTTTTTTGGATCGCTGCATTAATTTTGTTAGAAACCTAAAATTATCATTGATTAGGGGCATTTACCAAAGGAATTTCAACGTTGTTGACTTGAAAGCAGACAAATTATCTCATATCTTGTATGCTTTTGCTAATGTGAATGCCGATGGCAGCATTCTACTCGGGGTAGAGAAACAGATAAAATGTCAACTATGGATCCGCTTAAAACTTCTCTTCAGGATTTTAATCTCTTCGGTTGTGTAATTATATTAGGATGCCTGGGCGGATACAGATATTCGATTCACACAAGGTAAATCGACTTTTTTGCCTGTGAAAGCGGAATCATCGTCAATAAACTAAGCAGATTTTTTTCTTTTTTAACAGAGAAAACAGTGGATGGTGTAGTCGATGGTTGGAAAGAAGTAGATGAAGATTTGCATGGTAACTTTAAGCAACTTGCTCTGTTGAAGCAACGCAATAGACATTTGAAAGTGTCACTCAGTGTGGGTGGCTATACTTGGAGCGCCAACTTTTCAGCTGTGGCCGCCTCACCGAAGGCAAGGGCTACCTTTGCGAATTCAGCCGTGACTCTTTTGAAGGATCTTGGTTTGGACGGTATTGATATTGATTGGGAATATCCTGCCACGAGCGCTGATGCTGACAATTATGTCCTGCTTTTGAGAGAGGTGAGAGCAGCATTGGATGAATATCAACTGAAGTTTGACCCCACCGATGAAAAGTTCCTACTGTCTGTAGCCGTGCCCTGTGGACCTGAACACTATCGTTTGCTGAAATTAGAAAGAATGGCAAAGTATGTGGATTTATTTTATTTGATGGCTTATGATTTTGCTGGTAGTTGGGATAAGGTGACAGGGCATCAATCGAACCTGTACGGTGGCGACTTCAGTGTCGACCAAGCTGTAAATCACTATGCAAAGTCAGGCGTACCCACCAAAAAGATAGTGATGGGCATGCCTTTATACGGTAGAGGATTTTTGAACACCGGACTGACACCTGGTTCAGCTTATCAAGGTGTTCCCAAAGGAAGTTGGGAACCAGGTAACTACGACTACAAAGACTTGCCTCCTGAAGGATCTAAAGAATATTATGATGAAAAAAGGGTAGCTTCGTGGTCCTACAATGAAAGAACGCGAGAATTTGTCACATATGATTCACCCACGGTAACAAAGGTGAAATGTGACTATATTAAGCAACGTATGTTGGGTGGCGCGATGTTTTGGGAGTTAAGTGGTGATGTGCCAGACAATAGCCAATATAGAAGTCTGCTAAGCGCGGCTTATGACTTTTTGGAACGAAAATTAAATAGGAAACCCAACCATATCCTATTTCCACAGAGTAAATTCAAAAACATCCCCCATTCCCTATAAATAGAGCCGCTCCATTTGTATAGTACTCCATCTTTGAAACGAAAGATATTGTTATTGTTATTGTCTAAAACGCATAACTACTGCTTTTTACATCATTATCAGCAACGATTTACTCTTTCTTTTTTCTTTCTTTCCCAGGTTTCTAACTGAAAAGAAAGAAAAGGAGTAGTACATACAACGTACTCATATCCAATAACTGATGACACTGGAGTGTGAATTAAACCATATATGAATTGCTGTAAGGGGCGAATCGATAGGCTGACAGATGGATTTGCCAGTTCTTGACTTTTCTTATTCTCTCCATAATTTTACTGATACTGCAGAGTATAAGCACTGCATGAATCGAATAGTAAATATTTTTTTTTATCGGATAAAGAATAAACAAAAAAGAGTTTGGATCATTTATCATCCATCGTAATGAAGAAAGCAGCTGAACGCCGTTATCAAAAACTGTAAAATAACAATAATGGACGTAGAATGATAAAAAAATAAGACACAGCATCGTTTCCCAGCATTTAAGCTATGCGATCAAAGTGGAAGTAAAAGCTATGTTGCCTTCGGATATAAAGACATGCCATGCTATCTGTTTTATTTTCCTATGCTTTTATTGGTATCAGACACCCAAGATTTTAATCTTTTCTTGAGTTGGCACTTGATTGATGACAATTCTACCAGCATATGAAATAGAAGCAAATGTCCATGTATCTATTGCACTCCATGCAACGCTATAGACACTATCTTCATGTTGATCATACGTACACACTAAACCATCCGTTGGTTTCATTCTGTAAGAAAATAAAATAAACATTAGAACATGTGACCTAGTTTTTTCGAGTGGACCGTTGTTTTGCTACACTATGCTATGTGTTCAGACTTATTTACCTCTCCTTTGTGAGAGCCCTGCTGTCCCCCTCTTCATCTGTTTCATCGTCATCCGCACTTAGATAATCTTCAAAATAAGCAGCTGACGAAACGGATACTACGTTATGCAAATTCACAACGGTATCTGAACTGGATGTCAATAATAACTGGTCTTGTAAAGAGTTGAAAGCAACAGACCAGACCCAATGAGTATGGCCCTCAAGTGTCATGACTGGATCCTTTAGTTGCCGTGTATCCCAGATTTTGACGAACGCATCATCACCACCCGTCGCCATATGGTAAGGTTTATTCGGATTGTAGTCGATAGCTCTCATCGTACTCTCATGCGCTTTTCTACGAGTAAATGTGTTACTGCCTGATCTGAGGTCCCATCCAGCGAAGGTGTTATCAGCAACAGCAATGAGTTCAGGCTGATGTGGGTTCCATACGGCGTTTTGCAAGAGTTCAAGAGAGGGCAATTCTGTTTCGTCTGTGAATAATGAGGATGCGTCGATGGAAAGTATACTCTACGATTCGATGGATGTTCAATAACATAGCGCCTACATTTTGGGTACAACGCTCATCCTGCGTCAACATGTGAGATTTTTTTTACCTCGGAGGTATCGCTTTCTATCGATGATAGATAGAGATGGGTTCTCCCCATGGCTATGATTTGGTGGTTTTGTTCTTGAGGACACCAAAGAACTCTGGAGTGAACAAAAATTTTGGATGAGGGATCACCTTCTATCGACTTTGTTATCATAGACATACACCCATTTTATTCCGTTCCTTTCTCTGTTGTACCTTACTTTTTCACTCCCTCATATTCTAGCTGCAAAAGATGGTTTAGCTCTTGGCGCTGGTCGTTGTTGTTGTAGTTTGAGGTATCTGTGGTCTCCTTTCTCTGCCACAACGTCGCTTTCCTACTCAATGGGTTCTGGGATGCTACTGTTTGTTAGTTTCAAGTAGAAGCCAAGGTGATATTTAGAGAGTCTTCTTTTACCGGAACTATGACAAGTGAAAAATAGTTGTTCATCGTATGGACAAGAAGCAATGTCCCACACTTCATCGGGATGGTTATACAATGTGGAAGCAATAGTATTGTTATCATCGTCATATGCCAACAAGCATACGATATTGTCCTTGGCGCCAATGGAGCCGGCCATAAATTGACTCTTGTCTGAATTGCTCTTGACGGCTGTCAAACATCTTGCCTTTTGTCCGCGAGGAAACAACACGGTCAGTATTTTTCACATCGTTTCGTTCCATAGACAGACAGATAGGGTGTATGGAATGAACTTACTTGATGACGAAGACCAAACACGGTTGAATTGTCTGCCATTGGGGACCCAAATCAAGAATGTATCCAGAATAGAAATGATAGATTCATACACGACCCTCCTCCAAGTGTGTGAACCTGTCCTTCATCTCCCCGACCTTCAGCATTGATTACACTTTTGACAACCCGATCCCGTCCTCCTTTTTTTAATTTACTTTGTTTGGTTATTCTCCCAGTCACAAGCGGCAACCACCAAGCATGAAAGGCCAACGCGTATTTAGATTTCTGCCCCCCCCCTTCTTCATAACAAAAAACATTTCTAAAAAATGGCTGATATATTGGCCTATTTGGATACATTAAACTATAAACAATTTGTTATAGGTTTTCAATGTATTGTCTATGTATTTGAACAATATCTCAAGTAAAAAAAAAAAAAAAAAAGAAAAAAGAAAAGCCTTTGTTTTTGTCTATGAACGCTTCAAGCTTCTTTAGGGAAACTAACAAGATGAGTTGATCGTTTACTAGTCTTCGTCAGCATCGTCGCTACTTACTGCGGGATCGTCCAACGGAACTAGCAGATATTGTCACAGCAGAAGACTTCAAAAAGGCGCAGGCCTATAATTTGGATAAATCTCGTTTTGGATTCATTGTAGGACTTTACAAGCAGATTGAAACAGTTTTGATCATTTATTATGATGTGCTTCCTACTCTCTGGAATATATCAGGTTTTGCCATGTACAAGGTGTCAGGTTATGGTCCTGAGCATGAGGTAACTACTAGGAAATAATGGCTATTTGCGTGCGAGACGAGCGTCCACGAATGGGGAGCGAGGGCTGCTTCTAATCTTTAGAGATCTATGTATCATTTTCCATGGATAGATTATTCAATCTCTCGTTTTCCTTACCCTCTTCAATATCATTTCGACTATTACCAACTTGCCATTCAGTCTTTACTCGACTTTTGTTATTGAAGAGCGTCATGGTTTCAATAAGCAAACGATTGGCTTGTACTTTACCGATTTGATAAAGCAACAAATTCTCATGGCAGTTTTGATGTATCCATTCATGTCTCTCTTTATATGGATCATCAAGTCTACTGGTGATAAATTCTATTTCTATGTTTGGTTAATTGCGTAAGTGAAAGGGCACAGTAGGAAGGAAGGAGGATGATAAAAGCCAAAAAAGTACGTCATTAACCAAGAGGAAACCCCCATTTTCTATCGATATAGCGTTGTTTTCCAACTCTTTATCATTACCATCTATCCTACGTTTATTCAACCCTTGTTCAACAAATTGACACCTCTCGAAGAAGGGGATTTAAAGAGCCGTATTGAAGCGTTGGCGGACCGTATCCAATTCCCTCTCAAGAAATTATATGTGATTGACGGATCCAAGCGCTCATCTCACTCTAACGCTTATTTCTACGGTTTTGGCAAAAACAAGCATATCGTTCTTTTCGATACGCTCCTCGAACACTGCAACACGGATGAAATTTGCGCCGTGTTGGCTCATGAGTTGGGTCACTGGCAAATGGGCCACACGATGAAGCTTTTGGTGGTCAATCAAGTCTATTTGTTGACCATCTTTTGGCTGTTTTCCTACTTTATCCACAATCCCAAGCTGTATCAAGACTTTGGTTTCGAGCAAACGATGCCTATCTTGATTGGTTTCATGTTGTTTTCGTTCATTTATGCTCCTGTGGAGAGTGTGATTGGATTCTTGCAACATGTCTACCAACGCAAGAACGAATACGAGGCGGACGCGTATGCTTTGAAGTTGGGTTATGCTTCTACTTTACGTAGCTCTCTGATCAAATTGAGCGTGAAGAATTTGGGTGGTTTCAATATTGATCCTTGGTACTCGGCTTGGAACCATTCTCATCCTAGTCTGGTGGAAAGATTAAAGGCATTGAACGTCAAGCCTACATCCGATCAGCCGATCGTAGCAGAGGAGAAGAAGAACGCATCCGAGGACAAAAAGGATTTGTAAAGAAAAAAAAAAAAAAAAAAAAAAAACCCAACCAAATATCAAAACCATAATGGAATAAACCCTTTGTTGTTTTCTCTAAAAAAAGTTGAAAGCCCATGTGGTTTCCTTTCCATTTGAAAAAGAAAGGCCTCTTCTCTTTTTCATGATTTACCATCAAATAAGTTCGAGATCAAACATTCATGCAAACCGACTTGTATAGCGAAATGGCATAAGCCCCGAGCCGTATTCATTCGACCCCAATGAGGCACGAATAGAAAAAAATAAAAATTAAAAAAAAAGGGGTCTACTGCTGTGGGTAACTGTCCGAAAATCAAAAGGCAAAAACGACTACTATCCTGGGTGCAAACTTTCCCCTCTGGTTTGATTCAAATGCAGCTTAAGACTTCCACAGGTTTTGAACAGAAAAGAAAGCGAGCAAATTCTTCAGAAATTATGAACAGAGGAACTGTCACTGGTCACTTATCTTAATTTTCTTAAGGTTCTAATGGATGAGATGATAAGTATAAGCACGTCCTTTATTTGGGTCATGAAGAATGCCCCTCTTCATGAAGCTGAAGATATTTCTCGGTATATTGAATCTAGAGGATATCGATGTCCTTATCTTCCATCCTATTCGCCTGAACTCAATCCTTTTGAACAGTTTTGGTCTGTTCTCGAAAGTAAATTCAAGCGTAACAGGCTGTCGGAAAGCGAGACGTTGATGCCATGATTCAGCGACGCATCAAAGTGCTTGGAGTTGAGTGATTTTGAAGGATTCAATTCCAAATGGATGACTGGTCAAAAACACGACTTCTCTTTTTGTCAGTCACTGGCTATTTTCGGCAGAGCAAGACCTTTTTCATTTCGGAAAAGAGTGTATAAAAAGCAGGCTGGAAACAAAAAAAGAAAAAAAGGGAAAATGTTGATTCTGTAGCCGGAAACGAGTGTCTTCCGGAATGAGCCCAAAAGGGGCAAACAGCAAATGAAAAATTGAGCCTATTGTTTTTTGCCGTTGTCGTCTTTTTAAAAAAGAAAGTAGGGAAAAACTAGGGCCATTCATTAGAACCGTTAACAAAAAAAACAAAAACAAAAAAAAAACGTGCCCCTCTCTCGCACCCTATTGGCTTTTTGAATGATATCCTATGTAGATGCATGTTGTGTATTTTCATGAAGCCATCATCCCATTTTTGAAAAGACTGTAGTTAGCAAGTGAAGAGAATGAAATATGTCCCGAAATGGAGATAGTCGGGTTGGTTCATCTGTTTGTTACAGAACAGTGGTGTCATATTTGTCAATTTTAGTGGCATTTACCGTAAGACAAAAAAGAAAACCAGAAAAGCTTGGGCCGTTCTTTTTTTTTTTTTTCATTTATGAGATACAGGAATGGGCATACAAGGGAAAAAATCATGCGATGGAGGGTGCCATCCAAACCTTACGGGATACACACACACCTTTTCAAAAAAAGTATCGAACCACATTGAATAGAGTCTTTTACAACCGGGAAAAAAAATTGGGCTGAGCGTGAGTGAACATAGGGTCCCCCTTGGGTTAATACAATACGTTTCGTATAGAACATTTTGGGACATTCCACAAAACGAAAATTGTCGGGTAAAATGCCGAAAATAAGAAATGGCATATTGACTCAAAATAGCATTCCCAATTTTGCTAAGCGCTAAATAAGAAGCTCAATCGAGCGTTTATTTACTTTGGAGGAGCGATGGACGAATGCAAGTAAAGAAGGGTCATCAAAATTACGATTATCTGTTTTTGATGGGATTGGAAGGAGACTGGCGCGATCATTAATCAGACTCACGATGAAGATTCAATGATTCATCAAAGATGGATTATCAATCGACGAGCCAATGAGCGTCTCTCAATGGACCTCGTCGAATGGGGGTGAACGTTCGAACGGGAGGCTGCGTTTCAAATCCCTTTTTTATGACTAATTTTGACCATCCTAAAAAGCCAAGTATAAATAGAAGGGGCAATTTGCATGAATGCTGTTTCTTTTACTATCAATAGAACAAACCAGACAACCACACAATCAATCTAAACATACATACACACTTCTATTTTACTAATGGATCTCTCTTGGTGTATCATTTGCGATCGTCACTGTGCTGACAACGACCTTTATTGTTCCGAAGTCTGTCGCTTTCAAGACACGGATGGCCAAAAGCCCATGCTGGAAAACACGACAAGTATGTTTGACAAGGCACCATCACTTGTTTCGCCACCTGCCTCTCCCATCATGTCACCTTTACTCTATTCTTTCCAACCCGTCTACCACGCTGGTCGTCGTTCAGCAGCCACAGCAGGCAACATGATGCATGCATCTTATTCCACTTCATCCGCGTCTACCTCCACGATGGCCACCAACTATCATTACATTCCTTATCAACTCTCTCCAAGCAGTTCTCTTTCTTCTTTGCCTTCCTTTTCATTGTATGATGAAGACACCTAGGGGAGTCGGCTTCCTGAAGACTTTTCTTATCACTTTTAATTGCAATGATTTCATCTGTATTTCAAGAAAATGATCAATGACCACCTCCAGCACACACCCCCCAGTTCTTTATGACAAGGAGACGGAAAACAAGAGATGCTCCCGGCTGGGTGTCCTTCCGATGTCGCTTCAGAACAGCAAACCTATGTAGTATAGAAAGACATAACTTAGATGTAGATACATTACTATAGTTTTTTTTTTTTTTTTTCTGGTTTAAAAAAAAAAAGCAATGTAGTCTCTCTGACTGCGATGATCCATGGTCCGTCTTTTTTTCCGAAAAAAAGTTTCAAATTGTTTAATTTACATACATTAGACTTTTTCATATCAATGATTATCCATGAAAAGGCTATACATAATGCCTTTTCGACTCGTATCGTTGGATAAAAGTTTTTATTCAATAAAATAAATAGAGTCTTGCCATTTTAAAAATGTCTTTTTTCTGTTTCCAGTATAAATTTTCGAAAATTTTTTGATGTCTTTCTGCCTTCTACCCAACCTACTGAATCCAAAACCTATTTTTTTTGTCGTTCAGGAATTAGTTTAAACGCTCTTTTTTCCCTTTCTCTTTTCTTTTTTTTTTTTCAAATATAAAAAAAAGAAAATTTACATGTATCTGTTCCCTTTCTCTCTTTTATATATTTGATCCTATTGATGCAAGACGATACGATCGTTTTACATTATCATGATGTTGTTATACGTCAATCTGTAAAGTAGTCGTCGACATGTGGGGGCTTGGGGGATCGAAAGAGAAAAAAAAAAAAAAACCAAAAAGAAAAACGTCACTCATAAGGATACCTACGGTTTTATAGGATTTAGAGACACTGACACCAGGACAATGGCTGAATGATACGATGATTGAATTTTATATGGAGTTTTTAGAGCGAACGTTTGTACCAAAAGATGCCAATTATCTATTCCTTCGACCTGGGATGGTCCATTTAGTGACCTATGCTGAAGGTAAACGGGAAAGGAAAAAAAAAACCCAAAAGTTCAATGCCTACGAAACTTATCAACTCAACCCTATAGGAGATGTACAACAGCTGTTACCGGCTTTACCACCCAAGTTGCATGACTATGAAGCGATTTTCATGCCCATCAATGACGGGAGACCTGATGAAGCCTACAGTGGGACTCATTGGTCCATCATGGTGTATATTAAAGCAGCCAATGCATTTTATTACTACGACACACTCAAGTTTAACAATTTACGACACGGCGATTTAGCTTGCAAACGTTTCAAGTCTTTATTGAGACTACGAAAGCCAGCACAGTTTATACCCAGTAGTACACCACAGCAAGAGAATAATTCAGATTGTGGAGGTATTGTAGACGAGATGGAGGAGGGGGGGAGTGGGGCCGAGAAGGGCGTTTCTTCTAAGAGTGACTATTAACACATACACATCTACTAGTATGCATTATTGCCATTCTAGAACACACACTACATCAACTACTTAAAAGCAGGGGAAAGAAACAAGAAGATATTCAATACAACAAAATCATGATGCTCAAAGAAAAGAATCTGTCAACACCAAAACAAGTACGCGATAACATTAACGGCATGATCAAGCGACTACAGCAACGGTTAACGCCAAAGGTTGCACTGTCCTCCTCTTCTTCGCTGTCCTCTATGTCCACCTTACCTTCGTCCTCTTCCAATGTCACTTCCTCTTCTTCCGCATCCTCATAAAATTTGTCATTAAAAAAAAACTCTTGTCATATAAAACACTGCTTTTTGGTCTTTTTCTCATTTTTTAACCCAATAAGAATGAGTTGTTTACGTAAATTTTTTTTTCTTTTTTGGCGGGCATCTAACAAAAACTTTTTTTTAGACGCACGAGATTTTCCTCTCCTTTTTTTTTTTTTTTTTTTTTTTTTTTTTTTTTTCTCCTCTTTCTCCCTCTCTTTTTTATTGGAATAGGTGCGTATCAAACTTTCATCTCAAAGTGAATGTCCAAAACACATTCTTTTTCGTCACTTGCTGCTTTTCTTTTTCCTACTCTCTCGCAACACTTTGGAAACGACGACATGAGTCGATTCTTTTACATTAAAAGGAAGCCTTGGGTTTTTTAAGAAAAAAAAATAAAATATAAGCCACCCATTTCCCCAATGGGGCCATGGGCAACATGCACGGAAATGGCTGGAGATCGACGTCGACCACTTCAGCACTCAGTAGACTATGGCAACCCTCACCACCACAACGTGTTGGATACAAGTCTGAACGTCACCTGATTCGTTAGAGGAAGCAAAGAAGCATAAAAAAAAAGCCATTTTGTCCCGTTTTTCACGTCGATTGGCAAACGAGATGTGTAGGAATAAGGATGGCACAACGCGAGCGACAGAAATAGAGTTGGTTTTTTTTTTTTTTTCTGCTCTCTGTATTAACCACTCTTCTTTTTCCCTTTCTTGTCTCTCATGGACTACCCCCTAGCCAGAAATAAAAAATGAACGCCGAAAAACTCGCCAAGCTCCAAGCTCAAGTCCGTATTGGTGGTAAGGGTACTCCCCGTCGTAAGGCCAAGAAGGTCTCTGGAAAGTCCTCTGGTGATGACCGTAAGCTCTCTGCTGCTCTCCAAAAGTTGAATGTTCAACCTATTCCTGGTGTTGATGAAGTCAACATGTTCAAGGATGACGGTAAGGTTATCCACTTCAGTCACCCTCGCGGTAAGTATCTTAGTAGGAATGAATGCATGGGAAATCGGGGTGGGGAGAGGCATCGAAAAGATCGATCACTCATATTTGTTTTTCTCTCTCTCTCTTCATTAGTTTCTGCTGCTCCTAGTGCCAACACTTTTGCTATTCACGGTCGTTCTGCCGAAAAGGAATTGGCTGAACTTATTCCCAACATCATCAACCAATTGGGTCCTGACTCCATGGCTGCCCTCAAGAAGCTTGCTGAATCTTTCCAAGCCGCTCAAGGTGAAAACGCTGGTGCCGCTGCCGGTGCTGATGATGATGAAATCCCTGACTTGGTCGAAAGCTTTGAAAAGGCTGATGTTGAAGACAAGGCTGAAGAAAAGAAGGAAGAATCTGCTTAAAAAAGAAGGAAAAAAAAAAACCATCAAAAACCAAAGGGGGGAGGGTTGTCGTGTTTTGACATGGACACCTCTCTCTTTTTTTTAAATCCTTTTTGTTTGTCATGAACGAAATAATATAAGGGCTCTTTTTTTTTCCGCTTTTCGTATTCATTAAATCTGTATATCACTTTTTATACTTTTATTTTTTATTTTTTTTGATGTTGTTGGTTTTTGACATGATGATGAAAAAACGAGTTTCTTTCAACACAATCTTTCCTGTGGGTGCATCGCGCCATGGAGTAGGCTGTCCTGCAGAATGAAGAAAGTCTTTTTTACCGACTTTTCGACGTGATCAAGCTAGATGAAGGCGGCCTTATTGAACGACCTTAAAAGTTTACCTCCAAGTGACGCGTACAACAGTGGCAGAAAAGAAATAAAACAAGGCATTCTTTGTGACCTGCCTTCAAGGGGGACAAGGTCAATACACAGTGTTTTAAAAACGACGACGTTTTCAAGAAAAAAAGAACCAAAGTAAAAAAGAAAGACGATAGTAGGACCATATGTTGAGTGCAAAACAGATATTTTATTTTAAAAAAACAAAAAATGGACTAGATATTTCGAAAGATACACGAGGAAAGACCAGGAGTAGAATCTAGAGTCAAAAAAAGCAAAACGAGAATGAGGTGTTTGTTCAAAGAGAAATGGATATATTCTTCTCTTTTCTAGTCTTTTCTGAATTTTTCTTTTTTTTTTTTTTTTTTTTTTTCTTTTTCAGCGGTTTATATTAGGTAGCTAGGGTTTTTTCGTCAATGTCTAGCGACTAAAGTCAAATGCCTGAGTCATCCTTACAGAGAAAAAAAAAAAAAAAAAGGGCAAGCAAATCACCCACGAAAAACCGAGAAAAGAAAAGAAAAGAAAAGCACATTTGCCTATAGCTGTCATAAACACTTACCGAAAATCTAGTTCATGTGGATAGTAAGAATAAAAAAATAAAGTAAAAAGTGGTAAGGAAAAAAGAAAGCACTAGCATTTTTCTTGTAGGAAGCGTTTTTTATAGCTAGTGGCGGGCTAAAAAAAAAAATTTTTTTTTCTCGAGATGAAAAAAAAAAAAATTTATTTTGTTCCTGCTTTATCAAAAATGAACAGTCAACTTCATTCATGATCTTGTAAGTTCCCGACTTTCCCCCCAGCAAGAGTAGACACTTGGCCTTTGACATGTCACTTGAGATAAGGGTCGTCGGGTTAAACGAGACGAGCCAGAGCATAAAAATATATCCTACTTTTTTTTTTTTTTTTTGTTTTTCCTGAAAGTGGGTTATTTCGTCATGATTGTATCTATTGGCTGAGACAGATACCATAAGTAGAAATGAAGAGCTGATCTATTTTTTTGACAGACGAGGAAGAGTAGAGTGTCCTTTTGTCGCGCTGTTGGATGTTGTTGCCATAAAGACGACTACTAAGAGGAAATATATCTTTGGAGTACGACACAGCATCCAACGGACACATGATGATGCTTGATCAAGCCTTGTTTATTTGCTCACTCTCTGGCTCGCTCCAACGTCATTATGAGGTGGGTTTCGGATATTAAGACACTCAAACGAGCTTCTTTTTTCTTTTTCTTTTTTTTTCCTCCATCAAACAATCGATGGCTCTGTTCTTTTCTTTTCTTTTTTCCTGTTGACATTTGCTTACAAAATGATGGAAAATAATCTCAATAAAGTGCCGCCGCCTATTTATCAACAAGGCGTAGGTGAATATGGTAACGCCGGTGCAACAACAGCAGAGGCAACCGCAGGACAAACGTATTATCAACCACCCCCTCCGCCTGAAGGAGGCTTCTCTGAACCTCCTCCCGTACCCGCGGCTCCCAACACTGTAGGACAGCGATTTACACAATTCTATGCACCACCCAATAATCGAAAGCTAGGCTTGATGCGCCGATGTTGTTCCATCATTTGCTGTTGTATTGTGATTGGTTTGGTCGTTGGATTAGCAGCAGGTTTAACTACTCGAAACAGATACCGCTATAGTACCATGGGGTCATCATGTAACTGGTAATGTAGTTTTTCTCTTTCACTTGTCTCTACATGCCCCCCAAGTGTGTGATCGCGGGGTTCTAAAAAAAAAGACAAAATACCACACCCTTTCGAGAGAAAAAGGAAAGTTTAGCTCAATAAGGAAAAATTAATTTTTTCAATTTGTCTCTATTTTTTAGTCGCGTCAATGCGGATTGCACTCGAAGATATGGTAAAAAAAAAAAAAAAAAAAAAAAAGAAAAGACGTCTGTTGAATCGATAACGGGTTGTTGACTCATCTTATTTCCATTGTGTCAAATAGGCTTCAACACCTTTTGCTATAACGGCTGTCAATGTGCGCGTCGCGGCTAAACAAAAGACGCTTCGTATTTTCTCCACTCTACGTTGTCACTTATTACTACTTATTATTACTACTACTACTCATCTATTTTTACTTTATTCATTTTTGCATTGTACTCACAAAAAAGCTCAAGATAAAGATCAAAAGACTCCATGACCTTTTTCTCATGCTATCCTGGCTAGTTTTGTAAGGTTTCTTTTTTCTTTCTTTTTGACCTTCATTGAAAGACCGTATAAATTAAAAAAGAATTCTTTCAAAAAGATCATTCGCTCCCCTTTTTTGCATATCTATTTTGATGTTCAGTCAATTCTAAAAAGATGTCTTTCTCCCGCTGTGTTTTAGAAATAATTTTTTTGTGGGGGTTTCTGTTTAATGAGATGCATATCCTCCTATCCGACCTATGAGGACTCGATACTACGCCACTTGTTTCTTTTCAGTAGATGCTATATTTTTAACATTCATGCAGATACAGGTTACAAAAATAAGTCTTTTTTTTTTATAATAGCTTGTGTCGAAAACGCGGAAAATGCGACGTTTTGTTTCTTTTCTTTTAAAGTAGGGTTACAGTTCTGTTTTACATTATCCATGCCATGGAGAGGATCCGGCAGCGGTCATCCTCTTTATTCGTTCTGTGAAAAAAAAAAAAAAAAAAAGTAGGGACAATGAGGATGGGAAGGGAAGGAAAGCGTGGTGGTGGTGGTGGAATAACAGAACATGGCATGTTAAATTTCGTCCCAAAAACTCACACTACAATATTAGGATTGTCTACGCTTTTTTTTTTTTTGAAACCTACAAAAATTTTCATGCGCTTAGGTCAAGTTGATCTTTTCTTCACCCGGCCGAGTGGATTTTTGATGGCCCAGAACTCATCCACCACTCAACGGCATGCTTTTTGCTTTGTCATCATCCAACGGTCGGTTAAACAACCCTGATTGTCTTTGTCACACTTACATTGGGGGTTTTCTATAGCAGTAATAGAGAAAAATCGAAAGATACTCTATTGCGAAAATGACATGACAAACAGTATAGATGATGCTTCTGTAGTCGATCTAAAAGTTTCAAACTTTTTTGTTACAAAACTTTCTTGCATTTAAGGAAAGGGCCCAGAAAGCTAAGAAAGCCAGTTTTGTTGAGGAAAAAACGCCACTCACATCATCATTTGCCAAGCGAGCCAATTTAGAGTTCTTTCCTTGGCTCCTTTGTATGTTGGTTTCATCAACAAGCACAACTCTCGTTTTTTATTTTAAAAAAAACATCATTTCTTTCAAGCAACGTTCTGGTCCATAAGAGAAACAACAGGCAACACTTGATTCTTCTTTTTTGTTTAAAGAAGCGCTTTCTAGAAGCGTTCGGACAATGGAGCAAAAGCTATCGAAAAGACAGAGCAATACATTTCAAAGACCTTAGTAAGAACAAGATAGAAACGTCTATTTTCTAATGTTAATCAAATTAACCTTTTTCCTTAAGGAGCTTTTCATGCTTAAAACACAAAACAGCCGTGTCAGCCGTGTGTCAAAAAAAAAAAAAAAAAACGTCTGTTCTTTTTTTCTTTATTGGCACAATGACCGTGTCAGTCAAGATGAGATGAATGCATGTCTGGTCAAACATAAAAATAAACGGTATTTTTATGACAATTAAGGAAGCGGGTTTTACAAGCGCCGAAAGAGGGTCAAGGTGTTTCCAGTTATATGGATGTCGTTTGGCAGTAGATCGATTTGTACTTCCTTTATGCATTTGATTGTGTGTAACCTGTTTTCTTCTCAAAAATGACAACATACTGCTGTAACAATGAAGGCCACTTGCACTATCCCTTACACAAAAAGTAAAAAAAGCTCTGACGGCTGCTAATAAAGGGAGCGATTTTTATTTGATAGCATTTTTCGTAAAAACGTTCGCTTGTTCAAGCGCTTGTTCAAGGGGGGGGGGGTGCAGAAAAGTCCCCCATTTAATCAACCTGGTTTTTTTTGCGGTTTTGGAAAAAAAGATAAAAAAGAAAAAAAAAAAAAAAAAACCTTTCTTCACTACCGCTAAACCTTAATTCACACGTATCTGATGCGTCATGTTGAAATTTTTCAAAGAGATATAAAAAGGCGAATCATTTTTTTTTTGCCCATTTCCCCCCCTATTTTATAGCACACCCATTCTTACTACTTGACTATTGTTATTTCTTTTTTAATTGCATACACACACACATTCTCATACACACATACACACAATGACTACACATGAAGTACATATTCCTTACTTGAGTGAAGACGAAAAGTTATTCCTAAATACAGCAGCCACTTACAGCCAAGCAAGAAGATTATCTAATACCATTGAAACAGTCAGACCCACTATGGAAGATAATTCGTCACATCACAGAAATAGTCGCCGCCATCAAATTGTATCGGTGTCTTCCCTATCCAACCTTTGGAAACGACGAGGTTCTTCTGCATCCTCTTCCACTACCTCTTCTGCTGGTTCAGTCGAGTCTCATCACTATTACAGTGGCATGTCCTATGTTGAAGAACAAGATCACCACCACCACCACCACCACCACCACCACCACCACCACCAATTGCACTCACCCAAAGCAAGAGAATTAGAATCGTTGATATTTGATCAACCTCAAAGAACTGTCAGATTAAGCTTAACACCTCGTTGTGCAATTTAGGCTCCCATCTCCTTTTTCTCCATTATTATGTACATAATATCCCACTGCTACGATAACCACAACTATTTAATATCTGGGGCTTTCTCCTTTTATCTGCACCCTCCCTTTTTTTTTCAATTGCTTTTTCTCCGCATCTTAATCGCCCCTTTCTATATACCTTCTCGTATCTTATTTATTTGATCCTTTACTTGGATCACTTGCTTGTTGCTTGTTTACCATTAGCATAATCATAGTCTCCCTATCTCTCTTTTCTCTTTTATTATGGATATCATCTCTATTATGAAAGATATCTCCTTTTTGTAAATAAATTGTCTTTTTTTCCATTGCAACTTTACAATCTTTGTCCTATGTATGCGACCTGTGTATGGATGTACGTTAGTAGTGCGTTATCTATAAGCTCAAAATGAAAACAGTATATGCAATGGAAAAGGGTTTAGAAGCAGCAATAATTTAACCTTAATCTTGAAAGGACTATCGTTTCAATCTTAATATATGCACAGGTACATGTAAAATACATAATATAGGATTCTAAAAGGACTCCTATACTTTCATGTCTTTCTCTAGAAAATCGACATGTTCAATGCCCCTCACGCACATACTCATACTCACTTACTTACACACACACACACACACACACACACATTGATATGGAACAGGGAGATTTAAAAAAAGATGGCGTGTGCATATTTCCTACCATCTGGCATTTCCAAACATCTTCAGCATCCCTACATACAAAATTCTGCATCCAATTTCTATAAGAACGGTATTAGAAATGAAGGGGGTGCGAGGGAATATCGTATCATTCTGTATCCTAATTTGATAGAAAGGGGATCATCATCCGATTCTTTTTTATTTTTCAAATTTTTTTTTTTTTTTTTTTTTTTTTTTTTTTTTGTTTCGTTTGGTTGGCAGATTGTCTATCATGACTAATATCAAACGAGAGGGGGAAGAAGGAACAGCAAATAAGCGGGAGGTGGGGGAGGGAAGAAAAATCCAAGAGCATGAAACAACGAGCATGAATCGATGGGATGTCGTACCCGCTATCATTGATGTCATGGTTCAATTGAAACAGACGAACGAGGATGAGGGGCGATGGCGATGGCGGCGGCGGCGGCGGCGGCGACGACCACAGCAACTACGGCAGCAACAGCGGCAACGGGGTGGTGGGCGCAAATGGGGGTGAGTGGGAGTGGGAAAACACGAAAAAAGGGTAGCAGCGCCTAAATGTCATACCGAAAAAAACCAGAAACATATGGATAAAAAAAAAAGTGGGCTAGTTCATTCAAACGCCAAGCGTCTTGGATGTAATCCGCGCGAACGAACCCTCACATCGGTCAAGTTTTTGTTGCTGACCCACACTTATTTCCGATGGGGTCAGTGACTGAGGCTTTACAGCAGCAGTAAGGTAACGCAATGGGGGGGGGGAGAAAACAGCAGCCACCTCTTTCTCACACTTTGGACGAGATCTCCATGAGCCCTCTCCTGTAAATACTGAATGCTTTCTATCCATACCAGACGTATTCCGTGTCGTCCTGGGTGCTTCCCCACAGATTCGCAATGCAAAAAACAAACTCCTTATGTCTGTTGTATTCCCTTTTTGATAGCAAACCAACACCTGTTAGCAGTCCTTCATTTTATTGAGCAACTGAACATCCCCACTCTTATCAAAAAGCAGGACGAGCGTCAACAGTGTTCTCTCATTCCTCATGGAAATTCATGTCCATCTTCAGATTCCCTTCTTGGACAACAGTACGTACATACTATTATTCAAAAGAATGGAAACAGCGTACTCCATACAGTGCATGGGGATAGCCATCATGGTGAACAGCAGGAGCGTTGAGTAGGCTGATCCGTTTTTAGTAATGAGAAATACACATGGGTGGATCGGGGTTGTGGCTAACCCTTCCATCCTCTGATCCTATTTGAACTTGTTCAATACTATGGTGATGGCTGTCATAACAACAACAGAAAAACGCAATCTTTCCGTTCTCTGATGATGCATAAAAATGGGATACAGTAGGATGAAGCCTCCCCATTCAATAAATGCCTGTTTATCTTTTATTGTAAATACCAAACAACACATCCTCCTATGTGGAATAATGAATAAAAAACCTGTACGAGTCGAAAAAAATAAAAAAAAGACCAGCATTCAAATCGACGCGTTCATTGACCGAAAGCACTATAGAACAATGCACGAAAGAAAAAAACTAGCTTGTAAGGGGCCCAATGAGTGGACGACAAAGATCCATTTGAATATCAGGAATGACATAAGAAAAAGTGGGGCTACAGGGAAAGAAGGGAGCAATCTTGAGTCAGTGACCGTTATTTTTAAAGGAAAAAGCCCAAATGATATCTCTTGAATGAGGGAAACATTGACACTTTTTTTTTTTTTTGTTTACCTTTGTCACTGGACCCGTATTTTTTTTTTTTTATTTCGGTTTAATTTTTGCTTTTTCAAAAAAGAAAAAAAAACCAGCACAGCGTACAGCTTTTTCAACTTTTGTGTGCTGTATTTTCAAACTAACACCTCGTTGAACAATCTATTTTTGACTACAAGTACTTACAATGTCACAAAGCGATGAGGAGCTTTCCAACTTGTATAACGACGAAGAAAACAGCATAAATCACTCTGATGAGGAAGGAGAAGACATTGCGTATCATCGTAGAGGGAATCAAATAGACGAGGACGACGACGACGACGACGACGATGATGATGGCGAAGACGAGGAAGAAGAAGAGGAAGACGAAGAGGAAGCACGAAAAGTAAGACTTTCGATGACCCCCTTGTTATCATTCTCTTACCGTTTTGGAATAACCATTGAAAACGGACTTTTTGCATAGATTGCTGAAGGATTCATCGTAGAAGACGATGAAGAATCGGACGCTTCTGAAGTTGCTGTTCGTAAAAAGAAGAGAAAGAAAGTGGAAGACTGTAAGTGTTTGGCTCCATGCATCGCTTTTTTCTTTTTTTTTGTTTTGCTTTCACATTGGACAAAGTAAAATACTAAATAATACCTACATCAGTCGACGAAGATTTGGATGAAGAAGATTTGGAATTACTAGAAGAAAATACCGGTATCAAAATTGCCCGGTCCTCTGGTGTATGTATAAAGTATTCTCCTTTTATTATTCTGTTGGGACAATGTCATTAACGGTTATAACGTGACATTGATGACAAAAAAAATCAAATTAGCCCAAATTGAAGCGTCTCAAACGTGGACGTGAGGAACAAACCTATGAAAAAGCAAAGCATCAAAGTATCTTTTCAGATGAAGAAGAAGATGAGGAAGCTGTAGGAGGAGAGGGTGCAGACATGCGCGGCGACAGACATCAAAACAATTATGCTGATACTTACAATGAAAGAGCCAGATATAGACGTCGTGATGCCTATGATGACATGGGTGACTTTATTGCTGATGAGGATGAAGACGAAGATGACATTGGTCAAAATATCCATGACAGAGGTCGTGCTCGTGATGAAGGTCGAAGTAGACGTGGAAAGCCTAATAAAGAGATGATGGAGATTCTACCCGAAGGCATGAGTGAAGAGTAAGTTTACCCTTGTTTCTTTTCTTTCTTTTTTTGCTACATTTACAGATAGACCAGCTCGTTTGCTTATACTGTCCTTACAACAGTGTACTAGCCGATATGTTTGACATTTTTGGTGATGGTGGAGACTATGAATGGGCTCTGTATGATGAAGAGGTAAAATGAGGAGCAAAATGCCACCTATCGAAAGAACCTTATTCATACGATATTCTTTTTTAAAGGAAAATGAAGAAGCCAAGGACCATGAACCTCAATTGGAGGACATTTTCGAACCGAGTGAATTAGCCGAACGTATGATGACGGAACGAGATGAAGCAATCCGTCTACTTGATGTTCCTGAGCGTTTACAAGTGCGTTATGAAGGTGTCAAAGTCTTCCCCAAAGCTAGCAATGACGCAGTTCAGGAGGAAGGTGTATGGATTGCTCGTATGATGGCTCGTCAGCGAGGAGAAGAACAACCAGCGGAGGAGTATATATCGGCTGTAGCCTATGTTGTGAATTTCTTGCGCAGAGAATTCCTCGAAGTGCCTTACATCAAAGACCATCGCCGCGATTTCTTCACGGAGGTCAATAAGGAGACGGGTCTTACAACTGAGATCTTGACCGAAAAAGATCTGTGGGAGATTTATGATTTGGACTACAAATATCACAGTTTTGGCGAGCGTCGCATGGCCTTGAGGGACTTTATCACCAAGTGTGACATCGAGGACGACTATGTCAATCATATGCTGGATCGTGCAGAGAAGGTAGAGGAAGTAACGGATATAACAGATTATGTCAACATGAAGTACTCGGAGCACATCAACAGACTACAGCAGCAGACGCGTGGGTCGAAACGACCCACGAATAAATCACTCAGAGACCTCACGCAAGGTGCAAGACTTCAAGAACTTTTGCCCATCGTCAGTATATCCCCTCGAGAATTCGGCACCAACTATTTAGAAGGCAATCGTCGCTATGTGCCTGATGATCCCACCGTAGATCCACTCGTCCATGCCGATCTTTACACTGACACCCACTTTCCTGACACCACGAGAGTACTCAAAGCGGTACGATCTATTTTAGCTCAGGAAGTGGCATTGGATCCTCAAGTGAGAAAAGCAATGCGCAGAGATTGGGAAATATACGCCACCATTACTGTCAGGCCGACGGAACAGGGATTTACAGTGATAGACGAGCTGCATCCTATGTATCCATTCAAATTCATCACAGAAAAACCCATCACCGCCTTCACCGACGGTCAATTCTTGCATATTTTGAAAGGTGAAGCCGATAAGCTTTTAACAGTCCATGTGGGGATGACAGACTACGACGTGTGGTCCTCCAAAATTGCCGACTATTATCTATCAGACGGTTTCAGTGACACCATCGTCCAATGGAATGACCAAAGAAGAGAAGTGATTCAGCAGGCCCTCAACGAGCATTTGATACCCCTCATCACCAAGTATATTCGTGAAAAGTTGCGTATGGAAGCACAAGAAGCCATTTGCCAAGCTGCTTTCCATAGTCTTTACAACAAAATCAATGTTGGCCCGTATAAACACCCCGAAGCACACTACAAGAGCCCCTTACCTCGTGTCATTACCTTGTCTTCTGGAAACGGAGGCATGAAAGACCCCATTGTCGCTGTCTGTCTTAACCCTCGCGGTCGAGTTGTCGATCAAATAGAGGTGCCCACGCTCAAAGAAGAACGTTATTGGACGGAATTAAGCGAGTTTATCAAAGCGAAAAAGGCCCATGTGGTCGGCGTAGCGGGTTATAACGCAGAGACGCGCCGCGTCATCAAGCATATGCAAACCATGTTGAGCGAAATCAACCAGTCCAATGAACAAAACAGTATTCCCAAGTTGGATATGGTCGTGGTCAATGATGAAGCGGCTCGTTTGTATAAGAATTCGCGCCGTGCTCAAGAGGAATTTCCCGAATACTCTGAAGCAACACGTTACTGCATTGCCTTGGCCCGTCGTCTGCAGAACCCCGTGCTTGAATACGCTGGTTTGGGCCGTGATTTATTAGCCATCCACCATCACGACCTTCAACATCTCGTTCCCGAAGAGACGCTGCTCTTCTATCTGGAGCGGGCTCTTATTAGCGTTGTGAATGACCTTGGCTTTGATGTCAACGCAGCTATCCAAAATCCTTACGTTGCCAATGCACTTCAATATGTGTGTGGTTTTGGCCCGCGTAAAGCACAAACCATGATGAAGAAGGTCGAAGCGACCGGTCGTCTCGAAAGTCGCACTGCCCTGGTGATGCGTAAATTAACGGCAGCCAATACCTTTATGAATTGTGCGAGCTATATTCGTATCCGTGATATGGAGGGTGCTGACATTTTGGACGATACCCGTATTCATCCTGAGAACTACGACTTGGCTCGTAAAATGGCTGCGGATGCATTGGAGATTGATGAAGATGAAATGGACGACTATGACTCCAAAGTGGCTGTCGTCACGCGTGTGATCAAAGAATACCCAGATAAGTTGAACGATTTGATCTTGGACGATTATGCCGTTGTTCTGCGAAAGCAATACAATGCACCCAAACGTCAAATCCTTGAGCATATCAAGCTAGAACTACAAGGCCCCTATCATGATCGCCGCAACCGATACTCCCGTCCTACGCCTGAAGAAGCCTTCACCATGGTGACGGGTGAAACGCGACAATCGCTCAGCGAAGGGTTCATCATTCCCGCCAAGATTGTGGCGATACGTAATCGATACGCCAGCTGTGTCCTTGATTCGGGCCTGGACGGCACCATTTTCATTGACAATGCTTCCGACGACCGTGTCATGAGCATCAGCGATGTGCTTCAGGTGGGCCAAACCGTTACTTGTAAGGTGCTTCGCATCGACAGAGAGCGATTCATGGTGGAGTTGTCCTGCAAACCATCGGACACCAAGCCAGGATCGGATATCCCCCTTCGTCAATGGCCGCAAGACAGTTATTTTGACCGCCTTGAGGAAACCAAAGTGCGCGAACAACTCCATACGAGCCGTCGTAAACAAGCACGATCTACGCGTGTCATCAAACATCCTTTCTTCAGACCCTTCAATCACATCGAAGCCGAAGACTACCTTACCTCCCGCCAGCGTGGCGAATATGTCATTCGACCTTCCTCTCACGGACGCGACCATATTGCTATTACTTGGAAAGTGGCAGAAGATGCGTTTCAACACGTTGATGTGGTGGAAGTGCGAGATAAAAATGACATCCATGCACCTGCTCAATACAGAATTGGAAAATATGTGTTTGAAGATTTAGATGAATTGATTGTCAATTACGTCGAAGCGATCGCACGGAAAGTGGAAGAATTAATGGGACACAAAAAATTTGTCGATGGTGGTTCGCGTGCATTGAACAATCATCTCACGGCTCTCACACAGGCGAATCCAAAGATGTCAGCCTATGGCTTTTGTTTGAGTGAAAAGCCTGGATATTTTGATTTGGGATTCAAATTGAATGCACGAGGTCCTCCGATGCGTTGGGTAAAAGCAGTTACAACTTTCTTACTTTTGGATGCTAAGGTGAAAAAAAAAAAAAGATATTAACGCGTTTCCATCCCACCCTTCTTTTCTATCATAGATTGTCAAAGTGTTGCCCGACGGCTATCGCCTACGAGATGTATTCTATACTCAAGTCGATCAACTCATCAATGGTTTCAAACAACTTCAAGTGACAGAAGCACAGAAACATAAACAAAGAAGTAATCATCATCATCACCGTTAGATAAATTTGTATAATAATAAGATAATCAAATAGCATCTGCTTTTCTATTTTTCAATTACAAAAAAACAAAAAGGACCCTTGCTTTCAAAATGAATATGGTTTCGAGAGAGACGTAAAGAAAACCAAGAGCTAAGCTATAGAAAATGTGAAAATACTACAACTACGAACATAAACTTTGTGTTGCACAGTTGTCCTCTCGTAGTAGATCTTTTATTGCTTGGTCATTATCATTCTTGAGAAGCGCATTGTGTAGGATGATGTAAAATTTCCAATGGCCTTCTCACTCAAATGATACGTCATGTTGCCCAAAGAAAAATAATAATTTATCGATAGATGTAGATATTCGAAACACTGTAAAAAAAAGGGCTCCATCCGTTTTCAATTGGATACGAATAATAGTGCATGGTATCTGTGGAAAAAGTTCATATGTGATGGTTTTTTTTTTTTTTCTTTCGTTAATCAGTCCAACGATGTCCACACCTTTTATCTCCACAAACATAAAACAAAGTCATCTTTGCATCAGCTCGTCTTGAAGAGGACTGAAAGAAGACTGCTTCTGGATGTCCACAGTTAGGACAAGTAACGTTTGCACGAGGCTATATGAGAATTATATAGTTTAGAATAAGAAAGGAAAAGGTGGAAAGGAGAGGGGGATGAGTGGCAGCAATAAAAATGCTGCGAGATCTGTCAACTTACAAGTGTTGGATCTGTGCTCAAATCAGCTAACATCATGGTTTGTTCTCTTTAGAAAGAATAAAGTCAGGTCATCCAAATACTGCAACTACCCAGAATGTAATGTTGACATATACATACGATGGTGCATGCACAATCTCATGGCGATAAACGCAAAGGTTCTCTGCAGCTTCTTCATATTCACAATTACGACAAGCAAACATTAGTTTTCGATTTTCTTTATCTTCTCTGGGGTATAATAAATTGTTGCTAAGACGAACAGTTAAAACATCAAGTCATAAGTAGAAAAAACAACAAGCCATCATGTTACCATTCTGAACAGTATCTGAAAGTAGCCATGTCAAGAAGAAAAAAAAAAAAAAAAAGAACACAAAGAGAAATCTAGAAAATTTGAAAGTTTGGATGTATTATGTAAAAAAAAAAACAAAAAAAAAAACGGCTCAAAGTCACATCGTTTCTGTGCCTTCTTTACGGCATATGACAATGATGGGAATAAAGATGGAGCTCTTAGCCAGCACATCAAAGATAAAACGTGAGGCTTTCAGAAATAGCTTGTTTGAAAGACTAACACCAATGCCATACTGTTTTGTTGTGACATCTAACTGAGCAAGTGTATTGGCTAGACCTCCAAAAACGACTCTTCTGTCCAACGGTTGAACTTGCACGTTTAAATAAGCAAGATCACTGACGATCCTTTTATACTCTGTCACTGTGACCAGATTTCGAATGGGCACATGCATAGCCTTACAGATGCATTTCAGGAAAAGTGTGGCAAATGGGCTTCTGGTTCCATTAGCAAAGCTGTCATCGAGGGCTAGATCGTAAAGGCCGACCACTCCGCCTATGTTGAGTTTGTCACGAGCGTCTTTTAAAAAGCTCCAGCGTGTATTGTAATGATACGCAGAATCGATGCTTAGGATATAATCAAAGCTTGTGGTGGGAGGCAACCATTGATGAATATTATCAGCAGAGCCGTGTATGAGCTGGATTTTGTTGCGCAAATGCTCTTGACTGGAAACTCGCTTTTCAGCTATCTTCCATTGAGATAATTCATTGGTTAAACCCTAAGTCGTAATATCATCCACAGAAAAAAAGCGAAACATGAGTTGGAATGCATCTATTGTGTATGAAAAAATAGTTCACTCTATTTGCGTAATTACAGTAACCTGGCAATGATAGGTCTCTATGTCAAAGGAGAAATAATCTCACTTTTCAGCGAGGGGACTGAAAAAAAGAAAAAATCATTGCATGAAAGGGGCTCAACATACCTGCTAAAAGTATACAAGAATCCCCGCATCCAAAGCCAACATCTACATCAAATCAACGTTAGTATAGAGCAGCAAAAGGTATCTATCCATGCAGGGTGTTGACTTGGTTCATCTCTCCTAACCGCCCCCCCCACTTTACCCAGTACACTTGAACCAGCCTTCATATCCATTTTACTGACGACTGCGTGAACAAGATTTTCGCAGGCGGTAGGAAAGCGGATGCCTTTTTTATCCCATAAACCCATATTGAACCACATTGTCTTTGGAGGAAGCTCCACGTTGAATAAGATATGTCGTAATCCGTAGAGATCATTTGTCTTTTGCTCAGCTAGGGTAGCAGATGCGAAGAACAGAACGTACAGTAAAATACAGACGCCGACAGCATGAAGGTAGGTCAGCATCATATTGAGCGAGCCATCTGTCGACCAAGCTATCCATGGGAGACAGCTGAGGTATCCTATCAGCACACTAAATTTAACAAGCATTCAGAGTACACAGAAAAAAAAAAAAGGAAAGGTGTATTAAAAATAAAGCAGCAGGGCATGATCCATTTAAGTGACACAAATTCTGGGCTAAAATATTTTGATTATCAGAATTAGAAAATACTTTAATTACAAGATAGTTTGAAACGAATGAATAAAAAGAGTGGAAGAAAGTAATAATAAATGCTACAAAGGGTATCTAATGTTTTGTTTCAGCATGCTGAGATGGCAAAGACGGCTCATGTACGCTTGAATGCAATTCCTGTGTTGTGCCACGGGTTTGCTCCTCGTCGTGAAAGGACGATTGCCTATATTTATGAGAATAAGGTGGAGGTGGCGGCAAGGGTCTATCGTATTCATAATACTGATAGGTCGATCCACTGGCATTATCATATCGTGAGACAATGGCTGGCGGCGGTGGTGGTGCTGCTGGTGAAAGCGGTGGTAATTCTTTGCCAAGTTTTGGTGGTTTGTCCTGGAGTTGTTGGCTTCGCCTTCGCAGGATGCTTTGAGCAAATTGGCGACTCTTTTCTTCGTAATTGGGTATCTTGGCTACAGCCGCAAATAAGTCTGGACGTGGCTGATGCTGGTTCTCTTCTTCTTCCTCTCCCTCTCCCTCTTCCTCTTCCTCCTGGTCAGTATCATATGCAAATTTCCTTCGTCGAATACGGAACTCGGGAGAGGTAGAGCTGTGTTGCTGCAATATGTTTGTTTTAGGCGTTTCCGGTGAGGTATTGGAAGGTGAGTACGAGCGAGAGGCGCCCAACATCAAAATAGTTCTCGCTGCATCCTCTTCTTCTTCCAACAAGTCGGTGCTTTCTTCTTGTATTTGTTGTTGATGTCGCACTCTTTTCTTTCGTCTCCATGAATTCTGGCTGGGTGTCATTGCTGAGAGTAACATTCTCTTCACTTTACGTGATTGTGGGGTCGACGACTGCGGTGTGGGAGGGTATTCTGATGGAAGGGGTCTGCGGGGTTGTCGGGGTGATGTGATAAAGGAACGCTCGATCTGTTGTAAATTCTCCGTTGATAATCCCGTCTCTAACTTGATCTGTGCATATTGTAATCTAGCTTGCAGTAATCTAAAAAGCTATAAAAAAAAAGAACATGATAAGCTGCCTCTCCATTACAATAGGGTTATTGATGGGGGGGGGTTTGTCGATTGTACGTTACATCTGCTGCATTATTGTAATTTATCGAAAGCGATGACGATTCCTGTTCTTCACCTATCTTCCGGTCATGATCCTCACTAAACTCATCGTCGTCATATTCCCTGGGTGGTGTCAATTCGTCGACAGGACCAGGCGTTTGTGAAGCTGACATAAGGTCCAAAAACAAAGTACGATGGATACGAAAAACACAATAAAAGATATAAATATTAAAAAAGAAGACAAATCTGATTGACTAAAAGCGAGACGTTTGGCTATATTAGAATCTGATAATAAAACTTTTTTTAATTTTAAATAGACTTATTGGATAAGTTTTCCGAAAGGTATTAGCCCTTTAACAAATAAATGGCTGGGTTTTGGGTGGGTATAAACGCCTGATGACAACACGGTTCATACGGGCCAATTTTCTGCTGCGCGGAAACAAATATGTCTAAAGGTGGCCCGACGGTTGCATAGCACAGAATGATTTCAGTTCAAAAATGTGGTATATTGTTCTATCAGAATGAGGAATATAGGGCGTGATGTTTTCTTTTGCACACTCATCGATAGATAGTGGAAGTGATAATGACGTTCACAACCTGTCTCGTCTGAAGGCATAAATGATTTTGTCGTCTTATGAACATAAAATATTTATGACTATGTTGCATATGCAAAAACGAATCAATATATTCAAACTGACAAAACAAAATTTTATACAGAAACAATTTTATTTACAGAGAAAAGCTTAACTTTGTTAAGCAAACAAAAAGAAAATACACAAAACTTATTTACATAAGGCCCAAAAGAAAAGAAACGAAGAGGCTATTCATTATATACAGAAACTGATTTGATTCAATTATTCTTGGTAATCAGCGTCATCAAGGTCTTCATCGAGGCCTTCATCAACCTCTTGTTCTTGTTGGTTAGATTGAGTACGACCTGAGCGTCTACCACCCTTTTGGCCTGCTTGTTTAGCACGTTGGCTACCCTTTTCGAATTGTCCAGAGTTTTGTCCGCTCTGGGTAGTACTTCTACCACCACTCTAAAAAAGAGAGACGAAAGAAAATATCGTTTGATACGAGAGCTACACAAGAGGAATTTTGAGAATAATAACTTACTTGTTGGCTGGAGTTCGTGTTTGAGCCACCACTACCACTGTGGCTAGCTCTACCACCCATAGAAGCAATCTCACGTTGCTTATCGGGATCCATGGAAGCAAAGCCTTGGTTACCAGTGTTGGGGTTGGAGTTGGGGTTCTTAGGCATGTTGGCAAATAATTAACAATGTATGTAGAATTTACACAGCAAATTTGTTATTAAAAATGGGATTTGAATGATAGTTTGATGAGAGTATTTATAGACAAAAAGTAGAATGATGGTGTCATGGTTAGAGAATATTGATCTCAAATTTTCTTGCACCAGACGCCTATGATTTTACAGGTTTGATTAACATAGGGATCATGATGATGGGAGTGCGTCTCCCGATCGTGATCGTTCCATTCGCATTGGGCTGTTTTATGCAGCCATTTTCCATGGAATGTCAATCGAACGTACTAGACCCATTTCACTCAAACCCGTAAAGGCTCTCTCGGGTTCGATGTCACGGAGGAACTGTGCTAATAGAATGCTCATTCATGGGACATTGCCCGCAGGATACTCTAGATGATATAGAGTAAAGCACGTTCTTTTTTTTTATTTATTTTTTACGTAACTATTAACAAGTTGCGGATTAAAACAAAAGCAGAAAAAAGTTTGACCAAAGTATGATTCGAGACTGGTGAAAAAAAAAAACTGAGCCATTATTACTGGCGGTGCGTGCGTTATTTGATTTTAGTCTATTCGTTAAGCACGCAGAGTGAAAGATGGGCTTTTATTTATGTGTAACAGCATAGCAAGAAGACAGATCAAACTTTAAACCAAGTAGCGCACACAATGGAAGATTGCACAGAAATGGACGCGAAATGGTCAAAGCTTCTTTAGCATGCGTGAGGATCCACCCTGTACAATAGACTCACTTTTTGTTGCTTGACAACATTATAAGCTGAATGATTTGCTCCATGCGTTCTGATCTGCATGAAAGCGGAATCCTTCTATTTGAAAGGCCTTTCCTATGCAAAACCATTATCGGGGGTGAAAATGCTTTTAAAGCAGCCCACCTACCCTTTTAGCTTACATTTCAGACATCAACTTGTCTAAAATGAAAATATGAATCGTCCAAAATAAAAAAACTTCATCTAAAATATTGGTCAAAATACTGTAAGTCTATACGTTCCAAATACAGAATAAAGCCTAAAAAAAAAAAAGTCGCCCGCATAATCGGGGGGAGGGGTGGATACGCGCTTTGTCAAAATAAACTTTACGGTTCTTTTTTCTTTCTCTAAATGTTTTTTTTTTTTCCCTTCTCTAAATGAAATATAATGATGCAACAAAAATGACATTTAATTGAATGCAATTTAAGCGATCTGATGCGCGCGACTGCTTATCCAGTCTTCTTTTGAAATTAAAAAAAAAATAGACTAAATTTGACCCAATGATGAATGATTTATATTGAATTCTTAGTCCTTGCATGAGGTAGCTATGGAGTTGTGAAAAAAAAAAAAGGTTATCATAATGAACAATTCTGATCGCATCTTGCATTAACACGGTTAAATTTGATCTGGTCAACCAACGGATTATAAAATACAAATCGGATGATCGATCGATTTGAAGGAAAATTGAAAATGCAGTTAATAAGCTTTTTCATTTTCCTCTTTCGGAGGTGGACATTTTTTCCCACTTGCATTACTAGACCTCATGATCGAGTGCGTGCATCGACAAGCAGCACGCCACTGTATGATTGAAACCCAGCAACTGCCAATTTATTTGTAAAAGCTACAAGGCCTCTTCGATAAGCAAGTGATTCATAATGAAAAGATATCCTACTTTTTTCCAAAATCAACTTTCTCACATGAAACGCGAACGCGTCTACTCTTGCGATAAGCAATGACTTGGAAAAGTTGCTTTATCCTGCTTTTATAAAAGAATAAAAAAAAAAAGGCTCAAGAGAAGAAAAGTAGCAAATTCGACGTAGATAGACGAATCGCGCTAAATACACACATACAATTCATTTATCTACTCTTTGTCTATATTTACGCACAGGCTTATTTAGAATTCTTATAGACAGGGAGATTACATATCATGGCCGGACGTATTTTTAGACTGTTAACAAATAAACATAAAACTTTTTTTTTTTTCCCCACTTTTATCTCAAACATGATTTTTTCTTAAACATGGAAAAGAAGCGTCGAAAGATGTCAGTTTCAATATCATCTGTTTGAGACCCTTTATTTGTTTGTTCTTTTTTGCTTTTGTGATCTTGCTCTCATTCTCTTTTTTATGTCTACGCAATCAATGACATGGAAAATCATACCAACAAATCGTCTATGTCATGTTCCCATTTCCCAACTTTTTTTTTTTTCTGCCTGATTTTGTAACTTTATCCAGCTCATCTATTGGTAAGGAACTGTCCAGACTTCCTATTTGGAAGATAACAAAAAAAGGAATGCCTTGGAAGTGGGGGGAGGTTGAATAGCCCCCATTATTTTAAAAGGGCGAAAGAAGTTACTTTTTATAGCTATGAAACTTTTTTTTTTTTTTTTCTTTTTGGTCTCTGATCAATAATACGAAAAAATAGAGACCTTTTAGAATTGGAAAAAGAAAAGAAAGAGATTCTTTCTATACACATAACTTTCCTTTGTTGATCTTTATTTTAAAAAAAATTAAAATCAATCTATCAAGTAGATGTCTATTCACATTTTAAAAAAAAATTTGTTACGTACAAATAGGGAAATAAAAAAGAACCGGCGAACATTATGCTGATGATGTAAAGATAACCATTTTTCTTTTATATTACTAACTAAAAATGGCGCGGTAGTTTAAATGGTTTTCCCCCTCCTCTTTGATTGTTGGCTGTTTTTCTATTGGGAAACCGAGTACGAACTCTACTGTAATTTTTTTTTTTTTTCGTTACATGCTTGTTTATCAAAATTGAAACGTTTACACCATTTTATAGAGAAAGGGGAAGGAGACCCACAGGATTGAACCAGTGACAGATGAAAGTGGAACAAAGGGACGAGAAACCCTTTTCGCATGCATTTTTATTCTTTTGTTTAAGGCACAATGTTTCAACCCACGAAGGTGGAGAAGAGAAGGTAGTCGCTTGAAGAAAAGCTAGATAGAACAGAGTGCAACGTTGAGAACAAAAAAAAAAAAAAAAAAGAAAAAAAAAATCTGGCAGAGGAGATTATCGGGATATCTTTGGAAAAAGCCCCAACTCTTTCATTATTTCCGTTGGATTTTGTAAGCAAATCCTTCGATCTGATACAAATAATCATCAACGCGTTATGTGGTTGACAGTATCAAGGGTTCTCTTTTTTTTTTTAAAATGATGGGTGTGCGTCTGCTATCCGTTTTTTTCGTTGGATTGAAAAGTGGTAAGTTGATTGTGCAGTTTGAAGGGCTCTTTCGGATGTCTCAGCAAGTAGAAAGAAATTTGGATTCGTCTGGCAAAGGTTCATTCAATTCACGATTAAGTTGCCGCCAAATCATCCACAAACATGTGGCTAATAGCCTGAAACTTTGTACACAAAAGCGGCATAATGCCTTTTCTTTTTTTTTTTTTTTTTTTTTTTTTTTTTTGCACGATTCCTCAGGAAAGAATGGATTTCCCGCTATTATTATGGAAATTCTTATAAATACTTTACATTTGGGTTTCTTTTATTTTTCGTATTTTTTATTTTTCTCAATAGAAAGTAATTTCAAATATATCGTTTTTATTTATTTCCTTTCCCTGCCTTTTCTTATATTTTGGTTTTTTATTTCTTTTTTTTATTTTTTATTCTCTATTTATTTATTTTTTCAACTTTCAATCAAGCATATTACAATTAGATGGACTCAACTCAACTTTCTGACAGTAAGTTAACAGAAATGACTATTTTTATTTCATTTTTTTGTGTTCAAGTTGCACCAGTTTTGACAGTTTTTTGTTTCCATTTTTATCCAGTTCCGTCTGTGCGTCTTGCCTCTGGCATCGAGATGCAACAAAGATGGCCCTCCACATTAGCCAATAATCAACAGCAGCAGCAAGCACAAAAAGAAGGACAAGCGCCGCGTTTGATCGAATTGACACCCACGAAGGGTTCGCAGGGAATCGTCGTCACTGTTGTGGTACAATCATTACCGCATCCTATGGTCCCTGTGAAGTTAGCATTCAACAGTTTAGTGGTCGATACTAAGCAAATGCAAGCACAAGGCATTACCTCTCTTGCTGCTACTGTACCTCCTTTTCAACATACACACTCTACTTCAGTGAATGTTCCCATCTCTATCTGTATGCTTGATGGAGATACTGTCACCGAGACATGGCCAGTAGCTCAATTTATCTATGAATTCGAACCCAAAGAATCAACCGTGTCCACTGCGACCACTCCTTTACTTACAAGTGCGCCTACCACAGCCTCTACCCTCACAGCGAACACCGATCAAAGCGCTTTTCCACTGACTAAATTGGAGCATCCTCCCACCCCTTATCAACCTACACCCTCCAAGGAGGAAAACTTTCTCGGTGGCACCACTTCCACAGCCACTTCTTGTTACAACAACTTTTATGAGCAACCTGTGAATGACTTTAACACTGTTCAAAATCAGTCTTACAACTATTCGTATCAAAACAGAGATATTTTCAACAGTAACAGTATGTATTTTTTGAGCTTTTTTGTCTTTTTTCTATTCCTTCTTTTCCCTGACGCTCATTCAAAACCTTCTTTTTTCTTTCTTTGAAACTCAGAGTTCAATTCATATAACCCCAACAATGACACGAGCCGCTCCAATAACCAACAACAACAACAACAACAACAACAACCACCACCATCCTCCTTGAATTTTGATAACGGCACTACACCCTTCAGTCTCTTTCAGTCGGGTCATGCTGGCTTTACCAACGTTTTAACTGGCTATGATCAGCCTGATGCTACTCAAATTTTACCTGCTCCCACTGCTCATTATTCTTCGATGGTGCAGCACGAGTCCACACAGCAGCAGCAGCGATCATCTGCTCCTGTCACACCGTCCATCTATAGCTATAACAAGTCTTATAGTCTTCCCTCTACTTCTGTCGCCAATTATCAGCCTTATCCTGGCCTGATCAGCCGTGCCAACCTGAAAATCATGGGTGATCTCGATTCGATGGCGAAAAGCTGGTCCAACGAAGAGTGGGAGCATCGTCGTCGCCTCGTTCAGTTTTGGCGCGAACAAAACGGCAACGAAATCCGCTGCACATTTGAACCTGTGGCTCAAGGCGACCGAATCTCTACAAGCAACGGTAATATTATTGTGTCATGCATCTACTGGGCCGAGCGCAACGATTGCTTCATCACCTCGGTCGACTGTATCCATCTCTTGGAAAGTTTGATGGACATTCGCTTCAGCGTCGAAGAAAAGAACCGTGTGCGTCGTAATCTCGAAGGCTTCCGTCCCTTGACCGTGAGCAAATGCAAACCTGATTCTGCTGAATTTTTCAAATTGATCATGAGTTTCCCCAACCCCAAGCCAAGGAATATTGAAAAGGATGTCAAGGTCTTCCCTTGGAAAACCTTGCCTTATGCCTTGAAAAAGATTGTCACGAAATATACCGCCTCTTCTTACAACGCCATCGGTAGCCATACACAACAACAGCAACAACAACAACAACGTCGAACCCAACTCAAGAACGCGCTGATCACTCCTACCCCTGCCCCTACCCCTACTCCTCCCGTCACTACCACCACCACCACCACCACACATACGAACCCTGCTTTTACCGCTACCTCTTGTTTGGGCCAACCTACTCCTTCGCAAGACAATACTCCGTCTTACAATTTTTATCCGCAACAGACATACCCCTCTACCACAGAAGCTTATCATTCTTCTCCTCCTTATAACCCTTATGCAAATTCTACGCCATCGGGTCAACCACAGCAAAACAGTTATGAACCAACCACCACCACCACCACCACCACCACCGCCGCCACCACGACTACTACCATGAGCGCTCCCACTACCATGTCCTCTCTATATCAATCAACATCTATTCCTGCATTTTCTTCTGCTGCTTACAATACAACAACGGATGCTTATTCGCTACAACCATTGCCATCATTGCAACCACAACAACAGCAACAAGATCCATACACATTATCCCCATCGGCGTCTTATGCTCCTACTACTACTACCACCACCACCACCACCCCCTCTCCAGGAAATATTTAAATTCTTTATAAACCATTAAAAAACCATACCATTTTTCTTGTTTGTGTTCAATAGTCATTTTGCTTTCTTTTTTATTATTTTCTTTTTTTTTTTTTTTTTAATTTATCGTCTCTATCATCAATAAACTTTTTCTGTACATATTTTTGGGTAAAAAAAAAAAAATAATCTATCCACTGAATTTTAAAAAAACATCGAGGCATCATTGTTCTGCTTTGTTGTGTGCTACAATGGTTTTATGCCCTCAGATTGCCCTCTAACAGAGATTACGTCTATGCTTTATCCTTTCCCAATGATCATGGACCCGGTGGAGTGGTAGTAAACTCAACAGAGCATTGTGGATGGTTCATCCAAGATGACAGAAAAAAAAACAGAAAAAAGAAAAATAGAAAAAAACCTTGTTGAATAGAAACAAATGTTGTTTCTAGGTCGCGACCTCTCATAAGAGTTTATTGTATTCTGCCTTTTTGGTACAAAAAAGAATTCTGTAAAATACGTCATTTTAGCATTTCTTACATAAAGTGGTGTTATCATCAACCTAACCTTAACGCTTGTCTGGACACTCCCCCTCCCCCCCCCCATTTTTTCCTTGAAAGTAGAGACATCTTTGTGATCAACACACAAAACTTTCTGTTGGTGACAGTGAGTGTGTTCTAGGCTCCATCTCATCCTATAGGCCATTACGATCACAGTGAAAAGCTTTCTGTTGATAGACCAACCATTTATTCAGAGTTGCAATTGTAAACCTTTTTCATTGAGCGTAGAGCGTTCCAACATGGCGAACAAAAAAAATAAATAAAGAGGGATGATACTGCACACTACTCTACGCTCAACTTGAAAGTCCCGTCGCTCTCAAATGTATACAATAAAGATAAAGGCGGGAGGAGATTCACGGACATTCCATAAGAAAAAAAAAAAGTAAATTCAAAGAGGTTGGTATGCAACACTCTCGCTTCAGTATCGTCTGTGAGATGACTGTGGATGATAGATGGGCGATCGTTGTCTTGATCCTCTTTGTGATCCATACATGGATTCGCGTGTCGAACCCTCCTGATGCGAAGGTGCTCTATCCGATGCAATCACTGTTCGAGAAGAATATCTTGGCTTGACAGGTAAAGTAGCCTGATCTTGAAGCTTCACATGAAGCACGCGTCCTATCATTTAGTTTTAACATGTTAGATGGATGAATAGAAAACGCGTTTCTTTTTAGTTTGGTTTTTTTTTTTTTTTACCATCAGCAATATTCTTATCCAACTTGGCTACACAGTCTCTCGCTGATTCTGCATAGAGAAATTCAACTTCGGCCTCGTTCAGAGGTCTACCCATCGTATCCACTAATATATCACAACTAAGTATAGGTCCAAATAGGCTGCACGCCTCCTGATAATAAAATAAAAAAGAAGAATGGCTCTTTTTAAGAAAAAAAGGCCGTGCTACACAACGAAAAAAACCAACCATCTTACCCCCACATCCTCTGCTGTTGCCCTTGGATCCAAATTACATATTAAAACTATATTTCGCGTTGCAAACGCAGCATTTGAAGTAGTCCCTCCTCGATCCGTATCGTTCACATCATCCTCTCGTACGGGCTTTTCGTCAACGGGACCCCTTCGTTTCTGCACATGATGGCTTCGTGGCAACTTGGAGTTGATAATAATGTCTTGCGCTCGAGGAGAATGCATGGACGGCTCACTTGTCGCTGTAGCTGAACGTGATGGCCGAATGGATGCTGTAATCACAAGTTGTGTTGGGTCTATCTTGATCTTTTCTGCTTTGAGCACGCTCGTATTGGCTACAGGGCGATCGTTACTCATAACCAATCCACTTTCACTTTTCTAAAAAAAAAAGCGAGCATAGAAAAGAAACAATGGCTCTAGCACTTTCTGCTCACTACTTCTTTTGTTCAACCTATTGAACCCTATTACCTTTCCTGCTGCCCTTGCTCCTCTAAGCGTTTTTAACGAAATACGCTCAGGTTTAGAAACGCCTTGGTAAGAACGAGCGTTTTTATTCACTTTGCCAAGTCGATCATGAATAGCATTCCCTCTACGATCGCTCGTGCTTTCTCGATGTCTGTTTTTTTGTACGGAGGCTCTGTTGTTGTTACTGTTACTGTTACGGTTGGTTTTATTTCTGTCCGATCGCTGTCGATTTCCTCCACTCGCTTGGCCCTCTTTTCTCAAACTACTCGACATCCCCGCACGTCCTTTTTGAAGTTTGGACTTTTTTTGCTTTATAATATCTTCCAGTGGTTTATCGAGATCTGTAAAGGCCATGTTTTGAGGTTGAATTTTCGAAACAATCAAAAAATAAAAGAAAAAGGGTGTGTTGGCATAATGAAAAAGGAAAACAATTTTACCGAGCACACGTTAAGAGACGAGTCACAGAAGGTAAACCAAAAAAGCTCATTTTCCTCCTCACTCGCTCCCCCCCCTTTTTTTTCTTTGTTGACAAGCCAACACCATGTCGAACGATGGCAAAGACATTACTTATACGGTCGACGGGTTGACCTGTCACCTATTAGCAGGCGGCCAGGTGTGCGAATATATCGTGCACTCATCACAGAGTGCCTCCAGTGTCATCGACCTCTGCATCTGGGGTATCTTGATTTTTCTATTTCAGAAACATTTGTATCTATACGTTGGCTTGCTTTTGATAGCTTGGATTTTCATAAAGAAAAAATCGGTACGACAAGGTAACTGCTGCAGCACGAGATGCCTTTTATTGCTAGCAACTGTGAATGAAACACAATTTTTGGATAGAAAGTATTTTAGCCATCAAAGACGTTGGTATTCAAGTGCGTACCATCTATTGGGGCGGATCAAGCGTCTCAAGGTTCATTAGTAAGAATAGAATTGAGGATATCATTATCAATGAAGGAATCAGTTTTTGGCAAATCAAATCTTACATGGCCATCTTGGTGAACGATGAAGATAAAATGATTGTTGTTTTCGAGGTAAACGATCAATAGACTTTCTAGACTATAAACTGTGGCCAGAAAAGAGCTCATCATGGCCACCTTGATTTGCCGTCTATAGCATTTATTGCCTCGTTTACGACCTATTTTATTGGAAGCATATAAAGGAACACGTAAAATCATATTTTCACAGTAAAGGCAACAGCAGCAGCAGCAGCAGCAGCAGCAGCAACAGCAGCAATAGCAGCAGGAGTAGGTTGCGTATTGGTATATAATGGCACATGGAGAAAGTCACTCCATTTACTTTAGAAATATTCAACAGACAAGTCATTCAACGCAACACAAACAGCAGCTTTATGATGACCACTATACTGTCTTATCGCCTCACCGTTCTGCAGCTCCCAGAGCTTGGCCAAGTGGTCTGAAGAGGCTGTCACTAAATAGGCCGAATCTGCCGAAAAGGCACAATCCCACACCCATCGTTGATGTCCTTGTAATGTTAGTAATAGCTCGAATTTCTTTTCCGTGCTCCATATTTTGACCGTTGTATCAGCCGAACACGTTGCTAGTAGTCTACATAGGATGTTAAACACTTGGAACAGAAAGAAAGAGCCCCTTTTTGAATAATAAAAAACTTACTTTGTATCAGGGCTCAGCATGACTTTGAGTATATACGTGTTGTGTGCCTGAAATTGATGAATAGGCTTCACTTCATTTGATTCAGGGTCTGTAGAGAGTTTCCAAACATAACAATTCCCCTACGATAGAACAAAACACCCGTCAATGCCGCCATTCCAAAACAGATGCCGAGACACAAAAAGCAAAGAACAAACCTTATTATTGACAGCTACCAACATGGAACCATCCGAAGCAACGGTTACTGATCGCATAGGCACATCTTCTTCAGGAACCAACTCGTGTGTACAAGCATGCGCTGTCAAATCCCAAATTTTTACTGCCCCATTTTGATCGCATGTAATCAACTCGCCCTGATTGGCATGCATCACTGCATCAGTAATCGGTGCTCCATTATCAAAATTTCTGGTTAAAACTGGATTACGACCTGAGCGTGTGTCCCAGATTTTTAAATGGCCGTCATCACTTGCTGTAAACATCCAACGTCCTTCTCCATGAAATCCAAGGGCAATAATATTGCCTGTATGCTCACCAAAAACAACAAACTAAAAAAATGTCATGATGAGTGCCTTTTCTTTCTTCTACAAAAGTTTCTTGAGATATTTACAGGACTATCATTATTGCTTCCAATGTCGTATAATCGTACAGAATGATTGCCTACGCCGAACCATCCGAGAATTGAAAAAGTGAGTTACAGCAAAAGCCTATACCGCCTTCCCCTCACTCTTACCTGCAGCAGCAAGGAGTGTTTTGTCAGGTGAAATACAAAGACGATTTACTTGCTAGCACACAAAGGTAAATTCCACTGAGTTAAATTCAGAACCCCACTCTTTCCCCTCCTACTTGTCCGTTTGTTTTCAACTTTATAAAAAGGACTTACTGAATCTGGATGTTTTATAGTCCTCGAACAGATACCACTGAGAGCTTCCCAAAAACGAATGGTATTATCATAGCCAGCAGTAACTAAAATGACGGAATGACTATCGTTTTGTAGAGGCTCTTGTTGTTGTTGCTGTTGATAAGATTGCATATGGGCAAAAGAGGCGTCGTCTTGTGGTGGTTGCTGAGAGTCTGTCTGTGCCTGTTGCTGCTGTTGTTCCTGTTTTTGACGTTGTCGTTCGGCTGCCATTGTAATGTGTTTACGATAAAGAAAGGAAAGCGTAAAAGTTGGTCCTAAACCTCTTTTCTTTCAAGCGTTGTCGCACTTTTAAATTCTCAAAACGTCGCATACTGCTTTTTTTGTCACACATCAAAGAAAATTATGTCAGCATTCTAGAAAGCTTTATGTGGATTGTAGGCTTAAACCATCATTACTTTGTGTTTATTGAATACTTAGTAGAGCCCTTCATCGATAGCTCTTGAATAACACGTTCACATAGCGTTAAACGACATGGCATATTCTAAAAGCTTCTGATATACTTTTGTAGGCGAAACGTTGAATATTTAATTGGAGACAAACACGTACACACATACATATATACACAAGAATTTATCCGCTTTTCTTTTTTTTCTCAAAAAAAAAGAAGCGAAGCGAATAAAAATGGCTAACACACACCTTACCCACCCACAAAAAGCAGGTAATTCAAAAAAAGCCTATGAAAATGACCATCCACAAAAATTAAAAAGTTGAAGAGTCCTTCAATTAGAAAATATAGTGGCAAGTGTGGCATAATGGAAAATAAAGTGGAAATCAGCAGATGGTAGGTGGTTAATGATAGCTAGAAGACAGAAAATGGTTTGTAAAAAGTGGTAAGGGTCTTTTTCTGGTGGCAAGTGGAAAATAAAGTGGAAATCAGCAGATGGTAGGTGGTTAATGATAGCTAGAAGACAGAAAATGGTTTGTAAAAAGTGGCAAGGGTCCTTTTCTGGTGGCAAGTGGAAAATAAAGTGGAAATCAGCAGATGGTAGGTGGTTAATGATAGCTAGAAGACAGAAAATGGTTTGTAAAAAGTGGTAAGGGTCTTTTTCTGGTGGCAAGTGGAAAATAAAGTGGAAATCAGCAGATGGTAGGTGGTTAATGATAGCTAGAAGACAGAAAATGGTTTGTAAAAAGTGGTAAGGGTCTTTTTCTGGTGGCAAGTGGAAAATAAAGTGGAAATCAGCAGATGGTAGGTGGTTAATGATAGCTAGAAGACAGAAAATGGTTTGTAAAAAGTGGCAAGGGTCCTTTTCTGGTGGCAAGTGGAAAATAAAGTGGAAATCAGCAGATGGTAGGTGGTTAATGATAGCTAGAAGACAGAAAATGGTTTGTAAAAAGTGGCAAGGGTCCTTTTCTGGTGGCAAGTGGAAATGGCAAGTGGAAATCAGCAGATGGTAGGTGGTTAATGATAGCTAGAAGACAGAAAATGGTTTGTAAAAAGTGGTAAGGGTCTTTTTCTGGTGGCAAGTGGAAAATAAAGTGGAAATCAGCAGATGGTAGGTGGTTAATGATAGCTAGAAGACAGAAAGTGGTTTGTAAAAAGTGGCAAGGGTCCTTTTCTGGTGGCAAGTGGAAATGGCAAGTGGAAATCAGCAGATGGTAGGTGGTTAATGATAGCTAGAAGACAGAAAGTGGTTTGTAAAAAGTGGCAAGGGTCCTTTTCTGATGGCAAGTGGAAATGGCAAGTGGAAATCAGCAGATGGTAGGTGGTTAATGATAGCTAGAAGACAGAAAGTGGTTTGTAAAAAGTGGCAAGGGTCCTTTTCTGGTGGCAAGTGGAAATGGCAAGTGGAAATCAGCAGATGTAGATGGTTAATGATAGCTAGAAGACAGAAAGTGGTTTGTAAAAAGTGGCAAGGGTCCTTTTCTGGTGGCAAGTGGAAATGGCAAGTGGAAATCAGCAGATGGTAGATGGTTAATGATAGCTAGAAGACAGAAAATGGTTTGTAAAAAGTGGCAAGGGTCCTTTTCTGGTGGCAAGTGGAAAATAAAGTGGAAATCAGCAGATGGTAGGTGGTTAATGATAGCTAGAAGACAGAAAATGGTTTGTAAAAAGTGGCAAGGGTCCTTTTCTGGTGGCAAGTGGAAATGGCAAGTGGAAATCAGCAGATGGTAGGTGGTTAATGATAGCTAGAAGACAGAAAGTGGTTTGTAAAAAGGTTATTTTGTCTTATGGCTTGTGAAGGCAGTGAAAATGTTAGCAATATTTTTATTTATTTTTTTTGAGTATGATGTTGTACATGTGCGAAGGGTATGAAGGGACTTGAACAGAACATTGGTCGAGTGGTATAGGTTTAGGTCTATTTGGATCTCTTTACGTGGCCCTGGCGACAGTTGAATTTGCGAATTATTTCATCGCTGTGTAGAAGTTCGTGTCGTGTAAATACACTTACTTTGTGGCCCTCATCCACTGTGACTTCAAGAATGCGTTTGTTGGTTTTGACAAAATGTCGCAAATCATCCATGTCGGTAGAGAGACCGGCAAAATCAATAATGACCAATCGTACTTTACGATTTGTTTCTGTCATAAAATCAATCATGGTCTGCATGTCACCACTGTACCCTACAAATTGCTGATGCAAATGCTCTTTTTGTTTGCAATCCCGCGACAAAATTGGGGAATTTGCATTGGAGTCAATAGACGCGAATACTTTTTCACACAAAAGCTTCTTTTTCAATTTATAAATCTGAAGATTAACAGATTTTTATCTTGGCAGCCATTGGTTCCTTCGTATTACTTTTTCTTGCATAACCAATGGTACAAATAGTTGACGCGGTTGCTTTTACAGTTGAACGAAACTGTTGCACATTAGTAATGTGCTTCCAAGTGAAATCTCGGAATGGTTCTTTGATGACATTATACCAACGGCCACTCTTCCGTTGTTTGTTGATTTGCTTGCGTTTGGTGGGCCCCCAGGCACCATCTTTTGCCATCCATTGAACTAAATCAGCAGCCTTTAGGTCACCGTCAGGCAGATATGATTTTATCATCATGAAGATTTCGTCTTCCGTTAAAAATAGTTGTTGTGTCAGAGTAGGAACAGGATTCAGAGGCATGATGTGCTTGCATAAATCTATTACGCTAGATCGCGATGGTGCAATCGAAGCACTACTTTGGCTAATATTACTACTGCTGTCACTGGATTCTTCAAAATCATCAGTAGCAACAGTTGAAGCTTGAGGGTTGTTGTGGGATGTTTCAGTATTTTCTAAAGTTTGATGGGTGGACACCAAACGTTTAAACTTCCAAGGCTCCATATTTATTCTTTTTGTTGACATAGCAATAGCAAAGGCTGGATCGCCACTCACGATCGTAACTGGTTCAAGACTAGCAGACCTTAATAATTTCATTGCTAATGTGCAATTGTCAGGGGATACTTCAAGACCATATATTGAACACGCTGCTTGCTCTGCTGTTATATGCATTTTACGCGAAATAGCACGAAATAAATGAAAATAAACATAGATATTTAGTGTTCCCTTGCCGATTATTCTTTCATACTATGGAACTAGGGAGTACTTAACAAAACTTATAACTATTAGGTAAGCTCGAAGTAAGCCACGTCACTATATGCACAACCTTTCACAAACTCAAACATCTCAAAGCTTTAGGACTCAACAATAACACTCTTGTCTATGATAGACAATTATTAACAAAAATATAGAATACGATCTAAATGAGTTAGTGCTAAATGAAAATGACACTAAATGAAACTGAATTTCCCACTTCTCAATCTATTCTCCACCCATTACTTACCACCTACCATCTGCTGATTTCCACTTTATTTTCCACTTGCCACCAGAAAAAGACCCTTACCACTTTTTACAAACCATTTTCTGTCTTCTAGCTATCATTAACCACCTACCATCTGCTGATTTCCACTTTATTTTCCACTTGCCACCAGAAAAGGACCCTTGCCACTTTTTACAAACCACTTTCTGTCTTCTAGCTATCATTAACCACCTACCATCTGCTGATTTCCACTTGCCATTTCCACTTGCCACCAGAAAAGGACCCTTACCACTTTTTACAAACCATTTTCTGTCTTCTAGCTATCATTAACCACCTACCATCTGCTGATTTCCACTTTATTTTCCACTTGCCACCAGAAAAGGACCCTTGCCACTTTTTACAAACCACTTTCTGTCTTCTAGCTATCATTAACCACCTACCATCTGCTGATTTCCACTTGCCATTTCCACTTGCCACCAGAAAAGGACCCTTACCACTTTTTACAAACCACTTTCTGTCTTCTAGCTATCATTAACCACCTACCATCTGCTGATTTCCACTTTATTTTCCACTTGCCACCAGAAAAAGACCCTTACCACTTTTTACAAACCATTTTCTGTCTTCTAGCTATCATTAACCACCTACCATCTGCTGATTTCCACTTTATTTTCCACTTGCCACCAGAAAAGGACCCTTGCCACTTTTTACAAACCACTTTCTGTCTTCTAGCTATCATTAACCACCTACCATCTGCTGATTTCCACTTGCCATTTCCACTTGCCACCAGAAAAGGACCCTTACCACTTTTTACAAACCATTTTCTGTCTTCTAGCTATCATTAACCACCTACCATCTGCTGATTTCCACTTTATTTTCCACTTGCCACCAGAAAAGGACCCTTGCCACTTTTTACAAACCACTTTCTGTCTTCTAGCTATCATTAACCACCTACCATCTGCTGATTTCCACTTGCCATTTCCACTTGCCACCAGAAAAGGACCCTTACCACTTTTTACAAACCACTTTCTGTCTTCTAGCTATCATTAACCACCTACCATCTGCTGATTTCCACTTTATTTTCCACTTGCCACCAGAAAAGGACCCTTGCCACTTTTTACAAACCACTTTCTGTCTTCTAGCTATCATTAACCACCTACCATCTGCTGATTTCCACTTGCCATTTCCACTTGCCATCAGAAAAGGACCCTTGCCACTTTTTACAAACCACTTTCTGTCTTCTAGCTATCATTAACCATCTACATCTGCTGATTTCCACTTGCCATTTCCACTTGCCACCAGAAAAGGACCCTTGCCACTTTTTACAAACCACTTTCTGTCTTCTAGCTATCATTAACCACCTACCATCTGCTGATTTCCACTTGCCATTTCCACTTGCCACCAGAAAAGGACCCTTGCCACTTTTTACAAACCACTTTCTGTCTTCTAGCTATCATTAACCACCTACCATCTGCTGATTTCCACTTGCCATTTCCACTTGCCACCAGAAAAGGACCCTTGCCACTTTTTACAAACCACTTTCTGTCTTCTAGCTATCATTAACCACCTACCATCTGCTGATTTCCACTTGCCATTTCCACTTGCCATCAGAAAAGGACCCTTGCCACTTTTTACAAACCACTTTCTGTCTTCTAGCTATCATTAACCACCTACCATCTGCTGATTTCCACTTGCCATTTCCACTTGCCATCAGAAAAGGACCCTTGCCACTTTTTACAAACCACTTTCTGTCTTCTAGCTATCATTAACCATCTACATCTGCTGATTTCCACTTGCCATTTCCACTTGCTACTATATTTTCTACTTGAAGGACGACATCGACATCGACATCGATATTGGGCGCTGCTAAATATTCAGTAAACGCGATGGAATGATAAGCCTATAAATGTATTAAAAAGTAAAGCTTTCCTCAGAAGGCTGACATGACTTTATTTGATGAGTGATATATTTTCTCCTAAAAGTGCGACCACATTTTGAGAAAAAAGGCATCTCATTTAAGCGTTCTCATAAAAATATAAGATGATACATACATACAAGTGCATGCATATGAAAAGGTTTCATTATTATGCAAAGACTCTATTGCATTTTAGTTTATTAATTGATTTACGTGCTGCATGGGTTGTATTATGCGCTTTACGAATGAGCCAGCCTTTTTAAGACTCAGGAGCAAGTATCTTGACGTAAATACTGGCGTAACTAACACTACTGTCTTCGTATCTTTTACAACGACTACTTTGTTCATATCTCATACACTTCAGGGTTTGATTCGAAAATTCATCCTTTACACGGAGCTTTTCAAGGGCTGCCAGTAAGACAGAAATAGGATGCCGTCCACAAATGGTATTGTCTGTTGCCTTTAAATATTCTTGAAACTTGGAGAAGCTTACATCCTCCAAAACATCAATTGCTTGGTGATCTAGCTCTTCGATCGACTGATAAATAGGGCGTTCGATTTCGCTCTTATTGGCTGAAGTAAGGAAAAGAGGACGATTATCCTCGCTTGATTTGGTATAATAGGTATATCTGAAGCGTGCACCCCTAAATGACGAAAGTGTTTGATGAACGGATCCTCTTGAGGGTTTTTCATTTCTTCATGTATATTTATAGATCTCTTTTAGAGCCTTACCAGTGACAAAAGTCTGATGAAATGATGAAAAAGTTTTCAGGATTCTCCAAGTATTTAGCAAGTAATTCACCATACCTCTTTTCTGTGGCTTGAGAGGTAGCACCAACAAGAATAGGAACGACCTTCAAATTGGCTGTACTATTGGAGAGGATTTCCTTCAGTCAATAAGGTAACTTGTGAACAATGATGATTCTATCTGTTGGCTTCACTCACTTTTCAAAGATTTTATACACAAACGGTAGATGCATTTCAATACTGTGTTCATCTTCGTCCACCGTTTGTCTCATGTATTTGAATTCTCCTGTCTCTTCCAATTCCTTGATGACTGCCCAAGAGGGTGGCAATAAAGATAGAAATAACAAGTTTGAGTAGGACTGTCTCCACATATTTTAAGGATTTTAGACTTGTTGATGGCTAATCATACCCGCTTTATCCAGATGTAAATCACCCAAAGGCGTTTGATAGACATCGCACATGGATAGTGCACATCCAGGGAGATAAGCATGATGAGAAGGGCCCAATATAAAGACACGTTTTCTTTTACGCACACAATGAAGCAATAAGAATAAGCTTTCACTACGTTTAATAATTGAAATTATCTGCTTACATGTTCGTAGTATCAATTGATTTATAGGCGAAAGCTGCAGTTGGTCCACTGTATCTGAATCCTGCATGCCTAGATAAAGATAAAGTAAGTGCAGAGGGAGATTTATTATATCAGCCTTATATCATTTAAATTTTTAAACTCGTAGAGATAAATATATTACGGTCCAATAATAGCTCTGACTCCTTTGATAGGTAAGCCTTCTTGAGCCTCTTGAGCTGCATTTTTCAAATAATCATCCAGTTCTTCATCTAATTGCTGGGCTTCATTTGGTTCATTTTTTGTATTCATAGAAAGGTACAAGGAAAGTGAGTCGACCTAAATAAACTCAACTGCCATCTTGAGTATTAGCTATAAGAACTTACCATCAGCAGTGTACCAACTGCCTGCATGAGAAGCGTCTCGTCTCATTGGTAATAGTCGCGAAATGTAAAAAAAGAGAAAAAAACTGTTGAGAAAAAGAAAGAACTCAAACAGAATTTAGTAGGATTTAAGCAATTTTTTTATTTCTGGCTGCTGCATGAAATTGATTTTGGTTTGAGTTTCCGATAGTCGCTGCAAGTGACTTGAACGGGGACTACTTAATCTTCCTACTTCATTTAAGGAATGATAAAGACACCAAGCTCAAGGCCATTGCCTTCCAACAGTTACAGTGACAAACATCTCAAACTCTTTAGCGTTGAGTGGACTGTATATGGGTTTTTTTTTAAAAAAATCATACTTTTGGTATTGATATGATATCATGAGAAATAGTTAAACATAGATAAGTAATAAAAGTATACTAAAAATACAGTGGGTGCGTTATTTACATTAAAAGAATAAATACTGAAAAGAAAAATAATGTATATATATATATAAGAGTGGTTTTAACAAAAGGAAAGCTTCTTATAAACTTTGATAGGGTACAAAATAGAGAAAGGCCTTTTTTGGGTCTGTCTATGTAAGGAGATTTTACAATTCTTCTCTCTCATGCGAAAGGGTTGTCTTTTTTTGATCAAATTCTTCATCGGTAATGCGTTGAGGAGCTTTAGGAACCAAAATACCCTTCACTTGTAAATAGTAAGCGGCAATACACATAAAAACCATAGCAGCAGTCATAGCCATGGTGACGATTTTACCGAGTCTGAATTCAGGAGCGTCTACAATGGACCATACTTCTACATTGATGAAGTTGGGGGCAAGATTGCCAATAGAATTGATAATAGCGATGGCCAAGGCACGCGACTCTCTGTCACAAGAGTATATTTCGTTGGCCCAAGACATCATAATGGGAGAGATGCCGTAGACGGGAGGCACCATGTAAGCACAGACAAGTAAAAGTCCCACAGGCACGTTTCCTCCATTCACAGCCACAAGAACAATATACCATACCAAAGTGAAAAGAGCACCCGCGATAATGTGGTAAGCACGATGACCGAACTTATCGGACAGCTTACCTTGTGTAATGATCACAATACCAACCCAACACCAGATAGGAACCATCATGTAGTTTGCAAATGAAGCTTGGTATCCAAGTGCCTTGAGAATAATAGGAAGATTTTGCAAAATACCCATACCCATTTGCATACAAATAAACATACAAGTAAACAAGTAAATGAAAGGTGTTGTGAACAAGTTGCGGAATGTCGCCATGTTTAAGCCGGTCAATGCCGTACTTTTGCCTTGACGCTCCAGACGCTTGAGAGCCAATTCACGAGCTTCACCTTGAATGAAACGAGTATTGTGGGGGAAATCTGGAAGAGTAAAATAGCCAGCGGTGCCAATGACAACAGCAATAAGACCTTCAATAATGAAAAGCCACTTCCAACCACGGATACCATGAGCACCATCTAAGCTTTGGGAAATAGCACCTGAAATCAAACCACTAAAGGCACCAGAAATTTGTGAACCAGCAACAAATACAGCGGTACGCGTACCTAATTCTTCTTTCGTATACCAAGAGCCAAGCAAGAAAACGATACCAGGATAGAAGCCAGCTTCAGTAAGACCCAGACAAAAACGCAGACCGTACAAACCTTGGTAATCCTTAACGAGAGCCATGAAGCACACAACAGCACCCCAGCCAAATACAATGGTAGGTAACATGATACTAGGGCGGACCTTGGTAATAATGTAATTTGCGGGAATTTGTAATCTGTAGAGTCACACAAAGGAAATTCATTAGTTTCTCGTCCTAACTGCTTATGTGGTAGCTGGCTGAATAAAACCGTGACTTTTTAAACATACACAATATAACCAATGAAAAACATAGTGAGCGCCCAATTGTATTGGTTGCTGACAAGATGTAAATCCTCGCTTAAGCCTGTTGTTTCAGCGTTAGGCATATTATTTCTATCCAAACCATTTGCAAAATAGCCCCAGAAAGCCCAGATCATTAAACGATAGTCCAGTGTGCGCACTAATTTCTTTTGCACTGCTAATTCATGTTCTGTGAAATCTTTGTTACTGTTATCTTCTATGCTAATGACCTCGACATTGTCTTTATGATTTGGATCGAAGTGAACGTTCGATACCTCTTGCTGTTCCTGCAGCGTTTTCTCGTGCATTCAAGCGAAAGTAGAGTTGCAATGTATAAAAGTAAAAAAAAAAAAAGAAAAGGTGAAGATCAATATAGTGACCCTTTTATATGCAAATTATGTCTGACAAATTGATTGGCCTCTTTCCCCACATTTTCCCGTCTACCATGATACTAAAAATGATTGGAGTGAAATTTGCGGGGTAAAATCTTTCATTTCCCAGTTTTGAAATGGTTTACATTGGTTTCCGAATTTTTTCTTTTGCATCCGCAAATGAAGCCCAAAGACTTTTTCGTTGCTTTCCGCTGGCAATCAATTGCGATACCCAGTATTTGAGTTGTTTTTGGCTGTTAAGAAAGTTTATAGAAATTAGACAAATCCAACTTTACTAAGTGCATTCCCGAGTGATAAGATGAGGTAGGTACTATGGAGAAAGAAGCGTAATACAATAGCTGAATTTTTTCCCGACGGTGCTACGACAATAGCCAACTGTTACCGTGAGAAGATACAAGATTCTTTAGCCACTCGTATTGAAGCTGCCAAACGTCCAATTTACTGCGATCGTCTATGAACCAGAGAGATCACTAACAGGTACTATAACAGAGCAGTTTGCATGACGTCTTGTCCTTTGCTACCGTATACTACTCTATCTAAGCAATAGCGTAGCGTAGTAACGCATAAACTACTCGTCCCCGGCGATCCATTTTGCTATTCATCTTATTTTCTGTTTGTTTCACATATTTTTTCTCATTCTTTCTATTCAGAAATATGGATATACATGATAATGAAAGCGCTTAAAACGTTCTTAAAAAGCATCCAATACACTCAGCCCGTAATGGAATCAAAGAAAACCAACTCGAATTTGTCCTGTACATTGTGGCGACGATACAGATGCTGCTGCACTCCATCAATCAAACTCTGATCATCAAAAATCAAAAAAATAAAGATCCTACGCTTGCCACTCCAAGAACAGTTGAACATTCATTTGCAGATCCGTTGGCTAATTCCTGGATAAACTACGACCTGAATCATTTGTAGAATCAATAAAGCAATTGCATGAAATATTATTGAGAGTTTCTGTGATTGTGCATCTATTTCTGTAAAGATTTGTTTCCCAAGGCATTTAAACGGTAGGGATATCGATTATAATAGAACCAAACGAATAACAGAACGAATAATTTGACAATGTAGTATAATATGGACCTAGACTGACAAATTTGCTTGTATGGTGCTTTTTGATCCCATCTCGAATGGCCTATTTGTTATTGTTTGCTTGAGGTCATAACATGTACCTCCAATGTATATTTGCTCTGTCGCCTTGAATCAGACAAATTATCACCTTCAGCTGAATATCAATAATTGTGGTTAATAGGATGGTATGTTTATGCTGCTTACTCATTTTAGGCTCATCTGCGTCACGCTTGACTAATATTGACACTTGGGGTCTCGATCTTGCCATATATGCTGTTCTCCTTGAATGTTAAAGAATGAGCATAGTGGACTGTATAATCTATCTACTCGTATACACCCGGTTATTGTCGTTGCTAGCTTATGAAACACTTACGTTGAATTCGTGTTCTACCATCACAAGAATTCACAGACATTCGTTGATTGGTTGAACGGAAATGTTGCATTCTAAACGCTGTGGTAGCCTCAAATGGAAAGTTTCTTTCGTCCAACGCTTTCCCTCATTTTTCTTCTTGATAATAAGGGTCCCTGTTTGAAAAACTACTGAGCCTTGTCATCCCTAAGCTCCTTTTATTCAGGGTTCTGCATCGTTTGCACTACTTTCTTCTCTTGTGTTTTTTTTTTGTTGCAGCATTCGCTCTATGAAATCGTGCATTTCAAATTAGTGTTAAAAACAAAATGCGGGGTAAGCTGATTTTTAAACCACTCAAGGAATACAGGGGCTATCCTTTTTATATTCTTTGGCTTTCAGAAGACTGCTGAATTTTTGAACAAATGTCATACAGCTTCCGTAGAACTTTTTACGAATTGTTTCAATATTTGAGGTATTTAAATCTTTTGGTTCTCTATGACGATAAAAATCTCGTTAGACCGTCGTGAATTCGGCAAGGGAGTCTGCTGTCATACAATCCGTTCTACGTGCAAAAGTGATTTAGAAAAAACCAACTCTTCGGTAAAAATAACTCTGTCTTTGGTATAGTCTGCTGGCATAAATACTCTTTACATAAAGTACAAGGTCGCAGATTTTCTATAAGAGCCCAGAAAGACATTTAGAAATATTGTCTTTTACTTATTGACCCATATAGAAGGCCCCTAAGGCTTATAATACAGTCACAGTCTCCTATCATATGCTTTGAAAAGTCAGTCATACAAGATATAACTTTATCGTGATAGCAATTCATGTCAATTAGCATATGGTGGTTGAAATCAAATACAACAATATATTTACATTGTTTTAGCCCATTACACATTTTTTTGGACATGTGGGTTATCAGGGATATAATGTGGAGTACACACGAATGCAAAAAGGACGTCAAAATTTTGAAAGGGAATAGGGTCGAGTGTTGGGGATTGATAAAAGTGTGTTGACAATGATAGACAAGAAATAAAAAAACAATTTATACAATTTAGGATTTTCGTCTTGTGGATTACTCCCATGGCTTCGTCACTGTAGCGGCCCATGTTCCTTCCTCTTCTTTTCCCCATGCATCTCTAGCATTTTTACTCGTGTCTTCGCCCCATCCTGCGTTTGGGTCATCTTCACCCCATGAAGCGTAGGTGATGTTGATATCGGGATTATCAGGTCGTTCCCAGTCTGTTGCTGGCTGCCAAGGTACTTCATCATGCTTATGCGAATTCCATCCAATTCGTCTGTGGCGCTTTCTATTTCTGGCAAGCAATTTTTGGAAAGAGGAGGGTCCTACCAATGTCTCATCAGTTGCAGTATGGTTAATATTATTATTGTTATTATTCATATTGTTATTTTTGCTGTTGATGTTGACGCCAATGGATTTCCCGAAATCACGACTTGGGCGTTTATTGAGTCTATAGCCATTGTTGTTGTTATTGTTGTTGCTATTATTATTGGTATTGTTATTGTTGTAAGTTCCTCTATTGAACTGAGACGTTCTTTGAGAAATTTTGGAGCCAACGTCGTCGGGTAAATTGTTCGTTAGGTCGTCCATAGCAAATACATCTGCATCATCATTATTCTGCTGCTGCTGTTGAGCAAATTGGTGCTTCGGTCTGGAAAAGGGTTGATGAGATGCTCTTCTTTGACGCGGTACTTGTTCCTGAGCTGCTGGTGCAGAGGTTATGTTTTGGAAGGGTGCAAGTTCGTAATAATGTTTGCCCAAAGGGTTCACTTTTGAATTGGGTCGTCCCATTTCTGCTCGAGTGACAGGAAACGTCTCCTTTTCGATGTCCTGTACCCATTTACGTTCTGTATGGCCTCCAAAGGGAGATTTTACAACCTCTGCATATTTGCCATCATGAATGGACCCTGATAAAAAGCGTCTCAACAAGTCGTAATTTGGCTCTTCTGCAAATTTTAATCGTCGCGAGTACTCTATGAATTTCAAAAATCCTTGCGGTAAACCAGCACATAAATCATCCAGAAAAGTATCCTGCTTGATTTGACGCATTCTATCCCAACCCATGCGCGAGTTACGTGCCTGGATACCAGTCCATGGCAATGTACCAAACATCAAATCCAACAACAAATAACCTATACTTTCAATATCATCCCTGCGTGAATGCGTTTTGCCTCGATGTACATTTAAAGACGCATATCTTGCTGTGCCTGTCTTATTCTTAATCGTCTTTTTCGCCTCTGGATAAGGCTTATCCGTATCAGGGTCGCGCCACCATGTCGTTAAACCAAAGTCAACGATGTGTAATTTGGGTTTCAGTTCTCCCCACTTTGCAAATACCTCCTGGCATTTTGGATAGACGTATTTGATATGTGGCATACCATGATCATCAGGCATTTCAACCATTTCCGGCTCGGGTAAATAACATTTGGATGAAAACAAGAAATTGTCTGGCTTGATGTCTCTATAGATGAGCCCTCTTTTATGGATGTGTTCCACAATAGAGATCTGAAGCGAGTAAAAAAAAAAAAAAATGGCCGATTGCTTAGCGTTCAAATAACATATATCAGTAGAGACCTTATCATCATCACTCACCATTTGGCATCCAAAATCAACCACGACTTCCAGGGGAAATTCATGAACTACTTCTTTTAGTTGATTTAGGTTTGGCCCTAGTAAATCAATAATAATGCAATCAAAATTATCATGATGACCATGCCAATGGCATTGAGGGATACCGGCTATTCAATGAAGCATGTCAATAAACACCAAAGATCTCTAAAGACTTGTTTTGAAATCTAAATGACTTACGTCCTCCCGCCAACACATCATAAATGATACTTTCATGTCTTAGTTGTGGGTGACGCATTTTCAAAGGCTCTCTCTTGATAGCATAGCGTCTAAACGTGTTTATATCCTCAACTGATGATTGAAAATTAAATACATTGAAAAAGTAGGGTGAATACTAGTTGTCACTGTCCGTTATTTTTTGATAGCGTACCTTCGAAAACTTCACCGAATGACCCTTCGCCAATTCTTCCTAGTACCACCCACTGATCTGCAATAATGACATCTCTACTGTTGATACTCAAGTCTGTACGAATACTGTCATAAGAAGCATATTCTAAACCAAGATTATTCAAACCACAGGAGGCGCTCATAGGTTGTGCTGGTATAGAAGAGCTGAGATGGCTGTAAGCTATTGACCGCGGATAAGAGCAACCCTGCTGTTGTTGGTGTTGTTGGTGTTTTGATCTCGAGATTGACTGTTTAATATAATGAGGGTTGGCCATTCAACGATAGCGTTCAAAAAACAGTGGGAGGCTTTGATTTTTTATATAAACAGTTAATCAGAGAAGGAATTGGTAAGGAAGGGTAGTTTATTCAGTAGGGCTTTTCGATGTTTGAGCTTAGGAATAACGTTCTTTCATTCACTGAGATAAAGGGAAAAGGAAAATTGGTAATGAAATCAATGCAAGAAAAAAAGTAAAGACCTAAAAAAAGCACGAAAAATTGTAATTCAGCAGCAAACTCGAAATTTGACTGGCGAAATGCACAACATGATGAATGTTATTTACCTGATCCAATAGGTTATTCTATGGCATCGCTATTGGTTAAAAGCTATTCTCAAACAGACAAGTTATTCTAAATGTGGGAGTGATTTCCCTTAAATTTTAACGACGCGCTTTAGTGTTTAAGTGTGAGGGTGAGCAATAAGTGATATACCGTTCGAATAAAATCACATTTTTTGGTAAACCTGATGCGTCAGGACGTTATGATTCAGGCAGTCATTTTTTGAATGCAATCTCATGCATTCACAATGGCTTTGAAATCGATAGTTAGTAAAATAACCGATTATAATTTTTAGTTTAACAACCAAAAAAAGGACTTTATCGATAAAGCAACGGATTGCTTGGAATTCAGAGGAATAATCAACACAAAGAGAAATTCAGTTGACTGTGCTTCTCCATTATGCAAAGGCTAAAGCACTATGAGGATTCATCTTTGGTTATCACAGTGAATGCTTATCTCAACATCCATAAATATTATTGCAGATTACTGTTTTCTTGAAAGCTTTTGCTGAGGCTACAATGTGCCTTTCAGGGCACAGTAGAGCGAACCATGTAGCTTTAACCTTCAAGTGTATTCGATTCCGCACGCTAACACTCCAAAGGGTCCCTCAACTGAGGAAATAAGGCCGAACAAATACTCCAATTTTGACATTGTACAATTTAGTTTTTCCTTATCTGTAATAGTGTTGAGAATGAAGGTTGACTTGTTGCTGCATCGTGTATTGTTAGGGTGAAGCTTGCCAAGGGCTGAAAACCTACAGAAGCTACAAGTGAATATTCGTTACTTATTCATTCTTTCCTTTTAAATTGCACTCCCTTCCTCTTTAACTCCACTCCTATTTCAGCATAATTTGTAATTACATACCTTTTTATCTTTTCTTCCCTTAACCAGTTGTTTTTCTTTTGCTTCCCTATTGATTTTCGATCAAAAAAACCAGAAATCAGACAACTTCATCAAATAAAATGTTGCATGTTCAGGAGTCCTTCTCTCATAGTCCAAGCTTATTAATGTCAACACCAGTATCTGTCATTATACCGCAACCGAGTACATCTTCAAGATCGACAAAGGTTATTGAGCATCTTAGTGACAAGTATGAATTTATTCAGAAAGAGATCGCATCCACCAAATCTCAGGTATTATTTACAATAGTGTCAAGATGGGCTTTTGTGTCTGTGCCATAATGAAACTTTAACTTACTCTTCTCCTCTCTCTCTCTTCTTGCCTTATACACATATCAAAATACTGTTCCCGTCTTACAGCTAGATTTAATGCGTCAAGCTAAATTACAATTTGATACAGAGGCAATCAATCATGCCAACTCAAATAAAATTTATAGGGTTAAAATCAAAGAGGTCATGCAGGTTCTAGAGTCCAAACAAAAGCTGTTAGATGGCACTAAGGGCACTTCAGTTCAATTAGAATCCCGAGTCAAGCAGTTAAAAGATGAAGCCCTCGCTTCTCGTAGACAACTGGAAGACCTTCGAAAGAGAGAGCTTGTCCTGGAGCATGATCGAGATATGGCTATCAAGGAAAGAAATCAGACCAAGCAGAAGCAGCAAAGCATGCAGGATTCAGTGGAGCAACTCCGTATCCGCCATGAGCGAGAAGTCACCGCTTTGCAAAACGATCAGACACTATTATCTGATCATGCTCGATACCTAACAGAAAGAAACGAACGCCTGGTTAAGTTGGTCACTATGAAGATGAACACTCGTCAACAATCTATAGAACATTTAACAAAGCTGAAAGTCCAACTTCAAACAAACACAGCTGCATTTGTCAAAGAGATTGATGTAGCTTTACAAACACTGAAGTTCATTGCAGAACAGTCCATATCAGAATCTAGAAACTATACAGTGGCAGCTTATCAATGTCGAAGTGAAGTCAATGCTTTATTTGCAAGAATCAAAGCAATTGCGGCTGAAATTACCGCTTCTCAAAATTATTGATGATGAACAAGAAAGTATATTGATACCTCTCCTTGTCTTGGGTTTTCCCCTTCAAACATAATTTTAAAGCCTTAAAAGCAATAATAGCCCATGTAGTAGCTTTCTCCAGTTCTCTTTTCGTACTGCCAATCATTTGAGCCTTTCTTCTTTGCCCCTCTTACCCATTCAATGCGTACGTTTGCTTTTGCTTTTTGTAATCGATTTCTGCTTTCTGTTTCTTCTTGTTAATAACTACCATAATTTATAGCCGATATAATAAACATTCTCTTTGATTCAAGCTGGCTTGCCCCTCAAGCGAACACCTTAAAGTTTAACTTTCTTTTTCTGGGTTTTCAGTGTGATGTTACCTAGAAATTCAAAGACCCTGCTGTCTCCTGTGTGTGTGCATAAAGAGAGTGATGTAAGGGTCGGTTTTGTTTTCTTTTGTTGTTTAGAAATAGATAAAAAACAAATGCTGCGACAAGCAAACAGTTATGTTTACAAACACTTTACGTTACTATTACTTTTAGCTATATTAAAGAAGCCTGTCTCTGCTAGTCCTTTTTTTTTTGAAGAAAAAGAAATAACTCTATCAAAAAGGAGATCAATTGTATGCTCACTGTTATTTGAATGGTTAGTGTCAACTTTTCATTGTCTCCTGTAAAACGCTACAGTAACTTTATGCGAATGTTTGGATGTGTTGCGCAAATAATGAGTTTGCATCGTCACATATATCTTAGCCGTTGTAAATAGATCAGCAGGGTCTTTCGTGCAAATTGCTCAATACAAGCCTTTCTCAAATGGAAGATGTCATATTACTTATATCCTGTGCTTGAACCCTGAAAAAGATTATCTTCATAATCTAACAGTGCTGAAATTTGATTACATAAGGTTAGCTTTTATGAACAAATGCCTCGAGTCAGTTCGATTCCGCTTCCGTTTTAAAGATTTGTTTATTGTTTTCTCTTATTCAAAAAAAAAAGATGGGTTGAAATTTCACTGTGCACAGAAAAGGTATTGTTGAGAGATAGGCTGACTTAACTGACTTTAAATCGATAAACTGTGTACCTGACTTCAACCAATAAGTAACTTTTCTAAGCTAAGACTTAAATTTTTTCAAGATCAGTTAAGAAAAAAAAAAAAAAAAAGTTCTTATAAAAAAAACAGTTACGACCTTGCCATTTATCTGACGTATCTTTCAGCTTTTTTCCTCAGTTTAAACGTTCGTATATTATCACCTACACTTATCCCTTTTTCCTTGAGTCATTTGCTTTTATACCCTGGACTGGAGAATCTGAAAGGTTAATAACGCAGAAAATGGACGATATTCCACAAGCGAATCTGACTTGGTGGAATGTCCTTCAAGCTTCAACAGCAGTATTCATAGCAGGTACTCGAGAACAGATGATTGTTCGGCATAAGTCAGAGCAAGCATTCTTACACCTACGCATACATCATTCTATTTTTTATAGCTGGCATCAGCATATGTCTAGGCACAAAATTAGAAATATCCTTGATTATATCCGCCATTAGATGCGTTGTACAACTTTCACTTATAGTACGCTATCTTTTATCAGATCTATGAATTTCCAAACCTTATTTTTCTCACCAGAAAGCCTTAACCCTTTCATCTTACTTTCGTTTTTTACTTCAATAATCAGGGTTTGGTTTTGGATGACGTCCTTAAAACACAGCATATGAGCGTAGTCATAGCAATGTCTGGTAAGGTTATCTTTATTCAATATATTATGCAACATAATTACATATGTTTGTACTGCAAAACACATATCTGATCTTAGAATACTTCTTCTTTTTCCTTTTTTCTGCCACTCAAAAACAATATATAGTTTTACTGGTGTTCTTAGGTGCTTTTGAAACTGTATTCAATAGGACAAAAAAGTCATTCAAAGGATTGGTAAATAATATTAATTAGAATGGAAACTTCAATATTAGATACTTATTCCTTTCTTTTTTTGCATGGATGTGTAGTTTCCGCTTATGTTGATAATTTTGTTTTTGAGCAATTTCGTGATAGCTTACCTTGGATCAGCCTTTGTACTGAAAGCAGACCCTTTCTGGGACCCACCGACATTTGTCCCTATCATAGGCATGTTACTGGGTAACTCAATGAGTAGTGTGGCTATGGCTACAGAGCGTTGTTTAGATCAATTCAGGTAAAATGCGGATTCATACAAAATAGCTAAGGATAATATTTCGCTAATCCACTGAACATGGACTACAGAATTCACACACCTGCACTCGAAACGCGTTTATCATTTGGCGCCTCTCGATATGAAGCGACTTTGCCGCTGGCGGTAGAGACAATTCGTATGTCACTTCTTCCTATCATTACTCAACTCAGTGTGATGGGTATGATCAATATTCCTGGCATGATGACTGGTCAAATCATGGCAGGAACGCCCATGAAAGATGCTGTGATTTATCAGCAATGTATTATGTTTATGGTAGCAGCAAGCAGTACTTTAGGAGCTGTCATGTCTGTTGCAGTAAGTATTTTTCAAAGTTTTAATTATTTCTTTTACTCAGCACTCATCATCAACTATGAATAATAGGTCTGTTTGTCTGTACTTATTGATAAGGAACAGACTATGAGACAGGATAGAATTCTGAATAATAAGCCTTTGCTGGAGTATTTCCCTTTCAATAGACTCAAGTATAAGATTCGATGTTCTTGTAAGTGTGTAAAATGGTACATAAAGAAAAGAGGAAGGAAGTCCATGTCTGATGAGGCCTAGAATTATATCAAAACCACCGTCAAAATTCTGCTGATCGCTGTCATGCCTTCTTTGACAATCCTTTATGTAAAGAAAAATATTATACCATCGTTTTATCGTAAACTTTGTTTTTCACACTTCTATATACTTTATTGTAAAATACCACTACATACTTTTACGCATACACTCTCCTTTTATTTATTGTTTAATATATAGATCCAGAATATATTTTGTAATGGCTATAATGGCAGATGTTCCTATCTCAACACCGTGCAGAAAATGCTCCAGTCTTTCGTGGTCGTTACACAATGAGATAAGCGTCAAGGAATTAAGGGTTTTGCAGAAATTATATACAAATGCGCTTCAGTCTATGAAAGCGTCGAAGACGGCCAATGAATGGGTCGCGACATGGTCAGTGATTGCGAGTGTCCGGCTCTTGGAGATAGCTGCTATTTAGTCTTCGCCAAAAGGCTATAGGCATATTGGCGTTACTAATTAAATTCTCCCACAGTGCTACTAAAAAAAATGCGATAGTTTCCATCTAATTGCTAATCTTAAATCAAAATTGTGTGAGTGCTTGCTTTAATTTTCGTTTCTTCCCCTTTTTTCAATTCTTCATACCCTCTTTGCATTCAACAACAACTGACAAAGAACTCAAAATGACTGGTGTTACGTCTTTACCAGCTGATGAAGGGGGTGATGTTTCAGTAAATCCAGTCCAAAAACAATTACGTAAGGCACGTCAATGGTTCGCACATAATTTGGGCGTAGGAGGAGTTAGAAGCGAAGCCGAACCTCTCTTGCCACTCGAAGAAAGAGCTTTGGCTGACAAGAACAGGAAACAAAGAATTGGCAAACTAGCTGCTGCCAGTACCGTCATTTTGGCATTGTTTGCTTTAGGCGCTGGGATTGGCATTTGGCATTATTGTTCCGAGCACAAACATGATCCTATTGATAATGGTAAGTTTTAAGTGGAAACCTTCAGGCTCGTAAAAATCGTGCTTGTAAATTCTATATCTCATACTCATATTACCCTCCTCCACAATCTTCACCCGCAAGTACCTGAATCTCCGTCTCCTGCATTCCCCTCTCTCACTGACCAAGAAAAGTTCGCTTTAAATTTCCCGTCCAATGACAGTATTCGAGATTATCTAAAGATCTACACTTCAGAAAGTCACTTAGCAGGCACTGCTAATGACAAAAAGCAAGCATTGTGGACACGCGATCAATTCGAAAGCTTTGGTTTGAAAACGCAAATAGAAACCTACTGGCCATTATTGAATTATCCTATCTCACGTCGACTCGCACTTGTGTCCGGACCTAAACACTTACAATTTGAGGCCAAGCTAACTGAAGATCCCGTGGACGACGATGAAACCAGCAAAAACCCAAATGAGGTCCCTCTTTTCCATGGTTATTCTAAAAATGGGACAGTGAAGGGTCGCGTCGTTTACGCTAACTACGGACGAGTAGAAGACTTTCAATACTTGAAGGACCAAGGCATTGAACTAAAGGGAACCATTGCTTTAGTACGGTACGGTGGCGCTTTTCGAGGGCTCAAGGTGAGAGCAGCCGAGTTATTCGGATGTGCCGGAGCTCTTATTTACTCTGACCCGATAGATGATGGGCCCTTGAATAAAGACAACTCTTCCAACCCAGCTAAATCTTATCCTGATGGCCCTTGGCGATCCAAGAGTTCTGCTCAGAGAGGCTCGGTGCAATATTTCTCTTTGATTGCCGGCGATCCATTGACACCCGGTTACCCTGCCACAGAAAATGCTACCAGAATTAGGCCTGAGGATTCCAAGGGTTTAGCTAAAATTCCTTCCCTACCTTTGTCCTGGGAAGATGCTTTGCCGCTTTTGAAAGCCACACAAGGTTTAGGTGTCCGCGGAAAGAAAGAAGAATGGGTTGGTGGTTTGACTGAAGTTGATTATTATAGCGGACCTACTGAAGGTGAAGCGATCTTAGTCAATCATATTGAGAACAAGATTACGCCCATTTGGAATGTGATTGCTTGTATTGAAGGTAAAGAGGAACCTGAAAAAGCAATCGTATTGGGTAATCATCGTGACGCATGGAGTTACGGTGCTGTCGATCCTTCCTCTGGCTCTGCTGCTTTCTTGGAGCTTGCAAAGATGTTTGGTAAATTGCTTGACACTGGCTGGCAACCTAGAAGGACTATCATCCTCGCTTCTTGGGATGCTGAAGAATATGGACTGGTTGGATCCACTGAATGGGTGGAAGACCATAAGGAAAGGCTCGGTAAGGAAGGCGTTGTATACATCAATGTGGACACAGGCGTATCAGGCTCTCACTTTCGCGCTCAAGCCTCGCCTAGCCTTAACCAACTTTTATACTTTGTAACAGCCCATATTGAAGATCCACGTACAGGAAAATCTGTTTTTGATGCTTGGAAATTGGATAATAAGGTCTCCAACGGCGGAAACCCACCTGTTTATTTATTGGGCTCTGGCTCTGACTTTGTGCCTTTCTTGGATCATATTGGAATAGCCAGTATTAACTTAGCCTTCGTAGGTGATTATGGTGTTTATCACAGCAATTATGACAGTTTCCGTTGGATGGAGAAATTCGGTGACCCGCAATTCCTCTATCACGAAGCACTCGTCAAACTCTGGGGTCTCTTGACTCTTCAGCTTGCGGATCCACCCCTTCTTCCTCTCTACCCCAAAGATTATGCTACAGAACTGCAAAAGTACACTGATAGTTTAACGGCATCTGCTGCCCCTCATTCCTTCCCGCAATTGCAGAACGCGATTAAGATGCTGGAAAAAGCCACAAGAAGATTTGAACGTCGGAGACAACGCCTTCAGGACAGACTCTCGGAATACGCTTCTCTGGAGGACATTCCTGAAGTTTTATTAAAGCGCTTAGAAAAAGTCAATAACTGTTTAACTTATTTTGAGCGAAGCTTTATTGATGCAGCTGGGATTAAAGGCCGAGAATGGTTCAAACACGTTGTTTACGCACCGGGCCTTTGGACAGGCTATCAATCTCAAATATTCCCTGCTATCTATGATAGTATCAATGATAATGACTTTGAAGAAGCTTTACTTGCTGAAACGAGAGCTGCTGAAGCTATACAAAATGCTAGTGAACGATTAAAAGCTGCTTAGAGGTTCCATTCGAAAGCTTACCTTTTCATTCAGAATACATATAACTTATGAGAATTCATAATTTTTAGTTTCACGTAATAAAGACTTACTCTACAATCGTTAAGATTAATGTATGGTATCAAAAAAAAAAGAGGTGGTATTTAAATAAATGGATTAGTGGGAGGACCCGACTGATAGTTAGAGTAGCTGTTAGGATTGTAAAAGTTTAGAAAGAATGGACACTGTTCCTGGATTACGGCTAGAGTCACGGACGTGTTGCTGATATTTGTTCACCGTTCATTTCCATCTCACATACAATCTGCTCATAGCCCTTGTCAGGAAGAACCATTGTGCAGAAAATCCTCTGCGCTTGAGTCTTGTGACCATTGTTTACGCATTTGATTTGTTTGCCTTGGATAATTTGCTCTATTGCTCCCTAAAAAAAAAATTTATCATCAGACCATAATCTTACTAGCCAAAAGATGAATTTCTTAATAGATACTGACTGTATGTACATTGCGAACTTCAATAAAATTTGGATCGAAACCCAAAACAAAAGGATAAACGAACGCGAAGGCTTCCGGACATCCTTCCCAGGCAATTAAGAAATGATTAAACAAGCGATCTCCTTTGCTATTGATATAAAACGCATATTCTAAGTTTTTATGCAATGTCAGTAACAATGTTATTTCCAAACGAGGCATATGTTGCCCATTTTGTAATACATACCATCATAGCAGAGAATATAATGACTTTGTTGGGTTTTGAATATAGCCATTCGTTTTATCGGCTGCTTTAAATTTATTGTAGGAGATACTTGTCTTTCTCGTTCCAAAATAAAAGCCAAATTCTCATCCTTAGGGTTGAGTAACTCTGATAAAAGAGGGATGGAAAAAATGAATAATTTATGGATATATCCGCGTCATTCGACCTGGCCTGTACCAGAAACTTACGTTGGGGATGATCTGTTTTCATATCTATCATGATCATCCCTCTTGAAGAAGTAATCAACATCATTGTTGGAGTCAACTCAATCGCATATGCTTCACACGGCACATAAGTATCTTTTATCTTTTTTAAATACGTCTCGCTAAATGGCTGCTGCTTTGAATTCTGAAAGATTGAAAGTAGTAGGATGCTTCTTCTTTTAGAGGTACTCGTGGAAAAAGGCACGGAGCTTATAGTAGTAGCAGAGGCTGAAGTGGTGGAAGTAGCCGCATGCTTATTCTCCGTTCGTTTTACGGCTTCGTAAACGCTGATAACAGATTTCAAAGAAGAAACTTTGGGAACACATACCATAGTTTTCCTCATACAAGTGCCTACATGGAAGAATGGTACATTGGATTGAAGGAGTCGTCCTTCAGACTGCGTTTCAGGCTTATTGTTAACCACAGTCAAGGGGTATTCCCATAGCATCCTATCTGCTAATACTAGTAACCTTTCTGTACTTTCTATAACCTGTACCTGCGAAGCTCGAGGGAGCGAAAGTACTTTTTGGGGAGTTGTATCTGTATTTTTGGATTGACAATGTCCCACATAGACACCATCGTCTGCAGCCAATAGGTATTTCTGCCCATTTCCTATATCCATGTGATAGAGTCAGGAGCATAAAAATGTTCATTATCATAGATAATTTCTGTTTAATTTTAATATAACCTACCAAACGTTGTAAAATGTTGGATTCTATTATATATTGAAAAATTACCATCAACAAAAGCTGGAGCAAGCCGAAACAAAGGGCGTCGTGTATTTTTTTTATCTTGTTGCTGTTTGATCTTCGTTATCCAGGCGTTTCTGGCAGCGGATGAAGGCGCGTAAAGTATACACTGCCTCAAAGCAGTATCTCGACCAAGGTGTTGAAATGTGATGGGAAATGCATGTAAACTATCATTATTGTCCTGATTAGTCGTTGATTCCTGTTGACGGCGATAGACTTCCATATCTGTTGCTGCCCTGAGTGGTGGAATTAATGATGTATTGGAGTTGTTTGTTTTTATGTAAGGTAAAGTTAATGTATTCGATCTTTTATGATGTTGCGTGATAGCAGCATCGTCTTTTATGAAGGCTGATAAAAGCTCTATAGGAATTGGCTAAAAAGTGAACTGTAAGCTCGAGGTTAGGCTAATTACGAGTGGTACAATAAATCCTTCTTACTCTTTGCTGGATGACATAAGTCTCTACACCGTTATTAAACTTTGCTTTTGCAATGACAAGATAATGGTCGAATAAGAATACTTGGTACTCCGTGGAGTTGGGTTGAACAGATTTTCGTAGTACTGCTTGCTTTATAAGGATTCTGTTTTTGTTGAGAAGATCAAGGTTCTATGACATTAAACAATTATAAGTTTCAGAAAAAACCAAAGAATGAGCCAAAGAATAGCAGCTGCATGGATAAATTTGAGGATTACTATCATGTCAGCCTTGTATTTGAATCGTAAGCTGTGGTGAATTCTTTCCAAGTCAAACCGATTTTTGGCTTTCCCCGTTTCCTCGTTGATTTTGATCAAGAATCGTTTCACAACTGCCATCGCTTTCGGTAAGTCTTCAGCGTCTACATTGTCCGGCGGTGTATGTTTAAGTATTTCATTTATGAGCAGAGTATATCGTCCAAGCCTGGTTGTTGGCTTGGTTAAATAGCCATTAATTTCAAGCTTCTTTGAAGTTGAATGTCTCTCCACTCGCTGAATATGTATAAGAGGAGTACTTAAGAGCTGTTTGTTTCTCAATTTTTCTTTGTTTTCACTACGTACCTCAACAAAAGCATTAAAGTGGGGGTTGATATATCTCTCGTTTTCCAACACAAATTTGGCTTCGTATTGCTTTGTTCCATAACTAATGTAAGGTTCAAAATTAACCACAAAGTCTAATAAAATATCGCCTATTTGAGGAATAATGGCATGCTGACTCTGTCGTATCTGTAGAGCATTCAAAAGTTGAAGGTTGACATTGTGTATTTCATTTAGACCACCAAATACTTTTTGAATAAAAGGTGCTCGTCTAGACATTGGTATGACCATTTGTTCAGATAAAGGCTTGATCCACATCTGTATAAAGATTTGTTCAATAGAAGTATTCATGCACTTTTTCAAGTTGTATTATAGTGCACTTACTTCTCGTAAATAGTTAAGGCTTTGAACATAATCTTCTTCTGTGTAAATCAGCTCATGAATATTCTCCTGTCTTTGTCTTTCTATTTTCGGGATAGACTCGTAAAGCGTTTTATCGATACTTTCCTTCCAGTAACTATGCTGAGCCGTTGAAAGTTGTCGTGGTACTGTACCTATCGGAACTTCAAAGGCAAGCAAGTTAGATACAGAAGATATATCTTTGCGAGCATCACCTATCTGTAATGTCTTTATAAGTATGAAGTAAGTGTACGATGTTTGATAGATATTTTTGTTACAGACAGACCTTCAATAACCGCTTTGGACAGATAGGACTGTAGCAAGGTTTCATGTCAAAGCAAGTCGGTGAGTAGCAACGGGTCAATTCAGTGACAATTCCGTTTGGTAAACTATTGCCATTACAAACTGCAACTGCTGTGGTTTTCACGTGTGACGATCCAATAAACCCAATCTCATGTCGTGGCTGCCGTAGATCCGTAATATAAGACACAAAGTTGGTAAACTCGTATAGATAAGCGGTAGAATAAACTAATTGGCATTCATAGCTGACATCATGAAAGAAACGCTGTGCGCTTAACGATCTACCGATTCTTATTGCTAGGTCTTTATCTGAGGTTTTGATAATCGCTTTCAATTTATCCTTTACTCATTAAAAAAAGAATAACTATCACATAATTATGAAAGACATGGTAAACATAACAGATATCACTTACCACAATCTCTTTTCCATTAAAAGAGTTTTTGTATTCAATATCATCCTTGACATTATCAGACAAAGTAATTCGTCGCTTCAATTCGTCTGCAATTTGAGATAAAAATGCAGGATATATAGTGGGTGTTTTGGAGGAAATATCACTGTTTTGGTGATTATGTTGAATGCTACATTCTAGCCTTCGTGTTGGCATTGCTGCAATTGAAGGCGGGGATGAAAGTGCAGTATCTTTTTTTTTCAACAAAAAATTAAGACAGGTACAGATCAATAAGTATACATTTGTTTTGATAGAATTGCAGGTTTTACTTTTACTTTTAGAAGATGATGAGGTATAAATATCAATAACATTACTACGTTTTGGCTTTTTCCTTTTGAATGGAATCTGAGTAATATGCGATTGTTGCATAGTTTCTTAATTTCAGATACAGGAAATTTCTGAAAGAATATGAATAGAAAAGGTAGACTATGTACAGGAAAAGACTCAATTTTGTTTTTAGTTGTTCGTTTCCTGGTCTTCAAATTATCGTTGGTGTAACTTTCTCCCCTGATTGAGCTTCATTTTATTTATGGTATTATAAATTGACCTGGGCCGCATAAGAAAGAATTACAACGAAGGTACTGCATTCTTCGAAAAAGAGATTAGACGTCAATCTTTTTGCAGTAGAGTGAAAGACATTACGTGCAAAATCGAGAAATTTTGCAGATAGTAGCACGTATTAATGGCTATAGCCTTCATTTTTCGTCCTTTTCCACACGTCGAGCTACTTTCAGTCACAATTTTCCGCAAACCTTCGTCTTCTTTTATTTTGACAAACAAAAAGCCAGTCGATCTAACTTTGGACGAATAAGCAAAGTAATTGCATGTATAAATCGTCCTGGCTTTTTTTTTTTTTTTGGTTAAGTCTCCATCAACCTCTACAGTAGCACTAAGACCAATGCAGAGGCAAGCTCTTCGACGAAAACTTCTACAATCGTCAAGAGAGTTTTTTATATATGCTTTGACCTTCATGCCTAGCGATTAAACAATCTCTTTTAGCCTTAATTGATTAAAGACGGAGGCATTCATTTGAACAAGCAACCGTTTAGTTTTATTATAGTTTTGGTAGTTGCGTTTTTATTCGTGAGTGATATCATTGTATAAAACCCATATTAGCGGCCTTTGAGTAAATGTGCGTCTATTATGCCTTGTAAACCATAAAAGATCACAATATCTTACCAAGGTGCAGACAAATCTGTATATTGTAAAGGAGTAATAGGCAAATACCACATGATATTGTTTTCCGATCAAACTAAACAATATCTTTTGAGGCACCGTAATATTCACGTTTGACTGCGTAATAGACTTTGATAAGCACAGGTATACTTTGACATTTTAGAAATAGATGCTTATCGAAACAGCCCAGTGAGAAATGAAAACGATGAATTGAAGGCAGGGAAATGGTGAATTTAACTTGCGAAAACGGTGATTTGTGGGGGGGGGGGGCGCGGAAGAACTGGGCTCTTTTTTTTAACTATTTGCTTTTGGGTAATAATCAAAGAGCGATCTATGACGAGTAGACTACTGCTAACTATTTTCTCCTATGTAAGTGTTAAACAGTGCGGCTGTTTTTGTCAGACAAAATATTACTCACACTAAAGAATTTGGCGGAATTACATTGCCCTCAGACGAGAGAAATTGTCATTTCTTGCACATTCTTTGCCATTATCTATTCACGATCTCTTCATGTCGTCTATTTCACCATTTGTGCTATTCTAGCAACAGTTGTAGCAAAGATTCTCAAGTCTATCATCCGACAGCCACGCCCCATACCAAAGTTACTGAAACATAATGGAAAAGTGATAAAAGCTAAGGTCAAAAAAAGTTATGGCATGCCCTCATCTCATTCTACGGCCATCAGCTTTTTCGCCGCTTACATTCATTGTCTCATAATCTATGAGTTACATCGAAATAAAACTGCAACACTATCGTCGCGAGCGAGTGAATACTGTGCATTGACTTTGTTTCACTGCTTTGCATGTGGTGTCATATGGTCCAGAGTTAGACTAGAACATCATACAAGAGCGCAAGTGATAGCAGGAACCTTACTAGGCATGTCACTAGCTATATTATCTTATATACTGTGGAAAGACCTTTTTGCTGCAAAACTTGAAAATGTTCATTTTGCAAATTGGTTCTAGAATTATTTCAGCTAAAGAATAAAGTGTTGAAGCAAGCATTTATTGCAATTAGCTTGAATTTTATTTGCTCATAGACTCCTTCACGGTGGCGACGAAATAATAATCTATATACGTCCTTTCCTCCTTTTATCAACCCATTCTAAATTCAATGCTTCAATAGAAGTGTCACAACAATGGTTGTATTGGACTTTATTGATGGTTTAAAAAATAGAAATAAAAATACAGCATAATTTGGTGATGGAATGCGACCTTGTCTCGTTGCCGCCGATAGGCTAAAATTACACATATTGCTTTCTGCATGCAAGCAAAAAGATTTTATAACAATTAATGCTTCGGACAAACAGGCTTGCCTAAAAGCGGACAGCATGGATCCGGCGAATCTGACGATAAATGTAAAGTTGGTCAACGGATAGCTTAATTAAAATGTTTGTTCATTTCAATGTAGATTACCGATATATCCGCAAGATAGAGGGCAGGCTTTGGGACAAGGTTTAAGCTTAAGAGCGCAAACGACTTGACTGCAATCTTTCTTTCTGGTTGTTGTCTTCTTTTTAACATTTTTCCTTCTCTCCGATGTTTTTCGCTTATCCAAATGGCTAACAAATACCAATGATTAGTTGTTTTCGGTGACGAGTCGAATAGCTAATGTGAGCCTTTTTTTTTATTTTTCTTTTTGGCAAACAGCTTACTTGACTAAAAAATCATGTTCGTACAAATTTGGCTGGTATATATTGATTTTGTCAGTATGAGAAAGCGCTTGTGTGAGTGAACAACCTATGACGAGAAGTAATGTGCAAATAATAAATGTAGCGAAAGTCGTGCTAGAGAAAACTCTCATGATGAAAGCTAGGAAATATAGATAAAAAGAAGAAGGAGTGAAAGCATGTATAGGATGGATTGTCTCTTTAAATAAGAAGTTTACGGCTGACAGAAACAGTGGAAAACTAAGAAGACTTACAGGTGTTAGGCTGTAGTTGTAAGTCGTGAGGTACCCATTGTATTTACATGATTGAAGAAAATAAAGGGGAAGGGGTGCTTACCTTTTGATCACACTGCTGTTGTGACAATATCAATGATTTCCTCCATAATTTGGTTGTTTCACTCACAATTCGAAGAAGATTCAGGAGTAGAAATAACGGCCAAGCAAGGATGAAACGCAGTCATGAAGAAATCTCGTCGTTGTAGGCTGTACGTACGATTATCACCATTGTTATTTGAAGATTCCCGCTTATTCACTGCTGAATTCTGATAATTTATGTAACTCCTGTGAAGAAAAAGAAGGTTTCAGAAATGGTTCACGTTTAAGCGAACTGTAACCAACATAGTACGCGCATTGACGGTAGCCATTCGTGATTATCTGCAACTTATTTGCGTTGACTTGAAAAACAATGAAGCACCGTTTACGGTTACAATGAACAGAAGAGTATTAAGGAGATGCTATAATTTCCAAATTTCATTTTCTTCTTTTTCAGCCACCACATTTAAAGTCATTCTTCTTACGGACAGTATAAATACGTAAAATGGTATCGAATGAAAGATTTTGTTCTCCCTCTCCTTCCATTTACCTTTAAAATTAAATCTTAACTTAGTCTTCTCCTGACCTACTTTCGTATTTCCTATTGTGTTTCGCTGATGTTGGCGTGCCTGCTGTCTTTGAAATGAGGTTTTTTTTTCTGTCATTGTCTGGTTTGTATGCTAGGAGTAAAACGGAATACGCTTATTTGAAAAGCCGGAGAAAGGAAGAGATCATAGACAATTGCCACGATAAAAATATGATTGTTCTGGAAAATTTTATCGTATACTGCAATGTTTACATAATGAAATAAGGAGCTAAAAAGCTTAAGCGAAAAAAAAAAATTAAACGCACGATAGGATGTAGGCAAGGGTCTCCCGTATTTTGTTCTAAATGTGTCGCCTTTTGAAGGGTATTTATTTGTTTGGACAAACAATGGGTTTTTCGAAACGCTAGGTTGACTACCAAATTACATATTCTGCCAAGTTGGCAATATGACAATACTTATTTATTCGAATACAAAGGAAGTGGAAAATGTCTATAATTAAAAGTGATATCTACAAGAAAATGAAAATAAAATAGAGTTGGGAGGCAATAAAAAATCTATGTTCTGTTCGTCAATAAAGTAACAAACAAATTATATGACTAAGTTTTGGATATCACCATATAGCACTTGCTTGTGCTTGTTGTTGCGCTGCTTCTGAGGAGGGTTGCGATGATGGATTCATAACCATTTGAATTGAATCTGTAGGTACGACGCTACTATTACCGCCTCCCTGTCGTTGCTGCTGCTGCTGCTGCTGTTGCTGTTGCAGCGTGTTTTGATTACTAAAGTAACTGTTCCATTCATCAATATCAAACGACATAGGCACACCCCAGAAAGCTGTCCCAATGGGGTCAAAGTTAATGTTGGGTGTGGATGTAGTGGTATTAGTTGCAGAGGGTGGGGTTGAATAGGCGTTATTGAGGGGTGAAGTATTGGCTGTATTAGTGGTATTATTATTGTTTGTAGTAGTAGTATTAGAAGTAGTAGTGTAGCGTCCGGGTGTTGATTGTGCGCTTGTCGATGCTGTAAAGGAAGGTGACTCTGTCACACTGGTTGTGTCTTTATTGAAACTGACAGGAACATTGTTTACGTATTGAGTCAAGTATTCAGGGAATCTTTGTTCGGTACCGCGTCGCGTATCGATGGGATTTCTGTTGAACTCAAGCGGTGAAAGTGGTATAGTCTGCGCAGGGATACTGTTTGTATCTGCTGATGCAGAAGACATGATGGGAGAATTGGGTACAGCAATGGATAAGGGTTCAGAAGGACGTATTGATTCATTGATTTGCGTTGGGCGGGAATGATGTTCATCGATATTTTCCAAATTGATGTCTCTCAGGCCTGCTAACTCTGCCAAAATATTGCAATGACGGGCCGATGTGATCCAGGTCTTTTCCACCTCATCCATGGCTCGAATAATCTTGTTGATGCTAATTTTCGCTTCAAAAGCAAACATGGAGTCTGACGAGAGAGCATCGTTGATAAAAATGATGCCGGCTGTAAACATGAAATACAGTGCATAGTTGTTGACATTTTTTAATCGTCCTTCTGCCATCAAGCAAACGACAATATCTAAAATTTTGTTGGCTGCAAACGTACAAATCGATGCTGATGGGAATACAGAAGGTGTACCTTCTTGAGTAGGCCCAGGAATGAAAGGACGATGCAGTAGAATAAGTGAAGTGTAAAAAAGCATGTGAATTTGACAAATAGCTAAAGTAGGTGCAGGTGCAGTTTCTGCCATGCGGGTATTTGGTGGTCTGTATTGTAAACAAGGTGGTAGCTTGGCCATCCATTTGTTGAGTGCTCGATCAAGCATCGATATAATCGAATCGGGTGATGACATTTGATGAATATGTTTTCGGCCTTTCACCATGTACAATTGACATAGAATATCACCCAATATTTCGCATAGTTTGATAAGTTGATGAAAGTCTTCCATGATTGTTTTACTTTCTTTATCGTCTCCATCGAGCTGTGACGGATACGGCGCATCCAAGTCACGGTCATCAATCATAGGTGCTCTACCATGCATGGCGCATGTTAGTCTGTCTACTACAAACGAGCAATAAAATACGCGTTTTCGTTCTTCTTTTTCATCATCAGACAAATTCCAAGAATCACAATTTCTGTTTAAGCCTAGATTTTGACCCATTCGGAATGCCTGTCAAAAGATAAAAGCCCAAGGATCGATCAATGTGTGATCGGCCAATCAGACAGTTAGTTTCAAGTTTGATCGGGCGGACCTTATCTCTCTCTCTCTTTTATCCACCTTCATTACGTATTCTTCCATGCTTTTTTCTTCAAAATAAGGAAAAAGCACGTAGTAACAAAAAGTTGAACTGAACTTACCAAACCACTATATAACCAGCCACGAATATTCTTTAGAGCACCATTTTGATGACTACTCATCAACAATAAAGACTGGACGGTAGATACTTTGAAGTCATCCCATTCGTAGTCCAATAAGATTCTTGCCCTTTCGAAGAAAATATCGCCAGCGGTGTCCCTTGAATTCGGATCCGATCTCACTCGAATATCGGGTGATATACGGGAAGCTACAGCGTAGATAGCATTCAACAACAAAGGCGGAGGAGCGTTTTCCCTGGACTGTAGGGATTTCAAAAATGACTTTTTGTGAATCAGGGGCAGCAAAGGGTAAAAATGTGTAAAGTAAAGATCTAATAGATGTTGAGATAAATCTGGGGGAGGCAAAGCGTAAGGGTCAACGACCATCGAGGCAAGGCTTCCGTTGAGATTAGGCGACGACGCTGCAGAAGAAGAACCACAGGGTGATCCGGCAGCGCCACCATGATAGTGATGGTTTTGGTGATGTTTGCCGGTCAAGTTGAAATGGAAGGCACCATTTTGAAAATTCTTACTGCCTCGCAACATGTAAAATCCAGAGGATTTACCATAATAACGTAATTGCCCACTCTCGTCAATGGATAAGTTGCCGAGATTGTCGTTGGCAGATTCATCGCCGTCAGATTTCGAGGCATATGAATCCCTGTCTCGTTTCGTTGAACCACTATGGTTGTGATATTCGTCAGGCGTAGCTGTATCGCTCACGTTAGCTTCAGTATTTCTGCTAGTAGGTGTGACGCGAAATTGTTGATCTTCTGGAGAATCCTTCTTATGTGCTGGACGGGGTCGAACAAGTTCACCGTAAGCTGTTTCAAGAGGTGCATTCAGTTCTGCAATAATCGCTTGAGAGCGTGGGTCATCTTCCTGTATTATACTGCCTAATAAGGCTTCTAATCGATGTAGTCTGCCTTCAATAGCTTCTATATAACCCTTGGGAGGTCCTCTCTAAAATTGATTTAATCGATCAGGATTAGAGGGGGAAAAAAAGTAACAAGTGCACTATGAATATCAGCATACCTTTTTCGTTGACTCTTTATAGGTACAAGCCAATCCTAGAGCAGCACAATTACTACAAACAGATTGAGCACCATCGCATTTCACCTTCTTTCTTCGACATTGTTCACTAAGCCGAGGAACAAAAATTTAGAGTTACAAAATAAAGAGCGTGAGTTTCAAACCCGTTGTGAAGCAGGATAAACGAAACAAAAGATTGCATAAAATTCGCTTAATCAAATTACCATGCTTTACTGACTCTTTGCCGTTTGTGTGTTTCCTCTGACATATTCGTTTAAACTGAGGTTTTCGTAAAAGTAGATGATAGGAAATGAATGTAAGCTTTTTTGCTGATTTGAAAAAAAAAAAAAAGAAAAAATAGATGAAAAAACAAAACAAAACAAAAAAAAAAAACCAAAAAATTAAAAAAGAGAAACACAAGCAGACAGCTTTTTTTTTTAACTTTTTTGGCCCCTCAATAGGATGCGTTAATGCTATCAACGAAAGACGATCTTGATCAATCAAATTTTCGAATGAGTTTGAAGTGTCAGGCTCTATATTGTATATCCGATTATCGTGTCTTTTTAAACAACAGCGCGCCGTCTGGTGACAATTTTCAACGCAGAAAAGATTAGCAGCTTCGTTTACAATGGTATCTTAGTAACTGTCAGAACCTACTAAACACAAAGCAAACTGATATTGTAGATCATTTTACATAAACAAAGTTTCAGAAGTCTCCATTGATAAATTTAAGCCTAAAAGACCCTGTTTAACTTGGGCCCTGAATTTATAATAAAACACTATACAAGAACATCTATCGGACGCGTTCATCAAAGCAAAAAAGGTCTAGAGCGCATCCTTCATGGGTGTTTTCAACTGATTCGGATGTACAGTTATTGGTGGCCCCATTTTCATACAGCCATGGCAGAATTAGTACTGTCAGCCTCAGTCTCGATGTAAGTTCTTATGTTGGAATATTTGTCGATGAAATGGCTAAAAGTGATGTTTTCGGATACTGGCTGGTCACCCTGCCATTTGCCTTACTTTTTCGTTTGTCAGGATGATGCAACAATGGAGGATCACGGTCCGAGTTATTGATCTGCCTACTGCTTCCGGAATTAATTTTTTGCCCTTTCCACGGGTTTATGTTTCACGATTCAATTCCTTTCACAATCCTGATTCGTTCCTTCAAAAAGAATTCGGAATGGCGAGCACATCATTTATCAGCAAATGATGACAAAGAATGATAAACTTTTAATCGAGACGCTTCCCTTTTATGTAGAAAACCTTTGGAGAACATTTTGGGGATTGGGGATAAATATATATATATACGTTTGGTCACAGTGTGCATTTCACGAGACGAAAAAAGCCCAAATTTGTCATTCTTTTTATTTTCTATGGTTTCATATCCTCACCAGAGTACTTATCTCTTCTTATCATCAAAAAGAGCTTCAGTTTGTTCTGTAAATGCTTAAATTTACATTGACTCTTACTGTAAAGAATTGAGAACGTTAATAAAAAGTAGTTGGTACAGCACAAGAAACCTGATGGTAGGAATAAGTCAGGGGTTAGCAACGTATATGTATTAAAGGTCAGTAGAGCATATTGCTCTTTAAATGCTCATAGACAACCTGCCAAGACGATGAAACTGAGCAACTTTATGTTGAGCTCAGCTTATCCTCGATATAGTGCTCTTAAGCACGAATACCACAAACATTCTCAAATAATAAAGATTTGCCAAGAGATTGACGTTTGTAAAAAGCGACGAGGTGCTTGTAGGTCTATCATTATGACAGTTTCTCTGTGTAGCCTATCATCGTTCAAAGTACCCCTCTGTTCCATTCATTCAAAAAATAAAGACGTTAGAGCGTTTAACGACAATTCAAACGCCAATCCTTGTTATAAGGGCTAGCCAAAAGGGAAAAGTTGATTGCTACGTATCAGCAACTGCACCGTGTAGTTCTTGCCAATAGCATTCAAATTACCCCTAACGTTAGCAGAGCCTTTTTAAAGGAAACCATCCTACAACAACAAGAAAACTAAAGCGTCCGATAATGAAAACAAGGCTACCATAGTATGAGTAAAGTTATTAATGATTCTAAATATCTCAACCACGCGTAATGATTTGCAAACAGGAAAAACCACTGTGTGTCAACTCATCATCTATCTCTGTCTCGAACTTAGAGTAATCTTTTCCGACGTGACAGTACTATTCCATCAGAAGGCGGCCGCTCATGATGGATACCTTAAGAAAAAAGATAGCTCAAAACAGCCCGACCCAATCGTGAAGCAGCCGATTGGAATACAACCAACCCGTTCCTCAGTTTGACAAAGGTATGCTCATTGTTTATCACAAACTTCCTATAAATAAGCCCTTTGCTACAAAGTCATACAACTGGGCACTAGAAAAGCTTTTGTTGATTTTATTGTGCGTTTTAAGAAATAAATAATATACAATAGCCAGATGCTTCCTTTTTGACATTGGCGAATATTACTTTGAATAGCCAGCGCAGGTCCACATAATAATTTTCCAAAGAATAGCTATTGCTGCTAATCCGGCCACAACAATACCACCATAAAACATTCCCTCATGTAAGACTTTACTGCATATGGTACCACAGGCACTTTGTACCTGTTCGAAATTTGCCGCTATCTGTGTTCCCAAGCATTGACTATTGCATTTATCTGTCACTACCTTCGATGCAATAATGAGCGCAATGCCTGCAGCTAGAAATGCGATGCTCACCAATAACCAAAAGAAGGAGCAACAGGTAATAGCAGGATTATAGCAACAGCAAAATGCTCGACAACAACTTCGGTGCTGTTTAAACTCAGCAGGTCGATAACGATATGACTCTGCTTCATTTTCTGGAGGCGGAGTAGGCCGTACATAGTGAGGTCTGACCATGGGTCTCTTTTCTTCTTCTTTTACTGGTAACGGAACTTCTTCATAGGACGTCATGTTCATGGCTGCGGCCATTGGCTTAGTGTTATTGTTCGACTCATCGTGTCTGAGGTATTCTTCCCTTTCTCGTCGTAAATAACTATCAAGTGAGGAGGTATCTTTTTCATCGTCATAAGTTGTAGTAGCATTATTTTGATACAGCATAGGTTGATGATGTGGTTGTGTAGGATTGTGGTAATACTGCTGAGGAGGGGATGAATATTGTAATGAATAGTCATTCAACACTGGAGGAGGGGCTGTTAAAGGAAGGTATATTTCTGAATGTGGCTGAGGAAGTACTGGTTGTTGTTGTTGTTGTTGTTGTTGTTGTTGGATTGGAGGTGTAGATGCAGTCGCATAATTTGAATAACTTGGGTATGAATTGTTATTAGGTAGATGACTATTTGAATAATTTATAGATGACATTCTGTTATTATGAATGTTTTCATAATGATCAGCATGAGCGGTATTAGTTCCAACGTTCGTATAACTGTTTACATTCGGCATATTACTAAAATCTGTTGCTACGGGATAGTCTGCTACTGTGGTATTTAAATGGTATGGCGGGTGTTGTTCCGTCGCTGTCACTGTGGTTGTATTGACTGACTGAGGCTGATTGCGTTGTGCTTGTTGATCAGTATGAATATCGTTGGTACTCGCTGATATGGACGGAGGCTCAGCTACTGGTGATCTAAGCGGAGGAGGAGGAGGATATTGTCCAGCGAATTTATCTGGATGACTAGCATTATTTTGGCCATACATTGCCATTCAAGTTAAAAATAGAACAAAGAAGATGAATAAGTGACTTTAAAGGGTTAGGAAAGCCAGTGTCTCTTTCTAGGAGATGATAAAAAGAAGAAAGAAACGGAGAACTCAGCAGCTATTAAAACTGAATGAATTAAATGAAAAATTTAGGCCCTTTTAAATTCTTGGCCAAAAGGAAACAGAAGGCAAAACTAAACAATTGGATATTTGTGGAGGTGACTTTTTTCCTGCGAATGTTTTTTCGAAAATTGCTAAATTAAGCTCCACCCAGCTTCTTTTTATATTTTACATCAGCAAAGACCAAAAGCCTTTCCAAGATTGTAATGCTGGTACAGTCATTTCAGAAAGAAAAGTCGTTAGTTTTACTTGTCGCTTAGTCATTATCAATAAAACTCGGCATTTGTTTTTATTTTATAAACACGTTATTTCTTTGTTCTTTTTTTTTTTTTTCTTTTCAATTTATTTTACGAGCATTAAAATGAGTATGCAATTTTTTTATGAGGATGAACAAGGACGTGTCGTTGATGAGAATGGAGTTGAGCCTATGGACCTTATTGTAGACGAAGAGCTATTTGCTATTGAAACGATAAGTTCTCGTACTCAATTTCTAATGGATAAACCTCCAGAAAGACCACTTCATGCGATGGTTCCAGCTACAGCTGAAAGGCATAATGAAGATGTTGCAATGGAGTTATTCAATAAGCGACGATATACATATTACTCGGATGACGAAAAAACTAGAATTTTTTCATTTATTTTTTAACAAATGCCTGAGTGCTTCTGCTGCTGCAAGATAATTAGGTATTCATATCCGAGCAGCACAGAGATGGGTCAAACGTTATCGTGAAGATCCCGAAAGTATTTTCGAAAAAAAGAAAAAATCAGGTCGACATCGTATTCTAGGAGAAGAGCATAAGCATTTTCTTTGAAACTACATTGATGAGAATCCTTCAGCTGGTTTAACTGAAGTAGTGGAGCATTTATTGCAGAATTTTGTAGGTCTTAATGTATCTCGTAGTACAGTTTACAACTTCATGACAACTCAGTATAATCTTTCCATTAAGCAGGCGCAATTCCAACCAGTGGAAAGGAATAGTGAGGAAAGTTCAACAACGGTACGACTGGGTCCAAAAGTGGCAGCAAACTGACCTGGATTTCACAACAAATTGCATCTTTCTTGATGAATCAGCCTTTCACATTAATTTAAAACGAGGTATGGCAGTTACAGTGCCCACAACTAAAGCGACTGCAACGTCAATTTTAGGCGCCATATCCGCCAAGGGTCTGATGAATGTTAGTTTGAGAGTTCCAAAGCGCCTAAAAAAAGAGAAAGCTTGGGAGTGAGACGAATACTTACAGCACAGGAACTGTGACAGGGCATTATTTGAGCTTTTTGAAGGCTACTCTTGATGAAATGGGTAAGTATCCAGAAATGAGGGGGCATTATCTTGTTATGGATAATGCTCCTATCCATAGATATCGGTAAGTATACCAACTCTCGAGGATATCGATACGCTTATCTTCCTCCATATTCTCCGGAATTAAATTCAATTGAACAATTCTGGTCGGTTGTCAAGAGTAAAGTAAAACGAAATAAGTTCCTTGAAAAGGAGACACTGATGACTAGAATTGGCGAGGCATGCAATAGTTTATATTTAAGTGACTTTGAAGGTTTTGTCTCTCATTCTGCGAGATGCTTTATTAAGTGTCTCAACAAGGAAAAGCTATAAGACGGCTAAAAAAAAAGGGATATACTTGGCGCAGACCCTTATTGCAGACCGTCTGCCCGTTGTTTCCCCTTTTGCGGAAATACCTACAAATTCATTAATAACCGATTTGAAATGCTTAAGGAGATCACCAATTCAACCTTTGAAATGCAACAAGAGTTCCAAAACACGTTTCAAAAAGGCCGTACTTTCGAGTCCTCAATGACACTAAGGAAGTTCGTGGTGGTTGCAAGGGGTGGTGGCAGGCGCTTGATGTTGAATATTCGCTGGATGTGATCATTGACTGCACGCCAGTCATCCTGGCCGAAAAATGGCTTTATCTCGTTCGAATATTTATGAGGATCCAGGAGTAATACTGATGTCGATGCGAGGGCCAGAATCAAATTGTCCTCTAAAGATTGCTTCCATTCGTTATCTACTATAACGGGTGGATTCCGGTGGTTTGACGTCCTGTAATATCAGGAAGGTCCTTGTGGCGGGCTGGTGTAAGCAAGGAAACATGAAAGACTGGGTGTATTTTCATTGCTGTAGGCAATGCTAGTTTAAAGGCTCTACTGCCGATCTTTTCTAGGACGACGAATTCCCTGTACATGGGATGAAGTGAGCCATCTTAGTTAAACGATCAACTACTACCTGTGATATTTGTAGTTGTTTTATGTTTAGTGAACGCGACTTATAACTTTGATATAAACTGTAAGGTGAAATGAGTCCCCTTTCGTCCTTTTATTATACACTGAAAATCAGAGAAGGGAGCGTTCACAGCAAACTGAATGTTTGTATTTAGAAAAAAAGTCCTCGTTCCTTAATTCCTCAGCCGGTAATAATGCAGCATTATATATGCGCATCTTTAGAAATACAAGATGACGTGTACAAGTGTTATTATGATTCTATGATCATAATAACGAGTCAGATGCTTGAAAGTGTGTCTAATTCGTCTTTATATATTGTAGGAGGTATGGAAATACCACAGAAGCAAGAGGCGATGATCCGACGGGAGGTTGGTGTTGCTTATAACTCTGAACGGAAATTACAACAAGATAAGCTAGACTACACTTTTATTAGAACAAGAGAAAAGTATAGTATGCAGGAAGAACAGATAAAAATCACTGAAATGCCAACGGTTTTTTTTTTTCTAAGCGACAGTAAAATTAAACAAAGCTCATGACATGTGATCACGACGTTATTGGTAGTTTTTGCACGACTTCAAACTTTAAAATCCAGCGACTTTTCATTCTGAAATGACTGTACTGTACACGTCCAGAAAAATGACTCAGCCATCCCTTTTTTTGCATATTTTTTTTTTTTTTTTTTCTGTTTTCCAAATTTCCAAAAGTGGCGAGTTCCGAAAATAGCGCATGCCTTCTGGGGATTCACTCCAATAAACCAAAGAGATAGAGAGCCTCGAAAACAATAAAAGACAGAAAAAAAAGAAAGGCCTGTTTGTTGTTAAAGCCATCAACGACTTTTAACGATCAGCATAGAGACTACCGGGTTACGTTAAGAAAGTACGCAAAACAGTGCTAGTGTGAATTGCAGAATTTAATTGGCCGAATCAATTGCTGTGAAGCCAAGAACAAAAAAAAAAAAATTTGTTCTGACCTGGCTTTTTTTTTTTTTTTTTTTTTTTTTTTTTTTTTTTTTATCATACAGGAACAAATAAGAAAAAGAAAAATAAAAAATATGGTAAGTTTTTAAACTTTCCTGTTCTCTTCTCAATAGTTTTAGTTTGCTTTTCTCACTACACTTGGCATCAGTTTAAACGATGTTTAAATCTTCCCTTTTGGACGATTTTGGCTAAATTCACACTTTCTTATAAATTCTCCTCAATTTTAGCATCAGCAATTGTATGGCGGGTATGGCCAAACCTCACAATCACGGCAACAACCACAACAGCAAAGTCAGCCAAACCAGCAACAGTCACCTCACTTCCAAGCCAAGCAACAACAACAACAACAGCAGCAGCAGCAGCAGCAACAACAACCTATTTCATATCCGTATAGTACTACTACTACTTATTCGCCAGTCCCCGACAATCGTAATTTGCCTAATTTTAATTCCTACATGTCGGGTCAGTCCGTCAATAGCCCCAACAACTCTTCTTCCTCACAATTGACGCCTCAACAACAACGACTAAGCGCTTTGGATAGCAGAAGTGGTAATAGCCGTAACAATGTCAGTGCTGGTTCTCCTCAATTACCACTAAAGTCGAAATCATCTGATCCGTCACCCTCACAACCACAAAGCACCGATAATAAAGCCAATGTCAGGTCGCCCGTTCAATCTCAAAACCAAGCGAACAGTGCTCACAATAATTATCGCAGCTCTACTTCTCAGCAACAAAAGCAACAGCAAGCTTATAATGATAAACTCAGTTCTGTAAGTACCTATTTATCATTTAGAGGCCTTCTTCCTTGCATCTAAACGCAGCACTTTCACGTCTCATTTGGATTTTTAGCAAAGCATCGTTGCTGGTTTGACCCAACCTGTTACCTCAAATCAAAGCAGTGAAAAGAATAGTATCAATCATTCCAAAGACATTGGAAGGATAACGAATAGTAGTATCGGCAACAATCCTAATTTACCCACTCTTCCACCACTAAATGCTCCTACGCAACAAAATAGAGTGAATGCGGGTGTCACTAATAATAGTAATACTATGAATGGAGATCCCGCTGAAAGGTGGATAATGGAAGAAGCAAGGTACAATCGACTACCGCAGTTGCTAAATGAAAAACTCGTGTTCAGGATCATTCAGGTTGACGTTCCCTAACTTTGCCTTATATCATGTACTAGGAATACTAACCCAAGGCTATCACAGCTTCAACAGCCGCCATTACCGTCACAGTCCCCACAGCATCCAATGCAACCTCTTCATCACAATCAATCATCCCCACAACAGCCTGATAATTCCGTGCTGATTCAGTATCAACACATCGCTAGAGGGGATAGTCATAGATATTCACCCTATCCGCAGACTCCTGAACAACGTCATCAACTACAACATATGCAACAACAAATGCAACAGGTACAGAGCACGAACAATATGGCGATGATGACTCAACAACCTCCCCAAGCTCATCCGCCATCACAAACACCGCAAGGAGCCCCACTCAATCCAAACACAGCAGTACCACCACCAAGTAGCAACAACAACAATAATACCAACTCTCTTGGCGAAACGGGTGGAGCTTATGGATGTGGTATGACGAATTGTTTTGCTACTTTCCAACAATCCAATGGATTGTTTTACCATATGAAAAATGCTCATCCCAACATAGAAGAAGTACCCAAGCCTTATAAATGTGCTATGCCAGGTTGCCCCAAGAGGTATAAAAATATCAACGGATTGCAATATCATCTAAGAGAAGCGAAAGGATCTTCAGGTCATGCGCATTTGCTAGGCGATGGTGAGCAGAATTCAAAACCGTATCAGTGTCAATTTGCAGGTTGTAAAAAGGCCTATAAAACTCTCAATGGATTACGCTACCACCAACAGCATAACCATAATATGCCACCGCCTCCCGATTCCCCGTCCCAGCAGCAGCAGCAGCAGCAAGCTCAAGTACAGGCACAACAAGCGCAAGCTCAACAATTACAACAACAACAGCAGCAACCATTGGCTGCTCATACGCAACAGCAAATGATTGAAGCGATACAACAACATCAGCATCAGCAACAGCTGCAACAACAACAACAACAACAACAACAACAGCAGCAGGCTCACCAACAACAACAGACGCAACAACATTTACAACAACAAACTGCGTCTCCTCATCTTTTGTTACAACAACAAAGACAGCCTCCACCACCACAACAACATATGATGACCCCCGCTCAAGCTCATGCTCATCAAGTTCAACAACAACAACAACAACAACAACAGCAAGCTCAGGCTCAAGCCCATGCACAGCAAGTGGCAGCGGCACAAGCTGCTGCAGCACAACATGCTCAAGTTCAAGCGGTTCAACACGTCCCGCAACAACAACAAGTCCCACAGGGGCAAGCACAACCACAACAATCATCCACTTTATCTGATTATAGGTACATATATAAATAGAATATGTATGCTTCGAATAAAATGCATGTATTATCTATATCATTTTTTTATTTCACAATCGATATAACCCCCCTCCCCCCTTTCTAGCTTGATATGTATGCGAAATCGTTCTTTTTATGATACAAACTTTTTAAATATACTCTTTTTTTTTTCCCATTCGCATCACAATACAGACAATAAAACTTTCTTCAATGAATAGACGCAAATACCCATCGAAAGTCCATCGAGCAAATCACATTATACAGAGAATGTTTGTACAGAAACCGAAGAAATTTATTGCATTTTAAATACATTGAGAGAAATACATATACAATTTCTTAGCGATCAGTCTGTGTTGAATCAAAGGTGAGAAAAGTTGTTCCAATGGAAATGACTTGATGTGTTCAAAATAGAGACTTCTTAATCGAAGAGACCGAAACCCATATCATCATCAGATTCTTCCTTTTCTTCAACCTTTTCTTCGGCAGCAGGGGCATCACCACCGGCAGCAGCAGCACCAGCGGCACCGGAAGCGGCAACAGCACCACCAGTAGGGACGGAAGCCATCTTCTCCTTACCCTCTTCGATGAGCTAAAAGTTCAAAAGAGGAAATGACTTTTTAATAACCACATCTCTAAAAGATCAAAATGATCGATTAACTAAATTTACCTCTTCAATGTTCTTTTCAGCGAGAGAAGAGACCAAAGAAGAAACACGTTCTTCTTCGGCTTCAATACCGACAGAGCTCAAAAGAGACTTGATGTCTTCGGCAGCAGGGTTGGCCTTACCACCAGCGTTGAGAAGAAGATAAGCAGCGAGATACTTCATGACTAATATAATAAAACAATGATAGCATATTAGGTCAAGCTCGTTTTGTATGTGTAAACTTAGTATGTTGACGTATGGAAAGACTTGAATCCTTTCGCCCTTTATTTCAATTTTGAAAGATTGAGGGTACAATGCTGTACACTGCAGCATAATCCATCCATCCATCCATCCATCTATTTTTCTCATCCATCCATCCTCATTGAACCGAAAGGGGGATACAAGATTCTAACAACCATACTTTTGTTTTTGTATATTTACCTAATATTTATGCGTAAGTAACGATTTAACTCCTATGAGATACGAAACGCTTAAAGAGAAAGTTATACTTGAGCCTTTTGCTCAATTTTTTAAATAATCCCAAATTTCTGATTTTTTTTTTCTTTTTAGAACTCCCGCACCATTTGGAGTAAATTCAATTGCCGCAAATACCTTAGCATGTCTGCTAAGTTATCGATGGACATGCATTCATATCGTTGATGAATGCCTTGAGAATAGCATACACTTTTAACAAAAGTAAAGAGATTTTATGCATATGGAAGGCTTGTTTGTACGGCAGATACCATGCTTTTGGTAAAATGATTTGTTTTGGTTTGAAAATTCGGATGGTGGCTAATTAACTATTCAGATACTTCGTGTGGAGCTAAACCTACGAGATATTCGATTTCTTCGCTCCTTGCTTTGTAAAAATAATCCATGTATGCTATTAAATATTCTGATCCATAGTGATATTTGTTGAGTTTAAAAATGGGTATGAGGTGCAATTATCATTTTCTGGCAATCTACACTTTTATTGCATTATTTTTCCCTTTTATCGACAGGTTCTGGATGGAAAGCCTTAGTACGCAACAGAGAAGGATATTAAGTGAATATCAAGTGAGTTAAACATTCATTGAACTATAACGCAGTAAACGTTCACTTTATATAAACTGAAACGTTTGATACGTGCTTTACTTTTATAGTCTATAACACATTCTGAAGATGTTCCTAATTCAATACGCATCCTTGATGAAAACGATTGGGATCTAGAGGTAAACATAAGCAACGACACATTCTGTAAATAGAGGCATACATGATGTTGATAAACAGTCTTCAATTGTGCTTATTAACTGATTCGTGTCTACGCAAGACTTCTGTGCAAAATAGATATATACCAAGTGGTTATAAGAGACAACGTTATAAAAGAGATGCGACTGAAGATTATGACGAAGACAACGACTCTCCCTCTTCCACTTCAGCTTTGTTGGGGCACAGTGGGTCTTCTACTGCTTCTTCGTCAACAGCTCAAAGAAAGCCTAAATGGCGTATTTTAACAGCTTTCATGTGGCCTTTTAATTTTGTAGGCAAAATTACTTGGCATATATTCCACTATTCAGGTGCGTGAGCGACATTATTCTTTCCTTTTCAAGCCTAGTTCATAAGTGAATATTCATCGTTCCCCTTGTATGTTGCTTTTTAGTCCGCTTAATTTATAGACCAACCATTACACCACCCCGCCGAAGAGACCCTAGATCAGAAGCAGACCGGTTTTTACAAAACTTTGAATCGACGTATGGCACGATACACCCAGATTTTTTCAGCGACGGTGGTTATATGCAAGCACTAAAAACAGCTAAGGATGAGCTGAAGTATATGATGGCTATTTTATGTAGTGAAGAGCATGATGACAATGATACGTTCTGCAGGTACAAAAGAAGAGACAAGAGATCCCCCACCTTTGATCATTTAAGAGAAAGCGATTAATTGAAATTACCTCCCCATCTTACTTTGCGTTCGTATGGCAGGCAAGTTTTGGCAGATACAGAGTTGTTGGAATTTCTACGCCAACATGAAGTAGTCGTATGGGCAGGAAATGTCCGTTATGCAGAAGCATATCAAGTCAGCAATATATTACAGGCTACGACATACCCCTTCGTGGGTATCATTGCTCTACAGCCTCCAACAAGTAACAGTACTAGCAGCAGCATGAACTGTCAGCGAAAGATGGTTTTGATGGATCGCATAGAGGGGCTCACCAGTGCTTCCAGTATTGTTCGTCGAATGGAAACTGTGATGCAATTAGTTGATGCTTCACTCCAAAGTTTGCGTGAGGAACAGGAGCAAAGAGAGACAGAACGTAGATTAAGACAGCAACAAGACGAAGCTTACCTTGAGAGCTTGAGAGCTGACCAAGAAAAGCAGAAACAAAAAGAGGCAGCAGAAAAGGCGCAAGTGAAACGTGAGTTGCGTGCGCGTCTTCGTGAACAATATATCAAGTACTTGTGTCAAACTATACCGGAAGAGCCTACAACGGCGCCATCATCATCAAATTCTATCAAATCTGTAACCAAAATCAACTTTAGAATGGCGAATGGCGAACGAGTGCTACGCAAATTTAAAGCTGATGACACATTAAAGGATATATATAATTTTGTCGAAGCTTATCCATACCTAAAAGAAATGGAAGAGGGGCGAACGGTTAATTATCCATCAGAAGCAAGTACTAGCAGCAGTGCACGTAAAAACATATCTCCTATTGGTAGACCGGAGAGTTATGTACATCGGTTCAACTTCTCCATACATACATCATTTCCAAGAAAGGTATATGAAGCTGACGATAACAGGAAGCTGGCGGATGAAGAGGGACTTTGGCCAAGCGCGACATTAATAGTTGATACCATTGATAATGAAGAGGAAGACAAAGATGATTTTTGATTTATAACATTAGATATCCCTTTACATTGTATAATAATAAAAGCGTTATTATTTATTTATTTTTTTTTGTTTTATCTGCTGAGAAATGAATACTTTTGAGGGGAGCAATGTGTTTATACACAAGCTAGTCTGTTTAAAGTAAACTTGACTCGAACTACTTATGAAATAATATCATATGGCAAAGTAATAGAAAAAAACAAACAAAGAAGAAAAAAAATACTATTTTGTTAATGTTACTCTCTACAGCAGATGATTATTGTTCATTATACTAATCGCGCAAAAATCCGTACCAAATAACTTCAAATAGCTAGAACACAGTAAAAAATATCTTTGATATTCATACAACCAGTTTATTATGTTTTCGAGTTAAACCATGAATTAATATATATACGTGATGAGGAATTCATATAGAGGGGAAGAGGAAGTTTTGGGGATTGACAATACGTAAAGAAAAAAGGATATATCTATGAAAAAAGAAAAAAAAAATAAAAAGAAAAAGTAAAGAAGAGAAGAGAAAAAAGAAAGAAGAAAAAAACTACTCCAGGAGCAGCTCCTCCAAACGCTGCTTTCTCTCCAGCAGCTTTTCGATCTCTTCTCGATAGGCAAGCACCATGCCATCAATCTCTTGGAGATTTTTTCTTATCATGCCGTTGAAGGCATGGTGCTGCTGCTGCTGGAGAGAAGACAGCTGTTGTTGTTGTTGTTGTTGTTGTTGTCGCGAAGAAGGGGGAAGAGAAGGAGGAGGGGAAACTGCGGAAGGTGGTGGTGATGGTGAAGGTGAAAAATCCTCGAAGAGGTCGACCTCATGGCCTTCGTGTTGTTGCTGTTGCTCTTGCTGTTGCAGTTGTTGCGGTGGAGGGGTGGAGCGGCGGCAAGGAAAAAGCAGAGGACGTTGTGCATAGTGCACAGGCCGGCCATTTTCGAACGATGGCGAAATAGTCGCCCTTTGTCCGTCAATTTGGGCGTTACCACGGGTGTGGTAACGCACCGAAGCGAACACATCGTTCCTGAAGTGCACGAATGTACAGCTAAGTAATGGGCAATTAGCAGTAATCATTAAAAAAGGAAGTTGTTTTGACTTACTCATGCTCCAGTTTCTTACAAACATGGAGAACTCCGTTCCATTGATTTGTGAGCTTTGACTCAAGAACGGAAGCATCAATATTTCTAAGGTAAGCGCTTCGAACGCAAACCTAGTTTTTTGGTACTCGGCAAGATTTACAGTTGTACGGCATTTAAGTGAATTAAAAAATTTAAAAAAGAAACGAATTGCTTTAGTCTTCTTTCCTCTTTTTATAATTAAGCCTTCAAAAGAAAACGCTCTGTTTATTCCTTCGTATGCTTAACGTATAGACGGACAAACCATGTCTGCTCACTCATGTGACAGGAAGGTCGCTTTTTATGTAAACTTTGCCAAAAAAGTTTCTAGTAACTCGCTGATTAAGGGGCCTACCAACTTTAAAATAAAGAACTAGGATTTCTATATTGAAGTATTTCATATGAGTAGAGCAAAACTCGATTAAGTTAGGAGGAACTGACATACGCCTTAGACAGCACTAACAATGATGTACCTTTTGTGTCAGTATATAAATACTGCATGATCTACATCCTATAAGCTGAGTCATTTGTCGTATTTGAGGGTAGATGATATACAAATATTAAAGATATAATTCACTTTATGAAGGATAAAGATGAATTATACAATATTGCAAACCAGAAAAATTAGAAAGTGCATAAACTCTAATATATGAGTACCGTGAATTAAGTGTTGTGTTTAGTTGACAGCATCATATGAGATGTGGAGAACTCGTATACAAATTTTACAAGATCCTCACACCTCATTACTGCTGAAATTATACAAAGTAGAGTAGGAAACGAATATAGAATAAATGATGATTCCTATACGAGATTAGCTACCTCGTATAAGGCTGAACAGGTTGTCATTTAGGATATATAATTTACTTATTTTGCTATAATACGTTACTATATGACATAGGATATATAGTAGAATTAATATATGGACATGCAGGATATATTGATTCAACACCAAGGTGTAATAGGTTATAAGTACTATTCTCTGCCTTTGGCATAGAGAATGATTACAAGATATTAGGCTGTGATCATCCTTTACATAACTGTTCATTCAACTCAAACACCACGCACGAATACCATTTTCCTAACTAATACTATTTTTCCTGTAAGCAGTGCTACATAATGGTTAGCACGGGAAAATAGGTTAGTTGCATGATCACTAGATCAAGCCATGGATACGTTTACAAGTCCACCCGCTCCGGGTAGATGCGTAATCTCCTCAAGGGAGAATTCTATTCTTTTACGGTTCAGAAGACGTACGTCTTCTTTGAGTAGAATAACTCAGCTGTCAGTTTCTAGGTTCCGCAATATGTAGAAGATATTTAAATTTTTGCAGTAGATATTTTTCTTCTCTTTGAACTTTTAACTTGATTCAAAATAAAAACCTACTAGTTTGACCTCGTTAAGCTTTTTATTGTTTTAACTAAGTGATATTTTACTCCACAAGTTGTCAATTCCACATGTACAAATCACCGAACTTCGTGACGTGATTTAAAGTACGCAGCGGCTTGAGATGTATTTCTTGTGAACTATTTGATGATCCTGGTCCAGACCCAAGGAACCTTGCGAGATTAAATTCAGTCGTAAATTCATGGCTGCAGTTGCTATTTCTTTAATGATGCTTTCAATATAATATGCATGTCGGTATAAGCTTAGTTTCGGACATTCTTTCCATCTTTCAATATACACTAAACAGTTCGCTGAATAATGGAGAGATGTCCCGTTGTCACAAGCGAAAAAATTTGGTTCTTGTTGTCGACAAAAGGTGTGATGACGTTGCTCACACCAATAATGCGCAAAACCAGTGGACAACATGACCATGGGATTTTGAAGGTGTAGTACACGTTTGAGAATAAACCTATCACACTTTTCCGAACGCATTGCAGCTCCACTATATAAGATAAAAAACTTGAAGGCTCTCTGGAACATACAGTAAATCACGACTCGTACTTACTGAAAATGAAAATGCAATTTTGTATGTGTATACGTTTAGCAGAATTTAAACATTAAGATCGATCCCTGGCTGCCTAATTTGCTAATAATATCAGTTCATGGTACGAACGCAAAAGGTACCTGAAAGTAGAAAACAATGCAATTTTCTTCAGGTATAATAAATTTCACCAAATATACTGATAGATTGTGGATCTCTCATGCTGCAATTCCACATAAAAATATTTGACATTTCTATTGATTGAGAAACGATTCAATTCTTTTTTTTTAAAAGAAAAAAAAAACCAAAAAAACGGTGGTTATAAAGTCGTGTCTAAAGGTTTACTGCACTGTTTTTTCCCTTTACATTTCACTTATTTTCGTCATGATTTTACATTATATATTACAGCTTCATTTCGAAGCCCATGCGTATTTGTATAAATCAATCTTGCTGAAGAAAAAACCGTTGAAATCTTTAATGATTGTGTATTTGTTGCTTTACAAAGTACTTAGAGAAATGTTACCATGTTTTATCTCAGTATAGCGTCAGATTAGTATAGCTTTTTCAAAAGCATTATTTAGCATGCATTCTCTATTTATGCTATCTGTATTGCAAACTTTTGTTGAAAGTGGTATTTGCAAATCATTCATTTACTTATAGTATATTAAAGCTTTGGGAACAATAGATTTTGCGATCAAAAGCTGCCCTTCAAGTATTTCGAAAACGAAATAGGACAAACTGCGGAAAAGATTTCCACCAATATAAAAGTTTATGTAATTAGTATCTTTTGTCTCATAACGTAAGTAGAACAAAGGTGACAAGGGATCAAACCACTGATCCAGAATGAAAGACATAACCTTCATAGTAGCAAGCAACTCCTGCCCTTTGTAAAAATCGAACTAAATCATGCGTGCTCAGACTTGTTGAAATCAAAGAAAAAAAGAAAAAATACCACTCGTAACACAAAGCTGGTTTTCTTCTTCTTACTAAAGGCATCCCTCTCTTTCTTGTTCTTCTTTCTTCATTATAAGTTTCTTTATTTGGTTCGACTGCGCTACAAAGCACTCCCCTATTCCAATCTCTTTTCCCTAAATTATCATTCTCTTGGTTTGTTACGGTCAAAATCTACAAATATATTTAAATATAGATTTGACACAAGGGTAGCTAAAAGGACAACTTTCAATGTCATCTTCTTTCTTCCCTTCTCATCATCGCCATCAGTACTACCAAGCACATTCTTCTTCTATCTCTGCTGAAAACACTTCCTCTGTCAATACTGACCACAGTAGGTACTATTCACATCAGCAGCAATACTACAATCAACGAACTAAGTTATATCCACCACCAGTCATAATGGAGGGAGCTATTGATTATCAATGTCAGGAGGACTTTTTACAAGAGAAATTGTCAATGAAAGCTCATCTATCATCAACTTTGACAGCAGATAATACTACGACTCATCGACTAGAATTTTTGATATCGAAGATCGAAGATAAATCTTTGATGGATATGTTACAACATGAATTGCAATTACTAAATTTTGAACAACATCGCCTCGTAACAGCTCTGGAGCAACGGATGGGTATAATTTCATCTGAAAATGAAGAGCTAAAGATAATGATAAATGAAAGTCAAAAACGATATGAGAAAGCCGTGAGAGAAATGCAGTTTTTCAAAAAGAAGTATGACAAATTTATAACCATTCAACAACAACAGCAACAATTGCCACCGCCACCGCCAACCCCACCCGCTACAACGAGCTCTGCCACTTCTGCAAGCGCATCACCTATGACGAACGAAATGCTAATTAATTGGCCGACTTCACCTACTTCTTTGATAACGTCTTCAACTACGACTGATACTACTACTGTCTCATCAAGAAGAAGAAAAAATTCAAACACAACAGGAAGTGTCTTCAGCGCGTTCTCCAGCACCACAGCAGATTCAGCTTCTGAAATAATACCAAATATGATAAACTGTTCTATATCCTCAGCATCTACAACCACTTCAAAAAAAATGACCGTAGCAATGAGCGGGTTTTCACGTAATAACTCAATGATGTCTTCTTCTTCTATACCTTCATCGAGTGCTGGATACTCAAATAATGGTAGTAATAACAGTTGTGCATCTTCTATTTATTCGTCCTCTGCTTATCAGTACCATTATCAACAACCACTACCGATGATGACTGCACCATCTATACGCTCGACGCATACAGGTCATACAGTAGCAACCACTGCCACCAGTAGTAATATTACTAGTAGTAGCATGATTCAACAGAGGAGAACTGACCCGCTCGTTTTTGGAGGTTCAGATGCTCTATGGGATACAATTAGCAAAGGACAAGGGGGAGATGCTACAGTAGAGAAAATAATCAGGTATAGTTACATGTCTGTTTACATGTATAGCATGAATGGAGTTGTTTTGATATAGGAGGCAGCTAACAAAAATACCATTTTGTCAAATTTAGTAACTTCTTACGTCGTGGAGGATCGCCTAATACAGCTAAGCAATCACCTACCTCGAGCACTTATCCCGCTGTCAAATATGGTTATGGTATGATTCATGCTCTTATTGTCACTAAAGCCCCTATTTCATTGGAACTGCTCCTACAACAAGGAGCAAATCCCGACGTTGTCAGCCTTGGACAAAGTGAAGAGGATAAGGTATACAGCGGACTAACTCTTCAAAGGCAGAGAATACAGACGGTATGTTAACAAAACTTACATTATTCTTAAATAGGTATCACCGTGTTATCTTGCTGCTAGTGTAGGGTGGTTGACAGGACTTCAAAAACTAATTGCTTTCGGTGGCGACTTAATATCTGCACGCGGAGCTGGCAGTCTAAAAAAGACAGCGCTTCATGTCGCCGCTGAACATGGACATGCTGCTGTTACAGAATATATTATCAATATGACGCAAGGTGTTCTCAATTTGGAGACGGATAGTTTAGGAGCAACAGTTTTACATTATGCTTGTGTATCAGGACATACTGATTTAGTATCTTTCATTATCAACGTTTGTGAAGTGCCTCTAGATCGAGCAGATTGCAAAGGCGACTGGCCTATTCATTATGCAGCACGACATGGTAGATTTGAAGTAGTCATTCTATTGGTAGAAAAATACAGATGTGATATTAATGCTTATACACCGTCTGCGCTCAAAAACAGTAGCAGTAAAAAGTTGCACAGTACAAGCACAGGTACACCCTACGATATAGCTAAATCATGTGGACATAAACGACTTGTAGAATATATAAAATCAAACGGTGGAGTAACAGCAAAGAAAATGGAGAAACGAAGAGAGGAGGAAATGTCACAGAAAATACCCGCTCATTTACAGTCAGCACTTGCAAAAAACGGCTTGATGAGCAGCTTTTGAATTTGAGTAACCTTCACTATCCTTCAATTTATTATAGCAGCAATTCTAGATGAAATGCTGTTGTATTCGAACCACACCATCACTCTCCTTTTGAATTCCCTTATGTAAAAATTGCAATTGAACTGCCCTCTATGTATTTTTGAATATTGTTTCACCTTTGTCATTCTTTTAAATCAATAAAAATGCTACCCTTTCTCTTTTGTACACAAGAAAATATCTTGTGAGGAGTTCAAATGCTTACATTAAGTATCTTATTACTCCAAACAATTGTCTACTCTAAATTTTGCTATCAATGAGTGAAGTACACACTCTTTTACTTTTAAATAAAGAAGGCAATGATACAAAAATTGCTGACAGAAGAACGCAAAGGAAAACAAATTGTGACTAGCAATAGTTGTTGAATCTCTAATGAAGCAGCCATGCGCTACTGTGGTCCATTACTTGTCTATATGAAAACATTTTCAAAAACAATATGATCGGTTAAGAGAGAGACGCTCTTCTTACGTATCAACAACTCAAACACATGCAAACTATAGGCTTCTGTCGTTATACATGGACCTCTGGGCATTTGTATACGACGACCGATAGAGGTGCTTTCCTTATTAATAGGACAGCGAAGAGCAGTCCATAGATCAATCACTCTAACGTTACCTTTTTTTTTTTTTTTTCTTTTTTGTACATCAAAAGAGTATTTCAACAACTTCACATAGGCTTCTTTGTCGAATATGTCATCATCATCATATTCAGGAGCATTGGAATCCTCCAAAAAGTTCTCAGTGTCTTCAGGCAATTCATGATGTGCTCTTGTAACTGGTCGATTTCCGTTAACAGGAAGAAACGTATCCTTCTGAAGACAGCAGTAAACTTTTCTTCAGCTGGTTTTTGATGTGTATTTGCTACTACAATGCTTTTTTGAATAGTCTAAAAGTCATGGCGATATATGTAAGATTGATTGAGAAATAGAGGGAAAACAGCAAGAAAAGAAACACAAAACTAGATACAGAAGAGGCAAGTGAACGTGCTGTTTCCGTATTTTTATATTTTTCAAAAACTCATCATTACTAAGGACAACCCTTTTATTGACTCTTTATTGATACATTCTCTTCAAAGTAAATGATGGTGCATGAGTTGTAATTTCTATCATTTTTGGCACAGCATTTACAATTTAGAATCACGCATTTTCAATACACTATCAAGAAACAAAACTGGTAGAGATACAAGAACATTTGGTTTTTTTTAATAGCAGAAGACGCATTTATTAAGCAGTTGGCTGTGGGTTTGCACAGTATCGTACATATTGACATATGTACTTGTATTTTGTATGTTTTCAAACAGGATGACTCTGCTACAATTAATGACGGTCAGGAGGAGTTCGACTGTAATACTTTGAAAAGTCAAACCATAGTTTTAGGATTGAATATAGTATATCAGAAAACAAAATTGCCTTTTGTATTATAGTGCTCTGTTCGGTTCCTCTGTTCTCGATTTTTAATCACGAACATTCGAACTCGATATGTATAATACAGTTGGGCCATCTAGGGTCGGTAGAGAAACACGATTTAAGACAGCCGTAACAAAAAAAAAAAAAAAAAAAAAAAAAAAAGCAAAACAAGGAATTGAAAAAGCATATCTGTATATAACGTTTCTTTTACTATCCTTAAAATTAAAAAAGTATGTAACTAATAAAAATGCCGGGTTCATGCAGTCTTCTCTTTTAATATCTCACTATTTCCTCATACAAAAATCAGGGAAAGGCGATCATGGTCAGAGCCCAGTGGACTTGACAAGAGAAAAACCAAAATTATTTTTGTGCATCGAGCCCACTTTTAATTCTGGAAATTTTGAGAATTTTTCTTCAGCGGGGCAAGCAATCAAAAGACCTTTGCTCTCTCACAAAAACACTTTAATTTCTAATAATTTCATATGCATACAACCGGCGGTCCAAGTTATAACATTTAGGCTCTCACCATACACTGATTACTATTTATTTATAGAATAAAAATGCACAGTTGCAATAAATGCCCTTTGGCCCCGACAGATCAAATAATTAAAATTATAAACATAACATAACACTGTGGAATTTTGCATTTTCCACCTTTTCTTTGTCACATTTGCCATTCAAAAGAGATGAAGGAACATTACAGAAAAATATGTGAGTAATTGGTTATATCTTTTGCCCCTTTCATTTTTATGGAAACTAATTATAATGTGTTTGGTGATTCCACAAGTACTATTAAGGCTTTCGCACAAGGTAAATTGACCAGATAAACAAAGCCATATCTGTGAGTCAAAGCCAAAGGTACTTATTAAAGTCGATAAATAGATGATACATTGAAAGTTATCGTTTAGATACAGTACTTAGATATAGTTCGAATAGCCTTACGAATATAATTGTATTATTATACGAAAATTAAAGGATGTATAGTGTAAGTTTATTGCGCAATTAAGTGAGTCATGATTCCTATAACGAAGCATATGAACAGTCTAAGGCGAAGTAATTAATTTGCACGCTTCCACGCAAAATGCGTTTCTTTATACCACAGATTGGCATCCTTCCACGTCGTTCTATCTATTTGCAACGTTTCTCGGAAAATTGCATGAATTTCAATCAATCGCGTCTAATGCAGGTTATGAAATGAACGATGTTACTATTACAGATAACTGACCTTTACCAAGCACTATGGACCTACTAAAACTTTATAAAATGTTACTTATAGCAGCGCATTTGGCATGCTCAAGAGATATGTCAGGTGAAGATACACAAGGACTGTGTATTTAAACTTATTCTTGCCCTTCATTTTATATGGACTGAGGAATGCGGTAAGTCAAACACTGAAAGGGGCTACTTCTTGATGCATTGGCCTTAGGTTTCCCTGATCCTTGTACGCTTTTTAGATAGTACACACACGCCTTTGACATTAGTGTCGGCGTTCGATCATCCTAACTCAACAACGACGGAGAAGAAAGACCATTAAAAAGGAGCTACTATTTGTAATCTATGCTTTCAAGACTTAGAAAGTACCTGCTTGGTAAAACGTTTACTCTGCTTTACAAATAACTCTGCAGTAACCTATTTATTCACAAAGCATTTACAACGCTGGATCTTAGCAGTCCAAGAATTTTCTCTCACTGTCAAATATATCTATTTGGAAAGAATAATACCATAAGTCATGCTCTATGAAGCTTTCCGGCTGCAGAGCTTGACGCTAACGATACCACCATAAGTAACTGGGATTGAGGACAGCAAATATTATGAGCTACGGCTTCAAGATTGATCACTACAATGTCATGCTCACACCATCAGTTACGCAAAAGGTTCAAACATAATTCAAGGTTCTAAAGCTCCCTCAAGAGAAAAGTAATCTTTACAGTTAAATCGGTTAACATTTTTGTACTGCTCGCACCTATCAAAGATAAGATAGCGAGTTCTGACTGAAGCACACGATGAATATGAACACTTGGGGCACATACATTTCATGACGTGACTCTATTTAAGCTATTGATGGTCCTATGCAATTAATGATCTTCCGAGCACCTCATCACTTGTGGGCCGTGTCAATGTTTTGCTACTATTTTCCGAAAGGTCTGCTATCTCATCCATCTCTGTTTAAGATTGCCGGAAACAATTTTTCACCCTTCATTAGTCTCTTCTGTCACGTTCTGACATCTAATTTATTTTAACAATTTGAGAAACAATCCAAATTTACTGCCTTTACCAGTTATGGTGTACTGGAACAAATAAGATTTCAGGCACACTGGGAAAAATAAGATTTCAACAGGCACACTTCAACCTTACTGGTAATCTAGATATCTCGCAGTGGCGTTGTACAATTCAATAACAGGAACAATATTACTCGGTTGTCACTACTACTTTCTTATTTCCACTATAAGATCAGTGTTTTATTCGCTAGTTTTAGCTAAAGGATTAAAATAAAGAACTGAACAAGAGAAAGTAAACACGAAAGCTTAACGAAATCAAACCACTTTATTTCTCTTTCAAAAACAAACTAAATAGAAAGAAAAGAAAAGTAAGATTACTGCTATTAATAAAGACTTATACTGTTTGCTGTCTACGAAATGATTATATCGGGATCTATAGCTGACACTGATGTATTATGGTCAAATAATACTCAGTGAATCAAAGGATTCCGTAAAAGAATAGGTCTTTCCTTTAAGTGGATAATTACTCGTCCATCCCAGAGCGGATTGATTTGTAATGCGCTATCCTGACAGATCCAGGGTGATCATGCAGCTACATATATAATCCAATATCGATCGGCCACCAGTTGTGTAGCTCAGATACTGTGGGAATGATTATAGATGTTGGCTAGGAAGAGATATTCGTGTGTGGTGTTCTTTTGATTGCGTGAACAGTTGTTGTATTAATAAAGAGTGATTGAGCCTTTTTTATCTCCAACCATACTTTATTTCCAGAACAGGGAGCAGTACCGCGACCTACTATATTCTGGTTGTTGAATCAATATACCCTACGAGTGCATATACCAATCCTGCTATATACCTAAACGTCATATAGCCATAGATAAATAAGTAGAATATATTTCATAAAGATAACCTGTTCTATCTTATGTAAGATTGGCTATCTCACATAAGAATTATCCTTAATCTATCTTTTCATATTTTATCTTTATTTGTTAAGACATTTGATCTAAGTATAATGACCGTCTACCTAGTTGGCTACGTTTCGGACGTTGCCCATATAAATATTAAGTCAAATCCATTTATCTGTTCTGCCGTGTTTTGATCTGCTTTACCTGTTCTTTAACACTATCTGAACTCTACCTGTAATAAATCTTATCATAAGTGTTGATTCTTTTGTAACTTCTCTGTTCAGAATATTTTTAACACCACATCTAGTCTCGTTCTGGGCAAAGATCTTTCAGTTTAAATACTAGATCACTGCCATTACACTAAGGTTCAAATGTATGCAATCGAACACACCGCTTATCAAACGGGAATGAAGATATGAGCAGTACTCATATTTGAGATAAAGTTATATTTTTTACATTTCGTTAGACGTTTTGAGTGATTTACTCTTATATTATATTGCCATCGCGCCTCAAATACGACAAGGTCTAATAGGAATTATATTATTTGAGGACGCGTATGCTAGTCACTAATTTCAGGTTCAGATTCTTGATGTGTGATTATTATACTTAGGCCTGTATCTCTTAATATGTTGTACCTAACCTCTTAGATTTAATATAGATAGACCGTGGTGGAATGTATTTCCACCAAGTTGTACGTACTCGAGTATTGTAGTTGTTATTTCACCAAACACGTCACTGCCACTAAGTTGAACGATCCGAATAAACAAAAACAATAACAAATCAGGAGTACATGCATGACATGTATCCATCTTACTTCTTTGTTTCCTTTTTTCAAACGAGTATGAAGGGACAGTCCTCTTTCATTTTTTATATTTTTACGCCGTTAAATCAAACTACCTTAGTTTATTCCTCCTGCAGCATCGTTACACCAATTCCTTTACATCGTTCTTGGTTATTAAAGCTAATGTACGGGTCTGCGTTGCTATCTTCTAATAAATACTAAAGTTGGTTTAATTACACAAGAACGACCTTAGTGACTCCTGATTAAACCTTTTGGCCGTAACACTAACGTCACCGAAGGGATGATAGCACCCAATTTTACACTTTCTTATTTCCTTCTTTTTTTTCCCCATTCGTCTTTTTCTCATTTCTTTTTCTTATTCTTCATTTTCTGTAACTGTTTCATTGTATTTGCTCCTTTGTCATGTCTTCCAGTTTTATTTACCCTCATTTGTCACAGATGCCTTTATTGACATTTACTTCATTTGTTGTACTTTCCAGTTTTTGTTCGCCTTCATTGGTGTTAGCTGCTTTCACGGGTGGTTAGCGTCTTTGGTGGTATTTGTAATTGCCATTTTTGATGTATCTTAGCTTCTGCCCCTTGGATGCTGGCTTCCTTTTCAGGTGGTTAGCGTCTTAGGATCTCTTAACTTCTGCCTCATTAGTTGGCTGCCTTTACGGGTGGTTAGCGTCGTTGGTAGATGCCAATTTTTTGTTCGCCTTCATTGGTGTTAGCTTCCTTTTCAGGTGGTTAGCGTCTTTGTTCGTTTTGCTCCTTGGGTGCCGGCTTCCTTTTCAGGTGGTTAGCGTCTTTGTTCGTTTTGCTCCTTGGGTGCCGGCTTCCTTTTCAGGTGGTTAGCGTCTTGGGTGGTATTCACAAATTGCCCCTTTGGTGTTGGCTGCCTTCACGAGTGGTTAACGTCTTGGGTGGTATTCACAAATTGCCCCTTTGGTGTTGGCTTCCTTTTCAGGTGGTTAGCGTCTTGGGTGGTATTTATAACTGCCTTTCTTCGTGTCTCTAAACTGTCTTCCTTGACGTCTCTGAAAAGCCCTTCTTGGTGTTTCTTAACTGCCTTTGTTGATGTCGTTCATCTATTGGTGCTAATGTCTCTTAATTACCTTTGTTGGTACAATATAATCTGCCAACTCTGTGCATTTTGAATGAACAAAGCGTAATTTCTGGGATACCTTCGTCTTAGGCCATGCTCTTTTAACAATAATCCCGTAACCTAGGCACCTTCCTTAACGACAATATCCTTACTTCCCTTTCCATCCTCGTTCAAAACATACTCTGCTCATAAACCTACTCACATTTAAATAGAAACTCTATAGTTGTAGTTGATGCTGGAGAAAGTGTAGTGTCAGTTTGGCAAATGGATCTTCTATGAAGAGCTTAAAGGAGCAGTTTGGTACTATATGGCGCAAAGATCGGAAGGAGTCCCGTTTTTCAGTAGAAGGAAAGAAGAATTTGAGAAGAAAGCAGCTGAAGAGCGTATATCTTGCGAAGAAGCCGCTAAAAGATTGGAAGAACGAAAAGTATACCTAAAAGTATCAATTGATACACTTTCAAAATTAATAAAGGAAGAATTGACAAATCAAATATTTCCATCCTATTTTCTTACGCTTATTGTATTCCTTTTGATACTGTGCAAAAATGTTGCTTATCTTTCTCGGCAGTCTTATGACCTGAATAAGAACAATTTTCAAACAACTGTTGCTATAATCAAATCTAAACGCTTTTCGCCTTTACTTATATAATATGACCAGTCTAACAATTGCTGAATTGGTCTAACGAGTGGGCGAAAACTCTCAAGCAATGAAGGTCATTGCAGTTGTTGTCATTCGATTAAAGTATCAAATATGAAAGTATACATAAACTAACTGTACACTTCTTGAATAAGAAATGTAGATGATATAGAAAAAGGCAAATGCACACGCATACACATATTCATTGGCACCGTTAAACAAAAGTAAAAGTTATACTGGTTTTTTTTCGATTCAAGGGCACCTTTTCTTTGTAACTTGCACTATCCGAAATCCAAATTTTTGTATTATCCTATTGAGTCTCGATCGGCTTTAAAGAGACAAAGACTCCAGGCCAATAAAGAACTTTTTTTTGGCAGATCCAGGTTTCAGATTTTCTTTTCCTTACTCTTCCTTTACAGTACTACAGTACTATGTGCTATTCTATAATTGATAACGAATTATTGAAAACAAAAGAATATTCCATACTGATATAATCGTCCTGTTAACTTTATTGGGAATAATGAGCTTTATACCGTCAGTGCCAACGATTCAAACAATGAATCTGCAAGGTCGTCTGGCAAAAAAGTTAACTATATTAACAACGTAGAGTGACTATTTAACTGTACAGCTTTGAGTTCATCGAAGCAGCATCTTTACCGTTGTCTGTTTGAGTTAAACTGGTCGCTAGCAATTGGATGGGACTTGTTAAAATTTGCCTGCTAGAGCAAAGTGAAGAAGGATGATTTTGCTATAAAAATTGATCTAAGCAAAGAAAGAAACGCTGTGCACACGACTGATAGACAGAATGAACTTACCAAAAAAGCAGAAAAAGCAATTTTTTGTAATTGTCATTGTTTACCGTCTACTCTACCCATTTTTATATGTAGATGCGGAAATAGCAAAAAAATGTTGAAAGTAAAGAATCGTTAATATAATGGATAGAAAAATTGCCTCGAAATGTGAAAACCAAACAGACAGTTAGAATTGACACACTGAAACCTTGCTTTTCTAGAGTACAGTCAGTAACTTGATACCATTTGCAACCTTGTCGATGAGCAGTTTATACTATTGTAACTTCGTAAAAGCTTGTTTCGAGTCTCGCAGCCTGTTTGTATGAATTCATCATTACATTAGAACTCTAGTACAGCAGTCTTAAAGACAGTGTTCTAACAAATTTACACCAGCTGTGATACATTGTCTAGCTTTCTGTTCGCTAACATTTATAATTTTCTGCACTGATTACATATACAACTACACTTCTTCCCATGTAAGGGGTTCATAACAGAGGAAGATGAAGTCGTAAAGGTATCAAATTATAGTAGAGCCTCCATGAAGACTAATTCGTACTTGTACTTGACAAAGTAGAAATTAGATCCTATTAGATAAACTTTTAGGGTTTCTTTTTTTTTTGTTTGTATACTTTCAAGTTTTTTTAGGGCAAAGAGTGTGGACGAGGTGTTGGACATAAAATGTGATTGAGCGACCAAAAGGCAGTTTTTTTTTTTTTTTTTTTTTTTTCAAAAACTTACTTGCAAAAAAGCTCATTACTTCAAGAAAAAATTATGGATAACGTTGCCATTAATGGTTGCCCACCGAAGTTACGTGCGGGCTGCACTCTCAAAGGAATCTCAGTCTGGTATTAAGGAGGGAGTCTTCTACTTTTTAATAGAATATGTGTAGCTTAGACACTGAAATAAAGTGCATTGAGTTTATCACTTTTTATGGGTATTCCTTAGATTTCTTTATTGCAACTGTATGTTTTATGCTGACTGAAACAATAAAAGCAACAGTTTGCTCTCAAAGGCAGGAAAATGTAAACGGAGTTGAAGAAGCAGCTGTAACATTGTCTTGAAATTTACCTTTCTTCGGGTTGTCCTTTACTCTTTTTCTCCCCAACAGCAACATATAAGCAATCAGCCTCTTGACTTCATTACTGAGTCTAGCAAATAATATTCTTTTAAATATGGCTATGAAATAATGAAAGACATTATATTAACCATAATCGCTTTACTCACCGGCGGTCACATTCAGCGGCTTCATTCTACTGGGGAGATTCGAATTTTGCTTAAATGGCAGAACTGTATTGTCTCCATCATGATTGTAGTTATCAGTACTTATTTGATAATAAGCAATATCTCAACATTTTTTAGATGGCACAATAGAACCAAAGATTCCTATAATGAAGAGAACATTTTTTTACCTTTCACTTCCCGTAAAGTGCCTACAAAATGGAAAAAGTACATCAAGACTTATACACCATCAGCTACACTCGCTTCACCTTTCTCTTCGAGCTATTGGACACAACAGCATACTCCTCAATGTATAGTCTTTTTAAACAGTATTATTGCGTTATTAGACTCACATGACTTGCTTACTTTTCCACTTCTGTATAGTATATTATCCTCGTTATTGTCCATATGTCTTCAAGCCGCATTATTCGCAAAAATCCTGTGCCAAACCTATTCCTTCTTTCATTTTCGCAGGAAGTGAATTCTCTGGCTCAGATATAGTATTCGATCTTTTAAGAAATTATCATCCTCAAATATCCACGAGATCAGTTGACAACAGTTTCTCGCGTAAACAGCAGCAACAACAACAACAACAACAACAGCACTACAACAGCAGTATCAATAAAAGCAGCAATAAAAACACGTACCGCAGTAGCAATCGTGGGCTATTTATTAATGAAAACAATGACGATAATATCTTCACTGAAGCCAATGACTTTGATTTGTACATGTCACAATTTCCGTTTCTACAGCAGTTGTCGACTGCAGCAACAGTATTTGATCACGAGGAAGAAGAAGAAATCGGAGAGGTTAAAGAGTCAACAAAGACCGAAACAGGCGATAATGTAGGCAAAACGCCAAGAGAAGTTAAAACCACTGATGGCGGAAATGATGAAGAAAAGAAACTTATCGGGGAACATGCGCCGCAATATCTATACCACAGTTACTTGACTGCTAAAAGAATTAAAGATACTCTACCCCACATTAAGCTTGTCTTCATTTTGCGCGACCCAATATCACGAGCATATGAGCAATATCTATTCGATAAAAGGACCATGGAAGATAATGGTCATACTACCCTACTAAAATCACTAGCTTTTGAAAACTTGATCGATTTAGAAATACCTATTTTACGACGATGTGGCCACACTAGTACACAAACGGGTTGGGAAGGATTTGTACGTTGCCATCAAGGAAGTGAAATTAGAGCCTCGTGGAAAGTACTTGCGGCTTCCTCTTCAACAACGCTCAGTAATAACAACGAGAATAATAACAATAATGGCGACACTTATGCTTTTAATATGTTGGCAAAAGGAATGTATTACCCTTCTTTGATCCCCTTTTTGCAACATTTCCCATCATCTCAGCTTTTCATCATGACAATAGAAGACATTGCTCAACAACCTATGCTGTCGTTACAGAAACTAGCAAATTTCTTAAACATCGACTTTAGTCATTTTCTGAAGCATGAACATACTATCCGGTCACAATTGCAACTTTATTTATTGCAGCAGCAAGAAAAAGAACTAGAAGGCTTGAGTTTATCGACCAGATACAGATTGCAAAAGGTTTATAGACATCTGAATGATCAGTTATTCGAAATATTCAGTTGTGCTAGTGCTGCTGACAACAGTTTCTCAAATAACAAAGGTTGGGTTTATGACGTTGACCGGGGCTAATTAGTAGTGATAGTTTATAGTAGGCGAGTACTGCTTGCTACAGGTGCAGTTCTCGTAGAATCTGGTGTTGAAGTACTCTCATTTCTATTTGCTGTGTCTATAACACTGGCTGGCGAAACCGCTGCTGGAATAGTGATCGTGGCTGTTCTTGGTTCAGCTGCAAAGGAAGATGTAGTCTTTGCAATGTATTCTCGAATCCAACTAGAACTTATCTTCAATATGTCCATATCTTCATTTTGAGCAATGGAAGCATCATTGGTTGAAATCACATCAATAATCCTCAATTTCAGTGGCGATAAACCTCGCATGTCTCTTTCATTGTTTACTACATTATAATCCTTCATTAGTTTACCTATCAATAAAAGATAATAGACAGATTCATTTTTCTCAAGCATTTTATCATTACCCAAATCACCGCCTTTCAATGTTTCTTTAGATACAACCAACGCGTCTATAGTCGAATCTGTCACAGTGGGACCAAAGGGGTCTTTAATAGGTACTACATCATATTGAATATTTCTTTTCACAATCGTCCGAAGGTAGTGCTTCACTTGATGGACACGATCCATAGTGGGTGCAATCAATTCTCGGTGCTTTTTTTTGAGTAACATACAATCATCTGTAACGCCTACTACCATACTTTGTTGTGCTAAAATAGCTGTCATGGTTAAAAGAATTTTATGACCAGCATGAAGGTGATCAAAAGTGCCGCCTACTGCAATGCGCTTAAAAGAACAAGGTTTATTGTTAATCTCATCCTCATGAAGGAAGTGTTGTTGCAGCGGCTGTTGTTGGGTATCCTTTCTTTCGTCTTCTTCATTTCCTGCTAGTGATAATTCGATTCTTTCAAAATTCTGCTGTTGAGATTCAGGTATCTCCCGTATTTGTTGGGCATTTTCAGCTGAGGAGCAAACAATAGCCGTAATGTAGGGTTCCTTTTCGACTTTATATCCACAGAGATCTTCAAATATGATATGGCAATCGAAGAGTGGTTCCTCGAGGGCATACGCTGTTTGCAGTTGCCTGACATAAAGGCGGCCTAACACTGACTGTATTCTGGCCCATATTTTATCAATGCAATCTTTATTTTGCTGTATTTCATCGCAGGACACACTGACGATAAGGTTCTTTATATTGTTGTGTTCATCCTTGTTGGATTCTGTTTGACGCTGTCTTCTAATGACAAACTTGACAGCTTGCTCAATGTAATTAAGGTAGATGTGTTGCTCGGTACCTAATTGGTGAAGCGTTTCGGAATAAAGAGGTAAAAGCAAAGACATTTATCGCGGTGATATTCTGCCAGCTCGATAAACCAACTTATAAGCAAGAAAAAGGATGAGATAAGACGCAACCAGACTGACGTGCTTGTCCGGGATAGACGTGATGGCGGAAAATGAACCTTACGAAATTGTACAAACAAAAGCTACGGCATTCCCATTACTACAGAAATAAGCGGGGTTGCCCTTTTGATCAATTGTTTATTTTGGTTGCCTCTTCTCTTCCCTTTTGCACTTTCTATTTTTGCAGTTCTGCCCACTTTTTTCTTTCTTTTTAATTATTAATGGATGCTGTGTCTCGAAGACTTTTGAAAGAATTGCGTGAGATAGATAAGGAAGCTGAAGCTCATCCTGAAATTGTAGAATTAGCACCTGAATCTGACGACGATCTATTACGTTGGAGAGCAATTTTAGCTGGTCTGCCAGACACACCTTATGAAGGTAAGCTATTCTCGAAACTCAATTTTAGCAAACACTCTCCATTCATTGACGATTAACTCTACACAACAGGAGGACAATTCGAACTTGGCATTGAAGTTCCTTCTAACTATCCCATTCAGCCGCCCATCATCAAGTTCATCACTCCCATTTGTCACCCCAACGTGCATTTTAAAACAGGGGAGATCTGCCTCGACATTCTGAAAACAGCTTGGTCACCTGCTTGGACCTTAAAATCAACCATTCTAGCCATTTCTGTCCTTCTCAATAACCCCGAACCTAGCTCACCACTAAACTGCGATGCAGCCAACTTATTGAGATGCAAAGACAAATTAGGTTATGAAAGCTTAATCCGCATGTATACCCAACTCTTTGCGGTCAAACAATAAGATTAAGCTCTAATGCTTACAACAAACCGTAAAAATGTTATTTAAGAATTCTCATTATTCTACTTATTTATTTGATTTTAACTTGTGATAAACCAACCACGAGGAAATAAAAAACCAATAAACACTGTAGCCTGTTCCTGTCCATATAGCCGCATCTTTTCCGGATAAAGTAGCATTTGATAGAGAGGGCTCATCATTAGTAAAGAGAATACTCCAAATTTGGCTAAGCAATTAAAAAAAAAGTTAGATCAGGTACCCATATATTGGAAGAGCAGCTTACCGGTATTCCCAATACGGTATCCTCTTGAACTCATCTACTTACCTTAATAAACTCCAGGACTGTTGCTGAGATTGTCTAATTGTATGAACTAAGCTTTGAGCCAACTCAGGCTTTGCAACAAAAAGCTTTCGAGAATAATCAAAGATCTTGGATAATTGAATAGCGCTGGTGAAATGAATAATCATCAGGGAAATGATTTGTTGGGAATACCTTGTGGCATAACGTTTTAAAATAGTAAACATCAGCAAGACATAAAGAGCTGCGATACAATAAAGACAAAGGGTTACTGAAATGTAAAAGCTGGACTGACTCGAGATCAGTCTCTGTTGAAGAAACAGTTAATAGCTTTTTCAACAGAAGCATGCATATCCATAAACAATACGCCTTACCTGACGTTTTATGATATAGCATTGAATCTTCGATAGCTTGGTAGAAAATGAAAAAGGATGGTACCAACAATTTCAAGAACTGTACCGATTTCCAGGTCAATGCTGAAGGTTCACGAGTCACCCGGTATATTGTCTGCATATGCTTTATATTACTACTACTAGTGCTGCCACTGTTGGGGTATACAAAAGGTTTTTCTTCTTCTTCAAAATCAACTTGTTGTATTTGCTGCTGTGCTAATTTTTCGTTATTATTGCTATTGCGCCTTACTATACTTAAGCCAAGCCATGTTAGACCAATAAATAGTATGCTGGAATTGATCAGTTGTAGGATAGATTTATTTCGCATCAGCCATTTTGCAAACAAATTCGATCCAAGTAAGAGAGCGGTTGTAAACTGTAGTCCAAAACCAATCAAGATACCAATCGTGATCAGATGATGCTGCTGCCATCGTAAATAGCTCCTTTTCTGTCGTTGTACCAGATACAAACTGGTGAATAGGATGGATGTATTGTAGAGCTTTGGGAGAAGAAATGCCAAATAAGCTTTCTGAATATAGTTGACGACCATTTTATTAAAGTTCGTGCTGACCAGGTTATTGCTCAGAAACGAAAAGAAACAACTATATAAAGACAACGGCTCGCTGAAAGATCCCAAAAAAAAGGTCAAGGGTGCCGACGGTTTCATATTCGTGTTTTAATAATAAATCAAGCCATTCACGACTACAAACAAATAAATATTATCAGATCGTCTGGTTGAATCGTGAAACGACCGCGAGCCCCCGAAAAAGTTGTGCTAGGTTGCTGCTAACAAATGAGGTTGGTAGAAATCTTTTTTTTTTTTTTTTTTTTTTTTTTTTGGTTTTATTTTATCTGATCCACATAGGAAAGGTCAGAATTTTTAATTTGTTAAATTTACGCTTTCAATAACCGTCTTCAGCCCCGAAACAGTGAACGAGAAGTATTGATTTTTTTAACTTTTGTTCTTTCTTTTTTTTTTTTTATTATATTAGCTCGCTTCTTGCAATCCTTACATTATTAATTTATCAAATCACCACAGACCTACCGACCCATTAGATGAAGCAGAGCCACATCTTTTTATGGGCCTTATTTTTTGGCTCTTCAACAATTTGCCAAGCTAGAAGAGTAGAACTCGATTGGAATTTAGGATATGAAATTATCAATCCTGATGGACTGCATGAAAGAAGGGCGATCACCATTAATAATCAATGGCCGTAATTTTCAGTTCACACTTTCCCAGCGTATCTTTTAATCTGTTCCATACCTAACCTAATTTTTGCGTTTGAACAATTAGACCTGAGCCTGTCAAATTAACCATCAACGATACACTTGTTATTCATGTTCAAAATGACCTTAATGAACCAACAACACTTCACGCACACGGCTTATTACAAAACCATGGTACTAATACGCACGACGGTGCAGCTATGGTGACTCAATGGTAGATTAATGATCCGAAAAATGGACAGAATTGATAACTAAAAATGCTTGTCTTTTTCTTTTGATGATATAATATAGTCCCATTCCTCCCCATTACAACTTTACTTATGAATATCCTGTGACACAAGCTGGGACTTTTTGGATCCATAGCCATTTCAAAGTGCAGTATATGGATGGTCTACGGGTACCTTTAATAGTAACGGACCCTAACGATCCTTATAGCTATGACGAAGAAGAGATTATTACAGTGTCAGGTACTTTTTTTTTTACTTGATTGAGTTTTTGTGAAAAAATTTTCAACAATACATAACGTTCTGTCTTCACAGACTGGTACCATGAGGACTCCTATACAAATCTTGAACAATATATGAACGAGGAAAATATTGAAGGTGTTGAACCAGTGCCGCGTAAGCGTCTAATATTCATCAGGTTATCTTTGTTATTATCATGCATTCTCATACTATTTTCTTTTTTGGATAGAATCCGGCTTAATCAACGACCACATCAACTCAACATTCCACTTTAAACCTGGAAAGACCTACCGAATTCGCTTGATTAATATGTCTGGCCTTGCTGTATTTAAAGTGGCAATAGATGATCATGAAATGACTGTTATTGAAGTCGACGGTGTGAGTAAAGCATGAGTTATATGTTGACATGTATAGCTTCACACTGAAACAAATGATAATTTCTTTGACTGTTTTTCGCCAGGTCCTCACAGAACCTGTCGAAACAGCCATGGTTTATATGGCTCCCGGTCAGCGTATTTCCGTTTTATTAAAGACAAAGGATACGACTGATGTTAATTATCATTTACGTGCTTCCATGGCTCCTGTTATGTTTGACTATATTCCCGAGGATCTGGATTTAACTGTAGTTGCACCTGTTTACTATGACGATTCCCACAGTAACTTTGCTCCAAAAGATGACTCCAAGCCTACCCGTTATGACGATGGTGCGATTTTCCCCTTGAAAAAAGCACCCTTGTTGTCTCCTGTCAATCGTCAGATCAACATGACTATCGCTTTTATGAAACATACTGACGGTTTGAATCACGGATTAATTAACGATCGTCCTTATTTACCACCGTTAGTCCCCACATTGCATACTGTCTTTACCGTGGAACCTAAATCTCTCGTCAATAATACTGACATTTATGGTCCTCAGACCCAAGTCTCCCTCTTGGAGCTGAATGATATTGTAGAAGTGGTTATCAACAATTTAGATGATAGTCCCCATCCTTGTAAGTCATTATTTTGTCTGAACTGTGGTTCAAGTGAACCGAGGAACTTGTTACTAATAGAAAGATTGTTTGTTATTTCTTCCCTGGTAAAAGTCCATTTGCATGATCACATGTTTCAAGTGGTCGCTCGTGGCTCCGACGGTGTTTATGATCCAAATCGCCATAAAGCCATTTATCCCGAAAATCCCACGTTTCGTGACACCATTGGTGTTCCCAGTAACGGATTTGCCGTCTTACGGTTCCGTGCCGATAATCCAGGCGCTTGGATTTTCCATTGTCATGTAGATTGGCATGTACCGGCTGGTCTGGCTGCGGTCTTCATTACCGCTCCACAGACAGTGCGGGAGAAAATGACTTTTCCTCACGAGTTAATCGAACTATGCAAAGTAGGTGGACAACCGGCCAAAGGCAATGCAGCGGGCAAGCAAGGTCTGGACTTGGAAGGCGCACCTGATGGTGTCCGACCTATCGATGAATTAGTGAACAATAGTAAGAGGGATTGGATGATCACAGGTCTAATAGCTACGCTGATTGGTGTTAGCACGATTGTCTGGCATACTTGGGTAGACCCAGGCCCAGTTGATGAAGATAGTGAGAGAGAAGACGAACGCAAACCCTTGATGGCAGAAAAAAGAAAAGACGATCAAGTATCTTCTCTTTAACACAGTAACATGAAGCCGTATCTTCTTTCATTACTATATAGCCCAATTAGAATCCGTAATACAAGTACATTATCTGTTACTACAATTTGTAATAACGCAATTTCCTTTAGTATTTAATATAAGCGCAAAAACTACCTGATTATTTTTCTGCTGTTAAGATTAGTATAGACAAGAATGAGAGGTGAAATACGCGGATTAATTTGAGACAGAGGCGTCAAATTAAATAAGGGAGTGGTGATTCATATATAATATATATAACGCATAGCAGGAGACATTTAAAGACGAACAGAGTAAAGGGGCACAAAGGACGAGACAAGCGAAAACGAGGATCATATGCGGGGTATATTTATTACACTGCAAATTTGTGGTCACTAACATTCACTACCTTCGACACTACTGCTGGATTAATTTTGGTCGTGCACTGCTTCGCCCCATTTCGTAGCAAAAAAGGTTACGGGGCTGAAGATGAGGTTCTTATATCCGTTGTTTCTACCATGGATTGCCTCCTACTGTAATGTCTGGATTGATCGAAGTGCTGTCTCCGTTATTCAGTGTTACTCAGCAATAATGCCTTTTAGAAACGCTTTCTTAACGAGGCAAACAGTTTACACTCCTCATTATTATATGACCGTGGACGATCCATTATGAACCGCATTATTGTCGGTCATATCCCTTATCTGTAAATGTTGGTCGAATAATACTAATCATAGCTATACATAGTAGACTGACTCAAATGGAAAAACAAAACCCTGAGAAGAATGGATGCTAACGAACTTTTCTTTTATTCAAACATTAGCGATATAAGTATTCAAGCCTACAATTACTTTGCGGGAATGCGGCAAAATAAAATACTAGAAAGGGGTATCCAAGGTATAATGATGAAAATCATAAATGAAAAGAAAAAACTTACTGTCCATCAACCACGTACAAAATCGTTTATAATGTCTCAAGATCCTCCAATATGTTGGACAATTCAGTATGAAGAAAGCTGGTGTCAAAAGCTTCTGAAACAATTTGGTTAAAGGATATCTGTTGTTGTTGATGTTCAGGAGATTCAGTAGTAAGAACATTGCTATTTTTCGAACTTGACATAGAAGTCTTTAATATTTTCGTCTTCGGAGAGTCAGTTGGAGATGCTTTTCTTTTAAAAATCGTGTTATACTCGGTATAAACAGTCGATACATCGTTCATGTCTTTAGAAAATGTACCCTTTGCTGATTGAGAGTGAGAGGTGACATTCTGTATTGGCTTTACGGCTGCTGCTTGCTGCTCCTTCGAAGTATGAGTAGAAGGTCTGTCAGTATCGCTACTGCTACTACTATTCACGGTACTGATGGCGGAAGCAGAAATGACCTGCTGTTGAGAAATGTCAAGTGAAGAAGAAGGAGAGGCATTAAAACCTGACCGTGCTTCTGCTGCAATGGCTGGTGTGACTATACTAGCATTAGACACGTTTTTCGATAATTCAATAGGTTGTTTATTCGATACATCTGCTTGCTGGTGATTTTCCATTGTTGGTTTCTTTAAAGAAGTTATAAATTTTTTGCTGCTACCACCGTTAGAACTTCTTGAAGGAGAGAGCGTCCTTCTGCATTCAGGGTTAGCAGCGGCAGTAAGATGAGATGCGATGTTAAAATTAGAGGACGTTGAGACGGGCGGTGTTGGTGATGATCTGCTATTTGTAGATGATGCAGACTGAGTACCGGGAGGAGTGCGGATTTGCAACTCTCTTACCAAGCACTGCTGCTGCTTTTGTTTTGCTTCATCTTGTTTATGAGCCATTATCTTTTGACTGTGCTGCTCTCCTTTTTTGCTCTGACGTAAAACCTCTGCTTGTTTGCGTTGTCGTTCAGCTTGCTCCATTCTATTTAACATTTGTTGCTTCTCTTTTGCTTCTTCTCTTTTTTTACGCTGGATTTCGGCGTCTATCCGCTTTCTCTCTTCTTCCAGAACTTGCTGTGCCCTTTTCTTCTGCTCTAATTCAGTTTTCTTACGTAGTCGTTCCTGTTCTTCTACTCTTCTTTCTCTTTCTTCCTTTTCCCTCAACATGCGACGCTTGAAAGCACGCAGTTCCTCAAGATGTATCTTTTTGGTTATGTTGCGAGGGAGTTTCAAACAATCGTCTGGTGATTCTTCTGCTTCTTTTTGTAATAACCGACAAATAAACGAATCTTGCGTAGGAAAGTTGAATTTATAGGGTATATTAATGAATTCTTGAGCCCAATCTGCAAGATCAGCAGCTACCCAGCGACTCCATCTCCAACATTCATTGGACGATCTAGGATGATAGTTTGGCAAATGGAAGATAAACGCACGCGCGCCGTTCGTCATACGCCTGTACTGGGTGTGCCATAGAGTTTTCCGGTTCTTAATTTGCTGGGCTTGATTCAGCAAATAGCAACGCATATCTGGCGTGAACATGGCTGACAGGTACACTTTTTGTGGCGGATTATATGTAATACCTTCAAAGACCATGTCCAATTCTGACTCAAAGCCTCCTCTAAGAGCAGCTGAATCAGAAACAATGATAAAGTCTACTTCAAGTTTGCGTACATAACTTGCCTATGAAAAGAGAAGCGAGGGCAAGTCAATATATTTTGTTAAGGGCGAGGGTTTGCTTATGGTTGTATAGACAATCGGGCCATCGAATTTGAAGAAGAAAAAAGAAAAGGAAAGAAAAGGTTGGTGCTGTCGCAGAACTTTTTAAAAACTTAGAGAAGTTTTATATGAAGCTAGCAAGGATGAGGTTCTAACATATCTCTTGCGTCACTGTCCCCATTTTTTAAATGTGCTATTCGCTTCAAAGATCTAGAACAGTAAAATACATCATACTCGCTCTACTTTCCAAATCTATTTGGTAATAACTTACCCTTTTCCCTGATTTTCGTATTTTCATAATCACTCCATAAAACCTACGGTCTTCTAATGATTGCCTTACGACCCTGCCAAGTGGTGCGAACCTCACTCTGTTCTGACAAAACCCCCAGAAATCCAAAGCACTGATTATGGCCTTTTCTGACGTTGCATTTGTACACACAATGGCGAAATCTAAGTCCTGAAGAATGCGCGTATAAATGGTTTTTTTGTTGTTGCCAGTCGCGATTTGTAATAAAAAAAAAGGAGTAAGTTAAATCCCAAAAACGAAACACTGAACAAAGAAAAAACATTCATACGCTACAAAAAATGTTGTATTTTATTACTTACGATTTCATATTTCAATACCACTTTTATAAAGTCTGCTATAAATACATCCTTGCTATTTTCTTCTAACGTGATATCATTTGATTGAGAGAAAGGCTTTAACAGTTGCTCTACTGTCGAGTTCTCTAATTCAGCAAGTGTTTTTGACTGAATGTCTTTTTCATACTGAAGAACTTCGAGTTGACTTGGTATAATGGGCACGAATTTTTGTTCAGGAATGAAGGTTAGATCGAATTGCCGAATACGTTGAAGCTCATTGTCAGTTGAATCAGTAGTGGTTGTAAGAGCACTTTTAGTAGAGGAGCTTTCTGATTGCGTAGATGCATCAGTATCTCCTTTTTCGCTCTTACTAGCCATGCTATGACCGCTGACAATGTCACTGCAGCTATTATCCAGACAATTATCATGATTTTGAAGCTTGACCATAGTATTTCGTTGAAAGACTTGTTTCACAAGTGCTTGGTCGATGGTTTTGACTTGAGTGGAACCATCTATTGGATCGAACATCCTCAGACCGAGTTCGCTCGACATTGAGTTTGATAAAAGCACTAAGTTATAGAGATATGTTATATATGTAACAAGAAAGAAAGAAGCAACTTTCCTATTGATCTGATTTTTTGTATTATATATTGTAATTTTTTTTTTTTTTTTTCTTTTTTGCTCATTGTAAAAAAAAATTTGAAGCAAAAAGATTCCCCCGCTCACACCCTGCTCTGTAACTGGGAGAGCGGAGGTTGGAAAAGGAAGTGCCTGTGTTACAAGATTTGCTTCTGCTGCAAACAAAAGGTTAAAGTATACATGTATCATCAGTTACATCAGGTCTCTTTTTCGCTTTTTCTTTGTTAAGGTTTGCATTTTTATTCAGAAAGAGATTCTAAGTTCTAATTGAAAAACAAGTGCAATTTCCCAAAATATGTTTAATTCAACCCGTCTTAAAGTTCAACTCAAACTATGCATTAACCGTCTGAAGATGTTACAGGCGAAAAAGACATCGCTCAATCAACATAATCGTCGAGAAATTGGACAATTGTTGGAAAAAGGAAAGGAAGAAAGTGCCCGTATTCGAGTAGAGCATATTATCCGTGATGACATGTTAATAGAAGCAATGGAAAATATTGAACTCTATTGTGATTTACTGTTGGCAAGATTTGGATTATTAGAGACTTACAAGTAAGTGAATGTTACTATTTCTGTTGTTGCTAGGAGAGGATTAACAAATCCCATCCTATTGGCTATAAGGAACTGCGAGAAAAGTATTGCTGAAGCAGTGAACACAATTATATGGGCAGCACCAAGATTGGATGAAGTGAAGGAATTAGCTCTTGTACAGTTTACTGAATGTTATTCAATTGAAAGCGAGGTATTCATACTGCATATTCCTTACATAGGTCAGAGATCAGTTAGCCTCCAAATTTGGAAAAGAATTTATGATGCAAGCTTTAGAAAACGAAGACGACAGAGTGAACCCAAAGGTAACCTTAAGCACTAAAGAAGACGCCTGGATGAGACTCTGATGTAATTGTACTTTAGATTGTCATGAAACTGCAACCAGATGCACCAGATCCTTTCCTTGTTGAGCGATATCTGGAAGAAATCGCTCGGATATTGAATATTGACTGGAAATCTGATAAAATTGATCATGATGAAGATAATGACAACGGATCAGAGGGTAGTGGCGGTGGATTGGAAGAGTTACTTGAGGAAGAAGGAAAGACAGAAGCAGAGGTAATAAGCATCACACTCACCTTTAGAAATACCAAGCAGCGTGAACTGAACGTGAAAATATCCTTTACTTGCAGTTATTGCCGCCTTTACAAAACCCACCCAGCAGTAACATTTATATACAACCAGAAACTACTGCATTTGATTTGCCTGAAATACCAACGAACACGCTGCTGAATAAAAAGTCAACACCATCGTCTTCTAACACAGGCATAAAGCCAACTAACGATAATAACGATGATTTTGATGCGTTGGCAGCGCGCTTAGATGCTTTAAAACGGAAATAAAAAACCAAAAATGCAATTCCAAGCAACAAATTTGCTTTTTTTCTGTAGTGGTACTTGTCAAATCCGGGGACAGCGGGGACGGAACTGCTGCTGCTGCTGCTTGAATGAACTCTACTCCGAATATTCCAAAAATATCAAAATCACCAGATTGTTTTATCAATGATAACATAATAAGCTTTACTTTTTTTTTTTTTCTCAATGAACCAGGATATAATAAACAACAACAACAAAAACAATGTTGAGGATTTAACAGATATAGCTACAAGCACCACAGCGATCATTTCACTTAGTCAAAACGACGACCTAGAAGGAGAGGCGACTGAGCCAGAAGCCAGTCAACCAGAAATACAACAACACCAAAATTTAGCAGTTGATGATGCCACATTTCAATCGACATCGGTTGCATTGATTGAGAAACTCCTGCAGTTCAGCTCACCAAGGCTCGACTCGAAGATAGTAAATGTTCTATTTCTTGAAGGTAAAATTGTGAAAGGGTTTCTAACAAAAAAAAAAGTGAATTGACAAGTTACGCAACGAACCAACTTCTTGTTTATACCTATCTTTATTTTTGTTTTCGTGTATGAAAATATCAGGCATGATGGATATATTCATGTCCCATATCACTCAACTCCATCCAAATGATATAATTCCTGGTACAATGATTCAACCTCCCATCGAGGAATCCAAAGTTGTTCACCTACTTGAAAACAGCGATTTCAAGACTAAATTACAACTGTCACTCCACCCACGCGACCGCCACGACCATGAAGCGATGAAGCGATCCTATTTTGCCATGGAACTACTTTCAGGAACGACCGCCAATCACTTATGGGTGCAAAATGCGAAATTAGACACAATTGTACATCATCTCTTTCGAGTTTTCTATCCACACTCACATGGCAATTTGCACCATTTTCATCGCATTTTTAGCCATTTAGTACGCCGACACCCTTGTGAGTTGTTGGATTTTGTCATATTACAAAACAAAGCATCGGTTCTTTTCAGTTACTTGCTACCTTATTTGCACCACAGTGTTGTGATGGATTCCATCCTCAGCCTGATTTTTGTGAGAGATATTAACAAAGAAACAAAGAAAGAACGGCTAAAGAGTTATCGAGTGTTGAATGAAGTAGGATTAGTGGACTGGTTAGTGCAGACAATGATAGCGCTACAACAAAACAATGGAGGGAACGATACTACAGCAGAGGGCCCGTATGATTTTTATGTGGACAGTATTCAAGAGTTTCTGATAAGATTGATAGAAGAAGCAAGCCAAGTGGAGTTTGGCGATGTCTTATTCAGCAAATGCTTTTCAGAGAAGGAGGAGAACAATATCATGAAATTATTAGTAGATCAAATAGCTTTCAACGCCAAAAGAAAGAGATACAAACGTGATACAGCCCTAACTGCGAGACGACAGAGAACAATTTCTATACTTAAACTTTTTGTAAAAAGTGGAACGTTAACTGCGAAAGCATCTACCATGTCACAGCCTGTGCAGGGGCCTCTTTACACGGTCTCCTTGAAAGCACAAAAATTACTCATTGACCATGTCCCGGCTATCTGTTCTATGCTTGTTCAAGAGCGCGACACCAAACAGTATCCGTTGACAGCTACGGATATAAATCTGTTAGATATTGTTTACACCATACTTGTTGATGCCACCCATACCAGTTTTAGTGACGAATATATTGCCACTCCAGAACAAATTCACATTTTATCTTCGATACCCAGTGGATTCTGGAAACTGCTCGTTCAGTCTTTCTTTGAAAAATCCAGTAGCAGCATTTACCATACCTTATTTTATAAATTTACCTATCTCGTCTTGAAGATTGGACATGAACCTACTGTCTTAAAATTGGTTCAAGAGCAATGCTTGATTCCAAGAATGATAGACGCATATGAAGCATTGATTCCGTCGGAAAATGGGGGGTTCATACTTCTCATACTGAATCAATTACGGCTGTTAGCAGATTATCAACAACAAGTAGTTAGCGATGGTAACTTTGCACTCAGATTGCTGACAAATCACAAATATCAGAATTTTGTTCCAACGTTGAGGAAGGATACCCTTTTGCAAGTGCAGGGATCAGAAAAAGCAATGAAATCATGGAAATTGAATGCCTGCCCAAAACCGCCACCGCATTTGGGTCCTTCGCCTCCCATTCAACAACCTCTGACAGCTCAATACTTTTCGCCTTACTCGATAGCAAGCTCAACCATACCATTAATGTTAAACGACGATGATCCTAGTGAGAACGATGTGAAGAACGGAATAGATTTAGGCAGTGATTGTAAGTCTCCCATTGTTAGCTTAAAAAGTAATTTAGTACACGAAGCATTCTAAAAAGTACACATGTAGTCGCCTATTGCTTGGGGTTCAAATATGCACCAACAATATCCAGTAATAGCAACTCTTGTACAACAGCGTCTTCTACAAAGAACGATAACAACATCTTGGTACCTTCACTAACAGCAGATGATGATGCTAATAATGCAGAAGATGAAGAGCAAGGCTTCCCAATGGATATAATATGGAGTAATGATATCAACGATGACAATAGAAAAGAAGACTTCATCTCTACACCCTCTAATACAATTATTGCAGATACATCTATATCTAAAAATACTTTAACTGATACGCCACAGGAAAAAATCGAGAACACTAACAATATAGCAGCACCGAAATCTACATAATATGTTAATGTAGAAAAAGCAAAGAAGGCGATGCCCTTAGAGCAATTATTAAATGTACAGTTGACTATTTAGAAGAGATACGAAAATAAGGAATATGATTGCATTATCTACTATATAAACCCAAAAGAAAATCGTTTAAGAAACATTTCAACACATATCATGTACCTTTTGATCTGTACGAAATCAAAAGGGAGGGAATCATTGTTTTGACGGGATATCATTAGTATCACTGTAAGAGAGATACCATGGTGTAAGTACCAATATTTTTTCAGAGTACGATAAATTTTGAATACTTTCTAAAATCGTTGTTTGCGTAAAACTGGTGCACTGATCATTTTTTTAGCTACATCGGCCTTATAATTTTCCCTGGATCAAAGAATTTTTGTCCGAGTTTTAAATTTTTGAGGAACCAAAAAACGAGACGATAACTTGTTTTCCTCCTTCTCTGAACTTTTATATGATAAATTGAGTAGCTTAATACTCTTTAATATTTTAAACAGCTCTCTATTATTTATAAACTCCATTATCACTGAAGGATATTAATAAAATACACCAGTCATGTATATCCATTCGGAAGAATATGACGATTACGACTGCCCCCTTTGTATGGAAGAGTTGGATATCGCCGATAAGAATTTTAAGCCATGTCCTTGTGGTTACAAAGCAAGTATTTCAGATAGTTACTATTATCGTAAATCCACGGTTCTAAAATTACGAACGAATGTAGATATGCCGTTTCTGTTGGCATCATATTCGTGAAAATTTAAATGGTCTTTGTCCCGCTTGGTAGATTCCAATATAGACAGTGCATTCCCTGCTCTTCACGACTTTGTAATGTTGTTCTTTAACACCTTTCATTAAAATAGTCGCAGAGAATATTCTGAAAAGATTGCAGAGTTTGAACCTATTAGTACAGATGAGTAAATATCCTCCTTTTTTTTTAATATACACATAAAAACAATAATACTGTGACACTGTGCTACAGTTATTTATGCAACTAATTTGTTTATACTATCGTCATTAATTAGAATTGCTAGGATCAAGCGAGAAAAGAAAGAAAAAGAAAGACAGCAAAGAGATATGGATTTGGCAAACAGACGCCATCTAGCTAACATGCGGGTGGTGCAAAAAAATCTGATCTACGTCATTGGTCTTCATCCAAAATTAGCTACAGAGGAGGTACTATCATGAGCAAGAACAGGAAAAGAAGAAAGGAACTGTAGTGGCTCATAACTGACTAACATCATTATGATAGATCGTTCGCTCTCAAGATTACTTTGGTCACTTTGGGAAAATTGCCAAGATTGTTATCAACAAACGTCAAACTGCTCCTACTTCCAATGCTAATGGCACTACGACATTGCAAGCAAGTGCAGCAGTTTACATTACTTATGTAAGGAAGGAAGATGCCACTAAAGCCCTTCATGCCGTAGATGGCAGCGTTGTAGCCGGTCGTATTCTGAAGGCTTCTTATGGCACAACCAAATACTGTACTTTCTATTTACGAAACATGGCATGTCCAAATCCTATTTGTTTATATTTACATCAACCAGGAGAAGATGCAGATACAATGTCGAAAGAAGAATTCTTGACTGTCAAACACCGAGATCAAATGCATTCCCATCAGTACAGTGACAGTGAAAAGCGATTATCAAGTTCAGCACAGCAATCTGTCAGTAATAATCGTAGTAGTAACGTTGTTCCCAATACTCACTCTTTTCAGTATCATCATGAACACCAACAACGCAGCCCTACAACTACTACTACTACTACTGGTAGTCGTACTAATTCCTTTTCAAGCTCTGACTTTTCACCTTGGACACAACAACAACCCTCATCCTCTTGTAGCCCCACCACGCAGCACAATAGTGGCGCTAATGGCAATAACAATAGCTCCGCTTTACCAACTACTGCATCTTGGGGAAGCGGCTCACCTTTGATGGTAAAGAAACTATCAACAGACGGATGTGGTGCTGATGCTATCTATATTACATCTGATACATTTGGACCACCTTTATCAGTAGCAGTAGCTACTCAGCAGCAGCAATCATCAGTAGCTGTCCAGCAAAAACCATCAAAACGAAAATCCGAAAAGAAAAAACGCAAAGACCAACAAAAATTAAGCCAGAAAGATAAAGAACAATTCGAAAAGGAGCTGCGGCAGACAAAGCATTTGACAGCCACTTTGATGAAGAAGCAGCAACAGTATTGTCCGCAATTTCCTGGATTGTCTTATGATTTGTTTCGAGCAAGTACGACTGGAATTGCGCGATTTGTTTTGGGTGATGCTTCCAAACAGATCTACTCAACAACCACTTCACCAACCTTAACTGCGGATAATTTGGGTGATGATGAAGAGGACGATATAGAGTTGGATATAGACATAGACAGACTATTCGATTATTGCAGTCGTGACTATTATTATGATGAAATGGCTACAGGCAGCACAGCCAAAGACAGTAGCGGGCAACCGGTTGGTGTAAAGGCTCTGTATGAGGAATCAGATTATCCATTGTCACCAACAGAAGAAATTAAAAAAGAACCTCGATTGCTGGATCAGACAAGTATTGCTACTGACGCTACAGAAAAGAATGAGCCATCGCCAATCTTGCAATTATCACTTTTGGACTACTTAACCAAAGCCTACCCAGCCGCCATTATTCATTCGGATTCATTCAACCCTTTCGCCAATCAATGGAAAACAGCCTCTTCCGATAGTAGAGGTATGACTTCGGCATTCGCACAAACATCACATTTTAGTACACTAGGCTCAGAAGCTCTCACTACGAACACCTCCAATAATGGCATAAATGGCCATAGCATGTTGATGAATTCATTCTTCATATCTAAGCATTTGCCAAGTATTTTTAATACTACCCCATCCAACTCTGTATCTACTATTGCCACAATACAAGCTACATTCTCAAACATAGCTGCATCACCAGAATTACCTTTGACCCCTATTCCATCTCTTTGTGAGAGAAAAACCTCTCGATTTGGTTTTGCTCAGTTTTAATACTCCCTAAACCACTGTTTATGCAGCAAGTAAAGGATTAATCATCTTATTACCTCAAAACAGACAATCGTAGATATTTAGTGGAGAATCTGAAACTACTTAGTTTAATTGTTTGCTCGCTACAGGATGCATTTATACAGCCTCAATTGTTTGGATTTGCTCTTGAGACTATCGAAATGTCCTTTGGTGCACTTTTCAATGATAACCATAATTCAGACTAGACATTGTTTACAACCAGTGTCTGGAGCCGTATATTGTTGTATCCTGTATATACGTGGTGTAAAGCCACAAAATAGTAGCATTTTGTATAATCTTCAATAATTGTAGCCAATTGCTGACTTATTGATTTGAGTGATATATTGATAAAAGCAACTTCTACGCTTTTTCCATTTTCAAAACTTGCACCGATTAAAGGCTATAAAGAATGGTGGAATTCCTGATGAAACAGCCAAAGTTTTAATGTAGGCTGCTTCAAATTGTACTCTTCAACCAGAGGTTTTGCTCACAAACATTGAGATATGCTTAAATTGGCTGATTGGAAGAGAAAAGAATACTACAGAAAAAAAAAAAAAACAACACAAGATAAAGGCTAAACAAAGACGTCAACAGCCGTCTAACCAAACCATTAATCTGTGCACATCTTGTTATCACTTAGGCAAAAGTGTGCAACATTTGCAATAACTTTGAAACCATGACTCAATGGCTGCAAAAAAAAAAGATATGAAATATCAATGACTACTTGGAATGAGCATGGAAGGCCCTCTGCATCTATTGACTATACAAAGCGCCACAGCGAACCGTGGTCGGATCTGCTCAAAGAGACGCTACATAAATAAGTATTCTCCTTTTCAGTGAAGTTTCTCTCACCAGTCATTTTAATTTTATCTTTCAATTTTTGTAACTGTCTCTCAACTCGGATTTAAAAGACTCTGGTACCTTATTCCCTTTTATAAACAAATATCCTATTCAGCTCCCCACTTCTTTCTCTTGTAGCATCTTTTCTAGCCAAGCATCTATGAGTAGTTACAACAATAGTTATGATTCTTTCTTTAATAAAAATAGCAACGGCAAAAAAAGTATCTTCATTCTATGCTTTTCACTCACTGAAAGAATGAAACAAGCAAGTGGTTATATCGCTGGCATGTTGGTAATGTATCCTGAAGCCCCTTTAAATTGTTTTATATGGCTTTGTCATGCGCGAAAAAAGAGCGTTCTGCACACACAGGGTTGGGAAGTGATGGAGTAATTCGACTGTTTACAAATGAGTTGTCTTGATGCACAAATGTTCATTATTGACGCACATACCTTTTCTGTTGTTTGAAAGTTCGCTTTAGCTTGGTGGATATTTATTGATGGTCTAGTAACCAATATCAATTTACCTGATCGTCAAGTTATTCCTGGCATAGAAGATTGGGTTCCTGGTCTCATTACCACTATTGGCTTGATCCTGTAAGGAATTCCTTCACCCTTCCATTTCAAAAAGAGGCAATACCAGCCACAATGTTCAGTGTACACTATTTCCCTTTTTCGGGATTATTCTGACATAGAACGAATATCAAATCGTGTAGGGTCAGTGTGATTGATAAAAATAGTTTGTCAGGCACCAATGCTGGGGACTATTTTGATGAAGATTTTGTTTGGAAAGTGAGATTATTTTTATTCTTTGGATTCGCCATGTTAGCAGGAGGATTCTCAGGCTCCGTTGTAAGATTACTTTTTCATATTTGTCAGGGTTAATGGCTTTCCTGACAGTCCAATTATTATTTGTTAGGCCGTGCTAACGACAAAGTACAATGATTCAGCAAATATCTGGGAGCAGTATTTGGGTATTGCTCTAGTCATTCAGTCCTCATTGATTCTTATTAGGTAACTTTGAATGCCATAAATGATGTTTATATAAAAGAAGCCCGAGAAGAATAACCTTTTTTTTTCGTGATCTAGTACGGCTATATTATGGCTGAAGCAAACCTCGCATCATGACGGATATACCGCCTTATAGGAAACAATTTGAGCGCAATATATATGCTCTTTCTCAATATTCATCTCATTCGGTACCTGCACCTCATAAAGAAAACCAACTCTTATGATTTTTATCTGGTTTAAAATCATACATCACCATAAGAATACAATTTTGAAGGCATTTCCATATTTAAGTTCAGCTGACAGCTACTGATTTTTTTTTTTTTTGTAAGAGAGACACAGACAGAGAGGAAGCTTGACAGGGTCCCTATTGATTTTTTTTTCCTTCTCCACTTTATTTTTTTCTGGTTCCCAAAAAGATAAAATATCAAAAGGAAAGGGAACAGCAGAAAGCGATTTTTACCCTCGTTATGTCTTCCCTCGGGCACGTGTTTCACTCTAAGTATATTGCCATTGCTGAAATTCTACGTGCTATTATAACACGGCCTATTTATCCAAACAGCAAACCTAATATCTACAACAATTTACTCAGTTTGTCAGTCAAGCCGTTATTCGTTAAAAACCACGATCTTCTCTTCGCATGGAGACATTCAGCATATACCAGACCATATACAATTCAAACAATATCACCAACTTCGACATCTGTTAACCTACTCACGCATTCACAACCGTCATTAAGGAAAACACCCAAACATTCTCCTGCGTTATTGCCTGAAAGTCAATTTTCGAAGCGACGTTTTACCACAGCGAGCATTACTTCTTCGCTTAATAACCAAGACCAAAACAATACCCCACCCGCATCACCACCCCTAGTTAATGAAGTAAAGAAGAAAGGCCGATATGTGCTTGTTCATGACAGTAAAGGGAATGCCCATTGGGCTCGTAAAAATATTCTAAAAAAACCCAAGCGTAAACCTTCCACCGTTGCCGAATACAACAAAAACATCATGAATATCACTCTTAACCACCAACTCAATAAGGCCATCAAACTTTTTCGCGAAATGCAACAACGCCATCTCTATCCTGACGTTCAGACTTACACCATTATCATCAACGGTTTTGCCAGGCAGGCCGATATGACACGCGCGTACAAGTGGTATCAAAAACTACTTAACAATTACCGTACGCACCATTATGCTCCTACCCTAAAACCCAATGTTTATGTCTACACCACATTAATTGACGGGTATATGCGAGAGTCTAACGTCGACCAAGCTGAAGCTATGTTCCGTGTCATGTTACAGAAAGGCATTTCGCCAAATATCACTACTTACAACGTTCTCATGCACCATTCTGTCGTGCAATTTAACACAGAGGCCGCTTTGAAGTTTTGGGACAGGCTACTAAAGGCAGGCCTAAGGTCGGACGTATATACCTTTGCCATCATGATTCATGGGCTTGGGAACGAATCCAGGGTGGACGAAGCTTGGCGTCTGTTTGAATTGATGCAAAAAGAAAAAATTAGCTTGAATACGGTGCTGGCAACCACTTTAATGAATATGCACACGGACCATAAGGATTATCAATATGCAATTGAACTGTTTTATCGCTTTTTCAGTAATAATGGTGCTCTCAAGCCTTCGGAAAGCACGAAAACAGTGTTATTGAAGGCAGTTTTGCATAGCTCGCCGCTGGCTAAAGTGTATGATTATTACAGCCAGTATAGGGAAAGTCTGAAACAACAGCAACGACAAAAGCAAAAGATGAAAAAGAAGGCGAAGAGACAGGCAACCAGACAGCTTAACGATAAGGAAGGTAACAATGCAGAAGCAACAGCACCCCCACCAGCATCGAAGGTTGAAAGCCCGTCACATGCCCTGTTTGTAGGCGCCAGCGTTTATACTTTTACAACGTTTATGCGAGCTTTCATCAAGTACCGTGATTTCCGTATGGTCAGTACTGTCTATGCTGATATGCTGGCACATAATGTTCAGCCTAATTTAGTCACTTATTCTGTCATGATGTATTCGTTCTCTTGTTTATGTGAACCAGAAACGTGTTACCGTATATTGGAAGATCTAAGAAGGATGTGCTACCATCAACAGCAACAAAAAGAAGAGGGGGCTACAGCTCCTCATCCATCATCTTTGAAATTGAACGCTGTTCACTACAATATCGTCATCTCCGCATTTGGCAAAGCGGGCAAATGGCAGAATGCAAAGTATATCTATGATTTAATGAAGCAAGATGGCATCAAACCTGACAAATATACCATGGAAGCATTCAGACACGCTCGAAATGCTGGATTCTCGAGTTTAGACGAAGAACAGGATAGCAGTGACGAAAGCAGTGAGTTTGGAAACGATCAGCAGAAAACCGATCTTAAGGATGACTATTTAAATGATGCTGTTTTTGCTCTGGAGGAAGACGACGAGCCGCATCAAGGCGATCGATACACTAAGAATTAGAGTCGAATATTTTATAAATAGACCTTGTAAACCTACTTTTATACCCAAACGAAATTGAATAAAGCTAATAATCTGACAACAATCTATTCTGGCGTGTGAATGACGTTCAATTGTAGTACATTGCCTGGCTTTTTTTTTTTGGTTTTTTTTACGCTTACAGTCGCTACTGCTTGTCTATTTTATTGATGCATGTTCCTGCTCAAATACACTTGGTAAACCTTCTCTCTCTTTCTTTGCAAGGATAATATTATACATCAACTTTGTAATTATTCTATTTCCCGTGCTCAAAGAATATGTATAAAATATTTGGCAGAAAGAAGAATAGAGAGCCTCATCAGAAGGCAAAATCCAACACTGTTTTTAGAAGCAAGAAGAAACTGGACGCTTCAACTGTGGGCAATTTGAAAATACCTATTCCGATGTTACTCTACGATATAAAATGTGCCGATATGACAGAATCTGAAATTTTGGCAGCATTAACCAGCAGTGGTTACTACAAGGCTAAAAGTACAGGACTGGAAACAGCGAGGGATAGCAATCATGTATTTGATCATTCTATGCGAGTCAAGGATATTCTGGCACGTACGCCAAGAGATACCGAGCAGATTCGTAATTTCAGTATGCAGCATCCTAATATTACAGTCTCGAATGAAAAAGAAGAATTGGAAGAAAATACAGCAGAAAGAGCTGCTTTGAAAGAAGAGAAGATCATTGTAAATGAACTATCACAATTGGCACAGAGTAAAGGTAACGTCCTTTTAAGAGCCTACTATCTTTAAAGCCTGAAAATAAAATACGGCAACTCCTTTATTAACCTTTTCTTATAAGGTGGACAGGAAGCAGTCGAGAAAGTAAACCAGCAATTCACAATAGCAGCAATTCCTAGCAATTACTATGTCGATGAAAGCTTAACACAAACTGTACCCATGCAGCCTCTAACTGAAACAGTTGAGGAAGGTATCCTCACAAGTATCAGGGATGCTCTATATACTTTACATCAACAATATATTCAAGATAGGCGTGATAAATCGACAAGGCTTCTGGAGGAGACTATGAAGGAATTGGAAATGATGATAGAGATCCAAGAAACACAGCAACTGCTCAGACAGTTGCTTAACAGGTGCAGCATGAGTAGCAACGAAGTGAGATGATAGCAGATATTAATTGAAAAAAACGCCATGTTGTGCTCAAAAGGGCAAATCACATGATTGACTTCTATAACATACTTGTTATGGCTTCCGTTAATTACTTCACCTCTTGGGGGATTTGCTCATTACCAAGATTCAACCTCCAGCATCCTTTTGTAAATCACACTTTCTTTCAGCCTTCCTAATCACATGATCCTATAAAGCGGCTGTTCATTTTTAGAAGTAGGGGCTCTGTGTGACTTTTTATTGCTGTTTTTGAAATTTTTGATTTTTTTTTTCCTATAAAAAAAGATATAAAAAGGAGGAGTCTCAGGACAAGTCCTTCAATTTTTATCTCTCGATTGCATTTTCTTTCTCTCTATTATCTTTTCTTTATCAATAAATCAAATCGCATTCACTTTTTCCAACATGACGACTTTTCTGGGAATGACTGACGATGCGGCAAAGGCATGGCTTCTAAATGATCTGAATACAGATGACTGGAACAGCGTCACCATTGCTGGAAGTCTCAGTGAAGACATCCTAACTATAGCTGTCGATTTGTATGCTCAACTTCCCTTCACCGTCAAGAAAGGTCTATTGTTTTCCATCTTATCTATCAAACCAGGGGATGAGTATCAATTTGGAACGAGTATCCAGCAGGTATGAAATCAAAAATGGTTTAGGTTTCCCAGACACTCCTCTTTATCAACGCGTATGTGAGAACGTGCGTATTGAAGTATGTCCAGCAATGAAAAAAGGGACCCAGAACGAACTAGTTGCCAGCTTTTTTTTTTTAATGAAAACTTAAAACCAGTGGAGGGGCCGTTTATCGAAAAGATTCATTTGGGTCGTTTCTGTTTTCATATTTTGGACATAAATATCCTAAGGGTAAGAAAAGCCGAAGATGAAACAGAAAAGCCATTAGAAGGCAAAACTTCCGTGCTTACTATATGTTGTAATCACTAAGGAGCCTTTGAACTTCGCTATGGCTTGTTCTAAACAATCTTCCCTTTTTTCATGCTTATTTGTCTATTCATATGTTCTTAGTAAAATAACATGTTTATTTCAAATGTACACCGATATCAATAATAATGCATGTTAAACAGAACTTGTTTGTTTTTATTATTATTGCTCACTTTGTGTTATTGTGATGAGTTTTGACGTGACGTGCACCTAGCGCAACAAACAAGAGAAAAGCATAAAGAATTGAGATTAATTAACGAATTTATGCAGGAATTAAGGTTAAACTCATACACACCATACAAGTTGAAAGAAAGAGGAGGAGCAGAGGGACTGATTGATAATGAGAAGAGTACTGACTCATTTAACTTTATTCATTTTTAAATAGTTTGTCCAAAAGGCACTGAATGACTCTAATGACTTTATACGGTGTATGGCCAAGGTCATTGAGCCCTTCCCGAATTCATTAAATTTAGATATTGATATCTGGTGTGAAGATTTCAAATCGTCCCTGCAAATGATCGATGAAACCAGTAAGTAAAGAAAGAAACCAACCAACCCAAGTCCTCTAATTTAAATATTTAGTTGACTAACATTCCCCTTTATTGGCACAGTTAGATTGAGAGGATTGTCATTTCATAGTAAAGAAGATATGCTAATGCATCCACAAGCACGCATAGTACCTGCCCACGCTGGCTCAAATTATGTCAATTATAGTCCATCAGCAAATGAGCCTTACTTTAGCTTATTACAAAATGTAGACGATGAGTTTTCTGCCAAGACAAGACACTCTCGCTTTGCTGAATTGATTGATTTGGAAGCTAGATTGGAAGCTAGGAATCCCTTGCAACATCGATCTAGTTTTGGTAACGCATTATCTGCTGTCCCCAATGCGTCCACAGGTGGTCCACCTGGTATCCGTCCACATGATCGTATCAGTCCACCAGCTACTATGCCTTCTGTTCAAAGGGCGCCCACAATGCCCGGTCAAAGACCCCCTATGCAGCGAAGAATGCCATCTAACAGTAATCCTGCTAGTCAGTCTGCTCTGTACAATAAGCGCGCTGCAAAGCCCATCGCTGGCAACCTATTCACCCCAAAAAGGCCTACTGTTCCACATAGACAAAACTCATGTAAGCTAAGCCTTTCTTTTTTCATTAGAATCGCTTTAGAAGACAAACAATTTACTTATTTTTCTTTTCTTTTGTTTTCTTTCACAGTAATCCACGGAAATAATTTGCCTAGAGGTTTACAGCGTGAAAAGCGAGTTCAAATGATTGATTTCGACGACGCGACAGCTATGCAACAAAATGCTGCAGATGCACTCCGTAAAGCGAAAGAAGACGAAAAAATGGAAAAACTTGCTAAAAGACAAGCAGCGCTGGAAAGGAAAAGACAACGCGATGAAGAAGAAAAACGAGCTATGGACGAAGCCAAAGAGAAAAAAGCTGCTGCCAAGAAAAAGGCAAAGACAACAGCTTCAAAACGAAAGCAATCTGTAACAGAAATCAAAACAGACACCACTACCCGATCACCGACAGCATCTGCACCAGCTTCTCCTCAGACTCCAACCTCACCATCACCAAAAACACCAAAGCTTCAAAAGTTCTAACATAATCACTATTTTTTCGACTATTTATTTGCTCTCTCTGTTTTACTACTACAACTTTTTCTTTGCTCTTTCTTGTCCCATATTATCTTTCTTTTTTCGCTTTTGTTCTTAATGTGCATAATAGTTATAGCTTTTAATTTGGCAGATTCCCTCTCTTTTAAGATAAATAAAATCACCATCCTTTCGAATTCAACAATTACATGAGCACTTGCAACGAATAAGTAAATAGTAAGATTGTATTAATTATATAAAATTAAGGAGATACATAAAGTATAACGAGATATATACATAAATGAGTACATAAAGAAATGGATTTTACGATGAATACTCAAACAATTATCGCTTTGGTTTTCTAAACAAGAAGACAAAGAACATAAATGCCAACACGTTAAACACGTAGTAGGCGCACAAAATGCCGAAATCACGCCAACGATTGGAAAATCTCCATCCGATACGCTCTTCATAATATTGATTACCAATTGCGTAAGGACAATATTGACACATATCAGTTGAGCTGTTATCGCCAATATAGCCACTACCGCCTTGGGCAAAGAACTGTTGCATGTAGTCACCGCATGTTTGACCGGGGGGTGGTCTGAATGGTATATAATCGCTATCACTACAGACAACTTTCACACCATCCATAACATTTACCACTAAACCTTCTATCAAATAGTGATAAGGGTCTAGCCAATACATCCACGAACTCCAGAAACGGGGCATGGAAGAAGGAGGTTGCACAATACCGGCAAACAAGATCAAGATTGAAGTAAAGAAGGGATTAATGACAGCAGCCATAGGTGGCGTGCTTGAGAATGCAGCAATCACGAAACCGAGAGATACAGAATAGAACAGGAACATCGTGAAATGAATATAGAAGAACCCGATACGATCCGAGGCAGTTTGAAGACCTGCAGTCCAGTAAAAGCAGAATAAGAAGATAGCTGAGAAGACAATCAAATAGGGTATCTCTACCAGAACGCAAGACAAAGCAAATGGAGCCCAACCGTAGTAGCGAGAAGCATATTCGCGACGGAACCATTGACGTTCTTGCATAAATCGAGGCTGTGCCAAAATGATCAACGAGTTCGACATCAACAGAGTAGTAAACACAGAGAACATACGATCCTGCATATCGGCTGGTGTATTGCCTAATTTCCAGAAAGAGAAACCTGAAATAAGACCAATAAAGCAGACATTAAAAAGACGACCCATGTTGTAGGTAGGTACGCGCCACCACGATACATTCATACGTTTGTAAACAAGCCAAAATTGCTGCCAGAAAGAAAGAGAATAAGTAGTACTCTTATTTTTGTAATTAGGATCAATGCCTTGATGGATTTGCTCCAATTCTTGTTCAAGAGCTTCTGCTTCAGGCGATGACCTCCAAACTTCTGACCAGTCTTTACTAGCTTTACCAGCCGTGCCAGCACCCACGCATTCTAGAATGTATTCAGCCGGGTTTGCATTTGGCGAGCATTTAGGACCACCATTACGTTCAAAGTAGTCAATCATGATACTAGCATTCTCACCGATTTCACCAAAGTAGGCAGTTTTACCACCACGTACTAATAAAACCAAGTGATCAAAATGTTCGAAAAGTGTAGCAGAAGGTTGATGAATGGTACAGAGTACTGGCCAACCAGCATCAGCCAATTTACGGATGAATCGAACAATATTAAAGGAACTCTGAGCATCCAAACCTGAAGTAGGCTCATCAAGGAATAAAAGCTTGGGCTTGCCAACGAGTTCAGTAGCAATGGTCAAACGTTTACGTTCTTCTACAGAAATACCAATGCCGGCTTCAAGGTCACCTACCAAGGCATCAGCAATGCGCTCCATTTCCATTAAACGAATGATTTGCTCCACATACTCGTCCTTTTCTTCTTTGGGTACATCAGCAGGTTGACGTAAATAAGCAGAAAACTTCAAGGCTTCACGGACAGTAGCAGCAGGATTATGTACATCCATTTGTTCACAATAACCAGTGGTACGCTCAAAATTAGAGCCTAAAGGCTCACCATTCAAATAGACACGGCCTTCCACCTTACCAATTGTTTTACGTTTAGCCAGGACATCCAATAGAGTAGTTTTACCGGCACCAGAAGACCCCATGAGAGCAGTGAGATGACCAGGCTTCACAATACCAGCCACATCATTTAACAACTTCAGCTTACCACCTTTGACAGGTACAGTGTAATCAATATGATGCCAAGAGAAAGTAGTACCCTCTGCTACTGCTTCCATCTTATCAGTGTCTTCTTGTGCTGTTTCTTCCATAGCTTGAGCCTCATCAATTTCTTTTGGAGCTTTTCCTTCTTTAAACACTTTGGTAATGGACCCTTCTTTTTGCAAATCAACGTACTCCATACATATGGCCGTTAAGATAGTGAAAAGGAGAAAGAATAAAATGACTGCGACAAAGTTAATCCAACGCTGCCAAGTCTCATAACCGTAGGCTGCGTCTAAGTAGTCATCACCGAGAACAAAGTCAGCGCCTGGTTTGGCACCAGGCAAATTGCAGGTTTTGTATGCTTGATCTGTATATGATGGGCCGTAAGGAATAGAGCCGGCACCTTCACAAGTAAAATGCATACCGGTAAGCTCGTTTGAAATCAATGCTTTATAGCCGTAGGCAAGAGGGTTTATCCAGTAGATCCACATGAGCCACGGGTGCATCTGATTATAAGGGATTTGATAACCACAGTAAACAAGGGCAGCGATCAAAAAGACAGATGAGACTTGTGAAGCAGTAAAGAAATTTGGAGATACCGAACCGAAGAAACGGAAGAAACCATTCATACAAAGATTGGTGACAACCAAAATAATAAAGAAAGTGAAAAACTACAAAATAATGCTAAAAAGCTCAGAACATGTAGCAACATTACAATTATTCAAACGACGGATAGTTTACCTTTCCAGCATCCATTACAAGACCCATCATAAAGTAGACACATATTTCAAATACAAGCACTTGAATAATGGCCAAAGGTACATCAGAAATGACTTGAGCAATATAGAAAGCAGAGGGATGGTATAAAGCAAAGTGCTTATGCTTCTCCAAAACACGGCGCCCTTGCATAAAGGCTGAAAGTTCTGACTGAGCAATTAAGGCGTTAAAAAGTAAAGAGAACAAGAAAGCACCACCACGTGAGAAAGCGCCAGCAACATCCCTCGGCATTTTATAGAAAACAGACGCCATGATAAGGCCCTTTACGATAACACCACCGTAACGAGATACAAGTGAGCCTTTATCACCAAAAATAAGCTCAAACTGACGTACTGTAAGAGCCTTGACTTGCTGATAATAGGTAGCAACAAACGGTGATCTTTTAGGAGCATGCTTTTGATGAGCTTCAATGAAGGCTTGTCGAAACTTTTCATCAGGGCGATCTCTATTGATGTGTTCTTCATACGCATCACGGTCAGCCATCATAGTTTTGAAGAGATCAGAATCTTGATATACCTTTTCAAATTGCACGGCATTGACAGGCACCTTATCTTTGAATCCTTCACGGTATTGGCGTTCGTTCATATTACAGAGACCAGTTAAAAAGTCTGGGGTAGACTTTCGGTCAGGGCACTTGAATCCCATGTCTTCAAAGTATTGCTTGGCACCTGAGGTAGGACCAAAATAGATACAGCGGCCTTCGTCAAGTACCATGACTTTATCAAACAGTTGAAAAATACTATCGGAAGCCTGATATAAGGTAGCAATAGTTGTCTTTTGCAAAATATCTGTCATGATACGGAGTGAACGCACATAATCAAGAGCTGATGAAGCATCTAAACCACGAGTAGAGCAATCCCAGCAATTTATAGAGCTTCTGGTTGTCATTTGTTCGGCAATAGACAAACGTTTACGTTCACCACCAGATAAGCCGCGAACAAAAGCATTACCAACCATTGTATTCATCTGTTTCGTTAATCCTAGCATATTACCTAGCATATAAAGAATCTTGTTGATGAATTCTCCCTTTGATTCACCTTCCAATCGCTTGCCTGGTGTCTTATTCTTTAGAGCAAACTTCAACGTCTGTTTTGTCGTCAATGTAGGGTAATGTAAGTCTTCTTCTTCATTATAACAGACTTCACCACGGTAGTGTTTTGCAAATTCACGAGCTTCAATACCGCCATAATGTACAGTACCATCTATTTGAGTATAGGAGGCACGCATATTCGCTAGCACACGTAAGAGAGTTGTGCAGCCACTTCCTGGACGACCCAATACCAAAAGCATTTCGCCAGGCTTGCAAAATCCATCATTACCCTTCAAAATTGTAAAGTCATGACCCTCATGCTTGCCCCATTTCCAAACCTTGAAAATATCACGTAACCACGTATAATTTGTGGGAATACTTTTGGCATCCGCACCCAAACCTTGCACGACTAGATTTTTCCAAACAACACCTAATTCTCGAGGGTTGAAACCTTGCGCCTGCCCTACTTCGTGCTGTTCACGTAAAAAATCTGTCAAGTCAAACTCTTTTGCGTCACCTCTCTCGGCTTGATCCGGCGTGGTCGATTGATGGCGACTCCGACGAGATTGTTCAGTGAGTTCTCTTCGTAGGTCCTCATAATTGGACATAGCGTCTTCAATATTGACAGCATTACCGCTGCGTTCACCAAATGCACCGTGATCAGTTGATTGGCGTCGATTTGGATAAGGTCGTTTGTAATAGTCACCGCTATAACTCGACGCATCTGTTGAATTGTGATTTGGTATGCTATTGTTGTTATCGTAATACTGTTCGTCGCTGTTGTTATTGACATAATTCTGATCAGGCGTAATCTGGTCCGAGAGTGATTCACCGTAGTGCTCATTATGATATTCTTCATCCCGGTTATGCCTGATTTGCGGCACATGTTCTAGAGAATGCATCTCCATTTTATGGAACAAAATTTTAAATATCTATAAATCAGTCAGACAAAAATTCAATTATAAAGTTTCTAAAATTTAATGATCAAGGAAACAGAGTAGGTTGAAATTAATGAAAAGAAAAAGAGCGAAAAGGGCATCAGGTCCCAATTTAATGACGATGCGGCTTTATACGATTTGTTACAATTGTATATATTTGTTCTAGTTTGACTTTCTATTTTCAAAAATTTGTCGGGTAAAGGAATTCTATTCGAAAACTACAATGGAATTCAAAACGAATCTGTTATATACTTTTCCCGAAATCAAACAAAATGACAACTGCATTAAAACAGAGTAACCATACACGACAGTAGTTACACAATAAAATCACTACGTCCGCCAAGGCTCTTCATAACATTAATGTGTTCTGTGACATTTGACAGTCAAGCAACTGTAATCAATATTGAAGTCTAGAATCGATACAGTAAACGTTATAGCAACAAAAGAGAAAACACTATGTTGTCCTTAGAAGCAATTGAAAGAAGAAATGGCTAAATAAGGAAACAGGAGCAGAAAACAGAAGATTCATCGTTCTAATGTTTTTTATGCAGTTTCAATGGCTACCCTATTGGATACCTTCTTTTGAGAATAACCGATTTTGCGAATACTATGAGATTATCGTTATGACTAGATGCTTAATTTTACTACTACTACTGTCCTTTAACGTTTCGTCATAGTCTCTCATTTCAACGACGGTCGTTATACTGCTCCGTTGGAATACCTTTGGTGCGTTTGTAAGTCAATATGAAAGGCTGTTCTACTTCTTTATTTAGAAGTAAAACTCTCCTCCCATTTGCAATTTAAGTTTTGTACACTTTTCAACAGCAAGCCTTGATCCATAGCTTTAGGTAAGTCGCGACATACACGCAGAGGCCTATACTGTATCTCATTTTATTGACTAAATACGTAGTCGTACAATAAAGACAAGGCAAACTTATGATTTTTTGACCGGCTGAAATGTATAGCCCCTAAGTTACACGAAAAGCAAAACTTCAGATAAATGATTGTAACACGTCCACAATCAAGGCTTCCAAATAAAATTTCAGACCCTTGTTCTCTGTAACATTTTACTTCTATGATGATAAAAATGAGTATACAGTTCTTGCTGTTGATAATTTCTAGACGTTTTTCAGAAATATTTGATAATAAAATCAAATACCAAAGGCTTTTAGTTTCTATTTCTACTGTACCAAACAGTCAGAGCAGGTACATAAATCAATAGATCTGTTTATTCAGCTATGAATGTACCTGCTGTACTGTACTCAGATTGGGATAAACCTTTCTGCCTGTTGTTCAGTGACATCATATTGAAGTAGATATATTACCCAGCAAGTGGGATCAGACAGAACGGTCCCGAAATGACGGGCCGACCTAAAAAGCAACAATGAAATTCCCATAAATTCAATAAATTAAGATAACAATATGATAAACCCCTAATCAGTATGGTTTCGTCATGAGTATTGTATATTTTAAACATATATGGGAGAAACACAGAACATCCATTACAGAGAGGAAAGTGCTCTTCAATACGTAGAATTTTCTCCAGATCGCGGGATTAACTGATCTGAAACAAAATGAATCAGATTGCAAAGGAAAAAAAATGGTAATAATTGATCTCTGATATGAATAGACTCAAAAGAGGAACGTATAGATGTCTAAAAGTTGATTTTTTATTAGAAACTTCCACGTTGCTGGCTGGAAGAGTGTTAACGCGACTTGATGAAAGTAGCTAAATTGGCGGACATCTGAAGTGGTGTACGTTTATTCACCACTTTTAGGCAAAGTTTTCTGTTGAATAGTTGGTAATAATTCTTAACTTCTTGCACGCGTCTATTAAAGAGACGTAAACGATTCTGCGTTAGAAGCAAAGGAGTAATAGAGGCCTAATGGCATTGTGGCTACAATAGGTATAATTTCGACGAAGACAGTGTTATCCTGTAGTAAACAACGCTTGTACCCAGTAGTTTAAAGGCACATTTACCAGCATTGAATTTTAGTGATATTGATGCAAAAACTTTCTATTACACTCGCATAAATTCAGTCTTGATACTAGTTATCAATAAAAGAAACGAGGTGAAAAAATTACCATATAGATTATAACGGCATTCAATAATAACAATAAGAACATAAAGGAGTATTCAGATAGCTTATTATTGAGGTTTAGAGTTACTCTGTTATCGTTTGTAAAAGAATGTTCATCTGTTATATTATACAGTATCTTACTATATAAATGTTCAAAAACGCTGGAAGAATGATATGGACTGTATACAATTTTGTTAATATGAAATATCACTTTTTTTACCTTAATTGGTAAAAAAATACAGTGCTATATTATCCATGGTAGTATTACGAGTTGAACGATTCCAAAAACAAACTCATATCTAACGTTTTATTACATTTTATTATTCTCAAAAAGAAGACTTGATATGCATCAAAGCTACTATAAATGCTCATCAGTTCAATATTACAATAGATAACAGATAGTAAATTACGAAACAAAATGACATTTTTCAGTTTGACAGCCATTGATGAGATGTTCCCTACAGTTACGAAGCTATCAGTGACCTTAAGCGATGGTCAAAAAATTGAATAGAGAAAAGCATAGCTGCTAGGTTAAATCTGGATAATCGTTAACTTTGCATTGTTATCGTTTTGTATTAGTGCATACACTGGGCTCAGTATTTTCAGTTTTAAAAAGGTTCCACAATTCTTCGAAGGCATATATACAATTCTTAGCAAATTCCTGTAGTCGGTCTTTCGGTTTTAAGGTCGCTCTCAAATTTTCAGTAGCAGCAGCTCTTCGTCAACGATGTACCATGCAAATTTTTGCTCACTTTTTTATAAAAACATATCAGCATATGTTTGTGGCAACACATCTCTTAGGGTATTTTCAATAACTAAGAAAGGATTTATGGAATTCTTTGAAGAAAAACACCCCAGTTGGACTAATGAAGGACGATGTCAACACAAATCCTCTCGTTCGAACGTTTACTTGCCAATGCTCTTAGTGATCCTTCGACACATTTTCACAAGTGCTCTTTAAACGAGAATATCGATGCTTTAGTAGTACGAAATTTCAAGTTAAAGAATTGCTGGAAGTAATTAGGGCGGTGAAGCATCTTTGGGCCTTGACAGTGACTACGAGGCTGTGACCACTGTAGATATTGAGCGGAATGGTATACTAGCTTCAAGCAAAGGAATGCTGCTACAAGTAAAATAGTAAATTGTTCGACCGATAGAAATGTGATACTCCTTTAAAATTTTAACTCTTAAAATTTGTTTGTTTGTGTGCGGAAAGGGAAGAAGAAGAATGGGCCTCTCCTGAAGACATCTTGCGATGCGGAGTTTAGCTAATCCCATATATGGTCGTGTTTGAGATACGCGCTTCGTGACACATCACGTACCTTTTTTCCAACCATCTTCAATTATTCCTTTTTTTTCATTTTTGTAGAAAAAGACTAATTCCTTGACACAAATGACAGTTGATCACGAAGAAAAGCAATACCTTGATCTTATTAAACGTATTATGGATGAAGGCGAACATCGTGCCGATCGCACTGGCACTGGCACTTTAGCTATTTTTGCTCCACCTCAACTTCGCTTTTCACTCAAAGACGATATTTTCCCTCTTTTGACAACCAAGCGAGTATTTTTCAGAGGTGTCCTCGAGGAACTATTATGGTTTATCCGAGGCGACACAAATTCCAAGCATTTGAGTGATCGCAATGTTAAGATTTGGGATGGCAACGGTTCACGAGAATATTTGGACAAGATCGGGTTGAGTCATCGTCGTGAAGGCGATCTTGGTCCTGTGTACGGTTTCCAATGGAGACATTTCGGTGCCAAGTACGTGGATTGTGATACAGACTATACAGGCCAGGGTATAGATCAATTACAGCAAGTTATAGATAAGATTAAACATAACCCTACAGATCGTCGAATCATTTTAAGTGCATGGAATCCTGCCGATATTCCCATTATGGCATTACCACCTTGCCATGCTTTCTGTCAATTTTATGTATCAAATGCGCCCACTGATGGAAAAGGACGTGCAAGACTATCATGTGTTCTATACCAGCGGTCCTGCGATATGGGTTTGGGAGTCCCTTTCAACATTGCCTCATACGCTTTATTGACAAGAATGATTGCTCATGTTACAGACTTGGAACCAGGAGAGTTTATCCATACTATGGGTGACACACATATTTATGTGGATCATATCGATGCGCTTAAACAACAACTCGAACGAGAACCTAGACCTTTCCCTACATTGAAAATCAACCGTAAAGTGACAAATATTGACGATTTCAAATTCGAAGATTTTGAACTTGAAAACTATAAGCCTCATGGCAAGCTTGATATGAAGATGTCCGTATAGAAATTGCATTTTTTGTTATTGGTTTTTTTTTTGTTTTCTGTTTATCCATATCCTCTTTCCTGACATAGAACACACGAAATTATACATTCATTTTTACATGGAAAATAAAAATTTAATTTGTCCTTTTCTTTTATCGATCGTAATAACAAAATCAACGGTCCCATGGCTCAGAAGAAAGCGGTTAGTTTCTTGATGGGTACATTGGTATTTGCTCTCCTGAGCTATACATGCTACCAATTTATATTCACAATTCAAGGTATAGAATCTTGTTCGTGTTAGCAGCTAGTATAAGGACTTACCCAAAGACATTCTTTTCAGCATCGCAGACATCCGATCTTGTGAAATGGTATAAGGACTCCAAGTCAGGTAACGAATGCACTTTTCGTATTCCACGAAAAGGCTTCTGCTTACTGATTGCATACATTAAGTAATTGCATTGATTTTGTGCATATCAAGCTTAATTTGTTATTCAAGCATAATGCTGACACCTGCAAGCCCGCTGCCTGAGAACAATGTAAAGTTGGACAGAAGGGCCTCAACCTACGCTTTTCAGTTCCCGAAAGTATATCACAAGCCGAGGCAGCAAGAACAGCATACAGATTTACAGCCAGTCGCATTATCTATGTCAAATGAATTTGGCCAACCTTTATTTTGTTACAAGTGTAACTCAATCAAACCTGAAAGGACTCATCACTGTAAAGTCTGTCAAAAATGTGCGGCCAAAATGGACCAGTAAGTGAATTAAAAAGATTAGCGGTTGTCCCGCCGTCTTCCTACGATTAACATGAGCTTTCAACTGCAACGTAGCCATTGTTTATGGTAAGACTTCAAACATTAGAAATGCTTCTGTTTCGGTTGCTCCTGTCATAATAACATTTGTCTGTTGAAGGATCAATGGGTGCGTGGAGGATACCAATTATAAGTTCTTCAGCTTATTTATCTTTTATGTTGCTTGTTATGCTGTTTGGGTTTTTATCAGTACAGCACCATTACTTTTGAACATTGTTCGTGAGCGAGCAGGAGGTGTCACTTTACAATTTTGTTGGAAGGTGTATAAAATTTACTTGGCATCCATTTTCTTCGTATGGAAGAATATCTATATCATGATCAAAAACAGGAAATGGATGTCCTTGTTCGAAGGAGTACCATCTTTGGGACTACAATTAAGCTTCCATTGGTATTCTGTGCTAATACTGTAAGTCCTAATTAGCCTCATATGCTTACTCTGCTACTGACCTTCCAGTACTAATGTATAATATCGATCTGTTATAAAAGGGGATTCCTCTTCGGATTTTTACTGACAGGATTTACCATGGTGCATTTTATGTACATTTTCAAAAATCTGACTAGCATAGAATATATTGCGACAAAACCATTGCATTTACGTGTCGATTTCGATAACAGTGGAAGCAACTTTGAAATTGTTTCTGTTCTCGGTTACAACATATATGACCAAGGATTTTACAAAAACTGGTGTGCAGTAATGGGATTAAATCCACTCTTTTGGTTCGGTTCGTTGATTGCCAAACTGATATTGTTTCCATAGAATACTCGATAGTTTAACCTTAATCATTTTATAGTTCCACTAAGAAATAGTGAAAGCCGACGAGGATTTGATAAGCTTTATCCTTACAGCGAAAACTTTGAAAAGGAAGTCAGCCGCTTAGCAAGAGTACAACGACATAGAAGGTTGCAAGATTGTAGTCCGGTGAAAGAAAACTAAGACAGTAACAGTTTATTATTCACCTTTCATAAATGCCTAAGGAACAAAAATTAAATCTACGCTTCAGGAAGATCATCCATCTCTAATACTCTGCACTTCTCTAGCAAATACATCTTCTATTTTTTGACGCAATCCAAATTTGTCGCCTCTTTCCTTCGTAAAGAACGAAACAGCTTCTTCCGCAGATTTATATTTTTCTGCATGATAAGCTTGAAGAATATCTCTTGCAGTCGGCAATGCATATCTTTGATATGGATGTTCAATATAGTCATCCTGTTCATTGGTGAATATCAGTTTTCGCTTAACATTAGCGTGGAAGTATTTCACTTTAATATCACTGTCCAAGTCAAGGTCTTCCAGCTTCTTGGGCTTCCAATCAGGCGTTCGCTTATGGATGACATGAGAAGTGACTCCCTCCACAAAGTCATGAGAATACTAACAACATCAAATAATACAATGCATTATTTCTTCAATGTGTGAATGTGTGGTTTACTTGGAAAAGAAAATTTTTTGGTTACTTACAGGTACTGTTTGCCATAGTACATGTTCCATCCTCAAGCAATTTTTTAATGACAAGTTGATACCACGACGCAAATGTTCTAAGGTTACTTTCAAACTTGTGGGCGAACGCTTCAAAATAGTATCTACAGTTTGTAAAGCAAACTGTGAACCATCCTCATTGAGTGCATCAATGATTTGCTCTACAGTATCATATTTAAAGCATTTATCAATAATGACCCTGTTTTGCCCATACAAAGTGTAAACAGTGGGTTCATGATTTTTTGAAACCGAGTATTTTCCTATCAATTCATCAATTTCATCTAATTGTGGTGATTGCAATGCATCCAATTTTGATTCAAGTTCCTCCAGCCTATCAGAAAATACGAAATGAGTAGCAATACCAGAAAACCTATTGTGTTTATGAAAGTTTAGTCTGCAAATTAAAAGCACGGACGTTTCATATGTTTGGATCTTTTTACAATGCATCTTCTGCTTTTAAGATTTTGCTGGTCAGTGCCATATATCTGCCTAAATAACCGTCTAGTCTGGACAAAAAAAAGCTTGCTCCTACATCACAAAAAAGACCTATGGCTGTCTCAGGCATAGCAAATTGCGTATTTTCTGTAGCAATTCTAAAAGGAGCATGGCAGGCTAAACCACCTCCAGCACCCACTATACATTATATGTTCAAAAAAAGAAATGCTTAGTTTCGTCTATAGAAACTGGGCACGATGATACCGTCAAATACATTACTAGTGATTCCATCCATAACAGCAATATAGGGTGTCTTCATTGTCCCAATGAAATGCACCATATCATACTCAGTGTCGAGTTGGTGATTTAGCTTACTTTGCATAGCAGGATCTTTGATCATACTGATAACGTCCTTAACATCTCCGCCTGCACAGAAAGCTCGGCCTCGGCCCTTCATGAGAATAATTTTCGCTGTCTCATCCACTTCCCACGCCTAAAATACACATGTGGAGATGACAGACTCAGAATAACACTCTTTATGTTGTGACCAAGAAATTGTATGGTTACTTTGAGATGTGGGTATATAATATCCACCATTTCCATATCCAAAGCGTTCAATCTGCGTGGTCTGTTCATTAACAATTGCCGGCAGGAGAGGTTCCCCTTCTTCAAGAGTACAGAAGGCTATATGTAATGCATACAAGTGTTAATAAAGTTTTGCTACGCAACGGTAACAGCATACGAAACCTCTTCTGCAACAATGCTTCTTAATTGTGGTTGTGAAGCGAACTGTCATGCATAATAATTATAAAAATGTCTGTCAAAGATTGGTCTTCATTTTAATAGGATAGATGATTTACACATTCCATACGCCACGTTGATAAACGCCACGCTTGAGTATCGTTGACAGTATCCGGGATGTCATTCTTGCTTGTTAGGAACGAAAAAAAAACTGAAAGAAATTGCCGTGCAGAAAGCGCTGAAGGATAATGGTTAAGCTTTAAAGTTCAGAATTCTTTTTTGCTTTTTTCTGTTCCTGTATTTTTTTCGTTGAGTAAGAGTCATTCATTCACACTATAACTGTAAAAATTACTATGACTTATAATATCAAAGGGTGGCATTTACTCTAGGAAAAAAATGACACCCTTCCATGTTCGGGCCCATATGAATACAAGTTACTTTATTCCACTGACTGGATTTACTTTTGCCCAGGTGGTAGGATCTTTGGCGTTTCGAAAGCAGCAGCAGTAAGGCAAAATTGAATTCGCCTGTCACAGGAAATCGGTAATGCAACAGAACCATGAAAAGAATCTTTATTTGCAGTTCATCTCTGCTCCATCGTTATACCCCCTCCCACTTACCCGCATCGAAACGTTCCATTCCGATAGATACATAATTTTCAATGGATATCTCCAACAGAAATATTGATAGTACTGGACCACGACGAAGATTAACTCAAGATCTCAACAAACGTCCGCCTATCAGTCTTGCTACCCACCGACGATCAGGAACAATACGAACTATTGCTGATCATGCAGGTAGTAGTCAGAATGCAGTTTACGATGACGACTTTATCGCTCAAAAATATGATACGCAGCCTTCAACAGGAAGAAGAAGAACTGTGCAACTGAATGACTTTATCAATACGCAGACGTCAGCTGGATCCAGCAGCAATATTGATCTCCTTTATTCAAGTAACAGAGATTTTGCAAAAACAGAAGAACAGCAACTATTATCATCGCAGTCAAGAAACAACAACCTTTCAATACCCATAAAGCCATCGACCTCTATGTATGACCCTATATACAATATGAGTCTTGCCTCAACAGGCGATTTAGATAAAGCTCGACTTATGGAAGAGAATAGAGAGCTACGACAGAGAGAAAAGCAGTACATGGATAAGCTTGACAGAGTAAACTTTATTTCCATAAAATGAATACCATTCGCGTAATGAGTTACAGAGTCGTAACACGTCTGTTTATATTAGTATGAAAGACAATTGGAAGAACTGGCCATCAAATTTCAACAGTACAAGGATTTACGTACTACGAAACAAGAGGAAGTACTAGCTGAGCACATGACAATATCGCAAATGAAAGATGACGGTAAAAGCAATAGTTTGAAATAGGATGCAGATGAGGTACCAGGAATTCATTTACGTTTTGAATATGATGATAGCCTATGTGCAATTAAGAGATCATGTTGAGGCTCTTATAGAAAAGGATACTGCTCAGGCCGTTGATACTGCGTATAATCAACAACGGGCGCCACAAAAGAAGTTGAAGCAGGAAGCAGAACCTCAGATAGCACAACTTCCAGGAGAAACAGATTCAAAATTGAAGGAATTCGTGATGCTTTATGAAGAACTGACGAGTGTTATTACGATTGATGTCAAGAATACCAAAGAAGGGCGCTGTCACACATGCATTATGGCAGGCCAAAAAGGATGTAAGTTTTGTCATAGTTTCAGTTTTATTGTCAGAAAAGTATCTTTAACCAAGTGCATGTGCATTATATATATAGCCTTTCACTTCACTATTACTTTCCTCGGTAACAAAGAAGGTGACCTCGTTTATTATTCACCCTCATTTGATAGTAGAGATAAGGCATTTCAGTCATCGTTGCCGGAACTTTATCAGGAAAATGCGGCCGTCCCAAAAGAGTATCTGCCCATCTTTTTTGCGAATTTATCTGCAGTTGTGAACGTTGTTGAAGAAAATCGTTAGCAAAAGAATCAAAGATGGTTAAAAATGAGAAAAATTTCTAAATGCTTTGCACCACCATGCAAATGTATATACCAACATCTTTATTTTTCATAGCTTCCGTTTGAATGTGTATATATTACAATACATCAATTTAATACAAATTACACGGAGGAATAGCCCTTTTATTCTACATTTTATCAAAGACAAAACATATCACTGTCTTTTTGCTCGTCGCATGTAATCATTTCGCTCATTTTCTCATAGTTGCGGCTGTTGTTTTCGTTATCTGCCAGGTTTCAATTTGGAATTGAATCTGCGTACTCTTGTGTGTACTTCCAAGATCATCTTTTGCGTATTGTTGGCATCAGAATAGTAAAGGGGGGGGTAAGTAGAATAAACTTTTCGTTGTGCTAACTTAGCTCTGGTGCACAATTTCGGACGAAGTGAAGTACAGATAGTGGATTGATGACGATTGATGAAAAAAAAAAAGAAAAAAAGTTTTTCAGTGTCTATAAACAGCAATGCTTCTGTGGCTGTACAAGTGTAGATGCATAGTATCGTTGCACATCAACTTACTATAAACTTCTATCAATGACGAAATAATGTTCCAGAAACGAGCACTATTTTTGACATAGAAACAAACCGCCCTTTTTTTTTGAAACACTATGCTGCAAAATTGTTTGCACAGAAAAAGTGCAAGTCAAATAGACAGGTTAAGTTTAACTTTTTCAACTTTTTTAGTACTATAGTTATGAAAATTAGGATACATGCATCATTATTTTACCTGTAACACACCTTTGCCTCTAAGGAAAGTAGAAATATGCTTTGTGAAAAGGTATGAAAGTTGTTTGATTTGTATTTTATTTGAGTTCCGCAAATGTATAGAAGAAGCAGTTACAGATTGTGTGCACTCGTTGAAACGCACACCATTCACAGTTGCACTATGAAAGGTGTCCATTTTTTTTCTTATTTTTTTTTTTTTTTTTTTCAGCAAAGCTAGGTTTTTCTTGTTTTATTTTTCACTTGGCATGCGTTGTTTCTTTCGTCTATTGTCAGGTACGACATCCAAAAAATACGTGTTATGGATCCTTTTATATTTCTTTTGCTCAATACATTCAACCGTGCATTTGACAAGGATAAGGATTTTCAAAATAGTGTATCGTAACAGAGTCACTTTTGGTAAACGAAAAATTTTATGGGAAGTACAGAGTCATTTTGTGCAAGCGGTGTACTACTTTTCGCAACGCCAAATTGTAAAGCGATGTGCAAAAGAAATTAAGGTTTTTCCAATGTCCTACAAAAAAAATGAAAACAGGGCGTAGGTACAAACGCGTTAAAGTTAAGCTTATGTCTTCTTTCCCGTTATTCCAGACTAAAGAAGCAAAAAAAGGTAACAATGATTCCCTTCCAATGACGTAGTTTTGGATCTATTGCGTAATTGAGGAACGCTGATCTGATGTAGGGTTCCTGAAAAAGGAAAGCTTATATAGCCATTCTTTGTTTTGATCTGGAATTTGTTAGAATAGGAGGAATATTTTGTTACCTTTTTCATATGTAGTAATAGATCAAGATACAAATCTCGATAGTAGAAAAGAACTGGTGATGGTTTGTACAGAAATGTTTTGAAGGGGGTAGAGCAATCTTGATTCTATTTCAAGGACTCAGATGAGATAACGTTGTACAAACGATGTCATAAAAAGAAGTTTGGAATTGAACCCTATTTCTCTTTTTTTTTTTCTTTTTTATATGGCGCCATTAAGTAGAACAAAGATTTCCATGTCTGTATGGCCATCATTTCGTCATAGAAAAGTAACCTTATGATTTTTTTAGGAAATAAGAAACTATACTTTTCATATAGTTGCTGTAGCCATAATTAAAAGAAAATATAGCCCAATCGAAGTGATAATGTACGCATAGTGAAATGTGGAATGGAAACATTTCGAGAGACAACTCATAAAGTGGATTTGTGATCTGTTGAATCAGAACCTGGGCATTTGGTGTCATGAGTTTTTTTTAGTGTGAATTTAGGCTTAGCGTCGATGACCTCAAGGGAAACAATGGTGCCATCGAAAGGTGACTGTTCGAAGAAGGGGTACATAAAAGATATAAAATATCCCAAGATGTGCTGACACTCTCCCTTTACTCCTTTTTTATTTCTTTTTTTCTTTTCTTATAAATATTCTAAATCTTTGCCTTTTTTCCCTTTTCTATTTCTTTCTCTCTTCTTCTTTTCATATTATGTCAATCATAATCTTTATATTTTTTCTCTTGATACAACATTTCTTTCTTCCTTTACCATTAAACGTTACTTGCATTTATATACATTCAATCGTCTGAATAAGTTGACTCATAACCAACGTATCGTCATTCATACGACACACATGTTGATTGTTGGACTTGGTATTGACATAATCGATTTCGTCAGGGAGTTGGGTAAACGCTAAGCATTACTGTGATACATATGGATAACATCAATATGCATGAACTGGGTTTGTAAATCTTTAGTTTGTATTTTGAAAGCACACTATGGACATGTATCGTTTCCAATCAGCACTTGCAAGCTTTCACTGAAAAGTGAATAAAGCGATTCTGGCTGATCCTAAATGCTTCAATCTTCCGACGTTACGTTGAATGTTACACGGTTTTTAATGGTTGTAAAATGACGTAGAGAATAAGCGGGCAATTTAAATAATGCTGCAAAGAGAGAGAGTGTGTAAGGAAGGACAGGCATTGAATAAGTTTAAACTTTTTTCTTTTTTTTTCTTTTTTTTGGTTTTATTAACGGAAAAGGTTTGCCATCATAGTTGAGTTCATATTAAGCTTCAGGAATAATAAAGTGCAAATCGAGTTTTCAATTTTACCAGTTTATGACAGAGTAAAGATTGGGCATTCTGTTCCCTTCTTTGCACAACTTTTATTATATAATGTCAACTGTACGCTTACCGTTGTCAGTCTGAAAACGGTGCACTTTTCCATTATGACAATCCTTAATGAAAACGCGTCGATAACAGTGACCTAAGCGCGATTTCTCAATAACTACTGCTCAATTGCATTGTTGTACTACCATGACAGAGTTTATAGATACGTCATTTATGACGTTTCAGGGTTTTTTGCCACCCAAAACTCATAAGGAGGTTTGGTAAATCATTACACAATGACAGCATTGAGCTGTCAGCCCCTATTATTCGTTGGCTCCCGACTCGTCGGAAGATGTCCCTGAATTTGGAAGTATGCCATGCATCATTTCGCTACACATGATTGCCCTTTAAAAATATCCTTGGTGACTTTTTCTTTCTCTCTTCCTGTCTCTCTCTTTCTTTCTCTCTCTCTCTCTCTCTTTTCCCGTATTTATCCTTTCAGTTAACTTTGCTTGATTCGATAAAGATCGGGAATCTTGTAACAAATTGCCGATAATCGTTTCCAACGTAATTACTTAATTCAGACAAAACATCAGAACTCAACACAAAGTAGCGACACCATCCATTCAGCAACGACATCAGAACCAGCGCCTACAACATAAGAAGTATAGCTTCTATCACGCTAAACGTTAACATATTTGACGTGCTTTTCAAGGATAAATTAAAATTCTTCAGCTCTTTTTATTTCTTTTTTCTTCTCTTCTCTCTCTCTCCTCCTCTTTTTTTTTTTTTATTTTTTTAATGAATGATTATTACCTCGTCTAATAGTGACTTTGACTTCTCCTCACCCACAGTACTCATAACGGATACAGTCGACTTTAGTAACACGCCTATTTATGATAACCCTTCAATTATCCAAATGCAAAATAATCCTAAACACCTTCAGATGAATTTAAACGCCAATGTTAATTTTCTCAAAACTGACCCTTTTTTCCGTACCACCAACGTCAATGCTGCTGCTGCTGCTGCTCATAGTACGACTACCACAAATCTAAACGATTTGACTCCGCACACGATGAATAACGACAATTATTTCTACCAGCCTTTCCCGCATCAACAGCAACACCATCACCAGCAACCACCACCACCACCACCACAACAACAACAACAACAACAACAACAACAGCAGCAGCAGCATACTTTTAATAACTACAGTATCCAGCCAATGTCCACGTATAATGCTTTTAAGGATTGGTCTCAACGTGTACTACAAGATATTGTAGGTCTACTACATGTTTTATCACCAACCGGTATCATCCTCTACTGCTCAGAATCATGCATTGATTTGATTGGATATCAACCTCATGAGTTGATTGGAAGATTCCTAACAGACTTCCTTCATGTTGATGATCTGGACATGTTTACAAAGAATTTTCATTTATCCTTCGTATCCATGTCTCGCATCAAAATACATTATCGCATCAGATGCAGTGACAACACGTACATATTGTTAGAATCTATAGGTCAGCCTAAACAAGATTCACCAGATCAACCAGCCCAATCGTTCTTTGGCTTTGCCCAACCTTACTTGTCAAAAACCAATGGTTTATTAGATTCCTTTCTGGAAGTCAAAATGGAAAACGAATGGTTGAAAAAGAGATTAAATGATGTGTTGGCGTTGCAACAACAACAACAACAACAACAACAACAACAACAACAGCAACAGCAACATCATAATTCTCCTACATTAAAGCAGCAACACTATTATTTGCAACAACAGCAACAACAGCAATCTGGTGCAGCTCGAAATGCAGCAACACAAGCAGCAGCACAGGTAGCAGCAGCACAAGCAGCCGTAGCTCGTTATCAAAACCCATCCTCCTACTTATCCAACACGACGGCTACACCACCACAACAACAAACAACACCCAATAACAATCATAACAGTAGTAAAAAGTTATCTATAGACAATACATTTGATAATCTCTCATTAATATCTGCCTCTAGCGACCATTTGGCCCATCAACAACAACAGCAGCCACAGCTAGGTCAGCAAACTTACAGTAGCCCACAGCTATCGTCACGTAGACCTTCCACTGGAAGCAATTCAACCATGTTTCCGATCAGTATGAATACTACTACTACTACAAATAATACCAATAGTATGTCAACTAACAATAGTCATAATAACAACAATACCACCACTACGATTACTACAGCTAATAATACCAATCCTACGGCTACTAATACCATTCATACGGCTAATACCAATTTGAACGATGACAGAACAACACGTAGTACGCAAAATAACAGTTTGTGGAGGCCTTCTTCAGCAGTCTCTTCCAACGATATGTTATCTCAAATGCAGCAGCAACATCAGCAACATGTGGATGAAGCCAAAATGGCCCACTTGACTAACTCACCCCCATTATCTGTTGATGGCGTACGGAAAGAAAAATGGAAACGAAGAGTAAATGTTCAAAAAGACCGAATGCAACTTTTTCTAATGGTTGAAAAAGCTAACTTTTCTGTTCCCTTGTCTTTCTACTTAGAAGAAACATAAAAAAGTAGAGGACTACATTTGCACTGATTGTGGAACAACTTCGTCACCAGAATGGCGTAAAGGACCTAATGGTCCTAAAACGTAAGTTAACAAAAGTATTGAGTCTTATAAAAAGGAAAAAAAAACCCCCCTCTAATATCTTCTGTATTCTGTGAATTCTTTATTAGTTTATGCAATGCGTGTGGTTTACGCTGGGCAAAAAGAAATAAACAAATTGAAAAATAAGCCGGTCCATATAAACCTTTCATAGGAGAAGGTTCAACTCTCCTCGCACCCATTTTTTATGATATTCGCCGATTTTTTTCTTTTCTCTTATTATATGATACTCAGTTTTTCATTACCTTTAAATCTAAAACTCATGATATGTACACGCATCATATACCCACATCCTCAGCTTTTTCTTTTTCAGCCACAAAGTTCGTATGCCCCGCTTCTTTTTTATTATAAAACTTTGCCATTTCTAGTTTCGCCTCGTAGCAAAAAAAAAAAAAAAAAAAAAAAAAGAAAAGAAAAGAAAAAGCTACAAAAGACTAAAACGAGGATCGCGTTTCAAAAAAGAGACATACTAACAGTTTCTCCTCGTTTTATACTTCATTGATATTATGCCTTGAAAAAAAAAATGACAATAAAAAGAACACATGAATTTCTTCACACTTATTATACTCTTCATTTTTTTCTCTTATCCGCAAAAGCAAGAACCACATTTAAGAAGCAAGCAACAAACACACTGTTTCTTTGGTGAAAGAAGACAAAATTATTCAAGTAATACCCTTGAGAGAAAGAAAGAAAGAAAGAAAAGAAAAAGAGATGGTTCCAGAAGGTACAGCCACAGCACTTTTAAGTGAATTTCATAAGGATACTGTTAGCAACAGTAATAACATGGCTATCAGCAGCGAGGATGAACAGACCTTATTGAATGATATTCAACAATATATTGAAAAGCCCACGATGTCAATCCCTGAGTTATTGACCCATGTGGTAAATGAAGCTCTCGCTATCATTCCTTACTCTCAAAATGAACAATGCTCCGAATTCACCATAGCAACAGCTTTAACGACAACTGTAACTCGACATCAGCATGTTCTTTTACCCTCCCTGGCCTCCTTCATCGGTTACATCATACATCGATCGCATACCCGTAGTAGCACAGTCTTGGGCCTACTTGTCTTTTTACAAAGATTGCAAGGGTCTCTGCGGGATACAGCCAAAGATATGCCAGGTGCTTCCCATCGTATCTTTTTGGCCACATTAATTGTTGCTTCCAAAGCTCTTCATGATACTTCGCCAAAGAATAAGCACTGGGCCCGTTATGTCAAATACTTTACTCTAGAAGATATCAACTCAATGGAACGACAAATTTTAGAAATTCTGGTATATATCATCCCCCACAATGAAGAGAGAAATGTTTGAACCTTTTTTAATCCTATAGATGCCTTATTCTAGGACTATCGTCTTATTATCAGTCCTAAAGAGCTCATCAAAGTCTACCATGATTTCAAGTTGGCAGCCCTTATGTCACCACGGATACAGGAAGGGGAAAAGACAAAGTTTGCTTCACTACAACCACTTCATGCTGAATTTGATGGAGTCTCGCCAACCACAACTTATCAGCAAACATCTTATATGCGCCATCAACAGCAACAGCAGCAACAAAAACAGAAGGAAATTGTTAAGCAGGAGGAATTGCAACAATATAGAAAAGGAAAGTTCATCATTCAAAAACCGTTTGTGTCAACTATGACTACGACCTCACAACAGCAACAGCAACAGCAACAACGGCAAAAAATTGCCACTTCGTCTGCACCTGCCACTATCCTTCCATTGCTTTCTGGTACAGCCATAAAAATGGACTTCGAAAACTCGTTCCCATCTTTTTTACCAGTTATGATCAGCACCTATTCTGCCAACATTGACTTGAATTCTTCACTTTCTTCGTCATCATTGTCGTCAGCTATATCCGATGAAACTGTGAATACTCTGAGCGATGAAGAATTATTGATAGAAGGGCCAAACGTATATCTCCCTGCAGGAACGCTATCACAACAAAACGAACTATTCCCAGCAAAGGAGTTACAATGTAATTATGTTGCTAGCGGGCACTTCGATACACTTAAACATAATTATAATTAGCGCTCTTTGTCATGAAATTTTCGGAAAGACAGTGCTTAGAAACAATCTGTTGAATTACTACATGATTACTAACAGTAACCAGATCATCTCTACATATTTTCCTCGTTTTTTGTTGATCAAAAACCGTATAAACAATAAAGGTTTGCTATGTAGCATTTGATGTTAGACAAAAGCCCCATAATAACTTGTCAGAGTAATAAACATATGATTGTGTGTACAGATACAGAAAGTGCACGAACAGCTGGTCTATCAAATGCTGGTATAGAAATTACTGCCGCAACTAATTATCGTTTATTAAGTGCAGTTATGAATTCAGGTTCTCCAGGTATCCATTTCCTTAAAACTTTCGGAATCTGTACTGAACCGTCCTCTTGCACAAATGTTTCCAGTATAGCGATTATCACTCGAGGGACTGCAATGGCTGTACCGTTCAATGTATGACAAAAGTCTGTATTGCCTTTTTTAGTCTGCGAAAATCTTGGCTTATATCGAATGGATAGACGTCGTGCTTGGTAATCGGTACAGTTAGACGTGGACGATATCTAACCAAAAAAGAACAGAAAAAAAAAACAACCCGGTCTAGTACAGTTTCAAATGTATAATCTATGAGTCAGAAATAGCTTTTTACCTCTCCCCATTGTTGTCTCCCTGGCATCCACGCTTCCATGTCATATTTTCGATAAGCGCTTGCGCCTAATTCCTCAGTCGGCATATCCATGACCCGGAAACATAGTCCCAATTCTGTAAACATCTCCTCTTGCAAGCTTCGAATTTCCTCCATCATGGGTTCGCTCTGCTCAGGTGTAGTGACAGCAAACAGCTCCACTTTCGAGAACTGATGTACGCGATAAAGACCGCGAGGTTCACTGCCATGTCCACCTGCCTCCCTTCGAAAAGCATGTCCAAAGCCCACCAAACGCTGAGGTAATTCTCGTTCTTGCAATAATTTAGATGCAAATTTACCGGCAAGAGGAATCTCTGCTGTTCCCACCAAGCACAGCCCTTCTTCTTCACCTTTGTCGTCTTCATCTCTCTTCAAATGGTAAATGTGTGAACTCTCTTCTTTCCTGGGTTGAAAACCGCATCGATAAGCCAATGGAGTTCTCACAATATCTGGTGTCATGACCGAAAAAAATCCTTTACAATATGCCTTCTGCATTGCATACTGAATTAAGGCTAATTCCAAAAAGGCGCCCATGCCTTGTAAATAATAAAAACTTGATCCACTTGAACTAGCCGCCTGTTCTAAATCTAGAATGCCCAACGTCTTGGCTATATCAACGTGATCTGTTCTCTCCTCATTCATCCTTGGTGAGCCAACTATTTTCATGACATGGGCATTTTTTTCTGGACCTATCGGAGAACTAGGGTGGCTATCATTGGGTATCATGAGTGCCTGGTTTAGCAGCTCTCTTTCACGCTGGTAATAACTTTGTTCCAACGTTTTGATTTTGTTTTTGAGCTCCCTCGATTTAGCTTTCTGTGCTTCTTGTTCGTTACTGTTATTTGAATCGCTTTTGAGAGACCGTAATAGTGCAGATTGTTTGTTATGTTGAGCGCGAAGATCAAGGAGCAATCTGTGATCCCGCTTAAGATCGTGGCGTAACTGACATAATCGATCGAGATCAACATCACCTGCTGATTTTCTGTTGAACATGTTAGTTTGTATGTAATCTTTATTCTGAACGATTTTCTCATAGTCTAATTTCGCTTCAATATGAGCCACAGAGTAAGATCGTTTCAGTATTCTAGTGAAGCATCGCTTTAGCATAGTTCTAAAATGTTATCTAAGCTTATTGGGTATAGGAGTAGCAGGGGTAGATATTCCCAAAACTACTTTTGTTTTCTCCCAACGCCAATAGCACGCATCACAGGAACAATTTTTATGCCGACGGAAAATTTGCGGGGTCGTCAGATATCATGCCTACTTGAAAGAAATTGCATATCATTATATAGATTAGCTCAAAAAAAGTCCATAATATTAACCCATGAAGTTCCTATTTGTACACAGTCCAAAATAGAAGGGCAATTATAAAACTCTGCTCTTCAGTTTGAATGACCAATTGACAAAGCAAAATGATTCGTGATTTTATAGAGACATTGTTGTATCACCATCAAAGTTTGATTAACCAATTTTTGTAAGTACTGACAGTCGCAAATACCTGTATAGTTGACTATTCTGCCTCTACTGATTCAACAATAAGTCTTTAACGTCACTTATTATTGTTTATTTACTGTAACTTGGACTCAAGCGTTATCATATAATAAATTGTCCCTAATAAGAGATCTCATATAGCGACGAAACCTTCAAGAACATTTTACAGAAACAGTAAGAATAACGGAAGTGGTATCCTTCTATTGAAGAATAAATATAATGAAATTGAATATAGCACTGTTAGAAAGGATTGTTTGTACATTTGATTATTGACAGAAAGGTATGACCATTCTCTGAAATTGATGAATTGACTCTATCCTTATCTCTAGCAGTCATTATCACTTGAGTTATTGTTGAAACGAGCAGAAACTAATGAATTTAATTGATAAGTTTCAAAATATTATGTTCTATCCTCGTTGTAGCAATATTTTCTTGGTAATTCACTCGTAGAACGTATAGAATACACTTCCTTACAGCGTGTAACTCTGTCCTCGCATTTCGTTCCTTACTTTCTAAGGGGTTCAAGTAAAAACTGTTGACAAACTATAGCTGAGTTGTCTTTGTAATCTTATTATTACTACCCGCTTGAACATGCTTTTCATCAATTTAACATTCGCTTTCATATTTTTCGTATTATGAAGCAATTGAAGGCCGTAGTCGCAGTCGTGGGTCAAAGCGTCGACAGATTAAGATGTAACGATCAGGAGGAATACTATGACAACCGAAAGAATGGCTGTCTCCAATCCATCTAACATGTACCTCCGGCTAGCTATTACAATACTACACTTACGAACGTTTATTCTGAATTAAAACTACATGCTATTTTTAAATGGTGTGGCAGGAATTTTAATTTGTAATGCGACAATTTTTAGAAGAAAAGTGAACTACAGAGAACATGATGAAAAATCGATACTTATAAAATCATACTGCTCACCACAGGCCATGCGCTCAGTAACGACTAGATTATTACATTATAAAGCCAACATCCCAACGAAGCATTACAATAATATGTACTAACTAGTAATAATCGGTTATTTTCGCCAAACCTGTGATATGAATACAAACAGTCCAATATATATACAGCTTGACACGTCTTTTTCATGTCAACATATAAAGATTAAATATAACGAAGTCTTGGATAACACCTACCACATTGTTGCCTATAGCCCTCTAATTAGGCTTTACTATGTATATTTCCCCTTAAATAACTTTGGAAACATTTATTCGTGCGCTTAATAGCCCCTTCTGTAGTACTGCTGAAAAAGAGTGCATCGAACTCTGAAAGAAAGTAATTTCGAAAGATAATGAAGATTAAAAACAGGCCATGCTCATCATCATAGTAATACTCAGTTGGTGCGCCGTCTGCCATCTTGTTCGTGAGAAATAGCAACATTTTTAAAGCGCTTCTGTACCAGCAAAATATCTACATGGAGTGCTGGACGTATCCCTGGCAGACTATATAAGGCATTCATTACTCGCAGGCCACTTCTCATTTACAGTATTCCTTAGATTGGCAATCTGAGGGTATTTGAAATCCTTCCTAACGTTGGCCATCTTGGAAAGTTCTGCTTCTTTGTATGATGTTATTGCTAACAAAGGAGCGAGTTGACGCAAGACAGAACTCGAAAGTCTATATAATAACGCCCTCTTGGAAGAGCATATCACTGCTGAGCTCGAAACAAAACAATCTTTCGCATCTCCTTCGAGTCGTATATATTCTTCCGAAATGACTGACATATTTCATTGTTCTTTCCGCATATTCAACATATCTACTACTATAATGACTACTGTCACTCAGGAATATGTTGCTCCACATGTTAGAGCCAATCTTTGCCAGTGTCTGGTTACTTATGACCTTTTGATTTTCAATTAGTTGTCATGTACATTCTCTCTCTCTACCTCTTACTATTTTAAAATCTCATGTTACTACGGTTTAATAGAGCACATAATTTTAATGGAGAAAAAGGTCAAAAAGTTTTTATATTTATCCGATATAAACGCACTAATAACAGTTGGTAATATAGGTCAGCAACAGTTTCACAAATTATTTGAACACTGTTGCTCTCTGTTAGAAAGGATCTTTGGGATTGAAGAATATTACATCCAGTATTTAAATTAAGCAATCTTTTCCAAAATAGCATTCAGTTATTGTGTCCAAAATATACGTATAATGTTCTGCAATAATGACCATTTCCTTGGTTTCCGTAAGATTGCTGCATACGGACTTATTGCTCCTGTTGGGGATTATGATAATGTGGGATGATTTTGTTAGTGTCGAAGATAACAAAGCAGCCAATGAAGTGATGGTGAGTCGAGCTGAATGCACGAGGTTTATGTAGGTAAAACAACAAACTGAAGATATGATAAGTAGGCAGTGACACCGAAAATTAACGCTAAAGAGGAATCTAACTATTATTTACAAAATTTATGACAAATGACTACTTTATGAGGGGAAAGTAGCCACTTAATTTTAACAATTACTGCCGGATATTCATTGTACGTCTTTCAAGAATGGATGTTCAAGAGCTTCATCAGCAGTAATTCTTTTATCTGCATCCAGATCAAGACATTTCTCTAAGAAATCAATGGCCGTTGTTACATCATCACCCCACTCGGCTATCTGATCACCATTCAAGAGTTGGCAAATCTGACCCCAGCTTTTTCTATCCGTGGGGAGTATCACGTTCGTGTCAAATGTTCGACCTAAGAGATGTAAATTTCAGGTTAGTTTTTTGATAGAAGAATACATAAATCTAGAAAGAGAACCTACCATATTTTGCAGCCATCTCGTCCATTGCTGTTTTTCCATAAACTTGAGCTATTTCAATCAACGCATCCGACTCTTCCCCGGCTATGAAGAAAGGATATTTGCCTGTAAGGATGCTTGCCAATATGACACCTGCTGACCAGACATCAATGGCTAATTCAAAAGAGGTAAGTATGGAAAACTCATCCATTATATGAAGCAATCAAAAATTTGACTTTACCACATGTTTGGTGCTTGGTTCTGAGTAATGTCTCTGGTGCTCGAAATCCTCTTGTGCCAGCTCTGTTTGCCTTAAAAATAGGTCGTGGATCATCTGAAAAGTATCCTATCTCAGTCTGTTCGTTCAATTGTTTTTTAACCCACTCGATAAGAGCAGCTCCTGCACGAGATAATCGAATCCGTGGTTGGTCTTTAAGAACCACTTCCGCTAATCCAAAATCAATTAGATATCCACGTTTCTTTTCCGAATCATATAAGAAATTGTTGGGTTTCAGATCACGGTGAATAATGTTGTTATGCCTTAGCGTTTTCAATGCATAGAACAATGCCTTCATATAAAATCTGACTTCAGTCATTGATACATTGCAAAAGAACTGTGTGAAACTGTCAGCTTTATGATGCGGCATCACGAAAAATACATTGCCTTTTTCCCTAAACGATGTAATCAGAGAGGTGATTCCCGGTTTGCCTTTCAATTTCTTCAGTATTTGGAGTTCGTTTAGTATGCGTTCTGGAGAGCTGATCTCATAGATGCACTTTATTGCAACATAATGTTTGCCGTCTTCAGTGATAGGTTTCCCCTCCATTTCTTTATCGGTATTCAAAGGAGTAGAAGTGGAGGTGGATTCTGTGATGGATTCTGTTGCAGAGGCTGAAGACTCGACGGACGTAATGGTCGGATTATGGTTACTCTGTTCCATACTTTCCACAGCGGATTTCCAGTCATCATTTGTATATTCTTCATATCGCAAGTCTTCTGCTAAGAAGACCATACTGAATGAACCCTCGCCGATTTTGTCAATTATTTTGTAATCGTTTTGAAATACTGGAAATTCATTTTCTAGATATTCTATAACTTTGGTGATTCTTTCCTCGTCACTGCTGGAGTTCGTGGTAGATGTTGAACCTGTACTCGTTTGTTCATGTTCTTGTTTAAGGTGAAGTATTTGGGCATGCTGTATTTCTGTTGCTTTCTGGGTTGCTGTGGATCTACCAGTCGGTTTAGGCTTTTGATGTGCTATTGTTGACGCTGCTGTCTCTGCTATTGCATTTTCCGATGCTTTCATGAAAGGCTGAGTGATATCGGTATTAAATTTCTTCTCAATTCTTCGCTTCACACGTCTTTCTGTATCTTTTACTGTCTTGTGTTCTTCATCATCATCATCTTCAACAACAAGGTGACGCTTCTTTGAGGATGTCATGGCTATGTCATTCCCATGATGTGCAGCTTGAATGCTAGTGGTATGCTGCCTTTCTGCTTCTATTGCTGTAGATGAATTTGGTTTAGGTGGTGAGCGAACTTGTGAAGCATTCATCTCAACCGGCTGTTGATTTGCTGTCTCTGCTACTGCATTTGCTGATGCTTTCATGATAGGCTGAGTGTTATTAGTGTCAAACTTCTGCTCAATTCTTCGCTTCACACGTCTTTCTGTATCTTTCACAGTACTGTGTTCTTCATCATCATCTTCAACAACAAAGTGACGCTTTTTTGAGGGTATCATCGCTATGTCATGCTCGTGTTGTGCAACTTGAATTTTAGTGGTATGCTGATTTTCGGCTTCCGTTGGTGTGGATATTGTCACTTGAGCTTTACTGGTATGCTGTCTTTCTGCTTCCATTACTATAGATGAATTTGGTTTGGATGGTGAGCGAACTTGTAATGCATCTATTTCAGCCGGCTGTTGAATTGCTGTCTCTGCTACTGCATTTGCTGTCTCTGGCATTGCATTTGCTGTCTCTGACATTGCATTTGCTGTCTCTGGTATTGCATTTGCTAATGCTTTCATGATAGGTTGGGTAGTATCGGTGGTAGACTTGTTCTCAATTCTTCGCTTTACGCGTCTTCCCGTAAAAAGCTCATCTCTTGGTAGATTTGATTGGTCGTGTTGTTCTTGCTCCACTTCTGTAAAGTGTCTTTTCTGAGTAGATGGTTGAACTGGACTTTCAACTGATATTGCTGGCATTTCTTGTTCTATAGCATTAGTTGTAGTATTTGATTCTTCTTTGATCCATCGTATGTTATCTTTTACATCAACCGTGCGGCTGTCCTGAGCTACCTTTTGTAGGGGTAATGATGGTTTTTTATGAGGTGTTTGACTTTCCAATTTTTCTGCTTGATGTTGTTGAGGTAGCTGATGTCGAGGTTCAGGTTGCTGATGTTGAGGTTGAGGTAGCTGGTGTTGAGGTTGAGGTAGCTGGTGTTGAGGTTGAGGTAGCTGATGTCGAGGTTCAAGTTGCTGCTGTTGAGATTGAGACTGCTGGAATTGAGATTGAGGTTGCTGAAGAAGAACTTCTTCTTCTTCAAGATCCTCTTCGTCATCAATTTCATGAATTACAGAAACGGAAGTCGAAGCAGATCCGCGACGCTTCCCATAACTGAAAGACGATGAAGGCAAGGATGTCACCGCAAGTGGCGACAATCTGGCAAGAGAGCTCATTTCCGAAGCCCGATTTCTTTCAAGCTGCTCTGCTAATTGTCGCAAGATTGGATTAGGAGAGGTTGTTGAGATGACAATAGGACGTGTAGGACGTGGTGGACTTTTTATTGGTTTGACCATCTCAAACTGAACAGATAGAAGAATATAACTTAGGTAACTTTGACACGGATATGGGTAGGTTGGGCTCAAGCAATAAAGGGGTAACTTAGGGTTCAAGCAAAAAGGGGTAAATTAAAAATCAGATAAGCAGAAAAAAAAAAGTAATAACTGAAAAGATGCGCGTTAGAATCACGTGTTTTTCCTAAAATCGTCAACGCAAGTGTTTACATGATTACACCGTTTAGGTCGACTTGTGGGATGCTGATCCTCGTGTATCACCCCTGCCCACATCTTTATAAATGTGATAAGAGTTCACATCGAATGAAATAAGAAAAGTTATGTCTTTCATTATTATATTTTAAAGTTTTTAGGAAAGTTTTGAGAGCGGTATCTTGTAGTCAACCGTTTTTAGAACATAAGGCTCCAGGTACTCCGGAAGAGCTTCTACAACATATTATGCAAATATCAAGTTCGCAAAAACCCAATCCATGTCTGAAGAGAGCACATTCATTCCAGTGCTTTAAAAATGTGCGCTCTCCAAAAATCATTACTGTAGCTTAGCTAACTATGTCTAACTCCACAAAAGTTTGGCCTGTTGCGGCTGTTATGCTAAGGTGGCATATTTGTGATACTTATTGTGTATGGTACTAAAGGCTAAAGAGCGTAAAATGTTGATACTGTTGTTGAAATGAAAGTTTAATGCCAGTTATAGTATTGGCACAATAATTGTTGACACTTATAATGGCACTTCTCGCAGGGTACATTCGCCATTTGTTTCAAGACAGGATATGCTGCTCCTTCAAACTATTTAAAAGAATCTATGCTTTATCACTACCATATTCAACACACAAGTCAGTTTTTAAATGGTCGCTTTCGACGCTGTACCGTAATGCACCGTCTATCCGCTTCAGTTTATTGGATCTAACTTACTTTCATAAATAGAGGCACGTACGGAACACACTGTATGCTTCATCAGAAACCACCTGGATGGATACGCTTATCGAGATCGGTTGCTAAAAGCTTGGCGTTGCCATATGCGAACCATATTACGCTAAGCTAGTGTTTTGCCGCTTGCTTGAGTTAGTTTTTTCTTATCATTTACTTGTATATAATCTTGAACTCTAAGAGCTAATTCAACTCCCCTTTTTTTTGTTTGTATGCATTTGAGATGGTTGGTTCCATTAATTTAGATCGTCTAATAATTTCTCTATTGCGGTATTTTTACAATAATGGAGAACGTATAGGTTGACTTCCTTCATCTGACACCTTAAATCCTTGTTGGAGAAAACTGTGGCATGTTTGTACCGATTTTAGGGCTTGTAGTTTCTCTTCTGTAGCCCTTATTTGAGTTGGGCAAAATTTGAGGCCGGATATAGCTCAACATGTGTTTTAGTCAAAGTTACTGCTTTATTCTTAGACATCCAAAAATATTATTATTCATGCCAGTGTGTCGCACGTGTCCAACCCATTATTTATAGGAGGTCGTTACTGCTATTTTCCTTATTCCTTTGATGACTTTCTTACATGCATCTGCACACCCGTCTGTTTCCAAGAAGAATTATTTTGAGAGTAGAGACGTTATGATTGAAGCTTTTAATATACTATCTACATAAAGGAAGTTTATTGATTTCGGAAATCAACTGTGAAGTTATGTTTTGGTTACAGAGTGAGGGGGGAAAGCAGGATGAAAGAGATGAGAGTTGACTGTGAAGTGTAAGAACTGATATCTTTTTTCTTCTTTTTTTTTTAGTAATGTTTTTAGAGGCTATAATTTAAAAACAAGGGGGGTTTCTTTACTTAATTCTTGTAGAAAACGACATCACCTTCATCTTCGACGAATTTACAAGCGTTATAGGTTCTCCATAAAGCGACAGGAATAGGCGTATCATCCTTCTGATAATGTTTACCCAAAGCCTTCTTGATATGTTTGGTGGCTTCCTCAGCGTGATAATGAGGCATAGTAGAGAAGAAATGGTGGGCAACGTGGGTATCAGAAATGTGATGATGGAAATAGTTCAAAATAGCACCGTAAGATCTGTCGACGGTCAAAGCAGCTCCTCTTTGGAAATTCCATACATTTTCACGATAATGAGGCAACTTTGGATCGGTGTGTTGTAAATAAGTGATGAGGATAAGCCAGAAGTTGACGTTCAAATAAGGAATGACATAGTATTTGATCATAGCCAACGAACCGAACACTTGGCCGCAGTAGGTAAGGAGACCAATCATACCGACAACACCAGCTGTAGAATTCATCACATCCCAGAATTGATGTTCTTCATAGATAGCACAGCGAGGATTAAAATGAGAGGCCCAACCAGGATAAGGCTGACCAGAAGCATTGACGAACAAGTAAAGAGGCCAGCCTACAGTGAACATGAGAAACATGCGCCATAAAGCATAAATGGGTGATTCTTCAAACGCATCATGTGGGCCGTCAGGAATGGGGTCTTGGTCACGAGTAGCAGGGATTTTATGTGCGAACTCGGATCGAGTGTGAGGAAGAAAGACCTGCAGAGCATGTAGAAAGGGACTGAGTTAGTATACCGTACATAGAAAAGGATATGCATTTATCACATGTAAGCACCTCTGACAGCCCCCCTCCCCCCGCACATCCCAAACACTTCTCAGCTTTGCCGATAGAAGTGAGAAAAGAAAAAAAATTTTTTTTAAAGTGCATCCTTTCAACTTTACCTGATCCTTTGACATGTGTCCTGTGGCTTTATGATGTCTTGAATGCGAGAAACGCCATGAATGATAAGGAACTAAAAGAAGTGAATGCAACACAAATCCAACTGTATTGTTGATGGTTTTGGAAGGACTGAAAGCTTGATGACCGCATTCATGGCCCAATACCCAAACACCGGTACCAACAATACCTTGACAAACCCAATAGACAGGCCATAGTAAAATGCGAGCCCATACATTGGGTAAAGTGTCGATGTAAGTGGCTAAATAGCCCAATAAACTAATAATGGCAAAATCATGAATCACATAAGTAAAGGAACGGAAAGTATCACGGCGGAAACAATGGGCGGGTATAGCTTCACGAATTTCTTTGATGGTAAAGTTAGGAATTTCCCAGTTTCTTGCGATGGCTTCGTCGATACAGGGTTGCTTTTCGGTTACGGTAGCAGTAGCCGTAGTTTGATTCAATGGGCCATCAGTCTCCTCTGTGGTGGCTGCTGAAGAAACGTTTCTCCTTGTTGCCATATTAGCTAAGCGTGATGTTTTATAGAGTATAGAAAGCGATGAAAGGGTATGTGTATATCTTTCCTTAATCCGAAGTGGACGAGAGGGAGGGCGTATATATAGATATATACTATAAGAAAAGTGTAAGGAAGAAGGATAAAACGACCTTTTTCAGGCACGAAGGATTTTATAAGAAAATATCAGAAAAAAAAAAACTAAAAACAACGATTCAAGTAACTCCTTTTTATAATAAACGTTTTTTTTTTTTTTACTGCTCTAGACAAATGATTTGATGATAAAGCTTGGATCAGCAAGGAAATAAAAAAAAAAAAAAAAAAAGGTTTTAAATGGGCATTTTCGCGTACTATTGGTATTTTAACTATTATAACAGCTGAAAGTGCATGTTCCTATTTGACAATAAGAACCCACTGTCCAATCAATCTCACTTATTTTTTGGGATCCCCAATTGTTGTAGTGAACCAACCAATGAAAATAGTTCGAAACAGTTTTGATCGAAATGACCCTGGATCTCGTTGTTGAAAGGTTTTTTATTTACGCTTTGTGGTTGTTCTTTTCCGATTACTACTTGACGATTGGGACCTTCCTGATGTTGCTGCTGCTGCCGCTGCTGCTGCTGCTGATCGACTACTTCTTGAGGGACGACCAGATGTTGCTGTGGTATCATCTGCTTTTCTAGCTCTGGAGGCTCTTCTTGTAACACTCGATTTCCCTGTGTGGAATTTGCAAATAGAACAGAAAAACGGTTTGAGTTCCAAAGAGTTATAGGTCAGCAAACTCAAAAAAATGCGGGGTGCCGTTGTTCTCTTTTCGATCCCCGTGTTGGGGACGCATTTCTTATTAACCAGTTACATTACCTTCTTCCGGTTCTGGAGTTGAAGTAACGGAGTCGTATGCTGGAGACGTATCACGTTTGTTGAATCGTGTTCGTTTAGCAGGTGGAGGAGACAAAGCAGACGAATTAGGTGTGGCTGATGTACTCGTGCTTTGGATATCCTCCTCCTCCTCTTCCTCCTCCTCCTGCTGCTGCTGCTGCTGCTGCTGCTGCTCTTCCTCTTCCCTTCCTCCTCCTCCTCCTCCTTCTTCCTCTTCTTCTAAATCGTCGTGATTTTGTCGATGTTCTGAAATCAATTGTTCATAGTCTTCTAAAGGCAAAGAAAATTCATTTTCAGCCTCTTCCCGTCTTTTATCTTGTTCTTCGCGTTCCTCTTCTTCTTGTTCCTCGTCTTCTTCCTCCTGCCAAAATCATGATTTCGAACGAATTTGAATGTCAGTGATTCTGAGGCTTTTTCCATTTTCAAATCATGGGGCATTCCGTAGCATCTAATTAACCTACCAATTCATCCAAAGCTATCATTCCGTAAAATTCGCTCAACTTATCCCATATTTCGTTCAAAGAACAAGATATCGGACTGACTTTGTTGAATTGCTTTTGTATGCTAATCATTCTAAAGTGTTTATGAATCCCTAAAAGATCAATATGTGTTAAAACAACAGTCTGCCATTGTATACATGCTCCATTCTGGGCTTTTCAGCAGTAAAAACGTTTTGCGGTATACCAACTGGTTTGCAACGTGCGATGGCATTCAGTAAAGCTAATTCCATATCCGCATCCCATTCTTTTGGTTCATGTTTAAATGGCACAGGTGGATTATTGGGGTCGACTTCACTTTCAGCTAATTGTTGATGTGACAGTTGTGTTTGTTGCAATTCATTGATCGTCTCCATACTACTGTTTTCTAAGTTGACTTTAACAGATGAGTTTTATTTTGAGAATGGCGTGAGGAGGAGAGATCATTACTGTAACAAGAGAAAATGGTTCCTGCCAACCTAGGACGGTTTTGTTGAAACTCAGTCCGTCCTGCCCTCTTTTTATTTCCCTCCTTATAATTCCAATTTGTTGTAGCTTCAAAAGCGATCAATAGCGCGAATGCCACACTCTATACCAAAGGAGCTTCAGATCGGCTCACGTGTCCGCATCGGAGAAGACAGAGCAACCATTAAATACATTGGATCAGTTGGCAATACGAAAGGTGAATGGTTAGGCGTAGAATGGGACGATGCAGCACGAGGCAAGAATGACGGCACTCACGAGGGCAAAAGTTATTTTACGTGCCAGTAAACTATGTTTCTAATGATGGCGGTTGAGTCAAAATACAAATGTTCATTATTGTACTGATGCATTATGTCGTAGATATCCTACTTCTGGTTCTTTCATTCGGTATCATCCTGATAAAGTTCAAATAGGGAGATCATTTCTGGAAGCATTGAGAGAAAAATACCTGACCGAAGACGATACCATGCCTTATGATAAAGAAGCTGACAGAGGCGAAATCTATGTGGGGAACATCAAATTCGAAACAGTTGGATTTCAAAAGATACAGCAATCACAAAGGTAGTATGGCTTGATTCCGGCCTATGCGCTCTTCATTTTTGTTAATTTTTCTTCTTTAGTAATTTGGGTAACTTAAAAGTGGTTGGATTAGCAGAACAGGATATTGCCTACTGTAACCCATCGGATGAGCTCCTTGACCTACGTAAGAGATATTTATGTGCCGTGAAATGGCATGGCATGATTGCTAACGTACAATGGCCAAAAATCTAATTCTGGGCCGTTACTCTTTTATTTCCATAATTAGGTATAGAAGACCTTGATTTATCGAGGAACTTGATTTCGAATTGGAAGACAATAGTGGACATTGTTTCAAAGCTGACAAATCTCAAGATATTGCGACTCAAGTAAAAAATATTTTTATAAAAAAAAAAAAAAGAAAAGAAAGAGAGCAACGCATGGGGCTGTACTGATCATATATATGTCTAACAATCATCTTCCTTCAAGTCAATTACGCTTTTCTAAGTCGCTTGACGTTGATTTACAAACTCTTAGTTTTCCAAATATTCATACTCTGACTTTGAATCAAACCTTGATTGAATGGAACGACATCGAACCTATATTACACTTATTTCCCAACCTTCAAGATCTTCAGTTGGGCTGCAATAAAATCAAAGATTTGAAGCCGTTTAACAATCAATATCAGGTTCAACTAACATGTCTCAATTTGGAAAATAATTTGATATCTGATTGGCAACAAATCCTTCGATTGAGTGACATTTTTCCAAAGTAAGTTTAGAGCAGGACCTAATTAAAAAATCAATCGAAAAATGGGGAAAGCGTTCTACCTATTAATTTATTCTCGTTTAGCTTAGATACTCTATTTTTAAACGATAATCGAATAAGTACAATCACTGCAACCACTGCAACATCAACTGCCGCGCCTGCCTTGATTTCCAATTTAAAATACCTACGTATTGAACAAAACCGTATCAATGACTGGAAAAGTATTGATGCCTTCAATGCATATACTAATCTTCGCAGACTCAAATGCAAAGGCAACCCTATTTTTGCCGATTTAGATACTGATACACAACTAGCTCATATTGTCGGCAGAATTAAGCATGTCGATACAGTGAATGGCACCACAATTACCAAACGGGAACGTATAGACTTTGAAAGATACTTTCTGAAGAAAGCAGCAACTGATCAAGATAGACTCCATAATAAACGCTTTCAAGAACTCTGTCTATTACACGGAAACCCTAGTGCGGCATACATTCAACAAAACCAGCCCACTCCATCTTTATTGAAAAACAGGCTCACTGAACTTACTTTGTCCCTTTACCGAGCTGATGATCACGAAATGAACGAGTTCATCCAATCTCATTTGGACCAACCTATTTCAATATACCAGTTACCGCCTACCATGCGTACACATACCGAATCAATGCAAAAAAAATGCTTGCCCACAATGACGATTCGAAATTTGAAGAGCTTGATTCAACGTTTATTCAAGATATCATTTATGAAACAACAATTATATTTAATACAAAAGCAAGAAAAAGAGCAGCACGAGGATCGTAATGTGGAAAAGGAAATGACAATAATGATAACGGCGTTGGATGATGATTTGCGGGATTTACGTTTCTATGGTATAGATACTAGTAATAATGATAATAACAATAGTGGTAGTAATAGTATTAGTAATAGTGGTGATAATGATAAACATGGAATCAATTATAGTAATGAGATTTTAATTTTAATAAAGTGATAAAGGAGTGGAAGCAACTGCTGCAGGAGGAGCGGCAGTTGTTGTAGCTACTGTTGCAGCCGTTACGGTCACTGTTGTAGCTGCTGTACTGGCTGCTGTACTGGCTGCTCTTGAGGTGACATTATAAATAGTGGATGTTGGCGATAATAAATGATGATGATGATGATGGTGATTGCTACTACTGCTGTTATGATTGGCATAATATTCGTTCCACTCTGATACAAAAGATTCTATATTCTTTGCTGCTATTTCTCCACCATTATGCGTTACTCTTAATTCAGGATTCTGACAGGTACCTGATAATTGCGAAGCCGAGATGATAGCATGTGCCCAATTGCCCTGTTCAAAATCTTCTCGTGTCAATTCGACTGCACTGCCTTGATCTGACATTAATTTCAACAGTCCTCGTTCTTCAATGAACTGTGGTCGAGGCACATACACAAAAGGTTTGCTATGACCTATGGCTTCTGAACAAGTACCATACCCCAACTTTCCCAAAATGACATCACAAGCGTTGGTTAAATCGGGAACATAAGCATCTTTAGCGGCACGGTAAAAGTTGGGCGGCAGAGTGATACCATCAGGTGCAGCACACACGATACAGATCCAGCCTTTTGGCAGACAGTTTTTGAAGATATGGCTGCTGCTATCGTCACTGAGGAGTTGACCGCCGAAAGAAAGGAGCAAAATTTTGTGCGTGCTGTAGATATCTCGAGGAATACCCACTTGGTCTAGTACTGTCTCGCGAGACTGACGATATTCACGGAACACAAGTGGTACATCAATAATTCGACGAAGAAATCCTCTATCCTGCTGTGACTCAGATGAAGGTTGAATGGGTTTGGTAATATTGGATATACTGCTGCAAGGTAAGCTGGTTTTACCGTTGACAACGCCCTTCTTGTGAGGAAACTGTTTACTGTGAGGCGTGCGAGGAACCAAATTGACCGCATCATCAAACGAAGGAATACGAATAGCTCCAGGTAGTCGAACCAGTAAATCTGCAAATCTATAATCGGAAATCACCTGCTCTACCATGCTTTCGATTTCCTTATCCAACGCATCGCCTTTTCTAAGGCCATAATAGATTTCGTCAAAGGTGAAATTACTGGAAATGACAGCTGGGATACCGGCTTGATGAGCAGCAACACAAGGTACAAAGGGCGCATCACAAATAACACAGTCAGCTTTCACTTGTTTGAGCCAACGCAACTCGTTCTCAATGATCTCCGTTCGACGGTTTAGAAAAGCTCTGAGGTCAGCGATGGTTTGCTCTCTATCGACAATGTAAGGTAAAGGTTGGACAACACCTGCATCAATGTGAGCTCGTCTATACAAGGCACCTAATTCGATCACGCCTTGAAAGATAAAACTACTGGCGGTAGAGATAACATATACTTTATGTTTGGCTGGTAGTTTTAGTAAATCGATGATAATTTGGTTAGCTCTCGTTGCATGTCCCCATCCTAAAGACGGAATATTGTTTAGTATTCTTCGAGGCTTTTTATTGGTTTGTTTTATTGCCAAGTCACTCAAGCAGCTTACCATGACCGGAAACATAGAAACAGAAAGTGAGAGGCTTCACAGTACGTGATGTAAAGAAGGTTGTATTAATTGTTAAACCAGTCATATCTTCGAATGAGTTGGTGTCTGTAGGTGGTTCCTGATCTTTGCTTTGTAATTGTTTGTTAAATCCAAAGAGTAAAAAAAGAGATCAAGTCGATTAAAAAAAAAAAAGGAAAAAAAAAGAAAGGAAAGGAAAGCTTTATGAAGTAGAAACTCCCTAAAGATGGTACAGATATAACTAGCTTTTTTTTTTTTTTTTTTTTCTTTAATTTACTTGAAACAAAAATCAATCTGACTTTGAATTTGACTAGGCTTGACCGCCAAATTTTCACCTATTTGTTGGTGCAAACCCCCCAAAGTCTCGAATTTTATTCGCTCAAGCTAATAAGTTGCCTGTGGAACTGTAAGTCTTTTCCTTGGTTAATATAAAATCTCAACAATGACTGTCCATAGAAGAATACCTATCTTCCTTTTCTTGGCATTCAAATAGACCAACTCATAATAAGAGATTATTAATAAAGCATGTCTATAATTGCTACAACTCGACAAATGTAAAGAAGGGAGACAGTACTTTTGAACCAACAAACATTTCGCTAGCATACTTAGAGAATTCTGCCAAGCATGACATTAAAAAAGAATTTTGGTTCCGATAGGCAAGCGAAAAAAAGATAAGAGACAAACCACTGCAGCATGATCGAACCCAGGTTTCACTATGTATCATTTTTGTGACCCAATTTTTTCTTTGTCTTTTCGCTATAGCTGTCATCTGCTGGGCGCGGTTTTTTTTTTTTTTTGCACATGTTTCCCTTTACTGTCTCTGTACTAGATTAGGTTAAGGGTTCGGATGACTAATATCACTTCCATTAACCTAGGGTCTCGAAGTATACAATCAATAGTTAGATTGGCCAATCCTGCGATTAAATGTATCTTTTTTCTTTTTTTTTTTTTTTTTTTTTTTTTTTTTGTCGATGAAACAAAAGAATTGAAGCTTATTTTGATAGACATGAGCATAGGAGCATCAAACATACGATCTGATCATCATACCATGTGGCGTAAGGTATCATCATCCTAAACTTAATCTTAAATGTTGACATAATGTCGCTTTTTGGTCGTATACACGTATGTGCTCGATGTACATTTAGATAAATGAACGTGTATTTCGAATTTATATGCTTCTTCCTTTTTGCACTTGAGTTTCCTCATCGCAACTGAGGCGACGTATCACTTTATTAATTGTCCGCCCTTGTGAATACCAGACAGCACATTGGCTGAGTTTCAGAAAAGAGATGAAGGCATGAAATGTAGATGGCTTGAAAGAGTCAGTTGGTCTTTTTTCCCCGCAATCATTTATCTTTTTACAAGTAGCGGCCTTAAAATTTAGTAGACTGCTTTAACCAGTGAAATGATCCGTACCTGGCTGGCATCATCCACTCGTAAACTTCCATCATTATCATCAAAACAATCTCTCTCTATTGTTTCATCTTCTTCTTCTCTTTCTTCGTCTTCTTTTGTGAAGTATCAACGACATATGTCTAATATCCCACATTTCAAAGCAGCTGATCGTGTCTCACATTTCACTCGAGATGGTAAAAAGTGAAATCATTCCTGGGGCTAACAATAAAACCAAGCCCCAATGGTTTTTCGGAAGTAGGGTCGATACTAACCATAGTCATCATAACTAGTATGGTCTATTTTTACGCCTCTTGCTTTAGAAACCAAAGCGATCAATTTGGGTCAAGGCTATATGAATTTTGAGCCACCTAAAATTGTTCAAGACGCTGCTAAGGAAGCATTGACTGTTGTAGAAGCTAATCAATATAGTCATCCTCGTGGACGTGCTCGTTTAAGAAATGCTTTGAAAGCGTCTTATAGCAAATTGTTCAATCGTGATTTGGATCCAGAAACAGAAATCTTGATAACAGCAGGAGCAAATGAAGGTATGGTTTAAGAGAACGCTCTCGTAAGGCGAGATATGAGTTCTCATTCTTTAGCTTTTCTTTCTTTTTTTTCCTTTTTAATAATAATGATATATTGGACATTTTCCAGGTATGTTTGCTACATTTGCGGCCTTTTTAGACAAAGATGATGAGGTCATATGTATGGAACCGTTCTTTGATCAGTATATTGTAAGAAGGATTGATTGAACAGTGGTTGAAAAAAGCAAAGGATGAAGCTAACATGTAAAATATGTATTGCCGTAATAGGCCAATATCACAATGAATGGCGGCAAGCCAGTTTATGTACCTCTTCGACCTCCTGCCGATGCTTCAGACCGGGTCATATCATCTGCTGAATGGAAACTGGATATCGAAGAGTTAAAATCAAAAATCACCTCCAAAACAAAAATGATTGTATTAAATACACCGCATAATCCTATTGGAAAAGTATTCAATGAAGACGAACTAAAAGCAATTGGACAGGTCGCAAAGGAGCACAATTTGATTATCTTATCGGATGAAGTGGTAATATTTGCATCTTAAGAAAGGCACGTAACCCTCGTCCACTAACTAATGTAATGCTATATCCATCAATTTAGTATGACCGTCTCTACTATCCTCCTCTGAGTAAATTTCCACGTATCGCTACTCTCAGCGACGATCTGTGGCAACGCACTATCACCGTTGGTTCCGGCGGTAAGTCCTTTGCTGCCACAGGTTGGCGAGTAGGGTGGCTGATCGGTCCCGACCATCTCATACAGCACGCTTTCGCTGCTCAAACACGCGTTGTATTTTGTGTGAATTCACCATGTCAAGAAGCTATTGCTGCCGGTCTCGAAGAGTCCGCTAATGAAGGTTCCACACTTTTTCCAGATCAGATCAACAGTTATTTACGTAAGCGTAGTATTCTGGCTGATCTTTTTGATGAGCTGAATTTACCCTATACCATGCCCGAGGGAGCCTATTATATATTGGTCAACACGGCAAAGATTCAGATACCCAAAGAGTTTGAATTCCCTGCTATTTTGGATGAACGTGGTGACGATTTTAAAATGTGTTACTGGTTGACAAAACAAATAGGCGTCTGCGCTATTCCCCCTTCCGAATTTTATGAAAAGCAGCACTGGCCATTAGCCGCCAATTTTGCTCGATTCGCATTTTGTAAAACAGATGACGTATTGGAACAAGCTGTGGAAAGATTAAAAGGTTTGAAGGCGTATATTAAATAACTTAATAGGAGAACGATGAAGACTTGGTAACAGAGAGTATTCTTAATCTTTGTCAATGAATAAAGTTTATTGTAAGAATAGATGGGTTTATGCGTCTTAAGAAGCGAAACAAAGTATAATGATAATGATATAAGTAGCTATAATGACTTTTGTGTCACGACTAACTCGTACAAGGAGAAGTAATAGTACGAAAAGCTCTAGATAATCATTTCACCTGTGGAGAATATTAGTTCATATTGCTAACATAGACATTCTTACAATTTGTTATAATAAAGCTCAAGGAACTGAAGATAGACCTTTGTTAAACTCGTAAGCTGATCTTCCAATTTGTCTAATTTTTGCCTTAGTTCCGTCAATAACCTTTTACTATCAAGAAGGAGTTGAATTACATCACTTGCATCACGATCGAGTACATAAATAAATTTATTGTAGATCTCTGTCTGTTGCTCTGTTTGTGTCCTTTTCAAAACATCAAAATTGAGTATAGCATTACGAAGACCGTGCCAAGTTGCTTCGGCCTCATGTAATACATTTGCAGTGCTTGCCATTACTGTTTGTGGCTCCTCGTGAGCAATCAATGAATGGGCCATAAAAAGTTCTGCAGATAAACAAAATTTGGAAGCGTTAATAGATGGTGTCTCTTTTCCAGATTGTTCTACATGAGAGCGTTGCATCTCATATATTCTTTTTCCTTTTCTATAACTCTTCGAAAGTGAAGACGAAGTACGGTAGAAAACCAGCAAATGTTACAGCAGAAAAGAAGGATAAAAGTGTTTTTGACTTGAAGAGTTAGAGATACATTTTTTTACTGTGATAAATTCATTGTTACTCTTCTACTAAGGAGATCATATGAAAGGCACACAAGCCAAAGGCGACTATATGGCGAATTGTTCGAAAATCAATTTTGCAGTAATAGCGCATATGACGCTAGCATCATTTCGGAAGATGTAGTAATTTAAGAATTGAGATTCTGAATGCTACAACGTCTAACAATACTTGCATGTAACAATATACATCGCAACATTGCTGAACATCTATAATAGCAATTGCTACTAGACTTATTATAGAAGTTAGCTATTCTCCATACGTAACACGGAAAGACTATACACACTAACGTTGTCGTACTCTAAGCGTCCATCTGGCCATATATTTGGGATGGGTTTTATTGTAGTGTTTGGAACAACATTCTGCATTTTTAAAACATTTTTGATGCATGCTTAAACCATGTAGATTAAATTGAAAGACAATAAACCACGCTTTTTGTTTATCATATAATCTCTACCTGCCGCTAAAATAATATAATATGATAGCCCTAACCTTCTGGTGAGTTCAATTAGAAAGGGAAGGTAGATTATGATATTATACTCTATAGCTTAAACGATCTCTAAACGAAGAAAGGCATCTTCTTGTCAAGCAATTATAATATTATTGTGAAAAGACATTGTTTCGTTAACGCCAAAGTTACTTGAACAGCTTGTACGCTTCATAAAAGCAATTGTCTTCATACTGATTACCCTTCTCTACGATTGAAAACTAATTTTTTTGGTGTCAGCACTATTGTTTGAACTGCTATATTATGAATTCAGGCGTTCTTATTTAGTGATGAAATCTTCGAAAATATTCAGAAAACAGTAAGAGTAACATACAGTATTAACAACCCTTTGATAAAGTATGTGAACAAAGGAAAATATGCTACTCAAATTGCATATAGCAATGTTACCAAGGGGTTGTTTTTCACTTTAATCACTGATTATAGTGTAAAGTGTCTGGTGAACTCGCTATCAATCCATTTTTCTCCATTACATTAAATTTAATATTTGACAGAATATATTGTTGAAAAGGACAGGCTATAATGTGTCCTTAATAGCGAACTTTAAACAAGTATGTTTTGTATTTAAATGCTGCAATACTTTCTTGATATTTACTGACAGAGCATATAGAATTACGCTCTTAGACGGTACTGATCCATCCTCCCGTATTGAGTTCCAATCTTAAAAGGTGTACAAATCATAATTGGCGACAGGCGAAGATTGAAACAGTATGGAGAACAACGGCGTCTCTGTAATCTTGGTATTACTACCAGCCCAAGCATATTTTTCATCATCTCCATTGATCTAATCTCATTTTCACATTTATTGCTGTAGTGAAGCAGCTGAAAACTGTAATTGAGTCGTGAACAAAATATAATTTAATGATGGCAATTAGATAATATGATTGAAAATCAACTACGACTTCGCCTACATCTTGAAATTAAAAAGCACGAATTCGGAGAGGTCACAACAAGCAGGACAAATCAACTCGGCCAAGTGAATCGCTGTACACAATTCAAGTCAACTTTTACTGCTGCCTAATTATGGCAATGCCATTATATCTCTACATTGGCGGTTTATTTATCCTGATTTTTAAATGGACCTTTTTTTGTTGAAAAAAACGTCTCAAAAATTTTCGTAACAGTTACAATTTTTGAAATACAGCGTTTTAACTGCTATTTCAGACTGTTCACAAATTTTATTGGGACATTGTTAGATCTTAATTTAGACAACTTTCAATTATTTTACGATGAAGCGGTATATTATTCTTGGACGATTTCGCTGATAATCAATTATCCAGTATCATTCAAGCAGCATTACGGATGGCGTACAAGCTAGTCTAAAAATGAGTCTTCATTAGTAAGGAAGTCGCTGAGAAAGCTCTTATTGGCGTTTGCAATAGGACGAGCTACAAAAAGCTTGACAACTTTTCGTCAAACGACGATGTGTTATAAGACCAACCAGATGTTCGTCAGTGCCTTTTTTGGAACTTTGGCCAATGATAAAGACGTGTCTTTCTTTTCTCGCGTTTTTGTTGTCAAAGTTAAATTATAATGAAGAGGTTCTTTTAAACGAGAATAAGATCCCTTCTTTTCCGTATTTCGCAATTTTTTGTAACTTACAGCTCTATTCATGTACAAAAGTTTCATTATACAGAAGATTAGATCTATTAAAGAAAAACATAAGAACCAGGTTAAAACGAGCCCATTTGGTACAATGCTTGATAACTGTAGGAGATCCGTCAGATCAAGATATAAGGATTCTGATATTTGTTGCAACTTTTTAGAACATACCAAGTGTCGAGACTGCTATGAATCAGGTCGTTTTGACAAGCGTTACTACAAATGCAAGTATTACAAAGCCGTGAATGCTGATAATGATAAGTAATAAACCTAGATCTATCTTACACACAGCACTTAATTGCTTATGAGTAACCTCCTTAAAGTTGGTAGCAGCGGTAAAAAGAGAAAACAGAGTGATCAAGTGAAAAAGAAGAAGAAAGCAGTTAAACGGAAAAAGACCACCCCACAAGCTGTAAAGTGCCTCAGCTGTGGACAAGATGGCCATACCACTGCTAGTTCGCAAGAACTTTGCAGACCTTGTGGAAGAAAAGGTCACGCTTCTGATTGGCGGCCGATCCGGTCAAATTTGTCAAGCCCTTGTGGTTTATCCAAGACTACTACGAAGAAGAACATTCTAAACATCTTCCCTACGTTGCTCGTAGGTTACCATTACCTCATCGCTTCTTCCCTTTTCCAACTCCCTTGGTATCATGGCGCTTCATTACCATCAGCATAAACGCCCTTACTCCTTTTTTTATTTCCTGGAAGACTTGTAAAGGGTTATTGGAATCAACTTGAACAATTTTGTAAAGTGTTCAACTTCAAAAAGTTAGGCTTCAGAAGGTAAAGTAAATAGCACTCTGCTAAAAGACTCTGTTCTCAAGATTATTCTTTCACTTATATCATAGTATTGCTGAGCTAAAAACAAACACAAGTATGCTCTTCAGAAGTCTCATTCGATCTGATGGCTTCACTGTAGACTTTCATTTAGTCGTAAGAAGAAATCAAAAGAAGACGCCATCATTGATCATCATGGCTTGACGTTGGAAAACTTCTCCTATGAAGAGACCACGGCAAACTACAGACCCACATTTGTTGATCCTGGCCGAAAGACAGTATTTACAGCAGCAATCGGGTTAGAAACAAACAGACATGAGATACGGCGCTGCTCGACAAAAGAATATTATCACATGACGGGTAGTACTCGTGTCAATGCAGAATTAGAAAGGAAAAAGGCCGATTGTACGATAAAAGCGATAGAAAGCAATATACCGAGTAGTAAAACAGGCTCGCTTGAACAGTATAAGAGATATACCATTTATATACTACAACATTTAGAGATCCTATTCTCATTCTATGGGCCTGGTATGGGTGAATTAAGGTTCCGTCTGCATCAAGGCAGACAGCGTGCTGCAGACATGATGGTGAACATGCTTGTTGATGGAGGTGTCAAATTCGACAAAGAATTATGGAAAAAAAGAAGGGAATTAGACACCGTGCGTGGCTGTAGTTATCCTTGTTTGCAAAACCTGTAAAATACTATGGAACCGCGATGTCAATGCAGCAAAAAACATGATGGCCATCAGCATTTCGGTATGGAAAGACAAGGAACGTCCTACGGAGTTCAGCCGGAAGACAACTTCTTAGTCTTTTGATATTTATTATCGCCAGAACGAAACTGGCTTGATATTTACAGGTAAACGTCTCCATTTTAGTGTAGTTCGATCTTCAAACTCTATCTCAATCGTCTCAAAAATTTCGGTCATTCCATCCAGTTATTTTTAAGTTGCGTCTAAACCCGCAGTCAAAAAAACTGTAGCGACGTTATTCGAACAAAATTGCAAATGAAAGACCGATTCTCAGAAACAACGAGACGATAGGTCTGGGGTAACTGTTTTCATCCAATCACAATATTTTCAGTTCGTGTTGTAGCACTAATGCTAATGCCCGCTGAATCGACGAATTTCAAAAAAGGCAATTGAGTTAGCAAGCAGCAGTAAAAGAAAAAAAAGATGGTGAATAAAGAACGCTTTATATAGTCTGGTCAAGAATTTTGTGATCCTTTCAATCATTTTCCATCTTATTTTTCATCTTTTTTTCTTTGACTTTTTTTTTTGGAGTAAAAGATATCTCTCATTAATTATTCGGTTTTTTTCTTTTGAATACCTCTTTCATATTGTGTATAAACTCATTTGTTGCGGGCAATAAACAACATACCAGCTTAGAGGCATCTTGAAGTATCTGTAATTATCATGAAGGTGGCTATTCTAAGTGAATTGCTCGCTTTAATAGTATTCACCAATGCATTACCATTATTTGAGATTCGTAAGAAATTTAGCTTTGAACTCTATTCCTTATGTCAAACTTTTAACGAAGCTAACGCACAAGTTACTCTACTCGCAATTTTCAGCTAATGATTATGATAAATACGGGCAAGCATGTCCTTTGTTTCCTCACTACAACGTTGCGTGCCCAGTGCTGTGCGTGACGGATCAAAAACTTTGCCCAATCTCATTAGCAGCCACTTGTCCTCCAGGACTTTCTTTTTGCGGGGACGGTACTTGTCAAACTTCATGTGATAACATACCTAATGCTTGTGAATGTGGGGGTGATGTCGATCCAAATGCCCCTCCATACTATCCATGTGCAGCTGGCCAACTCGTCAATATTACTCATTTCGATCCTGATAACCAAATCAATCAAATTCAAAATACTTGTGCAGCCAATGCGCAAATTAATGACCGTATGATCACTGGTATCTGGGGAGAGTTCAATTCTTCTACAGCCGTTTGGTTATCCTGCCCAGTAGTGGAGCCTTTTTTCACATTTAAAGAGCCAATGTGGATTGCTGTCTGGTCTTTGATGGGTGCTGAAGCAGCTATTTTATTATTATGGGCCCTTTACAAATATCTGCTTGAAGCCAGATTCCATCATAATGTGCGATCAACGGTCACTATAGCAGCAGGAACAGCAGCAGGAGTAGATGAAAAAATTGACAAAAATAACATGATGGAAAATGAAGATATTGATGAAGCGGACTACAAAGACAATCTGAAAGAGAAGGGTTCCGCTGACAATATCACAGATACATCTACTTTCACTACTAGCTCCTCCGATGATGACTCATCTATCAAAGAGTCTGAGCGTTTGAAATTTAGAGGTTTTCTGAACGATTATTTTGGTACACTTGCATTTGGATCTGTTATCATTACGACTCTATTGTTTTTCGTGTTTCTGGGCTGCATTGTTGGTGATTATTGTAAGTAATTTTCACGTTCATTTTTTTTTTTTTTTTTTTTTTTTTTTTGCGTGCGACGTTTATTTCAGAAAAAAAAAATTAATGTTTGCATCGTGTTACGAACACATGAATTGACATTTTACTAGATGGAACAATTACTGGTTTACAATTGGATGTATTTTTGTCGAGCGACGTTTCATCCAAAGTTTTTGCTGCTGTTTGGCATATTGCTGGTGCATGGTTCTGCGTCATTGTCTTTGCTCGTAAGCGCATTCGTAATTACTTTAGAATTGAATCCTATCCACATGAATGTCCTTATGTGCAAGTGGAACGTAAACAAGAACAAATGATCTTCTTGGCTGACAACAATAAGTGGATTTCAAAGCTTCGACAGATTGAAGCACGTATCAATCAACGACTTGGGTAAAGAAACGAATTGCAAACTACGTACTATTGCTACAAAAAGGGAGAGGTTGGAATGGTAGATTAACAGCTTCCATTTTTTCTTATAATACAGATCCGATATATTAGTATGCACATGCCCTGTCAAAATTATTGAAAATAACCTTCGCTACTTCGAATACCAATGTATGCGATATGTTTACAACAACAAGAATAAGAAATTTGAACCATATGAATTCGATCTCGGTTCAAACAATAAAGATCTGCAAGCATGGGCTGGAGGAATTACATCCAAAGATGCTAAACTTAGAGCTGATATGTTGGGTCCTAATATCATCAAAGTGGATGTTCCCTCAGCTCCACGTGCCATCATCCAAGAGTAAGTACTATTAAGGTCTTCTAATGAGAAGGTTACGATAAATTTAGTTAATTATTATAAATCTACGCTGAATATTGGTTAGATTTGCTTCCTTGTTGTACCTTTATCAGATGATGTGTATGTGGGTATGGTACTACTTCCAATACTACATTTTGGGTTTGATTCAAACCGGTATTATTCTCGTTTCTGCATTCATCCGTGTCTTTTTACGACTCCGTGGTGAAAATCGTATTAGAAGGTTGGCTGAACACGTTGTCGATATCAAATTACTTCGTGACGGCCAATGGATAACTGCTTCTAGTGCAGAGATTGTACCTGGTGATGTGTTTGAAGTTGAGGAAAATACTTTAGTTCCCTGTGATGGTGTTATCCTATCTGGAACTGTCGTCGTTAATGAGTCGTCTTTGACCGGCGAAGCTATGCCCATCCGTAAATTTGCCATTCCTTACGACAATAATACCTACGACATGAACGGATCAGGCAAAAATAATACTTTATTTGCTGGCACCATCGTATCTCAAGTGACACCCTCTGTGGGTACAACCACTACAACTGTGAGCAATGCAACTGCAACCGTTACTGCCATAGGTAATGTCGACAGTCCAGAAAAAGCTGATGCTGGCTCGAACAGACGTGTGTACGCCTTAGCTTTGCGTACAGGTATTGCCTCTGAAAAGGGTATGTTGATCCACAAAATACTCTTTCCCTCCCCAGTGTCTTTCATTTTCAACGAGCATTTAAAGGTGGCTATTTCCATTCTTCTTGTCTGGGGTTTGATTGCCTTCTGTTTATCCTTGTATCTTATGGGTCGTGGTAACATTACCAGCTGGTTTTACGGTGTCTTCGTTATCTCTCAGATTTTCTCCCCTCTTTTACCAGCCGCTTTCACCATTAACCAATCTGTATGTGCAGCACGTCTGCGTCGTAAAGGGATATTGTGCATTGACTTGCCTCGTATCAATCTGTCGGGCAAAGTCCGTATCTTCTGTTTCGATAAGACCGGTACACTTACGAAGGAAGGTCTCGAGTTTTACGGTGCTGTTGCAGCTCCAACTGCTGTCATTGGGCCTTTTAGTCACCGCGAAGAAGATCCCCTCAAAATCGAGCCTACTTTGGCCATGGGTATTGCCACTTGTCATGCTGTTACCAAAGTCAAAGACCAATATATAGGCAATCCTGTAGACATAGAATCTTTCCACGCAATGAAATGGGAATTATCTGAACCTACAGTAAATGATTATCTGGACACTCTAACCGCACCTGGGGCTTCACCTGGCGATACTGAAAGAAAAATAGTTCATGTACTTCGTCGTTTTGAATTCGTCCATGCGCGTGCTTCTCAATCCGTAGCTGTATTAGACCCTGTTAGTCAACATGTCCATGTATTTTTGAAAGGTTCCTTTGAACGTGTCAAATATCTATCGGATCCTGATTCTATTCCAGCGGATTATGATCAACAAGCCGCAAAATATGCACAAGAAGGCTGTTATGTATTGGCCATGGCTCATCGCGATCTGGGTATTCTCGGAAAAGATATACAGATGGAGAATATCAAATCGCTTATGACGCGTGATGATCTGGAGCAGGATTGCCAGTTTATCGGCTTCTTACTTTTCCGTAATATGCTAAAGCCTGATACCGCCGATGCGATTGCTGAATTAAAGGGAGGTGATACTCGAACTGTTATGATTACTGGTGATACTGCTTTGACAGGTATTTACATCGCTCGCCAATGTGGTATGATTGAGCAAGGCAATCGTGTACTTTTGGGCGATGTTGTTACTGTTACACGTACTATTGATGAAAATAAGAATGAACGAAATGAAACCGTTGTGAATGAGGTCAAATTAGTATGGCATGATGTGGAGACTGGAGATCAGGTTAATGCCGATCAAATCATTCAAATGGATCCTCGTGAAGAACATGAAAAACGCGTTGAGCTGGCTTTGACAGGACGCGCTTTTGACTTCCTTGTCAAAGAGGATCAAATTCGAAAATATCTGTTAATGACTCGGGTATTTGCTCGTATGACACCTACGGATAAGGTAACATGCGTTCAGTTACATATTGAAAAGGGCGTTACTGCAATGTGTGGAGATGGTGGTAATGATTGTGGCGCACTTCGTGCTGCCCACGTTGGCTTGGCTCTCTCTGAAGCTGAAGCTTCCATTGTGTCTCCGTTCAGTACCAACAACCGGTCCATCATGCAGTGTGTCGAATTGATGAGACAAGGTCGTTCTGCAATAGCTACTAGCTTTGCAAATTATAAATTCTTGATTTTGTATGGTGAATGCATGGCTTTCTGGGAGTTACTAATGTTTTACTTTACAGTCATCGCGCCCCAATCTATCTGGATCACTATTGATGGCTTTATTACGACCACTATGACGTTTGCAATCACTCAAGCGCAACCTGCTGCTAAGTTAAGTCCTTCGAGACCTACTGCCAAACCCTTGGGTATCTATACATTAGCCTCACTCTGGGGTGTTATTTTTATAAATTTTTGGTTCCTCATTTGCAGGTAAAGAAAAGGGAAAAAGAAAACCGGATTAACAAATTAACTCACAAATATTATTTGCTTTGCTTTATTTATAAGTGTTATCTGGCTTTTCCAACAAGATTGGTTCATCTGTAAAGAATTTGACAGCAGGTCGGTTGATTCCGCCAAATGGTGGCTGATAGGTGACAACTATGAATCCGAGGTTATTTCTCTTGTTATTTTGTTTCAATTCTTTAACAATGGTGCTATAGTCAATTTTGGTTCTCAATTCCGTCAATCCTGGTGGCGTAACTATATCTTGGTCTTTGTCTGGTGTTGTTTCTTCGTTAGCACCAGTTTCCTGACTTTGGCTGATCCCAACCCTTATAGCTGTATTTTCCGTTTAAATTGCGGCTCCAAACAAACACTTGTAGAATTAGGCTATCCTGAGCCATATTGGGATATTCCTGATTATAACTCGCCAGTAGGTCACAATGTGATGCCCAAAGACTTCCGTTGGAAATTATGGGGTTTCATATTAGCCAATTGCGCTTGCAACCTTATCTGGGAGCGTATTTGTATGCTTTGGATTGCTCGTGATTGGGCCATTAAGCGATATAAAGCAAATACTCAAAATAATCGGGCTATCTTCAAGCTTTAAAAAGTGACCGATACGACTTTTCGTAAATACTCATTATATCTTTTTAGAATATCCAAACGGGATACTTTTGTATAGACTTTCGTTTTCTTTTTTTCTTTTTTTTTGTGTGTGTATTCCATAATAATTCCCGTATAAAATAATAATCTACTTCTTTAAACGAGACGATAATAATATCCACTTCTTTATACACTAATAAAGCTCAATGTGAGGGTAGTTGCTAATTATCCTTAATAAAAACGCTTTTTGCGAAAATAATGGTAAAATTCTCTGCCCCTTTCTCAATGAGGCTTATTTCGATGTACAGCCTTTACTTAAGGATTGATACAAGTAAAATAGATCCTTGCGTTTAGAGTTCAAGTAACAAAGATAGGTACATCTTTAGAACGTAACATATTTACTTGCCTTCTGTAGTAAGTCCATAACTGTCTTTATACTTTCTTTGCTAAACGATGTCTGGTTGGTTGAGAAAGTTGAGTGAGGATGGGGCCGGGAAGGACAAAATCAACCGCTCAGTATAGAATTGTAGAGACCATAACAGCAAAATTAATCACAGTTAGAAGGGCATTGCTTGCATATGAGCTTCAAATACAGCTGATTGGTGCACCCTACATATTTTTGGTAAAAATCAAGCTTTAACAATTTTCGGAGGAATGCGCGTTACGATTCAATTTATATAGAACAGTATTGTTTGCTCTTCTCATTAACTTAGCATTCTTTCTGTTATTGTGATGATGTATAGTACGTCTTTTTAAGGAGTTTTTTGTCAAGGTTTTACTAGAAAGTGCTTTTCATGAAATAATATCATTTACAACGAGTAATAAAACGCACTTCAACAAAGCTTTTAAACTGTTTTTAATTCTTTTCCAGTCGTATCAGTTTTAATTATATTTCTGCTTCTATTCGCTAGGACGCTTGTTACTACTCCCTATCCAACATTTTGTTCAAAAAACTAAACATCTTTAAATTCCCTACTAATAGTCAAGCTCATATTAACTTCCTGAGTTGTGAATTCTTTCAAAGGCTTAGTACGGCCATAAACGTTGTCGATTATAACTCTGAGGAAGAAAAGAATAATACTTCGATGGCCAAAGGGCGTTCAGAAAACATTTGAAAAAAACTGTTCCTGACGTGATTTGCTGTACTCTGTGTTTGAAACTGAAGTACCGGATTTGGGGAACAAATGCTTCTTAGCTGACATAATCAATGCGTCTGTACATTCATTGTTCTTTGCTCACTTTCAGGAATGCCTTCAGCTGCAACAAGAAGATTCAGTGTACAAAATACCGACAAATATATAGGTAATGAATGATTACCAACTTTCTGATCTCAGTACCTCTGATCTGTCTCAGTTTTTTCCATCAGATTATGATACCTTCCTGGCCGATGACTTCGACGCAAACGACTATGCAAGCTCTATTTTGCAAGATTCGGAAGATGCAGCAACTGATGTAGCCGATATCGGAATGGAATTGTCAAAGTTAGCATTTAGCATTGACATTGTGAATAAACAAATCCAAGAGCATGTAAATTTGTGGATTGATTGTGTATTGACTATGGAAAGTATATGTTAAACACTTCGCTAAAAAAAATTCATGGTACACTTTGGTTCAGGTTATTGCAAATTATGATACGCTTGTAAAGCAAGTTACTGGCATCAAGGAGTTAGAAGATGAACTCAATACGGTCGAGACAAATATTATGGACTTGAAAAACTCATTACAGTCGTAACTATCTTGTGTCTTTCAATTTCACAGGCTATGTCTGTTTTGAATACCTGTAAACTTACGGTGCTTATTTATATGTAGTCTCTCCTACAAAATAAAGGAACCCTATAAACAACTTGTCACTTTCGCAACACAGCTTAGCAACCTGCAAATTACTTGTGAACTATTACGAAAAATCCATCGTTTTGTTGTGTTAAAGAAGAGACTTGAAGCTCAACTGTCATCAAAAAGTAATACTGGAGATCGGGATATTATCACAGCAGCACTGACGCTTTCAAAATTGAGTAATGTAATGGAAGAAACTGATTTCGAAGGGATAGATATTGTTTCGTGCGAACTAGATTTTATAAAACAATCACGAAAACATGTAGAAGAAGAAGCAGCTACTTTATTAAAAGAAGGCATAGAAACTCAAAACCAAACGAAAATGGCGATTGGATTACAAGTGTTTTATAATATGAAGCAGATGAGCGCCCATATAGAAGCAATTGTGCATAGGATGTTGGATTCTTTGTTGCAAAATATTAAAAAGGTGGTTGATTTACAATCCATACAAAATGAGGCAAGATCAGCCAGCCGCGGTGATAATGCCGCCTCACCTTCTGTAGGACGAAAATCTGTCAACGAACCAGTTACAGGCGGCGGACTAAATCATAAGCAACTAGCAGCTGCTCTTTGGAAACGTATGGAATTGTTAATGAAAACTATGAGTGATGAGTGTATAAAGGTTTACAGTCTAGAAAAGGTGTTGGAACTTAAAAAAGATCCAATGACGCACATATCATTTTTAGAAGAGATATCAAAGGTAAACCAGCTTTCGAATAGTTACCTATAAATATTCTGTCTAGGCACTCAACATCAAACATCTTATTCCTATCTTTCTATATTAGACACTCGACGCAACCAGTTTAGTGAACTATTTTTGGAGAATATTATCGCAGAATTTTGAAAGAGAATTGAAGAATGCTACTAGATCATCTAGTTTCTTGCAAAATATTTTTGTTGATGACTATCCCAAACTTTTGAAACTGTTGCAAGAATTCTTCTCCAGAGTTGCGTTACATAATGGTACTTTATTGACAGATTATTCTCAGACACCTGAGTATGTGATTATGCTTCGAAGTTTTTCAACCTTTCAAAACAGCTTTTTGGCAAAATCATTACAGCGTATGCAAGAATCAGTTAATTCTGCATTTTCAACTTTTGGTGGTCTAACACGATCGCCACCAGATAAAAGCCATATGCTGAATATTATAAGGATTATTGGAAGGTAGCAGTAATTCTTTTTGTACATTGCCTATGATATTGTATTCAAAACATCTTCCTTATTCAAAAGCGAATTAGAGACTTCCTCATTTGAGCCCAATCTTGTTCAAACTGTAGCCAAAAATAGCGTCAAAAGTATCACTTTGTTTTGCAATAAATGCGAAAAAAGGGTATAGTATCCATTATATAATCTGCAGCTTTTAATGATTTTTAATCAATTTGATTATATATAGATCCCAACGAACCAACAATCAATATATACAGCAAATCCATCAAATTCATCCGTAATTAACTTCCTGAACATGCATTTAGAAATTGTAAATAGCTTATATTACATGCATCAGTCAATTTGGAAAATTTTGGAAGAATATCCTGATAAGATTATCAGTATTATGAAGCCAGGAGCTGATAATTGTCACGATTTAATGATGAAAATAGGGAACAAACTTATTGAATTGATAAAAAAAGATTCAACAAGTATAATTATGAAAATTCATCAAGAAAACTTTGCGAAACTATCGGGAACATCAGATTCGAGTAGTAATTATATCAAAGAACTAACAAAGCATGTCCGCTATTACCATTCTACCATAATCCAAAATTTCTCCTGCGGCGCACAACCGAAAGTTTGGTAAGAGTACGATAAGCTGATTCTGGAAGCATTATAATTCACAGTGTTTCTTTTCTGTAGGGTTAAGCAAATAAGTAAACATATCCTAATCACATTCATATCTGAGGCAACGAAGCTTACTAGTTCATTGAAAGATTCCGGGAAGTTGAAGCTCTCAGAAGACATGGCAGAGTTGGAATTTACAATTAGTCAGTTCTTGAGTGAGTATGGCTCAAGAATTGAAGAAGTGGGTGACGAGTATAAAGCTCTGAGGGCTGATCTATTCAACAAAATTTTTGATACATCGAGTCAATAAACAAATAGATTGTATATAGCCCATAATGTATTGATACAATACATTAAAGAAACTCCTCATTAAAGATGCCTTACAAGCATTTTTGCAAATGATACATCATTGAAAGTTTGCATTTTGTCCCACCAATTGATGGCTCATCCTCCTGTGCCTGAGCTAGTCTGACTTCGAAATTTTTTATCTTACATTTGCTTTGAAGTGAGCTTTTTCCTTCTTTGCATTTTTGTTACTCTTCTTGAACGTAACAGTCAGTTTTATTTGAGAAATGGAAAGCAGCAACAAAGTACATTTTTACCAACAACGGCGATTTGGCTTATTAGAAAAATACCAGCTGTCAAAGCATCTTACTCATGCATATGGTAATATCACCCTTACCGCACATTTGAAGCATCGCAACATGCTATCTGACCAAGGAGAGCCAACTTACGAGAGATATAAGGAGCATTATTTAAACTATTTACAAACGGGTCTGGCTCAGTTAATCGGAAAACATCCCATGCTTTCCCTTGTTGTCCGAGAAAAAGACAGAGATACGGTTCATTTTGCACAGCTTTCACAAATTAACTTAGAAGAAGTAATTACTATCGATTTGCAACACAGGAATCTGCAAGATAACATACAACAGGTTATTCAGCAAGAGACAGACAGAGAGTTTGATCTCGATAGCATGCAGTTACCTTTATGGAGGCTTCGTATTGTTGTTGGGCTTGATATAACAACAACAACTGAAGAATGTTTGTTGGTTTTAACCATGCATCATGTGATCGGCGACGGTATGAGCCTAACTATCTTCATGAAAGAGCTACTCTCCTGTATCTCAACTTCTAGATCATTTGATGATAACAACAACAGTAGCAGAATAGTCAATATAAACAAAATAGATCATGTCCCTCCACCTTATGAATTAGCAGGTGCGCCTTCGCTCTCCATATTGTGGGATATCATGCCTGTCTTGTACCAAAACTTAATGCCCAAAGTGCTGCCTACCAACCTTGCTCGTTATTTAAACCCTCTCTCTTATGAAAGTTGGAAAGGTGATTTTCCTGCCGTTAAAGAGGAGCCCCATCATACTGTAGTTCAACTCTTTAACGTACCTGCTGAAGTTTGGAAACCAACCATACAGGAAGCTAAAAAGCGAGGTATTTCCGCACACGCTATTTTGTATACTTGTTACTTGAAAACTTGGTCTGCCATATATGCCGACGATGACAACTGCAACATAACTGAAGTCTGTACGCCTATCAACTGCCGTTCTATCTGCAAACCATCTGTTCCTAAAGATTGGATTGGTAATTATGTCAGTTCATATACTAGCATATGGAAGAAGAAAGAAGACAATAAAGCGGATATTTGGGAACGGGCAAAGCAATATTACCAAGATTTACATAAGAATATGCATTCCTCAGCGAAACAAACATTATTTCTCAAGTTTCTACCGGAATTTCCTGATTCCTATTGTGAATTTTGGTATGATAAACGCAGAAACTCTTCATTTGGCAGAACAGGTGGATTAGAATTATCAGATCTTGGGAAGTTAGTTTTGCTAACAGATCAACGCAGAGATGAAGATAATGAGGATGAAGCATCAAATGCATTGGAGACAGTTGAAGTCAAACACGTGTATTTTTGCCAAAGTGCACAAATATTCACTAATGTAATTTCTCTGAACAGTATTTCCTTAAACGATCAATTGTATTGTACATTGAGTTATCAAAAGGGGTCTGTTAAACAAGATAAGATAAACCACTTCAATTCTGTTTTTGTTGACATTCTGAAGAGCCTGAAATTGTAATAAGGAATAACTTGCAATAATAAATGTAATTTTGAATGTTTTATATTGCACTATTTTACAAGAAAAGCAATTTAATTAAGTGAAAAGGGAAGAAAAAAAAAAAAGCTGAGATGTACAGAGTATAAGAAAAAAAAAAATATTCTGCTCTTTGTTGGGTTAAAATTTATTGCACTGAGTTGAGTAGCTTTCCCTCTTTTCTTTTTCTACTTTCCCTTTTTACAGTTTTTAAATCTCTTCATTAAGCATAAAAGCAGCACGATAACCGTACAACTACGTTCCTCTCACAACAAGTATTAAAGAATAATGCAAACAATTAAATGTGTTGTTGTAGGTGATGGTGCTGTTGGTAAAGTAAGTAACACGATAAGCATGGAGACAACTCATTTGTTGGCTCTTTTTGACGTGAAATTTAACCGACCCTCTCATCTTGATTCCTTTCTTGCAGACATGTCTCTTGATTTCATATACAACAAACAAGTTTCCATCTGAATATGTGCCTACCGTAAATATTGGGAACAATAATATAATAGGAGACAAATAACAAAAACATAAGCATGAGCCAGATATTGATATTAGGGGTTACTGTTTATAGGTCTTCGATAATTATGCTGTAACTGTAATGATTGGAGAGGAACCCTACACATTAGGCTTATTTGATACTGCAGGTATTGTCAGCAATTGATGAAAGATTTAAAGGGAAAAGAAGGGTCGCTTCTTATTATATGGGGAACTTAAATGCTGCATTATGTGATTCTATAGGTCAAGAGGATTATGATAGACTTAGACCTTTGTCTTATCCTCAGACAGATGTCTTCTTAGTTTGTTTCTCGGTTACTTCACCTGCCAGTTTTGAAAATGTGAAAGAGAAATGGTTCCCTGAAGTCCATCATCATTGTCCTGGTGTTCCTTGTTTGATTGTCGGTACACAGATCGATTTACGTCAAGATCCTGCTGTATTAGAAAAATTAACAAGACAAAAGCAACGCCCTATCAGTTTCGATCAAGGCGAAAGATTAGCTCGTGAATTAGGTGCTGTAAAATACGTTGAGTGTTCTGCACTAACACAGAAGGGTTTAAAGAATGTGTTTGACGAAGCTATCGTTGCTGCTTTAGAGCCTCCCGTGAAGAAGAAATCCAAGAAGTGTACTATTTTGTAGCTTTTTACTGTTATTCTAAAATTGAGAAAAGAAGCACATTGTCTCGAACAGTAGCGGCTAGAAGTAAAAATGACAAACATGCTATGATTATATCTTTTTATACTTAAAATCATATTAATTATGTGTAAGAAGAACTCAATTCAAACGAGTACCCACATAAACATTTTTATACAATACAACCCTTATTAATAAATATTGTCAAACAAAACCTCATAGTGACCAATTTCAGCACAGCAAGCCTTATTTGTGTCTTTCGTGGTTTTACCAACGCATTACAGGTTATCAGTTGAGAGTTCAAAACTGAGTATGGGGGCAAATTTTTGAACAATAAACCAGCCAATTAAAGTCGTTTTTGTAGAAGTACACATGGCAGATGAGGGCGAGTTTGATGACAGCTGTAAAAAGACCACATTGTTCTATTTCTCGGTAAGCAGCGTAATAATATCACTTCCTGATTCAAAAATGAGTGAGCTTTCCAAAATCTGCGCTTATTTGTAAGATCAATGTGTTTGTTTGAGGCATAAGTACCTCATCGTGAAAGTAGTCAAGATATGAAATTGAGCAACTGCTTCTATCGGAAGGTGTTATTCTAGGATGATGACCTGGTCAGAGTCACTAAGCATTCGTTTGAATAGCTCTTTCATAGCGTTTAAAATTGTATGGAGCTGTTCTCTCGATGGACACATACACACGTCTGGATTTTCTTGTTTTCGACTAGTTTTTTTTTTTCCCAATGAATACAATGCATATAGCTCCAAATATTCTTGTACTTATCACTGTACAGCAAATAAATGACATACTAGAATAAGTATGCCTCACAAATGGCTTCCGATCATGCTATCATTGCTCGTATAAAAGTAAAATAAAACAATTTATGTTGCTTCGTTGACATTCACTGTACATCAATAGTAGCTTTGCTAACAATGAAGATATCCACTTCAATTGTTACATTCAGCAACAGAGTTATTTCTATTGATGGGCTATTTGGAAACGCTTGCAATCTTGTTCATATAAGGTTTACTTTTCACTTTTAGGTCAAATGTAAGAGCAACCTTTGTCTGTTGTCACTAAGCCGTAATATAGCATGACTGTATAATCTTTTGCTCATAAATGACTCAAAATATCCGCCAGTTTGCAAACAAAAGTGTTGCTATTTGGATCTCAACGATTATACCACGTTAGGGAAGTGTTTCAACACACAATATAGAGATTATATTCCGTCTTTTCATCAGAAACTATGCAAGCATCATTTCTAGCCGCAAGCGTATGATTAGTTAAAGTCTTCGCTTTTGACACAATAATGCAATAAACATTGTTACATGGTTACAAACACTGCAATTGGTGAATAGTAACTTCGGTGTAGGGATGGACAGTTCGGTGTGGGACGGGCAGTCCGGTGATTGTTTAATGTCCAAAAAAACTGCCCCCAATTAAAATTTTAGGCTTGAATTTTGAACAACAACACACAAAATAAAGATTTGATAACTTTTTTTTTTGTAGACTTTCTTCTTTCTTTGTTTTACCCAAAGTTATTCAATCAACCAGTCATGACTACTAGAGTTTATATTGGTCGTCTTGCTCGTGATGCCACTCGTCGTGATCTCGAACGTTTATTCAAGGGTTATGGTGATATTCGTGAGGTGAACATCAAGCAAGGCTTCGGTTTTGTGGAGTTCAGTTCTGAAAGAGATGCCAAGGACGCTGTTTACGATTTTCATGGCAAAAACTTCCTTGGTGAACGGTAAGATCGTAAAGCAATCTAAAGTGAAAAATATGCATTACAATCTAATAAAAATTATTTTTGTATCGATATATGTAGCTTAATCGTTGAACTTGCTCGTGGTCCTCGTCGTACTGATGATAGACGTAGTAATGGCAACGATCGGTAATTATAAGGCTTAGATGGAATCTGTCTCCTTTCTGTTCACACTCACACCTCTTCACTTTCATTTATTATAGTCGTCGTTCTCATTACCGTTTAATCGTTGAGAACATTGCTCCTGGAACTAACTGGCAGGTACGCTTTTTTGCCCTTTTTATCCTTTTCCCGCCTTAAAAAAATACCATATCCAAATCTCTCTCTCTCTCTCTCCAATCTGGCCTGTGTGCTTTGTAACTATGTGCTATTCTGCTTTGGATTCTCATCAATTGTCTCTCCCCGCCTTTTTCTCGGTGGCTGTTTCTTTCCCTTATGCTATTGGGATATACTCTCTACCATAAAAAAATAGGATCTCAAGGATATGATGCGTAAAGCCGGTGAAGTTACTTTTGCTGATATTTCTCGTGACCGTCCATCCGAAGGGTATGTGCTACTTTTCAATCAGCTGTAGCGGTAAAACGATGGAGATAAGGTTTTGAACTGTTTTTTATTGTAGCATCGTCGAATTTGCTGTTCGTGAAGATATGGAATATGCTCTTAAAAAGTTGGATGACCGTGAATTGAACGGTCAACGTGTCAGTCTTCGCGAGGTAAGGAATCTGCTTTTATGGATGCTGAGACAAATAGGGTTATTGTATACAATTGTGGATAGAATAGAATGAGGACTTAATGGTTGTTCCCATCTGTTAATGTACGAATAGGATACTGGTCGTCGTTCCAACGCTAGCGCTCGTCGTTCCTCTAGATCTCGTTCCCGTTCCCGTTCTCGCTCTCGTTCTCGTTCTCGTTCTCGTAGCCCTCCTCGCCGCAGCCCTCCTCGCCGCAGTCGTAAGCGTTCTCCCTCCGAATCCCGTTCTCGTTCCCCTCCACGTCGTCGTAGAAGAGTCGCAACTCCTTCCATGGATTCTCCCTCCCCCTCGCGTTCAGCTTCTCGCTCTCGCTCTCCTCCTCGTAAGAGACATGATTATTCTGATGATGAAAATGAGGATCGTGGCAGAAAGAGTAGCAGCAGCAATAGACGTGACAATGACAACTCTAGATCCAGATCTCGTTCACCCGATGCTAGAATGGATGAAAATGACAGCTTTAAACAAGACGATAACAACGAACAACCCTCTGCTCCATCACCCGCTCGTAGTGAAGGAAGGTAAAGTGTGGCTGTTGTTTTTTCTTTTAATTATTCATCTTTTTGTGCCTTTGCGTATGAAATTGTAAACCGTATTGACGTATTTCTCTACCTATGTAGTGCCAGAGATGACTAAAAAGGATATAGTTTGATTTGATATTAAGAAATGAGATAGTGGGCACAAAACTTTTTTTTTTTTTACAATTTTTTTGTTTAAAATGGAATTCATGTAAAAGAAAAAATCAGCCTTAAGAAGAATGCTCTAATGCAACAATAATATAGTATATATGAATATGGATATTAACCACCTATCTGAATAAACATTTTCAAAAAAGGTTCTTTGAAATATTTCTTAACGCAGTACGATTCATTTACTTGTATGGGTAACAAGAACTGTATGAGATGTATCCACTCTATCTGCTAAAGCTTATAAAGCCGGCCAACTTTATGAATAACGAAGCATACGAGTATCTCTTATGTAATTTTGCAGTAATGGGATTATCATCGATAATAAAATGCAAGGAAATCTATATTCTGCGTTGCTTTCTTCGATCTTTGTATTTCTGCTACAATGTCAAACTACTTTAATCGTTTGTAAGTCAATGAGGGTTAATCTCGATAGTTAACACTTAGTTTACTAACGAACACATGGTGACATTTGAAATGATTACCAACTCAAGCTATCCTTTACAAGCAGCAAAGCTGTTCGTCAAGTCCCTTAAAAACAATAATAACACCTCAGCTTTAAATAGCCCGACGAAAGTGCTCAAACTCACCAAAGACCTCACACAAAACCAGAGTAATGCAGCCTTAGTGGACGCTGTCAAATCAATCTTTATTAAATTTGATACTCTGCCTGATCAGAAGCAGCTCGATTTTACAGTCTCTCGTAGAGTATCTACTATACTTGATGCAGGTAGAGTGAATAAAAGTTGAATTGTAGCGCTTTTTTCTTCGCCTCGATTATTGAACCAGGTGGTTTTATATAATCCATACGAAAAAAAACCCCCTCCCCCAAAAAAACGATTGGTTATGCCGCTACATTACTATTGAAAAGGATATGGCGTTTTTTTGAATGGAAATACACAAAAGGCTGGTTCTATCCTGTGCTTCTACCCAGGCACTATTTACATGTCTTCGGACCCTATCTTCTTTGTTAGTCTATCCAATCAATATATTCTAAAATGCGCCGATGGTATTTATATTGACGGTAAATCGAATGGCTTATCAGGCAGGGTATACTCATCTCTTTATAAGAGGGAAAACTGGCCAGGCGCAATTTTAGTGAGTGATAATACTTGGATGACAGCAACGAACGATATAAAGAACCTAAGGTAACCATTTTTACGTATTTCTTTTGAACGTCATCACACTTTCATCAGAGGTTAACTTACCCGTTATCATTTAGAAACCCTTTGGCAATAGGTCAATTTGTGAATAACCACACAGATGAATGCAAAGCAAATGGTTGTATCTTGAGATTTGTAAGCGTACATTTTTAATATCAACTAACTTTGGTTTGAAATAGTCTACTACCAAGAGATAGACGTATGCATGCCTGAATTTCCGAATCACTTGAAGAAGTACTTGCCTAATATGTACTTCAATCCAGCTGTTGGAACTGACAAATTGCGTATAGTGGCTCTCATAGCTATCGATGATATACACGATGGACAAGAACTGTTTTCTACCTACATGGATTTGGTATAAATGAAATATGAAAAAGACAATTGAGCCGCCTAAAGAAGCCTTCATTGTTGTAATAATAGAAGTTTCCCTAATAACAATCTTAAGGTTCGAAGTGAAATAAAGGTTGCACGCCAGCGTTATTGGGAGGTGTTCCTTCTTCTTTCCCAAACCATAACCATTTTGCTACAACGAATCTCAAAACATAATCTCATAGTAAAACTCGCAATCTATAAAGAGAAACAGTACGTATAGAGTTACCAGCACTTATGATCATTGACGCATGGACAAGAATGACTAAAGTCGGCTCACTAGATTGGACTCAACTATTTCTATTATTTACTGAGAACCGCAGCTTTTGGTACTTTTTCATCCAACTCGTGGCAACTGGGCTGTTTACATTATGTCATTTCTACTGTGGGATACAAAGGCTTTAGTAACCCTATATTGCTAGAGTTTGTTACAGACATTTTAATAATCTGATGATTTTGTGCTGAGGTAGAAATCTGTTAGAACTCGACGTTAACTATGTAATGCCAACGACATAAGATCTTCCATTCAACCTAACGTTGAGCTATCATTTCATTATTAGTCAAGGCAATTAAAACGGAACGAGAGGGTTCACAAATGAAAATGTAACATACTTCAGATAGTCTTTTTGTTCCGTTTATAGGAATGGCGATGAACCCACAAGGACCCCATTACCTTGCAACACGTAGGACAAAATTACATAGGTATTACAATGGCTACCTATCTGATAAGAGTTTGCTGATACACCAATTGGATTTTGACGGAAAATGAATAGGAATCAAGTATCTCATTGATAGGAGTATGGAGAGCTATGAGACATTTCGTCAGAAACCAGAGTTTGATCTGCTTTTTTTTTTTTTTGGATAAGATGTTTCAATCCGAAAGCACTTTTATTGTAAATGAGAAAATGAAAAGATGGTTTATTATGTACAGAATGAGACTATCACAACAAAGTGTAAAGTATGATGAAGAGATTCTCTTTCTTTCCATAAAAAAGTGGCTTATTCTTTTGTTGTTTTAGTGCAGGGATGTGATGTTGAGTGTGTATAAAAAAATTGTAGCGAGAGAAGAAAATTTAAATAATTGTATAGTTACAACGACTCTGAGGAGAAATAGTGACTGATAATAACTACTAGAATTGGTATATTGTATTATCTACGCCTTGTCTGATCGCATATAAATATATACACTTGTTGCTTTCCGTGTTGTCTGTACGAATAATTGTAATTGTACTACGGGTAACTCTATTCGAACCATGGGGTTGTATAATTGATCAGTGTGGATGTAGTTTCGAAAGCTGTGTATTTGCAAAATGTAATGTCGTGAAAAAAATGATATCAAAAGATTTATAAGCTGAGGATATCTCTGTTAGAAGCAACATGATCATGACCGTTATTCCTACTGATAAACCACTTGAAGTATTCGTACACACTCCAACTAATAGCAGCACTAGGCATATTTGTCAACACTCTAGGCTTGAATCCTCTGAAGAAACCTGCATAACCGTATCTTTCCTTGATGATTTTTCCAGCTTCAACTAATCCAGAGCAATTACGAATTCGAGGATCATTATTGGTACCACGAGTCTGCAATAACGTTTTGACGACATCCAATGGCGTTGTAACGGAAGCAGCAATAGCACCTGCCAAACCACCCGCCATGGCGTGAGTCGTGGGATCGTAATGACCGTTAGGATTGATGACTTTACGGAAGAATTCATACGTGGCAAATTGAATGGATTGGAACGGAATAGACATGGTTAAGGTGGTGGGCAAGGAAATGTAGAAGGCAACAATTCCTTCCTTGGCAAACACTTGACGAGCACAATCTCTGACATTGCGATAAAGAGCTGTGGTTTCTCCTCCCATTTGCATACGCTGTTTGACGACATCGAAAGGATTCATCATGGAGTCATGAACAAGGGTGGCGATGGCACCAGCAGCAGCATTTGTCAGGACATGGTGGCCACTCGTATTACCACCAAAGGCTTCTTTGCAGGCTTCGTAAGTGGCATAATGAAGAGCATGAGCAGGACCAGCGCCAATAACGACAGAATTGACACCTCGCCATAGATGACGGGATTTGGATTTAAAGCTTTTCAATTCATTCACGACGCTACTACCAGCACCATCTAGAATAGCCGAGGAGTGGACGTGGCGGGGATGTACGGTTGCTTTTGCAGCAGAAGTTTTATGATGTGACGCACCAAAAGCGGACGATTGTGCCTTGGCAGCGGCTGCAACTGTATTCATGACATTGCTGCCAGTAGTAGCAGTAGCTGACTGAATGACTTGCATACGAGTTTTGATACTATCTACAGGATACATAGCACTGTGTTCAGCAATTCCGGCAAGTGCACCGGCCATGGCGTCTTGAGTGAGGGTTGCGTTGGCCCCAAGAGATTCATAATCGTAGTCGTCTGCCATTTTATATTATTACTAATCGTACGTGTGTTTAATCTAAATAGTATGTAATAAGGTATATGTAGTTGTAATTGTTACAAATATTCAGAAAAAATAATAAACTACTAAAGTTGAGCGGGGTGGGTGATGAATTAAAAATTATGGAAAAAAAGAAAAAAAAGGTGTGGGGGTCAAACGTAAACAAAAGAAGAAAAAAGAAATGAAAATAGAAAAAAGGACTTTTTCTTTTATACTCGCATGCAAAATCTGATTACGAAAAAATGAAAAAAAAAGAGAAAAAGGCCTTTTTCTTTAAGGTTTTGTCATGAATTTAAGCCAATCAAAGTTTATCTGATAACAAAAAAAAAAAAATGTTTATTTGTTCGTTTGCCCAGGTTTTTTAATCCCACAGGCCCGCACAGCCCCGCATCGTGGTACAAATTTTTGATAATCAAAAAGAACAATGTGCTTTTTGCATCATAAACTTTGGGTTCCCTGCTTGATCAATTTTGACCAATCATATTGAAACAATCAATCTGATTATAATCGTGATGCCTTAATCTACAACAGAGAAAAGCATCAAAGTTTATTCTCAAAAAGTATGATTTAAATCAGAAAAGATCTTTGCCTGCTATTTAGATCCTACTACAGACGTACATCAGAAAAGACGTAGACAAAGGAGCCAATAAACATGCTGTTTACAGCTTCGGAAGGATCATGACAAGGAGTAGCTCCTTGCCCCTTACTTGTTTCTTGATCTATATTTTCTAGGCTAATCTCGTGCAACAATACTATCTGATCAACGAACCTCTTTGTCCCTTATTGCTAACCAGAACAAAGACACTGAGAATAAGGGAAAGCTTTTTACCCCCCACTTTTTCACTTTATGGCACCTATGGAACTGATAGTTTTCCCATCATCAATACAGAAGAAGATCACGGGGTAAGGCAATGGACATCCTTCCTTTATCAAGTAAATCAACTGTCTCTTCACCATCTCACACAGGTGAAAGAAAACAGAAAACCAGCTCGATGAACGCATACACAACCAATGACTGCCGTGCGTTTTGTGTTTGTCTCATACTTCCTATTGTCAATCTTTGTTTATTATTGTTACTCCGCAAAAAAGAAGGGTCAAAAAGGTCGAAACATCCTGGAAAGAAGCTTATCAGATTTCAAGGTTTGACCATTGTATAATAATCAATTGATCTTTTAGCGTTCGCCTTTCTCTCTGTGCTTATCATTTCCACTTGACTTGGCTGAAGACGTCAACGCTGTAGCACCATTCAATAAAATAGTGATTCATATATATTCCCCCCCACTCCTTTGTTATCAATAAACTTATGACAGGTGGATTACCGTATTTGGTACGCACACATGTCTAGTGGTGATACTATTCTTTTTCGTCTTATTTTTTCTTACAATTCCGAACGATGATGACAAGAAAAGCCAGCATTTCTTGTCCAACGTTTCTGAGAAAAGAAAATTTAATTCTTATTCAGCCAATCAAATCAATACAATTTTAAATTTTCATTCCGTTTTCAATTGATGGGTAGCACTTATCAGATCATACGCAAGTAGGAGAGAATAGAAAGTACATTATCTGATTCTGTTTGTTGATTATAGAAATGTCTCTCTTTCTTCCAAAAATGATTTGTATCACGTTGTAAATTTAGACCAGAGGAATTTCTCGCTATGAGTGTATTTCTACAATTCTTTCATACATATTAGTCAGCAATTCTCATTGTACCGAAAGTCAAAGTTGACATATTTTCAGCTGCTAACACAGCCAAGTCGGAATGGGAATTGGGGGATTTTCGGCAAGTTTCTTTATTCACTCAAAGTTGCACGAAACCAACGAAGGGAATAGCACCAACCATAGTGTACGCATATTACACAACTGTAATCGTTTTTTTGCTGTGAATTTTGATAAATATTGCTACCGAACTTTCAATTTGCAATCCATAAGCCTATTTTATGAGTTTACCTGAAATAACGGTTGGATATCGTATTCTAAAATCACATCAAACTGTTGTGGCGTTACTGATGGTGCTCCTATTGAGGGGCCCTTTATTTGAATCACATCATTTTGAACTGTTCTGTTCGCTTAGCTTTTTTTTTTTTTTCTGATTAAATTCATGTGACATTTTATTCAATAAGAAATGAACGTTAAAAGTCAAAAGATTAGGAAAGCTATATAGGTTAAATAGGGAAGAAAGGCCTTGTTGATAGGTAAAGGCTGAGACGATAGACGTGCCTCAGCTAGGGGGGTCAGCCTGTGCCCTCCTGAGACCTTAGCATTAGTCATCAGTTACCCAGAGGTGTAAATAAAATACTCCTTTACGCACCACAATGGATTTTTCGAGCAGTATGCTCTGCTATTATTCTACGGACTAATATAATAAAGGTGAGTTTTGCCATTCCTCACATTCTAATGATCCCAAAAGCTTCACGAGTTGTCTGTATTGCGTTGAAGGTGTTCCTGAACAGATCTCTAAAAAAAAAAAACAAAAAAAAAAAAAAGTCCCTTCTTGCCAAGCGGAATGCATTTGAGCAAATATTATCGGAATTTGAAAAAAAAACCATTGTTCACAATGGGTTTGTGTCTCTGTCGCCTGGAAAAGCTGTTTTTTTTGAAAAAAAAAGTGAAAGTTTGCTTTTTCCGTTACATTCATACATAAATTAATAAGCGTCTGTTAAAAAATGTCTGGTCAATTATATACACATGCTGATGTTGCTCAACATAATAAGAGAGACGATCTCTGGATGATCGTTGATAAAAAAGTATATAATGTGACCAAGTTTATAGATGAGGTAAGCAGTAGAGAGTGGAAGAAAAAAGGGCAGAACAACGGAAGAGTGACATCAACTCACCGATCCTGTCAATTATACACATTAGCATCCTGGTGGTGATGAACTCTTACTTGATGAAGGTGCCAAAGATGCTACCCAAGCATTTGAAGATGTTGGTCATACTAATGATGCCCGAGAGATTCTTGAACGTTATTATATTGGCGATCTTGATCCTACAGTAGAGTATTTTTTTTTTTTAAACTATAGCTGAAACATGGCTGATGATATGCTTAACCGACTAACGAACTTGTACTTGCTTTTTGTAACAGTCCACACCTGTTGCTGTGCAGTCACCCAACGGATCACCTGCCAAACAAGCTAAGGGCAAGTAAGTAGTCTCTTTTTCATCTTTACAAATAGAAGCATCTTTATAGCTAACCTCTTTCTCCTGTTCATTCTCTGTTAGTCCTCTCCGTGTCATTATTCCCGTCGTTTTCTTTATTGGTTACTTCTACTGGCGTTTCTTTATTCTTAATGCTAATGCCACCAAGCAATAGTCGCTTTCATTTTGTTCGATTTTTTATTTCTGTAGATTATGTTATTACGCAAACAATGTTTGATTTTTGTATTGTTCATTTCAAGGAAGGGCGAGATAGTGATCAAGAGATCTATTATCAAATGTTTTGCAATTTGATGAGCGATACATGGGAGATGGTAAGGCGTAATGAGTGAAGATCGGGTCCTCATAGTGAGTGAGTGAGTGAGTGAGTGAGTGAGTGCGAGTGGTGTTGCTGAACAAAGAGGAATGCGCATGATGCTATTTGATATTGAATCCGACATAACAATAGACTGGATACAGGTCAGAATATAAGGATGAGAACCTTAGTAAGCGTAAAGTGCTAGAAATGATATTGACTGCGTAAGAGAGAATGCATTTTGAGCAGGCTTGATCATCGCTGGGCACAAAATTTCGTATGCTGAAAAAAATATGAGTATATACCGTTATTGTGAGTCTTGGGCTTTATTTTCCTCTTTGTCCCCAACAAAAGTAAATGCAAGGCGTTGATAGCATCATAAATTCAGTCCCAGCCTTAGCTGTAGTCAACAGTACAGTATAGGTGTACTGGACGATAGCAGATGTTGTAGTCATCTTTCTTTGCGTTTTTAATGCAATAATGTTTCGTCATTATCAAAAAACAACATTGTGTTCATAGACAAAAAGTCAATTATAGCAGAGTTACAACGACAACCATCATGTTTAATCATAATGAAGAAACCAGTGACAATAGAAAAAAAAAATCAGGGCGTTTGTTTGTAACCGTTGAGAGTTTATCACAATCCTAATAGCGCCATTAATGCAAAAAGTGAGGTGTGCCGAATTCTGGCAATTAAAAAAAAAAATCTACGATTTTTTGTTGTATTTGGTGCCCATATCTGCCAGTTTTACATTTCATAATGTGGGTTTCGTTTTTAACCCGTGTTTCAATTTTAAGAACTCTGTCTTTCTCTTTTTTTTTTTTCGCACACCAGCTATTTTCTCCTCCCCCACCAACGACGACCCGCCTTAAAGAACTATCTGTTATCTCTATGCGACCTACCTCAACACTGTCGTTAGAGTCTTCGTCAGACTCGAGTCTGTCATCAGCATTCTCCTCTTCTTCAGCTTCTTCTTCACTTTTCGGAAATCAATCTCATCAGGCCACTGGTACAAGTGATGAATCTCGCTTTAGTCACAATAAACAACTATTTGCCAAGTTCGTAAGAGAAACTCGTACAAAAATGGAACAAAAGACATTAGAAATAAACGCTACTATGCAAGAAAAACTACCGGAATGGAAGCAAAGAGGAGCTATGTATTCCAATAAAGCAAAGGAAACAAGTATAGAGTGGGGACGTAAAAGTAAAGGAGCAGTTGACAGATGGAAGAAAGAAAGGGCAGAGCAACAACAACAACAACAACAACAACAACAACAACAACAACAACAACAACAACAGCAGCAGCAGCAGCAGCAGCCTTATTCACCCAGTAGTGGCCTATCCATAACGCCGTCTCAGTCATCAACAGCAGTATTCGGCATGCCATTAGAACTAGCAGTGGCTTTTACGAAAATAGATTCAGATGATTTAATACCTGCAGTGTTTAGAAGATGTATAGAATACTTAGATGATGCTGGCATACACGAAGTTGGTATATACAGAATTCCTGGAAGTACCACTACCGTAAACAAGTTGCGAGCTATTTTCGATGAAGGAGATGATGTCAATTTTGATGATACTAAACCAGACCCGCATGCAGTTGGCACGCTGCTGAAAATGTATTTAAGAGAATGTAAGTCGGTTTGCAGAGAACAGTTATGAAGTTACAGAAAGATCTAATGTTATCTGCATCGTACATGGTAGTACCTGAACCCATTATTCCAACAGATCTGATCAATGAATATTATGATCAATTATCGATAGTGGAGAAAGAACAATGTAGCGACAGTAATACACCCGCTTTATCAGTTCAAGTGATTACAATAGTTAGAAATATCACATCTAAATTACCAGTCTGTAACCATCGATTGCTGCAATTGTTATGCAAGCATTTAAGAATGGTAGCAAACAATGAGTCCGAGAATCGCATGTCCATATCCAACCTGGCATTGATCTTTATACCAACACTGAACCTAAGTAAGGTTTTGTTTCATTGCATGATTGAACATTATGATGACATATTCAGTAAAATACCTCCACCATTACCGCAAAAGCCATCCAAAATTGTCACCCATCTGCGAAAATCTTCAACAACATCTTCTGACACAACTTCGCCAGTCTCTTCTCCTCTCAACAGCAAGCCATCCATACCACCCAAACCCAATGTAAATACCAATACAATGCCATCTGCAGTGAAACCTACACCTTCTACATCCACACCCTCGTCCTTAAAGAAAAAGATTGTTCATTCCAAACAGATGTCTGACACAACTGCAATATTAAAAAAGATGCCACCACCGAAACCAATCCGATCTCCCTCCAGTAATAGCAATCATAGCCATACCACAGGCAAATCGACCCCTTGTCCCAAAATGCCACCGAGAACACCACCACCACCACCGCCACCACAAAAACAGCAAAGACCCCGTAACCATAGCATGTGCAAAACAGTGACTTCACCGCCTACAACAGCATTTACATCCCCTCTCTCCGGAAATAGGAGTACTACCAAACCAAGATCAAAGTCAGTTTCTAATACGACACCTATGCGGTTTTCCCCTCTACCCCCTCCTCCTGCACAATCAGAGCCATTACTATTTCAACCCAAAGTGACTGAAGAATTGATTTGGAAGCAAAGTAAACATAACAACCATGGTCGAGTAGGAATTATTGGAAGACAATTTGAACTATTAATGAGTAGCAGTAACAGTAGTACTAAGTCTAGTAATGGTAGCGATAATGATATCATACCGTCTTCTTTTTCACGGAAATAAAAGAAACAGGTCTTTAGAAGAAAACGGGCATCCGTTGATTTGTGTTTGTAGAGGACGGGATTTTTGAAGTCCGACATCAGCGCTCAGGAAGAATGTAATGAGCCTTTTCCCCACTTGTTCCGTTGTAGAATCCTCCTCTTTATATTAATTTAGGTTCGAAGCCCATCATGAAGGTATAAACAATCCATCCATTGTAATCAATGCAATGAAAGAGGAACAGAATATGAAAATAGCGATGTGGATGATCAAGTTTCGAATGGCAGATCAGTATCAGTGTTGGATAAGGATGGATGTATTATTGTGTAGTCAGAACTTTTCTACATTTTAAAATTCAAGCCATTTCAAAATGTCGGCAAGTCGATTCAGCAACACTATAACACGCATCAGGCCCACCACTGCTAAACTCTGTATGTTCGAACCACCCACTTCGCTCTGCAACATTTTTGGCCACAGTTCAATGAGAGCTTCTTGCTTGTTCGATGTCAACTTTGTTGATCGCTCTCGTCCAAGTCCATTCGGTTCCTATTTCTATAATGGGTCAAACATCACATTGCTACTTTCATATTCTTGACCTCCTGTTCATAAAGTTGAGCATCTCGTCGAACAAACAAGATCTCTAATAGTAACTTATTCAATTTAGCTTAACATTGCGAACCCAGCCACCGGCTGTCAAAAGTTGATTGAAATCGAAGATGAACGTCGTCTGTAAGTTTTTCGACATGGATCGTACATCTGAGTACCCGGCGATGAATGTAGCCTGTTTTACTTACCTTTATGTTTTTTCTATAGCCGTGGTTTCTACGATAAGCGTATGGCTCAAGAAGTTTCTGGTGATTCCCTCGGTGACGAATTCAAGGGTTACGTTTTCCGTATCACCGGTGGTAACGACAAGCAAGGTTTCCCCATGAAGCAAGGTGTTCTCTTACCTCACCGTGTCAAGCTCTTGATGTCTAAGGGTCACTCTTGTTACCGTCCCCGTCGTACCGGTGAACGTAAGAGAAAGTCCGTCCGTGGTTGTATCGTCGGTTCTGACCTCTCTGTCTTGTCTCTCGTTGTTGTTAAGCAAGGTGAACAAGACATTCCCGGCCTCACTGATACCACCGTTCCCAAGCGTCTTGGTCCCAAGCGTGCTTCCAAGATCAGAAAGTTCTTTGTAAGTACCAATTTTTTCTGTCGTCATTTTTGGATATGTTCATGTGTGTTTGCGCAGTTGTGTGGAGATGAGCGAGATAGGAGGGGTTGTTTTCAAGAAAAGAAGTTTTACAACGGGAATGGATATAGAACGAACGATTAATCCTTATGTTTTGTTTTATTACGTGTAAATTTAGAACTTGAGCAAGGAAGATGATGTCCGTAAGTACGTTATCCGTCGTGAAGTTCAACCCAAGACCGAGGGTAAGAAGGCCTACACCAAGGCTCCTAAGATCCAACGTCTTGTCACCCCTCTTACTCTCCAACGTAAGAGACATAGACAAGCTATTAAGCGCAGAAGAGCCGAAGCTTCTCGTGAAGCCGAAGCTGAATACAAGCAATTGTTGGCCAAGCGTGTCAAGGAACAAAAGCAAGAAAAGGCCGAACGTCGTCGTACCTCTTCTATGCAAAAGTCTGCTTCTGCTTAGATAAGATTTCAATCTATTACAACCCAAGTCTATCAAGATGTAACATCTGTTGTTGTGTAATAAATATCAGAAATAAAGAAAGTCATACGTCTCATTCAGTTTTTCTGTTACTTTTGAATTGTATAATTGGAATTAGTCTCGTTCGCGCGTATACGTGAAATTATAGCCTATTTTTTGTCCCAAAACTTGAAAATTCTTCAGAATTTTTTTGAACACGCTAACGGTCACGAGGATCAAATTATGGTTTACTAGATTTTACCAAAATTAAGCGACCGGTGTCATCCTAACAACTCTTCAATTGAATCATTTTACATTTTACACTTTTTCGACAGGTTTAGTCAACGTTGATACCGTACATTTCTTTTATCTCTTTCTTCAATAAAAAGCGTAGTCTTCAAAAAGCGAGGGGTTTTTTTTTTACATCAAAGTAGGAAACTTCATGTTCCTGAAATCTTTTGAAACCCTAATCGATTCATCATTTATACCATGAGTCTCTCTTCCCACCGTTCTCGTATAAAAAGTTTGAATACGCGAATGGGATCGCAAGGAAAGCAACAACAACAACAACTTATTGATAAACTAGAAGTAGTCATTCCACAGTCTGTCACTTCACCTTCACTGTCAAAATCCTCAGTAGCAAGGAAAAGAGGTGAGCCGCTGAAAGTCATCTCCAATATAAACACCAACGCCATAGAACAGCCCAACAACAAGAGCAATGATCTAAAAACAGCTCAAAAGATGAAGAGTAGTGCCTCTACTACTGAAAGTATTCATAACAATAAAAACAACGTCAAATTGAACCATCTTGGACCCAACAACAACAACCACTATCATCCAATTCAACGAAACGTTGATTATGCTAAGCCTCCACTACAACAACAGCAACAACTGCGACAACAGCCACAAGAAAAGCCAAAATATAAACTGGTCGAAGATAAAGACGTACCCAGCATTATCAAAGATTATAAACAACGAAAACAATACAAAAAACTGGAGTATTTAGGCAATGTAAGTTTGAGTGAACTTACAGTAACACTCCTATCGTCCCCCGCTTCTTTCTAACATGAAAGGATAAACTTTATCCATAGGGTGCTTTTGCAAGAGTGTATAAAGTTGTGACAAAGGAGAATGAATACTATGCTGCCAAAGTCATCGCAAAGTCTTCGATCAACAACGATAAAATCAAGAGCAAATTATTGGCTGAAATCAACATTCATCGAACATTGAAGCATGATAATATTGTGAAATTCCACCGATGTATTGAGGATAAGCATAATATTTATCTTGTACTGGAGCTATGTGAAAATAAAGTAAGAAAATGATGAACGAAACGGTTTATAATCGAACCTCTTTGTTATCAACTCTCTAACTTCTTCTTCCTCTTGCGATCCATTAGACGCTTAGTGTCATGCTGAAAAATAGAGGGGGTTTTCTTACTGAATTAGAAGTACGTTATTACATGGCGCAAATCCTTACAGCATTACGATACATGGCAGATAACAGAGTGTTGCATCGCGATTTGAAGATGAGTAATATCTTATTAGATGCCAACATGGACTGTAAGATTGGTGATTTTGGTTTAGCAGCATTACTCTTGAGCAAAGAAGACAGAAAAAGGACAATCTGTGGCACACCCCATTATATTGCACCAGAGATTCTGTTCAGTCGAAACCGTGGACATAATCATAAAGTAGATATGTGGTCTGCTGGCGTCATTATGTTCAATATGCTTTTTGGCAAACAGCCTTTCGATGTGAATGGCAAACTTAATTTCAAGCAAGTATTACAAAATCAATACCTACCTCAGTACATCTATCCGAAAGAGACTGCAGGCAATGTTTCGAAGGAAGCAAAGCATATGATAAATCACTTGTTGGTGAATGATCCTGATGAGCGTTTATCGGTGGTTGAGGCACTATCGCATGCTTTTTTCCAGAGCGCCATTCCGGACCATATACCCAAAACAGCCTTATTTGAAACTCCTAGTTACGATTCATTGTTCAAGGATACAACATTTAGCAATCATAGCAAAGCAAATGGTGATGGTACGAATAAGCAAACCATTCAAAATAGTCAATCTAAAGTAGCTTTAGCGGTACAACAAGCCAAAAATGCGGATCATTGTTTCTATGATAGTGATATTAGACCGCCGTTGAATATTTTAGAGGAAACTATTTACGATCACCGTTCACAATTCCCAATGCCTTCCTCTCAACCGACGAACTCTCAGAAACACTCGGAAGAACAAAACCAACTTTTAACAATCCCTAGAAAGAAACCTTCGCATTCATCCAGCATATCCATATTATCAAAAAAACGATCAGCTACACCTATTCAAGATACCCATCAACAGCTTAATAAAAGAGTACGTAGCAGCGGTCTCAGTGATAGTAACAACCATGAAGAAAAGCAAGCTGACAATGTCAATATACAGAGCATCGGAGAGAGTTCTTCGTCTCTACAACAGAAGTTAGAAAAGACGACCCTTGCCAGCCAATCTAAAAGCACAAGTATTGCAAGTAGCAAGGATAGTGTCAGTAGTAACAATCGTCCCTTTGCTATTCCCAATCCATTGCCTCACCGTCGCCCCATGATGGAGGAGATGGCTGGCAACTTAAAGACGATGATGCACCGTGTAGAGTCTCTCATTTCGATCAATCAACATAAACCAACAAGTAGCTTGAAAGAAGATGTGGAAGATTTTCACTGGGGGCTACATAATTGCTTCATTGAAACGTGGGTCGACTGCTCGAAACATTATGGTTTTGCTTACGGACTATCTGATGGCACACTGGGCTTCCTCTATAACGACGGATCGACCATGACTTCTTACAATAAAGACCAATACTACTACATCTATCACGAAGACAATCGGTATTTAGAGCAAGAATATCGTATCGACACCGTGCCAGCTGATTTGAAGAAAAAAGTAGCCGTCTTAAATAAGTTCCGAGAATATGAAGGACCTGAGCTAAGAAAAAATCAACAGCACTTTATCCATATACCCAAGGCCACGGAGTTAACACGGATTCATCTGTTTAAATACTTTGTTTGTGAAAAAGCTATCGCATTTAGACTTAATAATGGTGTGGTACAGCTGAACTTCTTTCATAACCATCAAAAGATAGTTCTGTATGACAAAGGCATGAAGATGCTGTACATAGATGGCAGTTCCAGATTATCCCATTTCAATACACTTGATGTATTCAAATCGGATAAAAAGGAAATGACTGACGCACTGAAATATACTTATTCAATCTTAGAAGAGCAAAATTTGTTAAGACAAAATGCGTTGAGGAAAGAGAGATGGAAACGGTACGAGCAAAATCAACCACAGCCATAGCAACAATGACAGTTCAGATGAACACTTGTTGGTAACTTTTGAGGTCTGCTTTTTTCTCTTCATTTATATGCGTCATTTACTTATAGAAAATACTTACTACATTATTATATTATTGCACAATATATTTTCAAATATACTTAACTTGAATAAAATTGAATAATAAGCACAATTATGATGGACTCCTTAATTGACAATAAATACAAGTTTAAACGTAGAACTTAAACAGGTGCAATTGAAGCAGTTATCAGTGAAAGACACTATATAATGAACGTCGTGCAGATGCAAAATTAACTGATAACGTACTTACTTATCCGCGTAGCTTACAGACCCGCCCTCTGCGAATGAAATTACAAGAAAAGCACTGCAAGCGTCTCAAAATATAAGTCGGGCCTGCTTGACACAAAAGTCAATAAGTTACTCGTTTTCTAAAATAAGTAGAAGCATGAAAGTATATAAAGTGTTTTTTTTGGTTTTTTTTTTTTTTTTTTTTTTTTGTAGGGTTTATTACTTGAACTCATATTGAAAGTGACAAATCCCGGAAAACTTCTCCAAAAATAATTCTTGCTATTTATAGTTTTGAGTATGTTCTTGGCATGTAGATGATCAACAGAGAGTGGAGTCTTGCGCAAAGTTACTCGTATTACGTCTGTGACGAGGGTAGATGATGGTGCGCTGGTCGTAGGATGATGTCAGCCTGAATTGGCTGATACAGTCATCCTAAAACTATGGTAACAAAATTTTCATCCAAGAATAGCAACAAGCGCACGAGTGGCAACCAGACCTCCATTACTTTCTTTTGTATATGTAATGGACAAGAGAAACTGGGAGAAGGAAAGCCTAAAAGAGAGCAATGATACATCAGCTTTCATTCATGCCTTTTCACGCATATACATAAAAGATGACACATGCCCACTTAGAGGTAGCAACGTGTTATTGAGTCAAAGAATATATTTTAAAGGCATTGTTAAGTGGATACAAGAAGATTTGAATATCTCACCCTGTGCAAGTCAATGCTTTTAATACATATGTTAAAAGCATGCATTGCGAATAACAATATTTCCGCTGTTAGATTAAAACAACAATAACGATATATTGCTAACTCTTCTACCGTTAAATTTTTGTATTTGGTTATACTGGTGGTCATTATCTGCAACAATAAAATGTGGGAATCTATTAATGAGTAGAGATATATGATGTGTTCAAACAGATGAAAAAAAAAAAAAAAAAAAAAAAAAAAAAATGCAATAGAAGGCGTTTAATTGAAAATAACTTGATTCTAATGACAGCACAATTTTCCTAAGCTGCCTGTACAGGTTAACGCAATGAATATATTAGTCTCAGAGCCATGACTCATTTTTTATCCAGCTGTGTCAAAAATGAACCTAGTTGTAAAAGCACAATAACTATACAGAAGAAAGCCACAACTAGATTCAAAAGTATACTACATATCTCTGGAGATATGTCAGCATTGCTTAAAACAGTGCAACTCAATTATGCCATCATCACGATTGTCCCTCAATTACACCCGCTCCTTCTAATAATATTCGCTGTCGACACTTAAATTTATGTTTTTAATTGAAAAGAGTTGTTGCTTTATTGATTTATCCAGTGGATATGTATGTGATAGGTATAATAAGCATAATAGACAGATAAATCTTAAGCCTTCCTTCCTTTATTGTTTCCATTATATCCATATTTTCCTCTCTTTTCAGCTGGTTTCAGAATCTAAAGGATAATGTAAAGTTAACAAATGCAGAACATCCTGATTTACAATTTCTCCAACGGGCTTACCTGAAAAGAACACATTAATGATTCATCGACGCTCATCATAGCTCCTGCGTTATCAAACTCTCCACAGTAGTTAGGCGCAGAGAACAATGTCACTAATTGCCTCTTTGCAAAAAACTCATAACCGTCCTCGACGACCTGATGCGCTCGACAGATCAAATCCAAATCATGTTTTTGTAAGAATTTCGATACTATATCTGCACCAAAAGTGAATGATACACCACGGTCATTTTCGCTCCAACCCATAATATCTTTATCAGGATCGGCCCATAACAAATCACATAACAAGCCAGTGTCGGGTACATCTGTTGGACGCATTACTCGACGAATCTGTTCCATTGTTTGTAGATCGGGTGAAAGACCACCGTGCATACACATAATCTTTTCATCGATGACAGCTGCAATAGGTAAACAGTTGAAACAATCAGTGAATGTTTTCCAAAGTTTGATATTGTATCTTCGTTTGCCTATAGTGAGATAATGAATATCGACGCTCTTCTATTTTTTGCTCTTTGTTTGTTTTCGTAGATCGATCAGACTTACATTCATCATAAAAGCCATAGATACGATTAATACTCGCGCATTCATGATTACCACGTAATATAAAGAAATTTTCAGGGTATTTAATTTTATAGGCCAGTAATAAACAGATGGTTTCCAAAGATTGTTTTCCTCTGTCCACGTAATCACCCATGAAAAGATAATTGGCTTCAGGGGGGAATCCACCATATTCAAACAGTCTTAATAAATCGTAATATTGACCATGAATATCGCCACAAATCTTAATAGGTGCTTCCAAGTCGAGAAGAATAGGTTGATTCATGAATATATCACGTGCTTTATGACACAGATATTTGATTTCATGTTCTCCTAGTTGCACTTGCTTGCCAGGACGACTTCCTCGGACTGGTATAATGTTGAAGGAATCGGTTTGCATTAACGTCCCTAGAGACAAGTCATGTAGAGTCTTTTTGCTATACGTAGATATGAATGATACCTTCTAAAAGACGGGAAATGATAGAATCAACATCAGCCTCTACAGTGTCAGCCATTCTTCTATTTCTTATGGTAATCTTCTTTTACAAACAAAACAGAAAAAAATAAAATAAAATATATGTACAAAATGAAAAACTGAGCTAATGGTTGTAAAGAGCAGATAAGATACACACAAACAGACGCTCGCTCACACACTCACAAAAAAAGAAGTTTTACAAAGAAAGAAATTTTATGGAAGGAAAAGGGAAAAAAGAACGACTGAAAAAAAATTGTTGCTTTACTAAACACAACGCGTTTAAAGAAAGGACCACACACAGACACACATTCATTTTAATTGAAGCTCCGTCTTTGCGTTGCCGTCCATAGCTTTCAGACAAACTAACAAATTGTTTTAAGAAATTTTCTAAAAATATTCAAGACAATATGAATCTCGACTTTATATATCTCACCTTGTGAATAGCAAGAATTTGTTGGAGGTACATGAGTTTGATCCATCCGTATATATAAATGAAGGAATCCTTTCTTTCTAATGGGTTCTAAAGGGTGCATGTGCAAGGAGATTGATCACAGGTTTTTATCCAGTAATTTTATACTGTCATACCAGCTGTGAGACAGGATGCCATGGTAACGCTCAAAAACTAAAGCCGGCATTCTTTCATTGCATTTGTAGCATATCTGTCAATATGATTTATCAAATAGCCTAACTCTAAAATTACAATTAGTACTATCGGAAACTCATCATATTCATTGGCATATGCCACTAGGTTTTCATCCTTCTTTTTCCTTTTTTCGAACATTCTTTACAGATTACATGGACAACCAACAGTATTATTCTAATGCTCTAATACATTCTTCATGTTCTATGCCATTACCAGACGCGCTATTATGTGATTTGTTGCGATCATAAGTAAGATGATAAAACGAAGAGCTGCAGAAAAAAAGAAAAAAAGAAAAAAAAAAGGATAACTACACTTCAGTTAATTCTTTTTTACAGGTCTCAAGCTTTACTATTGCTTCGTGACATTCTCATTTTGTTAAATGGAGTAATATCTCAACCGTCATTTTATCCCTTCGGGCAACAACCATTTCTTATCTTTTCCGATGATTTTTCTGCGTTCTATAATTATTCAACTACCTTTCTAATCAAAATCGTTTGCAGCATGTAGGTTTAATATCTCAATATATTGTATATTTTCAATACCATAGACGAGTACCTTTTGAAAAAAAATGGACTGAAGAGCACCCTTTTAGACTTCATGCTCAAAATTGGTATACTTGGTAAGCAGTGTCCGAGTTAGAGGAAATGGGCTTTCAATTCATCGAAAACATTTCGTAAATTGAGAAAAAAGACGTCTGCTTTTTGGAAGCATTAATGTGATTATCCCAAAAATGAAATTTCTTCACATTTAAAATAGCTAAACCTTTCTTTTTCCGAAAATGATCCAAAATTTGGCAGGAGGATTAGCTCATATCGTTTCAAGGATGAACAGTGTTATGAAAAGGCCGCTCTCCAAATTGTTAACGGAATGCATGGAAAGGTATACTATACAAATGAAAGAGCAGATTTGCGATGTTCTGTCTAGTATATCTTTGTATCACTTTTTCGAACTATATATGAAATGCACGGTTGTTAATTCTTTCGAACAGCCACTTGCCTAGTTCAGCTAATCATAATGTGCTGTAGCGGCTATTCGATTCATATACCAGACGTGGCAAAACACTTTTCAAACAAGGCACGACAGGATGCCACTCTCCCGTTCTTTGAGCTGTAGGATACAGAGGCGACTACTCCCTCATGATTTTTTTCATTGACAATAAGCGTTGGGAAAAGAAGTAGATACATTCATGTAGGTTGATTGAAGAGCAGGTAAATAGTATCTTTTTACCTTTCTTTGCATGTCTGCTGTCCCTGAAATTTATGAAACCATCATACATATTAGCAACCAATCAGAGTTGCAAGCTACATCCGGTTGTCTTTGATTTGCCTACAATTACTTTTGGAACTTTTGTGAAGGCGTGCCGACAAATTTCTAAAATGAAATACTGCTCAAGAAATCTGTCCCAATTGTCATCAACATACAAGTCAAATGGAAGTAGAAGATCGTCTTTTTTTTTTTCGAAAAGGCAGTGCCTTTTTTGTGAAAAAATGTCACGTTGTTTAATCAATTGTTCATTAATTTTTTCAAGTCAAAAAGAGAAAGAAGACTTATTGCGTTCCATTTCCGAAACTTGCAATTCTCAAATGTCAAAAAATGATAATTCACTGACGTTATTGCTTGATTTATCAGATCAGACACGTTTGAACAAGGCAAGCCCAAAAACAAAAACAAAAAAAAGGAACAGCATTTTTAAGTTAGTTTTTTTTTTCTTTTTTTTTTGGATTAGATTGGAAACGATTATAAAACTTCTACAGAACCCCTTTTTTGAGCTTTTGTTTTCTTCTCTTTTTTTTTTTCCCGTTTCTTTCAAAGACACACAGTTTTTTAATCACATACAATGGATATAAACTCTAGAGGGAATACTACTGATAATACCACTGGCAATGTTCCACGTATTCGTAACCTTCACCCTTCTCAATTGTCACCTGCTGATTACTCTTACGGCGCCATTCCAACCGGTGAAGAGATTCCTATTGAACGCACCACCAGCACCTTCTCTGAAAGAATAAACGATTTTGTTGGCTCTTATTCACGTACTTCCATGATGTTTATGGCCGAGAATCTGGCTGTCCCAAATGGTCCCTTGGTAAGAAACGGAAGGAAAAGAGAAGATGCCGTAATTTAAGCGTAAGAATTTAGAATTGTGTATTCATTTAATTTTGGAAAATTATCCCACTCTTTCCATTTGGGTTTCATATGAACAATCATAGTTGGATGATGAGGATGATAAAATCTCTGCCATTTCCTCGAGTTATAATGTTTCAAGGATCCCTTCAAAAACCTCTGTATCACGGCTTTCAAGAATAGAATCAGGACACGGTGCTGGAGATACCAGTGAGCATGCTTCTTTACTATTTTCACACTTGGATAAAGTGCTATCAACAAGGAGTGTTGGAACTGTGGCAGAAGATCACCGATATGACACACATCCTATCGTGGTCAAAAAATCCTCTTTTACCCAATCCATTTTCAACTCTATCAATATTTTGATCGGTATTGGTATTTTGGCACTGCCACTTGGGTTCAAGGTAAATAGTACATTTGATCTGCCTCAGTCAGAGACGGGAGGAAAGACAGAGTGTGTACATGTAAGTTACTTATATGATTTTTCTACTTTGTACGTAGTGTGCGGGCTGGGCAATTGGTCTCTCTGTCTTTGTATTTTGTTGTGGGTTGACAAATTATACTGCAAAATTACTACAGAAATGTCTTGACATTGATCCTGAATCGAAAACATATGGTGATATGGGTGCTTTAGCTTTTGGATTGAAAGGAAGGATATGGGTCACAGCTTTATTCATTACAGAATTGATCACTAGCAGGTAAATAAGTTTAACAAAAAAGTAATGGGAAAAACCAAAGAGCTTAATTCTCGGAAGAACGTCGCGTTAACAGTTTGGGACATTTAGTGTTGCTTTGGTTGTCTTGTTAGGTGATGGTATAGATGCCCTATTTCCAGGTTTCAATTTGGTGCAAATTCGTATCATGTCTTTTGTTATTCTGACACCCATGCTATTTTTCCCTGTCCGTCATTTATCTTATACAAGCTTATTGGGTATTTTGAGCGCTTTCAGTATCATCACCGTGATGATTATAGACGGATTATCAAAGCCTGATGCTCCTGGTAGTTTGATCGAACCTGCTGTAAGTAGTCAAAACATCTGAGAGTATCCATATAGGGTGTGTGTGTGTGTGTGTGTGTGTATTTGTGTATGTGTGGCAGTAATAGAGAGGAATGAAGAGCTTCTCTCCGTTATTGACAAACAATAACTTTAACCACAATGTTTGCGCAAGCATCAATGGAATCGAGATGAAACTGTTTCAAGGAATATCACAAGACTCACGACTCGAACGTGTTTTTACTATATTAGGATACAGAAATTTGGCCCTCAAATTGGATGACGGTACCCTTAAGTTTTGGTTTGATCATGGCAGGTTTTGCAGGACATGCAGTATTCCCCACTGTTTACAGAGATATGGAAAATCCCAAACAATATACAAAGATGGTGAACTGGACCTACGTAGCTACTACCATCGTTTACTTCGGAGTTGCCGCTTGTGGTTATTTGATGTTTGGCTCTAGTACAATGCAAGAGGTAAGAATTTGTCAAAGTGTAAAGGATAGGATGACTCAATGACATACGCTTACCTTTCAACTTACTATTCTAGATTACTCAAAATATTGTTTCTATTCCTGAGTATAACCAAGCATTAAATCGGTTTGCTGTATGGTTAATCGCTATGAATCCAATTGCCAAATATGGTTTGACCGTAAATCCTGTCAATCTCAGTTGGCAGATTTGGTTGTTCAAAGGTACCAAAGTACAGGATTGGTGCGACAGAGGAACTTGGCGCGAACCTATCCTAACAGCCATCGGTAAAGTCTGTGTCAGTGCATTCATTGTCACACTGGCCTACATCATCCCTGGCTTTGATAAGGTGATGTCCTTGTTAGGTGCCTTCTTTTCGTTCATGATCTCTGGTATCTTCCCATTGATCTGTCATGTCATTTTGTTTAGGGATAATATGCCTGCAAGCCAAAAATTGTTGGATCACATTTTGATTTTGATTGCCTCTGTCATGGCCATCAGTGGTACCGCTTGGAGTTTTCTTTAGAATACAACCCCCCTATCTCCTGCTCCTCCTTCCACTGATTGCTATCTGTATTCCCATAATCAATATTCCTCTCCTCGGATCATTTTTGTTGTTCGATCTTATCTCCTGTACCTTAAGTCTTATGTTTTTGTACTTTCAACATTGTACATTACTCTTAATAAAAGTATCTACATTTAATTAGTCGTATTAACCAAGGCTTAGATTACATTATCAATGAAACCTCCCTCCAATCTGCATTTTATATGTTGAGAGAACTAACCACAGGTGCCTCGATGCAGATCGATGAGAAAACCACTATCAGTCCTTTGGTCAGTAAAGGATTGCTGTGCTTCAAAGTGTATGTTATCTGGGGAACCCTCCCCTGCCCACAACCCCTTCAAACAGCAGGTCATTTTAATTTTGCATTTACTGCCTGTATGGCATCCATAACTTGTCCTCTTTCACTCATAACCCTCTCAAACTGAATCATGAAATGCTGAACGACGGTTGTTGAATTTATTTGTTTGTAAGGTTGCTGGTTTATATAAAATGCCTTTTTTGGTTAACAGGCCAAGCTAAAGTTTTTGTGTCCTGTCAAAGAGAAAAGGAAGCTTGGACATTCGAGAGATGAATTCAAGTAAATGAGTTTGCTTCTGTTTCTACTGCTTTAGAAACCTAAATTTGAGGTTGAACGATGAAAAAGCTAACACAAACGACAATAACTGCTTAGTCAAAATTCCTTCAGGGATCAAAGTCTTTAACAAAATCGCTGATTTCAGACAATGGCGTCGAAGTATTCTAATGGACAATAAAACACTTGGCTACGTGCCTACCATGGGTGCACTTCATCAAGGTCATCTTGCTTTAGGTAAAAGAGAAAGAACGGAACAAAGGCAGCTTTCATCGTGAACTGACCCATGCAAGTTGTATTCACCATCATTGACTATAGTGTCAAGCGCCAAGAAGCAATGCGATCATGTTGCGCTTTCTATTTTCGTTAACCCTGCTCAATTCGCACCTACTGAGGATCTTCACACTTACCCTCGTACATTACAAGAGGACCTTGATAAATTGTCCGGTTTAGGCGAGGGTGTCGCTTCTGCAGTGCTTGTTCCTCAAGTGGAGGAAATGTATCCTGCTGGTATAAACCTGGATGTATCAAAGCAAAAGGGCACTTTCGTGGAGGTCCTTGGTCTATCTCATCAGTTAGAGGGAATTACTCGTCCTAACTTCTTTAGAGGTGTAGCCACTGTCGTTTCCAAGTTTATCAATATCGTAAGTTCCTTTGCATCAAAAAGAATAAAAACCCAAAAGTTAACTTGAAAAAATTGTTGTTGATAGGTGCAACCCGAGCATATCTATTTTGGCCAAAAAGATAGTAAGTCATCCAACTATTAGAATTAAGTTTAAGAATAGACCACGAGCTCACTGACATACTGCTGATTATAGTTCAACAATGTTTTGTGATCCGTGATATGATCCGTGATCTCCATTTTCCAACCCAAATGCATATCTGTCCAACGGTGCGTGATAGCAATGGGTTGGCACTCTCTTCCAGAAACGCTTACCTAATCCCCAGCCAGAAGAAATATGCGCTTGCCCTGTCTCAGTCACTACGACATATGGAAAAACTGTACAAAGCTGGCGAGAACAATGCTACTGAACTTGTGAAGACCGGCACCGACATTATTGAAAAAGCGAAAAAAGAAGTAGAGCAATTGAATGAAGGATGGAGCATGCGCATAGACTACATCTCTATCAATTCTGGAAACGGACTGAAAGAATTGAAGGATAACATTCCTCGTGAAGATGGTTGTGTCATCAGCATGGCCGTTTTTGTAGGAACTACTAGACTCATTGATAACATATGTTTGGATGTGAAAGAGTTAGAGCAATAATAATATGTTTTAAATTATTGATGTTTTTGGCAATTCTAGCTGCAGTACATTTTGCTTTCCTTCGCAGAGTACCTTATTAGTTACTATTCATGAAGGGTTTATTAACAATGTGTGTTCTATTAAACATAATTGGTATTCGATTTTTGTGTGTTTTCATGAATTATGATGTTAGTATTATCCTGCACTTTCTCTGTAGCGTCTGGAGATGTAACGACATCTATTTTACCGGTCTTCAAAGCAATATAGTCACGTATTGAATGGACTATTTTCATAATAAAGAAAGACACAACAACAACAATGGCTACCACAAAGTACCAAATCGCCGCTTTAGGTCCTTGTTGCCAATCCAAGAAAGGGTATACCCAAAATCCAGCACTATTGTATGTATATCAGAAAGGTTTATACTGAGATGGGCTGGTTTGTTGTCGATGTAAGGACGAGTATAGTTGACTTACGTGGCATGAATGATGAACGTTAGAAACATGTAAAATAATACAGTCAAAAGAACAAATACGATCAAGCGTATCGGTAATTTCATCCGATTAAATATAACATCAAACAACATCAAGAAAAATGATACACCGTGTACTGACACATTCAACCAAGTGCTCATTCTACCTGTATGTGAACCATGTACTTTAGCTATGATCCATAATATGCAATAAAAATTATTTCTCCTCATGTACCAGCAGTTGTTGCACCCCTTGCCAACAATGACCAGAATACAACTGGTGTTACTATGCTGAGCATAAAAGAAGGAAAAAAGAAATAGTGAGCAACGCATGTCTGTCGATCTTCATTGCTTCTATCATATTTTCGTACTTGTTTGTCACTACGGTACTATAGAGATATATATACATATAGTTCAAAAAGGATGGTTGGCTTAATAAAAAATTGACATTTTTCGACAATAAAAATCGTGCATGAAGAACAGTAGCTGTCTGTGCGTTTGTCATCATTACATTCAGAGGTTCGTCAGTAACTTCATTATCGGCAGTGTTTGTTAAGATACCTTAAATTGAACAATCTAATTCATTACCACAAGATAAGAATGAAGTCCTACAAAGGTCAAATTTGTGAATGCTGTGAAGAATTTTTGACCTTCACCGTTACTGATAGAATTTCCCAAAGACGTCCAAAAGACAATCGTTGAATAAAGGGCACACACAAAACGAATTGTAAAAAATACTTTTGCAGATACCCAGTAGGAAGTAACTGCTTGCTCTGGAATAAACTGATCAAACCCAAACCAACGAATGAATGCATATCGAGAAGGCTTTAAAGGCTCATCTTGATAATTCGACATTTGGTAATTGTAAGATAAATTGAAGGAAAAAAAAAGGATTAATAGTACACAAATTGATGAAATTCGTTTGATTTATTTTTCTTTTCTTTTTTAGAATCTGGTGTATAGTTTTGCTTGCTCTGTACTCAATCACTTAATGTTGTGTACAATAGATAAATTGCGTTCCTTGAAGTAAAAAATGTGGACTTGCAAAACCCCCCAAAAAAATATCAACCTTTGCTCTTTGTAAACGGCTTACTGGTTTTCAAACCGGCACAACCAGCATACCATGAGCTCGTGTGACCTACTGATTATGTCCAAATCATGTACGCTTTCTAGAATAACTGAGCTGTAGCGCGTTATGTAAGACGTACACATTTTAACAGCCGTTCGATATCTGCGTACATATGACTTGCATACATATGGCATTGTTAATAAAAGGCATGTTTTCACTTTGCCAAATACCCCTATTGTGAAATTCCAACGCCTTCTGTCATTTCAGCAATAGTATTTTACATACCATACTACTATTTGGATTATAATTTTGCCCATTTAGGAATTTATTTCATTAACATGTATGTTTGTGTAGCATATAGTATTACAGTGTGAAATTCTTTTTTCTTAAACTTTCCATTTGCATATGTTTTTTCTCTTCATGGAGCTATGCTTTTTGATAATGATGTGAATATAGTAAGACTGGACATATATAATTCAAAGCATGAATATCTAAAGCACAGGATACTGTATGGGCTTTATTATTGAGCCAGTTTTTCCTTATCGCTGGACTATGTTGAAGTAATAAGAGTTCATATAGCGTAAGAATTGGGCATACCGGTGTTGGGGTATAATATTACTGCCTCCCACACTGGTGGAACTATTCACCACCATCTGAGCGAGAGTATGAGTAAGATTATCGGTACCAGATGCACCACCGTTAGCAGTCAGCATTCCAGAAGCACTTTGGTCATGCGTAGTGTCCCTACATTGTTAATGGAGGCTACCACAGGTTGCATCGACTCTTTAATAGCTAATAGTTGCTTAGCACGAAAAGCTTCATAAATATATCTTTGTGCTGTTGTTTCAACTTAATCTAGAAGATATGTACGCATCAAAAAATGGCAAAGGTATATAACTTCATAAAGATTTTCATTTTCAACTATTAGATAGTGCTTACATAGTAAGCATACATGATACGTTTCTTTTTCAAACAACTGGAAAAGAGCTTTGTTATTTTTCAAATATTCCACCATTGATAGTTCCATATCTATTTCTCCTTCCTCATAAGGCACATCGTCAATCACAACAACACACTCGAAGCCAAAGATAGCAGAAGGTAGTAAATCCGAAAATGGAAAATGACTATGGGACGTTTAACTTTTTTATACCGGTCAGCCTAAATGAGAAGATGTTTATCCGCATATTCTCGTTTAAAGCTTGGGTTTTTTTGGTTTTTTTTTGAATTGTATCGCTCTTCGACAGTTGGACAATTGGACTTGGCAATGGCAGATACAACATTCACCACGTCGGAGAGCTTCTCAAGTACAACAATATCAGTAGGTTTCCATGATGTAATTGATGCATTTAATGGTTAGCGCGTGTAGTGCACCATCTAATAACTCTAAGTACATGCTAATACTTACGCATAACCATTAGGGCTTATGAAGCATTAGCGATTATGAGTAGCTTCCAATTTTTTATCTAAGTAGGCTGAGTGGTGATCTGATGTAATTTAATGTTAGGCTCCCAACTATACAGGAAAATTCAGTTCAAAACGTTATATTAAAATTTCTCTCAGCATAAAGACATCTTGTTAAGTTTATTAACTCTCATTCCTAACCTGATTGCCATAGCCAGAAAATCTACAATATTAAGGCGAAAACGAACTCTGCTCTTCTCAATTACTTCAATGTTATTTTTCTTTTTTTAAAAAGACTACGGTTTCGACTGGGTTGATAGAATACTAAAGCCATAGACCAAAAGCAATGAAAATTGTCTATAGTGCGATAATGTTTCTATTTCAATAGTCTGTCTTGGTGGTTCTTCCATTAAAAGGACTGTTTTGCTTTCAATTAACTGCGAGGCAACGATAGTATTGACCAAATTCGATTTCTCCAAGCTTGATGGCTTTGTTCTCTAACCAATTTGAATCGGCATGCTTACCTTAATTCATTTTTTATCAAGACATGTAAGGTACTGTTCTTACCAGCAATCATAACGTTAAAATGAAAACCTTTTCTCAGTAGTGTTTTTCCATCTGCTGCGGAATTGTATCAAAAACGAACATAATCATATAACTTTGTCAACTTTCTTCCTACCGAGACAGTTTGAACAATAAGTGATGAAGCTGACGAATTTTTCTGGTGAGAAAAGGAACGAAGAGAAAATACAGTAGGATGTGCTTGATATCTTTAACCGAAGAAAAGAGAATGCGGGGAAGTAGAACAGCTCAAAAGTTGGTCGCAAAATGGATTTACAAGTCGTTGTCCATCTATTCCTCTCTATTAACTCTGTACTCATGCACAAAATTTGCAAAATAAACGAAGTCATCTTTTTATTGTCTAATTGTTACAGGTTTGTCGCATTCAGTTTATAGATAAGGCTTGAGACATGGTATATTCTGAGATCCAAACTTCAAGGCGTAAGGAAATTTAATGCCTTTTGTTGCGGCTTCCCTTGTTTTCCTTTCATTGTAATGGTGGCCGATACAGAAAATATCAGAAAGTTGAATTCATACTTGAATTTTAAATCACGTATCGAAATAAGCGATGGACGAACTTTTATTGGAACATTTGTGTGCATCGATAAAGAAAAAAATATGATACTGGCGAATACAGAAGAATATAGAGGAGGTAATATTTTTCCAACAGAAAGAGTTCATTCAATGGCTATCTGGCACACTTTAACCCAAATTTCCATTAGATGAGAAAAGACTTGTAGGCTTAGTGATGATACCTGGAAAACATTTAGTCAAAGTAGAGACCGAAGACTTTGCGTTACCAAACGATTCAAGCTTATATACATGATAAACAAGGAAACGATCGATTGAGCCATCATTACATCTTTTACTCCTCCGTTCAACAGATCCAACATGCATTTTATGTTGAAATAAATACGTTAAGCTATTTTTTTTCCAAATTCATCTTTCTTCACCAAATCTTTCCATGGATCTTGAGTCATCTCAGGGCAGATGTACGATGCATACCGTCTTTCAATAACTTCTGGTGTGTAATCGACATCTGGTTTTGGCACACCATTATGGTGGAAACCGCCTCTTCCTCGTGATCCTCTACCACGCGAACCACGACCACCTCTAAAGCCGCCTCTGAATTCACCACGGCCACGACCTCTTATTCTTTTATTATTTTGATGAAAACCTTGGTTGAAATGCAGTGACATGAGAAAACGCAGAGAGTCGCAGAGCGTTACTACAGCATTTTAAATGGTTGAGCGGGTCATGCTACAGCAGCCAATTCTGAAATTGAAAATGATTCTCTCGCGGCCGCTGTAATTTGTCAGCATCGTAAACAAATTGATAGCATTTTGATACGGTGGATATGGTTGAAGAAGGAACATAGCTAAAGAGGGAATAACTAACAATGAAAGCATCCATTCGCAATTACAGAGTTACATAATGTCAAGGTATCATGTATTCTATTATTTTTTTTTACCCGGCTATGATGTGAATGATTGTTAGCGACTCTTTTATACATGAGGCTCAGCTGGTTGATACTTACAGCTAGCGATATTGCAAGCGTTACAACGGCCGAGCTGCAATCGTGTATCGCACACGTATCGATTGAATGAACATGTTGAAACAAATTTTACAATCTGGGTATGTAAAAATCGTCCACATATTTAACAAGGAGCTTTTTTGCCGAAACTTTAAACTACTTCTAAAAATAACACTTAACAGTTTTAATAGCGCTTTTTTCTTTGTTCTTCTTTTCTTTCCACGATATTCTCGAGCTTTGTACCGCATAGAAAAATGAGAGGATCTGTAGAGTCAGCATATCAACGATGGAGGAGCAAGTAAATTGAACAAAGTGATATACCGTATACATGGAGTTTATTTACTCAAGGCATTCCTTTCTTCTCCCTTACATTTTAATGCAGGTACCTGCGAGCGTACGGTGATGGCTATTATGTATATTATAAAGAACCCAGTGAGAACCTCCCAGAGATGACATGCTCTGAAGCCCATGGTAAATTGAAGATAACAATTTTAGCCTACGTTCAGAGAAGAAAGAGGTTATGAAATACTTACAATTTCAACCAAACAATTTTGACTAAATTTTAGGCTACGGCATGTTAATTTCAGTTCTTCACCGAAACCAGCAAGATTTTGATGGACTATATCGATACTTTTTACAATGGAGAAATCAAAAAGGACTTATGCAATGGCAACAAAAATCGACTTCTGGCGGTCAATTTGTACCTGGTGACGAAGGAGGACAAAATTGCGCTACTGACGGCGATGTAGATATTGCCACTGCTCTGTTTGTGGCGGCCAAAATCTGGGGAAGAGGCGGTGCTCAAGGAGAATACGATTATAGAATGGCTGCAACTCAACTTACTGCAGCTATTTGGCAACATTGTTTTAATCACAATACATATATGCCTTTAGTAGGCGATTGGGCAGATCCAGGCGATGAGGCGTATGCATTAACTAGACCTAGTGATTTTATCTTGAGTGGATATCTGATGTTTTACTATGTAAGGTCTCTTAATTGACAAAAGTGCAATATAGAATTGCGTAAGAAGTTTCTAATAATGCTTATTGTGATGTATAGGAAGATAGAGAACGACAAGAGATATGGGGCAAAGTTATCAATGCTATTGTCAATACATGCCAAGCACAATTATCTTACAATCCACAAACAGGACTCATTGCGGATTTCCTATCGTTAGATCAGAGATCAAATACATATGTACCAGTTCATAAAGAAGTATTAGAGAGCAAACATGATGGCGACTATAATTGGAATTCATGTCGTGTACCATGGAGATTGGGCCATTATTATATGTTGACAAGGGATGAAAGGATTCGACCTATTCTAGAAACACAGGCTCAATTTTTCGCAAGTCAGTTAGCGAGAGGTTGTGGAGATGGGGATTGTCCAATTCGAGCAGGCTATAAATTGAACGGCGCATGTATAGCTGATTACAGTGACATGGCTTTTACAGCGCCTGTCAGTTTCTTATTTTGGGTGCTCAATTGGCCACAACAACTAGATGAAGTTTTGAAGTATATTGATGAAGACCATCAATGCACTTATTTTGGGGAGTCAATTGCATTACTCGGGTTCTTGCAAGCACATGTTCCCTATTAGCAGACAGCATCAAATTATTTTGCCCTTTATTTATTATCCATAAAATGCATCTCAGTAAAAATTCCACAGCCATGTATTGCCCATCTTTTGTCTAGTTCGGTTTATTCATCTTATTTTTTTCTTGATCTTTGCACAACAGATTGAGTTTTATTGCCTGGTTGTTTCTTAAGCATGAATGGACACGATAACCGGACAAAATATTTGAATATGGTACAAAATCTCTATACAAAATCTCTTTTTCAAGTATTATCTTATGTTCTTTTTTTTTAAAAAAAAAAAGTTGTCTCGCGATGTCTACGACGCTTATCCAGCTTAATTCCAATTTAATACTTATGTATGTCTTCGACGTAGAGAACTTGGTATTTCCTTTTTGATATAATTTTGTATTTTAGCTCTCCGAACCTTCAGTGTCTTTTATAAAGACTTAACAAAGCTTATGTTTTTCGACCATTTTTCAATTTAGCAACTTGGTCCGTGCTGACCCAAACCAAGACAATTATTCAACCGTAAATTCGCCGTTTTTATGAGAAGCATCATCACTACTAAGAACAATTATAAATTTCTCTTTTTTGATTGAGATGCGATGGAAGATGTCTATATGTAGCATTGATAAAAATCACAATGATAGTGTAAAGCTTATCAAAATAAGTTCACAGCATTAGATTGTTCTGTATTAACAAATAATTCTAGAAGTATAACGTTATGGAGGGGATCATTCTTTGCGCTGCAATTGACGTGACATATATATATTTTTTTTTTTGGTTTCGTCTGTATTATAGCAACTTTCATACTGTAAGTCCAAGCTTTATGGCTAAAGCGCTGGTGTCACTGTTCGCGCTAATCCTGGAACATCCTACAGGGCATGGAACGCGAATCATGGGAAATTGGCTAAACTACAATTGCATTATCATAGTAGGATTGACGAAGTCTGGTAGGGAAGGAAGCGTACGTTATGGGCATATTTTTTCAACTCTATGAACCAGCATTTATAGGCTATTATAGTGCTGCTCGCTTTGCTAGTGCTTATGTTAGCAATACTTATAACCAAACAAGTAAATGTAAGCCTTTCGGAAATCATGGAAAAGAGAAAGACAATTACACTATACGCAATGACTACAAGCCAAAACCATCCCTGTATAGGAAGGCGAAACTGAAGATCATTATCTACACTACTCGCACAGAAGCAGGTCAAGCAGAATAGCCTGCCAAACAGTGAGTGTACTACATCCGAAAGAACGGAAATATTATTAATAACAATCGTGAGAAAGAACAGTTTCCTTTCATGTCTTTAATGTTCATAAGCATTATTCCGGTTGAAGGGAACGTCATAACATTACGCAACATGATCAGTCTTACAAAAACCAAAGAATTTATGCTACACAGAATATTACCCGTTGCTTAAAAGACTTAGATGGATGATACAAGATGAGCTATATGAACCACTCGCAGAGCTTGCTTAACATAAAAATTGCTTGTTTTTTTCTGTTTCAGATCGAAAATATGAAAATGAAAAAGTACAATTTTTACTTTTCAGGAACTCTAAAGATAAATGAATAATCAATAGAGCGTGTTAATTTCTACATATTGATGTTTTTTTCAGTGAGTCTCATACATTAGAAGTTTTAATCGCCACCTAACCAAGAAGGTAAAAATTCTGTTTAAAGCCAGTGATACTGCTTTTTCGAGGTTACTCGGACGGCTATCACTCGCGAAACCAGGAAAATGTGTCGATATAACTGGCTATAATCAGGTCATTTGCATTCACGAAGAAGTATATTTTTATATAGTCCTTTATCAGACACTCATGATTTCGTGAAGGGTTTATAAAGGCCCATATGAAGCATTCAGTTGGGAAATAACAGCAGCGAGAATAATAAAGTAATTTACTTCAAAATGATTGCTGGAAGGGTTATTATTTTCTTTTAACCAAGAGGATGGCAGTTTCTTCACGGAAATTCATGGCTTTCTTTCATCTCAATTCATCATCTATGCTGAACTCGATCTTCACAAACCATAGTATAACTGCTTTCTGTCTTGATGACAGTCAATTTCCATCAATAACTAACGTGTTTTTACTATATTCTACTACCGATGGAAAAAATTTTTGCTGTCGAACTAGGGACGTGCCATGTTGTTTGCTTGCTCATATAAAATCTCAGATTGAAAACAGAGCATTGAACAGTCAAATGACAGTTTGTGAAGCACAAAACAAGGTTAGATCCGGATCATTTTTTAAAGCATAAATGTCCTTGATCTCCCCTTTCACTTCTTCTCAGTTATCAGGAAGATCCATCGTTCTTTCTTCTTTACTCATATTAATAATAGTGTTTCATCTACTTACTGAACTTACTACCATCCAAATATACCAAATAGAAAAGTGTTCTACAATTTTCAAACGCCAAACAATTCACAAAATCAGTATAATCACATAGATAAATGTCGTCCATCGCATCTATACATACCAACGCAACGACAGCAGAACAACAAGAACAACAAAAAGCTGACGTAAAATCAACATTCAATGAAGTCACTAAGCCTGTATTGAGCTCAAAGCTCAACAATAAATGGGTTCAATCGCCCATCATCTCGTGTATAGCAGGCTGTATCATTTTGTGGGCATCGTTTGGCGTGCGGCAATCCATCGGCGTCTTTTTAGTGCCCGTTACGCAGGATACAGGCTGGGATAGGTCTACATTTTCAATAGCAGCTGCGGTTCTCCAGCTTCTTTGGGGCTTCTCCCAACCTTTTTTGGTATTTCTTGCCGAGCGTAAATTTGGTTTTGGGAAAACAATCTTCATCAGCAATATTCTATATGGCGTAGGTTGCTTTATTTTGTATGCCTCTAGAAATTCTGCTGGGTTATATATCTTTGCAATAGGCGTTGTAGTTGGTATCAGTGCAGGCGGTAATTCCTTTCCCAATGTTTTGGCGTCTGTAGGCCGACGATTCCCTCAGAATTCGAAGCAGCAGAGCATGGCTTTTGGTATAGTATCCAGTTTTGGTAGTTTTGGCCAATTTTGTTACTTGCCAATGACCAGAGCTTTGATTGCTTCCATAGGATGGCGAATGACTTTTGTTGTTCTAGGTAAATTACATAACAGACATCACCTTAGTATGGCGTGAAATTGTAAAGGCTCACTTATTTTACTTGAAACATATTGATGGACAGGCGTTATAATGGTAGCGACTGCTTCATTCGCAATTTTTTTGCAAACTGTTCCGCCGACACCATCATTACCAGCACCGACTGATGAAGAACAAAAGCAGGACAGCAATGATATCAGCGAAAAACCGGCAGAAATGCTAACTACTGGACTCGAAACAGAAAATAAAACTTACCATAAAGAAGAGATAAGTACGGCATATGATGAAGATGATAATAGACCTTTTGAAGACAAAGCAGCTCCTGATATTAAGTCGGCCCTGAAAGAAGCTCTGACAGATCCTACGTTTTTGTTCATTACATTTGGCTTCTCAGTTTGTGGATTTCATGTAACGTTCCTCGCGACTCACTTCCCAGCTTACTTGGTACAGTACTTCCGCTTTATTCATTCTTGAACCCTTCAATTATAATAACATAGTTACTTTTTGTTCTTTCATTTAAAGCAAGATAATAATATTAACCCTGATTTTGCAGGTAAAGGGTCTTTTGATTCAATTACTAATACTTTGTTCTTACTAAAAATTATTATATACAACACGTAGCCTGGACAATATCCATCCTTGGATTCTGTTCTATGGTCGGCACAATCATTACAGGTTACTTATCATCAATCGTGAGCCCACGTTATGTGCTTATGGGTATCTATAGTCTTCGTGCAGTCTTCCTCATCATCATTGTTTTCATACCGATTTCAGTCACCACAGTAGTTATATTTTCTGTTTTCTTTGGGGTAAGTCAAAAGCTATCATATTTATTTGATGAAGAGAGGAAGGTTTCGGTACTAACAAATCTCTATGTTTTGTTTTTAGTTCTTATGGCTTTCTACTGTACCTCCTACTACCAAATTTGTCAATGATGTCTATGGTCAAAAATATCTAGGTACCTTGACTTCAATTACTTTTGTCGGTCATCAAGTAGGTGCATTTTTAGGTGCATATATCGGAGGTTACATCTACGATCAGAAGCATTCCTATAGAGATATGTGGTATGGATCCATTGCAGTTGCTGTATTTGCTGTAGTAATGAATTTCCTTGCAGGTTATGAACCTTTACAAAGAATCAGAATTAAGAAGAGTAATCAGAAAATCTTGGGAAAACAGTAGTTGAAAGCTTGCTGAACGGATTGATTAGAAACATCAACAAAAAAAGAAAAAACCGCTTTGCTGGGAGTATACCCTAAAATATTGCTGCAAATGAAAAAGATCTACGCTTTTAAATCAGATTATGCTTGTTTACTATAGTTTGATTAAATACAATTTGTTTCATTCATGATGACAGCTTTGGTTTAGAAACCCAGTTTTGTTCCTGAAAATTGACTTTCGTCCAGTGTCACCATCATTGCAAAGGTTCAATGTCTGAATATAAAGGATAGCCAATAAGAGGGCGTCATTTTTTAAGATCATAACAATTTACCATGTGTTCCACCTATTTAGGATTCAGGCAGCTTTCTCCTTTCCTTTTCTTTTTCATTATTTATTCTTCCTCGTCTTCACAAATAAAATCCTCCATCTATTGCTCTTGTTCATCTTTTTTAAGTATTGAGTATTCTTTTTTATCATTCAAATACATTCCTTTCCTTTACGTACTGTAGTATATGTAGAAGAATAACATCTACGAAACCTTTCATATCCATACAAGATACATCCTTTAAGAATATCCACCAAAATTACCATTATAAGTTATACCATTCATCAGACGGATAAATGAGTTCAACTTCTCCTCAACATTCCTTATCGTCTCCCGCTACTACAATTAATGATAACAATGCAGTATTACCAACACCGACCTCCTCAACTTCAGTTAACCTTCGACCCTTCAATGGCAATTCAAATGCTAATGGAAACAACAACAACAACACCAATCTGCTTCAAAAAAAGAAAGAACTAGAGCAACAAATTAGTGAGAAGCAAAAATTACTGGAAGAATCTAGCAGTGGCATAGGTAAAAATGTGTTAGCACGACAAATCACACAGTTACAAAATAAGATACAAGAAATAGAAGATAAAATAAACAATGGCGAAAATGTAAACGATACGCTATCTGAGCCCCTTTCAGCCTCTTCCTCTTCCTCTTCAATGGAAAAGTTGAGGTCCTTAGAAAGAGACGTGGCAAATTACAAAGCACACCCTTTATCACCTGGAATATCCTCTATTCGCAACAAGGAGAAGGTAACATTTTTATCATATTTTATTTCTTTTTTTCTATGCATTATGGATAGGCCTTTCCCTTTCTCCTATCTTCGATGGGTCCTTCCCCCCTTTTTTTTCTCAAGAAAAATGAAACCTCTAACGTTATATGTGCTTACTGATCTTTACTTTACTTCATCCTCCCCCTTTTAGTTGCTAAACCAACGTTCTTCACCATCCACATCAACAGATAATAGCGGTGACCCATTGCCCAGTCCCAGCGCTTCGACTTTATTACCACCACATATTGCAGCACACCAGCATAATCTTCATCACTATGATTCTCCATCATCATTACTACCATTACCCCCTCCACCTACAGGCTCAACTCCTACAAAACGTCGATCTAAAGTGCCTACGTCTGACCGTAGAAATACAGATATAGAGTTCGCCACTGAAATTGGCCAGGGGTTACTATTGGAAGTAAGGAAAATGCAAGCTTTATTACAGGAGAAAGAAGAGAAACTACGAACCTTGGAAATCCAAAAAGCAGATTTAGAAAGGGCTGCAGAAGCCATGGCAAAGCAAATGAGGCAGAGAGAGGAGAATGAAGGTAATACATACAAAAATAATGAGAGACAGGATAAGGGGAGCAGATAATCGATGAATAGGGGAAACATTAAAGAAAAAGCTTCTACATCGATCTTTAACCGGACTATTCTTACTTTAATAGAGAAATTGAAAGAAGAGACATGGAATTTAGAACTTGCGAAACAAGAGCTCGTGATAAGTGTAACGGAATTGCAATCCAATCTTACAAAAGCAACTGCAGAGCAAACTAAACTAGCAAAACAAGTAAACGACCTTAGAGCAGAAATTGAGCAGCTGCGCGATAGAGAAGAAAAGTTGACAGCCACTATTGAGGACATGAAACAACGTCATGAACAGGACATGACTTCCATACGTAGACATACCGCTGCAATTCAACGAGAAAAAGCTGATCAAACAAAGCAAATCGAAACCCTCACATCTGAATTAGCTATTGCTAAAGCACAATCTCGTATCGGCAAACATGCATCGATCGAAAGTGAGTTGAATAGTCGAGCTGGTCAAACTGGAAATCAAACCGATTCAGATCAAACAAAAAGTACGGCTGCTGTGAAGGACGATAGGTCACCCACTTCTTCGCCGCCTTCTTCGCCCAAGTTATCACCTGCGCGCAATCAAGCCATGGAAGTAGAAACTTTAAAGACATCGCTTGCTCATGCTCATCGTATGGTCTCCAATTTAAGGTCCAATCTGCATAAAGAAAAGACAGAAAAGTTCGAGCTGAAAAAATTATTAGCAGAATCACAAGAGACGATAGAACAGCTACAAAACGATCCCCGTATGTGGGTGGATGCTGGTCCCATTCGGAATGGTGGATCATCATCCAATGGCTACGGGCGTAACAATGAAGACACGGGACGCCGTTCACATAAAGCATCTACCACGGCTTCATCCAGACGACGTGCCAAGAAAATGAGTATGACGACAGCAACAGCTCGTAATGCTCGTATGTTCAAAGGCCAAAAAAGCAATAGCAACAATATCAGCGATACAGATTCTGTATATTCTTACTCTTCAGTTTCATCAGAAAATAGTGAGGAAAACGAATTCTACGACGAAAGCGATGCAGCCATTGATGTTACGACGAATACTAGTAAACGTAGGCCCCGCTCTTCTTCAATTGTAAGCAATGTCAAAAAGCAGCGTCAATGCCAGCAACAACAACAGCAACAATTTACACCTTTGTCATCAGAATTATCTCAAAGCTTAAGTAAACCGGTGTTGGTTGATGCGGAAGTCATGACAGACCCAATCGATCTTTATAACACAGCTTCTTTCAAGGATATATCACGCGAGAAATCCTACAACCAAGAGCAATCCTCAAATCAATACCAAAAAGTACGAACATTGGAAGATGAATTGGGTATGGCAACTCAAAATGCGCAACAATCGCCTCCTTTTATACCTATAGCTGAAAAAAATGGAAATACATCAGAGCAATCTGATTCTGCTGTCGCTGGCGCAGTCACCATGGGCATGGGTAATTTGTTGGAAGAACTCACAAAGTCAAGCATCAAAGAAGTGAAAACAGGTGTGGAAATGGCGATACAAACTGATATTCAACCTGGTTCAGAAATGTCTACCCAAACTGATCTTTTCGAGGAAAAGGGTTCCGAAACAGTTGACGTGCTTATCCAAACAGACGAAATTGAAGAGGAACCTAAGCCGCCAAAGGCAGAAATAGCAATACAAACACAAGCCCCAGATACCGCTGAGATTTCTGTACAAACCGGCGATGAGCTTACGCCTGCAGTCTTTGATGTGTGTATGCAGACTGACGCTGAGATCCCACTGATAACAAATGAAATCTCCACGCAAACGGATGAAGAGGAGAAACCTACAACAGCTGATGTGTCAATGCAAACTGAAACAGCTGAGATATCAGAAACTTTCATCCAAACAGATCCTGAACTTCGAGCTAAAACAGCTGAAATTTCTATTCAAACAGATGTACAAGTTAAGTCTTGTATGCTTGAAGCATCAATGCAAACAGATCCAGAGTTCAAGCCTGAGATTGTCGAAGTATCTATTCAAACTGATAGCGAACTGAAGCCAGAGACTATGGATATAGTCACCCAAACAGATGCAGAAAGCAAACCCAGTACTGCCGATAACTCTACACAAACTGAGCAAGAAGAGAGCATCATTCCGAACATAACTGCAACTGCTGCTTCAATTGCCGCGGTAGCCACAACGGTAAATGGCAACAAAATTACAACACCAAACTATCTTGAAGCCTCTGTTCAAACAGATACGAGATACATAGTAGAAAGTACAGTTGAATTTGTCGAAATGGCTATTCAAACCGATGATGAGCCGTTTGTCGAAACTTTCGAAACCTTTGCACAAATTGAGAAACTTGAGCAGAAAGCTGAAAGTGTTAACTCTCGTCTGGATGCCACTGAAATAGCTGAACGAGATGAAACTCTTCAAAGACAACAATTCTTAAACACTTCCAGCTCAAATGCAGCTCGTCAAGCTGCTGAGGATCCTAGCGCAACCACTGCCGCTCTCACCACTAGCATTTCGACATCTTCATCAAGCGTTGCAGGTGCCGTTGATGAAGAAACACAATGCGACCTAGCTGAGTTCAAACCATTAATCGTGGATCAGGCAACACAGTCAGAGGAAGTTTCTGTGGTAGACCGAGAAACTCAGTATGTTTCTGTTGACAGTATGAATTCTGATGTTGGAAATGATGCGAAGAAAGCAGTGGATGCTCTGATTCAATGTGACACTGCCCAAACTAGAGACTTTGACGTACAATGCGAAAATGTAGAGACGAAGGATGCAGGAGTTCAATATGTCGTGGTGGAGGAGCAAACTCATGATAAGCTCAACACGAAAACAGGTAAAAGCAACAGATTTACATTCAAATACTTAAAGGCTCTATTTTATAAAACGAATATTCACCTATTGCTTTCATTAGCTCTTGGAAGCGATTTATTAGCCTATAGTCCCGTAATTAAAAAAGATGTGCGTGATCCAACCGACATTGCACCTGGGATGGGTATTACTAACACTCGCTTTAAGAAAGAGATTGCTGATAAAGATGCTGATAACAATTCAGATGTGTTCTACGAAGCAGAAGAGAACTACGGTAATGTCATTGTACATCTTCCAGCGGAAACAGTTAATTCTGCATTCGATGACTATTATAAAAGTAGCAAGCATCTACCTGTTGAGTTATCTGACGGCCCAACCGTCATTCATCAATCAGCACCAAAGGGTGACGAAGTCAGAAGCAGAGATACCCTTATGCCTGTCATATCCCGCATCAACGATTTACCAGCTACTATTGAAGTAAAGACACCATATTTATCATTTGACGCAAAAGATTCCACTATATCATCGGATATCTCTGAATCAGACATACCACCCCGTCCTTCGAATCCCCCACCTGCTGCTTTGCTTGAAAAAGCAGGTCGCTTATCCATACTGGGTAGTGATGCTCAATCTTCGGTAGCTACTTTACCTTCGGCGAAGGGCAATAGGTCGCTTTATCACCCTAACTTATCAACGGAAATACTAGATCAGCAACAGCAACTACAAGTGGCACCAGCTAGTCCAGATTCACCCCTGCCGCATCAACAACTTGTTTTAGAAAAGGGCAATACTATTACTAGTGTTCTTAGTTCCTCTACTGAGAATACTAATGAACAACTTCAGTCAGTTACATCATCTAATGACGAGCCCAATGGCAATCGCGGTAACATAATCGGAAATGAAATAGAAACAACAATTCCGCAGTCTTTGACTTCAAGCTCAACAGATCCAAGAATTATCAATATGATTACTCAGACCATGATCGGCGACTGGTTATGGAAATACACAAGAAAAACCATGGGCAGCGGTATATCAGAAAACCGACACCAACGCTATTTCTGGATTCATCCCTATAGTCTTACATTATATTGGTCTACGAATGCGCCTGGTGTAGATTTGAATGAAGCCAAAGCAAAGAGTGGTAAGCTATATTAGTCGAATAGCATATACGTTGCCTTCTGTCTTACCTCCTGCATTTTTAAAAATATAGCCTTAATTGAAAATATCAAAACTGTTTCTGATCATAACTTGAATCATAATGATCTTCCTAATGTCAGTTTGTTGATTCAAACAAGCTATCGTCAGTTAAAAATAACTGCTCCCACTATCGAAAAGCATGAACTCTGGCTTGCCTCTATTTCTTATCTTTTGGATCGTGTCGAACAAGGTTCTACTGCAGGATTAACATTATTGAGAAACGCCAATAGGAAAATAGATACCATGGGCGGCAGTTATACAACAAAATCAATTTCAAGCAGCTTAAATAACGGTGGTGGTAGCAGCACCTCTGGATCTTTGTTTACTCGACCCAACTTCCGAAGAATACAAGAGATATTTCACTATCCTTCAATCTCGACCACATCAAATGCTACTGCGCGGTCCTCCTTCGTCGCAAACAGAGCCTCTGCTAGTGCTGACCATATTGGTTTAGGCAGTGGTCGTATAGAAGCTATTCAAGATGATGATGAGGCTATAGAAGATGTTCGTATGTGCTGTAACGGCAAGCATCACGTGTCTAAGCTGGAAAAGACTCATAATCACCAGCATCATAACCTCCATCACAATTATCGTAAACGTAAAAGCCTTAGACGTGGCCGAAGTACAGTGAAAACTATAGGATAGGTCACCAATTTTTATAGAAAAAGAACAGCTCTCATAGTACCTTCCTTAACTCAACAATCTCATTTTTGCACTTTTAACAATGTCTTTCTCCTGTCTTTCATATACTCTACATACTTATTTGTTTGTTACAATTTATTACTGCCACTACTTTCCAAACTAGTTTATCCTTTCCTTTTTAATAATGTAATTAAGTACTACTACTAATACTTTCCTTTTCCTTTATTCTCATTTCACGAAAATCTCAACAAAATAAATATTAATATAAGCTCATTCTTCTAAACTCATCTGCTTTGTTTCTTGCAAATTTGAAGCAATCAATCTACTTCTCTTTTCCAGATATATATTCTACAGATGGGCATTCGATGATTTATTTATTTTATGATACTAACGAGTGTCCGTCAACTTAAAACTACTCATTTTTGGTGGTGGTTGCATATTTTGAAAGATCGACACCATGATTGCTGTGATTACTGAAGTTAAACCATGGCATAATACCTATCGAAATATACATTTAAGTTTAGCGACACACCGATACATGTGTAATAACTCAAAAAGAAGATGCCCTTACCAAATTTCAATTGTGAAAATCTCGAAACTCTTGCAGCAGTGTCCTGAATATGTTCAGGCATATAACTCTCACCATAAATACGTTTTCCTTCTGCAATCAGTTGAGACATTTCAGCCTTATCTTTCTCAACTTCGACGGCATTTTCTTTCCAACCCCAGAAACGGACTGAGAACAACAAAATAAGTTAAAAGGGGGCATCTTTCCCACAAAAACCAAAAGCGTTTGCAACTTACGACTACTATTTTGATAAGCTAACAAGAAACCACCAAATGCACCAATGACGGTGGCAATTTTAAGAGGGACACGTAAGTTACGAATGGGCCCAGCAGGATCCATTTTCTCTACAGTAAAAGAAGGATATATTTATCTGTTGGTATGATTGAATACACACACACCCTTCTTCTAGAAAAATAGCTAGTTTCGTTCGAATTATACAGTACCCATTCCATATAATAAAGCAGGAGCTGCTGCAGTACCAGCCGCCCATGCTGCATAGTCAGTTGGTCTCATGTATCGAACAACACGACGGAAATGAGGATCTGTATCAATAACTGGATAAGGTGTATCGAGCTCTTTAATAGGCATGTTGATTTATATATAACAGATACTGTTTCATAAAATTTGTCTGCGTTAGATTTTCGCTCTAAATGATCTTGCGATGTTAGGGCTAATTAGCACAACTTACGAGTAGGATGTTTGTGATTCAAAGAAAGGGTATTTTTTTAAAAAGTATTATAATAAAAGGAACGCAGTCTGACTTTCCTCTGTGCCTTAACGAATTTTTGTTTAGGAAGTCTGTGGAGTAGAAACCGGGCTTTAAGCAAATCAGCGTTGAGAAGGCTGTGACGTCGACATACGAATGAAAATGCGGGGAAGAGTAATTTATAAGTGGCAGATTTTGAGTGACATCGTTTTATTCTTCTTCATCAATTGATTACGAATATTATGTATGTAAGATTATCCATTTCAAAATTAACAGAAACTCAATTTATGACGATTTTAGACCATGTAAGATGTTGGTTGATACATTTTCATGAAATGTTCAAAATAACTCTTTTCCATTTTTACAGTTTCATTCAAAGAGGCAACCTTATTGGCCAATGATAAGAAAGCTTGGTTTTGTGCACGCATAATATCGGCAATATCTATTTAAAACAAAAAAAATGTATGTGAGTACTTATCAATCGAGCAGAATGAATGCATACTACCTTGAGGTGATTGCGGTTTATTTTGTGCCCAAGATTCAGCTGTTCTTTCAATTTCCCATATGCACTTTTTATACTCTTCCATTTGCTGACTTAGCTGTTTAGCCAACTGTACAAAATAATCATCATCATTGGAAGAATACAACCAGCGATTGTTGCCAGGATGTTTACATGTTTCAATAACAGCACTAGCTTCGTTAGCATATCGCAACTGCTCTTTTACAGCATCATACAATCTATCAATGGACTCCTTTTCAGTTTGAATGGAGCTTGAAAGCGCATCGAATTGTTGTGTAAGCATTTCTGTGTTGTTTTTCGTTTCTGTCATAACATCAGCATAGTGAGGCATCTTGTTGTTCTTCAAATATTGACTACGTTGAACTTCACTACGGATATATCTTTCTACATCTTCCAACTCTTTACGTGCTTGTTCAGGAAGTTCGGAAAGACGGGTGGTAGACATGATATTATCAATTCTAAAACTAGTATGATGCACAGTTTGCTGTTGTCTGATAACAGAAGTTGAATTCATTGAGAATAAGAGATAGGATAGAGTAAAAATATGGATAAAAAAAGAACAATTGGTATAAACCAAATCATGTCTCTTATATCGCAAAAAAAAAAAAACAAAAAAAATTAATCACTTACTGTAAAGCAGCTATGGCTGGGGTAATCAAAGTAGCATGGAACTGATTAGGTGGTTGTGTGGCGGTTTTTTGCATTTCTTCCAACAACTTGGCAAAAGAGAAAGGGTTGGGTTTTGGTGGTTCCGTACTAACGGCCGAGGCAGTCGTTGCAGCAGCTGGAGTGGTGCTTGTTTGGAAAGTGAAAGGCTTGCTAGTAACAGTGCTATCCTTTTTTTCTTTATCTTTACTCTTTTCTCCTTCTTTACCGTCGGTTGCTGCTGGGGCTCCAAACGAAAACGTGGCAGAGGAGCTGGATATTGTTGTAGCAGTACTAACGCTGCTATTGAAAGAAAAGGGAGATGTTGTATTAGTAGTGGTAGTTTTATCTTTCTCCTTCTCTTTGTCAGTCGGTGTTGTTGCTGAACTAAATGTAAATACAGGCCCCTGACTAGACTTAGAAGATGATTCTTTGGACTTCTCGCCTTCATTAGCAGCTGCAGGCTTCCCGAAAATGAACCCCGTAGTACTTGGGCCTGAACTAGGTCCCTCATTGCTCTCAACAGTGCTAGCTGCTGGAGTAGTTGCAGCTGATGTACCGAAGGTAAATTTAGGAACACTACCCGTTGCTGCTTTATTAGTAGACAAATCGGTTATGGCAGGTTGACTCGTAGTTTTTGAGGCTGCTGTTGAGGCTTGAGTACCAAAAGTAAAAACAGGTGCTGTAGAAGTTGCTGCAGCTGTAGAAGAGGTAGTAGTAGTAGTACTATCAGTAGCAGATGACTTTGCACCCAAATTACCGAAAGTGAATGAGGAAAACGCGGGAGAGGTTGCATTTGCTGCTGTAGTAGATGGGCTGCTAAATGAGAATGCAGGTGTTGTAGATGAAGTTCCACCTGATGTTGTTGCAGCGCTTGTGGTAGTGGGTTTTCCAAACGTAAAAGGTGATGAAGTTGTAGTTAAAGGGGCACTAGTACTGCTAGTAGTGCCAGATGTAGTAGTAGGCTTCGTAGCTGGGGTAGCAAAGGTAAACGGTGGTTTCGATACGGCCGAAGTTACAGACGTCGTAGGCGTTGTTGTAATAGCAGGAGCTCCAACGCTGAATGCTGAGGTGGCTGTAGATGTTGACGTACTGGTAGCTGCAGTAGCAGGAGAAGATGTAGTTGCTGCCCCAAAACCAAAAGTGGGTTTTACGGTGTTAGATGGTGATCCAAAACTGAAAGCTTGAGCAGGTTTTGAACTGTCAGTGACAGAGGAAGATGGCCCTGTATTCTTAGAAGTACCAAATGTGAAAGCTGTGGCAGGAGCAGCATTATTGGATGTGCTGGTATCAGTGGAGGGTTTTGAAAATGCTGTGAAGTTAGTGGTATTGGTTGCTGTGGTAGGTGTCGTACCAAAAGTGAAAGCAGGTGCTGCTGTTGTTCCAGAAACTGTGGAAGAAGTCGTTGCAGTATTACCAGTATCATTCCCGCCAAAAGTAAATGAAGACGGAGCTGTGTTAGCTTGCTGTGGAGTGCCGGGCTGAACTGAAGTAGATCCCGGAGATGATGTAGAAACATTGGCGCTTGTTGTACCAATGGAGAAACTTCCTGTACTAAGATTAGAGTTTTGCTGTTGGAACGCTGGTGGTGAAGCAACAGGTGAGTTGATTTGAGAGCCAAAAGCATTTTCTGAGGTAGTGCGACGAAGTGTCTCCTGATGAGCATCGGGTTTACTAACCATGGTATGCAGGTCCGAATGGCCACGCTGAAGGCCGCCAAATGAAGAAGAGCCGCTGAGGGTGGTGTTTGTGGGAGCTGGAAAAGTGAACCCAGTATTAGCTACTGGAGATCCTGGCGCGGCAGTGTTACCAAAAGTAAAACTTGTTTGCCCGGTTACAGAAGCAGGCGAACCAGGTGCATTAGCGCCTAGGTTAAATGAGGTAGATGCCGGGCTATTAGGCACACTACCAAAACTACCCCTTTGAGCGCCAAAACCAGTAGAAGGGCTGCCAGGAGCACTTCCGAAGCCGCCTACAGAAGGCGAAGTAGCCCCATCCAGTTTAAAAACAAAATTAGGAACGTTCCCATCTCCACCTTTTCTTGATCTAGAGAATTTCTTACTATTTTTTTTCATTACAGATTGAATTGTTAATGTGAGACGATAAAGGTAATATGTTTCGTTTACTAAACAAGCAAAATATTATTACCTCATTTTTAAAATTCTTTATTAGGAACTATTAATTGATAAACTACGCCAACTGTAGTAGTCTCTTATAAGGGAACTTTGTGTATATTTGCGAAAAAGACAATGAATGCTAAAAACGATTCTAATACGCGCTCCCACTTTCACTCCCACTTTTAAAAATGTTTCTGACAGTCACTACTCCAATTAAATAAAGCAACTGCTATCATAATTTCTTTAATGTATCAATTGTAATCAATTTATTATTACTGTAGTAACCATTCTCTAGCTTTTCTAGACTTTTTCTCTTTTTTCATTTTTTTAAAATGCTCTATCTCTTTGCGCGTTAATTGCTTCTTTTTTGACACTCTTCCCTCTGCTATCATTTGTCTCTGAGCATTGACTTGCTCAGTATACTGATCTACATCAAAATAATGCTGCATTTGCCGTTTTGCTCGATTTTCTATACTGAGATTCTCCGGGTTATGCCGAGTGACATCTATTTCGCTTTTGAATCGTCCTGTTCTTGGATCAAAATGAGCTTGTATTGTATATGGATCTGCAGATGATGTATTATAGTATGAATCATAAGATGAGGAAGGGTTTTGTGAATAATAGTATTGAGAATAATCAGAAGTTGATAGAGAGGGTGTGGATGCAGTAATATCATCTATAGCAGAAGCAGAAGAATCTTTGTCCTGTGTTCCATCTAACTTTTTCTTCACAACATTGTCAATTCTATCTAGTAAAAAGTCTAATGGGTTATGAGCGTCGTTTGACTGTGGTTGCTCTGGTATTGCTTCTGCTTCTTCAGTAGTTTGCCTCTCTGTAGCTGCTGCTGTTGTGTCTGGTGTTTCGGTAGATGTAGTTACTGCCATTTCTTCTTCTGGATTTATCCATGTAGTTTGATTTGTTTCCATATTCCACCAGTAATAAGCCTGTGCATTTGGATCCCATACTGGCGCCCATAATTTTTTCCCTTTTTGTGTTTCATCTTCACTAATGTCCTTCTGAGATGGACATTCATCGCTATCCTTCTGAGATTCTTCTTCCACTGACGTCGTGATTTCAGTTCCCAGCGATGGTACTTCGTTCTTCAACTCTTTTTGTTCAATATTATCAGGTTCAGCCGGCTCAGCTTCTTTCGCTGAAAACGAATCATTTTCATTTTTTATTGTTATTTTGTCCATGTTTTCTCCAGACGGAATTTTCGTCGTATTACGACAGTTGATATCATCTAAAGAGCTCATTTTTCATCTGCTGAATCTTTAAGAGAAATTCATGGAAAAAGAATTTAAACTTTTGACAAAATGATTAGAATGTGATTGAGACGCCGATTGACGTGACGTTGACACATATACTCTGCAACATCACTGAAACTTGGATCATTTCCTCTCTATATTTGATACACTCAATTGCTCAACTTTTAGACCATGTCACTTCGAATTCTAACAGAAATAAACTACTATACAAACAATGCTCTTAATATTGCTTGTTTGCTGACCCTTTCAACATTAGTGGGTGCGTTTTCTTTATTAATCTGTATGAGTTCCAACATAAACAGTGAGGTTGAGCTACTGCAGATATATCATTTTGATAATATACAAACTGTGATTCTGCCTCTTTAGATTGGACATAGAGCATATATAAACTTGCACTTTGTTTTAACAACATTCAGAGTGACAGTTGTCTGCTATCGACAGGATGTATCCCCGAACGGTTGTGATTATTGAGCAAAAGGGTTTTCAATTTCTTCCATACCATCCAATGGTGAAATCAATATGACTGCAGTACCCCGTAGTACGGATAGACCCAATTCTCTTGTCTTGTCTGTTATGTAACCAGTTTCTAAGTCTTTAATATCCACATTGTGAGCAATCGCAGTTTTTTTTTTTTGTTTCTCATCGTCTTTACGTCCAGATCGATAGTAAAAATTTACCTCTCACGTATTCGACAGAATGATCCAATACTAAATTCAACAAAGGATCATAGCCCATCAATGTGCCGACGACTAACGAAGACGTGATTGAATGTTAATTTTTACCAGCCAGAAATGTGCCAACTAAATGATTAATCGGTTACCTTCCCGACCACCATTGAAACGAACTCGAACTTTCTTCTCCATATACTTGCTCAGATCCAAAATGGATTCTTTCTTGGGTTTTTCCTGTTGTTGTTGGTTACTATAATTATGGTGATAACCTCCTCTTCCACCTCGATTACCACCGCGTCCACCGCCACGTCCACCACGATCGCCTCTGTTATTATATTGGCCACGGCCTCCCTAAATAATTTAATTTTGTTGAGATGGTTGAGATGAAAGCAAGTTTACAGCTAAGCTAACTGTGAAAGACAAACTCACTCTTTCAGACATTGCGATTTCTTTAATTTTGTGAAGGAGAAACTGTTAGTGAAGAAGAGTTAACGAGCATAAGCAAGCAGCAACATCGGCGAGATTTGGCTTGCCGCCGATTTTGTCCAATGAAATGCAAGATACCTGCCTTTCTTTTCCCGTTTCTGTCAAAAAGTATATAGTATAGCAAAGCTTCAGATACTCCCTGCCTACATGCACTCAATTCATTAAAGTAAGAACTAGCTAATCGAAAGCATACTTCTTCCGACCGTTATTTGCACAAATGAGTATGAATATGAAAGAAGCATAGAGGCTGTCTCGTCTGTTATAAATATATCAATCGCTGAAACAGGAAATTTGACTTTCCACGTGAGCTCCATTGGGAAGGGAAAGAGAAGTTTGGGCCACAACAACATAATAAACATAAAAAATGCGCGCCTTTCAGTCTGGTTTTCATAGTTCCTTTTTTTTCCCTTTTCAACTTATTTACTTATATTTCAACGTCCCCTTTCTTTTCCCATCCATATTCACGCTGATTTTCTGGTTCATAGAAAAGACATAAGTATTAATTAATAAGAAAATATGACAACAGCTAAAAGTGCATCCTATGACTACTTAATTAAGCTTTTGCTCATTGGCGATTCCGGTAAATAATGGAAAACTTCATCTTAAACTAGGACGTAATTCAGTTCAACTAACATCTATAAACAGGCGTCGGCAAAAGCTGTTTATTACTTCGTTTTTCAGATGACTCTTTCACCCCATCTTTCATTACAACTATTGGTATTGATTTTAAAATTCGTACTATTGAACTGGATGGCAAACGTATCAAGTTGCAAATTTGGGATACGGCAGGACAAGAGAGATTCCGTACTATTACTACAGCTTATTATCGTGGTGCAATGGGTATTCTGTTAGTTTACGATACGACTGATGAAAGATCATTTGGAAGTAGGTTCGAGCATTATTGCTAGTTCCAGGAGGATACGCCTTATTAACTAAATGCAAATACATAGATGTCAGAAATTGGTTTTCGAATATTGAACAGCATGCAAGTGAAGGCGTCAATAAGATCCTAATTGGTAATAAATGTGACATGGAAGACAAAAGAGTAAGTATTTTTACTCGTACTGTAGACATAGTTCAGATGTGTTTCTGCGTGTCTATGTGTAACTAAATTATGCGATGTAGGTTATCACTAAGGAACAAGGTCAAGCTCTAGCTAATGAACTGGGCATTCGATTCATGGAAACGAGTGCAAAAGCAAACATTGGTGTAGAAGAAGCATTCTTTGATTTAGCAAGGTAATATTCGATTTGCGATGAACATATGTATTTATGCCATCCGCTACTGACGTTGAACACTTAACTTTCTCACAGAGACATCAAAAAGCGATTAATTGATACTCAACAAGCTCAACAAACTCGTCAAAGAGAAGAAGTTAGATTGGATCAATCTTCACCCTCAAAGACCAATTCCTCCGGTGGATGTTGTTGAGTTATACTTTCCTTTCTTCGAGCCATTATTTTTTCGTTTTCAGCCATTTGAGATATACAATATCATCAGAATAATCTCATATACTACTTAATAATAGTAATAAAAAGGGAATGCTTTGACAAAGTATGAGATATTTAATTGAATAACAACTATCTTTTTATGGATGTCTAGATAGGTTGAAACGACTTTACAACCTTGGCAAGAAAGCCAAGTTAATGTTCTGAACATTATGCTATTGGAGATAGACTACCAGTAGATTTAAAAAAAAAAAAGGAAACAAAAGAAAAAAAAAAAAAAGAAAAACTACTGTAATGAAAGTGCTATTCTTTGCTATTATGCATTTGCTAGAAAGAGTAAAAACTTTTGATAGATAACATCGGGCATGCTTTTACAGCTTCTTTTAGAACATGCTGAGTAATATGTGGGCAGTCTACTACTTCGAGATATACGCCTGAATTTCGATCTGTTTTTAAGGTTACCACCAATGTCTTTATTAATTCATCCGTTATTTCGAAGCAACCATTAAGTTCCAAATGTTGTAAGTTTTGGCAACGCTGGAATAAGTATATAATATTCTGATTGGTCGTTTGAGAGCAACTAGATAGCGAAAGACAATGCAAATCGGGCTGATATTGACCGATTGCATGGATAGTTGATGAGCTTAAGCCGGTTATGCCTTCTAAATTCAAATGTGTCAGTGTGTTGACATCTTGAAAAAATCGGTATAATCCAGTACCATCAGCCATTAAGCTGTTATTTGATATGTCCAGAATTTGTAGACGGTCAAAAGTTGTACTGGCTAAAAGGTGTAAAGTGACTTCAGTAAGTCTTTGACAGCTAGATAGTATTAGAGTTCTCAGTTTTGTTGGTGGCAGTTGTCGTATCGCCGATGGTCTTTGATTCAATGGGAATATTGGTTCTTCTATTTCTAACTGTTGCCAATTATGAGGCGCATACTGGTTATCTTTTTTTTGTAGAAACATGCATAGTCCTTGATCAGTTATGCCATGACAATATGCAAGGCTCAAATATTCTAAATGGTGGTTCAGATAATTCCCGATTATTTTCAGAGTTTCATCATTGACATGATTTGCAGGGACGCCATCTAAACTTAGGTGAGTTAAGGTTGTTGAACAAGCTTGTACGATGGCTTTGATCCCTTCAAATTGTAGAAATTGACAGTAACTCAAATTGAGCTGCTCAATGGGAGGTTTTTTTTTTCTAATATCAATTCTTTCTGGCTGTAACCATTGAGTGAATGCAGTATTCCTGACTGTGTGGAGGCCAGATAAATCAAGAATTTTCAAATGCTGTAAATGAAGTTGAGGATCTCGAAAAAATTGATTCAGACTGAAGACAGATATGTTACGACAATCTTTCAAGATCAGTGTATGTATATTTGGGCAGTCCAAAGCTATTTGCCTTAAAGTTCGACCAGACAACTGATAGCAACCCCTTTACACATTATAGGTAAGAGATAATATTCTAAAGATGATACAGATGCGATAGAGCTACTGATATCGCTGATTCTATGTGTATGTAAATACCTTAAATTTGCTATTTTCAGATATTTTGATGATGATTGAATGAATTTCATAATTGCTTCATTGGGTACACACGTATAATGGCTATTTTTCGATAAATCGATATTGGTCCATAAAGTTCCTTCGTAAATGACATTGTACCATGACTTGGAAACCTGCATACAGATGTAGACATACAGAAAACTTAAAGAGCTTATCATCAAGGTTGATTCACTTCTCTTTTTGTATTGTACGTACTCTAGTGCATTTCATCAAATCAGCTATACACAAATTCTGAAAGATACGAAACCAAAGCTCTATAGGTAGCTGATTTACAATATCCACTGTGAAGGACAAGCGAGCTTCAAAAGGCTCATAATGCAAATTCGACTGGGTTAGAACACCTTGCATAATCTCTTCTAGCGCTAAAAAATGGCGAGAGAGCTACGAATGTATTATGTGCAAGTAAAAAAATAAAAAAAGAGATAGGCATTTAAGCAAATCTTGTAAAGTTTTAAGTTTCATTATGCATCCTCAGGGACTCCTTGGGAATTAAAGAAAATGGCTAACTTCTATTTTGAAATGAAAGCATGCTCGGCATACATTTTGAATCATTAACTGCAGTCAAAGTTTATCTTTTCTCTTGGATCATTACTTCACACTATGGAAATAGATAGACGGCTTATCCCATTAAGATCGCGGAATACATTTGAATGCCTGTTTGTTTTCATCAATCACAACCTTTACAGCGGAACTTAATAAAGCTTGTCTCCGATTCATCAAGTGCAAATTGTATAATCAGTAAGCATCCTTAACAGTAGCTCTTTTACGTGTTACTTCTCTTCAAAGATAGGCTTTCTTTGTGGCATTCACGAGCTTTAGATTTAATTGTCCTTAGATCTCCTGCAAATGTTGGATGAGAATGCAAGAATATAAAATACACGTGCTGTTTGTATTTTACAGTAGAACGAAGCCCTCGTAAATGACTATTCGTTGAACAGAATTTAGCACTTTTATACTTACAAAGCTGCTGTTTCACAAGAACTGGGCAGTAAGTAAAAAGATAAAAGAAAAAAACCTGATTCAACTTTCGCATATCTGAAACAGAATTGGACACTACTACTTCTTCGGTAGTTGCCATAGCTCAATAAACTCTGTCATCAATATCATCAATATCATACAATATAAAGGTCTGTATGGATGAGAAGGCATCTATGCACTTTTATAAATATCAGCTCAGTTATCTGGTGTATAGGTATTGAACTATACTCTGTTTCTTTTCCCTTAGTTCTCGACCAGTTTTCCCACCAAAAGATATTTTGAAGCAAAGTGATTCTAATCATTTGCGGGTAAAGCAACTGTCAATTTAATAAAATGCATCGATTTGAGTATAAGTTCTACTTCTAGTTACCTCCCATTCTCTTAAGCTCTCCCATTCGTCCGCAGTTAAGTCTTCCAGCTTATCGATCAATCCGTTAGGATCAGACATCATTTCGATATCAAAAGAGTTCTTCGCTAGTCCACGAGAAGCATCATGTCCAGCAAAATTGGCATAGGGACCGCCTTTAGCAGGAAAAACATTAAGAAATAAGTAAGCAATATTTAAATTGTTATCCTCTGATAACTATCGCTTGAATCTGCATTTCAATGTACCAGGTCCATAAAAATTTTTGCCCTTCGTCACATCGTAAACTGATCCATTGACAGCTATTAATACACGTCCTTGCTCATTTTTAGGACTAACATGACCGTCAAATGGTACTAGTTCCAACGGTGTGTAGTTCTTGAAAACCAGCACTTCAGGATGTTTGGCTTTTTGAATGTTCTTGATATTTTTGGGTGGGCTGATATAAGATTTTAACACTAAGGCGAGGACCTAAATATACCATTTGTTTTAGTTTTGCAGAAACAATATTTGTAAGAAAGAGATATTTACAGCAACAAGTGCCCAGTTCAAAGGATTTTCTGGAAGATAAAATTATATATGTGATCAATTCAAATTTTGTAGCATAAAGAAAACGAATGTATGCTTAACGCAATCTCTAGTACCTTTGAATTGCTTTGTCAATGTGGTAACTGTCGTTGACATTGTACGCTGTTTGAGCATTTTATACGTCTATGTAATACTATATTCAGATATCAGCTTGGGCTTGCCTTGTTTTCGTTAATAGGAAGTCAACAATGGAAAAAGAAAGAGAAAAGACAGCTGCCTCACCCCGCAAATCTCGATTTGGGAGGAACTAAAGGCACTTTTGACTTCAAGCATGAAATTTAACACGGCAAAACTATTTCGCCGCCATTTTTTCTGAGATTTCAGTTACTTCACTAACTTTATACCCTGTTCAATCAAAAAAAAAAAAAAAAAATAGAAAAATAAAATAAAATAAAAAATGAAAGGCTTCTTTCTTGTAATTGTAAACTAAAAATAACATGTTTCGTTTATTACATACTTCAACAGCTTTTTTACCTAAAAGTTGCACCTTGAAGATACCAATTTCTGTCACTGTCTCGAAATTCTTATTTCACTCTAATGCAGGCAACCTACAGTTAAGTACTGTTAGCAACACTGTTCCGTCGACGGCCAAGCTAAACCCAGAGAAGGGACAATTCACAGCAGAGGAACTACTACGATTGGAAGCAACTAAAATTGAAAGGATGAGCTGTTTACGTTCTCGAACAAGGTGGTTGCCGGAGGAGGATAGACGGTTATTGGACCTAGCTGAACGATATCAGAGAAAGTGGACATACCTTACAAGATTCTTCGTAGATCGGCCAGCCGCAAATTTATGTAATCGTTATAAAATGCTCATAAATGAAATCAAATTAGGCGGTTGGTCGAAAGAGGAATTAGAGGAATTGCAAAATTTCGGCAATGGGCGCTCGTACGACGAAATCGACGATTGGGAAAAGCTTAAAGAGTCGCCGCTTTTTCATAATCGTCCGTTATCTATGGTTAAGGCAACGTATAAGCATTCCTTTGATCCCCGAATTCATAAGGGCCGTTGGACTCGGGAAGAGTCTGATAAATTAGAGAAATATGTCGCTATGTTTGGAGAAGACGAAATGGATAAGATTGCTCAGTTTATTGGTACACGTACAAAACGACAATGTCTAGAACGTTGGCGTTGGCAAATGTCTGGGAAGAAAAAGGGACGATTTACAGCCGAAGAGGATCAGAAAATAATGGAAGCAGTGAAGTTGTATGGAGAGAATTTTGCAGCTATCTGTAAAGTCACGGGAATTAATCGCACCCCTCGTCACGTATCCCAGCATTATCATCATAGATTGAATCCAGCCACAGATAGATCGCCGTGGACAACCGAAGAAATGAAGCAAGTGTATGAAACTTGCCTAGCAAATGACAATAACATGTTGAAAACGAAAGAAATTCTAGGATCACAACGCTCTGTTAGGGATATGTGGAATCGATTCAAGACGTACAAGCGATACTTAACGAAAATGCGGATGACTGAAGCCACGTCAAGAGCAAGTATATCAAAACCAACTGATGAATAGTGATTTATCTTTATCCCGTTCCCTAGTTGTACCATCTACGTTTGTACTTATACAGGGACAGATGCATTTATTTAAAGGATGAATGGAAGCACAGCCTTTCTCTCAGGTGGGTAATCATCAAACTTCTCCTTATACCAAGCATTTGTACGCCACGCCCGAGGAAATAAGTTGGCCATTGTTGAAAGAGTGAAAATGATAGCAGGCGTACTTTGCATTTGAGTAGCTAGTGTAAAGCCTAACCATTCCATTGCTTCGCTGAAATAGTTGGCACAACTGACATATTCAAATAATCCACCATAAGGAATAAAGTAGTGTTTCTTGACAGGTCTCTCTTTTGCATCATTGAAACCTTGTTGTTTCTCATCATTTTTTTCTTTTTCCTTCTTCTTTGTCCTCAACTTGAAGAGAATATTGTCATGATATATATTTGAGACGAAGCCAGTGAACCATAGCGTAATTCCAAACCAGAATGAGATACTATAAATGCTATTGCTGTGCCGACCTACCCACATGCCATTGGTATAACCGTTGATTAAATTGAATCCGACTGAAGATACAAACGCCAAAATATGAACTGGTGCCAAAGATGTTGCTCGGAAAGGATGAATTATACTTCTGTTGATATAGTGAGCCATCCAAGCAGATATTAATATTATTTGAAAAGGTGTACCCGTTGGCCGTGTCAAATAAATAGACATGCCGAAAGCAATGGGTGATACAGCTTCCATAATGCACCAGCTCCATTTCCCTGGTAAACTACATTCTATGCCTAGTTTTCCAGCAAACCTACCTTCATCATATATATATATATATATATATATTAGATAATTGTCACGCGTGAAAGTAAATTTAGTGTAAACTGGTCTGAAGTATGGTGAGTGAAAAAACTTTCCGTACCATAAGGCGCATTGACTACAAATAATGCAGGTATCATAAGGACTGGAAATGTGGCATATATACCGACTACTGTATTATAAGTAGAAGGTTTCAATAAAAATTGTTTAATACTTTCCATAACTATCAAAGAAATGTAAAGCAAAAGGGAATGCTTGTTTATAAAATGTTTTTTTAAGCAAGCTGTGATGTTTAAATCGAAGAATTTGGTATTTAAACTCAGAATAAAATACTTTTCTTGGAAGTAATCGAGGGCTGTGTAGCTTTATTTGCAGTATATAAAAACTCTATAAAACAAATACTGCCGAATGATTGATTGAACAAAGCAATCTGCGCCGAAACTGCTCAGCACACAAATACGTTCAGTCATGGCGTTGAAATATTGAATGATCTTTCATTCGTCCTATAAAGTAAGAAGTTGCAGTAGCTATATTACTAATGTGATTATTTCATAATCGATTGCTTCTTCGTCAACGTCTTAAATTTATCCCTTTAGATATTCAAAGTTGCCCTTCTTTCTTCCAATCTACTTGGGCATTTTTCGCAACTACGTTTTTCTGCTGCTGCTTTTGCTTCAATACACCGATATAGTTCTACACTGAAAGAACGATACTAATTTTGGCTCTCTGTTGAGTACCGGACGTAATCTTCAGATACTTAACAGCTGGTTCATTTGCTATACCAGTCTTGTATTCTCTTTAGAGATCAGTTATAGCTCTATGCTTCTGTTAAAGTATAAAGAGGAGCAAAGGACGGCGGTAATGGTGGGGACGAGCACATAAGAACATTGTTTCTACTGCTTGCTGAAGGCTGTTGTGGTTCCAATAATTAATGATGGCCAACAAGTCTATCAGCCGCATTATTACAGCGGCTGTCATTATTAGATACATTATTTCCTATAGTGAACACTCCTTTTGAGTAATTCATTGGCAAGTTTTGTCACAAACACATCTGATGTTTAGAATTGAACAGTTTGTAAAGAAGACATTAATTCAGAGATTGCAACCTCTACAAATAATCCAAATGACAATAACTTTCCATGCTCTTATACAGCTGGCAGAACTCTTAGATCCAAGTTTACGATATTCTGGAAGCACAAATAACTCGCTAATCCAGGTGGTAAACAGCTAATAAGTGTGTGTATAAAGTAAACGAAAACATAAAAGATAAAAAGAATCGCTTTTTAAGATTGTGATTCGCTTTACTAAAGTCAAAATAAGAATGAGAATTTATAACCGGTAAAGAAGTCAAAGTTGGAAAGCCAGAGGTCTCATATCTGTACGAGTGTTATATTGACACGGAGGATTATATTAGGAGCAACAATCCACTGAGTCTATCTATTACTTAAATATTGACATATTCACTTATCAGATGATGTGGTATTCAACGCAATTATATAAAGGCGTGCAATAGATGTTTATTCAACTAGAACACACGTCGTTACACATTTACGACAATCTACAAATAGTAGTTGGGAGAGTTCTTTGACAAAATACAATCTTGAAATCAAAAAGTGAAATGTAGCATTTTAGAGAATATCAAGCTGTTGCAATGAAGCTGTTCATTATCTATGGGAAGATTACTCTTACTTTCCAGAAAAGAGAGAGAAAAACTGGACCAATAATATATGTTCTACATCTTTCATGCTATAAACTTATGCTGTCAATAATTGATTTGGCAGTCTAAAGAATAAACAACGGCAGAATGCGGTAAAATGTAATAGATCGTAGATGAACAGAACTAGTTAAACTTTACAAAACGCTAACAGGGGAGCTTGATCAATGACAAACTGACCATTCTTTGTTCATGTTCGAGTCCTTTATCTTATCAGTATTCTTTAAGGCCTTTTCTCTGATTATTGAATCAACTTGTAATAGATCTGATAGTGACTCTATAGTTAGTTGCAGTATTTCTATCCTCTTGCTTAAACATTGCGGTACTGAATCAATTACTCCTCGACCATTTGTTCAGCCGAGAGAAATGGTAGCTACTAGAGGAATCGCATTCAGAAATACTTTTTGGGGTCTGATATCCATCTTCGAACAAATCAATCAAAGAAGCAGTTCGAGACCTGCTAATAGAATGGCCTTCTTTGTTTAAGTGCATATGATTAGTATTGGCTAACTTTTAGGCGTTGATAGATTAATTGTTGACTTCTGCAGGTATTCAGTTAGCTAACTAACGCTGTAAACCTTGTACAAAACATTGAATTGAAGTTCTATATGATAAAGAATCAAAAAAGACCAGAAGTATAAAAATAACTGGCAGTACCTGCTAGAATTAAGGCCCGATCGTGACTTCGGTGGCCTGATTTCCTGGTCTCCATTTAGGGAATCAATGACTGATTTAAAAGACAGAAAGTTGCTTTTTTTCAGTTCTTTTTTATTAAATTACTCCACTACCGTTTTTCTGGATATGCAAATACTTGGCGTTCATAAAAGTAGACTGTTACAGGCAGTGGCTGTAAATCGGCAATATCAACAACACCATTTCGCTAATGTCTTCTTCTACGATAGAAGTTTCTTGTGCAAACGTATGTTTAGTCAGAAACTTCACCCTAAACACCTTGATTGTCATTCTTCAACTACTTCTACCTTGTACAAAAGTCTGGGGCAGAGGCCTCAGTTGATGAAAAAGCAAGCACTATCTCCATCAATTGCTCTTGGTGGAGTCAGACTACATGGAGGTCATCATCATGACGGAGATATTGTATCTAGCCTTCAGTCCTCAAGTAAGGAATAGCGGACGAGAAATTAGAAAATTGATTAGTAATGTGCAAGAATGAATTCTAACACTCCAAAAAAATGTTGTTCATTCAGGTAAACGAGGTACTCGTATTACTATCATTGGCTTAGCATCAAATGTAGGCTTAACTGTGACGAAGGGTATAGCAGGATGGTAACAATCAAGCAAATTGAAGAGTTTCAGGAACAAAACACGTTCAATTCTGTTAATGCATGCTTGTCCTTAGGGTGATGAATTCGGCTTCATTATTAGCTGAGGCGCTCCACTCATTCAGCGGTAAGGATACACTTTACATTCATTTCTATTGTATTGCATGTTCTTAATACTAACAATACATCTTCTATTTTCTGCTTTAAAGATTTACTCAGCGATTTTGTTACTCTTTATACTTTCAAAATGTCAAGAAAGCCAGCTGACGATATATATCCTTACGGCTATGGTAATGAATGATGACAACATGGAGAAAAAAATCAAAGTGCTCATTAAGTTAATTATCTTTTCCTTACGCTATGTAGGCAAATTTGAGACAGTTGGATCGGTGACAGTGTCCTCATTATTATTAGCAGGTGCTGTAACCATTGGCTGGCATTCATTTGATCTTTTGATAACAGCACTTCAAACTTCAGGGTTTTTACTTTCAGACACCTCTGCAGCAGCTACAGCGGCCATTGAAAGTGTAGCTTCAACCTCAACCCCGAATATTGAACACGCACAACATGGACATGGAGGTGTATTGGATCCAAATGCAGCCTGGTTTGCATTGGCTAGTGTGATTGTTAAAGAATGGTTATACCGTGCGAGTACAGTATCATTGAATAACTGAAAATTCTTTGCGTTTAGATTGACGCTATAGTGATAAAAGTAATACTGGAGACAAACATCTAACGAATTTTATTGTAAATCTTGATAATAGCTGTTAAGGTCGGTAGAGCGGAAAGGAGCGAAGTGCTAATGGCGAACGCATGGCACCATCGATCAGACGCGTATTCTAGTGGCGTTGCCTTAGTTGCTATTGTAGGCAGTTATGCTGGTTTACCTGTATTGGACCCCATTGGTGGTCTTGTTGTCTCAGGCATGCTCATGAAAAGTAGCGTGGGCCTGTTATGCTCGTCTATGAAGGAGTTGATGGATAAAGGAATACCTGCTGAACAAATAACATCTATCAAGTCATCTATTGCACAAATTAAGGAAAAAGAAGCGGACCTTATCGATTTCCATTCGGTCAGAGGCCGTAAGCAAGGCCGTTTCAACCATGTGGATCTCGTTCTGAGATTAAATCCGAACATATCTATGCAATCGGCAGATCAGATCAGAGAAAAAGTACGTGCAAATGTGAGGAATAGTTGTGATAGCATTCAGGACGTTATGATCTATTTGGAAGATGCGACGGCAGTAAAGCAACAGAACGATTTTGAACATAATCACCATCACGACCACGAACATGATGATCACGAGCACACGACAACAGTGACGACACATCATAACCACCAACATTAGAGAAAGCTATATTTTAGCAAACATTCAGTAAATTTATCGCTACTGAATTTAGATAGATTACACTGTTTCATTTTACAAACTCCGTCGCCTGTTTCGTCAGGAGGAGCTTGGTTGCTTCCTCTGTAAAGTATATTTATTGACTTATACATAGTATATGCATATATATATTATTACGTGTATAATTAACTCTTATCCTACAATGACTACAACAAAAGTTCCTTACATTGCTCTCAAAATAATATCAGCAAGCTGTTTATTCCCATCTCTTCTATCCGGATGAGTATTTACGTACCTTCAATCAAGCTTCATCAAAAAATAACTACCAATGAGACTTGTTTCATCGAGTACTCTTCGGACCATGCAAGATAAGTTTGTGGTATATGTATATATTTTGCTATTTCAGATCAACGAATTGCTGTCCGACAATATAACTGATAATGCCTGCTCTTGCGTAATATTAGTGATTGCCTTTACGACTGAAGGGTATACCACGCTTCCAACTTTATTCCGGTCACTGCAATTGAAAGAGAATGCTGGCTCATATCCGCTTCAAACTGCAGACTGACCATCGACATTCTTTTCTGTTTCTGCAGCTTCCCAACCGTTTTTGGCCGCCACTTCCATATTGTAAACTTTCACTGAATGATTTTAATTCTAGTATATTCTTTTTATTTTGGTGATATAAAGGGGCAAATTACAGTCAATCAATAGACAAAGACTAAATAAGGTAGAGGTAGAAATGGTTGCATTACCCTTTCCTTCTCTCTTTTTAAAAAAAAGGGGCGCCGGTAACTTCAACACTTGTTGTTATTTGCTCTCATGTTCTTTTTGAATATATGCCTATGCTGGCTATTTAACCTGTTCTTTAGTGTCACGGTTCACTTCTATTTGTTCTAACTCCTAGTTTCTTCTGCTTGCCAAGTTGTTTGGACGTCCTACTACCATATGTACATGCCGTGCCTTTCCTCGCCAGAAACAGTATGCGTCCTTATTTTTATGCCTTTTCACGTACTAATAGTATATACATTTATCACATTTCATTGGTCTGTCTCGAAATTGGGTATCGTAGTTCATATACTCTATCAGTAATGCAAGACTAATTTGATATGCACCCTATTACCTCCATATTCAAACTATAAAGAGCTTGAACCATGATTTCATCATTCATTTTTTGCTAGTCAGTTTTTTTCTTATCGTTGCCTGTTTGAGATTTATGCTAAGTAGTGTTGATCTGAAATACAAAAAGTCGAACACTCATGATAATAACAGAACAATTTACTCTCATTCTTAAACCTCGACTGACGTGTATGTTAAAAGACCCACGTTTTGCACTCCTCATAGAAACTGTACTTATATGTTTAATACAAGTTCCCACCTATATTTCTTAACCCAAAGCATTGAGTATATTTTGCAGTTGAGATTGAAGAATAAACGATAAGAGAAATACTCGCTTGAACAGTTTCTATAGAAAAAAAAAAGCAATAGATACATTCATCTCACTATACGTTATTATACATAGAAAAGTTTCAAGATCTGATACATTCATAACTGTGTTCATAGTAGTACTTAATTGTTATAGAGGAGATATACAAAAAAAAAAAAAAAAAAAAAAAAAAAAAAACGATGAATATATCACATTTCATTTATTTAAATGGACTTTCTCTTGGTTTCCATCAACATATCAACTCTATTTAAACGGATGATAATATCCTTGGGTATATGGAACTGGATCATACCCGCAAAGGTCAAAACGGCGCGTGCTTTCTTTTCCAACGAGTCAATCTGTGATACGGGCACGGATTTAATCAATAAATGGGCAGACCATGTCTTGTACAAGATATCCATTGCATTCAGCAATAATTCTGGCACGGTCTTACGAATGCTGCTGTCCAAAGTATTGAATTGATTCACCAGCATTTGTATTTTCTCAAAGTTGTTGACCAAGGGGATCACATCGGCCTCTTCTAATACATGCATAGCAGGTTCATAAAGCTCCTTTTCATAGAAGTCACGGAAGCGCAAAAGCTGTATCAATTTACTAATAGTATGACGACGTTGATTGTCAATGGTGGAGACAAAAGCTTCGAGATTTTCGTGATAAGTAAGAGTTTCCGTGGCAAATTTAATAGTCTCTTCATTTGAAGCGGTAGACAGCGAAGGATCGGCAGTTCTATAAAATTGAGGTTGCTGGAGTGCATCGCTTAGTTTTTTAATCAATACATCAACCATTTTTTTGAAATCCTATATTGGAAGAGTATATTGTTGATAAGTATTGAACGTATAAAAATATTGGGCATGCCAAAGTGAATACTACTTACGCCTGATAAGCTACAGATATAAACTGCGTCAAAGCAACGACCCGTTTTCACACATAGTTCGGCTATGGGGTGCAGAATTTGATCAGCGTATTCCTTGGCAGTATTTATATGTAATAACTTTGCTTGAAGCTCAATTAGGCCAGGCTTTTTTTTTTTCAAAAAAAAAAAAGACACTATTCAGTTCTTCAGCTCGTGCTTTAATTTCGATCTATTTCCACAACTTACTGATCGCTGAGTATCGTCAATATCTCCAAGGAGTACTCTGAATTTTCCTTTCGTCATGACAAATTTATAAATGTAATGCTTCGCCGTTTGTATCATACTGTCGTCAAAATAACCATGTTGTGGTGAGTAAACAGATAGAAGAAGTAGATATTGAAGTGCATTTTTGAGATCATTTTGAATGTAGACTGTGACATATTGGTAAATAATTTGAGCGACATCCAAATACCATACAGTCTTTACTCGGGAGTCTGCAACAAGCAATTCCTCTTTCTGCGTCCTTTCTGAAGATGGCTGACTGATTTGGGGAGGGATCCTTATCAATCCGTAATAGTATAAAGCAATAGCAAAATGAACAGCTTCTAAGCGAAGATGCTTGTGTTTATAAAGGAAGTCGATTGATTTTTCAAACTGCAACGTCAATAAGAGAATTTTGAAATAAATCCATGGATTGGCACCTTCTGAACCGTACTCTCTACTGTTTTGTGTAATTTGATCTTGGAAGTCACTCAATCTGTAGCGTTCAGCTTCGTTAGGTTCAATGTCCGTGACCTCTCTTATCAACATCATTTGAAGCCAAATATAATCCTCGGTTGTCTTAATAATATCGGTTGAACTCTTTATAAGTAATTCACATCGTCCCATGATCTTGTAAATTAACTTTTTATAAGGGTCTGTCCGTTCTCCACCATTTTCCAATTGAATATAATCGGCTAAAATATTTTCTTTAGTCGTTCTTGACACGCAGTGGTCATCAGATGTCATAAATTCGCTAAAGTAAAGAGGGAAATCTCTCTCGGTTGTAAAAAGCTCGCGATTATGATTGACATATTTCATAGCTAATTCATATTGTCCGCTGCGTAATAGATGGTATATGAATACCCACACAGGCTTGCCCTCCTTTAATTCCAAATGCTTGTTGATCCATCCTGGGGACGAAGAGCTTTTGTATACATGTTCGATGTATGCCCATAAACGATACGAATAACAGGGAATACCGCCTATCTGAATCTTTGCTGCGTTTCTATTCAAATACTCATTCAACGATCGCATATAATCCTCCTCTAACCATTTCTTAGAAGACTGAATAAGCTGGCGACGAACACGAACAGCTTCTGCACTTTGACTATCCTTTGCAATATAGCTTTTAACATATCGTCCTTCTAAGCGTTGTTCTTCGTCCGTTTGATCTGTTACTGTATGATGAACCAAATGATCGACTATATTCCATGCTTCTGTAGCACTATCCTGAAACTTTTGTAGTTCGGACATATTACGTTGTTTAGATAAAGGATCGATCAGATTAAAATCCATATCAGATAACCTCTGCTCGTTGAGCTGTGTTATAACATTGGCGTAATCATTAATTCTCTATAGTGATCAATAAAAAACTGTTTGAGCGACTAGTAATATAATCAGTAACAGTATTCAAAGGAATCTTACAACAATGCCCATTGAATTGTTATATTGCTCAAATTCTCTATAGTCATTCGCGTTTATTTCTTCTTCCATACGTTCTGTGTCGATTGCACTTGTGTAATCCGCATATTGCTTTTCATAGAAAGATTCAAAATCCTCATAATTCTAAGAGTATATCATAGTCAATGATTGGATTTAAAAAGCCAGATTGACTGAAGAGTCGAGTTTACGAAGATACTCTACCACTTTGCGTTGCTCCTCAATTATATCAATTAAGATCATTTCATGCTCTTCCTGCAAAAATTTCTATCAACAAATGAAGCATAGTATTAGTTTTTAGCTCGCTGCTGGAAGGCTTTTGTTAATGAAGGCAAAACTGTTGGCCTACTTTGAGATCGGTATTATGTTGTATCTCAACTTCTTGGAAAAAATTGTCATAATTATTCGGTGTTGATAAACGCGTTGTGTTTATACCACTGCTATTCAAAAAATAGTGACTATAGTAAAGCATTATTAGTAAATAGAAGGACTGAAGTTTGTGCATTAACTCCATACGCCTCTGCTTGCCGCTCAGGTGTGGTTTTTAGCGATGTCGTTAATTGTGTTGTCCTGTCTTCAAGTGATTTTAAATCCTTGTGAAATAGCGGGTAATTTTTACGATCCTCTAAAGGAATGAGAATTTCTGCTCTTTCACGAAGTGTTTGAAAAACCTTGGACGACATAGTATCTATGGTCGTGATCGGTGGAATATTATTGTTAAAGTATGGATGAAAGATTCGTACTTTGAAGCACTCAAAACACGTTTAACGGAAAAAGGGAGAAATAAGGCATAGTTCACAGTCACATCACTCAGTAACTTTCACTGCGTATGTTATTCAATTCATTATGCAAATTGGGTTTTTTATTTTTGATCTAGAGTACAAGAAATAATTGACATCGTTTACAAAACTTTATACAAATGAACTTGCTTAATCTCTTCTAGTTCATCTTCATGAATTTCCTGAAACCAGCCGGCATCATAAGTTAGCTTGACTTCTTTAACCCAGCCACGTAGTAACTTTGATGCTGATAATCCTGCTTCTCTCAATTGTTCCTGCAACGAAGGTAGTGTCACAATCAACAACCCAGGTTTCTTCTTAGTTTCATTACGAATAAACTTCCAAATTTGTTGCTGAACAGGTAATTCGTTAAAAAATTGAAAGACGTTGTTCATAATGATGATATCGGCCTCCTGAGATATAAGTTCAGGAATAGTTTGAATATCTTTGCACAAAACGGAGACACGATCATCCATTTTGAATTTCTTAATAATGTCTTGCTGTAATTTACAGAACCATTCATTGATTTCAACGCCAATTAGTTTACGTGCACGAGTAAATAGATGACCCTGCGAAAAATAGATGCCAGAGTGAAAATCAATCCACCCCATCCTTTACCATGTGTAATGCCCAGAACTTACTGTGTAAAGAACGGCACCTAATCTCGATCCAATATCAACAATCACTTTATCTTTAGCTTTATCAGCTAAAGCTACTTGGTAAAGGAACTGCAATTGTATCACCGAGGCTGAATGTGAAATGAAGTCTAGAAAGCATTATGAAAGGTGTTGCTCGTCAATATTCAAATATGGATAGACTGTAATAAAATAAAATAAAATAGAAAGCAGTATGTACTTAATGGAGCAGTATTCTTTGAATTACAATCCAAACAATAGTTGCGAGACATTTTGCCTTCAGCACATAATTCATCCACATCTTCTTCAGAAAATAAGAACCCATCAACATGCACAGTATTTTGATCGGTATAACCTTCAAACTAGCAAGTGAAAAATGCTTCTTTAAAACGAAATCGACAATTTCGTAAGATAGAAACAACATTGTTTTTTGGTTTTTTTTTTTACTTCTGGTGTCTGAGGAATAGCTGTCTTTTCTCCAGGAGCTTCCGCTGAAAGAGGTACTTTTGTACGTAAATCTTTGATGATACGGCCCAGACGCATCATTTTCGCATCACTGACAGGTTGGAAACTTCCATCATGTTGCTCAACATCCATATCCTCTGCAGTATCAATATCATCGCTATGTTGCTGACCGTGAATTTCTTCATGATATTTTTCTATTCATTATAAGTGTCAGTGTAGGCAAAAGTGCATAATTGCAATCGATCGATCAAGAACATTTTTTACCGATCGCTTCTTGTACAAATTCTTGAAAAGCATGCAGCTGTGTATCATTCAATTCAGAAAGAAGATTAATAAAATTTTCTTTGGCAGTTTCAAGCTTATCAAGCTGAGGAGCTTCTTGATTCATTCTATGCTATTATGCTTTTTTTATGAGAGAAAAGTTAAATTGTATGCAGATTTGACAGAAATAAAAAAGCAGTGGCTTCATCAAAATTGCCAAAAGGCGGATAACGAAATGTATTGGGCATTTTTTCATTACGGTTGAATAAGACTTTTATTTATAATCCAATAAAGACGATATATTTCAAGCTTATCTAAATTGCCCAGGAAAGATTCAGATGCTTTACAGAGCCAAAGACCCCTTTGGGCTTCAGGTAAAATAGATGGGAGCTATGACGCTAAATTTAGGGAAGCAGGTAATCAATCAATAAACTGTTGACCGAGAAGCGGTAGGAGAGGTTCTTGGTCATGTTGGAAGTAATCGAGTTTAAATAAGACGTGTCATAAGGTGGGCCAACGTTAATATCATATGTGAGTTCGTTGAGGGATTTGAAGGATTACAGTTTATACCTCTTTTTCGCATGTGATTTCAACTTTTTCGTATAAAAGATTGGATACTTCTAATGATTAAATTTAGATAATCAGTGATTGTTTCGACTAACAAAGAAAGCAGCAATAACAGTTGACTATATAACCGATCTTGGAAATGTTCTCCTGAACTTGTCAGTAACCTATGGTGTTTCAATTGTTATCAAAACTTGTTTGTTCTCGAATAGTATCTCCCTTCATCATTTTGGGCTTTAGAGCGCTTTGTAATGCAGTCTTTTGGGTTGCAACAAAAAGTTAGTAAGTTAAGCATAAAGGCACGCATTAAAGTGTAAAATTGAAAAACCGCTGATTTATTTCTTCAAACAATGTCCATTGCATTGCAATTTTCAAGGAAAAATACAGTATCTCGTCAACTATCATATCAACAAATTGATCGATATTTAAATCTTCCAGGTGCTTTATTTTCTTCTTGAAGCTAAAAACGCACCCAAAGGCGTCCTTTCAAAATCTGTAGTTCTTAGAAAAGCATTGACTTCGTCTAATTTAGTGGGGGTATAATCAACGTTTGATCTTTTCTGCTCTATAAAATTTTTATGCTGGTCCATCTTTTCCACTAACGTACGCATTGACTTAGCGAAACGTGTTCCTTTTATTTTGTTCAGGAATTCCTTCAACTAACGACAAGGATTATACTTTAGCATTAAAAATAAAATATCATTATAATCGCAATGGTTGTCTTACCTTATGAACTGCAGGAATGGCCAGCTCAGGAAAAGCAATGGATAAACCTTGACAAGCGTAATAATCCAATATCAGATCGTAGGCCGTCTCAAACACTATGTCTTGATAATTTTTTGTCTGTATATATACTTTAGGTGTCTTTAAATGTAATTCCCAGTTCAACTTGGGCAGATCGTCTACGGCTGGGTAATTGTGACCGGATTTGAACAAATCACTGTTCAAAATTTCAAACATATGAGAAGCTAGAGGTACATAAATACCTGTTGCATCAAGAAGTGAAATCAGAGTTCGAAGAAGATGAATACGTAAGGGTAAAAATTGTGCTGTAGGATTCAGACGGATGGTAAGCAGAATGAGATCAACTAAAGGCTGGACAACCGCTTGCATGGGTGATTCTGCTCCTGCTTTGGCCATAACCATAACTGTGGGGTCACACGTCACTGAAATTACGTTCGTCCAAAAATCAAGACAACTGATATACTGCCATGTGTAAATCTGCTTGAAGCTTTCTACTGTTTGTCGCTTTTTGGCAATTTTCAAATGATCTGCCAACTGAGTGATATAGACATGAGCATGTTCGTGACTGAGACGAAAATCGATGCTATAAATATCGGCTGCTTCTTCCAACATTTGTTGCAATACCGGTAAACTAGTTTCCGTAATCTTGTTTGTGGCACGGTGGGCGAATACTAAATATACACCTTTCAGTACATTAGGCATGTAGTTTCTACGGTTGCTGTCAACAGCGGCTGTACCGAGATATTTCATGGCTTTATAACAGGCAGATCTGGTTTCCTCTAAAAGAGCAATATCCGACCAACAATCCAATAAAACGCGGAGATACTCGCGGGCCAATGTAGGGAAATGCCCAAAGTATTTTGTATAAGATTCTACGGTGGCCAAAATGTGCTGAATTGTATCGTCTTCCGGAAATTCGTGAAGATATCGAACAGATTTGGTTAGAAATTTCTTGATCAACGGCTCTTTCTCTTCTTTCGTCTTTCCCGTTAGAATGTCTTCTTTTAATTGAACTACTTCTTCTGTAGGGTCGACATCTTCTTCCATATCATCTTCGTCATCGCTTAATTCTAAGGATTCGTCTGTATCAATTACAAAGTTGCAAAAGTAGTCTTCTGTATTGATTTGTGGCTTTCTATAGTTGATTGTAAAACATCGGAACGGTCAGTAATGACTCAACGATAGGGCGAAGTAATCTATACACAAAGCACATACTCTTCGGCGACTTCTTCAGTCTCTCCAACCTTCTCTTCATTAGTATCTCCACCTTGAGAGAAAACAGCATTAATTAATGACTCAGAACTAATAAGACGAATTTTCAACGCGTGATCTAAGATACCATTGTCTTCAACTTTTTTCCCTTTACGGCGTAATTGCCTGTTCTGAATTTGTCGCTTAAACTTATTTACTTCTTTTCTTCGTTTTAAGACACCTTTTAACTTAGTTTTCTGAAATTTGATGGTTGACTTCTTCTCTTTTCCCATTTTTGAAATTGTAATGTACTCCTGGTTTTACGAGAATGTCCTGGATGAGGTATGATCTGTGAGATTGTCAAAGCAAGTTTACCTTTTCTGAACCATGAATTTCCACATTTGCAGATTTGGAAATTGTGACCATTAATTTGTTCAGACTGAATAGAGGCTTAGCAGACTGCATGAATTACCAATGTTGTGTGTATCATTTATGCACATAGCCGAAAATATCCTCTATATCTTTAAGCGTATGCTGTTTATAACAGTTAACATTTAGCTTTGATCAAGCAAATACGTATCAGCCACCATCTAATATTATCTGCGCTTAGTTAGAATACATTTGCGGGAGCTTGATTTACGTACATTATAACTACCTCTTGCTGAGTGAATAATAGTAGAGTCGTCTCATTTGATCTTGTTCAAAATCTTATTGGACAAAGCTATCTTTAGATCTTTCCGCTTAATGAAAGCAATGCCTTTTCTCAGTGTAACATTGCTTGCTTGGGGAGCACGCAATTGCAATTTATATAAATATCATGCCACCATTGAAAACCGAGCTCCTTTTTCCATCGTACGATAACAATAACCATTCTTTCTCTAGCAAATATTAATTGTATAAGTTAAAGATGACGCTCGCTCTCTTTGACATCGATCCCATCTACCTCCGTGCGAGATATAGTAGAAGAATCGCCTCGGATAATACAGATACAACTAGCAAAAGCGAAATTAACCTAACCACCGAAACCCAATTTGTACAGACGAAAAGCAAGCAATCTACCTCCAGCAGCATAATCTATCCATTTCAACCTAAAAGTAAAACTCTAAAAAGTGAATCGAGAAGTAGAATTATAAATGCAACAATAACAACAAATCCCATCGATAGACTTATGTGCTTCTATCTATGATCCTATTATGGGCTCGACTCGTCCCGTATAAAATATTCTAGTACTATCTACCAAGTTTTTATACTATTTAACAGCAACGTTAGTGTTTAATCTCATTCTGTAGCTGCCGTCTCTTGCTTTCCTTTTTTGTTTCTAATTTTGCCTTCTAACCTCGCAATAAACTCTTATACCTTTCCAACCGTGTGTCAACTAGGAATCTAGGTGATTATGTATAAGAAAGAATTTCTTGCTGCAGTACTGCTGTTCTATAACAATTGTGAACACTCTATTCAGTTCAAAAGCAATTGTAAATTTCTCGGATACTCTATTTCATGAATATCGAATATTGGGTCAGTTAAACAAGAGATCTCTGTGAATTCACGAAAAAAGCGTTTCAAAAAGGGGATCAGAACGATGCCCCAAAAAAAACAGCCCCTGATTTATGGATGTAATAAGTTGAGAAGTTGAAGTAATTCAATGTAGTTATAGCAGTTGTCAAGAATTAAACATGTCCGTCGTTTGCAGAGATAGAAGTCCTTTAGTGATGACAGACTTTGTAAAGAATATAACATTATATACCAATGGAAGTATTAACGTATCTGTATAAAACGAAACACCTTACTATGTACGAAGGAGGAAAGGCAGACTTTGGGCTAAACATTCCCAAGCTGTTGTACATTTTTTAATAGCATTACGCATGGTTAATAATGCTGATGGAGCCATCAGGTACAGGTCCCTTTTTCAATTTTGAGATCCTAAATGATGGTTAAGTATTGTTTAATCAAGAATTCGCGAGGGAAGCGCTCCATTATTTTACTTTTATTCAAATGTTTTCAGTGCTCTTTCTATTCAGTAATTACTAACATACGAGTGCCAATTATTGGCTTCATATTGGAAGTGCTCCATTTTGACACTCGACAATCAATAAATCAACTCTTTTTTGCCATTACCTCAGACGATTATAATTATAATACACATGTTACTGCTGTTCAAGTTGAGTTTAATAAAGGGTAAGAAAACGCATGCTTAGAATAAGTAGACAGCATTTCAACGAATCGATTACATAATAATGATGATTTTGTAATGATGATTTTGAATGTCCATAATATGAAGCAAATTCAACACGCCAACCACTCTCAGACGCCACGTTTGAAAGCATTATGGTAATGTTTAAAGGCATTCCAAAAAAAAAAAAAAAAAAACAACGTTACTCTGAGTCAAAAAGCATAGAAGGGGAATAGCCCTTCATGAATCTAAATCGTCTTTTGCCTTTTTATTCGTGTTGGATATACATGTTGACAAGGTATCAGTTAATTTTTGTATATTTTTGGCTAAGCTTGTTGTTGTTATCTAAAAAGATAGTACATCTATAAACAGTAAAATTTGCTGCGTAATTAATATAATGTTTATTTGTTTTTCTTTCATAATGATCATCAACAATTCATGGCCTGCCATAGGGTTTCAAGCCATTTAACAATAGTGCTGTAGATCCATCTTTTTCACTGCTATAGAAAAAGCTGTGGTATGCCATACCGCATTTGCAGAGACTGACTTATCATTTGATATAAGGAAAATAGTAATTTTTTGATATGGTGCCAGTTCTAAAAGCTTTATAAAATTCTTGCTGTTGAACCATATAGTTTATTCATATAGAATTATTAATATACTCATGTTGTTAATACACAAGGTCGATTAATACATTACATAACGTCCTTATCAACGTATCATGTAATTTCGAACGAACAATTTTGTACTCTTGAACTATCATGGAGAGCGAGAGTCTTTGACATTATATTGTTCAGATCACATAATAAACTTAAAAGCCGTTGCAACTCTAAAACGCCAAAGCTGAGTGCTTTGGACTTTATCTTCAAACCAAACTGAGTGGTCTATGTATTTCAACCAAGTATCGCCAAATGCTGCTCCTCAAAGGCAAGGTAAATAGCTTTACATTCAATTAGCAATCAATTAGGAAGCAGTGCCATAGATTACACATTTGCACTTTTCGAACCCTAAAGGAATCTTGGATAATTGTTGCATTCGGAGCTGCCCTGGGAAATCTAGATGAGTTTATGCGTCTCGTGTCCATTGGGCTTTGAATTTTTGAGATAATCTGTGTAATAAAAGATTCTCTTTAAACGGATCAGCTTTCATGTTTTTTCTTTTTAGTTACCACCAACTGTAAATGACTGAAGCTCTAGCGCACTTGCCAAACTTTTCTCAATTATCTCAACGAGTGTGGCGAGTATTAGGTCTAAATCCCGGCAAATTTACTCTACAAGGTAACAGTTCTTAATAATAATAAGGATTATTAAAGCCATAAAATGCTTACTTATAAGTATGTTTATATATCAGGTACCAACACATATTTGTTGGGAACGGGTGCACAAAAAATTTTGCTGGACTGTGGCGAAGGAAAGCCAGAATATCTGGATCATTTAGAAACATCACTACAGCAGATTCGTCCAGATGCCTTCATTTCTGATATAATCATCAGCCATGGGCATAGGGATCACTGGGGCGGTTTAAGAGATATTCTCAAGTCCGAAAAGCTTAACCCTCAGAACAACCTCCAAATTCATAAGTTTCCAGTACCAGATGGATGCAAGGTACCTCATATGGATCAATTTCCTAAGGATATACAAGTCCATGCTTTGGTAGATAACCAAATTTTCAATACTGATGAAGTTACTTTGAAAGTAATCTATACACCTGGTCATTCGAAGGATCATTGCGCATTTTGGTTGGAAGAAGAACAGAGTTTATTCACAGCAGACTGCGTCTTGGGACATGGTACGGCTGTATTTGATGATCTTTCGGAATATCTCAATGGATTACAGCGATTGAAATCACTCCATCCTAAGCAACTATACCCTGGGCATGGCCCAGTCATTGAGAATGGAGAGGATAAAATACAGAAGTACATCGACCATAGATTATATCGGGAAAAGCAAGTGACAGGCTTACTGAAAGAAGAAAATGCTCGACAAAATGGGTTAACGCCTTTGGAAATTGTACAATTGCTATATAAGGGGTATCCAGGGTCTCTACACTTACCAGCCGCACATAGTATTGTAATGCATTTAGTGAAACTTCAAAGGGATGGCCATGTTATTGCAGCGGAGGAGCATGAGCTAGTGACAGAGAATATCCATAAGATAGTCGAAACAAAGTGGAAATATATTTTGCAGTAGTGCACGACAGTTAAATGATACTAAAACATTATTCATGGAGGGTAAGCAATCGGAAAGCTGTCATTTATTAAGATAAAACAATCTAAAGTGGAATATAATTTGCGAGTGCTGTAAACTTTACTATCACCGGCTATTATTCTGATTATATTGTTGTGGTGGGGGATATGACCCCAAGCCTGACTTTTGCATTTTTACAGAATCAAAACTTGTATTTGATGATGAAGAGTCTAATAAAGGATATCAATATCTTATAACAATACTTAGTGAAGAAAGACCTCAATCGTAATGCTTACCTCTACCAAAACCTAAACCACCCCTATTACCGCGGAAACCTCGACCGCGGCCACGACCTCCTCGGCCACCTCTTCTATTATTCCTTGAGTCGTTGAACCAAGAATTTTTCATTGCTAAAGCCGTCAACTCTTGTGGAACAAATTGCCCTGAAGCTTCCAAATGTCGAACCAATTCTCCCGCAAAACGATCTTCTTTTTGAGTGATTAAAGTAAAAGCTGTACCTTTTTCACCTGCACGACCAGTTCTTCCCACTCTATGTGTATGGGAATCAATATCTCGCGCAATGTCATAATTAATGACAGTTTTAACTGATTTGATGTCCAAGCCTCTAGCTGCTACGTCCGTAGACACTAGTATTCTAGATCTGTTGTTTTTAAAATCTCGGAGAACCTGCTCTCTCTCAAACTGCTGTAAATCACCATGCAATGCAACACCTATCCCATTCATTTAAAGGTCAGTAACAGTTCTTCGTCTGCAACTTTCTGCAACATAACAATTTACATTCAAATCCGCAATTTTTAAGATTTCCTGATAGAACTTCCACTGCATCTTTCCTACTCACGAATATAATGACGCTACCGTCTTTTCACAGATTAGTACCATCCTCCCATTTGTGTCGGCTTTCCAATAAATATGAATTTTACCGACGCAAAAGCTTGTCAAATTCCTCATCAACCAGTCCCATTTCATTTCATCTTGCTCCAGAACTTGAATAATTTGTCTAATATCTTCGTTTGCTTGTCCTCTTGTTCCTACATTTATACGCACAGGATCATTGGTGACTGTACGCGCTAGTGCTTCGACCCTTTTCTGAAATGTTGCACTAAATAGAAGAGCTATCATTTGATCAATATAATGTTCATCTTACATCGTTTTTAACGAAGTACATCCCACTTACTTTGACGGTCTGGTCGGACGTTGTCGCAGATGGATCTGACTTGTGGTTCTAATTTGCCATATGTTGGATTCTATGAGGTCTCTCCAGGGAGTAATGCAATTGCAATTGATTTACATAACCTTACCGAAACCAAGATCAAACATACGGTCTGCCTCATCGAGAACAAGGTAGCTAACTCTTGTCAAATTGGTTGCTTTCATTTTAATCATATCAATTAAACGGCCGGGTGTTGCTACTAGAATTTCAACTGTACCGCTACGTAGGTCTTTGAATTGTTCTAATTTGGATGCACCACCATAGACAGCAGCAACTCTAATATCAGATATACCATTATTTTAAAAAATTCGGGTTATGCTGTTAAGGAAAAAAAGAGAGTAACGCCTACTTTAAACCATATGCTTTTGCGAATCTTCTTGTTTCTTGATAGATTTGTATGGCCAATTCACGCGTTGGAGCCAAAATCAACCCAATAGGCCCATCCCCTTTTACTAATTCTTCTTGGTCCATGATGTGTATGAGCATTGGTAAGAGAAATGCTGCTGTTTTACCAGAACCGGTCTTTGCAATACCAATAATATCACGGCCTTCTAATGCTACTGGAATAGCTTGCTTTTGAATAGCAGAAGGCTCGATATATCCAGCTTTTATAATTGTCGTCATTAAATCCTCATCAAATCCAAAATGTGCAAATGATATACAAGGTTTGGCAACCGCATGTCCTAATACATTCAAACCTAGTTCATGGCGAAGTTTTTGCACTTGTGCAGCAGTTAAAGCTGCAATTTCAGGATGTTCCTCATAAAAATTCTTTTCAATCTTCCTATAGTCGATTTTACTATGATCAACACGAGATAGTGGCTCGATCTCTTTCTTAGTGTTCGAATTGTTCGAATATTCTTCATCAGAATCAAATCCTTCTTGGTCGAGTCGAGCATCCACTGCTGCTGCAGTTGCATAAACTTCATCATCGGAATTAGCGTTCTACAAATCGCACAGTTAGATATGAATGTAGAATACAGTATGGAATTCAAATGTCATCTTAATTACTTCATCATATTCTGGCATTGGTTGGTTTGAAGTCCCCACAGTTATGCCTTTCTTTTTCATGTGACGCATATAACTTTCAAGCTCATCCTCTTCTTCAATATCATCTCTACGAATCTATGCTTTATTGGTTAGTCGACAGGCAGAGAAAAATTAGAGTAGATGCGCTGAATACCTTAGGCTCATTTTTATCTGCTTTCGCCTGCTCGCTCATATCAGCCATGAAGGCGTCTAAAGGATCCTCTTCATCAGCACTTTCTGCTTTGCTTCCTGGAGTCTCTTCTTCGGCTTTCACAGGTTGTGTCTCGACTATATATCATCCATGAAGTGAGTTTTGCTTTGTCAAAACTCTATTAATGCATCCGCTGTTTAAGGTTTACCAATTCCAGCAATAGCTAATAGGTCATCGTCATCATTAGCTTCAAAAGCAGACGATCTAGGTTTCTTATTGGATTCTTCCTGAAGCGATTCAGGAGCTTTTCGTTTGGCGTCTGTTGCTATTGTTTGTTCTGTAGCTTTCGTTGTCGCTGCTGTTACTTTCTTGCTGGGAAATCCGAATTGGAATTTCTTTGGACCGCCTTTATTCATACTTTTTGTTTAATTGTTGGAAAAGATGGAGGATAGCCAGCATAATGGAAATGCTCTTTCAAAACAGTTGTGACCGCAAAAACCGTTTTTTAACTATACTAGACTTTGAGGCTCTTCGTACAAAAATTGGCAAAACTTTTCATTGAATATGGCACATGTAATGAATTTGATTTGGCATGAACGGAGAGACTCTTTACTCTTGTGGCTGTAACGCAATGAGCATCGATGTCCATAGGAAAGATTTAAGCTTACAGGATGAACTTGAAGAGTCCACTGGTAAAATGTATATTAGCTTCATGACTATAATTAAAGCTGATGAAAATCTTATATCAGGCAGCTACCAAGGAGATCGAGGATGAGTTGCAGAACGGCCGGTAAAAGGCGGCACTATCCTTCAGTTCGTTTGCAGATGAGAATAACGCACTACCAGTTGATGAAGAGCTTGTGATCAATATATTTGCCCCGATGATGTGTATGAAGGAGGAGAAGAGGAGCAAAAGCTATACAAAGTTTACAGCAGAGTAGACAATAGCTTTCATAAGCTTTATCATAGACAATATGTACCCAGTATTGAAGGCAGCAGCTATAATGGATATAGCTGAGCATACATTTTAACATTATAGGAGGCAAAGGCAGAAATTCGATTTTATGACGGAAAAGCAAAGGGGAAGAGAAGCAGGAACCGTTTCTCAGTTGAGTAATGAATATGGCTTGTATCTGATTATCTTCGTTGATGCAAATCCAACAAAAAGCATTGCAGTAATGCATGGTATGCTGTTAAAGAAGTACCCTGTCCTTACTGTAAAAAAATGGGCCGTATATACGTGCAAGGGATAGACTTGCTTCGAGCTTCAAAAATTGAAAAAACTCACAAAACAATGTAACGCTGAAAAAAACTGTCAAAGAACGGAAACAGAAAGCAGAAAAATGGCTTGCAAACCTGAATTATAAGTAAAGTTGCATTATTTTTGGGTGAGGCAGGGTTCAACTTGCCCTTTACTCGTAATCTGAAATGGTCGAAAGAAAAGCATAGCAGCAAAAAAATGCCAGTAGCAAGGGGTATTAGCGTAACAATTGTTGATGCTATTCGTTCTCAAGGAGTCATCAATATACCATTGAACAATCTGGTTGCAGTAGTTGGAAGCAAGAAGAGTAGACCCTGACTGCAAGGCAGTTGAAGCAACTGCTCGGTTAGTTTCAAGAATGGACGCTACGTCCTTTGTCTCAACAATTTGGTGGATGCGTTGGATAGAGAGGAGTTGCGTGAGTTCCATATTGTCATGGATGAAATAATATGTAGTAAATGCGGCAAAAGTTCGTACACAACCACCTCTTTGCTTATAGCAACGCACTCATACATAAGCACAGTAAATTAGAGAAACAATTGAGAATTGGGGTTTCCGATCAATAAAGCTCTGCCATGAATAATAAAAAAAATAAAAAAATAATCCCGTTGTACGTAACATGGCTGAAACACTGGCAGCGTACCCATTTTCTATAAATGTTTACTGCCACAGTTCGAACCAAGTAATGCATCGACCGTATGGTACTTAGTTTTACATCTTTAAAACTGAATCTGAAAATAAAGTAGCATCGTGATCTACAAAAGGTAAAGGTTCTTATAGGCTAACATACCTGAGGACATTTTTCTGCATGTCCAGTGGTGTTTGGTTCACTTTGTTCTGTCGTGGAGTCTTGTGAGACTTTGTCGCTGCTCTCTTTATTAAGGTGCGGCTGAGGAACCATTATAGTTCAGCTTTCCAAAATATTCTATGTTGCAAAGGTTCTTCGTCTATCACTACCGTTGAATCCAGTTTCGTCCATGTTAATGCCGTGCTACATCGGATGTCCTTAACAATTTCGTCAATGAAGAAGAGTACAATCCTATTATTCATGGCTTTGCTAAAAGCTAAATATTTGCCACAATTTTTTTGGCTGATTCGAAAAACGGTCAAAGCATTTGTATATGGACTCTATACTGAACAATTGATTTGAAGCTTTAACAAGCTACTCTTGCTTTGAGTTCCTCGTTATATCACCGGCAGCAATCATGAGAGTTCAAAATGCCGGTATTATTGGTAACTTTATTGATTGAGGTTTAGTAAATAAATATGTTGCAAGAGAAAAGGTTCAAACTTCTGTCATAATCACTTTGAAAATCGCAAAGCTATCAATCAAACACATGATGTAGAATTCAAAGAAACTTGCACTGATAACTTTGCTTCCAGTAACAATTCCCGTACCATTCCACTATCATTCAATATTCTAATAGCAAGGTGCTCTTTATATTTCGAGCATTAAGCATTGATGATAAGGCTTTCAGATATGTTAACCTCAACTCTGTAAAGTTAGTTAAGATTTACGGGTTATCCAATTTCGCCACACAAGAAAAGCTTGTTTCTACCTGCCCATTTTTTTGACAAAAGCGTTAAAGAAAGAAGCTGCCATGGTATGCTTTGTTCTTAAGGGGCTTACTTCTGTTGTTATTTGGAAAATCAGCAGAATCAAGTAAAGTATCTAAGATGGCAGATACGACGTTGCTAGGGCTTTCTTCGAAGCAAACACCTGAATTGGTCATGACAAGCAGTGAGTCTATGTTTTTCTTGAGGAGAGCATATTTGATACGGTCATGCTAAATGTGTGCTTCTGATGTTTAGGTAAAACGTAATGAAGGTTGTTAATCCAGTAAGATACAATAGGAGCGTACGCTAAATCCTGATGAACCATTGCAATGCGTTAGGCTGGCTGTTTTTCAATTAAATTATAGTTATCGTGTACTATTAACATGCCCTTGAATCAGTTAAACCATCATTATGTAAAAAGTATGTGTCTTGAGATTTTATAGTCGTTATAAATATCAGAATAGGATGGCTACGTTTTATCGTATAAAAAGGGAAAAGATCAATAAGAAAACAATAGCCAAAGCGGTAATGCTTATACACAATATAACTCTTTCCATTCCCCTAAAGTACTCGCTTTTTGAAAACAGAATTATGCGTAGTTTAGCATAATAAGTACATTACTCACATTTTGCTATCAAAAATATTCACAGCGCCTGAAAGACCAAAGCTTGTTATAATGATTGGTGACCCATTAATTCGCGATAATTTAAGTACAAATATATGAGGGGATGCTAGTCAATATAAATATATATGTATATGTAAAGAAAGGATATTATTAGGTGTAATACAGAATGCATTTGCGGAACGTTGTGTATGTTATAGGTGGATATTTGCGAAGAAAAAGGAAAACAAATTGAAAACAGGTTCTTTACAATTCATCTTTGACAGGCTTCTTGGTTTCTGCTTCGGCATCAGCCTTTTGACTTTCCTTTTCCTTTTCCTTTGACTTTTCTTCTTCTGTGGCCTTTTCAAGAGCTTCCTTAGCTTTTTCAGGTATATCGTCATTGAAGTTGATGACCGGCTCAACCTTTTCAAGATCAAGATCATCGTCGATGTCTTCAACAACGGGTTCCTTACCTTCGGATTCTGCTTTAGCCTTGGCTTCTTCATCAACCTTTTCGTTGTACTTGGCTTGAGCAGCTTCTTCGAAGGACCTGAGGGATTTGGTTTCCGCTTGAAGTTTTTCGGCTTCTTTTATATCGTCAGTAATTAAGATGTTGTCGAAAATAGTACCAGACTTAACCTGCCAGACGTCAATACCAACATTGCCGAATTCGTAAGCATAGATGTCATTGTCAACCTTGTACTCGGGATTATCAATTTCGGGATGAACCCATTCACCCTTATAGGCAGGGTTAGGGATCATTCTAGGAGTCCAAGGGCCCTTATATTCAGGATTGGCAATAGAGGGAGCTTCCCATTCGCCGTCCATATCATCATCCCAGTCTTCAGGCTTCTTGGCATCGGGATCAGGAATGTATTCAGGAATATCATCATAGCCTTCAGGCTTGACATCAGTTTCATCAACAATCTCAGCTTCGTCAACCCAATCTTCAGGCTTTTTGGCATTAGGGTCCAAAATTTTCTTAGGGGGAAGGAAGTCCCAGTCTTCAATAAGATTACCGTCAGCCTTCTTCTTACCATCAATCAAAATTTTATAGGTTTGGTCGGGTTTGACAATGAGAGTGTATGTGTGAGTCAACTCGTCCTTAGGAGCATCAACGGTCTTCTTCAGGTTATGGTTGGTGCCGTTGTAGTTGAAAATAGCGTGAACCATAGCCTTGGGGCCACAAATATCGGGACCGAACATGATGTTGTAGTCAGTTTCTCCATTGAAAGTCTTAGCATCGAACTCTTTGCCAAAGAACTATTGTCACAAAATTGTATGAGTATTTTGATGACTAATTTATCGCGTCTTTAAGCAATCTAATCCTTACCTTTAAATAGCTACCACCACAATCAATTTTTTGTTCATTCTTGACATCAAATTGAAGAACGAGATCTTTATCCTTGTTGCTGAAAGGCTTGGATAACTTTGAGGAAACAGCATAAAAACGATAGTCTTCGGCAGTTCTAAGACCAACATTCTTTTCTTCGTCGGCATACCATTTACCAGGAGACACTTCTAATTTACCCAAATCTTCACGGTATTCGGAAACATCCCAACGGTTCTTCCAACCTTCACCGTCAGAGAAAGTTTCATGGAAGAAGATTTCAGCAGAGGCAAAAGTAGCAAGACCCAAAATAGCAGCAATGGTAGGAACCTTCATTTTTAGCGTTTTTATTTAGTCGTTGACTGTAAGAAAGTAGACGAGAAGTTTCAAAAGTGCAGAGGAATAAAAAAGAAGGAACCGTTACCGTTCTGAGTTTGCGCAATTTTATAAGGAATCTCTGTGTTTCAATTGCTTATTATCTGCTAATTTTACGTGGCAAATGAACATTCTACAGTTCAAATTTGGGCCAATAATAATTTATGTTTGCTTTACATGATGGCAATCTCTTATTGGCTGCTTTCGAAAACGTGTAAATAAAATTCCAGAATCGTGGGTATGAAGTGTATTGAGAGTCCTTCTGTTAAAATGGGCATTCATTCGGGTTATTACAGTCTTCCGATATGTCTTCTTCTTGTACACTATGTAGATGATAATCAGGAAGATTTCATGATTTGAGAGACTCGGATCTTAGTACAGACTGCTTCTTTTTATTTAGTGCGGAATCCAAATAAATCTATTCATGAATTAAGAAAAAAACGCATAATTTTACAGGTTGATGCAAAGGAGCATTGCCTTTTAGACGTTGGACCAGCTATACAAATGATAGGGTTTATATGTTTTCTTCCCGCTTATTTGTAGACAATCTAGTTAATCAAGCTATGTACGTATAGCATTTTAATCGGGTAAAAGACTTTAATACTGTCTCATGTTCGTATATGCTGCCCTGAGCTTCTTGATTGGTTTAAGTTCATAGATGTTGCTTTCAGTTAAATTTATACAAATGTAACTGTAGAAACATCTAGAAACATCGCAAATTGGGACAAGTTAGAATACTGATCGATATTATTCTGAGGTGAGTTTGCCTTTCTTCGATGAGAAGCTGCCATCAAGCGATACAGGTATCCCCCCCCAATTAACGATCGACCTCCATACAGCTACCATTTTGTACAAAGGAAAGGAAGAATGCATAAATGAGCATCTGTTCTATCCATGAATATAGATACCTTGACAGTAATCAATCCCTGACAATATAATACATTATATGCTCCTGTGAATACCTGCTTCAACAATCGTATCGTCAATACCATAATCTTTACAAGGCAAATTGAATGATTCTCCTCTCCATCTCTGTCTGTTAGGCTCGTTTATAAAAGATCAAAAGTGATCAGTTCTTTATCACTCTCTGCTTTTGACATAGAACATACGTTGCATTTATCATTAGAATTGCTCTGAATGCACCCATCTATAAGTAAGCTTTCTAATTTCTGATTAGTGTAATACTTTGACTATTGTATAGCTTTCCTTTTATGCTTTTGTAACAAACAACAAAGCCCTATACTGATACAAGACATAATCTTATCAAACACAACTGTTATGTAAGATTAAAAAGTGGACTAATTTGAAGGATATCGATATTGTTTGAGTTAATTAGGCTTATTTTAACAGGGTTTGCGTGTTTGCATCCTCATTCAATGGTAAATATTCATAGTGTTCGTAGAACATACTTTTCTTGTTAACACTTTTGGACTACGTTGTTTGTACTGTATTTTCTTATCTCTCTGAACTACGAATTAACATTTGCCAAACGACAATAGTATTGATTGAACATCAATTTTATTTACTGCATTCCAGTTAAATAACAACAGTCAGCAAACCATATTAGCTTCTGTTCTCATGATAGTTACCTCTTTCGCCTTTAATAACATTAAATTGAAGTGATCGTTCACCCTAACAGTGTCAAACTAGCTGTATCGTTTCGATTTATTCTTAGCAAACCAGCAAGAATTGATTTCATATTATTTTACGTTATACGAACCTTTGGCTATATATCTCACAGTATATAGTAATATTGTAAGAGCCAACGAAAAGGAGACAATATTGCTCACCATCGAGACAATTCAAACATTGAGATTGAAATACAATAATATGATATAACATGTACTTCTGCATCGCTACACGTATTGTAGTCAGCAATGCTTATAAATTTAATAGGCAATCAAACTTTGATTTGAAGGGAATTTTGAGAAACACTTGTCATCACAGCAGTACAGAGTGAAGTGAATAATACCTCAAGAAGACGGCTCTGTTATTTCAGCAGAGCTTGTTTCCAATGTCTACCTATCAACGAGAAACCGCTAGTGGCGAGGAAAAATTATAGTTGTACGATCTGGCAACAATGCCTTCAAAACAACTGTGGTTGCCATTATTCAAGCGAGAAAACTATGATAATCTTTGTTTTGAGAATAACAAAAAGTAATAAGTAAAAAAAAATGTAGGAATTGACAGAGAAAAAACGAGTCATTACGCTCCTGCCTTTGCATTGAGCATCGTTATGAAAACTATAAAATCTGTACGGTCATGACGATTATACTTCGTAGTATCCCGATTAACTCATTATTAGCACATACCAACTATATTTGGTGGTTTTTACCTTGAGATTAAACGCGCAATTGGTTTTCATCTGCGCAATCGATCCTGAAAAAATAGCCTTGCTGTTTACATGGTTTTTACTACGACAACTTGCAACGACTGGCTAGTTTGAAACATCGTGAAAACTCAGTAAAAGCTAAGCATAAACTCTATTGATTGTAGCTAGACAATCCAACAATCCAACAATCCAACTTACACTTTTCAAAGTTAAACTGCAGGTAAAAAAGAAAATCTAAAATGTCAGTTAAAAAACGTTGTATAATATCAGTACTTGACGACCATACGAGAGTTGATCAAATTACTTAAACGGTGTCAAATCTTGTGGCGATTTACCAACCAACAGATATTTTATTTCTGAGCTGATCCTCTAGCTGTTGTAATCGATCAAAGCAACCGTTACATGAACTTATAAATTACTCTCAGACTTGGCAAATGACTATGAAAGCTTGCCACTGCCCTTCCCCTGAGACTTAATTTGGGGGTACCTTTATATCAATTCAACTTCAATATCATTTTGAATACATTACAATTGTATTTGAGCGTATTCTAGAAAATAGCTAATACTTAATTAGCTGAGCATTTTTAACTACATCATTCTTATCAGAGAAAATTCAGTCTTCATGCGAGCAAGGGAATGATGCTCTTCATTTTCGCCACTTTTAAATGTCAAAAAAGACACTTTGGTTTCAGATTCGCTCAGTGAAACAACAGCACACAACATTTTAGATAAAATCAATTCTACAAATTCTTAAAGAAGGGACACGTATCCTTTTCTTGTTCTGATTCTCTATAGCTCTCAAAAGCCTTTTATATAATAACTTTTAACCATTCAATCTCTCGAAGAAGAATGTCGGTTGTTAGTTTAAGCTCTCAACAGCCACATGCAGCTACCGCTGCATCCATACCGCAAGAAAATGTCGATGGTTTTTTGGATAGACTTTCCAGCTACATTCAGGACTTTAGAATGCTTGACAAGAACTCCAGCGGTTCTCTGGATGGTATGTGATCTCTTGTCTCTATAACGGTTTTTAAGCAATAATGGGTATTGAGTCATTCTTTCCGTATTATTATTTATTGATGAATAGTAAACCAAGTCAAAGACTATTTCAGATCGAAAGGATTGCCTGAAGACTGCTTCCTTGAACTTTTATCGCGTCAAAAAATGGATCGCTTCAATGCAGAGCAGTTTGCCGCTGCAGTAGAGTTCACTCAGATGAACAGAAAGACTACCAGTAATGGTAAGACCCTCCAACTACTTCAACTGCAGTTTCTTTTGAATCAAAAACTTAGCTTTTTTTTTCTTATTTTGTTGGGGAACCATTGTAGACACGAATAATACTTCAGATTTCAACGAGGTTTTACGTCATTGTGAGCAAGCCACGAAACAGCTACAAGGCAATAACAAAGTTAAAACTGCACACGCAGGACTTTTAAACAATATACTCAAGGAACTGCAGAATATAATCAAGCTATTTTTCCCTTTAGCTTATCAAAACTATACTGGAGGTAAATATGTCGACGACTAATTTAACTGAAATGGACTATAACTGATACTATTGACTCTTTCAGATGAGATTTCACGCGGAATCATGCCTTGTACCTTTCATTCCGACAACGTTCCGGAAGCAACAGATGGTTTAGATCCCCGTGGAATGCAAGGTGCTCCCAAAATGAAGTATACTCCGCCTATGAATGATTCTTTTTCTGATAGTAAGGATCCCCATATGACCACTACAGATAATGTTACACCTTCTCTTCAAAGCAAAGGAGGCAGACCTTCAATGAAGGATGAAACTACGCCATTTGATGACAATATTGACAAAGTGAGAAATCAGGACAGTTCTTATCGTTCAGAAGTGCTTAAATCTCTGCATAATGCTGGCCAACCTAAAAATGATATTGATTGTTTGGATGACCAGAAAAAGAGAGATATGGAAACATTAGCGGAGGAAAGTCCTACTATTGCATTCAGTCCATCGTCACACTATGCTAGTGCTGCTGCTATAGATGGCGGGCTTGGAACTGCCGCTGCTCTCAATCACAAATGTGTCGATCAAGTTGACAACAACACTGTAAATGCAAACGCTGAGTCTGTAGTCGATAAAAACCGTACTCCTGATGCAATTCATACAGCTAACGACAGCACTGACGATAACATGAAACCTTTGAAATCTAAGAAATCTGTTTTCCCAAAAATCTTTGGTAAACCAAAGGATTCAAAAGAAGATGATATTAAGGATACAACCAAATCGCCTTCTATGAGAGAATCTTCTTTGAAGCGCTCTCCTGAAAACAAAAAAACAAATGCATTTGATCCAATGACAGCCACACCACTTGTTAGTGTTGACGATACACTCAATCCAATCGGTATTGCTGTTGGTAAACATGAAAATGATCGCAGTATTCCTGTTGCACCTCCTAGAAAGACCACAACAAATGCCGATAGGAACCTGGAACTTGCTAATGATGACAATCAAAAACATAATTGGCGCAAAGTGAGGGCTTCAAATAGCGCACCTGTAGCGCCCCCGCGTAAGATACCTCCCACTAAAAATAATAATGCTGCAATGCCCGATGACAAAATCTATTCTCCCAAGCTATCTGATCTTTCGGGAACAGCTAATAATAAGGCCAAAGATAGAAGGCCTTTAGATGATGATGAATCATTCCGCAAGACAACCAATAACACCTTTAAATCATCAAATGTACCGGCTGCTATTAATACTGCTATTGAAAATTTGAAGGATGATTTGAACTGCAGCCCTGATCAATCTGCTCGTGCGATGAATGATAATGAGCCTCCGACAACCGCTCGTGATATGAGAAGTGATCCATATAACGCTAAACTTCCCGAATCTAACGATTCTGCACCCGGGATGATGACTGTTCCTCCTGGAACTGGAAATACATATGCATCATCTACCTCACAGAATGCTCCCAATAAAGGCTTGGATATAGTTGATATGAATCAAAGTAACCGTATCATGAATGACAGTGTTCCTAATTTTGCAGCTGATAATAACAACCTCCCTGATGCCAAGAGTAAGCTTGCAATGCTCGACGCATCTATGAAGAACGATCCTTTCATGGCAAGTGCTCACCATAATGTGTCTTCGGACAAGAATAAACATGATGTAGAAAACCCTGCTACTACCAAAATCAATGCTCAAAATTCCGATATCGAAAAGGACACCGCACGCCCCGGCATTGTAGGAATGATTTCTGCCGGTGTTTTAAGTATGTTCAGTTCTTCTTCAAAGGACAACAATGTCGACGCAACAAGAAATATTGATAACGAGCCTATGGCAGAAGATTCTGCTCAGGACACTAATGACATATCTAATGCAGTAAATGATACTAATGGAAATTTTACTACTATTGACAATGATATTGAACACAAGGATGCAGAGCCCAGAAGCAAGCTCGCCAAGATTGATGCTTCGTCAAGAAGTTCTATGCTCTCATCTCCAGCCGCCAAGGATAAAAACCACCGTAGCTCCTCCAATAGAGACATAAAAGACCGTGGTAATGATGCAGCCTCCCGTACTACTTCTCCTGCATTCAATGACAACCCAGGCAATACTAAAGGTTTCAACGATGAACCTGTTCAAGTCGAAAGAGAGATTGCTGACAAGAATAACAAAACTGCCTGTGGCATTGATAGCCCAGCTGCTGATGATAAAAAGACGTCTGCTCGTCCTGGTCTTGCTAATATGATCTCCTCCAGTTTATTTAGTATGTTTAGCTCATCCAATAATCTTGATGAACCTGGGAAGCACAAACCTGCAACCAACGGTCCAGATTTAACAGAAAAGACCCCTGAAATCAATGCTGAACCCTCTGCCGATAATATCAGGGAAGGCGAGAAGACAGGTGACAAGGCTAATATGGACGACCATCTGTCCAAGGATTATAATCCCGTCAACAAACTCAATAAGCTTGATGCTAGTATAAACAATACGATGCTGCCTTCTACTAATGCTAGAGAAGACACCGTATTACAAAAAAATTCCATTTTTAATGCTGATAAGCCTAGTCTTACCGGTGAATTACCTGAAGCTTCTACTGATGCTAAAACGCCCGATGGCTCACCTACCTCCCTGGATAAACGTACTGGTCTTTTCGGTTTCTTCGGTTCTCAAATTAAAGGCGATAAAAACGATCATTCAATTGATGACAATTCCAGCAATCCTCGTGACATCAACGAGAAAACTACTTCGCATATTGATGATACTAATGATAAGACAAATAACAATCTTCTTACTCTTCAAGATAATGTAAATCGACATTTACATGAACCTCAGTCTGAAATCTATGATGTTCCAGGATTTAAGAATCCTACGGTTATTGCTGAAGAAATATCTATTCCAAATAGGCCTAGCGATTCCAGTGGTGGACTTGAAAATGATATTGGTAACGGTCAATTGGAAAAACCTATTAATGATACTTCAAGCAAGCCAAATGATCTTTCTATTGATGAACTTGACGTCACTGGCAAGCTACCTACTACTCCAGAACAATCGAAATCTGCTGATATCAACACACCTAGCACAACTAGTTCCCTTGGAAAATTTGCTGCTGGTATTCTGGGCGTCTTTGGTTCCACTCCAAAGACTGAAGAACTCAAAACGCTCGATAATGATACCACTGGAAATCGTGATATCAGTGAAAAGATCAATTGCAATTCTGCTGATGTTGCTGGTACCAATTCTCTGCTTAGCGAAACGCACAAGGTCAATAGTGCAAATCCTAATTCTATTGATGGAGATTGCCAACTTTGCTCACGTTTCAATAAGGCCTGCAAGACTCAGGATGAATACAGAGCACAAGCTGCTCAAACACCAAGTGACGACAATGCTGATCAAAAGCAGCCTGTAAATGCAATGGATCCTACTGGTGAAATGAGTGGCGCTAATCGCGGTATCTCTACCGATGCTCAGCCATCCGAGCGCTCTGTTAACAATTCTAACCTTTCTGCAAAACTGCCCAAGAATAACCTTGTCGATGTAGATAACACCAATGATGTCGATGGTGCAACATCAGGCTCCTCAAGTTTGCTGGGAGGACTTGCTGCAGGTATTATGGGTGCGTCCAGCTCGTCCTTCCTCAATGATGAGTCTAAAACTCCTGTTGTTGATAATGATGATACACCTTCCTCTCTGGTCGACGTTCAAAATAGTACTCGTGATATGGATACACTAAATCCCTTTACTAATGATACTGCTCAAGGTGATCTACGCTGTATGAAAACTGATTCTGCTACAGAGGTGACTGACGCTGATACGCCCATATTCACTTCCAGCGCTGATATAAATGCATATACGTCACCTTATAATTTATCCGCCAAACCTACAACTGACATTAGAGATTCAAAGGCAATAACTAAGAACAAAGGGAACTCTCCAAATAATTATGAGGATATTATAATGCCTACAATCGATAATTCACGTCTTGATTTTTCAACCGATATGAAGGATATGAAGACCAGTATCGAGGATAGGTTACCGCCTTCAGGGGCTCCCTATGAGACACCTTTTATGGATGTTTCTACCGATTCTAGTCCAAGAGAACTCCGGCCTAGCGTGTCATCAAAGGTTACTTCCCCCTTTGAAAACTTGAAATCCAGCATTAAGGATGAGACAAACTCACCTCAATTTGACGATGATTTCGCCAACAAGGTCGACAAGGCACCATGCATAGATGATGATAATGCAATCATGATCGCACCTGTAACCACTAACAACAACTTGTTAGCGGAAACACCTAAAGATAATGAACCTGAGGGCACCAATCTTGGCCGTTCTGTCAACAAACCCACTCTAGAGGGTCAACTTCCCGCTGGCACAAATGCCTTCGAATCTGATAATGTCAATACACCTGCCTCAACTAGCTCTCTAAGTAAACTTACTGCTAGTATTATAGGTGTATTCGGACCCTCCAATTCCAAGGATGAAACCGAAGAACCTGCTATGACCGATAATAATAAAGCTTCCTCTAGCAATCGTGGTTTGGCCAATCAGCCCTCAATTATGGGCGGTGACGACAGTAATCCTAGTGGTAATGGCGATCTTTTTGATGAAAAGCTCCATAATACGCCAGAACAACGAAAATCCGATATTCAACCTCTTAGTTTTGCTGATAATACAAATGCCAACGCAATTCAATCTGCAATGAGTCCATTAAGAACTGAAAGCAGAAGTGCTCCTGACGCTATTGATAAATCCAACAGTCTCAATTTGAACAATGCAATTAAGCTTGATGCTCCTAGCTCTGAGTATACCAATAACATTGAACCCTTCAATGAACGCACCGGAAGCGTCAACAATAAGCTGAACCGTGACTTACCAGAAAACGAAGCTGATTTAAAGGCAAAAGAAATGATTTCCCCTAAATCTACTGATGTACCTTCTAGGTCTGATGTTGATAGTACTATTCTTAATGATAATCCAGCTGCTGCTCATAAGCTCTCTTTTAATGCTGCAGACAGCAACCCTGATGTACATGGCTCGCAATTCGATGGAAGTAACACAGATGATGTCAAGCCTAACCATATTCCATCTGCTGTTGCTAGTTCGTTCGGTGTCCTTACCACTGGAGATATGGGTAATCTATACTCAAAGGCAGATACCTGTGGGCCTGATACAACTTCAAACAACCTTCCTCATTGCAGCAGTCGTGGTAGTAGCAATAATTCTCCTGCTGAGGATCTTATTTTTGACAATACACGAAGTCATAACTCTGTCATTGGCAAGGATAACGTCCATGATGACGAAAAACTTGCTAAGCTTGATGATCGTGTAAGTGATATGCTTCATGATACTGCTGGTAATTCGAACGATTTGCGCAAGAATGAGCCCTTCGTTGGTCAAGTTCAAGACAACAATTCATTCAAGAATGTTGATCTCAGCAATAATGGAAACCCTCATACAACTGGCGATGCAGTTGCAGATGATACTGATATGGATAATAAGAGGCCCAAGGAATTAGGTATGCTTGCTGCTATCAAGGGTATTTTTAGCTCGTCAAAGGATCTTTCAGATCAACCCAGTGATAATGTTGACATCAATCCTGCTACTCGTGATGTAGATTCCAAACCTTTTAAAGCTAATAATACCTCTTCTATGAGCCACGATGAAAAAGCTACTGATACAGGCTCGTCCAATAATGGCATATTTGGCAAGCCTGAAGTGTATGACAGCAAGAACCCTTTCGCCATTGAAGAAAACAATAATCGTTATCCATGCGACTACGCTTCTTCAGCTGAAAAGTCATCTCATGACAGCGCCCTTCCTACTAAAACTGATGCTAATGCTGACAATACTTTCCTTGCTGCCCCTGGCACTGATAATAAAGGCTCTAAAGCCGGCGCTAGCTTTGACAATAATGCTCCTGTAACCTTGAATCCGGACTTCAATGAAAAGTCAACCACTGAAACTAATATTACGAAGACCAATGATTTGGCAAAATCAAACCCTGCCGTGGACAATGCTGAACCTGTCAAAACTTCTGGCGAAAGAAAGACAGCCGAAGATAAATCTCATAGTGATATGTCTGGTTCATCAAGCTCCCTTACCGCTCTTGCTACTGGTATTAAAAATTTTTTCGGATCCAGTTCATTCGAAGCCGATGCCGTGAAGCCTTCTGAAACCGTTGAGTCATCAGAATTGAACGATACGGACGATAGTCGCAATATCAGTAATCAACCTTCTCAGTTTGATCTTGATTTTGATAACATCAGATCCGATGATTCTGTAGCACCATCTCGTAAAATCGACGGTAATACTTTTAATGCACCTGCTGCTTCCCAAGACTCTGGTAGTTATGCTAGTGTGAACGCCTCCAGCAGAGACCAAGATTCGTCGCAGCATTCAGCTAACGTAAGTACGAATTGTGTGAAGTTTATTTCGTCAATATTGGTAACCTAACGTACACAATCTAATCGTTCTCATTTCAAGGATGACGACTTTGATTCTATAATGAACAACGTAGGGTCTGGTATGCTGACTGCTTCCACTGCTGCTACTATGGCCAAGCATGCTGATACTCCTGCTAAGGACCATTCAGCAAGTGAAAAACTTCCCAAGCGTGATGAGTCACTTAATGCAACCATTGTTGATTCTAGGTTTACTGAGCTTGATAATAGCAACGATGTCTCTATGTCTAATAGAGGAACTGAACACAGCACTACCAATGTGTCTCGACAGCCTAGAGATCTGACAGTCAATGCTAACTCACCTCCTGCAGTACCTGCTCATAGAGATTCTGCCAGCTTAAAGTCACTTTCCTACCATGATCGTTCTGCTGCAGATGCCATCAGAGCAGTCTACGAGAATATGACCTCAAGATTGATGTCTGGTCCCAACTCATCAGCTGGTGTTGACGAAGAACGTGTCCTTAAGGTTCGTCCAGGTTTTGGCAATTTTGCTGGTTTTGGTGTGAAGTGTGTAGCTGATGGTTGTTAAATTAAGACATTCGGTCTGCAACAATAAATATGAGCATTCCATTATGAGTTATTTGTATTATTCCTTCTTGTACGATGCATAATATATCATTTATACTTCCAATTTTCTTTTGTTTGTACATTTACTATAACATATCCATTTGAAACAACTCTGTCCCCTTTTCTATTTTTCCTTTGTTCATAGACGCGATTCGCAAAGGTCGAAGAATAATCTCGCGCTAGTCAGTATGTCAAGCCGTTGTTACAGAAGGGTTGTAATGTAAATGACGCAACGACATATGTGCAAGATTTTGAGCGCATAAACGAGTTTAACTTACACTAACGCAATCATTTCTTATGTTCAAAGAGGATTTATAGCCGACAGAGAGAATCCAATGTAGAGCAGATTGCACTGCTATTCTATTCTTTGCTTCTGACGATTGTTTTGGCATGCTGAGTTGAGAGGACTACTACTGAAGTCTTCAAGTAGGGTGTATAAATTACAAAAACTTGAATCTGCCCATTGCTTCGGGAGTTGTCTAAAAGATTGTACTACAATTCAATATTAATAAATGATGGATTGTCTCGTATTAATGCTACGGCACGATTGGAAGGTAGATTATTGAATTCTATATCAGTTGTTGTTCCGATTATCACAATACTGTTTTATTCTGTTTTTTATTTATTTTTGTTTTCGCTTCAAAAAAAAACTATATAGGGTAAACAAGGTGATGACTTATTTGATGCTATACATATTCATCCGGTAGCGCTTATTCAACAGACATCAGTTTAGTAGGTCTTTTTTTTAATCTTGGGCTGACAGTGCTCTCATTTTCAGGCGGTATACACTACATTTTCCCTATAAGTAGAACGGCTAACTGTTCCTCAAAGCGAATCTGAAAAGATCTTCGTACAATCAGAGAAAGTTTGAGCAACTCTAGTGCACCTTAAGACTATACAATGGCTATTTGTACATAAAATCTTTCCATTGATGTTATTACTGCCGTTTGTCTTGGAAAAAGCCCTTTGGATATAGCAAGTTATTTGCTTCCAATGAGTACTGTTTATGTAATATGCCTATTTGGCCTTGAAGCCCCTTAATGCATCAAGAATGCCTCCTTGGACAACTCAAACAATTTTAATTTTATTGCTGTGTATGGTACAATAATATAGGCACCTTGCTGTACAAAGTTTGCGAATCTAATACTTGAGTCAAGCATACATCTATCGGAAGTTTTATGTCCATCAGTGACTTTTGAATCTATTGCTTAAAATAGCAGAAGAGCGGTAATACTCGGTTGTTGAACCAACGATTTGAGGACCCAAGAGGGTTGTGTTATTCCACCTGAGTATTCCTCAATCCGAAATAAAATATCAAGACTACAAATTGAAGAATAATAATGAGCCTTCTGCATTGATTATATTAAATTTCTAGTTAAGGAACGCCATAGATATTGACAACTGAACGGCAATCATGCACTTGAACACTTCCAAGAGGATATCTTAAACACCGAAAACGAGGATGAAATATGGAACGGTTAAAATTGAACGCCTAATTCATTGAGACGCACTACAGTCTTCTTGTCTTTAAAACATCAACAACGGTGCATGTCGATTTATATATTTGTATTACAGTTATTTTGATAGAAATGATGATGACTATAGTCAACTATATACACATGATATATCAATCTACGGCCTTTAACGGTAATTTTGAGCCTACCATTGAAAAGAAGAGCCTTGCGAGCTTTTCAAATATCAATAGTGTATGGTTGAATTACTCATCCATTATCACTGTGGATGACCACCCTTGTTATTCAATTTAAGTGAATTTGTTTCTCATAAAATGATTTGGCTTTGCCTCACTATTTGGAAGAAGAGCTTATGGTTTTTTTTATTGTATAAGTCTACTACATAGTTTTTTTTTCTTTTATTAGATTACTTTTCTAGGCAGATATAGTCTCTATGTCGTCGCTGATACAGCTTTAATATCATTACTTTTTCTTATCCTTGTTGGCATAAATCATAGCAGTGAAGGGTCTAAAAAATATTAAAAATTAGAATCTGTGTGATTCAAAGTATAAGAACAACAAGCCACTACTTACTCTTCAAACGTTAGAGCAACCTTATAAAGAAGGTAAACTAAACAAGTCAGTGCAATGCCCGCCGGGCTCTTGTACCTGTTTCGCACAAAATAAATAGGTCAGTAAGTCCCGCTTGTTACTAACAATGGCGAACTTAATTCTTACCATAGAGCGGTGGCTAAAAATGTGCAGGTTGAACCTACATACATTGGGTTATCGCACACATTGAAGGGGAATCCTGTAACGCGTTGTTTCATCAAAATACCGAAGTAATCGCCTGGGAGTTATGTTTAAAAGATAATAAGCAAATTGTAGTGCATTCTATTACTGTGAATTGAACCATTATTTTACCCAGATAAGTGCCAGTAACACCAAGTGCCCACATAGAGGACAATACGAGTACATTGCCTGTTACGAATAAGAGGCCTGCTGAAATTTGTACAATATATTCATCAAAGATAGGATGTGTTGGCTGATATGCTAACGCCTTGTGATATCTAAACCAGGAATCATTAATAAGTGTCCCCTTATTATCTTCACGAACCTTAACCATTTAATTACTCATACTCACAGGTAGTCTCTAGTCAAACCTAATGTAAAGATTGTAGCCGCCAGGAAATAAGTACCTTTGTATGGATCACCTCCTGCCAACTTTGTCAATATTTTCGTTTTATACTCTACAGGTATTTATCGGTCAATGTTTTTGTCTGTAATGGTCAAAGCCTTTTCAATATACCTGCTCTGGCAACAATATTCCAAAATACAGGATTAAACAATATATGAGCAATAGCAAAATACAACGTTGGTTGAGAGAGGTCAATAAGCTGTGAGCTCATATTTGTTGTGGTTTTTTTTTCAAATGAAAAAGGGAAAAGTGTACAAAATGTCTAGCCCTAAGAAATATAAAAGGAACGCTGAGATTCAAGCGGTTGAGCCGTTTGCTCTCATGCAAATTTCAACACCATCATTCGTTTTGCCACGTAGAACTACGTCGTACAAAAATAACCTAGGGATGGCAATTTGTAAACAAATATACCTTTGACATGAGCATACTTATAAACAAGACTTAAGATAACAGCTTAATCGCCACTTTCTTTTAAGTAATAAAATTATCTTATTTTTATTGTACAAAATATTTGAAAAATATAGTAAGGCATATTTATAGTTCTTCATCAGTGGTCCAAACTTCTTCACCACGTTTACGACGTTCCATACGTTCCTTCTTCTTCTTTCTGAGTTCCTTCGATGTCAATTTCTTTTTCTTTTGGGTTGCCTTAACAGTATTACCTTGCGCATCCACCATATCCTCTTGTTCTTCTTCCTTGACGGCTGTTGTACCATTACCAGTAACCCAATTATGACCAGAGGGAGTCAATTGGCCGTTATCAACCTTCCATACTTCAGTACAAAGAGCTTCAGAGAATTCACGGTTGTGAGTAACGATAACCACTCCACCGCCATATTCACGAATAGCAGTAGCAAGGGCACCTAAAGATTCACGATCCAAGTAATTGGTAGGTTCGTCAAGAACTAACATATGAGGCTTATTCCACATGGCAGCGCCGATAACTAGTTTGACCTTTTGGCCACCTGAAAGACCACGAATTCGAGAATGAGTGGCAAATTCAGGCTCAAGACCAATTTCAGCCAAATGCTTTTCGATTTCCTTAGAGGTCAAAGGACGATTGAGACCCATCTTAGCAGCTTCAGCAGCATCCACCTCAGCAATCTTCTTACCAAAACCCATTTCTTCAAGACGTTGACGAGATATCCAAGTGTTGTCAACAGAGGATCTACCAACCCATGAGACTTCATATTCATAAGATTGCTTGAGTTTACGGCGACCCACAATGTCTTCGAGGACACGCTTTTCACCATCAATGACGAAAGTTTGCTCCATAATCTTCTTTTGAGATTCGGTATTAGCCATACGATCATTCTTGTCAAGTTCTTCACGGTCTTCACCAGTAGCATAACGCCATTGAATGTATTCGTTAGGAGTTTTATCTAAATGTTTTTCAATGTGATGGAAAGCATGCTGGGCGACATAAGCGATACGAAGATTAGGATGCTTCCAAACAGTGCCAGCTGTAGGCTCCATTTCTCCCGTCAACAATTTGATCAAAGTAGATTTACCAGCACCGTTAGGGCCAATAACTGCAACACGAGAAGCAAGAGAACATTGCATGGTAATGTCAACAAGTTGCTTTCTGTTCGATCCAGGGTACTGGAAATCGACATTCTTCATTTTTAAAATGGCACGTTCCTTGGTCTTGATACCTTCAAGGTAACCAGGTTCGGGGAAGCGGAAAACGGTTTGAGCAGCCCCCAAGGAATAATAAGCAGCAGCACGGGGAACTTTTTTTACGAACTCTGAAAGGTTTCCTCTGTAACGTTTTAATTTGTAATTACCTACATAACGGCCAATTGATTAGAGGAAACTCTGTGAGCATCTTGTCAAGTTTTTGAGCTCATACTTTACCTTCGTAATGAATAATATCAGTGCAAACATGGTCAAGGAAGCCAGAGTCATGAGAGACAATGATGGAGGTGACAGTCTTTAATCCTAACAAATAGTTTTCCAACCAAGCAACATTAACCACGTCCAAATGATTGGTAGGTTCGTCCAACAAAAGGATATCAGCATTCATCAACATAGCACGAGCAAGAGCAAGCTTCATCTTCCAACCGCCAGATAAAGAGCCAATTGCCTGGTGATTAACCATCTCTTCACTAAAACCGTAGTTCTTCAAGATACGAGCGACTTCATTTCTGTCTTGACACTCGACACCTTCAGAGTTGACAATGAAGTCAACTAAACCAGTATCTGCTTCAGAACCATCGATATCATGCTCAACGTAAACAGTTTTCAAAACGGAACGAGGAGGGAAACCTTCTACCTGCTCGTTGGCGATAGCACGCATCAAAGTGGACTTACCACAGCCATTAGCGCCGCACAAACCATATCGACGACCACGCATCAAACGTAAATGGGTACGATTCAACAAGATCTTAGCACCGTAAGCCAATGAGAATTCACAATTACACAATTCTTCACCTTCTTCTTCTTCCTCTTCTTCGCCTGATTTGGGAGCAATCGCTTCTTCACAAGAGGACAATGCAGCCAAAGCCAATTTCTCAGATGAAGCATCTAATTCTTCACTTCCGTCTTCATGCTCACGGCCGGTTACCAAAAGCCAAGTAGCAGCATGTGGTGCCATCGATGATACCCAAGCGTTACGATCAAAGTTATGGCCCAATACCAATGCTAAGGCTAATTTAGCCATATACTTACGAACAGGAGCGAAGAAACCCTCGAGCTTGGTAGGCATAAGCTTATCTAAGGTTGAATAAACCTTTTCGCGCTTTTGGTCATCACTCATTACGGGTGTAGCACCATTACCACCAATGCGTTTCAAAGTGTCAAGAGCCTTCTTGACAACACCACGACATTCGGGATCAGCAACAGTTTCGTGAACCTGCTCGAGAGCAGGTAGCAAAACAGGCAGGAAAGGAGCAGCAACCTCGGGATCATCCACCAATTTACACATATTATCAATAATCAACGCAGATTTACGCTTAATAGGAGTTTGACGTTCACGCAGACCACGGCCCAATAATGGTACCATAAGAGCCAAAGTACCAGCATCTACTTCTTGCACAAAAGTAGTGGCACCCAATTGATGGATTGTCTCAGGTACATTTTCGGGATGGTTGATACATTCAATAACAGCTGGAATAAAACGTTCGACATCTTTATTGTCCAAAAGAGCAGTAGTAGTCGTCATACATTTTGTGGCAGCGGCTTTGACATCGGGCTTTGTATCCCACATACAATCCGAAACAACAGGGATAATGATAGGCATACATACCAGAACCTGCATAGGATTCAATTGACTTTCCAATTCAATCAACTCGAGAGACAACATCTTCGTTTGCCATTTCTTTGAGTTCTCAAGGCCTTCTAGACAGTAAGTAATGACATGGCGAGTAGAAATAGGATTGAAAGCTTTGACCAAATTACGTGCCAACTCAGCGGATTCTTGAGCAATAGCTTTATCTTTATGAGCTTGCAACTCCAAAAGAGGGGTCAGCAAAGTGATCAAATGAGGTTCAAGTTGTCCTCTTAACAAAGCATTGGAATTAATCAAGGCTTTACTCAGTACAAGAGCACCCAAAACTTGAGGAGTACGGATTTTCTTAGCGAAGAGCTCATGGGATACAGCGGGGAAGATATGACATGCCTTGAGAGCACGGACGCCATGAACACTCATAAAACCGGCTGCTTCCTCGGCTGCAGCTTTTCTTTCACTTTCTTCTGTCGCTTCTAAAAGTTTGTTCAGCACCTGCTTGGCAGCCTCAGATTCCTTTTCGCCGATACGGATACGCTTAGGCTTTTGAAGAGCGGCCAAAGAACGACGCTTGCTACGATCAGCGGATCGGGCTGCACCAGCAGCAGTACTTGTATCACCGTAATAGGACATTTTTAACCGCCTTTCAATCTATATACGCTTCTAAAGCTCTAAGATAATCTAAGAATTTTAAAGTGGAAGAAAAGAAAAAAAGAGTGGAAAACAGTTTTTTTAGTTTTTTTTTGAGAAATGGAAATGGATGGTAATTTTCAACGATAAAGTTTCCTATCAAAGGAATAGGTGCAAGGAAACTGGGAAGCAATTAAGTTTAAACTCAATCAGATATGTTTCATGCCGACACGAATGGGGAGCCAAATCTGGCCAACCATACAACTGATTAGCTCTGTTTTGCATTAACCCCATGTTCTATGAGAAGGGCGCTATCAGAAATAGGTTTATGAGCTAATAATCACAGTGCCACCGAATTACCTTTCTTTCAGTGTCTAGTGCCTTTATTAAAGAGCTACATATTGGTCATCTAGCAAGAGGGAACGAAAAAGACATATTCATGCTAAATAGTGAGAGCCTAACACCGCTTTTTTTTTTATTGATTTCAACAAAGTTTCAAAGCTTTTTGTACGGTTTTTTCAAAAAAGATTAAAATGAAAGAGCTGGTTATTTGAGACTTTTGACAATAAAAAATTGGACTAGAATTTTTTAATTTCTGTGATGCTTGGAACTTTCAATTTATCTTTCTGTTCCGTATTGCAATTGTCAAAAAGTGCGAACTATTCTTACTCGGTAAGGTATATTTATTTGCCTTGGTCGAGTATAATGAAAACTCAAGCAGCAGTTAGCAGAACTGCAACAACGTACAGTGGTAATTTATACAAAATTACCTCACCTAAAATATATACTATATTTCTAAGCCGCCTGTTCCAATTAGCTGACAGCACCATCTTCATTCCGGCGATCTCTTTGGAAGGGTTAGATCTTTCCTGGAAAGCCATAACGGCCTTGGCAATAGTAATGATGTTCTTTGGAGCATTAACATCGCGTTGCCACAATATCTGGCAAGTTTTACACACTTTACTAAACACAAATAACGTTTAATAAATAGGATCATAGAAAATTAGACAACAAGTCATAATTCTATATATCTTGATGAGTTCTCAAATATATCTCTTGAAGAAAATACATACGGTAATGTTATTGCTAGAGATTATCGGATGTTTAAACATGTATTAGATCACTATGAATACCCTCATACCATCCAAGATGCGTAAATTTAAGCAAATAAAATCTGAATTTCAGACTTTTGAATGATTTACAAAATAATAATAATTAAAGTGTCTCAATTCGAAGCGAAAATACAGAGTAGTAAGGCTCTATATTTTGCTCTTGAGACGATATTCACTTAATCGGGCGAACGTAAATCTACACAGATTATTCTTCCCAGAATACGCGGGGCATTTCTTATGTGAATATTTTTTGGTAAGAAACAAAGAAGAACCAGACCTTGCAGTCAACATTTCCCGCTGAGATTGTAAGTTACGTTATAAATACGTACAATTTCGTCGGTTCATCCAATAGAGATTTATAGCACAGCTAATGCATTCCGCGATAGCTACAGTGCATCTGTTGACGAAGTGAGTACAAAAGATATGGCAAACTTCACCTCCGTCTTCCCTTGGTATCAAAAACCATCACTCATTTCAAATAGCCTATAAGATTTGGTTATAGATAGTAAAATTACACATATGGTTTTTGCTATAAATTAATGCTTGCTCAGAAAGTTATGTGTAGTATAGGAAAAGTTTAAATAGTTAGTTTTTCAAAAAAAAGCGCGGCTCGGAGAGTCCTTTACCATATCTTCCATTCGCATTTCGTTAACAGACATACATGGTATGAGAGGATGAAAAGATGGATCAATGGTGGATGAAAAGCGCTATAGCGAGAGTTAATTTTTTATTAAAGTAAAGATGGAAGATTGGTGAAAAGCTGATTTTTAGCGGGCACGGAAAACGCAAGCGACCAAATTTCGTGAACTATTACCATTCGGGCTTTCTCCAGGTTGTCTCAATGACTACAAATATCTGATCTGACGAGATTACCGTTATCATGAAGCTTATCAGAAATTTACAAGTTTGTTTATAAGGAAAGACTAAAACTAACAAAAAAAAGGAGGGGGGGGGGTGGAAAGAGGGTATGTAAGCACAAAATTTTGAGTCTGTCAAAGACTATATGGATATAGTATGCGAAATGGTTAAAAAAAGGTGTACAAAAATTTGATCTATAATCTACAGGAATAGGGTGCTGCAAAACCATAAGGCTTACTTAGCGCTGAGATGAAGATCTTTAAAGTAGGTGTATTGTTTTTTAGGAGTCTTCCAAGAGCTATCAGAACCACCAAAGAAGGTATGGAATACTATAGATAAACATTTAAGTAATAAATAAGGGCTTCATTAGACTAACTATTTTCAATTTTTATCAGGAACTATTAATGAAAACACTTACAGATACCAGCAACACGGCCAGCCTTATTTTCACGGAAAATAAGCTTTTCGACAGTGATAGCTTTTTTACCATTCACTTGTAGTTCGATTTTACCGTCCTGCTTGCCTGCGTTGTTTAAGGTGATTGTTTGACGAACCGTATTCCATTGACCGGTTTCAAATTTGAACTCGCCTCGGCCCAGGCTATAGCCATAGTCGTCGTTACAAATGTTGTTGTCTTCGTCACAAATATCCTTACGTTGATTGTGCGGTAAGTAGGCATAGATTTCACCATTACCGTCTTTGCGCCACATAATTCTACGTAGAACATGAAATGATTTAGTAACCATAAATGCAATGATGAGTATGAATTATCATTTTGTGTTTTACCTAGTAGTAAAGCAGGAGTCTGATTCTTCACCGCCTGTACAATCACCATGACCGCCATAAAGACCAGGGAGCTTACCACCTTTGGTATTGACGGAATAACATGAAAGAAAAGGTTATCTTCCTACGTACTACTTTTCTCGCTCCCGATCATGATTCATTTTGGTATTACCTTGAATAAATTTGAAGCCTTTAGGAAAGTATACACTATATTGAAAGTCCACAGTCTTTACATTTTCATTGATTTCAATGGGTTGAGCTCTGAAACCAATACCACCTCTGGGACGAGTATCAGGATTTCTGGAGCCGGCAGGGTAAGTAACACGAAGAACAAGATCATCCTTACCAGCAGGATCTTTGACAGCGACATTCTTCAACTTTTCGGCACCATTCCAAAACCAAGCCCAACCGCTTTGAGACGGGATACCCCACGCTTTATCCCAAGAGCTTCCTCTACCAACAGTTACTTCTTTACCGTAATGGTTCCAGTTGTTAAAATTCCAGGAACTTGACTTTGCATCGATACTTGCAATCAGATATAAAACAGTGATAAGGAATATAAAGGAATAACGGAAATTGCCCATTATATTAGTGAAATCAATATTAAGAAAAAAATCCGAAGCGTTTTGTAGACAAAAGCAAGAAATAATTTTGTTCGAGCGCGATACAAGTGGAAAGTTGATACCTTTTTATATCACTTCTTCTTCTTCTACACTTAGTTGATACCAACATCCCGTTATAGGTGGTTGTTCATTTTTGGAAATAATCAACAAGCAAGAACTCCGTTAACAATACGTTGCACTAATGCTGTTAGTGGCGGGTGACCTCGTTCAGGACACTTTTTCTGTTAACAAGAAAACCAGAGACATATTGAATAGTTTCGGTTTAATTATGCTACATGTGAATTATAGTACATTCTTTTACAAAATTCTTTATTCAGGTTGAATGTAATAAGTAACGACAATACTCAAAGGACACTTCATTTAAAGACATAAATTTTTGCTAATTATCCAAATCGAAGGATCTGTGGCACAAGCTCATTTGTGCACTCGTACCTAGCGTACAAAGTCATTTTGTAACCAATGCAAATGTTAATTCACTTTAGTGTTTGAAAATACGATACGTTTAAACAAAAGACTTTATTACATAATATTAATTTTTTAAAGCCCAATGGACACGAGATATTAAACTTTCTCTAAATTGCCCGGGGCAGCTCCAAAGGCTGGGTAGAATCTAAAAACCCCTTAGGGCTCAAGGGTTGGCGGAGGGGAAGAGGGTAACCTTTAGTACATTACAAATCAATCCGCTCTAGGATGGACGAGTACTTATCCACTTAAAGGGAAGACCTATTCTTTTACGGAAACCTCTGATTCACTGAGTATTTTTTGACCATAATAAATCAGTGTCAGCTATAGATCCTGATATAATCATTTCGTAGACACCAAACAGTACAAGTTTTTATAAATAGCAGTAATCTTAATTTTCTTTTCTTTTTCTTTAGTTTACTTTTAAAAGAGAAATAAAGACGGTGGTCTAATTTCGTTAAGCTTTCGTGTTTTCTTTTGTGTCATTCTTTACCTTTTATCTCATAGTTAAAACTAGCGAATACCACAGCTGCCTTGAATTAGAGTCTGTTTACAACAGTTTGGGAAATTTGTATGATACTGATCTTTCGTTGATATAAAAATTTTCCCAAAAACAATTTCGCTAGCTTGAGTGCCCTTCAAGAGTCCAAGAGTCCCAAGAGTCCAGAGTCCAAGAGTTCAAGAGTCCAAGAGTCCAAGAATCGGGCTTTCTGATTGGCTATGGGCTCTTCAATTTACTTTTGTGGTGGACTCTTGTGTGGTATTTCCATACCTCCTATAATATATAAAGACGAATTAGACACACTTTCAAGCATTTGACTCGTTATTATGATCATAGAATCATAATAACACTTGTACACGTCATCTTGTATTTCTGAAGATGCGCATATAAAATGCTGCATTATTACTGGCTGAGAAATTAAGGAACGAGGACTTTTTTTATTTTTTCTTTTTTAAATACAAACATTCAGTTTGCTGTGAACGCTCCCCTCTCTGATTTTCAGTGTATAATAAAAGGACTAAAGGAGACTCATTTCACCTTACAGTTTATATCAAAGTTATAAGTCGCGTTCACTAAACATAAAACAACTACAAATATCACATTTTTTTAAATGAAGTCTATTCAATCCAAAGTTCAAAACAACTCTGCCGATGTCAACGTTGAAATCAACATTGTCATCAGCAACCCCGGTAATGACCAACTTGGAGATTACCAACACATCGCTTCTCCTGGCGATTTGATTCGCTCGACCTCCAGCATTCAACTCGAAAAGCTATCAATTACAGATAGCGAAACTAAAAAAAGTCGGATAGTTCCAGAAGAGATGGATATCGATGACGATTCCATTTCCGTTACTTCCGCATTTGAAGAAGAGCAATCTCAGAAGATAGTTCAAGTACAAGGCGATATAGCCAAGTACGAGTTTGAACTGAGAGCTCTCGACAATAAGGCCAACCTTTTGATGGAGCTTCCACAGAGCACCGAGGATGAAGTAAAGCAATTCGCTTTCCAACTCGATGTTTTGGAGAAAAAGCAAGCTTTCTATAATAGGAAGTTTGTTGAAGCTCATGAACGTCTTAAGTGTTACAGGGAAGAAGCAAAATCCTTTAGTAGTCCTTCTGGTAAACAGGATGGACGCGCAATTAAGCCTAAAGACCTTCCAATCTTTGAAGTTAAGCCTTCAAATTATAAGGATTTCGACAATGAACTTAATCCCAACTCAATCAATGCCACCAACGATAACTATTCGTTAGAAACGTTCATTTTGAAATTTGAACGTGTTTACAAAGACAACAAAGTCAATGTGAACAAACACTGGCGCTACAACCTTGAATCCTGTCTCGAGAAGACTAAGATCGGGCGCGAATTCTACACCAGTAACATTCGAAACAAAAAATTGTCTTGGAAAGAAGTTAAACAACTGCTGAAAAACCGATTCGATATTGCTTCAAAGTGTAAAACTTTTCAATGCAATACCATGTTGCTAAACCTCAAGCAAGGGCCCAACCAATCTGTTGTTGAATATTTAGATAGATTTCAGCATCATGTTGTCGCCGCTAAGGTTAAAGTGGAAGATAATTTCCTTTTATCTACCCTCTTTATTAATTCTTTGCATCATGAGGATTTCAAACAAAGGGTTTTAGATACACTTAAAGACCATTACAAGCTTTCTCTTCCTGCTGGTTCGACTTTGTCAAGCAAATACGCAGATATTTCTGACGAGGACTACGTTCCTAGCAATTTCAGTGAATTGCATAGCATTCTTTGTAAAGCTATGTTTTCTTTGGAAAAGAGTCATGCTGAAATTGTCAAGAAAGATGACCAAAAAGACTCTTCTAACAAAAAGAGAAAATTGGATGACAATAGATCATCCAATCAACAAAACAAAAAGCCTTACAAGGGCAACAACAGCAACAACAATAACTTCAATTACAAAAAATTGAAGGATATTAGAAACAAAACCGGTTCTTTGAATAAGGACGAAATCCAGTTCCTTAGAGACAATGGTTTTTGCACCTTCTGCCGCGTGGTCAAATATTCTGTCGAGCATGGCAAGACCTGTTCTGAATGAAAAAGAATTTTAGAGGCCAAGAAGGTAAAGCCAATTGTTGCTGCAGTTAAAATCACACCTGATACTGCTGATAATGATGTTCATTTTTCTGATGCTAAATCCAAACTTTTTCATCTTAGTAAAAATGAAGAACAAGATTTTTCTGCTACTAATGATGGAAATATAGTTGAAGATGACTCATCTGATGATGAATATAATAAAGTTTTATTAGAATATGACAACCACTTGATCAATGACCAACCATCTGATGATAAACAACTTTATGGGGGATCAATGTGTACCTCGATTCCTCCCGAAGACACAAAATACAAAAACATATACCCCACAATAATAACGGATGCGGATGGGACGAAACTTGTAATTGGAACGAAAACGTTTAATGCATTAATCACTTCAAGTCTGCGTTTAGATGCATCTTTCAACCCAGAAGTCGGACCAAGCGTCAGGTTCTTTGACTTGAACGACAGTTCCAAAGCAAAAACTACCACCATCTTCGTCAAGGAATCGGCTTGGAAAGAAGCAGCTGAAATTGCTCAAAACAACAATGCAACGTCCATTGGTTCCTATGATTTTATCTACCAAATACGCCAATTGCGAACTCGCTTTCACCAGCAATCAACCTACTTTCTTTGTCGAGCAAGCAACGAGGCAGTAGATAATTTGGCAGCTAGGCCATATACCATCTATACTCTTGCAGATTGGGATAATGGCAATGACAATGCGGATTACCGTACTGCATCCAAGCTCTTCCAAACAATCGCAATCAATGTAATAGGTGGGAACCCTCGTTTAGAAAAAGACACTATATCCTCATTATGCAGCGAATTGAAGGTAGAGGGAACTGCTGTACACCATGTTTTTCAATTGATTTCTACTCAATTCTCTGATACAGCCTTCATTACCGTCATCGGCAACAAATCTTTAAACCACGAACTCCAAAAACTGGCTAATCTTTTAGCACCTGCGATTACTAGGGCAAATCAATCAGTCAAACAAGCCGTCCTTCAGGCTTACACTCGTTAAAACTGCCACCAGATCGCATACTGTCATGAACGTCATCACTAATGACACCAAGATTACTATTGACAGTTTCAGGCACAAAAAAAAGTATACCATTATTCCTTAAAGTATACCATTATTCCTTGTCTCTTTGATTCCCTTAGCTTGATCATTGAAATAACAGAATAAAAAAAACTGCAAGCTTTGTTAAAACTCCAAAATAGAACATTGTTCCAAGAGTATACTGCCTTCGTCAACAATATCATACATGGTTTTCGGTCTGCCATACTCATTGACAACAGTGCCATTACCCTCTTCATATATACTGAATACTGAAATTGTATTTTTCTTTGCATAGTTGTTATATAAGAAGAAAGCCTAGCACCAAGAAACACTTTATTCACTGTGGTACCCACCTTACTCTGTGATCGGCATGTACCAAACGTTTTTACATGGAAGACATTTATAAAAGGATGTGACCAATTGAAGTTCTGAAAAGAGACCAAAGATTTTGAGAAAAGTGACGTTTACACCGTCTACACCGCTTACACCGTCTACACCGTTTACACAGGATACACCCCAATTGAAGCTCAAAAAAAATGGCCAATTGAATTTTAAAAAATGCCCAAGTTTTTCCAAAAAGTGACCAATTGACGGCGGAGATACAATATGCATTAAAATCGAAGCATATCTCTATTTTACGAAACAATAGGTGCTCATCAGTACAAAATCAAGACGTTTCTGAAGCGGAAGCGAGTAATGTGATAAATGCTCTCAGAGCCACGCTTTATTTTTATAAATATAATAACCAATAAAATCCCTTTCTTCCTTATATCTTTCAAAGCCGCGCATCGTGGAACAAAACTATGAGTGATATCCCAAATGATGAAATCAACAACCAGGAACGAGAAACAATCCCCCTCTTCACAAGGGAAGACGTTGCTAAGATTCTCGAAGAATTTGAAAAACAAAAAGATGAACAAAGAGAAATCAGTTACAGAGGAAAGGACCTCCCAGAAAAAATCAGAGAGATTTTGGACGAGACACCAACCTCTGATCTCAAAGACGATATCAAACGTTTTAAGAAACGCATCCCCAAGTATAATCACAACGAATGGACCAGTACTCCACAAATCAACAGGGAGTTCACCAACGACCTCAAGAGGTGGAAAGTCGACTCCCACCAAGTCGTCACAGCTACTAGTAGGCATGCAGATGAAGCACGAGTCCAAGCAAGAACAGCGACGGAGATCTATGAACTTTTGGAATCTATCCAAGAGAAATGTATCTTTGCTGACGAAGGAACAAAGCAAACCTTCATGGATGCTATGTCCCAAGCAGAACGTGCAGCAGTCTTTGGATCTTCCCATGCAAGAGACTTGGATAACGAAGCAAAAGAGCTTAGTGCCAAGGCACTTAGACTACCTGCAAGTCTTAGACATTTTGAACAAGAAGAGGATGCTAGAAAACCTCACCAACTTCAAACATGGAATACTGATTTACTCGTCAACTACATAAGGAAACATTGGCTTCACAACAACTCTCTACCAATCGAGACACTCCAACAGAAAACTATTGCATTGTTATGTCCGGCAACTATGGCACGACCAAGATCGGATATGGGCCGATTACAACATAGGGATGTAAGGTTTCAGTATGGGGATGTTCAGCAATTGGAAAGTGTCACTTTACACTTCCGCGAAGCCAAAGAAACGCAAGTAAAGTCGGTTACCTTGGGTATTATCCAAGACAAATCTAAATGCCCGGTAGGCACGCTACAGGACTTTATGACGAAGACGAAGACCTTACGGGAAAATCTACCAGAAGAACATACCTTGTTCTTGGCGTATATCACCGATAATACAAAGGTTACATCTATTAGGCCATCCACTTTAGCTGCATGGATAAAAGAATTATGAGAAAAGCAGGCGTTGATCCCCAGTTCAAAGCACATTCTATTCGATCTGCCGCGAGTACCAAGACAGTAGAAAAAGGAAATGTCATTCAAGATATCAAGATACATGCAAACTGGAGTTTAAACACCAACACTTTTGAAAAATTCTATTACAAACCAACAGCCGCTGCTTCTACCAGTGCACAGATCACCAATTCAATTTTTTCTACGGAAAACCTTATCATATTAGGAGCTGAAGCGGAGGAAACTGAGATTATTGTAGGTACGATCAATAATTTAAGACACGTTCGTAATATGGAAAAATTGCCTGTATGACCTGACTTAGTGTTTGCACCGAAGTAGCTATTTTAAATAGTCAAGAATGTATATAATCGTCTTATCCACATTTGATAACGTTGTTCGAAATATGTATATTTGTCTCTGTTGAGCGTGTATGTGTTATGTAGATCTTGTGTAATTTGTGCAGTAAATAACAACAAAAATTTTTACCGTGGATTATTGCGGCATGGTATGTAATCAAGAAAGAATCATTAACAACAACATTTGTCAAAAATTTCAAGGTAATTTTGAAGGTTCGTCATTTTATAGAGCTGTCCACCAGCCATTAACCATTCGACACTAAAATTACTGCGCTTGATAAATATGAAATTGTAAAAACGTTCTCGAATCGGGTCTCGTAAAGTATGCAATCTAACAGAAATAGCGTGTAGTGCTAGCTACGATCGTTTGCTCTTTAGTGAATAACAATATGTCATTAATATTTACTCCACAACACGAGTAAGTATAGGATGTACTTGAAGTAATCCAAGCAAAAAAATAAAATAAAAAATAAATAAATAAGATACTGATTCTTCCAGAACATTAGGCTTTCTTATCAAACAAAACATCGGATTGCACTTATGAGCCAGTAGCTGAACTCTGAGATACCATGTGAAGAAGTATAACATTCTTTTCCAAATTTTTTGTTCATTCGCCAGTACAGGTTGAAACTTAATTAGCAAGAAGAACACCTATTATCAAAGTCTGGTATGTTTGACCTTTTCTAAAAGTCCGTCAGAGCGAACGGTGAAATGAATTTTACTTTTTCGGTCGTTTAAAGCGTCTAAACGCACACCTTTTTTTTTATTATAAAATCATACAACACTGTGAGTCGTTTGTGGGTCAATAAGGATTCACAATTACGGCTTATAGGTAATCATCACGTTCTCATTTCGCTAATCATAATAAAAGACATTGTTTAAAGGATTCACAATTAAGGCTTGTAGCAATTGCGTCCAGAGAGACATTAGCTTGACTTCTCGTGTATTGAACGATCAAAACTCTCCAATATTCAAATTCAGTCAAATTCTTTAATCCCCGTATCAACGGCCAATACAGTATTTTACCTTATATTTTAGACGATTTACAATTTTTAATGGACAATATACATTTTAATTTTAGATTTAGTAAAAAATATTTTTAGAAAAGTCCATAGTATTTGGATATTTGGATGCTCAATTATTCAGTGATATTCAAGCAGCATTAAGGATGACATACAATCGAACCCTAGAAATTAGTCTCTATCAGTAAGAAAGTCGCCAATAATGGTTTTATTGATGTTATCTTGCAATAGGACAAACTACAAAAAGCTTGACAACTTTTTTACTAAATGACGATGTGTTCCGAGACCAACAAGATATTCGTTGGTGCCTTTTTTGGACAAGAATTCCAAAAAAAGTTAACTTTGAATTGATTGACATCAAACCATTGATAGAGGGCTGATGGTCATAGTATAACAGATACCATAGCGGAATGGGATGGTTATATTAACTGTTGTCAATGTTTTTGTATGCGTTCATGGGTGACTTTCAAAGATAAGCACTATAAAATATATTGCTCTCTTAGAGTCAAATGTTGTCTCTTTCACTTTTATTTCACGTTTTTAAGATACATACTATGACCCATGTTCAAAACAATAATTTATGAAAAGAAAAAGCAAATTTTTGAAAAGAAAAAATCAAGTGCTGTTAATGGTAACTTGCCTTTTGAAAGCCTATATACCTGATCATATATATACGTAGAGATTAATCATCGTGTACTGTTAGATGTAACGTGTATTGATTGCGGTAAAGGGGGTCATTACACCCAACAATACTTTAAATGTCAATTGTATGAGACAGAAACTGCAGATCAAGGTAAGCACCTCATGTGGCTTCAAAAGTTGGTAAATTCATCGTTAGTAAGCGACCTCATTGTACCTATAGTTGGTTCGATAGGCAGAAAACGCAAACAGAACTTTGAAATCAAGAAGGAAAAGAAGAAAGCAAGGAAAGAGAATAATGAAGAACCGGATAAAGACAATACCTGTTGTACCAAATGCAAGCAACCAGGACATAAATCGGTGCGTTCTCCTCTGTGTCCTCAACATGTATTATCAAAGGCAGAGGTCTTTCAACATCATTTGGGAAGTAATTACAAGGCGTTTACAAGAAGGTTGCCTCTTGATAACTGCGTTTTTGGTGACTATCGCAACACATTCAAGTCAAAAGCTGTTGAAGCTTGTTCTGTTATTCGCAACTTGGTTCTTAGAGCGAAGCTCTTTGTGAATTATTACGTCTTGGAAAATGCAGCTCTTGCTGAGCCAAAGTGTATTAAATGTATCTTTACACAAAATTTCTGGTACTCTATGATACAGCTAGTGAATGGACAAAGACCAACAAATAGTAGGCTGATATCACAACAATTACTGAGCTCGTTTGATTCTTTTAAAACGACTTACCCTAAGATTGTCTTCCCTGTCAAGCTCTTTCCTGGACTTAGTCAAGCCATTACAGAAGCATGCACCGAAATTGCTACTTCCTATACGAACAGTATAGTGGAAAATTTTGAGGAGAAACTTCTCTATTTTTTGATATATAAAATACAAACGGCATTTGTGGTAAGTTGCAACTCAATATTACTTGGGGTCTTACATGAATTTTAAAAAAAGCTCTCATCTTGCGTAGTGTATGCCTTGGAAGCTTGTCAAAAAGGTCACAAGTGATTTCTGCTATCAAGAGATATGCCAAGGAAAACCTAAATGGCCAACTGATGACTACCTTACCAAAGATATAAAAGCAAAGATCCAAACCTTTTGTGAACCTTGGAAGAAGAAGCTGGGGAAGAAAGTGAACATGAAGACATTATCTGCTGATCCTGGGTCTTTCGTACCCTTTTTGTTATCTTTGAACGCAGAATTTGAGAGCGAACACGATGATCATAAACCATTTGACGTACGACGACGTCCTCTTCCAAAATTGCTATCCTTACTGCCAAAGGTTTCCGTTCAATGGAGGTTCATTACCTTGAGCGTGAACGCTCTGTCTTCTTTTGTGAAACGTTCTTTACCCCGCAATTACCAAAGCCAATTAGAGCTGTTTTTCCATGTCTTTGATTTCAAGAAACTCAGGTACAAAAGGTAAGCATACAGTTAATACGGTATGCAGTCGAGTATAATGTATGAGGTTTAACTTCTTGGGCACATGTAGTATCTCTGAACTTACACCGAATGGTGATAACAAAGAGCTCTTTGGTAATATTGTCAGAACGGATGGGTTTTCAGTTGACTTTCTTTTTTATAAAAGACAACAATCTGGCCATGGTGCCTCGTTCCAAAAATTTGACCTCACTCTTGATGATTTCTCTCTGGATGAAGTTGACAATACTTATTTACCTATTACCCTGGATCCCGGAAGAAAGTCTGTTTTTACTGCTGCTATTGGCCTTGAATATAACAGACAAGTGCGAAGATGCACTACATCCGAATACTATCATATGGCAGGGTCAACGAAATATTGTAAGAAATTGAACAGTATAAAAGCTGTTACAGGAATAGATCTAGTAGAAAGTCAAATCCCCTCGTCAAAGACCTCTCGTCTAGGAGTATATGAGGCGTTCACCAGTTATATGCTCAATAACTTAGACGCTCTCTTTAGTTTTTATGGACATGAAACAGCAAAGGACCGGTTTACGTTGTACCAAGGAAGGCAAAGAGCACCCGAAACTATGGCCAACATGTTGACTCATGGAACGGCCAAGTACAATCGCAAAAAGAGAAGCAAGGCAAGGAAGAGGAAAAAACAGCAGAAGAAGAAGAAGAAGAAAGGAAAGAATGTTGACAAACAGCCGCCAATCAAGTGAGTATCAATGAATTACATGTTCATCGTTTAGCTTACGCGCTGATTGATAATTTTTAGAAGTGACAAGAAGTGGAAGGCTGATAAGTACTCAGGATTCCCTAGAAGGGTACCATTGATTGTCTTTGGTGCTGGAATGTTTGGAAAAGATGTAGTAAAATTGAAAGGGCAAAGATGTGGTGTTGTCGGTAAACTTTTTGCAACTCTGAAGAAACGTGAAGCTGAAGGTCAATTGATTGTTGTCACAATCGATGAATTCAAAACCTCTAAAACATGCAGCCTCTGTTTCTATGATGATATGCAAATTGTTAATACCCCTGGATTCAAGGGTACCGGCGTTCTTCATTGCAAGCAATGTCTAAAGCTATGGCAGAGAGACATTAACGCCGCTATCAACATGATGACTATATCCCAAGCAGTTTGGTCTGGAGCGGGAAGACCCGACATTTTCAAGCCAGCGAAGAAGAAGAAATAATCGCCGTAATAAACACGGTTTTCCTTGTATTTCAAGGATTTAGATCATTACAGGTGAGGAATAGTACGGTTTTTTTTTTCTTTTTTTTTTTTTTTGTTTCGCACTGCTAACAAGTTTTTGGAATTTGAATCATTGTTTAAACGGTTTATATTTTGGTCTACAACACAATTGCAACTCATCTAAAATGAAAATATTAATCGTCCAAAAAAAAATGTATTTCATCTAAAATATTAGTTAAAATACTGTAAGTTTAAAAATCTCTGATAAAACGATACATCCTTATATGGCAAAATGTCTGGAGTTTTGAAAATGTAAGGTTAACACATGTGAGTATTGAATATTGGCTCATTAATACATGATATCTCTAAACAATTTTAATACATTCTATAGCCCTATATCTGTGTCTGTACACTGGTTATTGCAGAAGATTATATTTACTAAATTAACCATAAACAAACTCTTCGTATTTGAAACGTGTCGTGCGCTATTAACCATGGAAATAGTCAATTGATTTACTCATTATCATCGTCTTACACACACGCACTTCAAAGGATCTTGATTGCAGATCACCAGTCTTTCTTTAACCCATCTCTTTTTTTCTAAAGAAAAAGAAAGCAGAATCTAAGACTCTTTCCATTCTCAGAAAATGTTGTACCCTTCTTCGCATTAATGGCATATTATTATAATTGAATAGATCGCTGTAAATAGATTATTGTTAATGAGCGCTAAAAAGGTATATTATTTACATAAAACGAACAATTTGATGCATAAGAGACTTTAGATAACTATGTATAGTAGCATTAGTCTATTGTTTGTAATCTTCAGGTAAGAAAGTAGTCTGAACGATGACTTCAGTGACTCTGTAAGGATCAATATTAGAAGCAGGGCGTCGATCTTCAAAGTAGCCCTTGCCTTCTATACCGACATGGCGAGGAATACGAATAGAAGCTCCACGATTAGCTACACCATAACTGAACTGGTCAATACGTCCTGTTTCGTGTCTGCCTGTTAAACGCTGATCATTATCCTCGCCGTAAACCGCAATATGCTCTGAGTGGCGCAAACTGAGTTTTTTAATTGCCCTTTCAATAGCTAGAAGACCACCCTTTTGACGCATTTCCTCAGTAGAGAAATTAGTATGGCAACCAGCGCCGTTCCAGTCACCTTTGATGGGTTTGGGATGAATAGATACAACAATTCCAAAGTCTTCTGACACGCGTTCAAGAATATACCGAGCAATCCATAAATGATCCCCCATATCAATACCTTCACAAGGGCCAACCTGGTATTCAAATTGCCCAGGAGCTACTTCAGCATTGACGCCCGAGATATTGACACCGGCATACAAGCAAGCACGATAGTGTGCCTCAACAATATCACGACCAAAAATTTTACCAGCACCCACAGCACAATAATATTTACCCTACAGCGTAAGTGGAGTTTAACAACAAATATTTTCAAAATTTTAAGCCTATGATATTGTTGATGGTTGCTCTAAATAAATTCTCACAATTTACCTGCGGTTCAGGGAAGCCATGCTTAGGCCAACCGTAAGGCTTGTTGGTTTCGGGATCAAACAGCATATATTCTTGTTCAATACCAAACCATGGTTTAGCATCGGCGTGAAGGTCCATAATCTTTTTACAAGAATGGCGATAATTAGTGGCATGAGGAGTACCATCATTGTTGAAAGTTTCACACAGAACAAGTTTGTTGTTTCCTCCACGAAATGGATCAGCAAAGAGAGAGACAGGTTGGATTAAGACATCAGAGTCATGGCCTTCTGCCTGTCCAGTTGAGGAACCATCGAAATTCCATTCAGGTAACTCGCTGGCGCATTTAGGAACAAAATCAATAGTACGAGTTTTGCTTCTCAAGCCGTTATTTGCATCAATCCATACATACTCGACTTGAACTTTATTGCCTTGATTCAAGGACAGATATTTTTGAAGGAGTTCGGGGTTAGACAATACAGCCATACTTGCTTTATATTTGAGATAAAAAAAAATCAGTATAGCTAAATTTAAGAATAGTGAAAAGTGTAAAATACAAGAAAGAGAAGAAGGATGTAGATTTATATACGACTGTAACTAGAAACATGGTTCACAACAGATTCATATGCATTGTTGAAATTGTTTATTACAATAGTTGATTAGATCCAACGCGAGCTATATTTGGAAGGCAACTTATCATACAAGCCATATTCCTCCTATCTCTACGAATCCTGACCAATCTTATAGCAGCCCTGTGTCCTTTCTCAACGGAATACCAATACCAACAGCTTCTTATATTTAGACTAGGATGGTTATCATTTCTATCATTTTTTCCTTTTTTTGAGCAAGTGTATGATTTCCATCATTTCCTTTCTATTCTCCATCAAACCTCATTTAAAGGATTATTGATAAACAGCTGCCATCATTTCCACATTTTCTGACTGCTAACTGCAAAAAGCTGTGGCAAGGCATTGTGTGACGAAAACTAACGGACAATCTTATCTATCGTTATCTTCAAAGACTTTACTTTAATGGCAAAATTCCAACACCCCTCAACAGAAAAATCATGTGAATGGCATACTATTCATGCCGAATGCATATGTTTCTTTGAAAACAAAGGAGTTCTGAATATTACCGAGGATTTATTCCGTGGAACATGTAGCTATGGAAAAAGGGCGTAATATTCACAATTTTAAATATTTAGTTTCTGATAAGTTTACTTCGCATAATCCTTTTGCATGTTTGCTTTTATACTTCGTAGTGTCTATCAACGGGGATTAATATTCAGACGCTTGAACATAACAAAAATGACAAATATTTGTCGCATAACCTCCTATTCTAGGATATGAGTCCAAAAATCAGGTATCATACAAAAATATAGATCAATAGCAGATCTAAAGCGACGCCTGTACATTCTTGGGGAGACTATAGTGGGGTCTTTTCTTCCACCTCCAAGCATGCCAGATTCTTTGACCCAGCTCTCTAGCTTTTTATCCCATGTGAACGTACGAATGAAATCTATGTAGTAAGGTATTTGATTAGACTCTTCGTCTATCTATATCAAATCATGCTAATTTTTCTTACCGACTATGCCAACAATAATTTCGTCTTTCTCTTCATTAAAACCAACAAGAAGAGAATAATCCATTACATCCAGCGACATAAGAAATTGGGTATCATTGTACAATGAATCCGAAAGATTGCATTTCGTGTCTACGCGCATGTATAACGGGGTTTTACTGATGACTTTAAATTGCAGTTGATAATCAGGAATATTAGTAACAATCACAAGACATGCTATTTCAATATGTATTGAACTCTTACTTTCCACCAAGTTCTCGTCTAGAAAGACCTCTACATCTCTTCCTGTCTTTTCTGCATATCGATTTCTCATTGACCCTTTGAGATCAAATACCTTGAGTTTTGCTGTTAGTTTTAAACAGTAAATTGAAAAATTAAATATGCTTGAAGAAAGATTACCTGCTTCACGGATTTATCATAGAATAGATTTTCCATAACCAAGATATCCATCTTAAGAGATTTGCCTGTAACATTATTATAGAAGCCTATACGGTAAAGGCCAAAAATTTTACACAGTACTGTTGGTATCTAAGCACAACAAATCAGTCAATGTTGATAAATGATCTCAGAATGTACGAGCTTACTTTCCTTACCCCTTTATCAAATACTTCATTAAACATATATAGAAAGTATTTGTTTGCAGAACCCAGGAAGGCATCCATTTCATATTTTGAAATCTGTTTTATAAGGAAACGCTCATCTGCGCGAAGACAATGCCAGATTTTTTCCATAATTATTAGCGTCAACTGGTAGCTTGATTTCAGAATATATAGCATTTCTCACCTTTTGTTTTCAAAAAAATGGATCCTGATTTACCACCAGCCGTATCCCATGGTGTACACCGGGCTAGAGATGATATGAATATCTCATCACAGCCACAGCTTTTGCGAAGCATGTCAAATTGTTCAGCAAAGTATATCTTGCACGAGAAATCAGTTGAGCCACCCTGAAAGACTACAATTCAATAAATTGAGCATGACGAGAGTATTTTTTTTTTTTTTTTTTTTTTTTTTTTTTTTGCAGAATGCACACATACCAAAATGCCATGGTTTCTCTTTTTCGTCAGATTCAGGAAACATTTCAAGGTAAAAGGATTTTCCTTCGGATGGTAGCTCACTTAGTTGCTCTTTTGTTGTATCAAACATATCTAAAGAAGCTGCTTTTGACATACGCATTTCTTGATTTGCACGTAGCTTTCCATTGTAGAAAGCGCTCCCAAGCATGTAAGAAATGATGCTACTTGGTTCATCTTCCCTGACTACTATATTGGAGTCCGGGAATATATGCTCGCCAGAAGTACTAAATTGATAGGTGTTAGCCAATATATTACATACACACTTTACCATTCGACTTACAATGGATACTCCAAAGGTGCAAAGTTAGTGATACTTTTTTCAGCAAGGACGTAGGTAATCGCCCTCATAATTGAATTTCTTCCTGTACTTTGAGTTGACAAATCTAAAGTATAGCAATTTATTACACGCTAATTTTAAAGGGAGGAATTGCTTCAACTGCTTACCTAGAACTGTATTGGAGTTTTGCAATTTGACTGTTGTATCCAATATAGCATCATCTGCTTTGCTTGTTCTAAGCTCATCAGTTTTTCCACCTTTTTCAAGCAATGTTACTCCTGATTCAATGCTAAGGAATGGTAGGGTATTTGTTGTCATTTGTAATTGATGCTCCTTGTGGAATTCTTTAAGCTCATCGATGGTTGGAACGACATCACGCCCTAGCGACTCATCATATTCATCGGTATAAAATAAAGAGAACGTGTTGTGCTTAAAAGGAAGCAAATTTTGATCTTCCTCATCAGAAACCAAGTCTGTCAAGCTATCCTGCTGGCATAACGTTTCTTGCTGCATCAGCATTACAGCCTCATCATCCTCGTCAGATGAATATGAAAGGGAAGATGAAGAGCTCTTATCGTCGTTTTCGTCATCAAAATGATCAATCATCATCATTTTTCTTTTTGAAGAAGCTCTGAATTGGCCTTTTCCATATAGTCTTTGACGCAATGTCTGTGCAGAATTATTTAGTGCTGCATTGGAAAATCTATGTTGGTGATGCATTGCAGTCGGAACAGGTAATTGAGAACTATATTTACTACGCTTGGTTTCATTACTACTATTATTAGTTTTGTTCAACAATGTTGCTGTACGATCGCTTAATTGTGTATTGAGTACAGGAATTCGACCACCAATCCTACAGTTGCTAGTGTTAGTTGATGTAGAAGATGAAGCATAAAACGGACTAGTTGAGGAGTTACTTCCATCGATAATAGCCATTGTTCGCGATCGAGGGCGTGAAATAGTTGGAATTTGTTTTACTTCCTGAGTATTATCTGTGAAAGTTGCAGTTGTTTCTAAATTATTGGAGGAGGAATTCGCTGCTGCAAACGCACTCAGAGGATGTGTAATTCCAACCATTCCTAATCCCCTTTCTCTATTAAAATGCATATTTCCGGTAAATCCGCCCATGAATCCATATCTATAAGCAATTGGGGGCCTATTATTCTGTTGGATAGTTGCATACGGTGAGCCACGGTAAGATTTTAATGGCGGTGGATGAGTTACTGGCTGTACGGTCAGTTGGGTTGAATTATTATATGGTTGAAGCTGGGATCGCTGAAAACCGAATTGGCTAGTCTTATTCGGTGCTAGCGTTTTGTTCGTGTCGGTTTTGTATTGTACTTCTACATTTCCTAACTTACGAGGTGCAGGTGAGCTCCTAGATTTGATAAAGTCTGCTTCGGGCAATATGCCACTGAACTTTTTGTAGGCAGGATGTGAAAATATAGGAAGGGCAGAAGTACGTTTTACGATTACTGATTTGTTCTTGTCGGTCACAACATCAGTATCTTTTTTTTGTACGTCCTCCATAGTATAAAATGCCGTTTGAGAAGTGGAGACTTCTTTTGACGGTACGTTTTGGGCCAGTTTATCCGCTTCGTACGCGTTTTTTTCGCTAGTTGGCTGTTTGTTTTCTTTTTCTTCCTCTGGTAATTTTTGCCCTCTTTTCTTGACTATCGATTTATCTATCATTAATTCCAGAGATAAGCGACGCGCTACGCTTGGATCCAAATCACGAGTTGATTCGTTATCATCAGTTGCTTCCGTCGATGTCAATTTCTGTGAATCGGAAGATTCTTTCAATGCAACCGACTGTTCAGTCGGGTTTGTATCCGATAAGCCCTTACTTAATATAGTGCTATTTTTACAATTACGTTCCTGGCTCTTTTCTTCTCCTTCTTGAAGAAACATTTGATCGAAACGTTTCAATTCATCATGCCATGGGTATGACTCAGTTGGTGACTCTCCAAGCATAGGCTTTTCGCTCAAATCGGTAACAGCGTCCGGTAAATATGCTTCCTGTGCTAGGAGACGGCTTTTCATAACATCAAAGCTCATTGCAGATTCCTGTTCCGTATCCATAGTAACATCTAATAAAGGAAGGTCCAGTGCTTCGATGGCTCGCTTTGTTCTCAAATCCAGATTGGAAACCGCTGGAAGATTATTACGATTATTGTAGAGAGTCTCTGCTGGAAACATTTTCCGTAAGTGATTTGTCGTAAGTCTTTTCAATTCTCTTTCAGGTCTAACAAATCGTCTTGCAAAGTCCACATATTTTAAGTCCCAAGTAACCACGTAATTTTGTAAATCCACCAATACATTATTAATCTGTAAGGTGTCTGTGGCAGCACTTGTCGCGTATTCCATTTGCACCTTTTGTAATAATTGTTTCTTGTTCTTCATTGCTTCTTGTGAAAGGTCTTGCACATATTCTTTACAAAGATCAATCATGTTTGGGTGAACTATGTCATAGGAGATCGCTTTGTTACGTTCAATAATGGAATCAAAAAAGCGAGAAATTTTGGCACGTGTCGATTCAAGTACTGCATCTTTCAAAGCTCTCTGTTGTTTTGAACTAAAGCGAAGGTGAAGTGGAGGAGGATATACTTCAAGGACTTTCACCATTGAGTGCGTAAAGTTGACAGATAAGTTTTGAATCCTGAATGAAATAGTGTGATCACGGTAAAAGCCATGAGGACAACCTTTTTCAGCATTTTCATGTTGCTTTTCTCCATCCTGCTGCTTGTTACCAGAGTATGTATTATCGGAAAGTGGAATAGGCTCTGTTTGGTAAAAAAGTAATTCCAGAAACTTGCCAAAAGAATATCTTTGCAACATATCAGACATGGGATGCCAGGAATGAGATCTATTGCATTTATTACAGTGTGTTGAAATGAATATAGGAATTTTTCGCAAGTATTCATCACGGCTAATATCAATCTTTTCTTCGACGAAGTTATCCTCTGCATTTTCATCTTCCAAATAGAATACTTGCACTTTGACCTGGGCGTTTCCATGAGCATATGTTCGATCATGAAAAATTAACGGGCCTCCGCACATTTTAGAGCTACAAATTGTATAAGCCTCTTTAACAGCGTTTAGAATATACTGACCGAGTGTGCAATCACAGAGTGGGTTATAAAACTCGAAAGGCTCCAGAACAGCTTTCTGGCATGGGATAGTATGGTCATCCATTGGAGTTGTCGTACGACGGACAATAATCTGCTGGTGATAAATGGGAGACATATATTCATGCATTCCACCAATATATTTTTTATACAATAACCAACAGCGGAGATGAAGGTCTTGATAATGTCTGTATTCCAAATCATGCTCCAAATAAGCATCAAAAGATTTGAAGTAGCTAGGCATTTCCATCAGATCAGTCGGTATGGGAGGTATTTGTATTTTGTTCGCAGATTGTTTTTCGTCATCAGCGCTGTCTGTTTGCTGCGTCGAAGCTGTTAGAGCTGTAGTGCCTGCAAGTGATTGGTTTGTTAACTCGTGACCTAAACGCTCACGAATCAATCCTATGAGTTTCTGCTGAGATTCACGTAGTTTAAGCAAAATGTGAGGCACTGGAAGTGATACACCCGGTGAAATGCTCATAGTAGTGCTTTGATATTTTTTCAATACATTATTTACAGCTGTTAAACATATATCATCATCTTCAACAATAATTGTTGAATGCTGGCGCTTATTCAATACTCGCGAGTGCTTTGCCGTAGATATATCTGCTGTGCTTACTGTAATCTGCGATTCAGCAACTGACAATGCAGACACGCTTTGTGTCTCAATCTGAATTGCTGTTTCTGAGGCTGCCCTGTCATAAGCAGCTTCACTAACGGATTGTATACCTAAAGGTTGCTCTCTTTGGATTGTCAAGCTCTGGTCGTTATCAATAGAATTATTTTCTGGTAAATTCGGATCGCTCTGATCGTATTCAGTTTGCACTTCTTGCCGTGCGCAATATTCATCAGGCTGATACCATTGTCGTAGTTCTATAAAAGTAGCTCTCAGCTGCGCCTCTAAATTAATGTTATTGACCACTGTAATCATGAAATTCATAATGAACTTCACTATACTTAGAGTTTTTAAGTCTCCTCCTCGAAGAATGATCGTAGCTCCACGGTCTTTGGGGCACTCGTGAAACATCAGAAAGGTTTTTCGTCTATTGGGCAGATACTCATGCATCACAGTCATTGTTTCAAATGATCCACATTTCGTTGGCAGCATCGTTTTTGCATTCCATAACTCATTTTTATAGTTGAATACGGTGGCGTCAGTGCAGCGGGCAATTGCATCTAACTTTTGCTTCTTTATATTATAAGCAATGACAATCTTCGCCTTGTTTAAACTATCAATAATTGTTCGAGGTACATTAGCAGCCACCAACACAATATGAGGCCGCAGGCTTATGATTTCAGATATAAGCGCATTCATATGATCTCTTTCCCAGGCCAAGAGTCTATCGAATTTCAAATATTCTTGTCGCGGTAAGCCATCAGCCGTTGGTAAGCTCGATCCACTGGAAGTTGCAAACCCATCCAAATCAAAGTTCAATATCAGAATCGAAGGGTTCTTTATTTTTCGCACCATATCTTTATGAGCAACACTTTTCGATAAAACTATGCCACTTAAAGAGAAACAATCGTTTGGTTGACCGCCAGGTATCTTCTTCACTTTTATATAATGGTTCATATTGAATGTATCACGAATGCGTAGTTGAGGCTGAACTTCATCGATTACGTTCAAAAGTAAGCGCAATATAACGTCCCCCCATTCGGCATGAGGTAAGCCTCCTTCAGTCAAAAGGTGCGAAACAATATTGCGCAATAACGAGGTAAAAGAAGGGTCCCACTTCTGATGAGTGATCACCTTATTGAAAGGATGATGGTTTTGATTACTTGAAGGTATTGATGCATGCTGACTCTTCGACTGCTGTCCGAAAGAAGTATATTCTGGAGACGAAATGTTGTTATTGTGCAGCGCATTAATTGTTGCTGGTAGCTGTTGGTACTGCTGGTGAAAAGAGTTCCGGTTCCCTATCGCAACCGCCGTCAAACCGCTTTTGCCACTATTGCTTCCTGTGCTTTCGTAGCCTCCTCCATTACTGCTATCGTCGCTCTGATCTGCTGTCATATTTACTGCCGTAAACGGCGTGTTGCGCATCAGGCTTCGTGTACGCATTCGCATATGTCTCACAGTTGGTACGATAGGGCTTGTATTACTACTGAAAGTAACTGTATTCAATGAACTATTATTATTCATTGTGTAAGAGCTACTGCTAGCTCCATTTTCTGTCCAGCTTAGACGTCTCTTAAGAATAAAACTGGTGGATCTTTCCGGACGTAAAACCCAAGAGGAGCGTTTACTGGTATTATGAAGACTATTGGTGCTCATACTTAATGCTGTCATCGTCGAGGTTACAGCATTAGGGGATAATTCGGTGTTGTCATTGTTATGGTTGCTGATACTATTATTAAAGTCATCAAAGAATAAATTACTGAATAAGCCAGAATTAGGCCTTTCATTATTATTGCTACTATTATGGGTTCCACCTCCGAGAAAACTGAGTAGGTTCCTAGGGTTTTTATCCCATCGTCGTAGATCATCATCCTCACTATTTTCGTATATCTCATTTTGTTGTTGATGCTGCTGCATACGCCCTCCTCCACTTGCCATCGCAGCTCCGTATAAGATACCTTGCATGCTACTACCACTATGGTGCGGTTCATGATGGACCATAGATGGTGAACTGATGGGGTTACCGTTGCTCGGGATGAATGAGCTTCGTCTAAATGGCATAGGTGAGTTAAGCTGTTGCTGCCGTGTTCCTTCCAAGGTTGCTAAACTGGTATCTACTCCCAATGAGTTCATTGTGCTTGTCCGCGATCTAGGAGTGTTAGTCCTTAAAAATGAATTTGTTAGAAGTTTTTTAATCCCTAAATCTGACTCGACGCCTATCATTGCGTTGGAATGTATCATTTGACCGTCTAAAGTCGCAGGGCGTTGTAAGTCAAGGCTTATTCTTGGTCTTTCAACAAATTCCTCAATTTCATCTTCGCTACTTTCATTATCACCACTTCCTGGTATCAGCAATGGCTTTTGCTGGTGTTGCTGATGCTGTTTAGCTTGTTGCAGCGATGACGATAAGCTGGCATCCACGACAACAGTTGAGTAAGAATAACCATCATGAAGTGAAATAGTGTCTTCAGCTCTGTACCCTTCTACAAATTTAATATAACAATCATTGCATACTCTGAGAGGCTGATTTGTTTGGATGCTGTTGCTTAAGCATTTTGAGCAAAATATTCTACCTAATGCATGGAGTTGGTTTGCCGTCAATACTGCAACACGACGATGAATCCATCAGACAAAAAATGGTTGCTTGCTTACCGCATGTTCGGCAATGATGTCTGCGTCTAAACAAATTGAAAGGCAGTCTACAGTCATTGCATTCTTTGCACTGTTCATCCGGCATCCAAAATTCCTTATTTGTATTGTCAAATGATTTTCTACCTCCTCGCAGTCTGTTCAATAGTCGATTTAAAGAGTTAGTATTTGACACAGAGAAAGTTGTCATTATGGATTGGTTATCGCTATCTATAGAAGTCGTTTTTCTTAAAGGTACCATTAACGATATGGTATTTGCCGGAGTGTTTACAGTTGCTGTATGCGCTGCTGGTATACTATTTTTTGGATGCTGTTGTTTTCGAGAATTTGCCGGCAAAGGCTTCTCTTTAATGCTGCCAACATTATTGCTTTGATAAGTGTTGCTTGTAATACCTTGGCTGAATGAAATTTTTGATTGCTGTAGTTTCTGCTCCTCCTGAGTTTCATTTGATACAGCAGTGGCATTGTGTGTACTTGTTGCTGGAGTAGCGGACAATGTTAGGGTTGTAGTCGTTTTATTATTGCTTTCAAGCGATTGAGATGTCTCTTCAGCAGAACTTTTGGCAGCAGTAGTAACAGCAGATGCTGCTCGCGTTTTATTCTCCTGTAGGCCTCTGTCTCTGTTGGGAGCTGATTTGACGTTGTCAGACGAAGTTGTTCTTGGTGTCATCATGGAAGTTGCCACCGTTTCATCCGTTGTCGTAACAAGCGCTACATCAGTTGTTGCAAGCGGCGTCGATAATGGTGCTTGCTCAGCTGTACTTGATGTTCGCTGTTGTTGCAGTAGAGAAGAGGTAGCCACTTTTTCTGAAGCAATACTGCTGGATGCTGCTGTTGTTGCTACTACACCGCTTTCATTTGAAACAGCCATTGACAAACTCAGCATAGAGGATGTTGGTGAGGATACACGTTGATGGTGAAGTTGCTGGTTGCTATTTGCACCAGAAGGTCCTGAAACAGCAGTTTTGAATTTTGAGAATATTTTTGATATCAATCCTTCATCATCGCCTTCAACGATGAGATTGAATGATGTCAGTGTAGTTAAATCCTCATCTTTATTACCGAAATATTCCATCTACAGATCCTGAACTAGATCAACTATCAGACAAAGAGAAGAACAAAAGACTTCAATTTCATGCGATCATGAAGGGCAAAAGTGTAGTTGTGATACCATTGGATCACGTGCGATAATTCCTTTCATTCTACCTCCACACAAACCTACAACTTCAGGAACCTAGTTTAACCTTCAGGCACACAAATCTAGACATTGATGAAATTATGTTCTCTCAACAAAGTACTTTATATTGCTTCATCTAGTCAATCTTATGAGATTGGTAAACTCTGTGTAGTATTATCCTCAGTTTGAGCGTTCAACACAAAGATAATTTGCCTCAAGAGCTTTAGGGAGGTTTCCAATTAAAGAAATTACCTAGACAGTTTTCACGCTTTATTATGACATTTTATGATTCTGAATCTTTTAATACTTATAAGCGAGAAATCCCTCAATTAATATTGATTTTCATTCTTGTTTGATGCTAGCTTTGCGTTTTTCAGAAATGATAGAGTCTGCATGGATACCTCCTACCAATCGAACAAAAATAATCACAAGATCGATCAATTTTCTAGTTGGGTAAAAAATAGCGATCTTATTGGGTATTTTCCATTCCTTTTGTTGTAGATTCTTAGCACCTGAAGGAGTAGATTGATTATATGGAGTCGGTGCAACCGGTGCTGCCAGCATAGACATAATGATGAACTAAAAAACCAATTGAAAAAGGTGTTAGTGAGTTGTTTACATAGTTTGCAATGATGGCTTTTGTGAAGAAAGACGAAATGACATACACTAGGATAAATGAGAGCAAATACAGCACTAGAACGGAGAAAAGAGAGGAAGAAAGTAATGACTGTGCCTGGTAAGCCTAATAAATAAAGGTTAAGAAAAGTATGCTACTTTAGGAATTGTATTTACTTCAACGTTATAGAGTTTTCTGTGCATTTACCAAATCCCAGAAAGTAAGCCCAATGTGATTCCATATAAGATAAACGCTTTTCAATATTCCAATTCTTATATATCCATTGATACCTAGCGTACAATTAGTAAAATGAGTCGGTGCGCTCAAGCAATCATTTCTCACTTCCTTTCTATTCCTGAAAACCGCTTACTCGAAGCAATAGTATGACATGACAAAGCAATTCATTAAAAAGGAGAGGAGTAATCCAAATCGAGGTACTTGCGCCAACAAATTTGCTGAAACTCCAAGACTGATATAAAGGATGATGGTCAAAATAGTGGATGCAAAGCTAGAGACAGTTGCTGTTGATGCCGCTGCTGCTGGGCCTGCTGTAGGATTGGATTTCACTGACTGTGCCTGGATCTGATATGCTTTTTCCGCCACTTTACTGTAAAATTTGCCGTTAATAGTCAACAAAATGAAGTGAGTGGGAATACCCAATAGCGCCTAGAAAGTTGTAGAAGCACAAGTCAACGAAAGGTCTCTTATGCTATTATGAAAATTATGTAACTTACTAGATAAGATACTCCCAAGAATTTATGATTTGGATAGAATGTTTCTATAAAGATTTGGCCACCCAAAAAGAAGACACCATTCAAAAAGAAGGTAGTCAGCATAGCTTTTTGAATGCTTGACGAGCTGATCGTATGGGAGACAATTAGACAAAAAAACACTCCTTTACATAGCGAATTCTCTTGATAGAAATGTAATACTTTACGAGTAGAATAAAATAAAAGTTTTAGGCCAGTTAGAGGCCTGCTCGAGACCAGTCAAAAAGTATTGCCAATGTTGCTTTGCTGGAGCCTGAGCAATCGTTGACATTGTGGTATATTGCTCGTGATGGCTAACAGGACTGGATACAGAAGGACAAAAAAAAGGGGGAAATCAAAAAAATAGAAAATTTGTTACTTTTAACCGCGGCTGACAGTATGTTACGGGTGTATCTACAAGACTATAACAACTATGTTATTTGACCGCCGCTCTTTATTTCTGCTTTAATGTGCTCGTTTCGGAGATCACCTGATACTCGTCCTTAATTGTGTGCTTGACCGAATGTTTCAGTGCGTTTTCACATCCATTTTCTTCATCGATTAAAGACAGTAAGTTCGTTTATATAAGACAGAATTACACTGGAATATTGTATCGGCTACAATCAAAGGAACTATATCCTGCAGCAATTTTAAAGTCATAAATCTAGACCCGCATACATTTATACGATCGAAGAATGTCTAATCAATTACACACGTCTGGTGAGCCCTCAATCTTCTATATAAAGCATGATATCACTGTCTATATGCTGATGGTTCATATTGTTCAGTTTCCCGATCACATAACATCATACCAGACTATTTGCAAACTGCATCCATCGTACTAATCTCGTAATTTTTCTTTTCCTTTATTGGTCATGCTGCTTAGAAGTACTGCAATGTTATGTTAAAGAAAATAAATATAATAGATGAAAAAAAAAGTAGCCCTTTTCAATCCTACTGCAGAAAGCATATCCTTAGTTATCAGGAACAACCTTTCCAACGATATTGTATCTCTTTGAAAAGAATTCATGCCATTGATTTAATGTCTCCATTTGCTTTTCTGTTAATCCACTATAATCTCCAACACAGTCTTCAGGCTTCAAAGATGACATACCAAGAGCCTAAAATAAAACTATGAGAACGGCTTTTCTTTCTATTCTTTTCTATTCAAGCTTACCTTCGATGAATCCTTTCCAGCAAAGACATTGTAACCGGCACCGGGGCCATAGGAAGCAGTATTCTTGGATACATCGAATACATCACCTTTGATTGCTACATAAATAGGTAACGAGGGATCGGAACCATCGTGCTTAGCGAGTTCAGAAACAGTGATAGGAGTAGCCTTGGGTTCTGCGCTGTGTGTTTGTTATAGAATGATACGGTTTAATTCAAACATATATAGAGATTTTTATGTCTGTTCAAGAATTGTTAATTTACGTTGCCATTATGATACCAGGAAAAGTAAAAGAGTACTCAATGGATTTGTATTAATAATAGGAAAAAGAAAGACAAAAGCAATAGAAGCAAAGTGGTGTACAATTTTCTGTCCTGTGGCACTGAGTGTAAATCAATTTAAATGGGCGAGGAATCTCGCGTAGGCCAAGCCCCTGAGTCCTCCGCTAATTTTTCACGGAGTTTTCACAACCTTAACGATCAGCAAATGATAAGACTGCCTCTTCAACGACGACATAGCTATAGCTGTAACTTTAAACTGAGAAATAACGAGAGATCAGATCTAATTTTACCAAAAACTATCCGACATTTAACTGGACTGAATTACCAAAAAATTCTAACAAAAAAGTCTTAAAAACACAACCCGAAGCACGAAAGAGCTCAATGTGATATTGTTATTGGAGTTAATGTAATGCGAAAGAACTTCATGTAGAGTTGTAAATATATACTCTGTCCATTATGCATAAGAAATTTAATTATGGGAGCTTTTTCTCTTCTTAGCTTGATGGAGATCTTCGATAGCTTTCGTTTTTGTTGATGCAGGTAGGAGCTTTTGGTCTGGAGAATTTTCAGGAAAAAAAAAGTACTGTTAGCTCAAATCTCTCAAACGAAAAGAATATATTCAAAAAAGAAAACTTACCATCATTGTTCAAGAGTCTCTCGGCTAAATCAGCAATAACACCGCCAGTCAAGAATTTAGCCGACACACCAGCTGGTAGAATAGGTTGTTTTAACAGCTGGTGTAGCTGGTTCTTTAGATTCATCACCTTCACTCTTGCCTTTTCGAGCTCTTTATCTGATTTCTGATGTCCCTTGCCTTGCATTGTTTCTTCATCAAACTCAATGTCCATTTCCTTTGCCATATTACGCATCCAGTTCGTTTCGTGAGTCTGCTTTGCTTCTTGATGTTGTAATGAATCAATCTCTGTTGCCACTCTAACTCGCTCTTTCATGGCTCTTAGAATACTGAGATCCACAGGAAAGTTAGGGTACTCTTCATTTTTACGTAAGGTCTGGCATAATTTCTTGTAAATCTTCACTTCTTCAGGACTGCACAAGAGCAATGAAATACCTTCGCGGTTGGCACGAGCGGTACGGCCACTACGGTGAACATAAATCTCGCCGGAACGAGGCAATTGATAGTGAATAACATGCTCTACCATAGGAATATCTAAACCACGGGCTGCCACATCTGAAGCGACCAGTACAGCTTTTGGATTAGCTTTGAACCGATCCAAATTCTTTAAACGTTGTTTTTGCTGCATTTGAGCGTGTAAGCCCAGAACTTCGATGTTTAGCAATTTAAATACAGGGACTAAACGACGAATGGCATCAATAGAATTGACAAAGAGGATAGTACGTCCTGGGTATCGTGTGACAAAATAATAAACGTATAAATCTTTCTCAGTATGAAGGCATTCAACTTTGGCTTCTAACAGTTTGGAAGCAACAACGTCTTCAGAAGTGACATCCACTAGAGCAGGTTTTTCATCGGCAAATTCGATCCGCTCTAACAAATCCTCCATTGTATTGTTCTCTTTGTGTAAAACCTTTCTTTTTTTGGCCTTCACGTTGAATCGGATATCCTTACTGAGAGTTGCAGTATAGATAAACGTTTGATGAACACCGACGTCTTGAGGCAAAATCTTCTTGAATCCCCCATCAGAATCGAGTTGTTCGGGCCATTCGGTTGTATTCTGACGCTTGTTTGAGATTGCAGATAATAAACTAGTCAACTCTTCAAAATGCCCCTTTTCCAACATACGATCTGCTTCATCCAGCACTAAAAACTTAATATGCTTCAGCATATCCATATATTCATGATCTTCAGAAAAAAGTTCCCATAAACGGCCTGGTGTGGCAACAATGATATCAGGCTGTTGTTTCAACAATCGTTGTTGCTTCTGAATAGACATACCACCTACAATAGCAACGGTACGAATATCTGTAAAAACTGACATTTTTTCGATATGGTCACGGACTTGAATGGCCAATTCTCTCGTGGGGGTCAATATTAGACCGCCAAGACCATTCTTCACCCCTCCCTTCTGACCACGACCATGTGTGGCAAGATAATGAATGATGGGAAGACCAAAAGCAAGTGTTTTACCAGAGCCGGTCTCTGCAGAGCCGACTATGTCTCGGCCATCCATAGCTAAAGGAAGGGCTTGTAATTGGATGGGAGTAGGTTCCGTAAATTGGTTGTACTTCAAAGCGTTCCTTATGGGTGTGCACAAATTTAGACTATCCCACGCAGAAATATCTACTGTCTGATCAACATCGTCAACGGTAGGGCGTACTTTCTTCTCAACGGCAGTGGTCTTCTCGACTTTTGATTTTTTCTCGTCCGTTTTTTCCTTTCTCTCAATTACTTTGTTGTTTTCTGCTGGCTTTTCAGTTTTCAGTTTTTTACTGTTTGCTGTGGGCACTTTCTTATCATTATTATCATCGTCATCACTGCCTGCCTTTCCATCTATGGAAACCACAGACCCTTCCTTCTTCTCATTCTCAACATGATCATCTTCTTGCGTTTTCAATGGCTTGTCGGCATCGACGTTAGCGTCTGCATCTTCAGTATTTTCATCATTCACCAAACTTTCGTCAAATGTATCCAAGTCGTAAAAGTTCTGTGTTTCTTCCAGGCTTAGAGGTGCAGTTGGATTTGCTTTCTTACCATGCTTACGATCCGTCTTTTTGATACGCTAAACCCACAAACAAAAACACAGGTTAGTATATCAAGTTCAAAGAGTGGGTTGATTCTTCCAACTCTTTTACCTTAAACTTTGCCACTTTGCCAGTGTTATCGTCACCTTCGTATTCTACTTCAACATCACTTATCTCTTCCAAACAAACAAATCCACCCAAGTCATCCGAAAGGAAAGTATCAGTTACATTAGAGTCGTTCCAATCCCAAGTGTCGATATTGCCGAGATCCTCATATTCAATCACACCATCAACGCCCTTTTCCAGAGCTGGGTTGCTTTCTTTCTCTTGCTGCTTTTCCTTCGTTGGCTTTGTCTGCCAGGTCGCTTTCTTGACTAGAAATTTCTTTTTATTTTTTTTGTGGCCTTTCTTCTGAATGACCTTTTTTGTTGTGGGCTTCTTCTTCTCTACGAGTTTGCTCATTGTTAAGCGGGATCGATCTGTCAACAAGTACGAATAGTGGCGAGTCTTTTTCTGGAACCTGAAAAAAATGGATGGCAGTCTCGGCCCGTCACATTTTCATGCTGCTTAACATCCCACAGCGAAATATGAAACATCAACGTTTTTTTATTATTTATTGCAGCTCGTTGCGTTATCGACTCATACAACTTCCTTTGTTGAGATGTTAAACCTACATATGCATACCACTCACCTTGTTCCTTTGCCAACGTGATTTGTTAAAAAGAAACAGTTTGCCAAAAGAATCGAGCTAGTTTTATGCTTCTATGTGAATTTGCAACTGTTATAACATTTTCCACAACCAATTGATTGGTGTAGGAATATAATAAGAATGGGATCAAGATGCTCCTTTCTTCGTTAACTTTTGCAGATATTGATATTTTCAGCAGTCATATCGAGTAATGATAACAGTTATTGAGTTTCGTACATAATGAGCTCAGTAATGCAGAAGTATGTCCCGTTATCAGTGGTTGTAGCAGCCTGGAAAAGTATTTGAAAAAGGGATTCAAGACTGGGCAGCAAAGGATATCATTTATTATCAGAAATAGTATAGGCTTCGATTTAAAAGTGCAGTGGCTATATTTTAATCATTGTATCAAAGAGACTCTGTATTATATTGTGTATAAACAAATGCAGAAAAAGCCTGCAGTTCTTTGATATAAGCAAAAGCCTAGGTTAAATGAAAACGAAGAAATCCACGTCAGTATATGAAGCCATTTTACTTTCCCATCATACTTTAAAAAAAAAGACATACATTAAGATACTCATTTCCTGAAATAGCCGAGTGTGCTTGTCTACCAATGGTAGGTAATAAGTTTGCTAATGTTAGTCTTTTTTCACTCTGCCTTTCCAAATTCAAGGCTTCATTGGGTGTCAATTCTCTTATGCTAGACTCAATAGGCTCAGTCAAATTAGGTGTCAACGTCAAAGCAAATGCATGATGATCAAAGATCGCAAATACTTCATCGAAACAAGCTGTTGCAACTTGTGTGAAATCAGGGCTATCAATGAAGTCTTTTGTTTCATCAATCAATCTTCTAAATGTGATAGTAGGCTGTTTACCGCTTCCATTATTGACATCATTTTCAGCATTATTACTGAATCCAGCTCCCTCTTTGAATACGGCTTCTTCTTCTAAGGTATCAGGTAACATCCACGTACGGTAATTGAAAGGCTGACTATTTTCTAGTTCGACACCTTTACGCAATTTGATCAATAGTTCCTCTGCCTCATAATAATTCAAGGTACTCTTCAATGGTATACTATAAGAAGCGCATGCGTATGAGGAATGACTTTTAGAGAAAAGTCTTTTGCTTACATAAAAAAAGGAATCGCGTTGGAGTATCAAGCCTCACCTGGAAATAACTTCTTCAACGACCTTTTCTACTCTTTCAGCGCATTTCTTCCATCCACGATGTAATAGCCACCAACAAAGACTCAAGTAGAGTCGTTCTGTTTCAGGATCTAAATAACCTGCATCCATGTCTTCTTTGCCATCTCGTTGCAGCCGAATTGTTGGTTCGGTTTTGTTCAAAACAGAAACAGACCAAATATACGTGAATCGACCCAATAAATTAAGTTGAATATGCGTTAATAAAGTAAGTAAGGTGATAGAATAAATGACTGTGAAAGAACGGACGAAGCCTACAAAATAGAATCATATTTAATCAATTGATACATAGAAACGCTTTTTACTTTGCAATGATCCTATTAAATAGTCACTTACTCTTGGTTTTGATGTTTTCCAGAATGGCATGCTTTTGATGCCTCTCTAAAATCCCGGTTGGGAGTGGTTTACCGTCCTCTGCATTGAAAGATGTGGATAAACTGCTCACACTAGACTCTAATCCCGGTGCCGGAGAGGATACTGTTGGTGTAGACAAAGCAGTAGTCTCCTGCTTAGGTCTATTGGAGCTATCCGCTTCTGCATTTCCCTCATTGTCATCGATTTTGCTTTGGTGATCTAGTTGCTGTTGTTGTTGCTGTTCTGCCCCAGTCTCCAAGTCTTTTTCTTGCTGCATCAAAGCAGCCTCTTCTCTTTCTTTTCTCAACTTTAGTTCGATTTTCTCCAATTTTCTTGATTCTTGTAATCTGTTCCAGTCCTTTTCAATGTTCATTTCTTCGAAAATTTGATCACGCAATGTGGGCAGTAAAGACAGAACTGTAAATACACAGTCGTTTTGATTCTGTTGGAATCGTCGTTTTAGACTTTATGAAAAAGATTTTAACAGGGATTATTAGCTTAAAAGCATTCGATGCAGGAAAATATTTTCTACATCTCTAGAAGGACAAAATCTTGTTGTTACTTTACTTCTCTTTGGCTACTCTTTCAGCATTTGCTTTTTCTTGTAAGTCTCTTATTTTTTGAGAGGCATACTTTCCAGCAATATAACCTCCACAAACGACAGTTGCTGTGGTCAATATACCTCTTCGGTGACGTCTGATGTAATCCTTGACAGAGGTGATCATAGGCCTTGGTCTAAAAAATTAGAAATAGAGACAGTGGAAATTAATTGTGGGGAAGCGTTTAAGAAAATTTGTACCTTCTCAAATGATTGGCAGATTCTGCTATTTTTTATCACGCGGAAACTGTAACCTTCCTTACCTTAGACTTGCATTCCAGTATTCTGGTTTTGGTCTGCTTTCCACGACAGTCTTTGCTCAAATCAGCTCTAGTCTTCAACTTTTCATGCGCATGATAGCTTCAACCTGCAAATCTCACTTTGACTGCTAAAGCTTCAAGAAAATTCATATTAACACATTATTTTTTAGGTCTCCAAGAAACGCCGGGCTACGAGCTCAATCGTGCCTACACAGCAGCCTACTCGTTTGACAATCATTGCCTGCTCAACTAATACTGCTTGTACTGTTTAGCAGTGTACTTTACAGTAGCTGTCTTTCGGTCCTCTGCCTTTGCAATTCTTTCCCTGTGTTTCTTTTTGCTATTCGCCCTTATATCTTGTCTGAACATATGTTTATACTGGCTATCCTACATGTGTTTTAGTGTCATGGTTCGCCTCTTTTTGTTCTACCTCATGCTTACTTCTGCCTACCTGGTCGCCCAAACATCCTAATAATATTTGTATATGCCCAACCTTTTTCGGCTGGGAAACGGTACATGCGCTCACAACCGATGGCTGTGATTTTTTCGGATAAGAGATATGAAGAATTGAACAAGATTGCCACAAGCCCTCAATAACACTGCCTTTTCTGTTAAATGTTTCATTCTGCTCAACTCTAACTTTTGACACTAAACCTCGTATGTAAGTATTACAGCATTTCTTATTTTTTTTTTTTTTCTTTCTTTGTGCCTCTTCACGTACTAATAGCAAATACATTTATCATATTTCATTTGACCTGTCTCGAAATCGGTCTCATAATTCATATACTCTATCAGTATACTGAACTATATAATTTTAAATAGTAATTTGTATATAATCTAATAATGGTATATGATATAGCTTGGGACACCGTATACTGAATAACCCATAGATTTTACCATCTTAGCGAACCCTTCTGTATCCATGTTATGTTGGTAGACAAAGGGGGGAAAGATAGCACCTTCTCTATGAACATTTGCTTTGACCAATGTGAACGTTCCACCGATACCATCTAATGGTACTTTTGTTTCTATATTTCCATGTGTAGGCATATCTACAAGCTGCAGAATTAAATTAAATCACTTTTAGCGTCAACTTATAGGTTGTAACGTAATACTACACTATTGAATAAGCCTTACCAAATGGCGTCCAATAGCGTATTCATTATAATCTGTTGTTATAAAATTTTGTATCAAGACACAGTAACGTTAGCTCATTATTGAGCCCAACTCTTCAACACTTTTATGCAATGTTATGCACTATTTTACCTTCCATAAGTAAATCTTCTTCCGGTATATGTTGCTGTCTCTGTAACGACATCTCACTTTCTTGCCAATTGTTCCTATCAAAAGCCCAAAATTCATCATCCTTTTCTCTTTTCTGTAAACAATTGGGTACAATCACATCCACATTCACCGCCTTCAAATCGTCATAAATGGTCGATGGGTAAGAGAAAAGTTTAACATCAACCCAAGCAACCCATGAATGATGCTCTCGAAGGGCTGCTGTGAGCAAGAAATTTTTGGCTTTGGCCAAAGTTGCTCGCTTCGAAGTCAAGGCTGTGGCTTCGTCTTTTTTTTTGTCCAGTTCAAAGTCTTTTTGATACACGTCGATTTCATAGAATCTATTCCGCCATCGGTTTTGTAAAGAGTGAACTTTTTCTTGAAGGATGTTGAGGGTGTTGTCCGTTGAATCAGAGACTAGCAAACCGATAGAAATGTATTGGTTGGGATAAGAGGATGCATCGATAAGCTGAAAATAGTGGTCCAAATATTCCTCGTCATTTTGTAGCAGGGTTAGGATGAGTATATGATCATTTTTAGACAGTGATGATGTGAGTTTGTTAAAGGTAGTAGATATGGTTGACATATTCGTTTTGCTTTTTTCTATAGGGTCGTTATCATTCAAATTAATGTAGTTATGATGACGTTCTTGTTGTAGTAGCTCGTCCGTTTCTAGAATTGTCGATCTGGGCATATGACAAGAAGCAGATTTATAATAATTTGATATGGAATCAGCCGTGATTATGGCTGGGGATTGTTGTAGAATGAGTAGAAAAATGATGATTGCAGACAAGGATAGTAGCATCAATCGATGCTTCGTTCGTATACACGTAAGTCCAGATACCATATCAATGACTGTTACTGCCAAATAAAGGAAGGGTAAATGGATCCTATGCTGAAGTAGATATGAAAAAGGAAGAAAGTAGTCCAATAGTAAGGAAGGATTTAGGAAATGAACTAACTTTTGATTTAGAGGAAGAAAGAGGGAGAGAAGGTTGCTGTTGATGGCTCTGTCAATCCGTTAATCTTGATTGGAAGGGCGCCTGTAACTCAAAGCTGGAGTCAAAACCACGATCGTTGTTGTGGCATAAGCAGATAAAACCGAATACTCATGTGATTTTATAAAAAGACAAGGAGTTTCATTAACAGAGACTTTCTATAACTATATATTCTAAGCTTCTACCAAAAAAATAACAACCAGCTTTACAATGAATGTCAAAACCAAAAGTGCAAATTATCTATGATCTGCAAAAGAAATTCTAGACTTTTTAAAGCAAAAAATGAAAAAAAAAATAGAGATCGCCCCTTATTTGAGTAAGAACTATAATTAGAGTGTAACAGTGTGTACAAGGATACGTGTTACATATAACATTTAGTTTGTTTTTTTTTGTATTTTGTGATTACGTCTTGGTATTTATCATTGAAGCGTAATATTATAGTCGTTTGTTATTGGTATCATTAAGTTTTCAGCAACTGGGGTATTGATCAAGACAGCAGTAGTATCAGCTACTATCCAACCACTAGTGGTAGAGTCAACACTATTATCTGTTTCGAAACCAGCGGATTTGCCGTCCGTTACAGCACTAGTAGCAGTAGCGTTATTCGTTGATGTAGTATTTGCCGCATTCATAATGGCCAATTTCGTCGCCTCACTAAATTGGCAATCTTTATGAGCCATTAATAAGTTTCTTAAAGCCAACACTTCGTCTCGCATCACCGTGGCTTGTAAATGCAGTTGTTCGTTGTCATTGGCTAAAAATTCAACCCGTTCTTGTAAACTTTGTAACCATTGTTTCTTTCTTTGTCGACACTTTAAGGCGGCTATACATCGTCAACATTTATATGTTAGTTAGACAGAAGAATGACTATTTGATGGTACAGAATTGCACATTTTCCATCTGTTAATTGCCAAACTATATTCTTACCTTGTCTGTTACGTTCCAAAAAGTTTTTGCGTTTCTCCGTATCGTCCTTGTCTTCAGAGCTCGAAGATGATGCATTCAAAGTAGCAAGAGCAGTTTTTTTTCTTTGTTTTCGGCGTGCTGTAATTGATGTAGAAGATGTTGAGGATGAAGAAGAGATACTGGAGACTAAGAAAGGTATGGACTGAGATGAGGATGTTTTGACACCTTCCTCTCTTCGGTCCGTTTCATTTTTGGTACCTTTAACAATGCTACTGTTGTTATCGTCTAACATTGTGGTAACATTTGAGACTGCGTAATGAGTTGGTATGGTGTGAGTGATAGTAGAATTGGTGGTAACAATGTTATTGGGAGGCATGGGCTCGGATCTGCCAGGTTTGGTATTTGTTTGCAAAATGGGATGATTGGTATATTGCAGCATTTGTTGTTGCTGTTGATGAATTCGCTGATTTTCTCGGCGAGAAAGTGCTGTTAGAAATGCACTATTATAACTACTGCTATTAACTGTATTTGTTGTAGCAGACAATGGCATTGCAGAGGCTGGTGGTTGTATAAACTGCCGTGAATGTGGCTGCTGTTGCTGCTGCTGCTGCATTAGCAACGTGTCATAAAATGTGACCGGTAACATTTTTGAATCCGTTGCATTTGATAAAGAAGTGTTCGATGGCGGTAACATGAAATTGGATTGATAGATGTTGTCGTTTACTGGAGAAATTAAGTTGCTGAGCTGACAGAGATTATTGGTTGATGCGTTAGAATTGAGTGGTATAGCTATAGGTTCCGATGGACGTGCAGATATCATATTAAGCATGGAAATGGTGGATGAGGGAGTAGGAGTGGAAGAAAGGGAGGCGTTTGTGCTACAACTGCCATTCAGAGCTGTGATATTGCTATTGCTGAAGGCATTGTTGATACTGTTGTGGTTGTCACTATGACTATTAAATACGAATAAATTATCTGTTGAATAAGCAGATGGATGAGGTTGTGTCCAAAGCATTGAGAAACAGAATCTCCTGGAAAACTGTGAGTTGCAAGAAGGAAAAGAATTGAATACTAAAGAAGGTGCACACAAAAAAACAAAGAAGAAGCAGAAAGAAAAGTAGAGAAAGAGAAAAGTTCAATTAAATACACATAACATTAAACACATACACACATATACACACAATGGTGATCGCATGCTTGGATTTATTTTTATATCAGTTGCATTTAATCTACATTAAGCACTTTTTTTTTTGCCTGTAAAGAAAAGGAAAGCAGTGTAAAAAATAAATAGCCCATCTACCATTTGTTTTTATCGGAATCTGAAAACGATTTAACGGAAAACTCGTTGTAAATAAATAACAAATAATAGCACTAGGGCTTTATAGCAACAGCTTACTGACAAATAACTCAAATAACCATGCCAAAAGTTTACGTGGGTCGCTAAAGGATTGCTTTTACCTATGAATCAGCTCAAATACCTTCCCTTAATACTAGTAGATTTCACTATGAAGGAAGCCTAACTGTTAAAAAAGGTGGCTGACATTCAATACAAATGTACAAAAAGAGAAAAACAAACAGAAATACTCACTTCTTTTTTGTTTATACTTATTTTTCTTTTTTGTTGATTCCCCTGTTTTCATTTTCTGCACAGAAGAACAATGAGCATTACATAACTATAATTGGAGATAACATAACAACCCAAATTATCTGAGAGCTGGTGTTCACTTAAGTTTTAGCAGAAATATATGCAAAAGTGTTGTACTCTTTCTTGTTGCTTCCTCAGAGAGAGTTTCTTTTTTATATTCGATGCCCGAAAATAAGCGTCACCTAGGAAAGCGACAGAGTAGACTACAAAGAGTTGGATTCTCTTTTATCTTGATGTGGAATAGGTCAAAAGAACAACTCATGATGTACTTTATAATGCCTTTGCAACATCAATATCTTTTCTACCTAAGCAATCGCCTTATGAATGCTACAAGGCCGTGCATGCTTTCAAGAGAACGCGTTTTATAGCTGATTGATCCTTTGGTCTTTCTTTATATCAGTCTACAATTGCTTTGTTGTCCTATCCATCCATGCGTCAGACTGTACGCTATTTCTTGAAAAAAAAAAGAAAAGAAAAAGAACAACCGAAATAACCACAGTGCTACCTGTTGCTATTTTCTCGTTATTTGTTTGAGTTTCGACAAAACCTCTGATCTAAATATATTGTTGGACAAATGGTTTGCATAAAGTTATAGTGTTATCTGTGCTGAACATTTACTCGAAAAGGAGCTTAATTAAAGGATTTGTCATAGAAAGATAAACGTTTATGTGCACAATTAGAAGCCGTGAATTTAGCAACGTATGGAAGAGAATGCTTGTCATTTTCTTTCTTCCAAATGTATACGAATACTTCGTTGGCTATTAACCAGAAAAGCACTGCAATTTTGACTTGAAAATTCACAGAAAAAGGTCAAGAACGATGCAAGTTTATCGGTGCATTGAATCAATGTCAGTACGCGTTGGAGGTCAATGACTACCGGGCTTCATCAGAAATACTTTCAATACAAAGACATCTGGGTATGGATATTCTTACAGCAGCAATGGACAGCGACGTTGATCTTCTACTCAGCAAACTGGGAAAGCTCGACAAAAAAATTCTTCCGGACAAAGCAATCAAACAGTAAACCATCAGAAGATTTTATTTTTCCCGTACTGAATAGCTGCCCTCTCTCCGTCATAATTACGAGCTATGTACTCTCAATTAGGGTCTTTCGACTACTATTTTGCAAACGTGACACGATTAAACAAGTTAGAAAAGACTTCATACGATCAGAAGTTTAGAGATATGTACTACCTTCAAGTGAAGGATATGTATGTGCTACTGTAGTCGAAATTGTACGATGTCGAATTCTGTGTTTAAAGTGCATTATTCTGCTTACGATAAGAAAGTACAAAGAGGAGTTTATCTCTTTTGTTTGTTTGTTGACTCCAAAGTGATCAACGTAATGCAAAACTTGAATCCTCAGCAATGGATACAGCACAAAGATTTGGGAAGCAGCGCGAAAATTCCAAAAGGAACGTTTCAGCTTTTGACAAAAACTTTAAATAACCATGTACGTATAAAGACTGGCCATACTGTAACCAAAAGAGAATCCAGTGTTTTACGGAAGCAGACAATGGCTTTAAAATGTATGAGATAGATTTGCAATGGGATATATTTTATTGTTGGAAAACGATAAACAGAAATACAAAGTATAAAAAATGGAATAGAATAAATCACAGATTGCAGATTGTGGAATGTGGAAAGAAAAGAATATAATCATATTTACAGATATATTATGAAGAGTTCAACTTCGTGATATGTGGTATAATACAAAGACTTTATTGTGGCCACTTAGAGCCAAGCCATCCTAACTTTCCAAATGTATTCCAAAGGACACTTGTCTTATTCACGTCAATGCAGCAGACTTTCTGAGCTTCAGATTTTCTAAACAAGCTATTATCCTCGGCTGCTTTCTTAGCAGCAAGAATAAGTGCCCATTTGCATTTGAGGTATTGTTCTGGAGTTAAGCGTAACGTAGCCGCAATGTACGCTTCACCAGCATGAAGTTTTTCATAATAAGGCATATTTTTGATCTTTAGAGGGGAGCCTTTCCACTGAATCCGAACATGGGGTCTGCGATTGAATACATCATCACTAGGTATCCATTCTTCAGCACCAACAAACAATGTGGTTGGATCACAATCTACACTCAAATTATCGAACATCGAAGCTGCTTCAGTTTTGGATTTCTTACTGATAATGATAGGATGTTTATTGTCATGATGGTGTTCTCTCGAAGCATCAGTTGCTTGCGAAGTCTGGTCAGTGACGAAGCTATTACTATTGATATTAGAAGGTTGATGAATAAATCTACCAGTATTATAAGCATCGCTGTTGTCACTAGTATCATTATTATTGGTATTTTTGCAAAGACTATAGGGCTTATTGCTAATGTGGATGTTCGCTTTCGTTTGCTTAGCGCCACTGTTTTTGCGCGGCTTTTTTAACACTGACTGCTCATGCAAAAGTGGCACAGGATCTTTTTTGGAACAATGGCTGGTACTGTAATTCCTTTTTTTGGAAGGTTGGGCATGGTACAAAGAAGTAGTTTTGCCTCGAAGATGTGGCTTGTGTCGATTTGCTGCTTTTATCGAAGGTGACGTGATAAAGATCGTAGGCATTTCAAATGAACCCTCTACAGTGCGTGGAAGCGAACGGTAAGGAATCTTTAGTTTCCTTTTATTAATGCGTTGCGATATTGAAACAGTTCTAATAAGCTGCGTATCAGTACTGAAAGAGTCACTGCCTGCTTTATTTACACAAGTAAAACGCGAGGATGAACTTGTGTTTGCTGTATTTTTGTCATTGTGAGGAAAGGGATTTTTAAGATAAGCAGAATTAGAATCAAAGGTTGTGGGGGGTGGAGAAAGTGGTAGCGTTTGCATTTGCAAAGGAGACGTCCAATTCGTCTTTAAAGCCGTTTTGAAATGTTCCGTGGCAGAAGCTCCCAGATGAAGACTTTTCATCTGGTTACCTTCATGTTGGTTTGGTGTTATTGGAGGTGATATAAAGTTGATAGAAGCTTTACTGATATAACAAGTACTAGAATTTTGTTGAAAAGAGGCCATTTGTAGTTGTTACAATAGAAATTTTGACAGGTCGTAAATGTTTTAAAATATAGAAATCAGCAGAAAGGTAGTTGGTTAGTAGTGAATCTATAAACAAAGCGAAATGAATATAAGATGAAAGAATTCAGAAAAGGACTTCGACTCTGGTCTTTTATATCTCAATCAAACAATCAAAAAAGGCAAAAACACGACCACTGGTTCAATCAATAATGAGTGAAGAGATTAATGTCTTTCCTCGCCTTTCTTTCTTGTTCTAGAGAGAAAAACGAATTGATTATGTAGAAGCGTTGCTAAACTACAGCAAGCTGTTCTAACAGCCAAAATTGCTTGCATTGAACCCATTGTACATTTCTAATCGCGTCAATATGCCATTACGCTAATCTGTTATTCTTTATTGTAAATTGTTGTTCCCCTTTATCTTGGAACCAAATAGTCCTTATTTTTTCATGTCAAGTCATATTTCATTATCAAATATCATTTAGTTTGAATGTCAGCCCTACGATTCCATGTTTAATTTGGAAGACAGGTGAAAAAAAGGGGCAAACTGAAGAGAACGTGCACAATACGAGCCGTGGCTTGTTTAATAATATGAAACTACTAACTGACGGTTTTGCTGTGTTCAAAATCAAGAACATACAGCGCCAACGGACATCAACGTTAATGCAAGCCAACAAAAATCAATCCAAGTAAATTACATAACTAAGTTTTCTCTTTTGTTTCAAAAGACCTAGAGCCATCAAATATAAGTCATGGTCCAGCCATTACTTTATTTGTTCCATGCAAATGTAATGGTTCGGGTAAAAAGAATATAACAAGTAGAATAACATACTATATATAATATAGTAATTGACTTAATTACCTGTTAAGTGCATTAGAATATTATGGTTGTAAATTAGAAAAAAAAGTGATCGTAATCTGTACAAATAAAAAAAATGAGCAGCCAAGCGGATCTATCTTACAAATAAAGATGCGCGTTTTTTATCTACAAAGTCTAATTTTTAGGTATATTGACGTTGCCATCGGCAGTTATCAGCAGCGTTGGGGCCCTAGGCATTGACATCGCTGGGTCGGACGTAAGGGGTTGTTCTTCTTCCTTCGTCAAAGCTTCACCCTCCTCGTTTTCAATATCGAATAAATAATGGTAGTTGAGAATGAGGTATTTCACGATATTTTGATGATGGCCTAAATTCGACATTGTTGTGGCGAAAGAAGCGGGACCAGGAGCTGGCTGTAATAAAGTGGGCCCGAAGACAATAGCTAAATTAGTGGCGTACATATGATTTGTTGCCTCGAAATCAGTAACGCTAACAAAAAAAGATAAATAACATATCAGCAAAGATAAAATCGACAATACACACGCAACATATTTCAATGGACTTACATAACGAAATGTTCAATGATTCTCTTTAATAAATTGTAATTACACGCAGGCAATTTCTTGATAACCTTTTTAATCATATAGAGTCGTTCGTCGTGATCTCCAGCGGCTATAGAAAAAAAGAAAACCAGTTTAATTTTAGTTTTTGATAGAGCCCCAAAATAGATTACCAAATTTTAATATATAATGAGAACTGTAAGAACTCTTACCTGAAGCTGTAATAAATTCGTCATAAAAACTATAAGTTAATAATGGTTCAGGCAATTCGCGCAAGAACTGCTTCAAAGCGTCCGCTACTACATTGATGTCGGCCCATTGAAAATCACTCAAATCAACCTTGTTGACATTCTTATTAAAAGCAGCCTTCAATGCACTCACAATTGAGCCGGTGCCTGCTACACGATAAATACCCACTTCTTCTAAGCCTCGCTTTTCAATTTCACGTATGCACTTTTCCACTATAAGAGGGACCTTATTGTCAGGCATTAAATTGTCTAAAGAAACACCATAAACGGAAGTACGTCCAAATATTTGACGACGGGTAGGCAGATCTTGCTGTTGTTCCTGTTCCTGTTGCTGCTGTTGTTGTTGGTTTTCCAGATCCATAGACTCCGCAGCCAGAACACTTTGACGTTTCACAGTGCCCTCACGTGCGGCGTTACTGATTTGTTGCATCCAGTCAAGCATGTCATCACGATGCATAGACTGGAACAAGTATTGGCCACCCTCTTCAGTAACAATACGGAACACAAAATCACGTTTTGTGTACGTACTGGCGATGGAGGTAGTTGAATGAATCAAGTTTATAACAGTGGAGGCTTTTGTCGTAGAAAGGTGAATGGACGATGAAAGGTCTTTCGAAAGAGCATGAGGGAAAATATGTTGTATGGGTGCGGCAACCATAGATTGGGGCCGTAAACCACGTAAGAAATTGTTCAATCGAGGTATAACAGTACCGGATCCACCTTGCGAATTATGTTGCGGTTGCTGCTGTTGTTGTTGCTGTGAGAGAGTAAGCTTCTGATGTCCTCCTGCTGCCGCTTTGCGATCATGTTTTTCAAGTAAACGAGCTTGCTCCAGCTGCTTTTTCTGCAATTTATGCTGCAACGACATCCATTCTTTATCAATTCGATCCCTTTCCTTGAAATCACGTTTGTACTTTTCCATTTGTTCTGCAACTAATTTATAGAATACCGAATGGCGAGAAACATGGCTCCTACTCGAAGAGGCACCGCGCAACACTAGACTGCTAGTAGAGGTACCGCTTACAAGAGATTTCTTATTTTCACGAACAGCTATCTCTTTCAATTCTTTCCAGCTGTGCATTGTTCGTCTAGGTGAAATTTCAAACACAAAATTTGCATTGTTGTCGCTATTTTGTTGGCGATGAAAATCAAACAACTCTGATTGTATTCTCATTAAATATTGTAAGAATTGATACATAGAGCGACGTTTATCAAAATTCATCATATTCTCTCGTTTCTCAAAAACGTCTGGAATTTGCACGTACAGTTCTAAAATACGCTCAAATATCCAGCCAAGACTGGGGACAATTACTGCATGTGATTGCTGTGGTTCACTTACTGCGGAAGACTTGTGGCCTAATGTCTTCGTTGATGTTGATACCATTGTCTCCATTTTCTGTTTTTGATTCAATAATGATTCGAGACTATCAAGACTAGCGTGCCCATATTGCATAGCCACATCTTGCCAGGCTTTTGTGAACATACGCACTTCAGGGCTCACTAAAGCACTAGCAATAGCGTATTCCACAAATCCAGGAATCCGTTGATCACGAGCTCCTATCTTCATTGTGCTTGAAGGCGAGAGTATAGCTGATAGCTTTAATAAATCCGAAGATGATCCCTTTTTATCACTTGCTGTTGCTGTGGCGCTAATTGAAGAGGATGATGCCATTCTACTTAAAATAACTATTTGCAGAAACAATTCGATCCGAAGGACACGTGTCTTGCAATTGATATCAAGTGCAGCTATTTCATTGATAACCCAACTACGAATGATATAGTGCATGCAGAATAAATACTGAATCGACCTTGGGAAAGCGAGTAATAGATCATCGTCAGAGTAAGCAGCTAGCGATACAACAGATCGACGAGCTCCTTCAATGGCTGTAAAAATATCAGAAATGATGGCTTCATCCGCGAGGACGTGATGATTGGCTAAATGAGATGAGGGTGCATTTTTTACACTAGCCAATGCTGCCGGCATGTGCGATGTGCGTGATGGTTTGCGAGCTGGTAACCAAGCGTAAATGTCTCCTGACTGAGCTTCGAGCACGTCAAAGGTCTGTATCCAATCTTGCATTGTTATAGTATTAAATAGTTGACTGACATTTTGATCAATCTGTTGTAACAACATGTCAGGTGCCATATCCTCAACCGATAAACACTTCGTATCGGCTTGACTCGAAGCAGTGGATATAGATAAGGGTATAATAGGATTGATGTTGTTGCCTGTAGCAGTAGCAGCAGGTAAAAGCTTTACACGATAGTTTTTAGAGCCTTTAGTTAACTTACGATACAATTCTTCTGCCCTGCGGAAGCATTCTGGATCAATTTCAATGGCTTTTACATCATAGCAAGGTAAAATAGATCTCTGAATAAAATGTTCACGAATTTCTTCAATACGCTGTTCGATTAGTTCGGCTATTTTCAAAGCTTCTAATGTGTCGTGTTCTGTGCTAATTCCTTCCTCTTCAGCGTTTTCTGGCATCAAAGGAAGCTTATTATTATTGCCCTCTTGAACCTTTTTCTGTAATGGCAGACGCCACTCATCTAATGCTTCTTTTGTGTGTTTGAGAATGTTACTGATGTATCTAGGAATTTCCACCTCGTCCACAAAATCGTAAGGATGTTCTGTTATCCAATACAACATCAAGTTTAAAACACGCAACTGAATATCGGCTACTTTAAGCCAGTCATGCGACAATAACATGTCTTCGTCTTCTAATGATATAGCATCATCTGTACTGGATTGTAAAGGTACTGCAGTGGATGCTTGTGGACCAACATTAAAGTAGGTCTCTAACAGAATTAGAGAATTCCTTCTCTTCTTTGTAGCGAGTTTACATTTCGACTTGGCATGGATAAACCTTTTACGAAGCATATCTAAAAGCTGCATCGGCGAACAGTAAACACGATATGTCATAAAGAAAATAACAGCGTATTCCTCCTCGTCCATCGAAATCTTGATATTGGGGTGACCTAGATGCCCTTCAGCCAGAGACTGAAGTTGATATTGTTCGCGAATGGCTTCTTCATGCGACGAGATACCCATTACCAAAGAATCGACAAGGCGATCAATACTGCCTGCTTTAATGAAGACTTCCAGTGTTTTATTCTCTACTGCCTCATTCTCAATCTTTTCATACGCTTATAGAAAGAAAATAGTATAAGTCGAACCCATCATAAAATACTGTGTTTCTTTTTAACTGTCGAACAATGTTGTTACCTTTCTTTGAAAAATTAATAGACCAGGTTCGAGCATCTGTCTTTTTGATTACTCGTTCCTTTTCGTGCTTATCAGATTGCTGCTCGCTTTGTTTTGTCAAAGCCGATACCAATATTAGTTCATTGTCTTCTACTGAAACCAACATTTCATTATCGTTATCAGAGCCGAAATATTGTTTATCCGCTGCAAACGGCAGTGCAGCACGGCTCCTACGATGAGACAGTAATGATCCGAACCATGTGCGATTATTATCTGCCTCATTTATTGTTAAAGGATAATTCAAGTTTCCAACTGTAGCTGTTGTCGACGTAGCTGTTGAGCCAGATGTAGCAGAAGATTCCTCAGCCGGCACAGTATCAGGAGGCAGACTAAAAGTTCGTCGACGAAATGCCTTCCGATTGGGCGCTTTCATTATTGCTGCTGTACCCTTTGATTGTGAGCTTTGAGATGATGCAGAATGTTGAGAGCTATCTTGTACCTGTTGTGATTCAGATTGTATTTTCGCAACAGTATTGTCATCCAAAAATGAACGAAGCGATCGTATGCTATTGTTGTTGCCCATCAAACGTGGATGAGTTTTCCTAGACGGTCTGGGAGGATTCACGATACTGATTGTGCTGTTTGAGACAGATGTTGTATAACTTGGAGTGTAGTTGTTAATAGATAACGATGACGTACTAGGGCGCCTCTGGTTTGTTGTCGATGAACTGCTATTATGGCCTTCATGCTTGGTGTTTATGAAATGGTAACTGTCAACAATGGCCGGGAAAACGAGACATGAAGCGGATTGCGTTGTTGATTCAGTAGGTAAGCGCTGAAAAGAGTTTGATGATGCTGCTAATGGTGAGGACGACCGCTGAGAATAGCTATGGTTGTACTTTCGACGATCAAAAACCTGACCAAATATTCTAGGCTCACAACTCAACGAACATTCCTGCAAATATTTGTAATCGTGAGGCACTGACATCAGGTCTGTTACTGAATGTTCAAAAAACGATTGCAAAGGTCCAACCGCCACAGGTAGCGTGGTTGCTGGCTCTTCATTAGACTCATCAGTGAATTGTTGTCCCTTTTGGCGTTTCCAATTTTCCAAGCTGGTGGTGATCAAATAATGTATAGTTTCGCATTCCTCAAAATTAACAGTATTAGGTCCAAGGACCTTTTTTGTATGTCGACGAAAACGATCTACACATTGACGAATAGTACCAAAAAATGGAAGAATCTTTGATGGATAGGTAATATCACCTATACCATCATCGTAGTTTTGACTTTTGTGCAACACGCGCGCATATTGGGATAATATTGCTTTATCTTTCCATTCGTCTGCCCACATATTTTGAGTAAATAAACCATGATGTGTCAATAAAGGAACCCACTCGTTTCGTACCCTACAAACAAGCTGACGATCTACTGCCTTCCAGGTCTCCCGTAAACGAATGATACCGACAGAACAGACGCCCATAGCGACCGCGCACCAGCCAGTCATATCGCCCAACTGATACAAAGCCAGTCCAACTCTAATCCAATGCTCAAGCAATTGTGAACGAAGAATGTATGCTTCAAAATCTTGATGCTGATGTAGGTGACCCTTCGTTACACTTTGTTCGCCATGCTGTAGGTGATTTTCTTGTGTACTATCAATTAATACATGGTTTCGAATTATTTTCGTCAAGAAATGCGGCGTAATGGTCGTGAATAACAAGGAATTGAGCATTTGGATCGATAGTTGTGGGCGTGGCAGATAAGATAGTGGGTTCAGCAAGTCTTTCTCAAACTGTGAGTATTTCCTGTGATGGAACAAGTATATCTGCTGTGCAAAATTCTGCGGATCAATGGACAGAAATAAGGTGGGCGAGAGCCCAGTGATAAGTATATTAGATAAATTGACAGAATCGCGCCGTTTGCCGTTCCTTTGCTGAAAAGCAGGTATATTCTCTACTTCGTCATTTGGTACACTTTCTTCAAAGTCATTGTTGGCTTCATCATTCGGTGAAATGTGCTTGGTTGTAGAGACTAGAGAGAATGGTTGTAAGGCAAACGTTAATATGATCGCAATAATTAAAACAATATTAAATGAATAAATTTACCCAAGTGGCAAGCGTTCTTTTGTTCATACGATTTCATTGTATTCTCAGCCACTGTTTCGAGAACCAGCTCTTTTACTTGGCTTGCTTTGTCTGTATTAATGCTTTCGAGAATCTCTACCATCCCGGTAGCCACGTCGCCCATAACATCCAATGCGAATTCATGACACCAAATCTCAAAAATATCTAATATATTGTCACTTTTTTCGTCAAGTGTTTTTCTGAACTCATTCAATACTCGTGATCCAGAAGTGAATGTTGGATAAGTTAACAAAAAGACGTATAGGAAATGGAGATGATCTGCTTCATTTTGGCTGTTAATACTGCTTTCGTTCGTATTACACAAAGATAACAATTCATGGATCAATGCGGGAATTGTACCACCTAAGATATGATGGTCGGATCGGAAAATCTGTTGTGTCTGTTGATGCTGATTCTGCTTTTGTTGTGTAGCGTTAGTGTGATTGTTATTTTGACAATCGAAAGAGTCATTCTCGCCTAAACTACTTTGGGACTGGCAATTACTGGTTGGGACCAGGTTATGTTCGTCTGCTGCCAATTGACGTTTGTCATCGTGCTGCAGACTTTGAAGGAGTGATAACCATGCATGCCCAATTTCTCGATTTTCTACAGAATAAACGCCCAAAGGGGTAGTTGACGAGGTGATTGAGTTGTCATTATTATTATGTACATGATAAATATTGAAAAAAAGATGTCCGCTCGCAATAGGTTGTGCATGATGGTGATAGGAAAGGTAGTCGGTGTTTGATTGTATTGAATTGAATGAAAGTGGCGATGAAGTAGCGGGATCCATTATTATTTCTGCTTTTATTGATTGTAAAGGCAATTGCTTTTCTAACCTCCATAAACTGACAGTTTCGCTGCTGCTGCAGTTACAACAAATATCAAGAGAATTCGGCCGTAATAACAAACACACTTGTTTAGTAGGTTGAAAGTTACTCGGATTATGTTCCATGAACACGCCGCCTTGAACAGTGTCATCAACCTTCGATGCTGAAAATAACAATTTTTGAGTTTCTTCGTCAAAGTCTGCTTTACTCAATCGCAAAGAGTCATATCCGGTGCCCATTTCTTCTGTAATAGTACCGGCACATGGGTGCAATGTAATGGTAGGTGCGGAAGAATTGATGCTCGTATTTGATGTGGAGAACGGTAAGCTAAGTGAGGCATTTGAGCTTTTATATGACTGTTGTTGTTGTAACAAGTGTTGATTTCTGTTATTGGCATTATTATTAGCGTTGGAAGATGAAGAAGAGGTAGGAAATAATGAGCGAATGGCCGAATCTGCCACTGCTTTATACAGATACAATTTATGCCCTTTCAGAACTACTTTATATAGTTTCCATCCACGTTCTAATTTACTTTGCTTATGGAATGGTTTAAAATCCGTCTTTTTGAATAAATAACCCTCTTTCAACACAATTAGACTCGTTCTTTTATCATCATCAGCTGTCATTGCTGTGATTGTCCCAACTGTTGATGATGTTGCTATATTTGCGTCGAATTGAAGGGCACCGTCCTGTATTTGTGGCGTTGCTACAGTTGCAGGAGTATTGACTGAATTCCTACGAAATAACGCGTCCGTTGATATAGGCGGTGGGGTCAATGACATTTCCATACCCATCATGGAAATAGGCCGCTCTTTTAGACTTAATCGCTGTGTCGATGTCGATGACGATGAGGAATGGATCGATCGCGGGGCATCCAAGCTGTCAAAAGACGGTTCTTTCCCATTTCGTTTGCTATCTATTGAGGATCTCTGTATAGTCGAATGCAAGGATCCTAAAGACGGACGTGAACTACTATTTGCAGGCTCATGGTTGCTAATGTTGCTACTACTGCTATTGAAAAAACGGTGTTTTAAGAAAGAAAAGGTGTTGCTTCGATGAGAAGTAGTAGATGAGGTTGACGGTTGTGCAGTTGTTGCTGAGCTCAACTCTGCTTTCTTCGAATGGCTACGATTTCCTTGAGAGTGTTTTGACTTCATCGCCAAATAGTGGCGAGTCTAATTAAATATTATGTATTAGAAGGGATTATAGTTTAATGTAACAAGATAGATTAGAAATGAAAAGAAAAAGAAAGGAAATGGGCGAATAAATTATCCGATAAAATATGCGAGGAAAAAAAAAAGTATCACTTTTAGAAGCAGAAAAGTCCTTTTTATTTGATTGCCCAGAATTTGGGTTAGCAGTGCCCCTAACTAAACAATACAAGAGGGTTTCCCTTTGCCTATCGATTATTTGTGAAAGGCTTTTTTTTTTTTTTTTTTTTTTTCTAAGAATAATATAATCTTATTGTTCGAAAGTTGATAATAATACATTTTGCGAATGTGTTTCATACAAGCTCGAATTTTTCTTAGAGAACACAATTCAGTTCTTTGAGATATGCATTTTTGGCAGGATTTAGAATAGAATGGCTGACAATGGGGCGATTTTTTGTATTTTTACTCTGCATGATTGAAAAGGTAACTGACACTTTCGCCGTTGTGCTAAAAGAAAAAGATAAAATTAGTACAGAATGTAGGGAGGCATTTTTACATATTCGAGACATAAATAACTCACAGTTCTTCTAATAGCTTCAGCTAATGTATTTGAGATGTCAATAACTACCAACTTGGAGGATTCGGCCATCTTCTCTTTAGGAATAGGAAAGGTATTGGTAACAACCAACTATTTTAAAGTCGGATTTATAATGTCAATAATGCTGCTAGCCTTATACAACATAACAAAGCGCTTTATGGTTTACCTTATGTACGCTATCGCATGCTTCAATTTTTTGAATAGCATCACCACTTAAAACACCATGAGTGGCAATGATATATACTTTATCTGCTCCACATTTTGTGATTAAATGTTCGGCAGCATCCAAAAATGTACCAACACTGTCGATGATATCGTCCTACAGAGATATTGAAAGCAATACCGTAAGATTGAGCATGAGGCAACCTGTTTTCTATTTGCTCCTTTCAGAGCATTTGCGATACTTTACTGTCAAAAAGGCAACCTTGCCTCTCACATCGCCAACCAATGTAATCGTACTTTCTCCATCCTTATCTGTAACAACAGTAACGGCTGCATTAATAACATCCCCGTTAACGCCGGTAGACTCATTTAATGAAGAAATTGAAGCTGTCAAATCTTCCTTATTGTTGCCATTGTCTTCTTCATTGTCGTCTTTTCCCTTCTCAATAATTTCTTCTTCTTCGTAAACACGCACACGTGGCTCACCTTCACCTGATTTAGGCATGCCACTGTAAGGACGGTTTTGTCCTTGAGGACCCATACGTGAGCGATCCTTATGGATCAAAGCAAAATCTAAACGAAGAGCATCGGCAAGAGAAGTGACTCTAAAAAATTTATAATAGGGGGCAAGAAAATGTTATTTTTACATCCTCATTGCGCTGTTAACTGATAAAAATAGGTCTACCTCTTAGCACCGCCAGCATTCTTTGATACGACAACACCATTTTGCCAATTGGGAACAGTTTGCGTAATCCAACGAGCAATGACTGGTTCAGCGTACAGGTTATCAACAGGACGTTGGAAGAAACCTTGCATTTGAGAAGCATGAAGATCCATAGTCTAATAATAGCAATTACATGTAATCCCGTCAATATTTCTATAATTTGCTCTATTTATGCAACTTTCACTCTATATATAGTTTTCCTCAACTTACAATGATATGGTCGACACCAGCAACAGCCAACATATTAGCAATAACTAAATTTCAAATGTAAATAAGCCTTCAATCTTCCATGTAAAAAATGAAACTCAATTTTTCATGAAGCTATAGATTACGTTTAGCAGTAATACTAGTTCTTCCTTTGCGTTTGCTTTGTTTACAATAGGGGAAGTATGGTAAAACAGCAGTAATACGCTTGGCTGAACCAATACGAGCAGCTTGAATCATAATACAGAGTTCAATAATGTTATCATTCATCATATTTGAGCCTGATTGAATGATGAAAACATCCTCGTTACGAACAGAAACATCTATGCAAGTATAGGCAGTAGCCGCGAAAAAGTCAATGACACATCGTTTGTTTGTCAAGTCGTTAAAAAAGACAACTCACGAATCTCGACGTTGGTTTCTTTGTTGCTGAACTTTCTCAAAGTACAATCAGAAAGTGGCGTGTTGAGACGTTTGCTGACAAGTTCTGCAAGTTCAGGATGAGATGAACCAGCCAAGATTTTGGTATTACGCATGTTGAGAGTTTCTCTGTTAGACAATATAGAAAAGACTGCTAGTTTTTGATTTATATTTTTTTTGACATGTATCAAAAAAATCAGCGCACACAAATTTTTTTTAAACTTCAGTCACGGGGAAATGAAATTGCTCTCCACACAAAAATCAACAAAAGCCAGGTTTCCACAAGAAAAAAAATAAAAAAATGAGATACTTACTGAAACCAAACGTTCGCCTTCCAACTTTGTCATACATGTACTCGGTTCAAAAGATGCTACAGCATACTTTATGTATATTGTTGCGATAGTTATCTTACATGGTGTCTTTTTTTTTCTTGACCTTTACAAGCTGATATGTGTGCAAATAGAAAAATTTCTTACACCTCGGATTCGCATCTATCATGAACTGTCCCAAGCGAAATTGCCACTCATACTGATGCATTGACCTCCATATACTACTCGTATATGTGCAAACATGAGATACTTTAAGTAAAGCAATGAGTTTGTGCGTGTCTTGGTCTTGTTAATTACCTCGTTAAATTAGAGTGGTTAGAAAGTTATGTCAGGTTCGAAGTTACATTACTTATTTTTCCCTGTAAATTCTTTTCTACTATGTTTGAGAACCATGGCTGGTATTCTGGTTGCTCTACAAGTATCTGACTTTGCTTATGGATGGATAGCAGCTACTTCATTTAGTACCGCTGCTTTTTCGTGAGAAATGCATTCTATATCTTGTCCTTGCTCTTTTGCCTCCAATTAAATCGACAAGGCAATTCATCTATCAAGCAGATAACTTTTGTTGCCTCATCATGTCCCTTTCAACAAATTCAAAGGACGTGATGTTATTTTTCAATGACAAATGAGAAAGACGTTACACGATGTGAACATTCTAAAAATTATTGATGATTTATTGGTAAAAGCAGGATGGAGATAAACAGTAATGGTTAAATTAAATGAGGTCGGCAAAGAGAGTAGCATATGAAAACAAAAGTTTTGGAAATGGGAATATTACAAATGAAGGAGAAAATAGAAGTCTTTGTGTAGTTTCTCTCCCCTATGATCTAGCTATTCTTTCTTGATAACGGACCCAGCCATAGTAACTGGAACCAAAGAGGGCCAAAAAGATACCCAAGGCGTTTAAGCCTGAGATTTCGTTTTGGAAGATCATTGCTGCTAAAATAGTTTGAACACAAGACTAATATAGCATGTTACGGTTAATTATTTTTGTCTGGCAATTCATCGAGATTCTAATTTGTTCGTTTTACCTTTGCTGTACCACTGATGGTATTTGTTAAAGCGGAGGTGTATTTGACTTGTAAAAACATAGCAATATTAATACCAAAGCCAGTAATACCGGTGATTGTCTGGCAAAAACGCGTTACAACAGAAAAATGCAGAATATAAGCTATCCAGTACAACAATTGAATGTTTCCTTTTTGCTTCCTTACCATCAAAATCCAGAAGTTGAGCGAGTAAATCTGTTCAGAAGTTGTGATAATTTCACCTAATTCACCAGAAACAATGACCAAAGGTGACAAGAAGATAATGGCGAGGGTAGTGTTATAGTGGAGCAATTTCCTATTTTCCAATTTTTACGCTGTTAATATAAAACATGGCATTAAACTAACTGTTTGCTTAGTATTGTTACCATTGGTTATTGTCAACAGCAGGTAATGTCTTTTGTACAAAGATACCATAAAGTGCAACGAAAGCAGAAGAACCGACGCCATAAAATACACCAGCCCAAGAAAAGTTGATCTCACCATAAGAACCAATAAGGAAACCTAAAAATACGACGAAGCAAGCAAACAGAGCTGGTCGAGAAGTTTTCTTCTTCAAGATGACATAAGTGAACAAAATGGAGAAGTTGATGGATAAAGAACGAGCAACCTTTGTAACATCATGATGTACATGCAGTATAAAATCTTGTTAGATTATCAAAAATCCAAGCAATAAACCCCTCTTTCTGCCTGATCTCTCTGTCCATTTTGTATTTTCGTGTCTCATAGCCAAACACTCATATACGATCCAGGTCATCCAACATTAACAAAGGTACTTTACCTGGTAGAATGTAACTTCGACATATTTTAAGCACAAATTGTTCAGAGCCAACATACCAACGTATATAAAAGTCAAAGGTGCAACTCTCTTCGCTACGTTTGTATCGAATTCATAAGGTGGAATAATACTGAACAATTGGTTACTATGTCCACAAAAACCAAAAAAAAAGAAAAGGGTGTTATCTCCTGCTTATACCCATATTAAAAAACCACAACAGCTCCGTCTATGCCACTACTTTACGTTTTACCGAGATGAGCCCAAACCAACAACAGCACCAAGGCGACAACTAATTGATACCAGGTCACAAACAGAGCATAGGGGAAATCTGAAGAGCCACTCATGATGATCTTGTTCAAAAAGACAACAGAAAGTGAAATAATAAAATAAAAGGTGACTACAGCTGCGATGAGGGAGACAGGATGTTGCTTTTCAACTTTAGCTTGTTGTGCTGAAGCAGGTGGCGGTAAGAAAGGCTCTTCAGCTTCATCCATATCTTTACGATTCATTGGGATATCGGTATGATTGGCTGTAGACGGGCTCATCTTCTGCTTAAATGTGAAGTTACTGAGCGTGTAATAAAGTAAAGATGATGAGAGAAGTAAAGGGGGAAAAAGAAGGAGAAAGGAAAGTCAACAAAAAAATGAGAAAGATTTTGATTTATTTTTGCCCTTTCCTTTTGATTGAGTTCAAAGCTTTTTTTTTTTTTCGCGGGCGTAACCACACATTTATTTTCATCAAATTGGGGTAAAAAAATCTCAAAAGGTTTTAAAGTAGCGCAATTCTGTGCACTCTCTTTGAAAAAGTGAATAGAATCTTGTGTTTGTATGTTTCAAAGCCAGGTAAAAACCCAAATTTTCAAAAATAATATTCAAAATAAGGTTGAAGGGATCGACTACACTCTCTCTTGATTATCTTAGTCCAATACAAAATAGTTTTGCTCAATTTTACATAAATCAGCTTAACTGGAAATGAATGGACTCATGGCAGATGATGGAATTATTAGTACACATGTCTGGATGCATTATGGAAGTACTCATTGATACTGTGAAATTGATTCATCTTTTTCTGTTGGGTAAATTCTCGGATGATATTCATCAATAGGTTTCGCAAATATAGAATTGAAACGAATGAGGGGAAATCTAAGACTTGGTTGTAAGCCCTTACTGTTTTGTCTTTCGGAACTGATGCCTTCGAAGCGAGATTAAAAGAAAAACCAACTTGGAAAGAGCGATCCTTGGAACGCTCACTGTTGCTCCCGAAGAAAAAATTCAGGGACTTTTCCTGTCACCCAATCACAGAACTACCATAATCAATGAAATTTTAAGCATGAAATAAGCTCACTGATTAATTCTGGACTTTCTATTCACTTTGTCGTTTTTGCAACTGTTTTCAAGCAAAGTAGTATGCGTGTATTATGCGTTGCAGAAAAACCTAGTGCAGCCAGGAAGATTGCAGAAATTCTATCGCAACATGATTTTAGAACTGTAAGGCTTTATTTTTTCCTTTTCCAAGTCTAGTGTCGTGTTCCTGCTTCAATCGATCTAAACAAAGTGATGTTCATCAATGGCAACACTTTACTTTTGTTTAGGAAAACACTGAAGATGTCCATGTGAAAAACTACATTTTTACCTATAACCTTAATAATCGGCCAACAACTTTTGTAATGACAGCTCTCAAAGGACATGCTATGCAACTGAGGTTTGCGGGCGACATCAATAATAACTGGCAACTTTGCCCGATCGAAGATCTCTTTCAGGCACGTCTTACCAAAGAGATACCCAATATGATGAAACCACTGATGAACAACATCCGTAACCAAACGCAACGTGCCGATGTTTTATTCGTTTGGACCGATTGCGATCGAGAAGGCGAGGCGATTGGTGGCGATCTCGCCGATTATTGTCGAACGATCAAACCAGGCATATCTGTATGGCGAGCACGCTTCTCAGCCATGCAACCAGCGGATATTCACCGAGCCGCTCAACAGCATGATATATTAGATATGAAGCAAATATCAGCAGTACGAGCGCGATCAGAATTGGATTTGCGTATTGGCGCAGCATTCACTCGTTTTCAAACCTTACAGTTACGGTCGTATTTTCAAAATAGCAACGACAAAAAGGTGCTCAGTTATGGCAGTTGTCAGTTTCCCACCTTAGGTTTCGTTGTGGATCGTTATCTACAGCATGAAAACTTTGTACAAGAAGAATTTTGGAAAATTCATATGGTTTATACTGAAGAGCGGGAAAATGGCGAAGCACCGTTGTCGACCACTTTTAAATGGAGAAAAGAACATGTATTTGAAAGATGGGCTTGCTTTCTATTCTATGAGATGTGTTACGAAGCAAAAATTGCTCGAGTAACCAAGGTGAATGCCAAGGAAACGCAAAAATGGAAACCCTTGCCGTTGACGACAGTGGAATTGCAGAAAACAGCTTGTCGTGCCTTACATATGTCAGGTGCAGAAATCATGACAGTAGCAGAAGGACTTTATACTCAAGGTTTTATTAGTTACCCTAGAACCGAAACCGATCAATTTGAACCGGGTTTTAACTTTACCGCTTTGATCGAGAAGCAAATAGACGATCCTGAATGGGGACAATATGCACGAATGTAAGATAAAAAGGACAAAATTGAAGTCACTCCTAAATTGTTGATTGTGCTGACATAAAGAGTTCTTTTGAATGTAGTCTAAAGGATGGAGAATTCCAAAGACCCCGAAATGGGAAAAACAATGATAAAGCCCATCCGCCTATCCATCCTACGGCGTACACAAATTCGCTCACTGGAAATGCCAAAAAGGTGTACGAATTCATTACTCGTCGTTTTTTAGCATGTTGTTGGAAGAACGCTATAGGTCATGAAACATCCATCGAGGTACAGATGGGACCAGAGTTTTTTGACGCCAAAGGTTTAGTTATTCTTGAAAGAAATTATCTGGAAGTCTACCCATATGATAAATGGAAAGGAAACGTTATACCCGAATTTCAAGAAGGAGACGAATTTGTACCTGCGACATTAGAAATGGTATCTGGTCATACCACACCACCCAACTTGCTGACGGAATCTGACTTGATTGGTATGATGGAAAAGAATGAAATTGGTACAGACGCCACTATTGCCGAACATATCCAAAAAATTTTGGACAGAGAGTATGTATTTAAACAGGGACCGTATTTCAAGCCTTTAACATTGGGTATTGCATTGATTTTGGGCTACGATCAAATCGGTTTCGAATTTAGTCTCAGTAAGCCCTTCATGAGAAGAAAGGTGAGGAAAACCAACCTTACTATTTTTATTTGTGCAGCTTGCTTCGACTTACACCACCTTTTTCTCATGCTTCATTAGATGGAAGCAGACTTGAAGGCTATTTGCCTTGGGACTAAACAGTCGAATGAAGTTCTTCAAGAAAGCTTGGAGAATTATCTCAATATGTTCATGCAACTGAGGTTAGACTTTTCCATTATTAAGCGTTCCATGGAGGAGCATTTTCGACAAAGTGAGGATCGTCAATCAGCTGCGAACAGGCAGCAAAATCGTGGCTCTGACCGCGGTGGATTTGGTGGCAGTGGCTTTGGACGAGATGATAATGACGATGATACTCATAACCGTGGTAGTGGAAGAGGAAGAGGAGGGAACAGGGGAAATAGAGGAGGAAGAGGCAGAGGCAGAGGCAGAGGAGATCGAGGCTCAAGGGGCTCTGCGCGTGGTTCACATGTTCCTCGTGGTGGAAGAAGTGGTGGTCATAGTCGAGGCAACACAGCGGCAGCTGATGGCAGCAATGATGAACCACCGAGATGTGAGCATGATATACCTATGGTTTTGAGAACGGTAACGAAAGAAGGCCCCAACAAAGGAAAGCAGTTTTATACTTGTGCAGATAGCAATCGGTGCAACTCTTTCATATGGCTTGGTCAGTCAAACTCTTCCTTTAACAATACATTTGGAGGAAGAAGTAGTTCAAGCAGCAATTTTGATGGGATTAATAGCATGCCAACACCGAATTGTGACTGTAATAAGCCCAGCGCTGAACGTACGGTACAGAAAGAATCGCCGAACAAAGGAAGATCATTTTATACTTGTGCTGCTCCTCGTGGAACTGGTTGTGATTACTTTAAATGGGCTGATGAAGCTTAGTCAACAAACTTGTAAATATTCGTACATATAACCCTCATATACACTACAGATACCCCTCAATTATACACCACATATCCTAATCACAATTTTTACAATAATTGAAAAAACTTTGGCTATAAAATCTACTTGTATATTTGTGCAGTATTCAGTCAAAAGTAACTTCTTATTCGACGTATAATGTTCAGTTTTTTTAGCATCCATTCCTCTTCTGCTCTTTGAATCATGTCCACAACATCATTCGATGTTACTGTCGTAAGCCCTCCATCCAGAATATAATTCTTGGCAAAGGTATATTTCCAGACTACCCGCGGGTCAATGCCAGCTTTTTCTAATTGCATCTGCACACTTTCACGCCTTGACAAGGCATTGTTCAATCTTGTATCTTGTAGTAACGCTGTATTTTCTAGCTCAAACAATTGTTCATCTAGTTCATTAGTGAGAAGGTATTTAAGGACCGTTTCCGAATGGATATGGAGATGCATATAGTTTTCCCTCTTGTCTGATTTGATTCGTCGTAAAAGTGCTGATGCTAGCTGCTTATATCGTTTGGTATAAATTGGCTCGGGAATAACGTCGGGATTCATACCGGCGATCAACCATGAGAGGTTAACATGAAGTGAATTGATACGAACACATATAAATGGTGAAAGCGGACGTTGTCTAGATAGAACTTCATCAAACAATGTATGAAACGAAGATGCTATGATAGGGTCTTCGATTCCTTGTAGTTGAGGCTCGTTATGATGGTTTCGTAGAATATTGCTGTTTCTATCATTACTTCTGCGCTCTTCACGCTCATCGAACAATAGCATGGATGATGATGCTTTTGGTTCTACAAATTTATAGGAATAGGTCATAATCATTCCTTTATCGCCTAGGTAATGCAATCTTCCATCTACATCTTGATGATTAAGAGACGGCGATAACTCGTAAACTTGCTGTAAAGACGGATTAAATTGCAAATGAAACAATACATGAGCGCGGTCAGCGAGGTCAAGATGATCCATAAATGCTGGGTTGGCTTCTCTTTCGCACCATTCACCGAATATGATCTGTGCTTTTCCACGACGCTGGAAGTAAGCGCCATCATAATCTTCCCCATCCTCAATTTCATTTTTATCTTTGTTAATTCCATTACTATCACTACTTGTAGTCTTATTTCTATTTACGTTGCCACCATTTTTCAAGATAGACTTTTGCCTTCTCAAATAATGACATGTTTTAAATTCTATAACTTGATGTTCTGCGTCGTAGCGACATGGTGTCATGTCAATAATAGTCCTTCGACCTTTTTCATCTTCCAATTTTACATGTATGTTTTTTTTGCTAGTTTTACACCGAAGATATAAATGATATTCGCATAGCTGTTTCCAAGTCTTGTTTACCGATCGAATACGATAGACTTCCATATAAGAAAGGTTTGAGATGACTTTGTCGAATATTTCAGGCGCCAGCTCCATTTGAATTTATTTTTTTTATAAGATATATTATACTTGTTGGTTATTTAAAAATAAAAGCAGTAAAAAAAGGAAATCTTTGGTGGTTTATGTGATGCATAATGTATGTGTAACTCGCATTTTCGTTTCTGAAGTTTTTGGGTTTTTTCTCATTCATCACAAATTTGTGAATATCCCTGCAACCACCGATCAAACACCTTTGAGCAATCAAACATCGGTTTGCCAAGTTTCGCATTAACCTTATTGTGCTGTCTGCACAGCCAATCACTCAATTTTCTTCGACTACCAACACGAATAGGTTCTTCTTCCATCTCTCTCTTCAAGTCTTCCTAATCATTAGTTCAACCATGGAATATATTCACTATTAAGTTTCATTAACATGAAAACCTGCAATCTTTTTCCATCAATTTTTGTTTACCCCCAAACAAGGATAGTTTTCGAAGAATGACTTCATAAAGGCCCTCATTGAGTCCATCTGTGATGGAGCTGGTCTGTCAGGATAATATGCTGCGGTAGTATGCAGCATGACCCATGCGGCTCGTCCTAGTGTTACAGCATCTGCTGGACAATTGTCAGAGCGCCACGTATCATTATTTTTCACTTTGATTCAAAAAATGTCTCAGCGTTGAAGTTCATTGTCATGTTATGCTTACTAGCAACACAAAGAAAATCTATAAAAAGTTACTTTACCTTCGACATTGTCATTTGGGTATGACATGTGCATCAAGTTGAGCGAAATGAAAAGACTCTAAATTATGAAAAACTGGCAAAATTTTCGTCTCAGCCCAATTGACAGGTTCTACCCCGCAATACTAAATTTTATCACAGAGTTTATTTTGAGCTTTTAAATGCAATCATTAACGTTTCTGTTTGGGCAAAGTCAGAGTAAGGTGTACTTAGTAAGTGTAAGTCATGATGGAAAGGCCTTCTAAAGAATAGAAATGCTCAATCCTACCTAAAGTAAGAAAGTATAATTTTAACACCGAGTATTATTAAAGACTGTTGAGATAGATTAAGAAATATGGTACAAGTATAAAGTTGATGAGAATAAATTACAGCTAAAAAAAAGGGGAATATTTTTATATGGAGTGGCTTTATAGGGAAACTATGCATTGCGCTTCTTTTTCGGTTGACACACGCACAGAGTCTATGGAAGCCTGTTCTTCGACAACTATGGGACCGTCCTTTTGTGCCAGATAGCGAACAATATCCTCCTTTGCTTTGTCGACATTAATGAACCAAACGATAATCAAAGATAGTACAAATAAAGCAAGAACAAACGGCCATCCTTTCCATAAGTTGTCGGTGTATTGAGTAATAGCACCAATGATCACGGGTCCAACCCAAGAAGAGCCTTTGTTAATGACACCGAACAATCCAAAGAACAGATTTTCTCTGCCCTTGGGCACCAATTCAGCTAACATAGTATTTTGCCACGCCCAAATAGGAGCTGTAAACAACCCGGACCAGACATAAAAAACCCACAATTCCCAGGTATTACGGATGCCGAAATTACGAAGCCCAATACCAAAGCAGCCCCACAAAGGTATAATGCCTGTCAAGGCAATAATGATCATCAAGTTGGTTTTGGTTCGAATACCAAAGCGTCGAGAAATCCATAAAAAGAATAAACAGCCGAGGATAGAGGTAACAGCTGAGGCGAGGTTGAGAATGGTGACCTGTTGAGCACTGAAGCCTGTGATTTGAGCTTGTGTAATAGCGATCATCTGATTTGTGGTTGAGACAGCGTCAGAAAACATAAAGTAAGCAAAAATGTATAAAAAGAGATAACGTAACTTGCGAGCCTCTTTGATGGCAACGAAAACAGATTTCCATCCAATGGTGAAATGGTTGGAGTTGCTGGGAAGTGAAGGTCCTTGTCGTTTGGAGGGAATGGCTATGAAATATGGAATAGCATTGATGACCCAGAAGACACCACATACAGCGGTTGAAATGAAATTAAAGAGAGGCACGTTGCCCAAAATATGGGCATCATCAGCGTAAAAGTTGTAGTTGTTCCAGGCAATAAACGAAATACCAGAAAGTAGACCGGTCATCATCAGGAATCCAACATTAGAGAAGACAGTGGAGATGGCGGATACGTGGTTTCGCCATTTTTCTACTACGGAATCAATCTCATCGTTTGATAGGCCAGGGTCAGCTCTTGCTTTACGTACCACAGGTAAATTATCACTATTATATTGACATGATGATAAAGAGATCAATATCTCACAGCACTTCGCCTTTTGATTTCTGTTTTTGGTCGTCACTATCCTTCGTGCCTTTCATCAACTATTTTTTCGAATACTTTACCTGATTGTGGGGAATGCGGCGGCATAAAAGACCAATGAGGTACCGTATGAAATCAAAGCGAGAATCATGATACCCAGCATAGCATTCCAGTGTGATCCATCGTCGTTCATGAAAGCAATAGGTACAATTTGGGTTGCACAGCCGATGACAGTAGCGATCAATAAAATATACTTATTCCATTTACCATAGTCAGCCAGACTACCAAATGTTGTGAAGAGAAGGAATTGAATAGAGAAAGAAATTGCTTGCACATATAACATCATTGCCGACACCGGAATACCAGAAGTACCTGACCATGGCACGTAGCAATTGTCATCCGAATTATGGATATCGCAGCCTTTGATGTGAGGAGTCTGAGGATAAAAACCACCTTTGTAAGCCAAGTACTGAAGGATGTTGGGCATGTAACTATTCATTGTATAGCCGTTATCCTACATTTAATAGTATCGATACACATCAGTATCAGTATAATGGTTTTTTTCTTGGCCTAAGGCGCCTCGTGTATATGGCAAAAGGAATACACACGCCATTATAGTAAAGGTAATAACCCCACAGTTCCCATTTCGTTGCCGGAGGTTGTGATAGCACTCGTTTCCCTCTTTCTGTGCTTGGATCAATATCAATGTCTGTAGAATCATCAAAGGGAGATTCGAACAGTTTTAGTTTTAAAACCATTTGTCAATTAATCTGCAGAACGGTAAATGGAGGATGAGAAGAAAAGAAGAAAGAACCAAAAATGTATGCAAAGCGTCAAAATAAATAGTTGTTGTTCATACAAACACGAAGATCTAAAAATATAATCTGATCCAATGAGCAATAACCCTTCTGATATCTGATTTATGAACATGCATGTACATAACAGGTAAAATTTTATATTTTTGAACACAAGCAAACCTTCAATTTTCCCACTCAAATAAAGGATCACGAACAGGTAACTATAAAAGGCTCACATGGAAATTGCAGGGTTCAAACAAACGACATGATAACATAATCGTTAAAAGACCCTGAACTGTCTTTTCTATAGGTAAATTGAAGTGTTGAATAGCCAAAGAGAGGTGGCAATAGATAAACTCTACCAAATTATGCGCGTATCCCACACATTTTCAAGATATTATGCTCTCGAATTTGCAAATAGTTATATCACTCGTGTTTGAAAGACCCAGGCTATAATGCTTCTCCAAGAACACAGTTGACCATTTTGCATTGATGATTAAGGGAAAAGTTCCCTAAAAAAATGTAGATTTAGATGAATTTGTGCAGGGTTTATTCGAAATATTTGTCCAAGAAAAAAAAAACCAACCTCAAATGGTTAAGGTTTCCCAAATCTAGAGCGCAGAGCTGACAGAAAAATCAGATGTTACGGTAATACATTGCACAAACTACTTATGTAAGATGGAGACTCACATAGAAAGCATTTATTACTAAACTGCTGCTATGCTTTACCAATGAGCAATATTGAACAATTCAACAAAAAATAATGGGAGAATTTTAAACTGTTCATGTCTGCATAGAGAAGATAGAGAAAAGCCAGAGGTTGCACGCCTCTTCCACCCCAGATTTTTCACTGTCGTGGAACGTTTCCACTTTGTGATTTGGTCTATATAATATTGTTCGGCTACAAGATCATCAACATTATACCATCCTTTCATTTCAAGAAGATGTTACTGTAAAAAAAAAAAAAAAAAAAAAAAATAGATGATAAGAGTTTTTATTAATCTTTTAAAGAATCATGAGCAATAATATATAGAGTTTTGATAAGGTTATAAGGATATCAAAAGCATGTTTGTACACACTTTAAGCCAATTAATATTTTACTTAAACGTGCTGATATGATTTATACAAGGTTTCAACTAACCAATTTACTCTTCATTTTTGTTGCCTAAAAGTATTTTTCGATACGAGAAATCATTTCCTGAGACTCTTTCTCATAACTGATGGGTGTGACTTCAAAAGCATTGAACTTGGTACGAGTTAAATCCTGTTCAAGTATTCAATATCAAGTTGTTGATTAGTTTCTTAAAATAACCCTATACTGCTCGTATGCAGAAAGTAACTTACATTGAAAGTTTCACGCTTCGCTCTGATCTTGAAATTATAGACACGCCACAATGCCTTGTTAAATACGTTTTGAACTTGTGCTGAATCTTCTTCGGAAAGTTTCATCAATTCGTTTGCACTCATACCGATTAAAACACCTGAGACTTCATCAAACGCATTAACATATACTTGACCGGTGCCATCTTCAACGGACATAGTTAAAATGTAGCGGTACTCCGGAGATGGGTAGGTCTTTTGGCACTTTTCGCAACGCCATCCTTCGGTTTCTAAAACTACCTTCTTTCTGCATGTAGGGCAGCCAGGATAGGCAAAACTGTCAGTTTTATAATAAACAACAGTACCTTTAAAGGAGAAATAATCAGGATTATCATTGGTACCGAGACCCTGAGATTTGGCATCCTGTAAGGTAATTTTCTTGTTGGTACGAACAGAGCCTTCACCCGCACCGTCAGCAACGGCAGAAGAGCTATAACCAGTAATCTGAATATTAGGATCCTTGTCTGCATACCATTTACTGAGTGCTTCTGCTTCGGGAAGGTCTGGATTGATCTTTAATAAACCAGCACTACCCAGTGATAAAGAACGACCGCCAAAGTCGCTAACACGAACGCCTTTCACTGCCACTACAGGATTAGTCTGATCAGCAAATTGCTCGGCTTTAGCATCCCATAATGTTAGTTTGATGCGCTTAAGAGACTCGTCAGCAATCATCACATCCCTTTTCTTCATCTATATAGTGTAAAAGCAGGGGGGAAAAGTCAGCAATGAGTAATAACAGATTACGATAACTCAAATATCGATTGTTTACTGAACTTACGGGCTTTCCTGTCACTTTGGATACGAGTTCATTTATTTCGGACGATTCCACAACAACACCAATGACATCTAATAACAAAACCAAACAGAATTGGTCAGTCTCAATATCAAACTGTACTACCACTAAATCGACAACAAAAAGTAATACTTACCAATATTAGTATCCTTGGGTACTCTGTCAATATCAGCAATTTTGACGAAATCGAAATTGATTTGAGGAATATTTCCTGAATCCGGACACTATCATTACAGAGATGTAAGCTATGCTCTTCATTATTCCGTTTCTTACTCATTTCTTTACTTACAGCTTCAATTTCAGTAGCATTTTCAAACTGAAGTTCATATTCATTGTTTAGTGTAGAAAATTGTTTCTTGGCCATTGTAACGCGTGCCTTGGAGATATAGTACACCTTTCCTTCTTCCAGCATGTTGTACAAGCGATCTACTTGATCATTAAAAGCAGTTGCCTTTATTTCACCGGTAGTGTCGAGGAGATTGACGCTGAAAAGTTGTCCATCACCTCTGGCGTTACGCCATTTCTTGATATCTGATTTTTGACTTACTCGAGCCTTAATATGCCAACTATTTCGAGAGGTAGAGAGTGTAATCAAACCAAAAAAAAAAAAAAGGGAGAGGCATAATATATGTTTAGAATATTAATATTGCTCGGTTGATCAAATTTTCTATTTCTTCGTTCGTTTGTTTACCGGCTTTGATAAGGGTTTAGATTTCTGATAGGCGTGATGTTGGCTTCCAATTGCATATTGGCGCTAGACGAAAATGGGGTCATGCTAGCATTGGCACTAGGAGCTGGTCTGTTGACGGGTTTAGTACCGTTCGTATTGCTAACGCTGGTGGTTGCACTCGATCTGTTGGCTGCCTCTTCAAGATTTGTGGGTGAACCAATACGAGACTCGACATCGGTTTGAACAATGTCAAACGATAAAATGATCAAGAGTCTAATTTTAGGGTTGCAGTGAAGTTTAATGAAACTATCGAAAGTTCTTCTGCATAATTTTCTAACAGACTTACTTTTTGTTTTGCAATGGATTACAAACACAATCAGTAATCTGAATCACGCTGTGTTTTTTTATCAATCCGTCGTCAACTAATTGTGCGTGCTGCGCGGCAAGCATTGCTATTATTCAATAAAAAATTCATTTAGTTTGTGAGCCGTTGAGACTTCAGTCTAGCCACATTCATATATCACCTTGCATATAGTGGACACCATCAGAAACAATAACTCTGTATATATGATATATAAGAATCAGAAAAATTACTTTTAGAGTATTTGAATAAAGTAGTCCTATTACCTGTAGCGAGTTCCGCCATTTACATTTACACCTTTGATACTGAGCAATTGAAGTTTAGGGTTTTTATGAAGAGGATTTTGCTTGTCCTCGTCATACAATACTTTCAGGGCACCTTCAGAAATTTGTGGCATCGACATCCTTCGCTAAAATTCTCGGAAGAAGAGAGACAATGGAGGAAAGGTAACTACGGAGAAGAACAAAAACGCGCTTGGATTTGAACGGTTTTTTTAAATCGCGCGAATTGTTTGACGCGCATTGAAAGGCGATGTTCGTAGTAAATTCTCAGCTTGTCTATGATAAAAAGGGGTCTTCAAAATCATTTTTTATCTTTTCTTACTCGGGTTTAATGTGGAGTGTAATTGACTGCACGTTTATAAGCAATCTATTTAAGATGCCTGGTGCAATTTATACTGTAAACAAACCGAGGGATTATTGATACGGAAATGATTTATTTGATATCAAATTGCTTAATGGTGATAATGATAAGTATAAAGAAAGTAGGTATCGAATAAATAGTAGAGTTGAATGATAAAAAGATGCTAATGCTGCTGAGAGCGCAAAGTTGAAGAAGACCGCAAAAAAGAAGGCTCGCTATTAATCCATTTACTCCACACCATTTGCATCTTCTGTAGGTTCTAACAAGCTATACTGTTTCAATAAAACGCATTCGCCTCCGCTTTCCAGGTCAATATTATACTGGTAAAAATAGCCTTCAGAGGTGACAACCATGACTTGTGGTGTCGTGCTATCACATAGTTTATAAAGCAAGTCAGAAAATTTTCTGCTAATATACCCTTGATTATCGTGTATAAACCTCAAATTACCTGCTAAGAGCAACTAAACTTCTCACACCTGCGCTTGGCAGTTTAAGTGATGCAAAATCACGACTGGGCTCCCAGATTTCGGTAACAACATTAGGTAGGTACGAACCAACACTTCCAGCTAAGTTTCTGCCTAGGTGCATGGAAGAGCGTCGAAGCATTTGTCTATTGAATGAGCAAATTTTTACTAAGTATAATCATATCCTCGGCATTACTACCACAGCAATTACTACCACTTTACCCCACACTCGAACTTCTCCCTCTTGAATCCTTATCGAGACCCTGTTGCTGCTGCTGCTGATATTGGTGATCATAGTTGTATCCATTGCCGTTTGCTCCATTCGATGCGTTGTTTGATGTGGATAGTTTAAAGATATGCACAGTCTCAGTATCACTTGAAACACACAATAATGAGCTGACAAGATTAAAGGACATAGAATAAATCTTGGCAGGGTAAGATCCACGTCTAAATTGGTATACTTTGGTCGCATCCAAAGTGGAGAAGATACGAATGACTGTGCCCTTTTCACTAGCAGTAGCCAATAGAGTACCTTCTGAATTCATCGAAATACAACTGATAGGTGATTTGTGAGCTTGAATAATATTGCTCGTTTGTGATCCTAAGGCATCAAATATTTCAACATCGCCGGAAATATAGTAAGCATTGGATGAGCCACTGTTTGGTGAAAACGGGGATGTTGATGAGCGAGCAGGATAAGCAATAAAACAATTTTCACTGGAAGAAGACAAAGCAACGATGGCATTTGGATTGGGATTGGTATCAATAGTATGAAGTAATTTCATGTTGCTGATATCATATAAAAAGATTTGCTCCTCCAGTACGACAATCAGTCGCCTTCTGTTCATTTTCACGGCTAAAATGGCCGTGGGGAAAGACAATTCGCATATCGTTGTTTGTCTCTATAACCATATCGAAACAAGGTAATGTTGGGCATGCATTTAGTATATGTTTCTAGAACCTGCATCGTCTGTAAGTTTATGCTGTGTAATAAAAAAATAATACCTTTGTGTTTATAATTTGCAGTTGTCTTGGTGAGAAAGCGGGGTGTTCACCCGCCCCAACCAACGCCACAAGTGAGGTACAGAACAGCATCTCAACAATACCAGTTCCACCCGCCTCTATCCGAGAATTTAGCGGTTGGCTTTTTAGTATGAGAAACTTTGTCACGGAAAAGTGGAAAACTGACTAATGCTTTACGTTTAGAGTAACATTTTCCAAAAGGGTCGCAATTGTAAATTCGATAGCCTCTTTCAGTGCCGATGGAAATGCAACTGAAATCTTGATTAAAATTCAAAAAAAGAATCTCGTTATTGCTTTTATCGCCCAAATTCATATTCAAAAAGCTGTAAAGTTCGTCAAGAGGATATACAGTAAGAAGACGAAAAGTCGCAAAGAAATAAAAGAAAGGGGTAGTAGACTGGAAAAAAGAAGAATCGCCTGACAAAAATTATACAGCCAATCAAAATCAATAAATGGCCGAAATGATACAGCAAATGTGCATAAAAAGATGAAGGAAAGACAGGTGTCATCTGCTTCGAATTCAAAGCCTACATGTGATCGACGCACCTTTCTTTTCAATCCTTCTACAACACTTTAGCATACTTTCAGTTTACAGTATTTTTCAATCCTTATTTCGGCTGTTACATTCATGATACGCAGTGTCAGTGTATAACAAAACTGTCAGGTTATGCCCGTTTGTCTCTATCGAAGGTGTTCTGCTACCATTACTTCACTTGACTGATAACCTCAAATCTGAATTCAAACGTTGTTGGAAAAGCGTTGTTGATCAAAGCAGTACATAGCACCTACAGTCCCTCCGTGAGTTTTCAAAGAAACTAACCATGTTTACTATTCTTGTCGAAAATGACCATCACGTATCTGTCTTACAGAATCCCTTCAACTCTTTTTATTACAAGGAACTGGAAAAATAGTGTTGACAATCTAGAATACAGCTTCTCTTTTGTAAAGTCATCACGCTCCGCTAAGTTATTGCTTTGATACAACTTGAATATTGTACTTCTTTTGGAATTCGACGAATTCTTCTTCCTTTCTCTTATATGACTGCAATAAAGATTCTATCACTTGTTTGATCTAATAAAATCAGAAAAGTGTCAACATAGTTACAATCTTTCTTAGCAATTTTTGGCTCCTTACTCCATTGAAATTGGTTTCTAAGGCTGGTAAAACTTCTCTAACTGTTCGTTCAACTAATACGCCTCCTACCATACGAAAACATTTACGATCGGGCTCAAGTGGTGAAATGCTATCGATAACAAGTCTAGAAAGTGATCGTTAAATATGTCTATTTTCTGATGCGCCTACCAAAGTGTTTTGGGTTTGTTTTTTTGTTTTTTTTACTTGTGTTCTTCAACTTCTGACTCTAATTCACCAATCTTTTGTGCTAATTGCTGAAGCTCGTTTTTATATTGATTATACTTTAACAAAAGAAAGAAAAAAATATTATTAAACAGCTGAAGGTTTCCAACGTTCTTCAAGTTCTTACCTTTTGCGTTAATTCTGCGTCAGAAGGTCTTTTGTCAGCCATTATTGGTTAATAGTTATGTGAATTGCGATCTTGCCACGCGAGATTCAAGTTACTGATCTAAAAAAAGCGTAAAAGAGTAAGAGAAAACTATCTGTAAAAAAGGGGGGCGATTGACAGCCAGCAATTTTTAAAGTCAACAACAAAACTATGGTTGAGCAGTTATACACATTATTACGGCAGCAATGCTAATTCCATACGCGCCGTTACTTAGTAGAAAGGTTCCTAAGACTTTTCCATAAATAAGCCGAACAGTAGAGTAAAAGACGGAAAAGGAAGATAGCTCCCAAAAGAACAAGAAGATGAAGAGGAAACCGATTCACTCCTACTATCTGTGCGTGTCTTCTTTTTATTGTCATTATCGTTGCTGGCTTTGTTTTTGCATTTTTAATAAAGATAGTCAAAAGCCTTTTGGTCAGCATTTACATATGTTTTTGTTAGCCAAATGCTAGTATAAACGGCTATACCATGGGCAACCGATCCGACAGGTGCTATATCACTCTATGTGATTGTCTTTCCAGCGGACGGCGGCTATGATTAGGTTAAAATGATTTTTGTTATTATTGGGAGGTTAAAAAATAAGGTAGTAGCCATGCGCAACGACCAACAATAATGATAAAAGAAACTACAGACAGAAGTATTGTTGCTGCTAAAGTATGCATTTATTTGGGTAGCTCTAAGTATTCTGATAAGAGTGAGTAAAGTTACAGGTGTAAGCGTTTATGCTATTTTAACGTTCCTTGTAAGTCTTATTGTTACTAATAATGCCTGAATCTGGGCTTATCATCTGTAGAAAAAAAGGTCGTTGAGCCATTTGTATTACTGTTAAACGAAGTATAAACGAAAGAATTGTTGTTACAAATTAGCCTACCGTTATTATGGAAAGCATCTATAGTATTGTTGTTCTACTTGCTCATACTGCAATAATTTTTAATACATTGGTAAGTGTGTCTTGGGATTTTGCGTAACTAAATATAGAGTAACCTTTCGAGTCAATGTTAGGAAACATCAACAGAATAGATGATATATTGCATAATATAGCTTTGAGGTTTTAGGCAGACGATCGTAACTGTATTTACGGATGTACATGTCATGGCGCCGCAAAAAAAAAATGCATGATGATAGCGAGAGTTTAAGGCACAATTTGAAACTCGCCAAATTTTTTGGTTTTCTCAGTTCCTCTTTAAATAGATCCTTACCTCAATGAGGACGAATGAACATCAGTCCACGTCCCACCTAGCTTCTACGCCAAATACAAAACGCACTGTTTCCGAGAGTTCCAGCTATTTTAATTTGCAAAAACAACCTGAAGAAGAAGTTGTGCTTCAAACACAAGAAAAAGGATCGCTTCCAACTCGAGCTAATCTCAAAGCCATTAGCAGCCTTGTAGAGGCAGCACAAACCGTTGTCTTTACTTCGGTCTCCTTGCAGCACACCGTAAGTCGTTGTCTGAATTATATAGGAAATGATAGCCTTCATATGGCTTTTTCAGCTTCTTTACAAAAAGCAAAAGCGAGTACTGAAAAAGTGGTGCGTACACTGGCTGTGATAGAGAACGATCCTGCTACTCCAAAAATAGTGCAGGAACTTCCGCAAACAGTCAGTTTTTGTATACTTATATTGAAAGACTTATGCTCAACTTTGAGGACAAGGCTGTCTATTTTAGTTCAAGGATTTGATGCGAAGCATTCTCGGCATCTACTGACGAGTATTTACAGTGCCTCTGTAGATATCAAGAGTGCATGGGAGACCGTACGGCCCTACTTGACGATTGACCCTACCTACACATTGGCCTCTCTACGATCCATGAATGCGACTCCCTTGACGACGCCTATGAAAGTCAGATCACAACAGGAATTCAAGACTTCTTCAGCAGCCAATTCGCCATCCATTGTAAAACCAGATAACAGCCAACTTTATGCACAATTGAAGATGCTAGTATCCAGTTCGTTGAATGTCATTGGCTTGTTAAACCAATCTATCGGAAAAACACTACAGAATAATAATTATCAAGGAGGAGCAGCGTTGGAAGGGAAGTTGAATGGTTTAATAAGACAAACCCAGTATGCAACAGAGTTGTCCCAGTCGTTGAGCAAACATTTAGAGGTGATGATGGCAATGAAAAACGAGGATTTCTTGAAATCACCAAGGCGGAAAGAATCAAGTAGGCGTATGTGGGAAGACACCTCAATATATTTAAAGGTAGAGGGACTAGCCAGTATGGAAAATAAACTTGATAAAGAATCCAAAAATTTAACTTTTTTTTTTTTTTTTTTTTTTTTTTTTGCTCTTATTTTAATAAGGCTATTGTAAGCATTATGACTTTGATTCGGTCAATATCAACTGAAGAGGATTTTCAATGGCCAAAACCAATAAAGCAGGGATGTTTGTACGTCACTCGTATGTCGGCAGAAGTCGCTAAACTATGGAATCGCTCTAGCACTTTTGCTGAGGATGGTTATTTTCTAGGTAGACAGTCCTCATCGAATACTTCTTCCTCAGCCAGCACTCCCGCTGCTGTCGGTGGTCCTGCAACTCCTGCCACGGTCCTGCATCATCATGCTATAGATATAGAGAGAAAAGGCAGTAGTTCCAATACCTCTGAGCAGTCTTTATCACCTGCTACTGCTACTATACCCAAGCAATAAAATTTCCCTTCCCCTTCCCTTTCCTCTTTTTCTTCTATTTTCTATTTTCTCCAATCACACTTTTCAAGGGCTGTCAACTATGCCACCTCTTTTACTATGCCGTAGTATACACTTTAAACGGATACCGAATTATAAAGGCTATTGGACAGAGATACTCAATCGTGCGGTCGATCCCGCATTACAGCAGCAGCGGCCTTCGAAGAGTGATTCTGCGAGATCGCCTATCCCCATTCCTTTCATTGAGCTCAATGACAATGTGCAGCCTATACCCGACAAGATGGAAAAGCCAAAAACTGTAGTCTATTTTAAAGGAAAGCCCATCGAGCTTTTACCGAAACCAGAACCACCAGATAATTGTTGTATGAGGTACGTCAAAGTCTTTCAAAGTGGGGGGGAGGAAATCCACAGGTTGGCGGGGGGCGGGGTGGTAACGCTTTCATTTGTTGAACCTTTAACGAACAAAATTTTGCATCTGTAGTGGTTGTGTGCACTGGTAAGAGAAAAAAAAAAAAAAAAAAGATGAAGGGCTTGTTCAAGGGTAAGTCTGTATTGACGGGAGCTTATAATAGCGTTTGGGATATGTACGAAGAAGACATAGAAGAATTCCAAAAAGAGAGAGAGGATTTAAGAAATAGATTTATAGAAGCGGGTGAGCCTATACCAGAAGAATTACAAAAGTCAAGCAATAATATGAATGAAGGGGAGACGGATATAGACCCAACCATGAGAGCCTTTTTAGAGATGGAAAAGAAGCTAAATAACAAAAATTAACAGATGAGAGAATCTTTGCCTATTTATTTCTTTATTCAGTTATTGTAAAATCAAAAATAAAGAATCCATAATAATTTGAACACAGAATATCAAAAGGTGAACAAGAAAGAAACAGATATATATTGTATATGTCATCCACTTTAGTAGGTTAGTGGAATTGTAGTAAATGTATTAGACGTCAGACAGAGGCAAGGGGAGGATATATGTATTATTATAAGTAAAATTACAAGGGTTTTCTATAAGTGATATGCTATCTAATAAGTACAGTAGGATGAGGTTAACTCCAGACATCTTCTTGATAGCGACCTGTGCTTCTCAAGCTTTTTACATAGTCCTGAGCTTTCTGTTCTTCCAAGCCACCAAAGCTTTGAGCAAATTGAACAAAGGTCTGATTGACGTCACGAGCCATATGCTTGGCATCACCGCAGACGTAAACATAAGCTCCTTTCTCAATCAAGCTCCACATTTCCTCTCCAAATTCCATCAAACGATGTTGAACATATATCTTTTTATCCGTTTCACGAGAAAAAGCAGTAATAATACGAGAGGGTTCTCCCAAAGTGTCAAAGAGCTCGGGCCATTCGTTGGCATACAAAAAGTCCTCCGCAGAATTTCGGCAACCAAAGTAAAGGATGGTAGGACCTACAGGCTGACCTGCTTTCTTTTGCAGAGCACGCTCACGGACAAAACCGCGAAACGGAGCTACACCGGTACCAGGGCCTACCATAATGACAGGAACAGTGGGGTTTCGAGGAAGTTTGAATTGAGAGCGACGGACGTGAACAGGAATTTTAGCCACTTTGTTTTCTGCATCGTACAAGGCATCGCGAGGACCACCCAAGCTGTATAAAGGAACATCCGGGTGTGGTTCCAATCCATGGATGGCCTCGTGTAATTTCCACAAGTAATTTGTATTGACACCGTAGACAGTGCGAGGATGGGATGTTTCAGGAGTATATTGTAATGTGACGGCCGTCACGGCGATGGTCTTGGGTGATTCTTTGGATGAGGAGGAAATAGAGTAATAACGGGGTTGTAAACGAGGAATGCTTTCTACGATCAAATCGAAAGGAATGGCTGAAAAACTACCCTCGAGCTCCATCGACTCTGCGGCGGCCAGCATTTCCAACACTTCTCCCAAGTTGCGAGTGACATCGGCCACGCGTTTACGGTATTCCTCTTTGTCAGAAGCCAGTTGACGAAGTAATTCTTTTGATTTTTCTGAAGGTGCATATTCAGTCAAAGACATGAGTGTTTGGCGCGACACGGCAGAGCAGATATCCACATAATGACGGAAGATAGCACGGTAAGTGGTAGGAATTGGGAAAGGGGACTTTTTGGAAGCAGCTGCATCAGCGGCCTGAACACGGACAGCTGTATCTAATTTATCCATTAACCCTAATGCCTTGGCAAGTCTTTCCACTTCTACTTCATTGTTGGTTGGCCAGAGAGCAACATGATCCCCGGTTTGGTAAGTGAGGTTGGTGTTTGAGATATCAATTTCGAGGTGTAAACAATGACGGTCTCCGCCCTGAAATAGCTCTTTTGAAGTCACTGGTGCATTGTAAGGACGTTTGGCGTCATAAACGACACGACTAAATAATAGATGAGAATGTAGGATTTCATTGGGGTCAGTCAATTGAGATTGGCTCCTTTTGCGATTGCGCCGGGGGCGCGGTTGAGCGAGAATACTTACCCTCCTTCTTCGATCCATTCAGCCAATTCACCGAGATAAAGTTTTGCCTTATCAAAATCAGTCAACTCTTCTACAGTATAAGTAGCTTGTCGGGGGCCGGATGGAGCATTGTTTTCGTCCACGCCGAGGGCTTCACAGAATGCAGGCCACATTTCTTCTTGCCAAGCCAAAAAGTCTTCTTCTAGAGAGCCATCGTCATCACCTTCACCACGTTCGCCGACTCTGTTGGCACCCAAGGCCAACAAACGCCTATCAATGCTACGTATCACTTCATTATAGTGTTCGTATGTCTTATTTCCCAATCCGAAAGCAATGTATCGTAAATTCTTGAGGGGCTTTTCGTTCTCTTCTGCTTCATCAGCGGCGGCTGAGAATAAAGGCTGATCCTCAGCAAGCATGTCCCAGAAATCAACAGCATTATCGGTGGGCTCGCCTTCACCATAAGTAGCCATGACAAAAAAGACCAAGCAGTCTTCAGGTACAGTGTCAAGATAGCTGAGGTCGTACAGTTCAATATCAGCGGTCATCGCACTTACTCCATACTTTTGTGAGCATTCTTTAGCCAGTCGTGATGCATAATCTTCAGCAGTGCCCGTTTGAGAACCATAGAAAAAAATGACTTTACGGCCCTGTTGACATGAAGACATGGGATTCTGTTAGATTTCTCTTTTTTATTCCCTTGTTTCATTGTATGACATGATTGCACACATTTATATTCTCTTCCAACCCAACTCTTTCGGCTCTCTACTCCCCCTTTGCGCCCCCCCAACCTCCTCCACCTTTCAAAGAATGGGGTCTATGGTATTTACCTGTTCCTGCATCACCTTGACAAAATTGCGCTCTTTTTTGACAGGTGCAGTTTTGAGATCACCATCGGCAGGTTTCATCGCTGGGTTTTTACCCGATCCAAAGAATCTGTCAGTAATGTGTCGTCGACTCAACCATGTAACGGTTCCTAGGCCTAGGACAGCCAAAACTAAGATATCCATCGTGTTGAATAGATGGTTTGACGTTGATCTTGCCATTGTTTTTTACAAGTGGAGTCTTTTTCTGTTAGGTCACTGTTCAAGTTGTGTATAATGAGATAGGATAGTTATAGATAGATGAGACTAGACGTTACAGTAAGGTGCGCAGTCAGCGGATAGTTGTTGTAAAGGAAAAAAAAAAAAAAGAAGAATAGAAAAAGGGCAGCTTCTTATAAGGAACTTGACCTTTTTATCTGATCTTTGTGTTTTTCATTATTTTTTTATTATCTCTTCTTACACCCCCCGCTGTATCCATTTTTCCAGAATTGTCAGCCCCACAGATTGCAGTTGTGCTTTCGGTAAAATCGGCCGCCTGACCTTTCCCTCCTGAAGAATGTCGGGCTTTCGTTGGTTCATTTTTTGAGTCGTTTTCATATGAAGGTTAAACTATTTTTTTTTTAACTCCACTGTTTGTTGAACCCCACTTCGGGCACCGGGAAACACATGAAAAAATAGACGATTGCATAATTCCTAATGAAACAAAGTTATTACGGCTATCTTTGTGCTGAAGGTTTGTTTTTTCCAACACCTTCGTTTTCTTGCAGTACAGAAGGATGATGAGAAGGATGATCAGATAGAATGACATGCCTTCCCTAATGCTTCGTATGGAAAAACACATACCTATGGCGATAAAAAGGAGGACATTTTCCAACAGACAGTGTGCCTATCTATCGATAGACGGCAATGCGTTCCTCAGAGACATTTGCATCTATCGTTGAAAGGCAAACTCCTCGTCATCACTTGGAACGCTTGTGAGATGGTGGGTTTTAGAGAGTACAGAGTTCCCTTGTGCCAACGCTTTTCTTTGCTTTGGTAAGCTTTGTGAATTCACAAAAGTAGAGTAAAGCCCTACTCTGTTGCATCTCTCATTTTAATGTTCCTATTTTCTGTTAAAGAGAACAACACCTAAGCAAGCACATCTGTTTTTTTTAATCTAAGGTCTGCTTATATTTTATTTACAAGGTTATATATTGACTCCAATACAAAAAAAACAAAAAACAGATGACGTTTTCTAGCTTTTGTCATTCAATAGTTCAGTTAACCTATTCATAATGAGACGGGCCTTCTGTCTTTCTTTTTCCTTGCTTTCATCCACTGATCTTTCTGTTAAAAATAGATCATTCATGACACTAGGATGGGATGGTTCAGCTGTGTTAGAAGAAGGGGGTTGTTCTGGTAATGAGGAGGTTTCAAGCGATGTTGTTGTCGGTGTGAAAGGTGTAGAAGAGGTGGGTGTATGCGTTGTCGTGTGGTTCGTCGTAGTATTGGCGGCGGTATGCGTGTGTGTTCCTGATGACAACAGGAAATCAATCGAAGTGGATGGACTATGAAGTAACGGGTTCAAGATGATCAGAGGTGTTCCGTCTTCGTTCATCGTGATGCTTTCGACATAAAAGTCGTGCAGTTGATTACGATCATTTTTGTTGGCTTGTATGAAAGAGGCGTATTCTCTGGGTAATAAAGCGACGATGCCTCCGACGGCGACGGCATGTCCGATAAAGTAGTCTACTTTGACTGGATTCAAGATGCGGCCTTGCACCTTGAGTGGCTCTTGGGGTGGAGTAGCAGCAGAGTAAGTAGGGCCCATCACAGGCCTCTCCTGCTCAAATGTCACATTTAAATAGTCGTATATCTGCTCTCGCACTAATTGTTTTGACTTGACAAGGTGTTGGAACTCGGATGCACGCTTTGCACATTGTTTTTTAAAGTGGTTGAACTGCGCGGGGGTCATGGCCATTACGTTTTGCAACTGTTTGTCATTGTCTTCTGTTACAGAAGCGGCTGGTGTTTTGGGCTTTTGAGAGACACTAGCATCAAAATTCTCTTTCCATCGTTTCATAAAGAGCACTTGGTTGTTGGCTGTATACCAAGGTGTTTGATGCTCTGCTGTATCCAAGTCTTTGATCGTGGTATAATCGGTTCGTATGACGGTAGGCAGATTTCGCTTCAGACCCCAATCACCTATTTTTTTAAAATTTTTTGTGGTTGTATAGACTTGGTTTATTGTCCGGTCATAGCTGGCAAGCCTTGAACTGCGAAATAGATTGGCAAAGGCATGGGTGGTTGTCGATGTGGTCATGGCTAATGGTGTTGGAGAAAGGGTGTTTCAAGTCGATGGCATCGACTGGAGATGGGTGGATTTTTTTAGGATTTTTTTTTTCCCTTTTCCTTCTTTTTTTGTAGGGCGAGAAAAGTTATCTATTTGGCAATAGTGAGTGTGTCATTAAATCTGTCAATGCCCCTTGCCCTTGATCAGATTGAGGAAGCGGAGTTTAAGGTTCGGTGGAGGGGAGTGAGGGAGGGGAGGGGTGGGGTGCGGTGTGTGCAGGAAAGAAGGGGGCGACTACTTGTCGTATTCTACTATTGTCTGTAGCCGATGATGTGGCATTGATCTGTGGCATTATCTGATCTCAAGCTGTTATGCACTGACGTTCCTTGGTGCATTGTACTACTGTTACGGCTGCAGTTGTTTTTTTTGTACTGTTTACTGCTCATGAACTGTTCAAACAAGTGATGCATCACTACTTTCTCACTATTCATTGATTCCTTTCAACCCCACTTCTTTACACATAAAGATGAGCATAAGGTTAAACGCTGAGAGACAAACCAGTCAAGGAGATTTCAGTAAATCTTTAAAAAACCTAGAATTGAAAAAAAAAAACCAGCCAGCTTGTGTCTCTGCCTTTTGATTTTTCAAACCAAGTTTTTCCATCCTTTGTGGCCCTTCTCCAACTCACTCCTGTCTTTCATGTTCCTTTCAATCGGTAGGGTGATTGCCATAGTGTAGCTATTTTCTCTCCTTTGGGACTTGGGGGAACAGCAAAAGATGGGTCAAGAAAAAGCAGAAACAATCCCTTACAAAGCACCACTCAGTTACTTGGAGAGTAGATAAGGGTTCACACCACAGTTGACGTCAGTGATGGCCTCCTTTTTGGAAGGTGGAAGGAGTGGTGAACAACAGCAGCTGAGTGGCTATCACTGAATGCATGATGAGACACATATTTGCATTGTATGCCAAAACTGTTCTTGTGGATAGAGGAGCCTTTGGACACGTAAAAATGCAAAGGTATTGTACCGTATAACATGATTGGCATCATTTGACTGCATCGTTGAACTTATTGATTGACATACGAGAATACACGATCTTTGCCAAGTGGTGAACCATGGGGGGAATCAACGCACTCGCGTTTTTTTTTTTTTTTTAAAAAAATTATTATTCTCTTGTAACTGCTCAAAGGGTACGATGCAAACTGTAATAAAGTTAGCGTTCTGAGCTATTTCACTGATGATGAACGATACATGTATGCTGTTGTTGGAATAATGTAAGGCTGATTTAGAAATCAATTTGTTTTCAGGCAATGTCTGGTCTAATCGTCGACCCGTAGCTGCTTACCCTATGTTTGAGGTTGGACCATCGTGATTTATTAAAGTGCAATGCAACGTATTGACGTGTGCATGGTCGCATAACAAGCGCTGCAGTGCATATTAGATCCCAAGCAGGGAAAGGCTTCCCTCACTCGATCTATGACCTGGCATGTGGTGGAAGTATAGCTGTTTCTTGGTCGTATTTCATGTCGCCTTGAAGTGTCCACAGAGGTCTCCTTTTCCCAAGGTAGAATTTCTAGCCTTTCCTTTTATGGTTCATGATTGAGTTGATGAGCGACCCATAGGATGGATCGTGGAAGAAGGATGGTATATCTCTATGATATATTAATATATATATATATATATATATATATATGTGTGTGTGTGTGTGTGTGACATTTGAATAATAGTGCACGGTGCATGCTTTGAGATGTCTAGAACATACATGTCGGTATATGATGTGTGTACAGAACAAAGCGAAATTCAGGAGAACAAAGGTGTAAATCATACGATAAATGTCCTTTTTGTACAGACAGCACACACGCTTTACGAAAAAAAAAAAAAAAAAAAAAAAAGTATGAATCGGTCACATACCATATTTGTCAATCCTTCAGGCATTTCCACTTTTTTCTTTTATTTCTTATGCAAACCATAGTGGGTATCATCTAGCCACCTAATGACAGCTAAAAGCTTTTTTGGTAAGATGACTTGGACATAAACTGCCAGTGTAGCTCTTGACCATGTCAATGGCCAACCACACACACATTGTTCTGATCAGAATGCATTGATACGGATGAAGGTACAGTAATATTATTGTCAAGATGAATGTTAAGCTTGCATGGTTATACAAAAGACGAGCTTGATCTATTCAGGAGGAACATAGTAAATAAGCAAGCAAGTAAGTAAGTGAGTGTGTGAGTGAGTGAGTGAGTGAGTGAGTGAGTGAGTGCGTGCGTGAGTGAGTGAATGACTGGCCAATGACCCGGGGGGGGGAGGTGCAACACGTATAAGCCTAAAGAGGAGACAACACACATTGATAACAAGAAAATAGAATAAGGAGAGCTCAAAGATAGCTCTCTCAAAAACTATATAAATAATAAAAAAAGTCGATCTGCAATTTATTTCATTTAATTTCTCTTTTTTTTTTTCTTCTACAAGTCTATCACAAAGAGAGTTTATTCATTCATTCACACACACACACACATATCCCTTATTAGACAACATTTTATAACCTAGAAGAAACAACACATGCCATCTCTCACATCCATCTTTAGCAATAATAATAACCAAAAGAAATGCTGCTGCACTTGTGGATGCCATACTCCTGCACCCATCAATACCGCCATTGCACAGGAACAATCACAGAACAGCAGCAATATCATCCTATCACCAACGCGCTGGTTTCCTCGTATTCGTCGTAGATCATCTTCGAGTTCATCATCTGCTTCATCCGTCGAATCACTCACATCTTATTTCTCGTCCAATACCTATGGCAATAAAGATGAAGAAACATTGTCCAACGTAACAAGACTCTCTGCAGAACTTGACGCAGTTGACCACGAAATAAAGCAATTGAATGAATTTCAGGACATGTACAAACTAGCTGTAGATGAGGTATGTATTGATATTCATCCAATCATCCAATTACCAACTTGGTACTCATTGACAACTTGTCTATATAGATTGCTTATGCTACTGAATCTCAAGGGTCTATCTATTACAATGGTGACCTTTTAACAGCTACAGAAGCCGTCAATGCATGTCTAGACAAATTTCGAAATATCTTGCTCAGTATGAAGGATACCCATAGATCTTTTAGATTTCAACAAGATTGGACAGATACCTTATTTGCATTAAGAACCAAATTAGATGGTCTGCCTCCTGGAGAGTCAGCTTAGAAAGGAAACGCATGTTCATTCCCGACCACTTATGATGATTTCTCACCAAAAAAAAAAAAAAAAAAAAAAATAAAAGAAAAAACTTGCCTTATCTATGTATACCCCGCTCAAGCTTACTTTAAGAAGAAAAAACCAAAAAAAAAAACCCCCAAAAACAACGTAACTCTCTCTATTCTATCAACATAGACAACTAGAGTATTTGGATATTTATGATACTTTTTATATACAGTATATTTCTTTTACGCGTTCAATCTTTGTATACCTCTTTTTTTTTTTTTCTTTTCTTTTTTTATTCGTATTCCCTTTTTATTCATGCAGTACATAGACGATACCTATCTATTTATATGTATGCCTTTCTTATCGAGAATAAAATAGATGCTTAACAAGAATGTGTGTGTTGTCAATCGAAAAAAAAAAGATAAGGAAAAATGACCTCATCTACTTTTCGGGATTGTCTTTCTTGGGTAAAACGTAATTGTTGAATTGAACGCGTTAAATGAGCCACAGACAAAAATGACGACAGCTACCTTATTCAGGGTGATGGTGTCAAAAAATTAAATATGTATAAAGTTAAAAAATCACCAACAACAAAAAGTTTGTTTATTTCTGTCTCTGCACGCATAAAGGTTTTTTTTGAAATTCCGATCAAAAAGGTAGAAAAAGTCGGAACGGAGATTCTGTTAGTTTTTTTTTTTTTTGAAATCGGCCCATCTGTATAAGCATAGAACAATTAGCACACATTAAGAATGATCAAGCTTAACAAGAAAAAAACCAGTTCTTGGGATCAACCCAAACCCCTTGATTTGTCATTGTTTGTTTACAAGGTCAAGGGACACTGATTTGTATTTCTATTTTTGAAAAAAAAAAAAAGCTTAAAGAAAAAAGCCGTTCATAAGATTTCTTCAAGGTTAAAAATGTGTAAGCAATGGTGTGATTGAAAAAAAAAAAGAACCCTTTCTTTCAAGCGGGAAAGGAAAAGAGTCAGCGGAAAAGGAAAAAAAAAAAAAATTGTATAATTCTTTTTTTTTTTATTTTTTTTTTTTTTTTATAATAGTATTTCTATTCCTCTCTCGTTTTCTTTTACGTAGAGCATACACCTCGTCTCATACACTCCCTTCTAATTCATTATTTATTTTTTCATGTCTTCATCGACGATCAAAGCCACCGAGAAGGAAGTCTCGCGCACAAATGAAAATGTGTTTTTGTTCATACCTAACCTCATTGGTAAGTTTGGAAGGTCATGGAGACGCAAGGAATGAATGAGTAGCAAAGAGAAAGCTGCAAAGACAATTGATGCATGTTTTTTTTTTTCATTTAAATGACGCAACATTAGGCTATACACGAATTATCTTGGCTTCATTATCATTGTATTATATGCCATGGCATCCAAAAGTATGCGTAAGTTTATATTGTATTTCTTGTTTATTGGATGCTGTTGATGGGAATGCAGCAAGACACTTTAATCAATGTAAGTGGTTGGACTTGGGGTTTGAAGAAGAAAGAAGAACATGCAAGGAGTGAGCTGATGTCCTTTGATAAAATAGGCAGTAGATTCGGAGCTGTTTTAGATATGGTGACAGATAGGTAAGTGAAAGGACAGGGAGAGGAACAGGACAGCTTTGACTGATCTATTTTTTTTCCTTTTTGCACGGGTTAGATGCACTACGACTTGTCTTTTATGCTTTCTCTCGCTTCAATATCCTCAATGGACGATTCTTTTCCAGTTTTTGATTTCGCTTGATTTCAGCTCACATTATATGCACATGTACAGGTAAAAAGAAATTAGCCCCCTAAGGAAATGCACACCCTCCGTTTGTGTCTCTTTTTCGTTTCCTCATCCATGATACACACACCCTCTATACAGTTCAATGATTTCTGGATCGTCGAGTCATAAGAAAATCAGTAAAAAGCAAAGCTGGTACTTGCAGATTTATTATACCAATAATGTAAGAAAAACTCCTTATGAAGAATGAGCAGATAGAAGATCAAAAGAAGAACTCTCTCTCACACACACACGTTTCTTGACCCAAATGATAGATTGTCTTGTTTATCATGTGTGCCGGCAATGAACTCTTTTTTGTTGCACTCTACGTTCTTAAATTCAGTGGACCTTTAAACAGTAATGTTTCAATCTACTTTATCGCCTATTCAACATCCTCCTGATCACCTTTTGCTCACACACCCTCTCTTTTTTTTTTTTTATTGTGTTTAGCGGCTTGGTATATCGCTCTAGGAATCACAGGTGCCATATGCTTTGCAAAACAATTTATCAATATTGTCCAAATTATCAATGCCAGCAAAACATTATCCACGATTGATAGAGAAGAAAGAGCAAATTTGGGAATCAATAAATTAAAGTAAAAAGCCCCTTCATCGCCGCTCGGTAGGATAGTGTTGCAGTTTATATATATTTGTCAGTCTCCTTCGTCATAATAAAAAGGCTTGAAATGATAAAATGGGTTGTACACAACAAAAAGAAGGATCATGTTGTCACTCAATCACGAATGACTGTAACTCAAGAAAACGTCCCTCATGAAACTGGAACTAGATCCCAATACTGTTTCTTTGTACAGTTCTACAGTTTATATTGAGACGTATTCAATCTTCCTTTTGGATGAAAGCATAGTTTTTGGTATTATACCTTTTCTGTCAAAATGCTCAATGCCCGCCTATGCGACCTCCTCTATCGTTCTCGCTCTTTTTCTGTTCTTAGAACACAACTCAATCAGAACTTTGTAACCATCTTCGAACAGCTAGAGGAGCAAGACATCCTTTGGGAGGCTTAGAGTTCGAGCCTAGTGATGAAGATGGCCTACTATGGCCTGCTCTGCCACATGAGGAACAGACAACGTTTTGTTCTGCTCGTTTCTTGCCATCTTTCAGCTTCCCCCTTTTTTTCATGTCTTCTTTTTGATAATCGCAGGATCTATCATGCCTCCTTCATTGAAGATAGGATCAACAAAAACGGATAGAAGCCTCTGTTTCATCCATCTTATTTACAAGTTGTTGATCCTATAAGTGAGCGCTAGACGAAGGAAAAAGAAGCAACACCAAAGACATTCTATTCGACAGTAATAATGCTCTGTATACCGCGTGTCATCGAAGCCTGAAAAACGGTTACCTCAGAACATTGAAAGGGGGCTGGATCAGGCATGCCGAAGGGACAGACGCGTGCAGAAAGAAGCGAGTCTTGAGGTAGTATACTGAAAGTGTCCGAATTCAAAAATAAATAGTCACTTGATTTTCTTGAATTTGCTTAATGGAAGAATCCCAATTTTCTTTTTGCAAAAAAAAGTTCCAAGTCAAAAACCGAAAATACAATAATTACAAAAAAGGAAAAATGGGGTTTTTTATTTTTGTTGTCAGCATAAAATCATCAGAGTGGGATACAATTATATATTTCATGAAAAAAAGAATATCGTATTGAAAAGGTATAACGAAAAAAAAAAAAATAAAAAAAAAAAAAAAATCCCTCGTAAAGATATCTTTTTTTTTTTTTTTTTTTTTCTATTTTCCATAGTCAGAAAAATGAGAGTACTTACATTTAGGATCATGACAAATACCTCCAGTAGTTTCAGCGGGACATAATGCATTTTGAGGTTGAGCATTGGTATTCCTTATACCGAGGGAGGCAAAGGCTGATCGATAAGGTCGGAAAGCTTTTCCATTTGTAGTATTTTGGTTTGCAAAGGAAGGTGGTGGCGGTGATGGCACAGAGGGTGGTGAGGGTGAGGGTGGTGCTGCTGCTGACGTAGAAGGAGATGGAGACGTTGGCTGTTGCGGTAGAAGTTGGGTCACTTGTTGAGGTGATGTATGATCACCTGCAATAGCCTTTTGTTTTTTCTTTTGTTCAATCTCCCCTTCCTCTGGACTTTCTCGTCGTCTCTTCTCCTCCTTTTCTTCTTCGGCAATAAGACCATCAATATCTATAATCTCGATGGCTTTTGGATGCTGAGTGCTTTTGTTGAAAGGCTCAAATGGACGTGCAGGCAGTGACATTCCATGAGCCTGCTGCTTCTTTGACGCTTCAGTGGGCGAAAAAGAGGGTGATTTTGGATCTGAAGCAGGCGTCACTGTTGTTGAACTCTGGTTGGAAGGTCTGTTGTTCACAGCAATGAATTGGGGAGGCGTTTGAGCAGCAATGTGTTGTCGACTCGTGTGTTGCTGAATTGCTGATAATTGTGATGAAAATGGTCCCACCATGGTAGCAGTAGCAGTAGCAGTAGCAGCAGCCACAGTGAGAGGACCACCTTGGATGGATGCATCGTCCTTGGATGGCAGCATGGCACTGCCGTCCGGAATATTCAAAGTAGCCATGGATATGCTTTGACGCTGCCCATCGGTGGCGTTGTGCTGCGTCAGTGGCGCATTCGTCGCGCCCTCGACTTCATTGTCACTGATCATTGGATTGTCCGTGGATGGCGTGTTTGCCTTACCCTTTCCCCTTGCCTTTTTTCTCCGGTTTTTTTTCTGACTGTGACTCAGGTGCTGCTGCTGCTGCTGCTGTTGCCCTTCCTGCTCTTGCTGCTCTTGCTGTCCTGGCGGTGGCGGCGGTGGCGGCGGTTGTGTCTCGACCCTTTTACCTTTCTCTTTCTTTGCTTGCTGTATATCGTTCTGCGACATTTTTGTATCGGGTTTCTTTATGGGAGAAGGCGCAAGGGTCGCTGATTTGGAAGGCTTTTTTTTCTTATTTTTGGTCATAGAAAGATTGACTTCCAATCTTAATAACGTCGTGTTCAAATCTTTCAGCGTATGTTCAGCCATGTTGAGTTTGTTCTGTATTTCAGCCATTTTCGTCTTGGCCGCTGCACTTTGTCCTTCAAGTGCACTCAGTTGCCTTTGAACCTCCCCTTGCTGTTTCTGCTGATTGTCCAACAATTTTCTGTATTTACTGTTTTCCCTTCCTTGCTCCTGCACTTGTTGCCGCAGTTTATCTATCAGTTCCTGTTGCGCTTTTTTCTCTTTCCAATAAGCCGCTGTCATTCCCACATTCGTCGCAGCCATCGTCGGTGTCGTCGTCATAGAAGTTCTCGCCAACTCTCGCGTGTCCATAAGACGAGGTGAGCTAGGTGGCGTAAAGAAACGATCACTGTCCTCATCGTCTTCAGCTTCTGCAACAAGGTTGTCGTCATCATCATCCGATATAATAATCGCCTCTGTATTCTGAGTGCTCGTTACTGATGTCACATACGATGGCTTTTGCATACTAACTACCTTCTGTGACGATGTCTGTTTGGAGGGTGCAGATAAAATAGGTTCAACTTTGGGTATAATGGGTAAAGGATGTGCATAATGATCTCTTACGTGTTGACCAACTTTTCTTGTAAAAGAAACGGGTGCAAGCTATTTCATTGAGGAGGGGCCAAGTGTTCGGTTATTACCCAGCAAACGTGAAGGAGAGCACTTATCCGATCAGAGTAACTTACATCAACACCTTCGTCACCCAGATCAGACACTTGATCCCTTTTCAAGGCATCAACAGTCATCACAGTGTCATCTTCACCACTTGAGACATCCATATCAGAGGATCCGCTCTCTATATCTGAAATGCCATATCCTTTATTTATGTTAGTCATAACTCTATGACAAAGCAGGGAATTTTAGCAAAGAAGAGAGAAGAAAAAAAAAAAAAAAAAAAAAAAAAAATAGAAACTGAAATACAGAAATTTTAGAGTACAGACATCACTGAACGCCTTCAGCACACCCGCTTCTGGCCTTCCTTTTCTCTAAAATAAAGCAGTAAATGACATCAAAGCACTTGAACAATAGGATGGCTCACATAGCAGTTAAATAGATAATAATATATTATAATTTATTCGCTTTTACAAGTATAAAATAAATAAGTGGTTAAAATAAATGTTTCTAGTACAAAAACATTTGTTAAAAGTGTACGTTTCTACGTATATGTATCATTACGGGATTTTCACAAGTAAAAGATATGAAGGCTATAAGAGTGAGAATATTAGGATGATTAATAATAATAAAAAGTTAAAGGATATATAGAATAACAACGATAAGTGTAGCAACCACCCCCACCCCACCTAGGTGCACACACACACACACACACACACACACACACACATCAACAGCATCGACTTTTTTTGAATCGAGAGTCACTACTTGTCAACGAAAAGGAGTTACTCTCGTTCATATCCAATTCCATTTGAGGTATCTTCACCATCCGCGCAATATGAGCAAAAGCCTTCTCCACATGATCCCCATTCTTTGCACTTGTCTCGAAGCATGGAATCTGCATCTTGTCACTCGAATGAGTTTCTGCCCAAGCTCTGGCTTGTCGTCTCGATACCACTCTGTCATCTATGTCTATTTTGTTTCCAATGATCAATAAAGGGAAATTCTCTGCTTCTTCTGCCGGCAACGATGATTGCTTCAGAAAATCTTGTCGCCAACGGTCTTGACAAAGGGCCAAAAAAGGTACATTAGAAACTTGTCTGCTCGTCGAATGTTTAGTGCTTGCAAGTTACCTAAATGCTGGAATGATAAATAGTTGTTCACATCGTAGACCAGTACACAGGCATCTGCTCCTCTATAATACGCAACACCTAGGGACTGAAATCGTTCTTGTCCTGCTGTATCCCATATCTGCATCATGACTTTTCTACCATCGTCTGTTTCGACTTCTTTTGTAATAAAATCAGCACCTACAATGGATGTTGATATAGACAACACATAGGTGAGTCCTCCTCTCCTGCCCACTTGGTCTCAAGTTGGTTTGTAGATTTACCTATGGTTGCTTTATAGGCTGTTGTGAATCGTTTGTGGATATACTAGATAGAAGATGATTTATTTTATTTTATTTTTTGTTCGATAGTCAATAAAACAAATGTAGCTGTCCATAGCATTGAATGTTAAACCATCAACCTGATTGAATAATATTTACTTGATTTCGAAGGCTAGTCTAATAAAAAAACAACGTAAATACATCTTTCTGTCGCCTATCTTGAATGCCTGTTTTACCTCCATGCATAAAAAGAAGGATATTTACTTTGCCCACACCACCGTCGCCAATTAGCACAATTTTAAGAATGTCTTTGTGCATGTCTTATTTCTGAAAAAAATGAATTCCACTGTAAAGGTTCGAAAAGGTGCTTCTTCTTTTTTATTATTTTATTATTGTTATTGCGTATGATTTATTGATTTAAGCTTATTTACAAAGGCAAAAAGAAACAGAATAGAATTCTAACTAATAAAAAGTACAGCAATTTTTTTTTTTTTTTTTCTTATTATGACGGGGAGATCGGGGAAAAAAAAAAGTTAGACCCGAAGAGACTTATCATGTGATCTTTCAACACAACCCAAAAAAAAACCCAGCAAAAGGAGGAAAAGAGAGATCTGAAAAGACGCAAAAGAATGACGCTGTTTGACGGAAAAAGAACCTGCAGCTTTGGTTTTAAGGTTGCTTAAAGACAGTTCCATCCGGCATTGCAGCAGTAATAGTCGTCGCCGTGAGCTGAGATACCCTCGACTCTTCAGGAAAAACAATGTCGAGTGTTTCCACTGTAAGCGTGCGGTCGTCAGGGAGTTTGTTTCTCTTGTCAGATGGCAGTTTGTTCTTGATAGCACTATCGCGACTCATTTGAGTATCACCGGTGGTCGTTAAAGAAGAAGAAATACAAGAAGCACCCAACACATCTATATCATTGTTTTCTGCTGCTGCTGCTGCTGCTGCTGTCTTTTTGTAAGCAATTAACCTTCGATCGTCACCAACATACAAATAAGCCAGTGGAATAAACGAAAAGAAAAACGTACTCAACAGAGTGCATAACCAAAAGAAGCCTATGGAAACGTAGAGATAACCGGCCATGAGAGGTCCTACGCACATACCGATCGCATAAGCGGCGTTAAAAAGAGAATAACTCCTCGCTAGGCCGTCAGACGAATGCGCGGGGTTCTTGTTTTCTTTCTCTACAACTTTCGCAATCTCAGGGTAGACTGCGGCTTGGCAAGCTGAAATATTGATACCGCCCATGGTAAGTACAGGAATTAACAACCAGAAAGGACCGTGTTGCGCATTTGGATAGCCAATCATAATGCAAGAGGGTGTAGCAAGAGTCAAAGCGACGAGAGCGACAATTTTCGTACCATAACGATCACATAGCCAACCGCAAATGGGACTAGCAATAATGGACGGAATCATGAAAGCAAGAACGATAAGACTACAGCCAGCTGCATCAAAGCCCCATTCTTGAGCCATACGCATCGACATGACGGGCTATTTCCAATACAAAAAAAAAAGAAATCGATTGCATTAATAATGAATTGTGAAGGAGTGAATAAGAAATGTCTGTTCAAACCCTACCTCGAAAGCACTAATAACAATAGCAACAATCATGGTCAAGGAAAGCGATACAATGAGTCTCGGCTGTTTTAGTAACTGAAACCATGTAACCGAAGGCTTTCGAACTGCTGCTACTGCTGCTGGTGTCGCTTCTTCTTGTTCTGCTTCTTCGGAGACCTTCTTATTTGGGAGACTACCTTTTTCGATGTCATTCTGTTGATCCATGGCCGCTTGCGTGGCATCGTTCACTTTTGTATCTTGGGAAAACCATTCAGGAGGCGCACTTGAGCGCTCAATCAAAATAAGACGCATGATCATGTCTAAACCACTCAAGCACATGGATGCAATAAACGGCGCTGCATGTCCTAATTCACTATACAATACTATTACGACAATGAGGTCGAGAAACAAGAAAAAAAAAACAGCAGAATATGTTAGTTTGTCATATTTGACTTGTAGATCTTCATAGCGATCATAAACGTGTTATCTAAAAAGAGAGAAAAAGCAATATTTACGTCCTACAGAAAATAATACAAAGGGTCATCAGTTGTCTTTATGTTTTTCCGTCTGTAGTGTATTTCTGTACTAGGGAAAGCCTTACCACCAACAGGCAACCCAACCATCATGCCTAACGGATAAAAACCTACTAATTTTCCCATTTGTACGCCGAGTTCTTCTTTGGGCCAATTTTCAGCTATTAGGCATAGACACATTGTCCAGACACAAGCATTAGAGGCACCTTGTAAAAAACGAGCTACCAATAGCATAGGATAGGTAGTACTAACCATAAATAAAACGTTAGCAGCCATTGAGGCTCCAGTGCCTAATAGCATCGGCAGTCTTCTTTGCTTAATTCGATCTCCCAGATAACCAAAAATGGGTGATCCACCTAGCGATTGTCAATCATGTGTATTACAGTTCGAAACGTAAGTCAATCCCACAAAAAAAAAAGGGTGGTCTGTTTTCTTTGTTGTTAAACTTACATAATAGTCCGACCGCATAAAGAGCTACTAAAATGCCTGTATCATGAGAAGTCATCTCTATATTTTCAGTAATGCCCGCGGACGTAGCATAATCCGTCCCATCTTTATCCAAATTTCGTATACGAGCGACGATGAATGGAGATAATGGAAACAGTATTGAGTGCACGAATGTCTAAATGAATATGGACGATTATTTAGATGCTACGTGAGATATGGGTAGAAATGACACGCATAGAAAAAGAGGCTTTACGCTAGTAAAAAGACCAACAGCAGCAGTCCAAAATACAAATGTTTTACTAGCTCTTATCTTGAATAAGAGCGGCCTTCTTTTCATTTTTCTCTTTAACTTATTGCTGTTGCTGAGATGCTCAGAATGAGGTGCCGTTGTCATTGTATGAGTACTCTCTTCACTCTTTATCGAAAGAGTTATATGTGATATCTTTTCACTATGATCGTCCTGATGTGTCATGATAAAAATATCCTTTGTTGATACAGAGCTTATTGTTGGGTGTTGTTTCGTTTGAAGAAGGGTGTTAAGAAAAAAAGGCCAACTAAAAAGTAGTGGCAAAAAGCAAAAAAATTAGAATGAAAGAAGGACAATGGAAGAGAAGCAAAAGAAGCCGAGTTGAAATACTCGGTCATATATAGTGATCTTCTTTCATTTTTACTTCCAAAGCTACGGTATGCTCTGTCGTTTAACAAGAGAAAAGCATATAAAAAAGGCAGGAGACAACGAATTTGGTGGCGGGGTACATTAGCAGTATGATCAAAAGCGTAAAAAAATTAAAATAAAAAAAGGAAAGGGGGTTTCTTTCGATCTTGTAAAGAACATCGCATAAGCCATTATCAATAAACAAAGTTACTATCTGCTTCTATGATACGTCATTTCAATAAATCCATTGTCATCTCATAAACGTAAAAAGTAACAGCATTCACTGGAAATGCTCGAAGAAGCGTTGGCCCAAGCCCTCTAAAGAAGACACCGAAACCTTCAACTATGAATGACCGTATAACACAGTCTTTAATAGATGCATAAGGACGATCGATTCGAATACTTGTACTCTCTTTACAGTTACAGTTAGCAAAAGTAGTTGCGGCTGTCGCCATTATTTGTTGTGAGGCTATTCTTACTGCTGGTGCTGTTGTTGTTATGCTTATTGTTGATGTGGAGTGATTCTTTATCTGCGGTTTATACAGTAGCTGCTGCTGCTGCTGCTGCTGCTGCTGTATTTGTTGTTCTTGCATTTGAAGCCTTGATTTGACAACATCAATGGGATAAATAGCGGCCCAAGATGCAACACCTGCCATGCCCCCTGCGACCAGGAGCTTACATGCATTATGATAGCTATTTGTTGTATTTTGGTTGCTGTCATACGAAACATTGTTGCTGCAGTTATTGTCAGATACTTCCAATAGTCGCTTCATTCCCTCGTAAACCATAAAATAAAGTCCGTAACTTGGTGCATCCCGGATAATAGTGATGAATCCGCCCTGATAGAAACCTTTTTTTTGGGGTTTGGGTTTGGGAATGAGAAGAAAAGTATTTTAATGATATATCATATAAAATGATATACGTAGCCCTGACTGCAGCTGTTATTACCTCTTAGTCCACTCCTTCCGTAAATTCTTTTCACTACTCTGAATGTTGACGTAGGTACCTTGGTCATTTGCGCTTGTAGTTTGATCAAATCGATAGGCGTCGACAGCAGGAAGCAAATAGTTCCTGCCCCACAGCCAGCGATATATACTTGGGTTAGATTTGGCGTGAATCCCTTCTGTGCCTGTTGACCTGAAAAACTCGACTCGTAGCTAGTTTCAAAATGTCGAATAATCGATCCGTACGACACAAAGAGCAAGGCATTCAAACCAGCTAATCCGACAATAGGTGATAAGACACCTTTGAATAAAGAGCCCAGCTATCATGTAATAATTCAACTTGAACAACGTTGGAATTTGGCTTTGGTAAAATGAAAAAACCGTTTAGGTTACCCCCTCTGTTTGAATCATATTTCTAAACGTAGCCCAAGATCCTAATTTCGGTGTCACTGTTACAGTAGTTGCCTTTGATACAGCAGTGTGACTACTGCCGTAGATGTCTTGTTGAGCAGTCAGTAAACTCGTAACAGGTGCTTGCAAGCGCGCCTTTTGACAAAATAGTTTAATCTGTCAAAGAAGACTTTACATTGTCTCCAAGGGCAGTCTTTTTCATTTGCATCTTTACCTTCAATACATCCAAAGGACTCCCAACAATAATTCCTGCTGCACCACTGATCCATCCTGGAAAAAATAAAAGAGTAATCATTATTTAAGGTCTGGAAAGAGATTGATCACACACACACGCGTACACAAACGCACACGCACACGCACACGCGCACACACACACACAAAAAGAATGGAAAGGAAGATTAACAATCGTATTCGGCTTCTGTTCTTGTAAAGCCCCTATTTACACTATCGAAACCCCCTTCCCCTCCTCTTCGATTGATGCTTCTTTTGATCCTGCAAAAAAAAAAAAAAAAAAAAAAAAAAAAAGATAATCCTGTATTTACCAGCAATAAAATCGTTCACACTTTCAGCTAGAATTTTACCGAGATTTTTGAATATGTGATCCTTCTATCTTTTCGCTTTTGGACGGTTCATTTGCTTACCCATTTTGTTAATCTACTCTAAAACCGGTCTTAAATGTTGGATCATAAAATCTTCTTGCCTCCTTTTATACCCTTTTTTTTTCGTTAAAATTGTCAAGTGTAACAATCCAAGTACAAATCAAGTAATAAAAGCAGGTACAATGCTTCCACTCTCCATTTACCAAATGTTTGAAAACTTCGACCACTTTTTAAGAAAGATTGGCCAATAATGTGAGACTAAATTGACCAGAAAAAGGAGACTCTTTTACCCAAATGTTTGAGGTGAATTTGACCATCTCTTCGAAAATAAATTAACCAACTTGCCAAATAAATTGACCAATGTTTTGGTCGAATTGATTACAAAGGCTCTTTATTGAAGTATTTAGAAAAAACAACTGACAGAACACTGGATGAAATTTATGCTTAAAGACGTCCGAATAAAAAAAAAAAATGTAAGAATAAAATAATATGAAATAGTCATTTCAATTCTTACTCCTTTGTTGATATTCCTGTATCATAATTCTTTTGAGGGTACAAAATCATGCCTTGGCAATCGCTGACAGTAACCATCTAACAGGCTGCAACCATGCCAGGCCTGAGCTTGTTCTCCTTATCCCGTGAATTACTTTTTACTATTGATTTTAATCTTCACCAAGCACTATTCTTTAATAAGCACATAGCCTCTTTCGTTCAAAGCTTCCACAACAAAAGACGAGCGATGGATAGGACTATTGCCCATAATGATGATGGATATTTTAATGAAAGGAGGTCTCTTGGAGCCTATATCACTCTAGAAGAATATTTGCTTCTTGGATTCGACAGATGGCCCATTAAATTCAACGAGCCCAAGGTTTTCTTTTACTAGTTGATTTTGCACCTGTTGTGTTGTAAAGAATGCCATCCTATATAAAAAAGTCAGAGCACCTATATATCTTTTATATTTGCAGTATACATACAAACAAAGTGGCTAAAAGTTCAAGATACTGAACAAAACAAAGTCGATCATTTGTAAATCTTATCAATTTGGATTATAGTGGACTAAGTTAAGTAGCAAGACTATAAAAAGATATTGAATTGTCTTTATTTCGAGTCAATGTTTAGGTCTCTTTTATATCTTTTGGAATAAGTAATTTGTTTTTGAGAAAAGGCATGTCTGAGACTTTGTAAATAATTATGGGCAGATAGGAAAATACATGTAATGTTGTTTAGGTGAACAATTACATATATTTGGCCTAGGTAATTATAGAGGACATCACATCATTCCAGTTTGTTGGTAATTTAGCAGACCTTTTTTCGATAAACTTCCAGTAATTTTTGTCATACAGAGACATCTCACTCAGAGTGACTTGAGTCCTGATTACTTGCAATGAATAAACCTTGAGCCTTTTAAATGTTTTCAAGGAGGCATTTTTATAATGAGCAACTTCTTTTTTCAAAGCAGATACACTGCATTCAAGGATTTTTAGCGAGTCTTCAATGGTATGCGATGTATTTTCTTTTATAGCACCACTATAAGATGCATTAGTAAGAATGAAGATACTGTAGATCGAATTTGATAATACTACCTTGACGCTTCCACAATTATTAGTTCCATATTGTTTTGAGTTTTCAAAATACCAAGGGCATCAATAAGCTTGTTGAAAGGGGCAGCACGAAGATCATAATCATAGTCTTTAAGATTCAGATGGCTTGAGGATAAAAAGGGGGTTTCACACCTACGAAAAAAAAAGATACAGAAATTACCTTCTTCTCTGTCTCTTTTTTTTTTCTTTCTTACCATTTGAATTCAATGAAATCAGTTCTCCACCATTGACACGTTAGGAGTAGTAGTCCGTGAAATAACTATGGTTGGTTTTCCAGATCAGTTCTCCACCATTGACACGTTAGGAGTAGTAGTCCGTGAAATAACTATGGTTGGTTTTCCAGTATAGATTTTGTTGTACTGTTTCTTAACTTAGATATAAGATTGTTCTATGAAAGAAAGCTCATTTATTAAAAGTATATTTCTCTTTATCTATTTATACTATCTACTTCCGCTCATTCATTCTACCGAGCACCGAGCCGGACCTCACGTGCTCTAATTCTATTGGTTGGGCTGACAATCCTTCACACTCTGGAATAACATTCTCAACGAAGTGAGTTCTTTCATGATTCAGAGTAAGCTCAGGCACAGTTCGACAGACTAAATGAAATGAGCAAAGACTATGTTTAATGATTTCTAAAAATACTTCTGATTCAGGTGTTAAACTGTGACTAGCTTTGAATGACCAAAGCATTTGATTATATGTATTAAAAGGCTCATCGCCCAACATAGAGATCAAGCAGTCAATCAAATTTAGCGATCGGAGTGATTTGTTTGACTTTTGTTCGTTTTCGCATGCTTGGTATTCACTTTTAGTCAAAGGATTGGTGGAGGAAAAAGAAGTGCCAAAGTGAAATACATTTTTCAATGCGTCAAGGTGGGTTTTTCGCAATTTAGGCTTGTGCGGACTCTCGGTTGTACTAGACGGTGTAGTGAAGCGGTATTGATTCTTTCCTTCGGTTGCACGTAGCTCAGACTACATTATATATTCGAAAGGGTAAACGAAAAAAGAAATGATATGCAATAACTTGCCAACTAACATTGTCAATTACATTGTTTGTAAAAGCTGCTAAAGTGTCTATAACACGATTGTCGCGTTTATTGTTTGTCTAAAGACACTAAGATTTAGGCTTATCATCAATCATTTGTAATATAAAAAAGCCTTACCGAAGTGGAAGTGTCAACATTGTCTAATTTCCGTTTGTTTCCTAGCTAAAAAAAACTGAACAAAAAGATCGCTTGTATTTCTGCTCCTATATACTTACTATATTACTGCCAATAACAGAAATGTTTGAATTCGAAATTAATCCACTGTTGTTGAAGGTATTGGAGACCTTAATGAAACCAGCTAGCTCGTTGGAAGCAGAAACAGAGGCAGGATCAGGTGTAGACGGGGACGCAGATGTAACATTCGAACCATTATCTTCTTGATTTTTTGGGGTTTTGTTATGGGTCTCTGCGGTATTTTCATGTTCTTCACCTTCTACTTGTTCCTCAGCATCACTATCAGATTATCGTTCAACATAATGTTTATAAAAACTTAGATTCAGGAGTTTCTAAACGAAAAATAGACTATAGTAAAAGAAGAACTTTATCAAGCCAAAAATAAATTTACATTGATATCACTAAGAGGTACTGTCTGATGCTTCCTCATTGATGTTTGTGTTTGGCCAACAGTGACTATATCTTTTTTTATGTCTGTTAAAAGTTCAAAAAAAGAGTCAAAAGATAAGCGTGAATCATAATAGCATATGGCATCTATTAGATTCCATTTTCTTGCAGGTGTATGATAAAAATAAGCAATGCTCATGATACAGTGATAAAGTCAAAGCAAAACCTCAAATTTCTTGGTTGCATGATTTTTAAGCTGTGTTGTAACATTGATGGTGACGAGCCAAAAGTTTCAAATGATGCAAAGCCATTTTTTCCCTGCTTAATTTTTCTATATACCTGCGTCATCATTTGAAATGTTTTGATCCGTCACCTTAGTGCGGAACATTAGTCAAGCATAAAATAGCGAAGGCTGCTGGGTTTTTATCCTTGATCAGTCTTACAGAAACCAGGTAAAAAAGAATGTTTTGATAGTCAAAAGGACCCAAAGATACCTGATATGATTCTTTATTTAGGGTATACAAACAAAAGGATACCTGATATGATCCTTTATTTAGGGTATACACACAAAAGTATTATGGCTGATCAACACGATGGATCACGACAGAGCCTCGACCTTTTTGCCATCACCATGTTATTGGAAAGACTGGCGACACTATTCATGCTAAAGCTTCCAAATTCAAGAAAATGAGATGTTGAATAGAAAAATAAAAGAAATACAAGCTATATAAATCCTATTATCGTAATTTGATAAACTACTCTGAATTTTTTTATTTTTTAACATGAAGTTATGGCTATGTAAATGCTTTTTAGCCTTTCTTTTCTAGAACGGTTGACGTTAACAAAGAGCAGTAGTATTTGTACGAATAAAAGATACTTCATTTGCTTTGTGATTTGAATAGTTTATGCTATGGCTTTTTAAAAAGCGCAATTCTGTGAAGGCTGGAAAAGGGTGTTACTTAAACCTCTCCAAGATATTATGATCTATCGAACAATACTACATATTAAGCATACATACGAAATTAACAGTAAAACTGGCTTGGGTAAATAATACAGCATATTTTGGTGGGCAGACGTTTGATGTTAATCCATTTTTGAAGCTTGTATGAGTTCCACACTGTATTATTTTATTGGCCGAAAAGCTCTTGGTGTGTCAGCAATTGTTTATTACAATAGTCCTTCTTTTGTTGTGGAAGCTTTGAACGAAAGAGGCTATGTGCTTATTAAAGAATAGTGCTTGGTGAAGATTAAAATCAATAGTAAAAAGTAATTCACGGGATAAGGAGAACAAGCTCAGGCCTGGCATGGTTGCAGCCTGTTAGATGGTTACTGTCAGCGATTGCCAAGGCATGATTTTGTACCCTCAAAAGAATTATGATACAGGAATATCAACAAAGGAGTAAGAATTGAAATGACTATTTCATATTATTTTATTCTTACATTTTTTTTTTTTATTCGGACGTCTTTAAGCATAAATTTCATCCAGTGTTCTGTCAGTTGTTTTTTCTAAATACTTCAATAAAGAGCCTTTGTAATCAATTCGACCAAAACATTGGTCAATTTATTTGGCAAGTTGGTTAATTTATTTTCGAAGAGATGGTCAAATTCACCTCAAACATTTGGGTAAAAGAGTCTCCTTTTTCTGGTCAATTTAGTCTCACATTATTGGCCAATCTTTCTTAAAAAAGTGGTCGAAGTTTTCAAACATTTGGTAAATGGAGAGTGGAAGCACTGTAAATATGAAAATCTCTGATTTAGGATGACACATCATCACACAGTTGTATGAACCGTCTCCCAAATTAGAAGACGTAGTCTAAAATTTGAACAACATAGGTCTAAAGACTGTCACAGGGCTTTATGGTCGTGCTGTGATCACAAATTACAACATGCGCGTTTATTCTATCAATTACCTGACTTTTTGAGAAATACCCTTTGAAAAAATATTATGTTTAATTTTTATATCCTACCCAAATTATAATACAAATAAAAATCTAATAAAGTATAAAAAAAAAATTGATAGCTTGTCTGTCATTATTGTAAACAGAACATATGAACACAAAATGGGATAGACTTTCCCTTATGCGGCACGATCTTCGATGTTTGAGTATTTATCAGCACCGCCATAAATAATTATGCTTATGCTCTTTATGAAAGGATGGTTACTATTTATCACCTCTTATGGTTTAGGTAACCGGTTCCGTAAACGCTGCAATATCAAGGGCCGAGGCCCGTTATTTGACACATTGTGGTATATTTCTGATCTGCCACGGAAACGTATGCATGATCAAATATTCTAGGCTCTTAAGCTCACACCATATCATTGAGAATCACTTCATTATGATTTATTGCCTTTAACATTAGAAAGAAGGTCATATAGTGTTGCTATATATAGTTATGCGCTTGTGTTTATAAGGTTTGATTACAGTATGATTACATAGTCTCGGATATCTAAGAAATACAACAAGAAGAAGGCGTTGCGGAAGTTGATGTTGACGATGCTGATGATGCTAATGATAATGATGAGGATAATGTTAATGAAGAGGAGCGACTATTACTATTGTGGTGTAAGAAAAAGGACCACTGATCTTCAAATTGGGCAATACAAGATAGCACCTTTAAAACCCTTTCGCGTAATGTTATTAAACTTAAGATAGGTGCCTTTTCATCTTCGCTTATTGGTATCATGTTGATCACCCACCAAACAAAAATCACGTTATCACGTTCCGGTCCTCTCAGTGGTGTGGGCGGATCAGTCAATGCGTTGAGCCAATGAGACATACTTTGTTGTTGCTGTAGTTGTTGCTGTGTCGACGGATGATTGTTACCAGTCTGAAGTCGAACTTTTTCAATAAAGTTAGCAATTTGATCTATCAACTCCTCTGTAGTGTGCTCTTTAGGAGATTTAGTGATTGGAAAAGTAGGCTGAAGCAGAGTCTGAGACATAAGTTGAGGTTGTGAAGGAAGCTCATTTATACCAGATGTAGGAGCTCCGGACATGGTAGAAGAAGGCAACGCAGATTTTTGCCTTGCAGCAGTTAACCCGCGCATATGCATCTGTAACCAAGGCGCTCTGCTAATTTGAGGTCGCGTTTCAGGATGTGTCTGTTCTGCCCATGATCTTCGTTGTCCCACCAATGGAGTGTATTGTGCATTATGTGGATAAGGATGAGATGGCCTTGCCATGGATACGGGTGACATTAAAGAAGAGCGTGGCGTTAATGATGAAGATGCTGGCGGTTGAGCTGTCATTGAAAGCGGTAACATGATGTTCTGTGATGGCCTCTCAGAAGAATGAAGTGCCAATGATTGTTGCTGCTGCCGCAATGATTGTTGTTGTTGTTGTTGTTGCCTTGCTCTTTTCGCGCTTTCCTTTAATATCTGCCTTTGCTCCAGTAAAGCCTCCTGTTCAGGGTCAATATCATCGATCCGTTCGATTTTGGCCATGTGATAGCCATCTATCAGGTCGTATTGTATCACTTTAAAGCGATGTGACCCTATAGCTTCGACAATGAACCGTCCGTCAGCCAATATCTGAACGTGGGTCAGCTCAAGCATAGTGCCGTACTCGTAAAACGGCGTCGGAGCAGAAGGCAATCTATGAGCTGAACATATAGCCAGTCGTTTTCGGTCGGAAGACATAATCCTTCGTAGCATCAGGCGATACCGTGCTTCAAAAATATGCAGAGCGCATCGAATATGGGGAAAAGCTACACTTCCTATAAGTAAAGGCACTCTTGTCTCTGTCGCATCGGAGGATGTCTGTTCTTCTTCAACGTTTTCTTCGCTGTCTTCCTCAAGAAGAGATAGGATAGAAATCAAAAGATTGGTTGGTGGAGAGCAAAATTGAATAGGTTCACGACAAAAAGGACATTGGCGCTGGTAATCCAATGAGCGCATTAAACAGTGTCTACAGAAGGTATGGCCACAGGGTGTAGTAGAAGCGTGCTTCAAACGATGACAACAAATGGAACATTCACAAGCTGCTCTTAGTTTTCTATGTAATTGCTTCTCTTCTTCTTCTTCTTGAACAGATTTCGTTCCTCTCTTCAAAGAAAGGTTAATGATATCTTGTAATTGCTGGACTAACACATTAGGCTGAATCGGGCTGATATGAACACGCTCACATTGCTGGCAAGGTTGTTGACTGGATTGTTGATCTTGTAAACATACTGAGCAGACTGTATATCCACAAGGCAAAGTACAGGGTTTATATAAGTTCTTATGACATGACGGACAGACGTTGAATTGGTCATAAATAGCAGCAACGTCTATATCCTCATGCTGTGATCTGAGCCTTTTGTTGGCGTTTTCAACAGCTGCAGTGGAGGTATCTAGATTCACCTGGTCAAAGGGACGCTTACCTCTTCCTCTATAATGATGCAATGTTAATAAGTTGGGGACGAACACAGTCGGTAATAGATCGAAAGATGACAAAAAAACCACAAAAGATAAAGAAAGTATTCAATAAAGCGAAAGGGATAGAATAATTTTCATACCAAAAATAGACTTAGAACAGGTAAGAATAAAAAAGAAAGAGGCGGAAAAGACCTGAAAGAATCTCACAACAAGAAGAATAAATTACTTAGAAGAAAAAACATTTTTTTCATATTATTTTTGCTGCTATGACAGCATAGGATTAAAGTTCTCGGGTCATATTAATCGGGTAATTATTATCCTGAAAAAAAAAAAAAGCTTCCCTTTTCAACTGGTCCTAATTTGGTGTTGTTATACGATCGATCTGAAAATCTTGTGTATATTGTATTTAAGTGGATGCGACAAATGCCTCCATTATTTGATTGGCTGGTTTGTGTAGGCGGGATGTAACTGCCGTTCAATGTATGTCGAGAAAGTACTTGACGTCGTACCGTAAAAGGTATGCCCTTTCGAAGCAATCACAGCGTCTACCATTGGAATAAGCCATGGTTCTAGTTTGATGTTGTCTTTTTTCATATAAATCTGACCAAGCTTGTCCAGATCGTCTACGAAATCATCCAATACGAAGGTACAAGGGAACGTCTCGAATATTTTACGCAATAATGGATGTTCCCGGGGATGAGGACAATCTGTAGCTATAAAAATGACAGTTTGGCTAAATGCGTCGTTTCTTCCATCGGTAGGTTGGCACTTCATTCGCAAAGTGGAAGGCTTAGGCCCCAATCGTTGTGCTATCGTTGTTGGATGTTGAACGATGATCGATTCCTTGGTTGGTTCCACTTCTTGCACTTGCTGTTGCTGTAATTTTTCGTTATGCATTGGGATTTGTCTGGTTTCATATCCTTCATTTTCTTTTCTATCTTCATTGTGATGTTTATCGTATCTCTTTTCCAACTCGGTTCGAGTCAAATCAGTATACTCATTCACAAGTTGATGGTATATATCGTCGACATGAATAGAACCACGAGTTTTAAAGAGACCATCACCAACACGCAAATGGATACCCACATAGGCGCCAGGCCCGCCTAATTGAGCGACAATTTGGTCAGCTGTGTCCACCAAATGAGAATTGGTGAAAATCATGGCTTGGCGTATCCATTGAAATACTTGTTGATGATCTTCCTTTTGAGCCAAAACGCGATAGGTTCCAAACAATGAACCAAAGTGTAAGACAGTTTGATTTATATTCATCAATGAGTCTAGCTCAACTCTGTGTGTGTAACGCTTCAAAGGTGTGGTTGATTCGGGTAAATCATAGACACGGTAATCAAATGGTGAATAATCTTTGTAAAAGTAAATGTCATCTTCATTTTGTAGATTTAACGTCACTCTGATCCATTCAAAACTAAGATCATCATCATCTCTAAATATGATTCGAAGCTGACCATTGGTTTTGGCTGTTAAATCCTTCAATTCAGTATAGAAAAATGTCCACGGTACAGTTGTCCAACGATGGTAGGATAAGCACTCTGTTGGTAATGGCTCACCCGGTCTGATCGAGTGACAGTATTCTAAACCATGCTTTGTTTGCAATAATAGTCTTGAATACATTTTATCGAATATGCTCCATGGAAACGCTGGATTTCTTAAATAGACAGGTGGTAAAATCAATGTTCGATTCAAATAGTAAGCTAATAACAGAGCATTCTCTAATTCGATACGTTGATTATGGAACCCGGAGTGAGGAAAATAAGTAAGGAACTTTTCATTTGCTGTTGGTATATGGTAAGAAAACGTAGATGGGAATTCTATTGGTATCATATTTCTGTCATCGTCCTGATGCTCAACTTCTAGATCGGTAGTAATGGTCGCTTGACTCTCTTTCTTATCTTGCGTTGATGCTGGAATTCGCACTGAAGACCTTTTCGCTGAAATAAATAGTAATACTAAAGAAAATGTTATACAGAGATATACCACCAGCCATCTTTTATTGCCAGTAGAGTAAGATAACATGATCTTATAGTGATAAGACGATAGCTTTCGCCATAGGGAAATTAGAAAGGCCACTAGCTCTTTTAAAAGCCAGCTTTTTCGCAAAATTCATATGAATATTCGTTTAAGCGGGAGGAACAGAACAAGCTAAAAAAATGCAGAACCTGACGGCATTGGAAAAGTCGAAAAGATGGCTATGGCGTCAGAAGAGGTAGTACAGTTTCACTTTATTGTATCGCGATTTGATGTTATTGCTTGAATGTTTCCTATTTGCAGGTTAATAAAGCTGAAACTGATCCGGTCAATAAGGACGGCAGTTGCACTTCGAAAAACGATCAATACAAATAAAAAACATTTAGAACAGGGACTATCTTCGTTAGATATACTGGACTCCGTGATAAAGACCAGTAAGTCAAAAACGAACGCAATGGCTACAGCGTTTCAATAATGAAAAACTTGCCTCTTGAAGAATTTCATTGCTACAGGAAGTCAAGGCACGGTTATAGAAAGCAAAACTCAACAAAGTGACTGTTGGTAGGGCAAGTGAAGGAAAGGGCGACACGAGAGAGAGAGAGACGGGGATGCATAACAAAGCGACATCTAACTGACGCTATAAATGTGTTGAACGTGATCTGTCAACCTTCTTTTTCTTTCTACGTACCTTGCTTTTTTTCCAACTGATGACCTTGACCTGCATAAAAACGTTCACAGTTGTCACATTGTACTATTCTAACAACTTTGATATAGTATGGCATGATTGAAAGAAAGGGGAGCATAAAGCTAACAATCGTTAGGAAAGATTTCGAATAATACTAGGTTCTGTTATTAACTGAACATTACTTTATAAACTGTATACTTAACTTAGAGCCATGCCATTCATTCTGAAATTTTCTTCGTTTTCAGGCAACTGTGTGTCAAAAGATCAGAACTTTACAATATCAAAATATGGTGCAAACGTATCCAAAGTATGTGCTTGTCACCTTTGAGCAACATGTCAGAGGCGATAATACAGGTCATCATTTTAGGTACGAGTATCCGTTTGTTTTTAGAATTTTTCTTTTTTTTTTTTTTGATATAAGCTTAATTTATGATTTACCGTGTTTTCTTTTTCTCACAGTTTAACACAGCGAACCTATTACGCTATCGTATAAAATAAGTTTACACGCTCTTTTTTCAGTCTTTTCTTCTTTATTTTTTTCATTTCTTCACCTATTCCCATAAAGTCTTATTTCTTTATTTGTTGACGCTCATCACTGCACAAAGATACAGGCCCTATATTTTGTAAAATGTTGCAAACCGAAAAAACGTCCCGAAACAGACTTTCAGGCAAAGTTGCTATTGTTACTGGTGCCGCCAGGTAGGCTAATATAACAATAAGCTGAAAGAGAAAATAGAAAAGAGGATGTGGTACTGAAGATACCCTATTCGGTAATATTTACCAAAGCGGCATTGGCTTTGAAACAGCTGCTTTGTTTGCCAAAGAAGGTGCGATGGTAGTTTGTGCTGATATCAATCAAGCCGCACTTGACAAGGCCGTATGCCGGATCCATGAGATAGTCAATGCTGACGGAACAGTAGAACGGGAAGGACACAATGATTTTGCCATAGCCGTGAAAACTGATGTGTCTAAAGAAGAAGAAGTCAAAGCATTAGTAGACCGAGCAGTTGAAACTTACGGTATGTCTACATTAAAGGAAATAAGGAATCTTGTAAAAGACGACAATTTTGAAAATTAAGGTCATACACTCATCATTTCTTATCTATTCGCTTATCAGGTAAATTGGATATTATGTTCAATAATGCTGGTATCATGCATCCGGAAGACGATAATGCTTTGAATACAGAAGAACGAATATGGTAATAATTGTAGGTCTGAGCTTTGTTGTTTGTTATGAGAATTTCATGAACCTTTTTTTCCTTTGTGTTGAAGGGATTTGACCATGGACATCAATGTTAAAGGGGTTTGGTACGGTTGTAAATACGCTATTTTGGCTATGCGAAAAAGTGGAGGAGGCTCTATCATCAATACTGCTAGCTTTGTGGCCTTAATGGGTGCTGCTACACCTCAGCTAGCATGTGAGTGAAACAAAAAAAAAGGTTCTCTTTTCTATGTTTCGAGACAACTGAATCTTAAATATACTATTTCCATATAGATACCGCATCCAAAGGTGCCGTTCTTGCCATGACGTGAGTTTTATCTGTTTAAAAAGTAGAGCTACATTCTAACTTATGTGTGCTGTGTCTGTACTTATTTTCTTGTTTCAACTCTTTGGGGAAATAGACGTGAGCTTGCTATGGTTCATGCTCGTGAAAATATACGTTTCAACTCTCTTTGTCCCGGCCCCATTCGTACACCTCTCTTGATGGACTTTTTAAATACTGAAGAGAAGAAGCAAAGACGTCTTGTCCATGTGCCTCAGGGCCGATTCGGTAAGCTTACTGTGCTCTACCATTGTGTGTAATCAAAATTGCGGTAAATTACTAATGCTTAGAGCGATAGGTGAAGCAATTGAACAAGCTTATGGCGCTCTTTTCCTTGCCTCAGATGAGAGCTCATTCGTTACCGGTACGGATTTCAGAGTTGATGGTGGTCTAGCCTCGGCTTATGTGGTAAGCTCTGTCAAATTATTTATGCGTGATTATGTAAGAGACAGTTTAGTGATTTTTTTTTCGGCATTTAGACACCTGAAGGAGAGCCGAAAGGCATTGTACCTATCAACTTCACCGACGCCTGATAGCTAATGTCATGCGCTCGCTGTTAATGCATCTCTTTTTACTTTTAAAAAGATACATGCAAAAAAGAATTTTTCTTCTTACATTCTAAGTGATATCCTTTACGTTGGCAAATAAAACTCAGATCAAGGCTCCTTTTTGACAGAAAGAAGCTGTGCATAAAAAACTTAATTCTGATCTTACCTTTACCATGAGCGAAACACTCGAATCTGAAAAGATCAACTCGATTGGTATTACTTGTAAAGACGTAGAAAACTGTGCTTTTAGCAACTGGTACCCCAAGTTTAAAAGCCACACTTTTAAGTCAAGGATCTATAATTTGAGCAATGAGTTTGTCGAATACTTGAATGCAGGAGATGGGATATATTTAGTGGAAGATGGGTAAGCCGTATATTTCCTATTCACGTCTGTTTGGAAGACAACTAATATGACTCCGTGAAAATATAATAAGCCAACCCAAAGCTGCAAATATTGAGGAAATAGACTCTGATACTGAAGAGACTGTCTTTTCAGAGTCTGAACATTCCCAAAAGGTAATTCCAGATCTTCTCGATTACGACAACAGTGGTTGAATCTCTAACTGACTCACTAATGTAGACACCTAATTTCCCCGAAGTAGAACAATTTATTCGAGAAACTATCGTTGAGTATGAAGGTGCTGTTTTTCCCAAGTTAAACTGGACGTCGCCACGAGACGCCGCTTGGATATCAGCAACACAATCTTTAAAATGCACTTCTCCTTTCGACGTCTTCTTATTACTAAAGTCCTCGGACTTCATTTACCACGACTTGAACCATGCGTATGAGCATTGTGTCGACAAAGATGAACATGAAGAACATCAACAGCAGTTTACACTTGTCCTTAGAAAGTGGTATGACCTACAACCATCGATGGAATTCAGATGCTTTGTTAAAAACCGTGAAATCATCGGTATCACACAGAGAGATACCTACTTTTATCCCTTCTTATTGGATATGAAGCAAGATATTGAACAGCTAATCTACCAGTTTTTTGAAGATACAATTCGAGAAGAGTTCGAATGCAATCACTGTAGGTTGTCTGCATATTGACGAGAGCATGGAACGAAAGTATAATTTTTAACGTTGTACTTTTGCTATGGTAGATACATTTGATATTTACGTTGAGCGCAAAAAGGATAAGGTCTATCTTGTAGATTTTAATCCATTCAGTCCAGCAACAGACAGTTTACTATATCACTGGAATGAACTGATGACATGTAAGTAAAAACGAAAGCTGTCAGCTCCATACATTTAATGACCATTTTATAATTCGTTAGTCGATATTGAAAAAGAAACACCTGACATCCGTATTATTGAATCGCAAGCAGAATCTGATTCTTTGGCGTGCAATGCACCTAAATTTGCAACAAATATGATACCGAAGGACGTTATTGATTTATCATCAGGGAAGTCAATCGCAGAATTCGCAGAGGAATTTGAGAAAGCAATGCGTAAGGCAGAGAGTGGGGAATGTAGCAGTGATAGTGAAGCTGATGAAGAATAAAAAAGCTCTTGATCACTATATTTACCTATGACGAATTTTTGTTCACCTGACAGTTTTGTATGTTTGTGTGTGTGTGTGTGACAAAGTAGAGTTTGTTGTTCTTTTCTTTTTGTTTTAATACAGTTCTTCTATTGTTCTCTTCTTTATACTGTTACTTCTTCTTTGATTATTACTTGTATACTACAAATCCCTAGAAAATCTATATTATTCCTGTCATTAATCTATAAATCATAATGGTTACTGGAGGACGGAAAAAAATCTTACTTAAGGTAAAATTTTGATTTTCAGTGTGGAGCAAATTTGAACTAGCCGTTCGGGAAAGTATTGTTCTCACAATGCAGTTGAGATCATCTTAGGTCATCATTCTCGGTGACAGTGGGTAAAGTGGTTGCGAGATACTTGATTACTGCACGTTTGAAATGGTAGCGGTTAAGTTTTTGGTTACTTATGTATATTTTATAGAGTCGGGAAAACATCTCTTATGAATCAATATGTCAACAAAAAATTCTCGAATCAGTACAAAGCTACTATTGGAGCCGACTTCCTTACAAAAGAAGTCTTGGTGGATGATCGATTGGTTACTATGCAGATCTGGGACACAGCTGGTCAGGAGCGATTTCAATCGCTGGGTGTGGCATTTTATCGAGGTGCTGACTGTTGCGTGTTAGTTTATGACGTGAATAATAGTCGAGGCTTTGAATCTTTAGGTAAATCATACCGTAAAAAGGTTCGACACCGCATCAAAGATTTGTCCCCTAATGTATAAAAACGTCGCAATCGATATACGTCTTAGATCAATGGAAAGATGAATTTTTGGTGCAAGCTTCACCAAGAGATCCTGAAAACTTTCCTTTCGTACTTTTGGGCAATAAAGTAGATGTTGAGGAAAGTAGAAGAATGATAACGCAAAAACGTGCGATGGCTTGGTGCCAGGCGAATGGAAATGTGCCGTAAGTATAGTCTGTGGTGGCCATACAGGAACGGGATAAACCTTATGATTTGAAATAACGAGAATTTTGTGTACCTATTGTGTTTTATAGATATTTCGAAACATCTGCCAAAGAAGCGATCAACGTTGAACAAGCGTTTCAAACAATTGCTAAAAATGCTTTATCTCAAGAAACTGATGTTGATATGTAAGTACATAGTTAGAGAGTTCATTCTAGTTGCGCTAGCACTAACGCCTTATCGCATTTAGTGATTTTCCTGACACAATACAAATACCGAACAGAAGACAAGAACAAGATCCAGGTTGTGCTTGTTGAAAGATGACATTCTCGTTCTACAACGATCTCTATATATTTTCAACTACTGCAAAAATAACATATCAATCTTTAATGGTTCTTTGTAACAAAATATATTAATTACAGTATTTTTGCGGTATACTTGAAGGTAACTATTGTCCTGTCATAGATTTCATCGAGCAACACAACGTGACAAAGTGGTTGCCAAAAATGGTATTAATAAAAAAAGAGGAAACCTACAATTTTAACGAAGCTTTGACAGAACGCATTTCTTTTCTTTTTACTTTTCACTGCAGTAATACATCATCATCCTTTCCTTCCCCATCTTATCTTTTTCTTTTTAATAAACCTTTGATGTCTAACTCGTCAACAGTTGCAAAAGAGTCTCAAGTATCAGAAACGACAGCAGAAAACATTGGGACTAACGTTGTACCAAGGGCAACTTCAGCAACCTCATTGCCAGTTGAGTCGAAGAGTATTGAAGACAATGTTTCTGAAGAAAATCAATTACCTCTCGATACAGATACCCAAAGGTCAACAGATACCACTAACAACGCAACCACTACGAAAACACAAAAAAATAGCCTTATTGACGAGAAAGAACCGAGAGACACTGACATTGGAACAGAGTCAACTTTAGCACAGCAGTCTGACGACGAACAGGAGGAAAGCAATAGTATGAGAAATGATGTAAAGACAGCGCAGGAGGATAAAGACGACAGTGAAACGTTCGAGGAAACAATGAGTGAAGCAGAGAATAAACGGACACCAGAATTCCCAGTTTTTGACGAAGAAAACGACGATTTCACAATTTCTAACGATGAAACAAACGTTCACGATAATGACGATGACTTTGATGAATTTGGAGAGTTTAACGATGAATTTGTAGATGCAACTCCTAACGCTGTTGGAGATGATGACGATTTTGGAGATTTTGACGATTTCGAACAGACACCGGATGTACTGGCGCCTGAAAAAGATCCCACAGAAAAGGCGACGATTCTCGAAGAAGACGCACAGTCAAACACACCTACAGCTGTAGAGTTGTATGTAAGTAGTCCGTCTTACCATTATAAATATCCATGACGATAACTTCTCACTTATTGACGTATTCAACCTATCTGCTGGCAGATTGATGTAATGATGAACAGACCGAACGAAGTAAAACAATTTATGACGAATTACCTTACCCAGTTATGGAAGAGCAGTCGAGAATCAGAGCAAGAGAGGGACGTGTTAGAAAGTGAAGAACCTGCAGAGACACTAGACATGGATAACACATCTGTAGAACCCAACATATTAGCCACGGCAAGCAGGTATATCATAAAGCAAAGAAAATGACAAGTGTGCAGCTGAACACTGAATTTGTTCTGCATTATTTTTTAGTCAAGAACTTTGGGATAAGTTATCTCGGGACACAGTATTTTATAATTCAGTAACGGGTTCAGTGGGACAATTTCAATGGACCAGATCAGAAATCAACAGGGCTTATTTACATGCGTTGGGGGTCACATTCAGCAACAATTACAATAATACACCTTCTTATACTTCCTCTCCTACTATAGATCTGAACAATAATGCATCTGCTAATTTCCCAACGGCATCGAAAAAGAGACACTCAAATATTTACGAGCCAAAACGTTCAGCTACCATATCTGCAACACATGGCTCTTCACCAAATAATCGTAATTCCTTCTCCCCAGTCCACACAAGATCCGCCTCCTCCAGCGGTAACTTGAGCATTGTCACCACAAATATAGACGAAAGCGCTCAGGAGGCCAAGAAAGAAGCCGTTCAAGAATTGGAATTAGATATTGATATTGCAAGAGCTTATTGTGATCTAACAGAAGAAACTATACGTGTATTCCCTGATGTCAAACTAAAAACTATGGTAGACGAACTGACGCGACTTCAAAAACAAGCAGCGGACTACCTCGAAAATTTACTAGATCAACAAGAGCAGCTCAAAATGGACGCTGAAACCTATAATGATTTGATCAGCTGCATTGTGGGTCATGCTCAACGACTACACGTTCAAAACAAAGATGCCAGCCCTGCTATGGTGTCGAAAAAGAAAAAATCCGGTAACGGGACTTTTTCGAATTTGATGAGACGTAAAACTACTATTGGTAATACAGCGCAAAGTGTATCAATGGGAGGAGGTGTGGTGGGCGTGAAACAGCAGCAGCAACATCAATCGAGCGGACCTACTCCCAATAAAACAATATCTTCCGCTTCTCAGCAATCGACATCTTTGATTGATAATAGAAGGTCCATGTAAACCTTTTTTGCAAGGACAGAAAGTCCTAAATAGCTCCATATCAATTGTTTTGAACAGTTCATACATCTCTTACATATTTATTGATTCTTTTAGGTATTCCTGATCATATTATATCAACTCATAATCCTCCCTTTTTTGTAATTGTCGAAAAACTTCTTTACATCCTTTTCCTTCGGAAAAAAAAAGGGCCTATTCCAGCACGGTAATAACAATGATAGTAATACGAAAGTAGTAGTATGATGTTAAATCCTAGAAATACTTGCACGCTAGAAAGCCAAGTCAACAGCTCCCCCATAATACAATTTAAGCTTTGACAAAATCAAAAAAGAAAAACCAAAGAAAATTATGTGCGCAGCCTATTTGTTTCAATTATAGTTCGATGAGCACCTGATAAAACTGCGTATTCTGGATTACGCTAAGACATTTGAGAAAAAAAAAATTAACAACTTCTAAAAATGGTGTTCAAGCAGAAAGTTCTTCGCATTTTTAATTTTCCTAGTTTCTTTAACTTTCCCCTTTTTTATTTTCCTCATGATGCCTGATGATACTATTACTGATAACACCAATAATAAAGATAAACTACCAGTGAAAGACTTCCTTAGCCGACATGTCCCCAATCAAGTTACCAATTCCAATAAAATATGTTACCGTCACCGTCCCGATCTGATCAAACAAAGACAACCTGATGATTTCAACATTGAAACTGCACAACGGGTAAAGTATATTAGTTACGGTCGGAAAACTTATAAGCAATGTAGAAGTATTGATAAATTACTATTTACAGCAACTAGAGGAGGTCCCCACTGAAGATAGAGAAGCTATCAGTCATATATGGTCGATATTCTCAGCCGCACCTGCTGATCAGCGTATACTCATTCTCAGAGGATTAGTTTCCACCTGCTGTATGCCTCAACTTTCCTTTCTTCACGATGCTATTAAACCTTTACTGCGCATTGATTTCTTATCTGTTTTGCCTCGGGAAGTCTCACTGCAAATCTTCTTCTATCTGGACGCTAAATCACTATGCCATGCAGCCCAAGTTTCTAGAAATTGGAAACGATTAGCAGATGACGATGCTTTATGGCACCGCATGTGTGAACAGCATATTGATAAGAAATGTACAAAGTGCGGTTGGGGATTACCTTTGTTAAATAAGAAAAGAAGAACAATAGCATCTTTGAAACGACCATTGATGATTGAACCAAGCGAGGTACCCTTACGAGTATCTTGCGGACCTTCTACTTCTAATACTAGCGTAAATAGTGCTAGTAGTACAAATGGAAATGATTCACTAGCTAGCACGAATACTACAACAGTAAATGATGGTAATGATGCTCATAACCGACCCAACAAAAGAAGCAAAATCGATAAAGAAACAACCGACATTTTCGAACATACCACAGCTGCAACAAAAAATACAACTGATACCCACCATTTTCCTAATAATACTCATTCAGAGGAGCAAGCTCTGACCATATGTCCATCTAAACCACCCCCTTCTCGGAAACCTTGGAAAGATGTCTATTCAGAGCGTTTAAGAGTAGAACGTAATTGGCGAAACAATAACTATCGATTGCGTACATTTAGCGGTCATACCGATGGTGTAATGTGTGTCCAATTTTGCGACAGCAATGCTGTTATGATGACAGGGTCTTATGATAAAACCGTTCGTATTTGGTGTCTAGATACCGGCAAACTTGTTCGTGTTCTTACAGGTCATTCTCGTTGTGTGCGTGCCTTACAATTCGATGAAGCCAAATTAGTTACAGGCTCCATGGACCATACTTTAAAGATTTGGAACTGGCAAACAGGTCAGTGTATTCGTACGTTAGAAGGTCACACAGGAGGTGTCTTGAGTTTGCACTTCAATTCAAGAATGATGGCAAGTGGGTCAACGGATCACACCATCCGTATCTGGAATTTCTCGGCTGGTGAATGTTGCACCTTGGCGGGGCACACAGAATGGGTCAATTCAGTGCGTTTTTGTCAGGAAGGAACAATGTTGGTTTCAGCCAGTGATGATTCTACAATTCGCTTGTGGGACGTGCAACTACGTACTTGTATTCGAGTTTTTGACGGCCATGTAGGGCAAGTGCAGATTGCCGTGCCCAGCCATCATGGCTTTACACATCGTTTCAATGAGGAAGATGCTTTGTTTCAACAGCAGCAGCCGCAACAACAACATCATCAACCATCAACATCATATTTAGCTGCGGGTCATAGCAGTATATCATCGTTTCAGCCTGGATGCGCTTCTGACAGCAGTGCTAGCCGACGGAATAGCTTATCCAAAGCTAAAACAAGCAGCACTGCTACGGTCACAACGGGCACCCTTTCTAAATGCCCTATTATTATTTCTGGTTCTCTAGATAATACTATCAAGATATGGGATATGAACACTGGTCGATGCATTCGTACATTATTTGGACATGTCGAAGGGGTTTGGAGTCTAGCTTATGATACACTTCGTATCGTTTCGTCATCACATGATAAAACCGTTCGGGTTTGGGATTTAGGTAGTGGCAAGTGTATGTATGCATTGGAAGGACACAACGGACCAGTAACATCAGTCGCTTTGAGTGATACGAAAATTATCTCGACTTCAGACGATGGTGATATAAAAGTTTGGGATTACGGAATCTCACCGACTGAAGCTACATCAACCACTGCATTGTAAAATTTTTTTTTCTTTTGTGTCATACGACAAATGATGTATCCCTGTATAACCTTTCCGCTTCCATTGAGTATCAAATTTGTACATTTTGCTTCTGACTTCTTTATAACCAAATTACTATATTTAAACATTAGAAACGCGTCTAATAAACCACCATCATCCTTCCCTCTCCACCCACCCCCCCCCTCCTCGACTAGACACTTTTTTTGATGAAAGACATTAGTACTAATCGAATAAAAATTACTTGTGTATGAAAGGGACAACTTTTATTGAATCTTTTCCCCTGATACCAATGAGAAATAGACTAATTACGAAGGGACACCGTTTTTTCATCTTGAGTCAAAGAACATTATTGACGAAACAATGGTGCATTTCTGTAGAAGACAATCTAAAGGTGAATTAGATGTGCCTATTTGGCAAATTTCCTTCAGAGTATACTATTTCATTATGCTGAATGGACAGACACGTTGTTATAAACTATTATTTAATTTAATACAAGGGCAATAGGAACGTAAGAAACCACTTTAAACTGTTCAACTATACATTGAAATTCAAGAATGGTTCTTTTGACGCGTATAGTAGAAAAATACTTTGTCAATTCTTAAATATCGTTCAACATTGTTCTACTTGATGCATAAGAATTATTCAGAATGATGCACTCAGAATATATCGAACAGTTGTTAATGTATGAATTGCTGTTTTAACTACACGGTGTACTAAAGTACATATCAAAAGAAGACGAATTTGCAACAGGTTGTACCGTTTCTCAAAGGGATTCTTCAGATGTGGATAACATGTTTGTAACCGAGGAGTATAATAAAGATGTGTTCTCATTGGTCACTAAAGGCATGATTGTCATGCCTAACGCGCAAAATCGAATGATGAAGCAAACACTAACCGGAAGGGTTAAGACTTTTATATATACTTAGAGCGAGCACATTTTCATTGCAGGCAACGAGATAGCGTCAATTTTAAAGACAACAACCGTATATCTTGTCAGTAATGCTGAACGTTCTTGTGGTAATGGTACCAGACCTAGGCATCGCTCAACTGCACCCACGTAAGTATTTTATTAAAATCATAACTTCTGCAGAAACACATAAATTATTGCTTCTCACTCCTACCTTCTCGTGTCAGTTAGATCCTCCAATTAATTTGCGTTTGGGAAGAATAAAATTGCTGGCCACGTCTGCTGTAGTGATTCCCTTGCTTGAAGAGAGAATCTTTTTAGTTGTGCGACTACTTTATGAATGTGAACCTGCTATATCATATGAAGTGTCATTTTTGTCTCCTTTGGCTTATTAAGGTTTTATTTGATAAAAAGTGATTTTTAACTTGTAATTAAGAGCTGTAATTATTGAAAGACTTACAGGTTAGTTTGAAATATACCTGAAGCAAGAGAGCTGTACCAAAAGTGGTTTCATTGTGAAAAATTTAAAAACAATCGTGGATTACAGTGAACCCTTTTGTACTGTATCAACGACACGGCATTTTTAATGATCATCCTTATAGTTTGTGTTTGAAAAAATTTTAAACGAGCGGCAATTCTGCTACTGTCACTACCAATTCTTCACCTTTACAATCTATTACTTTCTAAAAGATGCCTGAGAAAGACGATAAAGCCTATCATTTACTTGTCGACGACGAAACAGGCGACTTAAAACCTAAAGTGGATAAAGTACGTCCTTCCTAGTTTTTGGAGAATGACTGCATTCTGTCTGATGATCGTTCGATTTTCTAGATCTTGGAGGAAATCTTCAAAAACTTTGATAAGGTTAATATCTTTCTTCACAATAAATAAATTGTGTTCAGTATTATGAGACTCATGATTTTAACAGGATAAAGACAATAAATGGAGCTTAGAAGAGATACAAGCTTTTGCAACAGCTACCAATGGAAGACCTGTAAAGTACAATGAATATTGGCTGGTCATTTTTATGAGTTTAATTAAGAGAGCGTGGAAGTGCTAAACGAGATATTCTAGTTTGAGAATTCAGTGATAGATGAAATTATTGAATCATTTGATATAGATGAAGACAACAAGCTGAAATACTCTGGATTTTACCAAATGTATTATATGCAGACAATCTCTGAACCAGAAGAAACCTTGAAGGATTTTAAAAAACGTAAGATATGAATTTGTAAAATAGTGGTTTCCTTTTATTTTTCACGAACTGAACAGAAGGCTTTGTTTTTAGATGGTTATGACGATAATCTCAATTTGGTAGCATCACGTAACGAAGATAAAGAGGAGGTGTCAGATCAAAAGAAAGCAGAGGAAAAGCAATAATAGCACAGATCGAAAATTACAAATATTCCAATGTGAATACGAAGACACTCACTCCGTGTAGTGGACTAAATGATTTAGTTAAAGTATACCATCTAAAATCAGTTTCAAATATGAGAAATGCCTCAGTTGAGCAATAAACTACTTTGTAAAAGATCTAATTGTGCACAAAAAAACCTATTTTATCCTTACAAGCTATGTTTGACACGTCAAACATACGCATATTTCTCAATTGTTAATTATGTTCGTCTTCAATTACATAAGCATGCCATTCGTTAAGAGGAATTCATGCTGCGAATAGATTCTTTTTTTTTCCTTCCTCAGCCTCGTCCCTATTGAAGCCTTATATAGAAACCGAAGAGGAAACTTTCTTGATATTAAGTCAACAGAAATATTAGACAAAGGGCAAGTTAGTTTTATGCAATCGTCCTGTTTGAAAAGACACAAAGAGGAACCCATGGCCATACCTTATTCATCGAAGCGACAGAAGAGAGCATTTTCACATTACGAGCTTGCAGAAGGTTTAGCAACAAAAAAAGTTAATAGTTATTTTCTTTCTTTTTATGCTGACATGATGTATATACTTATCCTGTCAATACAGATAGTGGTGACGATAACATTAACAAAGACGATGACAAGGCCATGATCACTTCGCAGCAATCAACTACAGACATGTCGACAACTGAAAACACGCCTTGCTCAACTCCGAAACTAGACGTTGAAATGAACGAATTAGACGAATCGAAATACGGCGAGGATTTGGAGAAAGGCATTATAGGCTCACTCAAGTCAGAAAAAGTAAAGTGTTATCCGCATACATACAATATTGCAGAAAAGTGAAATCTTTTGGTCTGATTTTTATTTTCTATATCAGATTGCTGAAGCCTTAGCAGAGTGCAAAGTCTTAGTGATTGGAGCAGGCGGTCTTGGTTGTGAAATTCTGAAAAACCTTGCTTTAACGGGCTTTAAGCAATTGCATGTTATTGATATGGATACGATTGACCTAAGTAACCTTAATCGACAATTTCTGTTCAGGTAAAAATTGGCAACCAAAGTTTAAAAAATCAGAGAACGTAAAACATTGATATCGGCTTTATGAATAATTGGTGTACTTAGAAAAAAGGATATTGGAAAGCCAAAAGCAACTGTAGCAGCAGAATTTGTAATGAGTAGGGTGCCTGGAGTAGAAGTGACAGCGTAAAGTAGTAACTATCATTTAGTGGTTCAAAGAAATCAACCATGTGTTTTACTAATTTCGAGACAAACGGAAATAGATACTTTGGAAAGATTCAGGATAAAGATGATGATTATTACAAGCAATTTAATTTGGTTATTTGTGGATTAGACTCTGTAGAAGCAAGACGTTGGATTAATGCCAAACTAGTTGAAATGGTAGATGAAAATGATATGTATAGCTGGAAGCCACTTATCGACGGTGGTACAGAAGGCTTCAAGGGCCAGGCACGTGTTATTTTGCCCACTATGAGTTCGTGCTATGAATGTTCTTTGGATATGTTTCCTCCAGCCACCACATTTCCCATTTGTACCATTGCAAATACTCCTCGATTACCTGAGCATTGCATTGAATGGGCTTCTGTCTTGGAATGGCCTCGTGTTTATGGCCCAGATAAAAAATATGATACCGACAATCCTGAGCATATTCATTGGCTTTACGAACAAGCTTCTAAACGAGCAAGTCAATTTAATATTACAGGTGTGACTTATTCTTTAACACAAGGTGTAGTAAAGAATATAATTCCTGCTATAGCATCCACAAATGCTGTTATTGCAGGTAACATCATTCCAAAAGCGCTTCAAACTTTGTCAGTTATGTGCAAAGTAACTAACTGCTTATTTCCCAGCTTCTTGTTGTAATGAAGCTTTCAAAATAGCAACAGGCGCAGCACCTTATTTGAATAATTATATGATGTATACAGGAAATGACGGTATATATACGTATACCTTTGAACATCAAAAGAAGCCAGAATGCCCTGTTTGTGGATCAGAGACAGTAACTCATGCGTTTAAGCCAACTATGACTCTTCAGGAATTGATAGATTGGTTAGGTGATAGACCAGATACGTAAGTAACGCCTTTACCTAATCAGTATTTGGTTACTCAAGTTCAAATTCTGAACATGTTTCCCGTCGTTACTTAGTCAATTGAAAAAGCCAAGCTTACGTACTGCTTCTAGTACACTTTACATGCAAGCTCCCAGAACTCTTGAAGAACAAACACGTCCCAACCTCTCCAAAAGCCTTTCTGAACTGGTTGAAAATAATGATTATATTACTGTTACTGATGATGCCTTGCCTGTCAGTTTACAACTAAAGATACAATTTACAACTTGACCATAAAGAATAATCCGAATAAATGAGCATGAATTTGGAAAAACTGTCACTGTATAATTGAAGCCACTCAATTTTTCCATGAATTTCCCGACTTTGCCTGTGTCTTTTTAAAGCCTACATTTATACTTCAAAGTTATTTTCTGTAATTATGCCTGGATTCGTGCTTGAAGAACCTTTCCCGCTAGCACGTTTTCATAACACAGTCGGCGAGAATGATATTCAGTTTTTTACTGTTGGCGTAAATGCTTTGGAATCGCCATCATCCACCCTTTTAAACGATGATGATTCGGTAGATCATAATTATGATGTTGACTCCGTTGCTATAACTGTACAAGGCGAAGGCTTCAAAGTTTATAACGTACCGTATCAGACTGATTTCGTTATTGAGTTTTATTATAAGTTGAGGACGGCCTCATCTCACGCTACAGTTGTACTTTTATTCTTAATACTTCAAATAGACAACCGATCAGAAATGTATCAACTCATGGATTACGCCTCCCGGCATCGCCTTTGTAGGCCCTGCTACTCACATCACCGGCGGTAGAGATACTGAAGCCGTTGATTATACTTATGCTATTGTTGCTTCTGGGCCTGATGTCACGGAAGATGAAGAGGGCAAAATTATATGGTTATGGAAAAACACCAGGAAAGGCGACAATCAAGAATTGGAGAAAATTACAAAGACGGTAAAATGAAACGATGCAGCAATGACATGAAAACGAAAAATGTTTACTCATATCCTCTTTCACTCAAAACGCTACTGCAGTTTGATGAGAAAATGTGCGCTATTCATACTTCAACAGCTTTACCTTCTCATGTTATTATGGTTGGCGAAAATGGATCCATTGATTTAGCTACCAAAGATTTGGATCGTTTGACTGCCAAACAAAAAGTACAGCAAAATAGCGGAAAAGTAATTTGGTCTACTGTTCTCGTTACCTCAAATGCTCACACACGACCTTGTTGTATTCCCACATCTATGGTGCCTTCCATGTCTACTATTGTTGTCACAATCAGCAGTCATACCAACAAAAATGAAGAAGCCAATCATTATGTTATGAAGCTCAATCATGTCAATGTTGAACGCCGAAGCATCGATATTTTAACAACGACCGATTTGAAGTTGACGGCTAAGCCTATCGCTTTCACTTTAGAACCTAATGATGGACGTATAACCATTTTGACAGCTGATGGCACATGGACTATATATCGTTTGCAGCTTAAACATAGCTCATCTAAAAAGATCTCTTGTTCACTTAGTGAACATTTAAGTATTCCCTTGAAGGGATATCGATTCTATGATGAGCATGTGGGCTCTACAGCAGCCCTTGCACCTTTATCTGACAGTTACGTCGCTTTAGTTGCACCACGTACAGCTTCCACCAAGAAGTCATCAACAGCAAATTCGAATGAAGTTGAGCATGTTGTGAGTGTATGGGATGTCAAATATGGTACACTCCAGGCCGAACAAGTAGTTAAAATGAACGAAAAACATACATTCAGTAAAAATCCTTGCGTTTACAATATTGCCGTATTACCCAATTCACATCTTGCTGTTACTGTTTCAGCTGTCGCCAAGAAACCTGTCAATAAGAGCGTAAAATCCTCCAAAAAGATGGTTGAAGCTACCTCAGCAGTTATGCTTTGTCCTTATTACAGCGAGCCTATCTCTTTATTGGCCGCTTTGGGTAAAATGAGGCAAACAGTTGACTTTATGGGTATCAACCAAGACTTATCATCGGACGAAAACTTTGGTTTTTGGCGCAGTGGTAAAGAAGCAGTAAGCAAGGAAATTAGCCTTCATAATGGCATTGAAGATGCGGGTCTGGTTTACGATAAATGGGTGGCTAAAGTTGAAAAGCGACAGAAGATGGAAAACGACACCTTAGCAAAATTAATGGACAGTGATATCAGTCAGGAGGAGTTCACATCTGTCTTTTTCGACTATGTGCATTTTGATCGCAGTGAAAAGGATACTGAAGGTGATATTGAAATGAAGGAAATTGCCACATCATCTGCAGATTCTATTGCAGTTAAAACGGAAGAATATCGGCAGAAGATGAACACATTCAGTAAACGATCGCTTAAAAAGAAACCAGAAGAGTTGTCACAGTTCTTCCTTTCTAATATTGTTGCTAAATGCTTCAAAACGAATACCACTACTACTGAAGACAAAAGCAAAGCTACAAAAGAATTTTGGCCAGTTGATGTCATTTTATACTTGATGGCGAGATCTTCGTTACGTAGCAGTTATGCAGATAGAGGCATAATCAACTCTATTTTGAGCAGAAACGACTGGGCTATTGTACCGCTTGTACTCGAAAAAGCGCATGATATACCAGAAAACGACCTTGTCACCCTGCTGAAGGCTTTGATTGCATTATGTCATGATAAAGTCAACGGGGCAGAATGGAGAAGTCGATTCAGTATATATATGAAAATGATTGTAGACGCACCAAGGAATGACATCTTTTTACAGCAAAGCTTAAAACGTATCACTGCGTCAGAGCTACAATTAATTCTGGAAACAATAGTTGAATGGTTGAAGGATAGGTCCTCTAACTTGAGCAAACACGCCAATGTAAGTGATTATTGTTTCTTTTATGTCATAAAAATATGGGCACAATGTAACCAAGTGCTTGTTTTGTCATTTTTATTAGATTGTCAATTTTGCGAATGCCATATTAGACGTACAATATCCTACTATAATTTTAGAAGCTTCACTTCAAGCTACTGCCACAACATTACGACAATTGGTGGCAAGCGAAATAGAAGTTACAGATGATTTAGAACAATTACGAAATATTTTAGGTGCTTATGATCGTAAGAATAAGCATCTTGCAGCGAAACAAGCAATTCAACAAGCGCAATCTAGAGAAGCCTCTGTTAAGAAGGATGCTCCTATGGATGAATTGACTAAATTCCGTCAAAAACACAAAGGAAAATTCGGTGGTGAGCAAGGTATACCAGTTTATAGAGTGGAAGTGTTTAGATTTTAATAGAAAGACGAAGAAACCATTGTATATTTGTAAACACTTAATCAGCAATAGTAAACACAATGCTGACAATAAGCATGCTCTCTATTTGTATAATAAATTTGATAAAACTTTTGTATAGCATTTTCAAATTGCTGTGGTAGTGTTGACGTCAACTTTTTGAATGGAGAAGGCAAATTGATTGGTCCATATCTAACATTTTGATCACGTGAATATTCCAAAATGAATGATTATCACTCATAGCCAAATTTCAATCTCAGACAACGGAGTGATTATAGCATTGCTTTGGCGGGCTCTTCGCTCAGATCAAAGTCTGTGCTTTCAAATCACCTGATTGCTACTACCATATTCGGTAGAATTAACATGATGATCTTTATATAAAAGTTATCCCTGGCTGAATGGATATGGCCTCTTCGGACGCTATTCCATTGTTGAGAGCTATGTACAAAAGTATCTGAATTTTTTCTACTCATTGTCTTTTTAATATCTCTTATGTTTGTTCTAAAGAAAAAAAATTGCTTGCTACGTTCGTCAATCCCTCGTTATCAGTAATGCCAAGAGTGTCAGTTTTTAGAAAAGATGCTTTTTCCGGGGAACAACGTGGTGGTGTACGAAAATCCTTCATGAAAGGATATGAGCCATAAACTCTTTCCTGCGGTTCCCATTTCTAATTTCCAGTATCTACGCGTCATTACATAATTATTGTTTTGCTTTATGCGCGATATTAAATTGGCAGTAAGACATTGTAGGCCTCTTTTTTCTAAAAAAAATTTGTTTGACCTAATCTGCTATTGTACGTATTCACACCATATCTTGTTTAACAGGATATCAGAACGACATCATTGTAAACAAAAGTTGTTAGATAGAGCTTTTACATATCGTCATCGTTGTGTATAAACCCTGCCAAGATCGTACTAAGATTGAAACATAGTGAATGAAGTCCCTTGTCGATCATGTCAGTAATGCTAGAAATTTTTTGCTCAAACTGAAACTGCACGTCTCCATATTGTTTGATAAGTCGAGTTTCTTGTTTGACCCTGTGTAAGGAATACCCACCTCTGGCTTTTGTAATTTATTATAAAAAGAGATAATTCATGCAATGAGTAGACGAACATACTTCTTTCACTTTATTATTTCAAACTCTTCAATAATAATGCATATTTCGAAGTTTTTGGTCCTTGCTTTGGGTGCATCGGCTGTTTTAGCCCAGGATCCTAATGCTAACCCTACAAACAGCGTTGCTCCTGCTACCGATCAGCCGGCTCCTTCTCCCACTGATCAACAACAGCCGCAACCTACGGATCAACAGCAACCTCAGCCTACGGATCAACAGCAACCCCAGCCTACGGATCAACAGCAACCCCAGCCTACGGATCAACAGCAACCCCAGCCTACGGATCAACAGCAACCTCAGCCTACGGATCAGCAACAACCTCAACCTACTGATCAGCAACAACCTCAACCTACTGATCAAGCTCCTAGTGAAACTGTTGCTCCTGCTCCTGCTCCCGCTCCTACTGAAGGTGGCGATAATAACAATACGACTGATGGTAATAACGGTAACAACACTACAACCAACCCTGGTAGCCAAACGCTTGCTGATATTGTTACTTCCAACAACAAGTCCCTTGGCATCAGCAAGTTTGGTCAATTTTTACAAGATCCTAATTACAAGTCTTTCTTGGACCGCTTACGATCGAACGATGTTACCTGCTTTATCCCATCCAACAAGGCTCTTGACAGCGTCCTTAAATCATGGAAGAAGTATGCCAAGAAGAACAAGTTGAATGAAACTGCAGTACCTCCAGCTGACTGGAAGGTCAGAGGCAATACTACCATTACGGATGTGCTCAACTATCACTGCATTGATGGCAAGCAAAAATTGGATGATCTCTCTTCTGGCAATGTCGTTGTCACCACTTTGGACCACAGCCGACCTCTCCGTATCGAAAGCACTGGCCAATATGATAATAACCAACTTCTTCCTCCCCCTCCTCCCCCTCCTGCTCCTGCTCAGCCCGCTGACAATGGAACGGCTGCACCCAATGGTGAACAACCTCCTCCCCCTCCTGCTGATAACAATGGCGATCAAAACCAACCCAATGGTGAACAGCCTCCTCCTCCTCCTCCTGCTGATAACAATGGTGACCAAAACCAAAACCAAAACCAACCCGAACAGCAGCAACCAAATGGCAATCAAGAACAACCACCCGCTGCTCAAGGTTTCCAATTGCATCACTTCCAAGATCAAACTGCTCCACCGGATAACAATAACAACGGTACTGCTCCTGCTGATAACAATAACAACGGCAACGGCACTGCTCCACCTGATAACACTCCTGCTGGTAACACCACAAACACTAACCCTCGCGAAAAGAATGAATACAAGGTCGGCAATGGTATTACCGATACTTGGGTCCGAAGAAAGGATGTTCAAGGCTCCAATGGTTACATTAACGTGATTGATGAAGGTACATATCACTTGGCATCATATGTTGGCGCGTAAATGAAGTTGTCTAACCTTTTTCTTTTTTTTTTTTTTTTTTCTTTTTTTTTTCTCTCTCCCTAGTCTTGATGCCCGTGTATCGACCCACGGATACTCTTGATGATCTCGATCAAACTGTTACTTTTGGCAAGCTCATCAAAAAGAATCCTGACGTCGTCAACAGATTGAACCATGGTGGAAAGGTAAAAAATATGTGAGAATTCGCAGAAGCTGCTTGTTTGTAATGTTAATTTAAAAAAATAATTTTTTTTTGGTCTCAACTAGTTTACTCTCTTTGCTCCTAACAATGATGCCTTCGATGATATTGACACTGATCGAATGGATAATCAAACAATCAATGATATTATGAATGCCCATCTTGTTGACGGTGAACACTACATTGAAGCTATCAGAAATGATGCTCACAACAACAATGGTAACACTTCTTTGAAGGCCATCAATGGAAACGACCTCGCTCTTTTCGTGAACGGTACTGTCAGAGTGAATGACACTGCTAAGGTCATTGATGGTAACGTCTTGACAAACAATGGCGTTATCCATGTCATCGATGGAATCCTCAATCGTAACGATTTGAGAGGACGCTTGTAGATCAAATTTCTACCTTTTCTTTTTTTCTGATTTGAACTGTTGATCAAAATTACTTTATAACTATTTTATTGATTCATTACTTTATCTAATATACTAAATGCTAATAATAATTCTTCTTTACGTTTTCCATAAATAAAGCATTTTCCTGTTCTAATATAGTTTGGGAAGTATATAGCTTTAATCAATGGCGTTCTTAACATTGCTCTAGACCTCTTCGCTGCAGGACTGAATCCTATCAAAAAAATCGAATGCCAGATAGAGATGTATTTGTTTCACTCATGCTATGCAACCAACTTTTTGTAAATAGAAGAGAATCTTCTATGTTCATTCAATGAATGAACATAAGACTCAACAGCTCGCTTTACTGAAGGCAGTGTGTAGTTCCCTTTAAACAACAAAGACGGCAAGATTTGCTGCCGAGCAGTTCCTATTGAGTCTATCCTGCCTGATGTTCTAGTAGCTGCATGAATTGACGGATCGTTGGGTTCGTTTCGTTCCCCGCTCTCCGTGACGTAAAATGGTGATCAAAGAGCTCCATAAGCTGTGGTTTCTTTTGGGATTTTTTTTTTTCTTTGATACAGTAAGTTATTTTTTCCCCTTCTTTGATTATGCGGGGGTGGAAAAAAAAAGGGTGGAAACCACACAAATCAATCGAGCTATTTTTTGTTATTTTTTGTTTTTCTCTGAATCAAAAAAAAAGACCCCTTTTGAGCATAATAAAACCTACGATTCGCCATGTCGTCCGAGAATAGAGTTCCCAGTGAAGAAATATTGTCGCAAAAGGTAGCGGACAGAAACCTTTATTATCTGTGTTTCATAAAAAAAAGGACCCACCGCACACCCCTCCCCCCACGCTTTTATACGATCTGATGCCTTTATACTTTTTCCATAGTGGGATCGCGCCATTTCCAACTTTGTGGTCAAGACTGGCCTTGGTTTGAGTGTTGGTATTGTCGCTTCAGCATTAATATTCAAAAGTAAGTTTTCTATCATTGTGTTGAAATTAAAAAAAGAAGCCAATACTGACATTTTTAAAATTGTGGATAGAGCGTCTGGGTCCCATTGCTCTTGCTACAGGTTGGGGTTTCGGTACAGCCTATGCTGATGCAGAGGTAAAAGTCACTGAAAGAGAAGGGGGTAGAAAGTGTCGGGTAAGATAATGCTAACGCAGAAAGTCTATCTATCTCTCCATTGACAATGACAGCGTATATTCCATCCTTCTAATGTGCCTGGCACACGTTTCGAAAAGCAAAAGCCTACAGCTTAGAAATAGACAACCCATGAAGTAAAAAAACGATGCTCCATGCACCTCCACCACCCTCTGATCGACACCCATCACATTATATCCAACCTATTTTTCGTATAGGATGCAACATTTGAGAAACACAGAATGAGAAACAATCTTTTTTGATAGAAATAATAGGGATAAAAAACAAGGGAAAAATAAAATTACAATATAACGTTTCCTAGCAAAATTGAAGCCAACATGGACATCCAAAGGCTTTCTAACGGCCCAAATGTAATCTTTGACATGGATGGGATGAAAGAGCTTGGAATACTAGACATTTTATTGCGCAGGGAAGAGTGTGCCAACCACAAGAGGATAAGGGAGTTATGTGATAATAAAGGAAAAACAAAAGAAATAGAGAGAGAGAGAGAGAGAGGAAGAGAGAGCTATATACAGGAAATAAAAGGAATAGTGTGTGTGTGTGTGTGTGTGTGTGTGTGTGTGTGTGTATGTGCTTCTTGGGTTGCTAGAGAAAGGGGATCATGGGTTGATTTCGTTGGGTTCTGTCTGTTGTTGAAGGCGGGATAGAAAGTGGGGGAGGAGGGGAGGGTATGGATCATTTTCGCTTTGTTGGGATTGGCCAGGTTCATCTATCCATATCAACTGCTTTTCAACAGCGCAAGTACAGCAGCTGCTTCGACGGCATCTTCGCCGATGAAAACAGACAAACTATCAGGGTCAAACGAGCTTAAGGAATCTCTACTTCCTTTATCGTCCTCTGCTAATGCATGGTGTTGTTGTTGATCTAATAATTTTGTCACGGCCGGGGAAGTACTGGATGAGGAAGAGGACGACTCTAGCGGACTATGGGACGCTGAAAATGAGCGGTGGTGTTGGTGTTGGTGTTGTTGTTGTTGTATTGCTTGATGTAAAGAAGAAGAAGACGAGGAGGATCCGAATACATCTACGTCATGTTCGTAAGATGGATACGGTGGGTGTTGTTGTTGTTGTTGTTGTTGTCTTGTCTGCGGTGTCGTCCTTGTCGGCGTACTGTTGCTACTAGGGTGATGATGTTGTTGTTTCTGATTGTTTCGGGTGGTATAGGTGCTGTTACTACTCGTCATCCGCCGCTTTTTTGTATCTCTTTTACCGATTTTTTTACTTGTGATTGTCGGTGTAGAAGAAGAAGAAGAAGAAGAAGAAGAAGAAGCAGCAGCGGTTGTCATTGTCGCCGTATGGGTGGTCGCTGTAGTCGTCGTAGTGGACTTGCTGTAACTGTTGGCTGATGTGGCTGTTGTGGGCGAATCTTTGCCGTTCAATATTTTACCATGTTTCCATTTCACGCCACAAGCATTACAGAGAGTACCTGCGCCCTGCGGACCTCTTCGCCACATGGGCGTTGTTTTTGAGCCACAATAAAGGCATTTTTTCATTTGGTTCGCATTGACGTTGTTTGCTTCTTTATTCGCTTTTCTTGTACTCTGTTTTCCTTTCAATGTCTCCATGTCGCTGGTGAATGTTGAGGATGGAGATCGGTTGAATGCTGTCCGTCCTTGACGTTCTTGATCTGAAGGCCATCCATGGCTTTTTCTCTCGTAGTGGTGGTGGTGGTGGTGGGGGGTCGTCATGGGATCCTCCACCGCATCGAATGGATGTTGCTGCTGCTGTAAAGACGCTGTTCGTTCCAAAAAGATGCCCAGTTTTGTTTTATAATAGGTGACTCTTTCATTATGCAGCTTCATCTAAAGACAAAAAAAAAGAACGGTCAATAAGGGGGATTTCCTTTCATTCGCAAGCGTCGTTCCCACACTTACAAGTTCCAACATATTTTGACACATCGTTTCATAGCCATAGACCATCTGTTTGATAGACTGGTACAACTCTTCTGATGCATCCGTGAGTATCATGTTACGTGCATGAGGTTGATGTCTACTCAGATTGGAGAGCGTTAACCGATCACTATGACTGCAAACAGCAGCAAATTCTTCTAATTTCGTACTGAAAGAGGATGGCTCATCCATTTCAAATGAAGATAGGCAATCGCATGCTACATTTTTGTTGTGTGGAAAGAACGAGAATATCAACTTGTGTAGAAAATAGAGAAATGTCGGTTAAGGATACAGTGTGGCGAATCTCTGTCTTTTTTTTTTTTTTTACTTACCTTATGTGGGGCAGTTGTGGTTAAGCATTCTGTGACAGCATCACGAGGAAACATATAAAACCTTTGTTCAGGGGAAAGTGAAAGAGAAGAAGAAGAAGAAGAAGACAAAGAGAAGGCTGAAGGAGTAGAGACTTCCTTGTCCGCTGTGAAAATGATAGCTCGACCCATGACCTGTTCCTTTTGTTTATCGTTCTCCATATTACTACTACTACTACTACTACTACTACTACTACTACTACTAGCGCTACTCGTACGACTGCTGTTGTGGTTGTTGGTATCATGACGATTGTTTGCGGCCGTATCGTCTGCAGCGGGTGGATCCAATAGCATCGTATCTGACAAAAGTGGCTGAGTAGGGTCTTGACTTGATTGTAACAGATCTTCGACTTCATCTTCTACGCGAATGGTGGTGGTGGATACAGTAGGCACTTGATATTTTACAATTTCATAAAAGCTACAAGACAGCACATGAGAGCCAGATTGAAAAGTCGATCGACCCAGCGAACGGCTTTGGTAATATTGCATAGGTCCGTTGGTGGGATTGACCGATGGCTGGTCGAGTAGTAAATTAGGTGGTATTTGAAAGGGTTGAAAGGAATCTAATATTCTTGCACTGTACCATGGACAACACCATTGGGGGAAAAAAAAAAAAAAAAAAAAGATTTATAATGAGATCCAATGCGTCCGTCTTGTTCTCCTGAGCTACGTCAACTATACATTACCCTTCTGTATGTATTGTTCTCGACATGTGTGTATCCAATGCGTTTCCCACAACAATAAAATAAAAATAAAAAAGAAAAGCTTTGTCAAAAGAGTATTACTGTTAAAAGGATATATTTGGCAATCGGCTTCTGATGGCCAATGGTTGCTCTTTTTTTTTTTAAATAGGATGAAAAGATGGGAAAGAGTTTTGGATCGATGAGCTAACGTTGCGACAGATGGCTGGCACTTGAGCTATCAAAAAAGGCTGGGGGGGGGTGGAGAGACAGCGATCAGAGTGAGAGGGAAGTGGAATATGTAAATAATGTAAGGTTACACCTCTATTTAAAAGAAAAAACGATTTGGGCTTTTTTGAAAGAAAAAAAGAGGGCAAAATCATCAGTTACATTTCACACCTTTCGCTTTTTTTTGGGTGGGTGTCAGTGGGCAGCTGGGATTATTATTTTGTAGTCTGTGGGTTTAGGTCCGTGAGAAAACCCACCATGAACAATGGGTGTAATCGCCCAAGGATTGAATTTCCTTTGGATACCTTTTCACCCAGTTGCCTACCTATACGAAGGCTTTTTTTGAGGGGGAGGGGTATCTTAAGGCTTGGATAGTTTTTTATTTTCTTTTTTTTTCTTCCATTGTCCGCACTTTCTACGATAAAGCCCACTCTTTATTCTATGATAAAACGAGAAGCTTTTTTGAATGAAAAAGTGCTTTGTTTACGCATGTCATGTTGGGATAGCAAAGATAGTTCCATCCGATGAGCCTTCCCCAGTCTCTTTATGGCTAAAACTCTATCAGTATTTCACGGATCGCTTCGGTTTCCATGTAACAAAAAAAGGAAAGAAAAAAGTCAGCCTTTTACCGCTTTTTCTGCATTTTTGCTTTGTTGTACCATGAGCTTATTTATTTGTTACTGCCAAATCTCTACAGCATGGACAGGGTTTAATCCAGATGCGCCGTGATACAAGATAAGAGGTCGATGCTAGTGTTCAACAATAAAGACACATCTTCATTGACTGTATTACCCTGATGAAAAACGCGACTGTTGTGAAATATTGAAAAAGATGGCTTTGAAGACCAAGACTATTTTTTTTTAAAAAAAATTATTCAATGCTAATGTATTTATTATACAAGTGGTGAAATATAAAGTTATTAAAGTAATTCAATTACGTAAATCGGGAAATAAATATTAATACACAAAGCGAAAAGAGTCAAAAAAGGGTCAAAAATGGAATATTATGATTAGAAAAGGTAAAAGTAAGTTATATAATTACAATTAAAAAGGGAAAAAAGTGGGAAGAAAAAAAAAAGTATGCTTATTTGATGAGATGAAAGAAATGTTTTCACGCTTTAGTTCTTGCCCTTCTTGGCGAGTTCAGCAGAAACATCAATACCGTACCAACCGAGGTGACGACCTAATTCATCAAGAGTCTTACCCTTGGTTTCGGGGATAAAGATAAAGATAAAGATAAAGGCAACGAAGGCAAGAGCGGCAAAGATAATGAAGGCATAGGCACCCATACCAGACAACATAGCAGGGAAGACCAAACCGATGATAAAGTTACAGAGCCAGTTAATGGCCAAACAAGCGGAAGAACAGGCACCGACGGCATAGGTAGGGAAACATTCAGAGACAAGAATGAAAGGAACCATACCGTAACCGACAGCGAAAGAAGCGACGTAAAGCATAATACAGACGACTTGAAGGGCACCAATGTTGTACTTCATAGCGGGAACCATGATAACTTGGAAAACGGTCATACCAGCGGTAGAGATCAAGAGAAGAATCTTACGACCGAGACGATCGACAAGAGAAAGACCCACAACGGTGATGACAACGTTCAAGGCACCGACACCGACAGTGACATAACGAGCAGAGGTACCGAAAGAGTTTTCGAAAATAGTGGTGGAATAGTACATAATAGCGTTAATACCGGTCAATTGGGAAAGAGCGTGGACGACGAAAATCTTCATACACAAGCTGGCCAAGACACCGATGGACATGACTTGCATGAGAGAGAGTTGTTCTTCAGATTCACCAGTGACACCAGCGGCTTCAGACTTGCCATTATCAAAACCAGCGGAATCCTTATCGTTTTCGGGAGCAGGCTTAGCTTCTTCACCGCCCTTGGTGATACCGAGGATCATATCAGTGAATTCAGATTCAATATCACCATTACGGAGCTTAAGGAATTCAACACGAGCTTCATCAATTCTGTTCTTACTGATCAACCAACGAGGAGAACGACAGGTGGTGGGAAGAAGGACCATTTGAACAATAGTAGGAGCAATGGTGATGATACAAGCAACACGCCAGCCGACAGGAGAGTTCAAACCAAGACCGATCAATTCAATGATAAGGATACCGCAAGTAGTGAGAAGTTGAAGACAAGAGGTAAGAGCACCACGGAACTTGGCAGGAGCAATTTCAGAGACGTAGACACCAACGACACAAGTCATGAAACCAGAACCAACACCAATAAACAAACGACCAATAGCAAACATAGCGGCATGAACGGAACAAGAAAGCAAAATAGCACCGATGAAGAAAGTAACATTCATGAAAAGCATAGAATCACGACGACCGAAGCTATCCATCAAATATTGATTGGCAATAGCACCAATGAGACCACCAATAGCGAACAAACCATTACAAACACCCCTATGGATCGATTGAAAAAAATAAAAAAATGGAAAAATAAAGGTTAGCTTTTCATCACTACTATCACAACTACCAAGGGAGAGAGAGAGATATATTTACCAAACCCAATCGCCCATAGGCAAACATTGAGGCATAGGAGAATTCTTAAAGTAGGTTTGAACACCGGGAGCAACGTTGGGACAGTTTCTGACATATGCACCGGGAATATTCAAAGCTGAAGTATTGACACCAGAGTTACCAGCACCTAAGGCTGCAATGATAGTACAATAAAGTACGAACTTTTTCAAAGGAGCGTCCCTCGAATCCATTTTACTGATAAATGATAAGAATTAAGGAAAAAAAAGGTAATAAATGAACTTTTTTTTTTATAGAGAAAAAGAGGGAAAAAAGAAAAAATGAATAGGTAAAAAACTGAAAGAAATTGTTTTTTTGATTAGAGGAATTTGTTGATTTGGTAAACTGGAGGAAATGAAAAACTTTGTCTTTTTATATAAATTGAACAATTGGGAAAAAAAAAATGTCAAATGTCTGGCCTTGAAAACAATGGGTGGAATGAGTGACACCCAACCAGATTTTTTCCGTCTTTTTCAGTAGCGGACAATAAAAAAACCGTGTTGGTTACAGGCCATCAGGGTCTTTTTGGGTCCAGTGAATGAGGCAGAAGAAATTTTTTTTTTTTCTCTTTTTCTTTTTTTCCCCCCAAAAGCAAGCGCGCGCTGCTGCTGGTTTTTTTTTTTTTTTAATTCTTTTTCCATTCAGAATTTTTTTATGCAGACGCTGGTATTTCCTTGAATAGGACGATCTCAAGTCAAATGCCCTTTTCTTCCCTTTTTTTTTTCCTTGCGTTTATTTTTGTTGTCCAAGTGTAAATGGAGGAAATAGTTTTTTTTTGATTTTTTTTTTAATTCACCCTTGGGCAGACAAACCAATCGTAACCATCCTATTTCTTCAAGTTTCTGCTGAAAAGAGTGAACCACATCCAATTGCTACATATTTGCCTTTTATGGAAATTGCTTTACTTGTAAAATGGGGGGAAGGGTTTCAAACGTAAACAGAAAAAAAAAATCGATTTTCTACCAAATAGGCGAGTTTTAGAAAAATAAGAAATTGCACCCCCTTTCACCTTTTTTAATTCAGGGGAAAAAAGGATGTGTTTCAATTGTTATTCAGAGTGAAATCACATAGAGATGCATAGAAAAAAATTAACAGTGGATGCTTTTCTCAAAGATCACAGCACTGTGGATCAATAGAAAGAAGGGAATCAAGGTCGAGAGCGGCCCTGCTGTCAAGTGTGGAGTTGTCGGGGATAGTCAAGAGATGGAGCCGTTTGCCTATAAAAGTGTGATGAAGAAATGTGCAGCTACGGTTCCGCGGCCATTCTTATCCGTGATTCGTTAATTTTTTTCTCCGCCTTTATTTTCCATGCCCTTTTTTAACACTCCAAGGCCAAGTAAGGTGAATATGCAGATTCTGTAGAGATTTGTAATGTATGCTTATAGATGTTTGTCATCAATAGCGGGCATCCTTTATTTTCAAATCAAGTCAACCCCTCACCCTGGTTTTCTCAAAAAATTGGCTGTATCACTCAATAGACTCTCCCTTCTGAACATTACAAGCTTTTTTTTTTGGTTGTTTTTTTTGGCTCTGAAGACAAAAAAAAATAAAAGACAGTATTACGTAAAACACAACGTGTCCTACGCTGGTTTTTTTCTAAAAGAAGACCCTGATCGGGTTTCTTTCTCCCCGTGTTTAACCTTGTATAGCCATACAAAAGATGGGAAAAAATGAAAAATCTGAACCACACACACACACGCCAATAGTTATTTTTTGTTTCTTTTTCCTCCCCGCCTAAAAGGCTTCCTTTCTTTTTTTTTTTTTTTTTGTTTTCCAGAATCAACGCAGAAACAGATTGACATCAGAACATAACAGTCCTTGCTCAAATCATAACATGCATTATTTGCATGACAAAACACACTTTCGTATCGTCTACATACACTTCAAGGAAGGTAACGGTACCTTCCGTAGATCAAACGGATACGATGTTCGAGGGCCGTAAAATTGATTGGTGAGGTTTGTTCGTAGGTTTTTTTTTTTTTTCTTCAACGGGAAATTTCTTTTTTTGTGTAAAGAAAGCGAATCACTTATTGGATCAAGTTTTCATTGGAAAAGAGAGTATTGGTAAAAGGGAAAATCAGCTCATCCGTGCCCTTTTTTTTTTTTTTTTTTTTTAAACAACAACAACAACAATCACCAACCAAAAAATGGAGAAGAAAAAAATAGGCACGGCTCGGTAAAAAAGGTCATGGTCATTGTTTGCAAGAGTAAATCCCTTTTTGTTCAAATGAAGAAAACTATTTTTTACATTTTTTTTTTTTGTTTTTTTGCCATCTATCCGACGCTTCCCAGACAAAAAAAAAAAAAAAAAAGTGACTGGACATCCTTGGACGACCCTTTTTTTTTTAATCAAGGGAAAGGCTTTATGGCGTACGGAAGTGGTATTTTCTTTGAAAGAAAGTGTTTCACGCTTTCCTTCAAGGGACCTACACAGAAGGAAAGAAAAGGGAAGGGGGAAAAAAAAGAAAATAGAAAAAAAGAGAAACATAAGACACAGTCATGAACCTTGTACTCTACCCATCTTTCTGTTTATTCATTGTTAACATTTTAAAGTTGTTTGAAAATAGAGATCTTCTTTTTTTTGCATTAAAAACTTTCTATTCTATTTTTTCCCTTTGTGCATTGAAAAAAATGGATTTTTCATTGTGACCCGCATCCATCCCTTTTCCTCCTCTCCCCCCCCCAAAAAAAAAGGCAGTCCCTTTGCTTTGACAACTTACTCTCATGCTTGTCATGCAACATTGACTTGTTGCTTTAAATGAAGCTTCCTTAAAAAGGTCATATTATTTTTTTATTTTATCAGTACAGCAAAAAGGAAACAGTCAGAAGGGAATCGCGATTTAGCGGGTTCTTTATCTTTCCATTATTTCCATCCTTTTCCGTCCCATTTCAGGGTTCAAAAAAAAAAAATTTGATTTTCTGTAGTACACGACATTTTTAAAAAAAGAAGGTGTCTTTACCATCTCTCACTCGTCCGCATAGTGAACCCTTAAATTTGTTTATATAATGCAAAGAGGGAAAAAAAAAGAACGCCATGTCAAAATGCTTTCATTGTTGACATGCTTGAGATGGGAGCCAAAACCACTTTTTTTACCCAGATCTACCTATTTGTCATATATGAGACACTTCCGATTAAATAAAGCTTACGAACTAATTTCTCAGATTTTTGCAATGTTGCAAGAAGATAAAGTTCAGTATCAAGAAACGTCATGCTATGAATCATTTTTTTTATAGAATAAAAAAAAAAAAAAAAGACTCTTCAAGCAAGGAGGGTCAACTGTGTCTATGTCATCAAAAGGGTTACAACGGTGGACGCGAAAGTTTGATCCAACAACTCTTTTTTTTAAGCTGGCTTCCCTCTTCTTTCCCAGTGTTTCCTGACCATCGGAAATGTGCGCTAGGAAAAACTCACACTCTCTGTTACCGCATGGTTGTTTAAAAGACAAGACGGCGACCCATTTTTTTAGAATTCCTAACATGTCCTACAATGATCCTGCTTACTGATCACACACTCCTATGGTTTGAACGTGGTGTACGTAGCCTGTGGTGTATAGAGATGGTAGTGTATGTAGACGTTTGAGTGTCATAAACATAAACAAAAAAAAAAATTGAGTGTCATCGACGATGGATAAAAAGTAACATCTCGTTTTGCTTATTTGAGCAAGCTATAGGCTGAAACCCAAGTTATTCTTGTTCATAGAGTATGCATCTATGAGGCACACCATCTATTCTTCTTATTCAACCACCCTAGCGTATATTTTATTCTCTCTTTTGTCTCCCGTTATACAAAAATACAGTTATCACAATAAAGCATTTGAATTGAAACAATAAGAAAAAAAACCTCCCCCCCCCATCTACTGAACTACGTACTGGTACGTAATTCTCTAAGCACTCTGTCATTTTTACAACGTCTCCTACCCTCAACTTTTGCCTTTGCTTGCATGTAACTTATGTCCAGCCACCATGGAGCATGACTTTTCCTTCGAGGTTAGCTGCCCTTGGAGACAGTCTGTCGGCAGTTTTGTCTCAGATCTTTCTCTCTTTCTCTCTCTCTATCTGATGTATTACAGACTCTTGAAGAAGTATGGCATGTTCTGCCCAATCCAAAACTGCCAACTTGTGATGTCATTTTCAGAGAACTTGACACTCAACTTGTTAAACAATAGGATCGTATTTGAGGCACGATAGTAATATATTTTACATGAGTAGATTACTCACAACGTCCCATGAAATGTTAAAAACAAAACTTGAGGCAGATAGGAGCACTGCTCATATCCTCGTTCCCGTTTGATAAGCGATGCGTTCGATTGTATACAATTGAACCTTAGATCAAATGCATAATAGGTAAAGTCGAAATAAGTAAAGAATATGAATGAAGGATAATTCTTATGGTGAAATTAGCTACCTCACATAAGATATGAACAGGTTATCTTTATGAAATATATTTTACTCAAGATTATCTATGACTCTTTCACATTTAAGTAGAGAGCAGGATTGGTATATGCAACATGTAGGATATATTGATTCAACAACCAGAACAGAGTAGGCCAAGGTACTGCTCCTGCTATGGAAATAAAGTAGGGTTGGAGATAAAAAGGCTCGATCACTCTTTATTAACACAACAACTGTTCACGCAATCAAAAGAACACCACGCACGAATATCTCTTCCTAGCCAACATCTATCATCATTCCCACAGTATCTGAGCTACACAACTGGTGGCCGATAGTATTAGATTATAGATGTAGCTGCATAATCACCCTGGATCTGCCAGGATAGCACATTACAAATCAATCCGCTTTGAGATGGACGAGTAATGATCCACTTAAAAGGAAGACCTATTCTTTTACGGAAACTTCTGATTCACTGAGTATTATTTGACCATACTACATCAGTGTCAGCTATAGATACTGCTACACACCTTTCGCAGGTAGCAAACAGTATGACTCTTTAGTAACAGCAATAACCTTAAGTTAGAAATAAAGACAGTGGTTTGATTTCGTTAAGCTTTCGTGTTTTCTTTTGTGTACTATCTACATTCGATCAGAGACTTTGGTTTGCTAATGTGCCCACAAACAAGTGATTAAATGTCGATACTTATTCTAATCCTATAGTAAAAATCAGCGAATACCACAAATAGATTGGAAATTCTCTAGAATGATCACTGGTATACGGTCATTTATATCAAAGATTTGGTCTACTAACAGTGCCTTGCAACGATTTTAGTCCTCGGTTGCCTTAAAGATCACTTTAGCAAATGTAGAACCCTCTAACCCAACAAGACATAGGCTAGTTCTGTCCTATTTGCGAGCTAAATCACATTTAAATACTTGACTATCCTATGTACTATCAAACAATAAAATTGTAACCCTGAATTAAAAAGAAAAAAACAAAAGAGCCACATCGAAATGATCTCAACATTCTCGTTGCGTTTATTGTTCACAAACGAAACAAAAAAAAAAAAAAAAAAAAAAAAAAAAAAAATGGGAGAGGGTAACAAGAAAAGAGTTGATCTTTATGATAAAGGGATGGGCTTTTCTATTTATAAGTATGAATTTAAAAAAAAAACAATATGTACAAAAAAAAAGAAAGACGTTTCGAGATGGTATAGATATGCGGTTAGAATGCAGGGAATTTTGATCGGAAAGGGTCTCCACGAATACGACCATAACCATGCGCAGGTTCTTTGTACTTTGCAAAACAAGTCGTATCACCGTCATCCTTCACTTTTGGTATATAGGGAGGCTTCATTTTGCGTCTGAGCACTTGCTCGAAATTGATATCAGCAAACCAAGGGTGCTTCTTGATTTCCTTGCTCGTGTAACGCCCCTCAACGTCATGGGTCAGTAAATTCGATAACAGATCCTTCAAAGTCGGCCCCATATCGTCAGGCCAATCCACTCGACATTCCAGAATCTTTTGATAAAGGTCCACTGGGTTTTTCTCGACAAAGGGAGCGCGTCTATGATGAGTAATAAAAAAAAAAGACACTTTGGTTAATAATCTGGATATCTTTCAACAAGGATCTGCTTTTTCATCTTACCCAACAACCATTTCAAAGATGAGAACACCCAGACCCCACCAATCCACTGCTTTTGTATAGCCTTTGGAAAGAATGATTTCCGGTGCCAAATAATCTGGAGTACCACACACGGTCCATGTTACATCATCCACACGCTTAGCAAATCCAAAGTCAGTCAATTTGACATGGCCACGAGCATCAATCAAGATATTTTCTGGTTTCAAATCTCTGTACACAATGCCATTGTCATGTAGATAAGCAAGTGCTAGCAAAACCTCAGCAGCGTAAAACTTGGCTGTTGCCTCAGTAAATTTCTATAGGTAAATGATATAGACTTGTTGAGTGTCCCATCGTATCATCTCTTTTTTTTTTTTTTTTTTTTTTCTTTTTTTTTCTTTACCTTGTGCTTTCGTAACACACGGAAGAGTTCTCCTCCAGGAATATAATCAAGCACCATAAAAAGATGGGTATCGTCTTGAAAAGCATCCCATAAAGTGATGAGGAAGGGATGGGATATCTCTCTCAAAATGGTCGGCTCATTATTGACATGTTCTACTTGTTTGAGACGAACCACATCATATTTATCCAGGACTTTAATCGCGTAATGTTTTCCATTGACTTTGCTTTGCGCTAAATGCACACGACCAAACGACCCTGTGCCGACCGTGCGTTTTAGAATGAAATCGTCCAGTGTCAGTTTGCGGTGTTGCCGGCGGCGTGTGCCTCCCGTTCCCGTACCCGCACCCGCACCCGCACCGCCACTCACACCACCACTACCCATACCACCGCCACCGTGTGCGGCTCGGCTGCACCGCGGAGGTAGGGAAGCGTGCGTGCCGAATTTGCTCGACACATGGATCGGCCGGGGCGAGAAATGCGATCGCATCGGCGAGCGAGGAGGTTGCAGGGAAGAGGTTCGGATGCCTTCGTCTGAGCCTACGCCAAGATGCAGCCTTTTCTTGTTCTTTGCCGAGTTGACTTTACCGTTGGCGCTGGCTGCTGTAGCCGCTGTCGTAGAAGGTTGCAAACTGAAGGAAGACGGAAGGTCGTGCGTCAGTGACGAGAGAGAAGCGTTCTCTGCTTTACTTGTCGTGGTGGTGGTGCTTCCCACGTCCGGTTGGATGGGAAGACTAAAATAGCTATCAACGGCCTGCGAGGAAGCGGGTGGGGCTGGTTGTTCAGCTAGCCGAGGAAGCGGTGAGAGCGGTGACGCTCGAGTGGGCGATGTGGACAAGTAATCAGGTACGCTACTCACTGGTTCCTCTCCTGATGGCATCTTTGGAGCCATTGGTTCTTCTCTGCTTTTTGACTTTATACATTTATGGGCAATAGGTATCGAATCTACGTTTAAACCCCCACCCCATTATAAAAAAGGATGAGTGTCGGTATTTCAATCATATCCTCTGACATTTTTGAAACATCAGTTTCGTTTTACCTTTAAAGTTGTCAGGAGTCTTATTGACAGGTGATGCTGGTGGTGAATCCATTGGCGATGTGATGGTGATGGAAGCAGGAAGTTGTGATAGGTTGGATAGAGAATTTCTCTGGGGAGTCTGCGATGGAGTAACAACGTTATTACAGCTGTCTGTTGAAAAAATGACGTGTGTGAGCAAAAAATCAGACTTTAAAGTTCAACAAATTTCGTTGTACTTTACTAGAATAACAACTTCCATCATTACTTGTGATGCTGCTCGTTATACTAGGTGTTTTTGAAATACCGGGTGACGATGAAGATGAGCTATTTGATTCTTGACTTGCTGTGCGATTATGTCGCATTGTAGATCGTCGACGAATCATCTGAACACCTTTCGTTAGAACATCCATCTTAAACTGTGAATTATTTATAAACACTAATTGATCTGATATGTTGTATTTGATAAACTCTACTTTCGCAAGACAACCAAACAATTGTATATCGTAGAAATCAGGTAGTTTAACTGTAAACTTGGAACAAAATAAAAGTAATTATGTTGGCAAAAGAAACGATAAAAGCAACCACTTCCTTTATATATAGTTTGCGGATGTTTCACTCACCCGGTACCTGATACTGGAGCGTTCGTTCATGTCATTTGCTCAATTTAACGGAGTATCAAACGTCGACTGCACTAAGGACTCTCTCTCTGACATACAAAATAAGCGAAATTGATAACGCTAAAAATATAGAACGATGTCGTAACCGTTCCTTACTCCGCAAATTAAAATGAAGACTAACTGGTGTGCTGTGCTGCTGTGCCCGGATCAACTTTTTAATTTTTCTATCAGCTACTACAGTATCTCTGATCTTTTTTCAAGTCAATCAACGGAAGAAAGCACTCTTGATCACAAACTGCTGCTGTTGCCTGTCAAAAATATGACTGTTGTGGCACATGCTTTTTTGATAGATCTGTAAATGATTACCTAAATTCTATCTTTTTTATTATGTATCACGTGGAGTTTTTATTGCTGATACAGAAAAGACCCAACCAAGACGACGACTTCACTTCATTACCCACCCATGGCAGTGAAAGCACTCCATTGAATGCAGTAAAAACAATGATTACTTTTGATAAAACTTGGCTTGAACCGAGCAGTAGGATGTTCATGTAATAAAACTGGCTTTAACCGCATCCTGATCATAGGCAAGTAGTTATTCTTCCATTTCTGTTGAACCCAAAGCGTTCATTTCCCCACGTCTTTTTACAAGAAACAGACTGATATCATGAGATAGACTTAATAATGATCTGTCGATGTCAGATATAAAGGCCATCGAAAAAAGGGCGCTATTACTTGATGACTACGAAACTGAGCCAATCAGACGCTGAAAGTTTCGCTTGTTGCATATCATCCTCCTCCACTTCTTAAAACAAGACTAGCAACGTCCCCGTGAGATCGTACTAAAAAGTCTACAACTTGCTATTTTTTTTTTTATATTTCGGTTGAACATGCACTGATGATGCAACAAAAGAAGCTCAACAAGGGTTCTGAATATGTATTTTTTAGTGAGTAGTTTTGTTCAAAATAGGGCAAAAACACATGGGTTCCCAATATCAGCCTCAGCAATGTGTACAAATAAAAGCCTAAAGTTTACATCTTGTTGACACACTTTAGCAGCTCGTTTCAATTGAAATAAAACTATAGTGGCGCATTTTCCCATATTCCAGTCAAATAGATAGCTCTCCCTTGGAGCCTATGCTCTCAGCTTGCCTCCATACAACAGCTCTGTACTGCTATAATGCACGCCCCACCCACTGTACTGGTTTCTCAAACAAACACTATCAAGATGTAGCTTTTCTGTAACTCATAACGTTATTCACCCTACTAAAGTCGCAGTTTTTTTTTTTGTACCACACTTTTTTCAAATCCATATTCGTATCTTACAAGCCTACTTGTCGTCAGGCAAGCGCTGACATGGGGATGGTGATAAGATTTGCTAATTTTCTTTTTTCCTTTTATTGCTCGAAGAGTATTCATTTTATCGTAGATCTATCATTGGTCGAACAATTAAGTAAAATGTGGATCGCGACCCACCGTTCTTGATTTGTAATTAAGCGATATAAAAAAAAAAGAAAAAAGAAAAAGATTTACGGCCATTGCCGGCGACGATGAAATAGAATCCAAGGCCCCTTATCTTTCTTTTGATTCCTGACGAGAATACTCAAGCTACGCAAGTGCATCAAACGGAATCGTTCATCACTGTTTTTAGATGAGTTACGTATACAATGACAACACAGTGTCATTGTACATACACTTCTTATGCTGTGGACGACTCAATTACTATCGTTTGATTGGATGAGGCTCCTGCTGATCGATAAAGCTGGCATCATTGTTCGTTACATGGTATGTACGTACCTCTTAAGGGAGAATATTGGCTGTATTAACACGTAATACTCATCATTCCCTTCCATTGTGAGCATGAGATATATACTTATCTAAAATTGCCCAGGCTAGCTCGGTAAAAATAAAGATTGAAGGCCTGAGGAGATAAAGGAAAAAAGGGAAGGAAATACAGAATAAAAAAGAAAAAAACAAGATGGGAGCTGTTGTTGGGTCTCCGGCGATTGGAGGATTCAGCTACGAAATTCTGGCCAAGATATATAAACCGGGCAGTGAGAAAGACCTTTGTCGCGCTACAGTCGGTTGAACTCCAGGAGTAGAGAGTGTAGACAGGTAATGGAACGACCATATCTGTTGCTGCTGCTGTAACTGTCGGAAATACTTTACGGCAACCGGTTCAATCTGCACGAAATTGAATCACTGTTTAATGCTGGTGAATAGAAACGATGGGGGTACGTAAACGTTGTGCAAAGAGAGGCTGGAGCTCTCCTGAGTAAGAGGAGGGTTAAGTTGGCTTAGAAGAGCATCCGGGCAAAAAATCGAGATCAAAAGAAACATTTGTTGTGGAAGCCATAGACACTTTTACGCATGGCTGATTGCTTGGTTGCTTGGTTAAATAAAGCATAACTTTGATTAAAAGATGTGGATGATCTATCGAAACACCTTCGCTTACATGGTGTCTAGGTTGAAGTCAAATTGCCTTGCTAAAAGGTTGAGTGAGTTTATAGATAATAAGTCCATATTCTAGGTGTGATCGAATGATCTGAGCGTATAGATGAGTTGGGAGTAAACTATTGAAGCCTTCAGGAATTATACCCTAGAAAGCAAGCTGTTTCCAACTTCTAAAGACTTTGTTTCTGTGAACTTTAAATGAGACAAATGTGTAAGATACTTCATTGCTTGGGTGGATAGAGGTAGCATTCCAAAGAGATGCTGTAGGAACCATTAGAGCGCACTTCTGTGAATTTCATCCGTATCCAAGAGCATAAGTGTGTCGTTCCTATTGTTGAAGGAGGATGGACATGTGAGTAATGGATTCAGCTATCATCATACTCCATCCGTGTGCAGTAAGCAGTCAACTTGTGCACCAATAGGCTGAATTGGGGAAGTACAGCATCCTGGCAACGCAGTACATTGAGTAGACTGTTGACATAAATAGAGTACAAGAAAGATGATAAATATGGATCCTTTCGTTTTCTTGTCTTTGGTTGAAAGCGATAAGAGGTGGCATTCTGCGTGATCACCTCAATACGGGCTTCATCTAATAGATGCTGCAGGAGACTATTAAGACTGCCATGAGTCGTGGCTGGTAAAGTATTCCATACTTTCGCTTGAAGCCATTACAAATAAACTAAAGGTATACGAAAAGAGTTTCTTCATGAAATGTAATAGCCACCTGATTTTCAGAGTTTTACAGTCAGGTTCTACGTTTAGTGGTAATGTTATGATTTGTATTTGCTGACTGCAATAATATTGTTATGTTCAGTGGTATTGCTCCAAACTACAAGGAAAAAAGAAAGGCCTTGATGTAACCGTTACAATCTTGCATATTGATTATTGATGCAGCTTCCACAATTTCGGGAGCAAAAACCTGCCATCTGTAACAAAATGTGCTCGCTGGACTGCAAACTTCATCTGCAATTGAAATTCCTTGATGTGTCATAGAAAGGCGAACATAACAGTGCAGGTTTATGTAGCAACGCACTGTCTACCACACTGTAAAACCTTTTCTTGATACTCTTCGTTGAAACACCTTTCGCGTTACTCATATAATGTATATTTATCTTCTGTCCTGATACCAACTCTTTAGCAGCTGTTCGGATGATGTTGTCGGTTGTTTTTCTCTTCGTTTTCGTCACTGAAACACAGTTGTTTTACCGATTTATGAGTGACCCCTCAACTAAATTGGCGCCCAGAGTCGTATGCTTGTTGCTCTCTGGTTGTTGCTGAACTTACAATTTTTGCTGGGTTACCCATTCCGGATTAATCATGATATTAAGCTTATGTGCAAGTTAAAATCCTGTTTCATTGAACAGAGTGCAGTTACTTTTCTACTTTCGCGCAATCTCGTCAGATGTGCGCTAAGCAATTTTAAGAGTTCATCATTAAATAGTTAGTAAGAGAAAGAGACAGAAAATGAAAAGGTATAATTTTTTATTTCTGTAAAGATAGTATGTCAGTATATAAAAGTAAGGTAATATGATTCGTTTCCTATCCTTCTCTCTCTTCAAGGTGGGATGCCGCCTAGCTTTGCATAACATGTATCACACACTCGTTGATGTTGAGAAGCCAAAATATCCAACGATTCCAAAGGACCATTAGGGTTTTGTAATATTTGTGTAGGGCCTAGATAGGCTCTCGACATAGAACAACGATCGCAATGGATCAGTCCGCAACAACGACAATGATGCCTTCTTACCAACAAACCGAATTTACGTCCACAGCCTCGACAGTCTTTCACGTCTAGATCATTTTCCCAAATGTAATTTCTGATTGGATCATTCTTTGAGTGTTCAGCGTTATCGCTGTCATCATCGTCAATTAGGTGATTCGTTCTATTGGACGGATCAGGGGTAAGAGCTGTGTTGAAGTGTTGATTATGTGACCATGGGTTGGACGTATCAATTTCCAGATCGTTGCTATTGCCATTCTCAACGAAGCCTAGTTCCCGGGCTAATTCAGAGTTAATGTGTTGTCTTGGTAGAGAAGTGATCGGTGTAGAAAGGGTATCTGTTGATTGGGATATTTTTGCATTTAAAGTATTAATTTGGGCGGTGTAATCTTGAATGAAGCGTTCTGCTTGCTGAATGCGATAAGGATTCCCATCACTTTTCATACCATCGCGTAGTAGCTGAACAGCTTCTTCCAATGCACGTAGCTCGACTGCCAATTGTTTAATATCTTTGGTATGCTTATTACTGTCTCCTTGCTGTTGTATAGACTGAACAATATCTTCTGCTGCATATAAATAGTCTTCCTCTTCATCTGCTTGAGTACCTTTATGTTCGGAGGTTTGATGTTGCTCTTGATATGATGAATTTATAGTATAGTCATTTTTCAGTAAGTCCATTTTACGTTTCATGACACGTACCCATGTCCTTCTTCTCACCCATCCGTAACCACTGGTAGGTGTAACGGGGGTCCAAACGTTATCGGGATCATCAAATGAGCGTGCATACTGCCAACCTGAAGTGGGATCAATACGCGGATCACTGTAATCAATTTGCCAATCTGTTAACCAAAACCATTCTGTACTATTGTCGCCATTAGATGGAAGTGGAATTTGACTTTTATCGCAATGTTGACCTGTGGCTGCTAGTGACCAAGCACCCCTCGTATCATTCTTGGTCAAATAGTTCGGACTAAACTGTGGTTTAGATAAGCCCGCTAATAAAAGTGATGAAGAGGATCTTTCATTTTCATGTACTTTGATCATGACAGTGATGTGGAAATCCAATAAATCATAGTCTTCCATATTGCTATTATTGTCATCTAAGCATATTTCACTATTAGTTGCTTTTAATTCGGAGTTTATGCATCTGCTGCTCGCCCTTACGTGTCATTTTCCACCACGCTTGTCCAGACTTATACAGCATATCACAGATATATGATTCGCCTGCAGCTGCACTTACATCGTAGGCTGCTTCACCAAAACTATTCTTTAACAACGGGTTGGAATGTGCCTCTGTCAATAGATACTCCACAATGGATATGTAGCCTTTCGACGCAGCATTGACTGTATGAATGTACAAGAAGGGCAATCAGTCAACAGAATGATGGTAGTCTCTTCGGAAAATACGATGAACTTTACTCAATGGTGTATGTCCCAATTTACTTCTCACATCTACTCTAGCGCCTTTTTCAATCAACAAACGCGTGATAGGTAAATATCCTCGTGCACAAGCATTATGCAATGCTGTCCATCCATCTTTATCTTTCAAGTGGATATTTGCATTTTTTGTTATCAGGTAGTTTACAATATGAAAATGACCGTTATAAGCTGCTTTTAATAAAGCCGTCTATATATAAACAAAGGTAAACAAAAAAGAACAGAAAAAAACAACAAATAATGCATGATCCAACTCCATCCCTTCTGCCCCACTTCTCTGCATTATGTTTCAGGCGTTCTATAGTTACCTCGCCTTCCTTATCTTTGGCATCAATAGCTGCTTCATACTCAGAAATCAAATATTTGACAATGTCGAAATGTCCTCTTGAAGCAGCAAAATGTAAAGGTGTTAGACCAGTCATAGGATGTGGTTCATTCACTGCCTTTTTGGGCGATGGCAGAAAAGGCAGTATTGTTTTCAGAAGGGCGAGATTGCCCGACGAAGTGATGGAATGTAGAGTTGAGTTGTGGTTTGTGGAGACAGTTTTCTGAATCATATTATTCTTGCCCCCGTTACTGTTACTGAATAGCATATTCGTAGCAGAGGGCAATTTGATAAAGTTGTTGTGAGCATTGCCATAATAAGGATGTGATTGTCCTGGTACAGGTGGTGAGCAGAATTCGAGTACCATTCCTGTTTTACTAACTGGGCTTTTTGGCAGGAGAAAAAAAGGGGACAAAAAAGGGAGCGGCTGTTTCAGAAGAAAGGAAAAACCACGTTGAAGAATATCGGTATGAACTGCAAAGGCTTGCTTTCGGTGGCGGACTTTTTTTCGCGCTTTTTTCCATCAAAAAAACAGGTACAGAAAAGTAGAAAGTATCCAACAAAGAAACCTTAAAATTAAAAATAAATAAATAAAGCAAGCTTTGTCTTTTTCTTCCCTTTTTCTTCTTCAACTAAATAAATAACATTTCCGTTTTATTTATTTACTTAGTTCTATCTATAAACCAATCAATAATGGATAATAACATGGACGCTGAGGAGTTGAGAAAAAAGTACGAAAGCATGTCTTTAGATGAAATGCTGGTTGAGAGCAATAGACAGATAGAGGAGGTCTGTAAAGAGACGCCTTCCATCGTTCACCACCGCCGCGCTATCATAAAGCAGCAACAGCAACTACAGCAGCAAGAGACACAGATAAAACCACAGGAAGAACAAGAAGAAGACCGTCTATTGCAACTCTTAAACACTGCAGTATCGAATAACGACATTCACAAGCTCGAGGAAATCGTGCCGACAATCAGCTCCAAAGATAAGGAGTTACTCAATGTCAAGGATAAAGACGGTACTTCTCCTCTAATTTATGCCGCTTGCTTTGGAAAATGTAAAATTGTCAAATTATTAATTGAAGCCGGCGCAGATATCAATATTCAAGACAAGTGTAAGTATTTACGGTTGTGCTTGTCTATGAAAGACTTTCTTGGATACTAACAATCTTTTCTGTTAAATTTGCATAGTGGGATGGACGGCCTTAATGTGGGCTATCAATAACCATCATGAAGATATTGCTAAATTGCTATTGGATCATGGTGCTTCCTCAGAAACCAAATCCGCAAATGGTCGCACTGTAATTGATTTTGTAAACCATTCATCCAATCGTGAAGACTTCATAGATTTGATAATAACACGTGACGTTTGGGATGATGACTTTAAGATAAGTAGAAGTATAAGCACAACAAGTCAGTCTAGTAATATTAGCAGTAGTAGCAGCAATAGCAGCAATAGCAGCAGCAGTATATCCACTTCGGCCACTACTATAACGACAAAAGCCAACATACATATTGCAGCAGTGGAAGATGATGTTTCTTTTCATACCAGTCAATATGATAACGATGTAATATCCGGCTATCATCACAACAAACATGCATATTCCTTACAACAACACGACGACATCAACTGTATTAATGACGATGATATGAATGTATTTACATTTCAGTGGGATAAATGCTTACCAGATCAAATGTTTGTCTTCAATTCAGATGACCTAGACTTCATTTTAGATACCATTACTTCCCATCGCATCTGCAGTAGTAGTAATATTAATAGTAAAGACATCACTATACCTGCTAATATTGTATTCTTGGCCTCAAGGTTCGCTCATTATTTCTCAACAAATGAATTGTTGGACAAAATATTCGATGGTTTTATTGATAGAATAGGTACCATTATAAAGGTAGCTCAAAGGTTCAGATCTGCATTGATTACACAAAAGAACAATGAATTGTTAACTTTCTTATTTTAGGCGACCCATAGGAATGTTCATACATTAGCTTACTGGCTGACTAATTCAACACGACTTTTGTTTTATCTCAAAAAAGACATCGGCCTCGTAGTTGCTACCGCCAGTCAACAGCTGAATCTATCAGAACTCATTCATGAAATCTATACTATTATCATATACGATATGACAGAAAATAGTCTGTCGAGGTTAATAGTACCAGCACTACTGGAGTGCGAGCAGATTACGGGAATGGACCATGTCGAATTCACTGATAGCCGGTATCGATTCTTCCGTAAGTCCACTAGTAGTATCAGCAACAATGAAAACAGCCGTAATAATAGCAGCAGCAATAATCCACAAATGATCACTCAATTGCTATCTTCACTGCTATCTATATTACAATCGTTTGATGTACATCAGCAGATTGTTAATCAGATTATTACGCAATGCTTTTATTACATTTCTTGTACATTATTTAACCAGGTTCTAAACAATAAGAAGTTACTTTGCCGGTCTAGAGCCATTCAGATCAGATTGAATCTGTCACATATAGAAGAATGGATCTCCAATCACCATTATCAGCACCTTTTAAATCACCTTCTGAGTCCAACTATTCACTTACTGCAATTATTACAATGCTTAACCCAACTGAGAGACCTTGCTGAATTTATTAAAGCTACAAAAGACATGGACACCCTTAATCTCTCTCAAATCAAACGTGTTGTTCTCAATTATCGTTATGAAGTTAACGAACCCAAATTACCAGAAGAAATTGTGAAATACACCATACAATGCGTTGAAGATACTGTCAAATTCAAGCAAAAGAAATCGATGGAAGCTGCTTCAATAGCGGTAACACAGAAAAGTTTTACCAGCGTAGACAATGTAAGCATTGTTGCTTCCACTACTTCTACGAGAAACAGTATGTGTACTATTAATGATATGGAAGATGAGGATAATGATGAAGAAGATGTAAATGAAGAATTCAAAGATGCTCAGTATATGTTACCTTTCTCCATACCCACCTTGAATCACCTTTATAATTCAGATGATGCAATTGCACCGTATATACCACAAGCTTGGCTGGACAAACTTGATAACAAACAATCAGACAATCTTGCTGCCATTAATACCACTACTGCTCTTGAAGTAGCAATCCATTAATAATTTTTCTCGAACCACAACTGTTTATCAATTTTCACATTGCCATCCAAAGAATATTACGTATAATATATCACGCATGCGCCCATGTCCCCTTACTTAATTGTTTTTTTCTGTATTATTAATTTCTTTTTGTACATAATCTATTTACCCATATAGCCAAAAATGTAATAAAGCTATCCATTATTTTGAGTTGTTACCAACTCAAGAAACGACCTTTTCCTTGTTGACTTACGGTAATTAAATCTATACTAGCTTCTTCAATAATTATGAGATATCTATATATTCCCATGTACCATATCAAAATAGGTTTAAAATAGTAACCGTATTTTATAAAGTGGCCCAAATGACATCAGTAACCTTTTTAGCCAAAGGATTTAGACTATTTCATAGAAATGATCGATAACGAGAAAGAAAGTGGACACTCTATTCCTGTCAATATGGCCAAGGTATTGAGACTATAAACTCTTAAATGGAAGTCTTAATCGTGTTATCCTAATCAATTCAAATACCTTCGCCAAAAAAATAAAAAAAATAAATTAAATATTTATGATCATTTATTTTAAAGGTATCTGGGTTGTTAACAATGCATGTATTTTCAGCTTAAAATATTTCTGATCTAGAAGTTGACAGATACTTAATACCCAGGAGCCATCGATAATTCCAAGGGAAGCTGTAGATTGTCCGAAAAGCGTTGAATTGAAAGTTGTCTTGCTGCTTCTTTTAGCATATCGTTCAAATTCCGTTCAGAGGGCATGTCATTTGGATGTGTAGTAGATGAACATATGCTTAGCAAATTTAATGCAAGATTGTAAGTCTCTCTGCGCTCAAGACCCATCTATGATTTGGTAATAATGGTTATTGACAAATATACAAATTGGAAAGTCTATGTAAAGACTTACCAAAAAAAATTGTTCTTCGAGCCTACGGTTCTCTTTTTGTAAGATTTTACAGTTCTCTTTCATGGAAGCTTCAATTTTGGCTACTGTATCCATTTTTTGAGTGGCATTTGTCAAATCTTTTTGGTACTGCTTACGTCGGTGAATTTCTTGGCCAAGACGATCCTTCACAACTTCTATTTCTCCCTGCAAGCGCTTTATGTGTTGCTCTGATTTTGCTTTTGTTTCTTCTATTTTTGCTTCCCAATATGTTTGTGTCTCTGCTGAATCCTTTGACATGGTTGCTTTGATATCATCCATATGCTCTCTCCATTCCTTATTCAGTTCTCTTATCGCTTCAGCCTTTTCAAAATCCAAATTACGGCGTACTTCATCTAAAATAGCTGCGTGCTCAATTTGCATCACTTCTTGTTGTGTATCGTATTGGTCTTTTAAGTCGCGTATAATGTCAGCTTGTTCAGTTTGAAAATTTTGCATCCGCGCTTGGAAAGTCATTTCAGTTCGATGCGTTTCTGACATGAACTTTTCTGTGAGTTCACTTATTTCCTCATTATGAGTTTTAAGTGCTTGATCCAGACGCTTCTTATACTTTTGTGAGTCATCTTGGGCTACTTTCAACTCTTTCTCTAACTCGTTGATGCGATTGCTATATTCTTTCTGCTTCTTTCGATGATCTTCCAGTTCAGTAAACAATGTACTTGTGTCTAAATTCTGTTCCAATTCTTTACAGTTTATTTGAAGCGAATTTACCATATCCTAGATGAAGAAAGGCAATTATATAAATACAATTGCTTGGTATTGATTGAATGGATCCCTGATATGTATTTCACACTTACTTGCAGGTTGCCTTCTTTCAACGCGCTTTTATCTTGTTCGTTCAATAATGATTCATTTCTCTTTATGTCCTCGTCCGCTCCGATTTGTTCATCAGATGCTTCTATTGTTTGTGGCACAGACATGTTTGCTTCTTGGCTTCTTAGAATTTCAGCATACTCTCTGTCCTTGGCATCAAGCCTCTCCCGAAGACTAGCCAATCTCCTTTGATATTTCTTTTCTTCAGATTGCAAAGCGGTCTCATGCTGTGCATGAATGTTTTGTAGGATCTCCTGTCGTGAGAGTCTTTCTTCATCCAGCCGTTTTTGTAATTCCAACAACTAAAGTAAGGAAGACAAAGAATTGTCAAAACTCAATAGATTCACAGTAGATAAGCAAGTCATATCGCTTTTCACCTGAGCCGTAAATTGCTCTTCCAAGTCCTTGAGCTTCTTTTCCATGACAGATTCTTTTAGTTTCACTTCATGAAGTAACTATGAAAGAATAGCCATTTATCAGTTTTCTTTATAGAAAACTAGTCATATGTATGATGAGGAGAGCAGTGCTTTACGCTGGTTGTGTTTTTCTCATAGATCTGCCGTTCTTTTTTCAAGTCTTCTTCAAGCTGCTCGGCTTTTTCACGGTATTCACGACACTCAGTTCTCAGCTATGAGAAAAGAAACCTCAAGCAAGAGTTACGATCAAATTAAGCACTTTAAAAATTGAAAGTAAATTCATTTGTTACAGTAGCCCTTTCGACTTCCCAATCCCAAATAGGAGCAGAAGGACCCAATGTCTCTTGCCTTTGGGGCCCTTTTCGAGAAGCAGATCTCTCCATTGGTATGAGCTTTCTTTATTCTTCACTTGATGTTGCGAGTAAAGTTGAAAAGCTTGAATATGTATATATATATAAAAGAAGGACAAGATACACGATTGATGAAATACGAGAAGGAAAAAAAAGGTGAAAGTCTATCGATTATAAGGGCAGAAAATTTGTAATGTGATACGTTGCACATATTGTAAACAAAGCAAGAAAAATTGCAATGATAAAATGTCATAAGTGATACACATGTGGATTTTATTCTTCCTCTTCCACCTCCTCTTCACCGCCATCTTCCTCCATTTCATCATCGTCGTCTCGAGGCAACGTTGTCACAATTATGTTAAGCATCGCTTCTAGTTCTTCCTCATTAAATCTCTCTTCACATTCTTCGATAACCTAAAGTAGCAAATGTTAATAAAAGGAACGGTACATGGCCAGCATAGTAGGTTTTTATAAGATTAAGCTTTACTAGATAAACACCCACGAGATCTTTCGGCCGTAAATTTAAAAGCATTAATCTTTCGGCTTTAGTCAAATTGTACGGTGACATTTGATTCAAAAAATTGGCAATTTGTTCAGTAGTTTGTGTACTGCATGGTGTTTCCTTTAAATATTCCGTTAACTATCGTTGATAAAGCTGAAAGTTATTACGAGCTATCCTTTCCAAAGCGAAGTACTGTGCAATAAATATTTATGCCTGATAGAAAGGAAGAAGAAAGTACCTCAAATTGTACTGTTCTAAGATGTTCAGGATATGTTATGGTTGGATCTGCTTTTTGCAAGCGTTTTTGAGTAGCTTGGGATTCTTCCAAAAGTCGAAATACTTCATAATTAGATAACAAAGCTGAACGAGCGTTTTTGATCTGCATGGCAAAAAAAAGGCGATCAACAAATCTAAAGTTACAATCGAACCAGAGAACAAAGTATAAGAAAATGCTTACTCATCGTATATAAATTACATTGCTTACAGTTTATCGGACAAGCACTTACTAAAACACTATGGCCAACAATTAGATTTGAAAAAGATCTATATGGAGAGAGTACTTGACAGTTTTTAAAACAGACATACTGATGCAAAAAGGGAACCTGCTCCGACACAGTCACTTGTAACAATGTGCCAAAAAGCTTTGCCCTTCAAATATGTCGCCTTTCGTTTTTGGTTTTTTTTTTTTTCGCTTCTCAGCGCGTGTAGAATCCTTGTCAAATTGCAATATATTCTATCTGCGGAGGAGGTTATAAATGTCACCTATGCAAAGTATTCCCATTTGGACAGAAGAAAACAGAAGTCTTCACGACGCCATTTGCCAAGCTCGGGTTTCTAAAGAATCTGCAAACTCACTCAAGCAGCTCTTACATTTGAACAAGGATAAATTTTTACAACTACTCGACAATGAGCCTAGAAACTCGTCGCATAGAGCCACATTAAACTCTAGTAAACTTTGAAACTCTTATTTTCCAATTTGTGATTGACATTTAACTCTGTGAATTTTTTATTTGTCAAACAGATAAAGCATACATCAACCGTTCTTTGCATAAAGTTAACAAAGACTTTGTCGACAAAGCGTTATTTTTATCAGATCAGCTCAATGTCAACGAACATATTGCGGCGGCGTTATTAATGCGTGGTACTTCAGAATATTCTCGTATCGACAGCAATGATGTCGATACAGCCGTTCTTTTATATCATGCAGAACGTGGATATATTTTAGCTTGTCTCGACGTAATTCTGAAATCAGCAAAAGATGCATCGATTAGTGAAGAAATCAGATCAACTTGTAGTCAATTTGTTACAGAACTGATAACAGAACAAGTCAATATTCAGTACGATGGAAGGGAAATAACAGGAACCTTCGTTTCAAAAATCATATATACGTTTACCAAAGTCAGTATTGATATTGGTACGCTGATTGAAACAGGCTCAATTACTGAACAAGCACCAACAGCAGATAGGGGAAAATTAGGCGACCGAATCTCAGATGTACGAGTAGAACGCTTGAGTGATGAGCGTATCTATTTGGTTCAAATTTTATATCATATCGCATCACTGTATAATCTCGACAGTAGTGACAAATTAGGCATGCTAAAGCTATTAGAAAGTGCCGAATTAAGTGATCCAGCAACATCTTACATGATAATCGCCTTGGTTGCAGCTCTTTCCAGTGATAATCAGAACGATGATTTAGATATCAACTCACTCGATTTGCAATTTATTGATTTATTTCATCGACGCCTGATGACACATGGATCAAAGGTTCCTGTTATAAAAGCTGTCATTGTTCTTCAATGGGTTCTATACCTTCTTGATCCTCAACACACAACTAAGGTGATCGGTAATGAGGATTCAAAGACTATTTCAGAAAAAGTTATACAGGAATTATTAGACTCTGTGATTGAACTCGATGTATTTGGTTTCATGAACGAATATTTGCTGTACTTTCAACAGCCTAACGCAGTAATCGATCCAGAGCGACCAACGGTCAAATTTGATAATAGTGACACTAATACAGTATCATCCGCGAAACCAGCAACAGATAAAGCCGACTATCATAATTTTAATGCTGATATTAGTGTTGATTTTCAACCGTTTGTCATTTTTGAATTGGAAAAGATCAGTGTATTAACCATCACTTTGCTCTTCGATACACTCAAAAAACTCAAATATAAAGAAGAAGATACGAGGATACCAGTTCAAGCACCGTTAGAAACCAGCAACGCATTACTAAGTAATGGTAATTCCACTGAATGCCATGACCTTCAGCACTTTTTGGTATTTTTGGCCAGTGTTTTCCGCAACCGAGTAAATGATGGACTTATCTTTTGGAACGATGATCACAATGGATTGTTTTATTTTACTCGCTGGCTCTTAGATGTCAAAGTTTTTGGTACCGTTTCCGCGGTTTACGATTTCTTCGGTTCAATTGCCACTGGTGATATTTGCGCTAAATACATGTTTCATTTCTTGAAAACTGAAGCTCAATCAAATGGAGCGAGCAACGTGCAAAATGCTGATAGTCTATTTTCATGGAGAAAACTGGACACAGCACTCAACTTTTATGTAAGTGAACTCGAAAAATTATCTGAGAACGACAAACCAGAGCTACCCAAGATGGAGGAAGAGATGCTTCTCAAATTTCTCAATGTCTTGAAGCAATGTGTACAGTACTCAAAAGAAGCACGTTATACCTTCTGGTATGATGAAAGCATGCGTATACAAAATACACTTATCAACTTCATCAACTGTCGAACATCTACTCCATTACGCGCTGCTGTCTTTGATGTGCTGGCTGCCTTCTGCTCTCCATGGGGCGGTGGTATAGAAGGTATTGGTAGAGACATTTCGTATCAAATGTGGAAAGTGCTCGAAAATAGTGAAATGTTTGTGTCTAAACGCAGAACTGTACAAGATATATCGCAGCCAGCTTATCAATCAGTGGGGCTTTTGCAAGAACTACAAGCTGAAAGGAAAAGTCAGGACTACACAGAAACCCTTTCTGTTGTTCGATTAATAGGGTCAGCCATTCATATTCAAAGTAAACGGGAGGCTTTACTTTCTGGTTTCAACGACCCAAAGCCTTATATACCTCCTGACTTTGGCAAAGAGAGCCAGTCAATTGGCAGTAACCCATTCATATCCCTCATTCTTGATCATATATTCATCTCTTTGGATGAGCAAAAATATGCGTTTGCTCTAACAAAGTGGGAATTAACAGAAGCTTGCTTAATGGTTCTGGAAAACAGCCTCATTTCTTATAACCTCGAACTTCTCAATGACCCACAATTCAGAGCATTTCTAGATCAGGAATTCAAACAAGTTATACCAAATCCAGACGTTGAAACAAAATTACTCAGCTTCGTCACACATCCAGGATTTCAAGTACTTATACGTATTTTGGCAGGTGGAAAGGTCATTGAAGAAATTTTCAAAATTATCATGGACTGTGCTCAGAAAAAGCCAAAGGAAGTCGAAAGTGTTAGGTATTACAAGCAGTGTCTACTTCGTTCCTTGCGTATTCTACATCGCGTCCTTGAACTACAGGATACTTTCAACAAGCTTTTGATACCTTTTATTAATCAGTTTACGAAACAGAAGCCTAATTCTACGCTTTCTTTGGGAGAGTATACATTTGCTACTTTACCGTCTCTTGTTCCACTTGGACAACTGATGTTATATCATAGTTCCATTTTAACGCAGTTGGCCTTGTTAACCAACTACGAAGATCAAGATGAAGTTTGTTTCTTGAGTGTCGAAATACTACACAAGCTTTCAATCGATTCTGATGTTGCACCAATTCTCAATAATGCTGTTACTTCCTCACCTTTGTCCGGACTGGGCTCTCAGGTTACTGCTTTACTGAGCCATAGTAGTTCAGCTGAAGCCATCGTCTTTGCAGCTAGTGAAAGGTTGGGCATTAATATGCCTGAAATTACCACTTATGACGATTATGAATTTGACATCAACAACATTCCATTCTGGGCAGCGATAGAAACTCTAAGCAATACATACAACTATCCATTGGATTTCAACCCACGAATTAGTACATCCGTGCGCCTTGCCCTCTTAAATTTGTTTTTGGACAATATTCAAGACGGCGAATCATCAAATTTGACAGAGTTTTTCCTGGGCTATCAACTATCCTCTAAAAATCCACTCAACAGATTGCAGGAAACCAAGGATAATAAGGCAACTTTACTGTGTCTTCACTCAATTTTAAATATACTCCAACAAGGTGTAGAACGGTTTTCTGAAGAAAATATGATCGTCGAGGATACCGCGAATGATGTTCACCAATTAATTATTGATACACATCCTATATTGGCAGAGAAATGTTATGAACTTATTTATAGATTATGCTCTAAAGAATCTCTGTCATTATCAACACTACGATATTTGCGCAACCAGTATGACTTCTTCAATAAACAGTTCGATGCCATGTCAGCACGTCTTGAAGACAATATAGCAGAAGAATCACCTTATTTTGAAGGATACATGATCTGTGCTGACGGTAAAAGTTACAAGACCAACTTCTTCAAACTAAAATCTAAACTGCATCAGAGAGCATGGTTACTGAAATCAATTGCCTTGGAGTTACACACAACCATTCCAACAAAGCAGAAGAGTGAAGCAATGAAATTATTAGATTTAATAATTGATCAACAGCAAAGCAAAACAGACCAAAACTTAAATGATATGGATTCAACATTTAGCAATCAGGGGGTCAAACAATATCAGCAGCCACTCATCAAAATGTTGGAGTTTATCAGTTCACTCGAGTTTTCTTGGAGAGACAGCTTACTTTCGCAGGTCAAGACCGAAGAGCTGGACATTTTCAGAAAATTTGATCCAAGTTTGTTTGAAATCACTAATGAGCGTGGTTGCCGCATTTTTGATATACGTCAAATCTATAAAGCATTGAGAGAAGCACAGACCCAGCAACTTGGAGATACCCAAAGCGCAGACTTCTTACGGTCAGGAGTGGAAATGGAGTCCATTTTATCATGGGCCATAGTTCAGAACCATACTAGAGAGATTGCTTACGGCAAACTCCATTGTCTTGAAGCATGGAAAGAAGTTGTACAGGTTATATTATCCGAGTGCCTTCACTTGATACCTCCTGAAAGACAGAGTTTTATAATTTACGAATTGCTGACTATGTTGCTATCCAAATTAGCTCATAGACGGACGGGAGGAGATTATGATAATGTTATGCTCAAAAGTATGAGTGATGTGGTTCTGTCATTGGTTCACCAATTGAGCAAGTCAGTTCAACCACAACAGCATGCCACTTCTAAACAGCCCGTCGAAAAGCTACGAACGATCTTTAACGGGATTGTAGAATATACACGACAAGACAAAAAAAATACAACTATAGATGTTAGAGGCGATATGTATTCTGCGATGACAAGCTTTTTACTATATATCAGAAAGCACAAACGTGATGACGCTACTAAGGAGCTAGAACAGCATATTCTACAACAAATCACATCAGACAATTCAAAAATATTAAATACCCTATTTAGTGATGCGATTAGTGGATTGGATATATGGAAAACTACTGCGTTTATTGCTTTGGATGCTTTAAATACCATGGCATTACAGGCTGGCAGTAACGCAGTCCAATCGTTTTTGGTCGAGAACAACTTTTTGCAATACGTAATAGAAACTATTCGAAGTGATGATGCTGCTTTGTCCAAATTGTTGGAACAAGTGGATGGTAATTGCTTTTACAAATACTGGAAGTGTAGAAATTTTGAAACTGACATTGCCTATTCGGTATTTAAATAGCACCTTTACTCCCATTGTACACATTCGAAGCTAAAATGTCCATTCTACTACGATTTGCTATGAATCCTGAAGGATTTGAACTCTTGTACAGTAATAGAATTTTTGACGTTTTACGACAATGTCAATTCATGAGAGCACAACAAGATCCTCCGACTGCCAATCAAATGGATACTGGAGCTTCTGCTGAATTAGCAGATCGATACCAGCGATTGATGATGCCCACACGTCGATTTGTCGAGCTATTACAGCTTCGCGCTAAAAGTCATCGACCAATTTTCAAGAACTTCTAACTATTATCCTCTGATCCAATATAATACATAAAAATGTGTATTCATATTAATAAAAATTCAGCGCAAACAATAAATTATTTTCATCAAGTAACCTATTTATGTTTCTTCATATATTGTATGTTCATTCCAACCATCCAATTTTACTTTATTTTTTCCCCTCTTTATTGTATGTATTGGTTTTATATCTGGGAGGTGCAATAAAGCCAATATAAGACTACTGAGTAATTTCCATTAGTTTTATTGTGTTCTATAGTCTCTTGTGTAGCATGTATTATCCACATTGAACATTAACTTTTATAAGTAAAGCGGGAGTATGCGCTCGTCGAAGGAAAGCTAAGTCCTTGAAGCTGAAAAGCTAAAAAGTGTTTTAATATTTCGTATCACCTATTGTGCGCTATAGGAAACCTAAAATAGACGTATTTCACAAGCTCTAGAACTGTAGATCAGGACAGATGCTAATAAATAATTACCTATTTCGGTAGGCCATAGTTCCTCCCCTTTTAAATTTAAATTGATATGTAACTCTTCCTTTTCATTACTTTAAAAAACATACAGCTTCTCTTCTAAGTACTTCTATCATTATTCTTTTATTCACGCCATTGAGATTAGATGTTCAAAAAATTATCCTTACAGTTTCAAAAATCACAACCGTAAGTTATTTAGCAAAAAACGCATGTACATACTGCTCGCTAACCACCTTGAGTTATTCAGTCAACATCATGTAAAATAGCACAAAGAAATTTAAAGAGAAATAAAGGAAGGAATTTCAAAACTTCTGCTCATGTTCGACATCGCATTTAACTTAGGATCACTACATCAATCGTGATTCTGTCATAGATCCAGCAATAACAGTCGGATACAGCCGTGAAGCTTTCATTGGTATGGTCATGTTTAAAGGCCTGGTCCACGCTTTGAATACTGATGTAATTGCTGCTTTCTTCCATAGAACCTGATAAATCAACAATGGCTGTCCAGCCTGTCAATACAACTGTACACGACGGCCATTCTTACAGCATTATTTCAGTAAATAATGGAAGCAGCTATAAACCACAACGACAACAACAACAACAACAACAACAACAACAACAACATCAGGAATTGCAAACTGTTCACTCAGATACAGAGCACCTTTATTATATGTCGAGACAACATGATCCGACGTTAACAAATTCAGGTACAGCCGATCAGGCCACGCATTATACTCCTTGTTCCCTTTTTTCACTTACAGAAATAGCCATTATTATCCTCTAAAGCTCTAGCAAAAACTTGTAATAATATATCTGTGATTGAGCAACAAAAACAACAACAAACAATCAACTCATCCGAAATTGAAATTGAAGCTTTGATACAAGAGGGCATCAATTTTCACGAAAAAGGTCAGCTAGAAAAGGCAACACAGTTATTTCGAATCGGTGCCGAGAAAGGGAATCCCATTGGCATGTTTTTATACGGTGTCTCCCTTCGGCATGGTTGGGTAAAGTCATGAATAAAATATTGTACGAAAATGGTAAAATATACTCATAGAACGCAATTCGGGTATTTCACACAATTCTAGGGTTGTAAAAAGAATGAGCATGTCGCGTTCCAGTATCTACAAAAAGCTGCTGAACATGCTGTGGAAGACTTAGCTAATATTACGAATGCCGTTAATACATCAGCGTCTAAAGGCGAGCTCATTATGGCAATCTATGAATTAGGTGTTTCTTTCAGACACGGGTGGGGAGTAGGTGCAACTATTATATGATAGTGAATTCCTCTTCAGCTCATCAAATTAATGTCGATTTTTGTATCTTTTCTAGTGTAAGAAAAACAAAGAATCAGCAGTTCAATTTTTTAAAATCGCAGCTGATTTAGGTGACCCTGACGCGCAAAACGACTTAGCTCATTGCTATTATCATGGTCAAGGCGTCAAAAAAGATTTATATCTGGCAGCCAAATATTATCGTAAAGCTGACAAACAAGGACAGGGAATTATGGGGAATTCGTGGATATGGAAAACAAAATATGATAAGCCGAAATCACAACAAAAGAATTAAATATCTATTCTGATTCACTATTTTCGTAAATTTATTCTAAAAAGGCTCATACAGTTTAAAACTTATGAAAGGAACTGCTTTGTCATCAATGTTGGTATAAGAAGATACATTCGATACATGCTCTTTGAGCCGCTCAAATAACAGCAAAAAACCCTACTCTCACTTACATTTTTCTAAGCCTAGCTAATATACCAATATATATATTTTTCTAAATTACTGGCTTAACAAGGAATCGACCAACTGCAAAACTTCGCAGTGTTTTTTGGGACCTTTATGTACCTTATGACTTTGATTACTTTCCACAATAATTCTTCTCTGGATTATAAGATATAACGCTCAAAAAGCTTGTATCTAATAGCCAAACCTTATTTTTCCATTTGGGAAGATCTATGATTTACTTGAAAAGAAAAATTCTTTACATTATATATTGCTTGTGGAGGTGTACAGAAAACCATACCCACTATTAAGTTTGATGGTGTATTATTAGTATATGACTTTACCCAAGAGGCTATGAGAGGAGGTAGCCTTGAAACCATATCATCGTATATATTGACCAGATCCACCTACCACAGCAGGCGAACCTCGCGTGTCCTCCCAACCCTAATTAGGCTTATGCTATATCGATTAATTGGATTGGTTGGATGGTGCTATAGTTCATGAGGAGGTATAACTTCCTTATGAATGAATCATTAACTGCAAGCTACGTGGGTTTATGACAGTGAGTGGCTTCTTATACACTGCTTGTTCTGAGTTGAAGGCCTCGAGTGTTTGAACTTTTATGGTTTTGAAGGCATAAACTCTTGTTTCTTCGTCGTATAGTATAAGAAGTTAGCCAAATGCTTAGCGCATTCCCCGGTTGCCGCAAGTTGTTTTGTTTTCATTTATGGAAGTTCGCCTTCTCAATTGTTAATAATTGCCCGAAAAGTTGCAGCTCTACCTTATGTTTAGTTATTTCCTATCCATATAGATGAATGCGATTTATGTGCCATGTCTGTCAGCTTTGAAATGAAATGTCACTCTTGCATCCTTTTAAAACATACTAATATTCTAGCAGCTTACTTGGCTGGATTCATGGTATATCTCCAGCTCAACACTCTGCGCCTTCACTCATAATTAAATTATAAAGCAAAAGCTACGACCAAATCATAACAATTATTTCCCTTCAAATCATTTTTAAACTGCTGAAATACTCAAAAGTCTAGTAGGAAACAAATAATTCAATTAAGAAAGAAAAACATCATTTCATAATATTCATACGTATCATTGTAGAATTTATGCGAGATATGGCAGTTAAAGTAATCAAGGCGAGTTACTTAAACCTTCTTCTTCGATCTACCACTGTTCTAAACACTTCTTTAGAGCCCCGCATGTGGGTGCATGAGTGCAACCGCCAGCAACAGTTTTAAGCGGGAGTAAAAATCAAAAACCACTGCTCCATCTGTGAACATCGCCTTCTTACTTTGTTTGGCTCTTTTTACTTTTTCTTGTTGTCAACGAATATAAAAATTGACGCCCTCTTCACCTATTATTCTCGTATTTCAATTTTATCTGTAAAATATATTGAGTCATTAAACACTCATAGCTACAGTTATGGCTTCAGCCAAAGTTATTGCCAAGTTACAGGCGAATCAGAACGCAATGACACAACTTGCGGAACTGCATTCTAAACAAGGATCTATTCTATCCTCACCTTCATTAGCTGCAACAAATAAGAAACAGATTGCAAACACACAACGCTGGCAACAACCTTTGTTGGCAACACAATCTTCGCAAAAAGTAATTTCCTGTACTGAATGTTTATTGCCCCTTCTCGTAAAAACAACTGATCTTATTGATTTCACTTATAGATCCCACCTTTAAGAGACGAGAAAGGTTAATTTCCAACAGTATTTTCAATGTATATTCAATGTATATATGTAAAATCGTTGACACTTTTATTCAATATAGCTTTATTAAAAAGACATGAAAACGATCCGCCATCACTCTGCTTACATTTATACCCGACTTATTTCAAATTTGAACATGAGGTACATCTATATTAAAGAATCGTCTCATAATTCAATAGCTCAGTATTAATAGCTTTCATCATTTTCTTAGGATGGCTTCTTCTCGTACAAGAGTCAATTTGAGGTTAGCTTGAGATTTGGTTAGCTCGACCTATCTACCAAATGATACTCATGTTATGATTTTTTATAGGATTTTCTGAAATGCATCAAAGAGAAACGACTACCAGACGATCTAATGGATGTATTTAATGAGGCTTCTTGTCGATTTTACGATGGTAATGCGATAATCCGTTTCTATTGAACTTAATGAGCTCATAATTTTACAAAATTACTTAGGATGTCTTATTGTTGAAATACACGATAATCGAATGAAGGCTTCTGACAATATGTCAAAAAGAAGGATTGTAATGAGGCCAACAGCAGCAAGTATATGGACAGATATCATATTGCTTAGTGAAGAATGGGGTTTTCCCTGGACAGACGACATAGCATTGGAATTAGAAGCACATATTTTGGTAAAGCAGGCATGATAATCATAAGACATTTCTGTCATGATCAATATTGGTCACTTATCACTGTCTAAACAAAAATAATAGATTGCAACAGAAGAACCTCTTTGTTTGGATCCCACAATCCAAGTATCGCGGTTAAGTAATGCCATTGAGTTCACGACACAACAAAGGCGTCCGAAGAAGAGAGCAAAGTATAATTCCGTTGAACGTGAACAAAAGCTTGCAAAAGAAGCTGAGAAAAATAAACTCATGACGCTGATGGATAGTGTACGTATTATAAGACGGCATCAATCTTGCGTAATCTTCTACTAACTGATTTTATCGAATATAGCGAGCCAAAAGAGGGTTTCCTTTTGAACCTAATTTTGGAAAGCTTTCATTTATCCATGATTGGAGAGTCAAAAGAACTAAGCAAGGATCAGAACCATTGCCAGCTATTGACATTAAAAAAGGGAAAGGTAGAAAAGGCATCTCGGAGCCATCCATACTGCCAGATGGGAAGAAATGTTGCAGAACGATTCGTTTTGAGAGGTCGGAAAATGGTAAAAAGGTCTTTACCATTGTTAACATATACACCATGAATGGTGAATATAATGGTGTGTTTCGGTGGGGAACAGTATATGACACCAGTATCGATGGTGGAAACATCGATTTTGATATTGGACCTGAATATCTTATGGAATCATATGTTATACATTTGAAAGCGACCTATGGACAATTCAATACACTAGTTTGTGACAATTCAGCTGCAGCCGTTACGAATGTTTTGCAATCTTCACCTTCTGTGAATCGTCTACCACCATCCTCAGTTATACCACCCAATTTACAACAGCAACAAGTCCAACAACAGCAGCAACAAGTGACAAATTTCCAGTTACAACAATTGCATGCTCAACAAAATCGTGCCATGCAAGCAAAAGCTGCTATGTTACCCCCACATCAACGAGCTCTGTTAGCTCAAGCACAAGCGCAACAAGCTGCACAGCAACAAAATATACTTCAGATTTCACAACCGCCGCAGCAACTCAATATACAAACTCAAGTACAGGCGCCAATGCAATCACCTGTTCAAAGTCAAACACAGGCGCAGGCACAGGCACAAGCCCAAGCACACATCCACGCTCAAAATCAAGCCTCCACTCAGCCCCATATGCAGCAGAATACAGCTCAACAATCAAGAGCATCAACCCCTACGCAGTCTCATGTTAGCAGCTCTTCTATTTCGCAAACACCCATTCAACAAGCAGCTTCTTTACCGGCTCAGTCTATAGCCTTGCCGAATAATGGTATAAAATCTCAACAGCAAACACCTACACAATCGCAAGCCCAACTATCTGCTCAGCATATGGCTGCTTTACGTCAACAGCAACAACAGCAGCAACAACAACAAAATGCAGCTATACAAGCTCTTGGATTACAACAGCAAGCGCAATCACAGGTACCTCAACAGGTACAACCTCAACAACAACCAAGGAATATGCTTTCAACAGCGCCTGCATCACAAATACCCAATATGGCAATGAACGCGAATAATAACATACCTGCTACTCCCGGTTTAGGACCAACAATAACTCAGGCGCAATTATTACAGGGAGGTGTTACTAATAATACAGCAAACATTCAGCAAATAGCCTTAGCTCAAGCTTTAGCCACCGGGTCTTACCAAGGCGCTATGCAAAAGATTCAGCAATGGGTGACAGCAGGTGCGTTGCCCTTAGGCATGGCTCAACAACTCGTGTCACAAATAGCTACTCGTAATGTACAGGCACAGCAAGCAATGCAACAAGCAGCACAACAATCACAACAGCAACAGACTGTTCAGCAAGCGCCTCAAATGATCCCTCAGCAACAAGCAGCAGCGCAACAACAGTTTAATCAACAATCGCCTGTGCAGCAAAGAGTGGCTTCGACCATCGCACAACCACAAGCTCAATCGGTGCAACAACAGACATCACAGCAGTTACAAGGCCAATCAGCCGCTTCTCAGTTGTTTGCACAATTAAGTCCAGAACTTCAACAGCAAATGGCCACTTTGCTTACACGCCGAAACCAATTGTTCGCTCTTGCTCAACAAAGAGCTATACCCGCCGAACAGTTAAAAATTCAATATGCACACCTGCAGCAGGCACATCAAAATATTCTCCAACAGCATCAGCAGCAGCAGCAGGCACAACTACAAACACAACAATCTCTCCAACAACAAGCGCAAGCACGTGCTGCTGCTCAAGCAGCACAAGCAACACAGGTTCAAGCAAGTCAAACACCACAAATGACAAATGCGTTATTGAATCAACCTGGTAATGCTACTCCACAAACAAAATTACAACAAACTCCTGTTCTACCACAGCAGCAACAAACTCCCCAATTAGCTCAACAATCACAGCAGCAGCAGCAGCCGCAACCACAAGGGACTCCTATGCTTAATCAACAGTTGAACCCTCAGCAGGCTCAGCAAGCTCAACTTATCCAACAATTAATGATGCAGCGAAATTTTAATGCCATGAGAGCAGCAGCAGCACAAGCCCAGCAACAAGGACAAGATCGTGGTGCAGCTCTAACTCAACAACAACAATTAGCTGCACTTCAAGTGATGCGACAAAATGGGCTTTTACGTGCTGGTGTCGGTAATAATCTTCAGCATCAAAATGTAAATCGAGCGGCGGCGGCAGCTATGATAGCCAATCTGAATAATCCTAATAGTAGGATCAATGCTGCTGCATTACAAGCTGCTAATGCTATTGCTGGAACATCAGGTGTACCTGGCACGCCATCAATGACAGCAGCAGTACCCAATATGAATACCAATACTGCTACGGCTAACACAACTAACGCAAATAACAATAACGCTGCTTTATTGAACCAGCAAGCGCAACAAAATTTACAACAATTTCAAATGAACCTTCAATATCAACAACAGCAAGCCGCAGCAGCCGCAGCAGCTCAACAGAGGAATAATCTGTTCAACCTACAACAGCAGCAACAGGCGCAACAAGCCAACCAAGCCAATAATGATGCTTCAACCACTGCCAATAATACCAATACTAATTAATCATATCTTTTTGAACAAGATGTTAATAGTTATTCATCATTCACATTTTCCTTTTTTTTCTCTTTTTTCTCTCCCCTTTACGAAAATATTGCATACTATCTAACCTAAATAGCTTATTGCTTCATTCTTGAAGATATCTCAATACATACACAACAATGAAATCGTTCAAGCCCTCTGATTATAATTTGATTCTATTGCCTAATTTGGATGTTTGTTTTGTCGTATGTTTCACACTAAGGTTATCGTCATGATCTGTATTTTATGCATCAAAAAGCTTGGGCTTCTTTAAACTTCTTTCTCTCTTTGAGTTACTATTTTCCATACAAACTATACAGATAATGCCCCCTGAGGCGGAACAGAAAAGGAGAGAACCGATCTCTTTTATCAACAGTTTTTGGTCAAAAGATCGGTCGGGCCTGGACAGTTTACTAAATTATATAAATTCCACACATAACGAACTCCAGACTTTGTACTCAATTTATATACAAAGGTAAGGTGTAGTAACGAAACAACAAAAGAAAGACAAAGAGCTTGGTTTCCCAACCTCTAACCTTCTACCATTTTTAGGTCCAAATTGGAGCGTGAGTATGGCGAAAAACTTCTGGCCATATCAAAAGAAAATGTAATTCAGGAACAGGACCGCAAAGAAGCGAATAAGAAAGACAGCAAGGATAACGATAATAAAAAACATTGCGGTATACCTGCTGTATTTGAAACCATTTCTGCAGAACTACAGCACACTGCTCAATCACACTTGAAATTATCTGCAAAGTTGGACGAACGAGTTGCCACTGAATTCGAACGGAAATTAAACGAATATAAAGAGTTATTGGACAAATGGTCAACTACACTAGAAGATATATACAGTGAGCGTCAGGAAAGAATCGTTGAACTCATTAAGGTGCGACAATAAATGAAAAGTGGTCAATCCTGATGAAGTTCGCCATTGTATACTGACATTCAAGCCCCATAATATAGATTCGGACGCAGTATTTGAAAGAACACGAGTTGTCGAGAGGAAAAATGACACCTGTTATGGAAGAATTAAGTAAGTGTACCATTCAAAAATGTATATTGCTGGTCGATTTCTTGCACTAACAAGCAAACGTATAGAAAACCGATACAAGGACATGGTAACAGAAGTGGATGATATCGCACAAGAATGGAATGCATTATGGAAGGAAGCATGTGAGGTAAAAGGTTTCATGCATGATCAGTTGCGAAAAATCTCAAATTTGAAACTGAGCATGCTCCTTTTTATGTAGGTCATGGAAGCTATGGAGGAGGACAGAGTAGAACTGCTCAGAACTAATGTATGGGAGTATGCTAATTTGACATCAGCGAGCCTTCTAGTGCAAGATGAATGGTGTGAAAACATTCGTCAACAGCTTGAAATATGCAACGTCGAGGATGAAATAGAAAAATGTGTATCTTTATATGCTACGGGATCGAAAGTGCCAAGTAAAGTCTACAAAGCAGAAATTTTGAAGCGCAAGCTGAAGAAATAGCAATTAAATTTTATTCTCTATTCTCTGACATAGGTACCAATGACTATGTAGGAGAGATGATGAGGGCATACAAGAAGAAACAACATGCGCAAAACCAGCGGTCTACTGCTCCGCTACCGCCAGCCAAACCTATCCGACAAAAAGAAAAGCCTGAAAAAAGGCCTTCTCTTGACCAGCAAGATAAAGAAACCATATCTCCAAAAGAGCATAAACATTGCACTGAATTGGAAGCTACAGGAGCAAAAGAACCAGTAAAAGAGAAAATCGCAGAAAGCAACGCAGTCATTGAAAGCGCAAATAGTATGACTAATTCACCGACAGATGATATGGGAATGAACACTTCTATCACGCAGACGAGAGGAGTCAGCAACAATATGGGTAGCACAGCTACTAGAGGTCAAATAAAACGGAAACCACTCAACAAATCGTTAATGGAGCAAGTTTCAAATGAAATGGCAAAAGCACGGCAACAGAGAGAAAACAGACAAGATATTGAGGGTACCTCGCCTATTTCATCTATTTCAGCAATTGTTGGACAGAAGAAGCTGGAAATGACCGGATCATTAGATAACTTGCTAAAATCGTTTGAGACAACTGAAGTGCCCACTAAGAACTGCAATACCACCAAGCAACCATCATTTCCACAGCAACCTCCTGAAGCGCCAGTTAGCGAAGAAGCCAAGAATCGTAGACAGCCATCCGAGTACAAACCAGACTCAGGGTCGTTACCTACGAGAGGCTCGAATGAAGGTACTACGATGAGTTCGGAATCTGTGAATCACTCAAGTGCAGTGAATGCTCCTAAATCGCCACGTCCTACAGCACAACAAATATTGCCATCAAACGATTTAGCTTCTTCGGAGCAACCTGCAGGTTCTACTCAAAATATACACCACCAACAGCAACATTCATATAACAATCAAACAATGTCATTAGCACATAATGGTGGACACTATAGTCAAAATAACTCTTCTTTCATCCATCAACAACAGCAGCAACAGCAACAACACTTCGGAGGACAACAGAAATTAATGAACCATCATCCGTCAGGACACTCCCCTTTGATGCAGCATTCACCATTAATGCAACCTCAGCGCTCACCTTTAATGGCACCTATGCAGGCTGCTCTACCTCTCATGCAGTCGCATCACTCACAACCCTCGCCTATGATCCAACCTCAGCAGTCGCCCATGCTCCAACCTCGTTACTCTCCAATGATGCAGCCTCATAGTATACCTCCACAACAACAGATGTACGGAACACAACCTAGAGGAACATTACCCCCACCTATTTCTATTCCCAATACAAATTATATGGTATCACCACAACCGTCACCGGCTTTGTCATATGCAAACTTAGGTGGGGTTTCCCCAGGCGGTGTGCTCCCTCCTCCTGTTACTACTTCACCTTATACCCAGCCGATGCAAACGCTATCAAGACCATCACAATATTCTGATGGCACACCCATCCAATTTTGGGGTAAGTCCTCCCTTTATTCAAATTGCCTTCATTTCAATAGATCCACTAAGAATCGTTCATAATTCCTTTAGCTCGAGCAAAGTACGATTATGTTGCTAAGGATACGGATGAGGTTTCTTTTAAAGCCAATAGCCTTATTGGAGTGTTAGAGGCTGACATCACCCAGCAATCATGGTGGTTTGGCGCAGTTTTTGACGAACTACGCCAAACATGGTCCATTGCTGGATCCATTCCAAGTAATTTTATGGAAATGATACAATAAATAAAATTCAAGAAGAGATGAGAGTATTTATACATACTTTATGTGAAATTGATATCATTCATTTTATATTGATAAATTGAAAGCGATTCGCTGTACATGGATAGTGTCGCTTCCTCGTTAATCATAGGCTGCCAATTTCTGCTTGAGTGCTGCAATTTGTATATTAATTTCTCTTTGAGCGCTGTCCAATCGCTCAATCTCTTCTTGCTCTAATTGGGCACTAAATAGAGGTGTCGTTGAATCTTTGATGGACTTTTTATTGGGTAAGTTAAGCGCTAGCGCGTTGTGATCAGAGAAAGCTTGATAGAGAGTTTCCGTAGGTTCATTGAAGACTAGTTCATCGTATGTCATACTCATAACCGGTTTATCTTTAGGCCATGGCTGTCCATTGAGATCGTCTTCATAAGGATGTAGCCTTAAGTGATGGTATAGTTGAACGGGCTTTTCCATTGTCATTGTATGAAAGTAAATTTTGATCGTTATCTCGAATTCACCCCATCCAGTTTCTGAAATTTCAAAGGGTGGTTGCTCCACAGCTTTATAATATGTCATAAATGCTGTTAGAAATGGCTAGTTTAGCAGCTAACAGTTAATGCTCAACTTACTCCTTAGTGGGTTGGGATAAGTCTCATGTAATTTGAAGACCACTTTTTTAATGTAATAGCTGAGATCTTCGTTGTTCAACCCTTTTAACATAACAGTCCATCTGTGAGTATGATCTGCGTCAGAAACTTTTTTGCCGTTAAGAGGGTAAGCTATACTGCCATAATAAATAGGCCTCGCAACACTGACGCCCTTCAATCGCTTGCTGGCGCTCGACATTAGTTAAAAAGAGACGCGGAGTATAAGAAAACACTGATGCCCTACAATAAAAATCTACTTGTTCATTAGCTGGAATTTTATTGGCTTACTGCTGCTCGCTGTCTTTCTCTGTTAAGTGCGTCAAATGTATGATCAGTTAAAAATTTGGCTCAGCTTTTGCAGCGGTAAACATTTTTATGTGTTATGCTGCTTCTTAGGGTTATTGCACTCAGGAGCCATATGAAGCTTTGTACGACTACCTAATCAATTATACGTGGTCCATTTTTCATCTATTGCTATTAAGTTCACTATGGAGAAATTGTTGCTCGTTTCGGCTGTACGATTGCATATTCTTAACCTAAGACACTACCGTAGTCGGCTCATTATCATTTTCATTGTGTGAGAGTCGCAACGGAATGAAAGAAAATGCAACTGACCTGTTTCACTTTTTATTTGAACGATGTTGATCCACCCGTAAACTCAGTTCCAGAGACAGAATTTGAATCTGATGTTGATTCTAAATAAAGTTGATAGACTATAAACCCGGATGTAGTCTTCTTTTTCTTTTTCTTCTTCTTCTTTCCTTCAATTTTTTCTTCCAGAGACATATCGTATATCTGTAACTCACTTAGCTCGCCTTTGTTGAGCAATTTTATTTTCACATAACGGCGCTAAGAAGATTCAACCAATAATTCTGAAACGTCAAACGAAAGCAATAGTCCATTTTGTTGCTCAACGAACGTGTAGATGGATGGACTGTTTGATCACTTTAACAAACGAAAGCATAGAAATAAGCATGGCACATTGCCAATCAGAGCAGCGAGACAAAGCAATGCTGTCCTAAGGCGAGCACAGACCATGAAGAGTCGTCCAAGTAAATGGAATAAACAAAACGAGTTAATGCAACCTTAATTTTGGCTGGCTGATTGACTGACATAAAAAATCTGTCACACACATGGCTCAACTTACAATATAAAACTATAGTCTATCCTGGTAGTGCTTTGCGGCATGAAGATATCGTGCCTAATAGATCTTCATTTGAAGTGGGCGCTGTTGAGCATTATTTCGCTAGACACAGAAACCTGCCTTCCACAGAAGATGTGGATATCTTATTTAATAATATGCTTGTAAGTGGGAAAAAAATAGGGGGCACACAACTCGAACTGACGTAAACTGAACAAATCTATTATGCCGTTTAGGAAAGACGTGGAATAAATGATCCGCAAGTAAAGAAAAGTATGCAGAGCTGGGGAGTGGAAAAGAAATGGCTGATGGTTCATCAAGATCACCAAGCTGAGTTGATGGCACTGGGTGTGAAAGATGAAGATCTTCCTAGGGCCATCGTCGAAAGAGCCAGTTTAGACATTAGCCGTTTACCTGCTCAAGGGAGCAGTTATAATGATAGCAATGGTACTACATCTATCCATAGCTTCATCAATAATGATCCAACAAGTCCGTTGGCAAAAAATATGACTATCGTTACTTCCAACCTCAATGCACGGCAACAAAGTATAGATGAGGGAATCGTATATACCTCCACTCCCACTTCTGCTACGCCTTCCTTTATGACTATGAGTAAGAAAGAAACCCCGATATCAAGAATTGATACTCGATCATCGAATACCAGCCGAACCTTAGCGACAGCAGGCTCTGCCTCTTTGCACACTCAACAATCGCCTAGCACAGCTTCCAATATGGCAGACCTTCTGGACAGTTATGCCCACGACCAGAACTCTCCAGAATTCTTCGTCAGAAAGTTTCTGGACCCAAATGTGCGTTCAATAACGCCGAAAGTCGCTGCCAGTTTGGAAGTAAGTCTGAGAACACGACCAATTGAGTAAGTGAGGCTTTCTATCTTTGCACAGTTAGTAACAAAATTTAAACGGAATATAATTCATATATGCTCTCTTATCCCTAAACCTTAGTTGGGTGTCGAGATTTATTCAGTTAAATGGTTTCCATGTGCTATCATACGCTTTGGAATATCTAAATCACAAGTCAGAAGAAAAGAGGAAAGATACATCATTAGAGCTTGAAATTGAAATCATCAAATGTATCAAAGCTATCGTGAACACTAAAGTGGGACGTCAAGATGCCATGGAGCATCCTGAATATATTCATATTGTTGTTTTTTCCATTCTTTGTCCCCATTGGCAAACTAGGAAGTTGGTGTGCGAACTACTTGCCTTCTTATGTTACTCGAATGGTCATGAGCATGTTGTTCGTGGTTTTGAATTATTACAAGACTTTAAGAAAACATTGAGTCTGTTCGAAGCCTGGATTGATACGTTCATAGATACTCTTACAACGGATAGCAATGATAATAACCATAAGAGTGGCAACGGCAGTCGACATGTCTTCGAGAAACTACCAGAAAGTCATCTACTGGAATATACTGTAAGTGATTTAATAGACAGCAGATGGTTCGCGCTTGTACATACACACACGATTTCTATCGATTATTTAGCTAAGTCATTATTGTATAGGTTTCCAACATGATACTAATTAATGCAATTACCAGTGTTCCGCCAGATGTGAATGATCGTATCTACATGCGAAATCAATTCAATGCAGCAGGCATGCAATTCTCCTTACTACCAAAATTAGAAACATTAGATCACAACTTGCTAAACATCCAAATTGAAACCTATAAAGAAGCCGCTGAGAATGATATCGATGATGTATTCGGTGAGGATCTATTGAAACTTCAAGACGTTTGTGAGCCTGATCTGCTTTTCGATAAGGTCTTTGAAACTGTATCCGATTCACCAGCGGCAATTGAGAACCTTGTATCGATATTAAAACACTTCTTATGGATTAAGGGTGATCCAGAAACGAAGTAATCATTTGAACTATGCTAATACATTTTCTCTAATTTTATCTAACGTAGTTTTTTCTTAATTTGTAGGTCGTATTTTTATCAAATGATAAGCTCATTGATTGAAAGTATTGTCACAGATAGAAGGAAAAAAGATGTTTCGGATAATTTCTCATCAACTTACGGTATGGCTGTTAGCACCATATTACAGAAATTTCGTGATTTAGATCGACTAAAAGCAGTAGAAAGCGAGCTCAGACAATTACGCACGCAATGTGAAAAGATAACTGCCGAAAAGGATGATTTACAAAGTGAAGTACAGAAACTGCGCATCCTGCCCAGCCAGATGGAACATGAAGCTATTTTGAAAAGAAACGAAGGCCTTAAAAAGGAGAATGATAATTTGAGGAATGTTTTGAAAACATCAAGAGAAACTATCACTATGCTTCAAGAGAGAGTACTGGCAACAGAAACACACCAGATTTATGAAGATAAAAGCGGTCATTTAATGGTAAAAAATGAGCGGAAAACTGCTACAGGAAAGAAAGCTTCATCATCAGATATGTACGAAGTAGCTGCAAAAGAAAGAAAGTCGATGGATGTAAGACCAGTTGGGAGATTTTCATTGGACTCAAGACCGTTTGAGCGTAAATCTATGGATGTATCTGTAAAGTGTCTACAATTTAAAGCAAGACAAAGGCTAGTATACATGTATTTATACATTTTCCTATTTCATTAGCATAAGCATTATCGCTATCATAATGATTCTTACAGATCAACCAGCAGCAGTGGTCACTATACATTATCAAACATATTTTCCTTCTTTACGAGAGGACGAAACAAAAAGCAACCCAGCACCCATTACTATGCATCAGGTAAATCAACGGAAACTGATTACTGCTTCCTAAAGTGAGTACTTACTAATCATTTGTACAGGTTCGAGCAGAGCATCTTTATCCATTCCTTCTACACTGGTTAGTAAAGAAGCCTCCACTTTAGTTGATATCCCTCCGCCACCACCACCACCACCACCTCCTCCTCCTCCTCCTCCTCCAATTCCAGGTAAAGAAACTATATCCTACTCAAACTTTACAAAACTAATGTATCTGCTTAAAATTTACACAGGCTCAGCCTCTGCAGGAACCCCTCCTCCTCCACCACCACCTCCTCCTCCTCCTCCTCCTCCTCCTCTAGGTAGCTCTTCTTCTAACGGTAAGTACGCAATTAATTAACTTTTAATTAAGCAATACAGCTAAACATTTTGCTTCCTTCGCATAGCTGCTCCTCCTCCGCCGCCACTACCTCCTCTAGGGAGCAGCTCGTCCTTCAAAGGTAAGAGTACAGTTATTAACCCTTGCGAAAGCAATGCAGTTAAACATTTTGCTCCTACGCATAGCTACTCCTCCACCTACACCACCACCGATTCCCTCTACACCCTCGTCACATTGCCTTGTACCTCCTAGGAAGGAGATCCAACATTATCCTCAAACAAAACTTAAGAATCTTCAGTGGCAAAAATTAGATGCCAAAGCCGCTAGAAAAACCATCTGGGATACTGCTTCTTTCTCTTCAACCGCTGACGATATCAAGCCTGAAAGCAGTAGTAATGAGGAAGACGAAACCACGAAGAATTACGAAGACATTTTAGAGCAACGTGGAATTTTCGAAAAGATCGAAACTTTATTCCCTGCTAAAACCAACGACTTTTTTGAAAGGAGATTCCAAAAGAAACAGCAAACTGTTAAGAATGAGGAAATTCGATTCCTGGCAAAGGACAAAAGCAGGAACATAAGTATGTCTATCCTATACTGCTCGATAAGTAATGAAAAAATAATTCACCTACTAATTTATGATGTAATAATAAAATAGATATTGCTATTTTACCAAGGTTAAGGCAGTTTGATTCTTATCAGGAAGTAGCCAAACATATTTTGGCCATGGACGATAAACTATGCACAGAAATTTTTTTGGTCAATTTGATCACCTATGCACCCAATCGAACTGATGATCTGGTATTGATGCAAAAATATTTGGAAGGACCTGAAGAAGAATGTCAGAAGCTAGACGCTTCGGAACAATTTACAATTGAGGTAAACACGAGTGCTTAAAGGGCAGATTTTTCAGGCCGAAACTCACCCACTTTCTTATCTTAGATGATGCGAATTTATCGATATGAAACAAGACTCAAATTCATGCTGTTTAGAGTTCAGTTTTGGGATAAGTTCCAACAACTTAATGACAGCCTCAAAGTTGTCTTATCAGCCTCTGATGCCTTGCGTAATTCAAAGGCGTTCAGAGATTTGTTGCATCTTATTTTGCTTTTGGGTAACTATATGAATGCTTCTAGTGTTCAAGGCGGCGCTTTCGGTATGAAAATTGATAGTATCAATAAGGTAATTGTACTCTACATGAAAGAATATCGGAAAGAAATCAACAGCAAATTATATGTCATTCAATATAACTTATTTGTCGCTTTTATCAGTTGACCGATACCAAAGCGTCTGACCTATCAAATCTAACTCTACTCCATGTGCTTATTGGTATTGTCAGAAGAGAATTTCCCAGCATATTGAACTTTATTGAAGATTTGAAGGACGTTACTGAAGCTGCAAGAGGTAATTATATTGAAATTCATGTTTGGTAGAGCTCGCTTGCAGCAGCTAAGGCTTCTTCTTCTGTTCTTTCTTTTTATGATGGCCGCTTTTTCGTCATACTATATAGTCATGGCTAGTATTTCAGATATTGTTCAGCAATATACGGATATGAGACAAGGCTTAAAGCAGCTGGGTATCGAATTAGATACCTATTGGAGAAATAATGAAAGTTACACTGGGAAAAGACGAACAAAAAAGCAGCAGCAGAAAGAGGGACAAATGGAAACCATTAAAGAAGTGAGCACAGAAGAAAATCGCGAGGAGAAAGTTTTGGAAGAAGTCATTGCTGATAAAAAGAATGAGAGTGATAACAATAGCGAGAAAACAAAGGATGCAATAATAGAAGGGACGGAAAGTAATATGAAGTATGGTGTTCAAGAAGAGCAAAAGGCTGACGTAGCTGACTCTGAAGGAAGTCAAAAGTTAGAAATTGATGACCAAGAGGCAATGAATAAGACCGCGGATTTAGAAATTGGCAATGTCAATACTGAAAATGGATTTGATGAAATGGATACTGGAGATGAAGAAAATAATGATGTTGAAGATGAAGAACTAGAGAAAGAAGAGGCGGTCAGTCATGATAGATTCTTAACCGTAATGGAAGAATATGAAGCTACTGCCCTAGGCCGTTTTGAAGAATTAGAAGCGCTCTACGTCAATGTTGATGCTAAATGGAAAGATATTATGACTTTCTATGGCGAGAACCCACGAAAGAGACGACCTGATGAATTCTTCGATATCTTCTCACAGTTCATTTCTGCCTGGAAGACAGCATCTGTTGAAGAGATGAATTATACAAGACAACAAGAGTTAGCTGAAAAGCGCAAAAAACAAATGGAAGAAAGAAGACGCAAACATCTCAAAGCTACCGACGCTAGTGAAAGTGCTAGTGAGACATCTTCTTTAACAGCAGCCGGAGATCTTACGAATACTGATAGTGACCGATATTTGATGGATGAACTACTCGAAAAACTTCGTTCTGAAGGAGCGGATGATAAATCCAGACAAAGGAGAGTTCGCGAAAGATTAAAGCGTTTGAAGGATGGCCATGACATGGAAAGAGCATTGTCGGTAGATTCGGCAATATTATTAGCTCGTCATCCTAGTAACGAGTCATCGCTATCAGTAAGCCATATACCTACTTTATCAGCTGAAGACTTACTCAGAAGCCTACAGCTTGACGATGATGTGCCAGCAGATAGTTTGCTAGAAGTAGCATATTCCGATAATGAATTGTCCGCAAAAAACTTACTAAGAAGCCTACAGCAGGATGATGATTAATTCCTTCCACACGCAAATATGATTCCTCTACAAATAATATACCGCTATACAACTATCACTTACCACTACATATATTACGCTTATATACATATACAAATATATACTCTGTAATTACTTTTAATTTTAATACTTATTATAAAGGAAAGCTTTGCATGACTTGAAAGCAATGTTTTTATTGGGTTTTTTTTTTTTGAATATCATATTCTGTTATGGTGAGCTCTAAGCTTAAAGTCGAAATAACATATGAATATAGTCTATCCATGAATTTATAAATTCTCGTATGATTTTGCCAGTGTTCAAAATTTTGATCCAAAGTTCTGGCAATTTATTTTTCTTCATCTACTATTTCATACCATTTAGGATGTTCGTTTGAGTACTCGTACAACCTTGGCATCAAAAATCAACCAGTATGATTGGAGAAATGTGTTAGACGGACCTTCTTGGGGAATAAAAAAGCTTCTTTGATTTGACCGCCTGGGATTGGTTTTATTGCTAATTGGATTATGTTCGTTTCTGTGGCATTTATGTGAGTTCCTGATTTACTGTTGTAGTGGTCCCACATTTTTGTAGCTTATTTAAGGTTATTTTAGGGCCTTCCTTTTCGTTTATTTCTCTTTTTTCTTCTCTTTATACCAGTTTAATAGCGGGAACTAGGAGCAGAAAATCAGATTCTACGCTATGCCGCCATTCACTGAGATTGAAGAAGAAAAAACGCAAACAGTATTGCGTTCAAGAACAGCCGAAGACGCAAAAAAGCTGGCAGTGGTAGATGAGCTGAAACACCCTGATCCTCGGCATCCGCTTTACTTGGGAACCTGGAAAAGATCGATACCTTACGTAGATGAGGATTTTGCGCGTGATGATCTCGACGAACCTCATTTGAAACGAAAACACACAATCTTAAGAGAGCACCCAGAGGTAGAGAAATTGTATGGTACGGATATTCGCACTTTCTATGTGACAGTCCTGATTACTGCTATCCAGCTCAGTGTAGCCTATATATTTGGTAAAGTGTGGTCGCCACCATGGTATATATTTTGTTTGGTGGGCTATTTCATTGGCGGTACTATTACCAGTATGATCGGTGTTGTTATCCATGAAGCGTGTCATTGTTTAGTGTTTCAACAAAGATGGGCCAATCGTTATATGGGGTTACTGGCCAACATTTCTTTGCCATTTCCGATTGCTCAGTCATTTCGCCGGTACCATATTGAACATCATACATGGCAAGGAGTAGAAGGGAAAGATCCTGACCTGCCTTTGGATTGGGAAAAAACTTTGATACGTGGTAACGCACTTAGTAAATTATTATGGATCATGATTTACCCTATTATGTACGTTGTGAGAGGAGCAGTAATGCAAAACGAAAAGAAGCTGACTCTTTCAAAGTGGGAGTTGATCAATTTGATTTTCACTATTACAACGGATACATTGATTCAATACTTTTGTGGCTGGACCGGGCTGTTCTATTTATTGTTATCACTTTACTTCGGCTATTCGTTGCATCCAGGTGCAGCTCATTTCATTCAAGAACATTATACCTTTGATGATGGACAAGAGACCTATTCTTACTATGGTATCTTGAATATACCCTTAATGAATATTGGATATCATAACGAGCATCACGATTTTCAGAAGGTAACATAAATAAACAAGCAATACACATGCAAGCATATCCTATGTACTAACATTGAAACCATGACTGAAAATAGATTCCATGGTCGAATTTGCCTCTATTGCGCTCTTTGGCCGGTAAATATTACGATAAATTGTCATATCATACTTCGTGGGTCTTGGTACATTGGAGATTCATCACAGAGCCTAACCTTGGTCCGCAATCGCGCGTCATCCGTTCATACAGCGACTTTAAAAAGGGGCGTTCCCTGCTTGGTAAAATGAAACAATACGACTTATTTCAAAAGAAACAAAAGTCTATGAACCTCACTCCATAGATGATCGATAAACCTACGTTAATATGTCCATTTGTATATTTCTCTTTATGATACTCTCGAATATTTCGCATAAGCTTACCCTCTGAGACCTTCTTAATTCCTATCGCTGCTTTAAATAAAGGATTGCATTGCTTTTACTGTTCAATCGCGCAAAAATGCTTTATCCATTATATAAAGTTACAATCTTTCAATTATATAAGCGCTACACATTAAACAAGGTGAATATGTGTACAAAGGTCAGAGTTGTTATGATAATTCTTGCGAACTCGCAATTACTGCTTTTCGAGAATAAAATTGAATTCAACAACTCCTTACTATAGTCGTCAATACAGTAGTATAGAGTCGAACGCTGAAGATATAATATGAGTACTTTAAGTAGAGTGTTTGTATTATAATGCGGGAAATTTATATTCGTTGTTCGTAACTCATCAGGTATCTACCGTAGTTACTCGGCCTTTCGATAATGATATCGCGAATACATTCCCGCAATTATCTAGGCTTTAATTCACCACAAAGTTTGGGATTATATGCAACTCCACCTTTCCCTTATCCCCTTTATAGCTTGAAAAATTCCTTGTTAGAAACTTTTTGAAAAAGTTCGTCAATATTTAAGAATATATCAATAATATGTTAACGCTCCAACAGTTCTGCCATGTGTGAATTCATTTATGCAGTGGTTCTAACTTCTTTTCTGTCATGAAAGTAAACCAACGATATCGAGAATGATCTGTTTATAGGCGGCAGAGATATTCGTTCTGAGCACTTACTAAAACTTCTCCATACTTAGGTGAGCAGAAACGTATTAGTGTCTATATTACAATAAAAACATTGCGTAATAAAACAGTTTAATATCAATCCAATCTTGGGTCAAGCCCTTACTTTTTGGCATTCTTGGAACTTTTTTCTTTGTTATGTTTACCTGTTCTCTTCTCTCTTTCTTTGGTATATCCTACATTGTTCATCTGCTGGGCCTGGCTATGGAGTTTCAAAAAGTTCGATGAATTTTGATTTTTTTTTTAGGAACTCGGACCCTGCTGGTGTACCTTTTTACAAGAACCGTTTTGCCGGCTGGCCTATCTGTTTCAGTCTTTTCGACTTGCTTCTCAGTTTTTAAACATATTCAGTTATTCGGTGTTCTGTGTACCATCTGCTTGCTACCGTATTCATCTTCTGTGCCTCGTGATTCAATAATGGGGTCAATCACAGCAATATACACAGGCCGGTACTGAATGTGTGCCCACCTGTGCAGAATATTTCCAACCTTTTGCATTATGAAGTCCCGCAAATTGACGTAACAGAAGTAGTAGCCAATGGCACCAAAGCCGTTTGTAGGCACATCATCCGTAAACCAATCCTTGCTACCGTTTGAAAACAATCTTCGGGTCTAAACTATCTATACTCGTTAAGATGACAGTGCAAAGAAGGCCTTCTGAGCTAAACTCAGATCATCGCGGAGTTTCCGTTGGATTCAATAAAGGCACGACATTAAGCCTTAGTATAGGCTAGCATCTCTTGAGATACATAGGGAAAAAAAGGGTGATATAGAAGGAAAGGCGTTTGACAAACATCCGCGTTTTTTAAGAATGAGAGATATCCTTTTAGTGAAGATGGATTGAAACTGCTGTAGCAAGCAAATAGTTCGTTTGACAACTTGTATAATAAATAGTTAAGACATGGAAGATGTCGCTTTCAAAACATTCCAACCGTAATGATTGCTCTGAAAGTGTTAGAACAGTCCATCTTTAAGCTAGGTACAATACTAGGGTAAGGCAGCTGTATGATGGCCTACTACAAGAGAATCTGTTGAGTTTATACATAATATTCTTTAACCTACCTCTTGTAAACTTTGTTTTTTATTAATCTATGGTGTATCTCCATTTTTGTTTGTTACCCGTGGAACAATGAACCGTCAAATAAAACGATACAGTGGCTTGAGACATTGCTTACTTTTGACGGAACGAGGAGCAAGAAGTATAGTATTCATTCTGACGAATCAACCCACTGCAGTTTACGCAAGTGCCTTTATACTGGAAAGTCGATATCTACTTTAATCATAGTACGCAAAGTTAAAAAGGATGCTTACTCTTTCCAATTCTCTATCGAGTCTCTCTATCAAATAATTTCTGGTTTCCAGTTTCAACGTAATCAATAAAATGAAATATAACAGACATCACCCAACGTTTAAAAGACGTATTTTTTCTACGAGAAAGAACGCTAACCTTACTTTAAACAGTATTAAAGCTGTTTTATGGCATTTTATTACATTTGCATTAGATTTCGCCAAAATAAACTATTAGAGACTTATAGAGGAAGGAACAAAAACAGCGGAAAGGTCAACAAAAACAAGAATGAAAATTCTTGTAAAAATGAGAATGCAAACATTGCTATTAAGAAGGACGTTTCCTAAATAACTTATACGCGTTGAAGAATAAAGAATTGGTATTATTAGCTTTGCAAGCCATGGCTTCCACAAGTCTGATAAGTTTTTGCAATTGCTTGTCCTTCCGACCATCATTTCAATAATCATGTCGTTCGATGGGATTCGAGGAGTTCTAGAGTACAATATGAGTTTTTTCCATTGTGATAACTTTTCGTTTGCCAATTATAATATCACATATAAGTATTAACTATGTAAGAAATGGAAAAAGTAGAATTTCAATGAAATTCTCTCTCTTTTTTTTTTTTTTTTTTTTTTTTTTAGGCATGCAACGCGGAATGGCAATTACCTACGCAGAGCATTAAAAAAAATGCAGTTACAATATACCCTTCTTATTTTTTTACAACCTTTTTCATTTCTGTACCTTTATCTCTTTATACTGCAAAACGTCAAAATATACCACTGTTCTTTAGTTTGACATGAGTATAATAGGGACAACTTCAGGAACACCGGGATCAGCAACAACAACAGCACATCTCGGTAATACACCGTTAAACTTGGCTAAACTTAGAGAGCTTTCACGTAAAAAGCTTCCTGAATTATTAGATAAAGTACGATTAGCTCATTAAGAGTCCTCGCACTAGAAGTCTACCAAACTGATTACCCTCCAATATATTTTTACCTGTCTGTAGGTTAGAGGGAAAAAGGGTCTTGTGCTCGATCCAACATTGACGGGACCTTTGAGTTTAATCGCAGAGTACACTTTATTGAAGGTATAGCCACACATTATAATCCATCACGAAAAGCAAGAACATTTTTTTACTTGAGAATAGAAGCGTATGTGTTGTAATCTGACAAATTAGCATCTCTTGACGTTAGGATCATGGGGTCGAGAAGATCTATCATCTCGAAGCTGAACTTCCTGAAACAGATTGTCCTGGATTAATTTATATTTGCCGACCAAAATTACAATACATGCGTTATATAGCAAGTAAAAAGCAAAAACTAGCAACGATTTCAATGTTGAAAGCAAAGATACTCTGCTGACGATCCATTTTTGTGTAAAACAGATCATATAAAACAGTTTTTGAATGCTTCCAAGATTGATTGCTGGCTCTTTTTCGTACCTGAGCGTACATTAGTTTGCGAAAGAATATTAGAAGAAGAAGGCGTGAAAGGTGATGTTACTATAGGCGATTATGCCATGGACTGGATACCTTGTGAAGATGATCTGATATCAATGGAACTTGAGCCGTCAACATGGAAAGAGATTTATCTAGTAAGCAAAAAACAGTTACAATACTCCTGTTACTCTTTGATGGTTGTTTTATTAATGTTGATTATTTTTGAAAAATAAGGACGGAGATCAAACTCCTATTTATTATGCAGCCAAAGCATTGATGCGACTACAATCAATTTATGGCCTATTTCCACGTATCCTTGGTAAAGGAGATGGTGCCAAACAGCTAGCAGATCTTTTACTGCGTATGCGACGAGAAAACTATGTTACTGCAGCGGATATACCACATACGTCAATATCCAGACAACCACACACTCTACTAAATACTGTGTCCAATCACATTGATCAAATTATAATTTTGGATAGGAGTGTTGACCTTATTACCCCACTATGCACAGAATTGACGTATGAAGGCTTAATTGACGAAATACTTGGTATTAAACATTGTTTTGTCGAATTAGATGCGTCTTTAATCAACCCTTCTCAACAACAACAACAACAGCAGCAAAACCAAAAGGCCTTTCAACAGCAACAACAATCAAGTAATACCAGCAGTGCAGCCAATGCTAGCAAAAAGAAGAAATATGTCCTCAATTCTTCGGACAAATTATTTGGCCAACTACGCGATCAAAATTTTGCCGTAGTGGGTGGCAAATTGAATAAAATTGCCAAACGGATCAATGAGAATTACGAAGAGAGGCATAACGCCAAAACCGTAGCTCAAATTCGTGATTTTGTTGGTCGCTTAAGTGAGCTACAGCAAGAGCATCAATCACTGAAAATACATACAGGCATTGCAGAGGAAATCATCAGTCATACTGTTACCGACGAGTTCAACCGCGTGCTGGAAGTACAACAAAATGTGGTGGCAGGGATTGACAGCATCAAAGAAGCTGAATACATTGAAGAGATGATTGATAAACAGAAACCGCTGGTACAAGTCCTTCGTTTACTTTGTTTAATATCGTTAACGCAAGGTGGATTGAAACAGAAGAACTTTGATCATTTCGAGAGGGAGATTGTTCAAACGTATGGCTATGAACATATTGAGACATTGCATCGATTGACAAAGCTGGGATTATGGATAAAGAAAACAAACACTACACCGCGCAGTACATTCGCTCAATGTCGACGCTCTTTACGGCTAATTGTGGATGATGTCAATGAATTACATCCCAACGATATCTCCTACGTTTATTCGGGCTATGCACCTATGAGCATTCGTTTAGTGCAAGCAGCTATGCAAAAGTTATCAGGAATAGGGTCTCATCAAGCTTCCTCAGGTACAGCGAGCCTATTTTCGTATGTTGGACAAAGCACGGCCAACTTTATCCAGTTGAACAACGGCAATACGTCTAACAGCAGCAGCATCAATAATGGCACTAGTCATAGTAACAATGACAGTGACTATAGCCACACCTGGCGAGGATCGGAGGAAATTCTAAAATTATTACCCGGTCAAGCGTTCGACATTAAACAGACTGTGGACTACGGCACAGCTGAGACTAACGCAGCAATGGAACGAGTGAAGAGACATAATTTGAACCATGGAAAAACGACGATTATCTTCTTTTTAGGTGGTTGCACACACACAGAAGTCTCTGCTATAAGATTTTTAGCTCAACATGATGAAGGTAAATTTTTGTTACAAAAGTGGAATATAACAATGGAGTGGGAAAACAAAAAAGAGTCTGAATTTTTTCGACTCAATTTGAATAGGTCGTGACTATCTGGTGGCGACAACGCAGCTTATCAACGGGAACTCCATCTTGTCTCCTATCATAAGCCATAGACAACAGCAGCCTCCTCAAGCACAGTCTGAATAAAGTCGTGCTTTGTACTTTTTACTTTATTTTTGTTGATGTAAAAGACACGTTTAGAGAACGATCCAAACTCATAAGACTATTCCTCCTCATTTTGAAAAACCTTGTACAGTTTGGACAATGAAAATTTTTTTCCTGTATGCACGGACCTTCCTGATTGGCCCAGTTTAGAGAATTTTGCTCAAATAGAAATGTGTTACGGCAAGCTACAGTATTTTAACTAATATTTTAGATGAAATACATTTTTTTTTGGACGATTAATATTTTCATTTTAGATGAGTTGCAATTGTGTTGTAGACCAAAATATAAACCGTTTAAACAATGATTCAAATTCCAAAAACTTGTTAGCAGTGCGAAACAAAAAAAAAAAAAAGAAAAAAAAACCGTACTATTCCTCACCTGTAATGATCTAAATCCTTGAAATACAAGGAAAACCGTGTTTATTACGGCGATTATTTCTTCTTCTTCGCTGGCTTGAAAATGTCGGGTCTTCCCGCTCCAGACCAAACTGCTTGGGATATAGTCATCATGTTGATAGCGGCGTTAATGTCTCTCTGCCATAGCTTTAGACATTGCTTGCAATGAAGAACGCCGGTACCCTTGAATCCAGGGGTATTAACAATTTGCATATCATCATAGAAACAGAGGCTGCATGTTTTAGAGGTTTTGAATTCATCGATTGTGACAACAATCAATTGACCTTCAGCTTCACGTTTCTTCAGAGTTGCAAATAGTTTACCGACAACACCACATCTTTGCCCTTTCAATTTTACTACATCTTTTCCAAACATTCCAGCACCAAAGACAATCAATGGTACCCTTCTAGGGAATCCTGAGTACTTATCAGCCTTCCACTTCTTGTCACTTCTAAAAATTATCAATCAGCGCGTAAGCTAAACGATGAACATGTAATTCATTGATACTCACTTGATTGGCGGCTGTTTGTCAACATTCTTTCCTTTCTTCTTCTTCTTCTTCTGCTGTTTTTTCCTCTTCCTTGCCTTGCTTCTCTTTTTGCGATTGTACTTGGCCGTTCCATGAGTCAACATGTTGGCCATAGTTTCGGGTGCTCTTTGCCTTCCTTGGTACAACGTAAACCGGTCCTTTGCTGTTTCATGTCCATAAAAACTAAAGAGAGCGTCTAAGTTATTGAGCATATAACTGGTGAACCCTCATATACTCCTAGACGAGAGGTCTTTGACGAGGGGATTTGACTTTCTACTAGATCTATTCCTGTAACAGCTTTTATACTGTTCAATTTCTTACAATATTTCGTTGACCCTGCCATATGATAGTGTTCGGATGTAGTGCATCTTCGCACTTGTCTGTTATATTCAAGGCCAATAGCAGCAGTAAAAACAGACTTTCTTCCGGGATCCAGGGTAATAGGTAAATAAGTATTGTCAACTTCATCCAGAGAGAAATCATCAAGAGTGAGGTCAAATTTTTGGAACGAGGCACCATGGCCAGATTGTTGTCTTTTATAAAAAAGAAAGTCAACTGAAAACCCATCCGTTCTGACAATATTACCAAAGAGCTCTTTGTTATCACCATTCGGTGTAAGTTCAGAGATACTACATGTGCCCAAGAAGTTAAACCTCATACATTATACTCGACTGCATACCGTATTAACTGTATGCTTACCTTTTGTACCTGAGTTTCTTGAAATCAAAGACATGGAAAAACAGCTCTAATTGGCTTTGGTAATTGCGGGGTAAAGAACGTTTCACAAAAGAAGACAGAGCGTTCACGCTCAAGGTAATGAACCTCCATTGAACGGAAACCTTTGGCAGTAAGGATAGCAATTTTGGAAGAGGACGTCGTCGTACGTCAAATGGTTTATGATCATCGTGTTCGCTCTCAAATTCTGCGTTCAAAGATAACAAAAAGGGTACGAAAGACCCAGGATCAGCAGATAATGTCTTCATGTTCACTTTCTTCCCCAGCTTCTTCTTCCAAGGTTCACAAAAGGTTTGGATCTTTGCTTTTATATCTTTGGTAAGGTAGTCATCAGTTGGCCATTTAGGTTTTCCTTGGCATATCTCTTGATAGCAGAAATCACTTGTGACCTTTTTGACAAGCTTCCAAGGCATACACTACGCAAGATGAGAGCTTTTTTTTAAAATTCATGTAAGACCCCAAGTAATATTGAGTTGCAACTTACCACAAATGCCGTTTGTATTTTATATATCAAAAAATAGAGAAGTTTCTCCTCAAAATTTTCCACTATACTGTTCGTATAGGAAGTAGCAATTTCGGTGCATGCTTCTGTAATGGCTTGACTAAGTCCAGGAAAGAGCTTGACAGGGAAGACAATCTTAGGGTAAGTCGTTTTAAAAGAATCAAACGAGCTCAGTAATTGTTGTGATATCAGCCTACTATTTGTTGGTCTTTGTCCATTCACTAGCTGTATGATAGAGTACCAAAAATTTTGTGTAAAGATATATTTAATACACTTTGGCTCAGCAAGAGTGGCATTTTCCAAGACGTAATAATTCACAAAGAGCTTGGCTCTAAGAACCAAGTTTCGGATAACAGAACAAGCTTCAACAACTTTTGACTTGAATGTGTTGCGATAGTCACCAAAAACGCAGTTATCAAGAGGCAACCTTCTTGTAAACGCCTTGTAATTACTTCCCAAATGATGTTGAAAGACCTCTGCCTTTGATAATACATGTTGAGGACACAGAGGAGAACGCACCGATTTATGTCCTGGTTGCTTGCATTTGGTACAACAGGTATTGTCTTTATCCGGTTCTTCATTATTCTCTTTCCTTGCTTTCTTCTTTTCCTTCTTGATTTCAAAGTTCTGTTTGCGTTTTCTGCCTATCGAACCAACTATAGGTACAATGAGGTCGCTTACTAACGATGAATTTACCAACTTTTGAAGCCACATGAGGTGCTTACCTTGATCTGCAGTTTCTGTCTCATACAATTGACATTTAAAGTATTGTTGGGTGTAATGACCCCCTTTACCGCAATCAATACACGTTACATCTAACAGTACACGATGATTAATCTCTACGTATATATATGATCAGGTATATAGGCTTTCAAAAGGCAAGTTACCATTAACAGCACTTGATTTTTTCTTTTCAAAAATTTGCTTTTTCTTTTCATAAATTATTGTTTTGAACATGGGTCATAGTATGTATCTTAAAAACGTGAAATAAAAGTGAAAGAGACAACATTTGACTCTAAGAGAGCAATATATTTTATAGTGCTTATCTTTGAAAGTCACCCATGAACGCATACAAAAACATTGACAACAGTTAATATAACCATCCCATTCCGCTATGGTATCTGTTATACTATGACCATCAGCCCTCTATCAATGGTTTGATGTCAATCAATTCAAAGTTAACTTTTTTTGGAATTCTTGTCCAAAAAAGGCACCAACGAATATCTTGTTGGTCTCGGAACACATCGTCATTTAGTAAAAAAGTTGTCAAGCTTTTTGTAGTTTGTCCTATTGCAAGATAACATCAATAAAACCATTATTGGCGACTTTCTTACTGATAGAGACTAATTTCTAGGGTTCGATTGTATGTCATCCTTAATGCTGCTTGAATATCACTGAATAATTGAGTATCCAAATATCCAAATACTATGGACTTTTCTAAAAATATTTTTTAATAAATCTAAAATTAAAATGTATATTGTTCATTAAAAATTGTAAATCGTCTAAAATATAAGGTAAAATACTGTATTCTGTTTCGTTCGGCAACTCTCATTAAACTGCCGATCATTTTAAGCGTCAGGCTAAAAGGTTTCTTTTTTTTATCAAGTTTTTTTTTTTTTTTTTTTTTGGTTGTTGCTATGTAGAAACGAATAATTTTTGCTAATTGTTTATTTCTTTTTGTTCATTACGTCTTTTTCAACGACAGCCTTAAATTTCCTCACACTCTTTTTCTATCAATAGCCCACTTATATACACACAATTCCTTTTACCTTCCTTTTTGCTATATATCATTATTTATTTTGCACCGCATCTTCCTCACAGTAGAACACTCATAGATTATGGCACCACTTGTGTTGAAGATCAAAGGTAACAAAACCTTCACGCCACTTTCAGCTCTTAACTGCGAGGAAGATCTATCCAAAGCGTGGAGAGTCTGTTCCAAAGTCAGGGACTCTTTAGAAAACGGCTCAAGATTGGAAAACCTGTCATGGCGTTTATGGTTTCGGCAGCACCTTTTGAACGAAAAGTCAAATACTCGGGGGTCTTTTCGAAAGCTATCTATTACAACTGCTCGTAGGCTTAGTAGTAACTGTAAATTGATACCGATCACCAGCACAGTCATAACGCAACCGCCTCAACATAGTAAAAAGAGAGCCTATTACAATCTTCATGTCAAAAAGGAACCCTATACAGCAGCAACAGACAATTCTGTCGTCAAAATGGAACCAGCCGATAATGATATCAACATGGTTGTCCATCATGATAATGGTTCTGCTGATATACAGTTTATGAACTCGATGCCCCAGTTACAGCAACAACGACAACAACAACAACAACAACAGCACCAGCATCATCAGCAACAATTTTTACAACAGCCGCAGCAGCCTCTTCAACAGCTGCAACAAAGCTTAGTTATTCCAACTACCTTAGACGATCAGACCATGTTCGATGCCAATGCTTCTGCGCAAAATTTTGCATTACCACAATTTACTTCGGATCAAACCAATGGAGAGATCGTCCAGTTAGATGATATTTTTAATACCTTCAATGGTACAAATTTTGCTAATGAGGTCACTTCTACAGATATTCCTACAACAGATATGGGTATGAGCATGGCAGACGGTTGGGATTTTGGTATACCTTCGCCTTCCAATCCATATTATTCACCGCCACCAATGAATCAACTCATGAATAATACAACCAATAACAATAGTACGACTAACAACAATATTGACAATAATACAAACAGTAACAATTCAAGTCAGAATGCAAGCGTATTAGGAAATTTGACGTATCAGACAGGAGCAACAGTACACATGATACCCCAACCCGCACCATCTGAGAATGATGCCATGTATGTTTCTGGTTCCACAATGCCTCCACCTGCTGCAAGTACCTTACGTAATAAATTGTTGGAATCTATGCAGCAGCATTCACAGCCGAATCAGTTACAGCAACAGCTTCATCCTCATCAACAAACATTCTCTCCCTCCAACCCTCCTTCTCAACCTCAATCGCCCTATGCCTGTTCCCCATTTTCGCCTGTTCCTTACGATATACCTCCACCACAACATCCTCATTCACCTGCTCCCTTCCATCTACAAACACTTGCCATTTCTCAACAACAACAACAACAGCAGCAGCAGCAACAGCCTTCTGCTCTGCACTTGAATAGTAACAATTCTTCCATAACAAATAATAACACAAATTCTCACCCATATACAACTCCCGGCGGCACTTCGACATCTACGTCTTCATCTGTATCCCCATCTGTGACCAACACTGCTAATGGTGCCACTGCCAGTACAAGCAACATGAGTTTGACGGATAATCAATCTAAACCCATTTGTACAAACTGTGGAGCTACCAGCACTCCCCTTTGGCGAAGATCAGCTGATGATGAATTATTATGTAACGCATGTGGTTTATAGTAAGTCTATTCATGTGAGTTTAATATGATTTAGGTTTCGGTCAAAAATTTTACATTTCGTTTTTAATTGTTTGCAGTCAAAAATTGCACAACGCACCTAGGCCTAAAACATTGAAACCCCATAATGCAAGAAAAGAAGCAAGGGATGACGAGGCCTCACAGTTAGTATGCTCAAATTGTGCAACAACAACAACACCTTTATGGAGACGGGATGATGAAGGAGCACCACTGTGTAATGCTTGTGGTTTATATCTTAAGCTGCATCATGAGCGTAGACCTTTGTCAATGAAAACAGATATCATAAAAAAGAGACAGCGATATGAAAGTAGTAGTAGTAGTAGTAGTAGTAGTAATGGCGCTGGAGGTACTAACAGTAACAGTAATAGTTCGAATGTAAAAAACATGAGCAATAGTACTGGCGGTTACAATAATAATGGAAATGTTAGTGGAGCCAGTACACCTGTCAGTGGAAGGAAATACACCAAAAAGATGAAGTTTGAGCAACCACAGCAATCCAGTATATCCTCACCAGCAAATCTACAGCAACCACAGCAGCCACCACAGCAGCCACTACAGCAGCCACTACAGCAGCCACCACAGCAGCAAAACTTAGAAAATATAAACAATATTGATACTAATACGCCTATCTTGAATCCATCGCAAATACTCAACAATGCCAATCTTGAGAACAACTTTGATGACAGTGCTATGAATGGATTAAGTAGTAATAATAATGGAGGCTTACCTTTTGGTTGTGCCAGCTTTTTTTGATTAAATCGTTTGGTATGATGGCGTACATATTCCTATTATTATATTGAAAACATATCCCTTTCCTTACTTCTCTCTCTTCCTCTTTTCGCTTTCCACCCACTATATTGTTTCATACTCTCAAAAAAAAAGTTCCTTTTTCTGCTTTATAGCTTTTATAAATATGTTTTTGTTCATTTTATTGCATTATCGTTTGTATAGCCTATGTATTTACATTTTTTTTCTAAAATCGTGCGCCATCATTTTCGTTCTTTTTTCTCTGTAAAATAATATTCATATTAATTTTACCACATGATAAATCTTTTTCTATTTGTAATTTAAAGTCATTAAATTTCCTTTCAAAATCCATTACTGTCAGTTTCGGTTCGTGATTAACCCAGAACCGATTAAATGTGTAGAACAAATAACAATAAAAATCTGTAAATTGTGCTAGGCTTGTTCCGTATTCGAAAAGATGCAACTGTAGTTTCTTGGTTTCTAATAGCTGATAAGCGAATTTAGTTATATTGATACCCACAATAGCATAAGGATACCAGTAAACAGGATGGGAAGCATGTTGTAAGACAGAGTGTGCTATTGTAGGATAATGCTGTACAAAATAGAGCAGATCATTGAGACCATGAACACCCATTCCACGAAAATCAGTGGCAGGATCACTACCTTGGAACCCTATATCTACCCACTGTTTAGAGATTCGCGAATTTAATGGAGTATTGGGCTTCATTTCGTTCCATAGCTATATTATATGATGTGTCAGCTATGCTTTGGATGGAATGGTAGAATGCAACATAAAGAATTCTTACATCGAGTAACTTTTTCTCATGTTCTTTGTTTTCAGACTTGTATTTTTCAGCGATTTCTTCTTCAACTTGTGCTAAAATCAATTGATATCCATGAATCCGAGACAATGCTTGACGGAGTATTTGAGCAGGTGCTGAATTTATGTCGAATCGTACATGCAGAGGAAACTGCTTTTTGTACATAATGGTTTCTGCTATAGCTTCTATATCAAGGCTATATACTTTATTCTCATATAAAAGATTTTTCTCATTGATCAATTCTCGGGAGTGGTAGATGGAACGATGGATGCGTTGCACGATGTGTTTAGAGATGGGAGATAACTGCAGCTGTTTCTTCTTACTCTCGTGTTTTTCTACTAAAGTTGTCATTGAGGAGGAAACAGAACAAGAACATAGACGATATATTTCACTTGTTTCCGTAGTACAATGTATTATATATTTGAAGCATTTGTAAAGTCTCAATAATATAGGTATTTTGTATATCTTATCAAGCACGTAAAGGATGATCCAATTCATGCTATGGTCACTAACGTAAAGAGAACGAAACGAAGCGGGATGAAAAATTATAAACACAAAAATCAAAAAAAAAGAAGAAAAAAGAAAAAGAAAAGGGAACTCCTGAAAGTACTTCTTTGAGTCAATCACAGGTCATCTTTCGGCAATTGCATCAACTTGCTTGCATTCTCTTCATGGGGTTTTCGCAAAGAACTACCAACAGCAGGACTAGTTCTCAAAAGAGTTTCACTATTGAAGAGTTGTTTAAACGAAGCCAACAGCAACAACGAAATGCACTTGCCCAATTGCGTAGATTAAAGAAATCGCAGCAACAGCACCAAAATGAAGAAGAAGAAGAAGAAAAGGAAGAAGACGATCCGGATCTACTACTTGCTTTGCAAATAAGTAAAGAAGAACACTTAACTGAGCAGAAAAAGCTACTAGAGCACTTTTCGAGACTGAGTCAAGCACAAAACAGTAATAACAGTAACAGAGGTAGCAGTCGTAGTGGTAATAACCGCACAAAAACAAACATAACTCCTAACAAAAAAGTAAAAAAAGAACGCGTGATTATTGACAGAAGCGAAGACGAAGATGAAACTCCAGTATCATTAGCGCAAAATGTGGATACTTTAGAAGAGGATGAATGGTTTGAAACGATCTCGCCCAGACCTCAGCTACCGAGATATCTAACGCAAAGAAAAAAGCTCTCGGACAAAAGTACTGAAACGGTAATTTTTGATAAAAAGGGCAAGGAAACAACCACTGCAGCGACAGCAAAGAGGAAAGAGATTACAACCGATAATACCAATGCAAATTCTCCCTATAACATCATCTCTAATATTGATCGCAGTCGAGCACAAGCCGGTGGATCTACTTTATCCGAAATGAACAGCTCGAAGGTCGTAGTAAAGAAAGAAAAAGATGAGGAAGGGGTTTTGCTTGATGTCGATGATATGTCAGAATGGCTAAAAGTTAAAGAAGAAGAAGATGTTGGCGACGGAGAAGGGGATAACCATCATTTGGTTATTGATGACTTTACAGCTTTCTTAAATGAAGAAGATAGTCAAAAAGATATAGTTACCAACAAAGAATTATCACAGCCACACAAGGAAACAGAAGATGTATATTTACCTATTGATTTCAATATAAATGAGGGAAATACAGAAGGGTCAATCATATTGATAGATGATGATGACGATAACATCAAATACCAAGCCACGAGTGATATCGACGATGCCTCAGATTGTAGCGTAATCGATTTAGTGAACCCTAATAATAATACCACAAACAATAGTCAATCTCAACAGCAAGTACACGAAGAAGATGATGGCTATCTATCTCCATTAGAAGGGTTTACCAATCTGGATCGATCGAATGCTGAATTTAATCCTTTTTTTGAACAGTTACAGCCCAGAGCACCGGCTAAAAGAACCAGAAAATCAACAGCAGCATCGACCTCATCAACAGCAGTGGCATCCTCAACAACCACAAAGAGAAAAAAGGCGTCATTGTCAAAATGGCCAACAAATAAGCGTAAACGGTATTTTGCCAAGATGAAGAGAAAGAAACGAACATGATCTGGTGTATTCATGACTTAAATCTGCTGCAGTACTAAATAGCTGTTACGTATTGGCTTTTGGGTATTAGGGAAAAGCCGTATACATGCAGTTTTACTACATTTTTAAAACATTTATCCGCTGCGAACATCGTTTAATTAAAGCTCTATTTATTATTGTATTCTACCTATTCCACACACTAACTATCGTATTCAAATAATCGCTCAAATGCTTCTCCGCAGCCTTTTTCTTTCATCCAGGTCTGTAACATGCTTAAATTGTTATGGTTGGCAAATTGCCCGTGAATATCAAACTTCACCTCCTGCATATCAGGGAAAATTCTATGAGAATCCAATTCCTCTTCATTTTGGCAATCTTCTACTGTTTCCTTCCATCTCGAAGTCATTTTCTTATGTGACGGTGGGATGTTGGCCCATGAAATCGTTTTGATATCGTTGATAAACTGACTCACTTTTTTATCCGGTCCCTCTAAACATAAAGCACCTGGCTTACCAGGACATAAAAAGCCCGTAATTTTATATTGCGGTGCCCAGTCAATAATATCACCTCTCTACTTGTAAAGAAAAAGGCGTTAAATTCTTAATTTGCATACGAGAGAAGCAGTGATATCACTATTGGACCTTATTTTTTGTATAAATCATAGGGAACCAAATCCACTCCCTGAGAAACCGCATTGGACCCGATTTATTCGTTGCTGCTGCTTGTTTCTCTTTTTCTTTTCTGTCATTTGACCATTTCTCAATATACGTTTCCGCTATTTGCTGCACATGCTGAATTTTTTCTACGATCCAAGTGGATCGATCTTCCATCGGCTCGTCAACAACATAGTTGCTTAATTCTTCAGACATTGCCTGATGATCGTCTCGCGAAAGCCAGTCATTCGCAGCCGAAGGCAACGTTAATTGATAGTCTGTTAATGATACCAGTGATAAAGTACAGTGTAAAGTAATAAAAGAAGGTGCTGCTTTTACACAGCTGTCTACGTCAACAGGTGCTTTGATGAAAAACTGTAATTTGGTTGCTCTCGATATATCCGTATTGTTGTCCGGCCAGTCGCCTGTTTCGTCCCAACTTTTCAGTTGTTGAAATAGTCGTTCCTCTTTTTCTTCTGCAAAATGAAATTCATCCTTGTTAAAAAATATGGATTGGAGAAGATCAATGGTCTGTACTGCGCTTGACAAGAGACCTTGCTGTTTTAATGATATCGGCATACTTTGAACAAGACATCAGGAATTGTTAACTCCACAGATCAACTTTTTTTTTAAAAAAAAATCGAATTGACCAATAAAACTCTTTTAGAGATACGTGTCTTTTATGTGCTATTTGCAAATTAACAAATCGCTCAATACTACAGCCTTGTTCAGCTAAATAATATACATTGAAAAAGAGTCTTCTCCCATACGTCCTGCTTCAAATGGGTAGCTTATAATTGGTAAGGGTAGTGGATACTTTGCGTAGAATATCAGATTTCTATTGATAATCAGTCTTAGATGCTCATATTGTTTGTACGCACACAAATCTTTAAACCATCCCACACTGAATTAGTTTATTCTTTGAATGACAATTAGTCTATGTTTGAAAAGAAGGAGGGGGTATACATCTTCTAAAGGAGTCGTCCAAAAATCATCATTGTACGTTACAAAGACTCTTTCAATATCTCATCTAAACTTGCAGATATACATCAATGTTTACTTATAAATCTTGTCGATTTCTTCTTGATTTCCTTTAACGATATCTTTACGTTTGATTTTTTGACTGCTGGTCATATACTCCTTTGTCCAATCAATATGTCGGGTTACGACAATATCTTTTACTGTTTCGACACGATTACATCCAGCTGAAGACGCAGTTTGCTGGAGCTTTTTAAGGAGTGTATCCTTCTCCACGTCGTCATCAGCTGGCTCAACCACAGCAATGATGTAGGACTTGTTACTATCAGCAATGAGACAAATATTCTTTATCTCGTGACAATTACGATACTTGGATTCCAAAGCTTCCAAAGCAATATATTCACCATGAGCCAATTTAACGAGATTCTTTGCTCGATCAGTAATAGAGAAAGTACCATCATCATTCAAGCGAGCTATATCGCCGGTCTTAAACCAACCATCAGAAGTTATAGCATCTTTCGTGAGATCAGGTCTTTTATGGTAGCCTCTCATCAACGACGGGCCACGCAACCAGAGCTCTCCGACATTATTCTCTGCTTTGTAATCAGTATCAGCGACGTCAACAAGACGGAATTCAATGGAAGGGGAAGGAGGGCCGATAGAGCCAGGAATGATACCAAACTTGGGAAGAGTAACAGACGCCAAACCACAACATTCAGTCAAACTACAGTTTTTTCAAACGTACGTCGTCATAAATAAAAAAAAAAAAAATCAGTAATTTGTTTCGTTGTTACTCCTTTTAACTTCTTTTTCTTTTATCATCATATGTTTACCCATAGCCTTGTAACATGAAACAAAGAGCTGATGTGACGAATTTTTGAGTTTCAAAAGATACTGGAGCACCACCAGAAATACCATATTTCAAGCGGCCACCAGTAACGTCACGGATCATATTGAAAATAACTGAATCGTAAGCGTCGGTCAAATTATTGGTCTTGCCAAAAACTTGCAACATTCTCCACTTGAGTTCAATAGCAGCTGTAGAAATTTAATCATATAAAAAGGTTACTTCTTCACTCCGCCATATACTATTGCATGATGAACAGCTTACCTTCAAATGTCTTTCTAACAGCCCATGGCTGTTTGGCTAATTTGGCTTCAACACCCTTCTTGATCTTTTCCCAAACAGCAGGAACACCAGCCATGATGGTAGGTTTCAACATTTTAAGATCGCCTTCACCTTTACCCTCCCCGTTGGGGCCGCAAACAAATTCGTTCATCAAGGTACGAATACTGGCGTAACCAATAGGAATACCCAAGCATATCATGATGAATTCGACAAGGAATTCAAGCACATGAGCCAAAGGCAAGAAACCAATATAAGAATGATCATCTTGACCGCTCAAGAATTCAATGATGAGGTATTCTGCAGCACCCATGGCAGCGATAATATTACTATGCGTCAATTCGACACCCTTAGGAGCACCTGTTGAACCGGAAGTGTACATAATCAATGCCAGATCATCAGGCTTAGGCTGCTCTCCAGATTGGATCTCTTCCAACTGATCGTCATTCTTTTCCACGACTTTATTAAAATGAGCAATCTCCACATCCTCGGCTTTACTGTTTTTGAACTTTTTTACTTCCTCAGATGCCTCAAAATCTTGGCCGGCATAAAACACGAACTTGGGTTGGTCTTCCTTTTTTAATTCCTCATAGGCTTTATTCAATGTCGAGAACAAAGATACCTGATTTTTCAGCGTTGATTTTTATATTGTTAGAGAAACCATGATCAAACCTATTGTTAACACTTTAATGCCTGTATTCGTTAAATTTCTTACCTCTGTGAAGATAGCCTTTGCTTCAGTTTCTTTGATGATGTGGTTGACAGCATCAGCGGGCATCGAATCATAGGCAGTGGTGATAACTAAGCCGAGAGTAAAGCAAGCTAAATATGGTAAAATGTATGAAATCATTTTAGCAAAAATCATTCTTTTCTTTTCTAATTTCTTTTTGCCTAAATTGAAAAGACTTTCGTTCTCCCCGACCCCTCATTCTTTACCTAAAGCAGTGATCATCCATTCAGCTCTATATTATAACATTATTGAATCATGATTCGATGAGCTTGATTGCGATTTATTTCTGTTTGAATGCATCAAAGTTACTATACCTTGTCTTACAGAACAAAATGACTATATCACCATGTTTCAGACCATGTTTCTTAAGTGTCATGGCAACTTTCTTGATCTTTTCGTCAGCCTCAGCGTAGTTCATCCATTCATAATCACCGAGCTCGAAATACGACCATTTTTTAGGCTTGGCGCCTTCCTTTGGTTTAGATTCTTTAGTGTGGATCTACGAGCAAAGTATTGTATACTACCTTGTCAATAACGAATATTCTTTATAATATATGGAGAGCAAAGATGGAAAATAAAGAGCAGCCTATGTTTGCTTAAAGCTACTATTATTACTATTATTATTACTACTTACGCTAAGTAATGGGCGAGACCCGAATACAGGCTTATCCTTATTTTGCTCAGCGAGCTTTTTCCATACTCTGTCAATAGTACATTCCTCCTTGTTCATTTTTGGTTCAAGTGGAGTACTGACAAAGCCCTTCTCGGCGTGACAACTGCGAAAGACATGGTTGTCTTTATCAAATTCAAACGTTGGCTTATCAGATTTTGTAAGAAAGAGGTCTTTAACGAAGTTCATTTTCTGATAGAAAAATAGTTGAAAGTGTAAAAAAAAAAAGTGTAATTGAAAAATATTAGCTTTTTTAAATTTATAAAGACACCAGTTAAACTACTTTTGCATCGCGTTATGCTGGCTTTTTTTTTTTTTCATTGTTTTAGAATGATTGCCTCTTTCGGTGTCAAAAAAAAAAAAAAAAAGAGAAACTTTCAACTTTCATGAATGAGGAGAAAACTGTTGCGGAGGGCCCGAGTAAACAATTTAGCCTAAACAGAACAATTGTAATCATAAATCGCAATTAACATACAATACTACACCATTTTTCAATTAGTAACTTCCTTCACGGAGTGTCTGTGCTTCGGGATGCACGCTTATTCAAGATTGGATAAGTTTATATTTGAAATAGATTGTGAAACCTACAATGCTAAATGAGTCGTCAGTTTATTTTAAAGTTGAGCAATGCTGATAATGTGCACGCGACTGTGACTAAAAAAAAGCGGCTTAAGGTGTAGCAAAAGATATTTTGCTAGCTTACATCAAAAAATTACAAAGCGTAAATGTATAAGATAAGAGCATACAGCCTTGAGCGTGTATATGTCTGTAAACTATCCGCGTAAATTATGTTCCATTAGGAAGATGTGCAAAGTCGGTTTCTCAAACGCCAAACCATTTTCTGCCCATGTTGAGTACGGTCTTGACAGAGATGCCTTCTTCGTCATCAATATCGCCAACTGTTGTGCTTTGATGAATAGGTCTTCCACTATCCACAGTTCGAAACTGTTCTCCAGCGGTATAGTTTTGCAGATTACCGATTAGGTTGTCGGAAGTTGTCATAGGTGCGTTGCGTTGGTCAAATAAAGAAGAAGCCAGAATATTATCAGTTGGTGCTGGATTAGGTGGTCTGTCTGCAGCTATATGTATAGTCTCGTCACTTTGAATGGGCATTTGGTTATCTGTATTGGCGTATGTATCCAGCACTTCCGATATTATTGATTCGGTCTCGCTATTGAGAAGAGTAAAAAGCTTAAAACAAGTTTCGGTGAAATGGGACATAAATGCTTTTCATGCCTTTACCTTTTGTCATGACGGTGTAGAGTATAGAGCGTAGTTCGGTCAAATTCTTCGTCTTCCTCCTCGTCTATATTGCCCTTCTGGCCATTCTGATGCTGCTGTCTTTTCTTTGACTGAGTGGGAATTTGCATGATATTCTTTTTGATGAAGGTCAGTTTTTCAGTTAAGTCGTCGAGTTTATCGCTCAGCAACAATTGTGCTGCTTCGATTGATATGAATGATGTACGTTTCGAATTGCCATTGTTAGCTGAGGGATTTACGATAGGTGCCGTTGCTACATCATGAGAGGTAGAAGAAGGACCGGTAACTATGGTATCATCGTCGGTATACGTTAAATCCGGTATCGACCGAAATGTGCTCAAATGATCGTAAGTAGAAGAAAATTGTGCTCCCATATGCGTTTCTTCAACAATTGTTCCTTGAAGGGTACCATGTTGGTCACTCTGTGCGTAAGTATCAGTCGGTACCTACAATCGTATTGAGAAAGAAAAAGAGCCATAAGGATACACCGAACTTTAATTTTAGGCTGTTTATTCATTATCGCTTTTTCGACCCATACCTTGCTTTTCTGTTGCGGAATCAATCTGGCGATTAGGTCGTCTGGTAGGAATTCAGCATCATTATTCTCATTATGATAATATACCGAGGAACCGAGAACATTTTCTTCGTCGATGTCATCGACAGTTACTAATGTATCCGTCTCTGTACTGCTGCTATTATTATACTGATGCTGTTGCTGCTGGTAGTCTGAGTAATAAATGCCTCTTCTATTTTTCTTGTGAAAGCTGTTGCTGTTCGCTAAAACTTTCTTCTTCTTCTTCTTTTTCGTTAGTGGTTGTTGGTGCTGTTGGTAACCAAAAGGATTTCTACTTAAAAATTGCTGGGCTGAAATACCATTGCTCTGTTCACTTAAAATAGAATCAAATTCAGAATCTCGCGGGTTTATCAAATAAGTTTGTATCTCTTCTCCTCTGTATAAAGTTTGGTCGTTATAATAAGGTGGAACGATGAGTAAGTCGTCGTCATCAGAAAGTCGAATGTTTCCTCTTCTGTTCAAACAACAGCAAAATTGAGAAAAAGAAGGTAAGTAATTCCTCCATGTCAATTCAAAGGCATGAGGTTCATTAGTAAGGACAGGCGATTGCTGCACTTGACTATTCTTGAGTCTGTTAGGTAAGCAAGGTATAGTCATTAAACATTTATATTAGCCTTAAAGTTGTAAAAGATTCTAAATCAGTGATGAAAAATGGGAAAGAGAATAAAGAACACTGAATTGGCCGTAAGGTAACTTTCACATGCTGATATAGTTGCTTTCTAAGGTATTAAAGTATTAAACGATGCGGGCCTTGTTCCTCCCCCCCCCCTCCCCACGAACATACGCAGTGATACAAAGTGGGTTACAATTCCCCCAATTTCATATCACGAATACTTTGCCTTGGAGTTGTTAAAGAATATTTCAATTTTTCACTTGCGTAATAGGCTTTCCTAGGAGAAATTGTAATTGAATATTTCATATATTTCATTAAAGGATTGTTACTGCTGCAAATGTCATTGTCAGCATCTTACCTGAGCAATTGGCGGCACCTCCTGTGTACCTTTTTTCATAACCATAATAATCATAGCTCCAACTTTGAATGCAAAGAAGCAACAACCGACAACCAACACTACTTTGTTTAAGGGACAGTTGATAAGTCAATTGAAAGGCCCTCGTCCGAGACTGAAATCGAGCAATACCTTATTCTCAGTTTAGAAGACACAGTTAGCTTGTCTAACCCCAACCTGCCTACATTTCCAACAATAGTACAATTTTGATTTTTATGCGACGAGGAGATGTCCTATCTAACTAGCAAACTTTCACAGTCAAAAGCCCCCTTCTCAGTTACTCTTGACAGGTTTTTGATAGAGTACCTTTACGTTTCCTTTACGATAATCTTATTCTCCGTATGTTATTCGTATTAATGATATGATACCCAGCTTGCAGTTTAGGGGAAAGGGTTTGGCTAGAAGGGAGGATGTGAAAGGCGTCAAAGTCTTTTTATTCCATTTTTCGTAATTTGAAAGCGGCTTGCCATATTCTTCATAACTTGGAGAGTAGCAACTGTTGTCTCGAGCCGTAGCATTATTCTTCTTTATCTCATCGCAAGCTTTAACTTTCCTCCTCTCTGTAGAAGTAGTAAGGATATTATAGATGCGCGTGTACAACAAGTTCATACAACGTTGGTTTTAGAATTAGCACGTAGGTTAAGGGAAATTCCACAAATGCTAGTACTGCCACCAAAATTATATATATAGCAATAACGAAGGGTGAACGAAGCAGTGCCAGTTAATCCCCTTCTTTTGTCTTAAAAAAAACCGTAACAGAATATTACTATGTAGCAACACAGTTTTCTTGCCACTTATCGTTTGTGTAGTCCAAGAGGAAAAATACTGATTGGCTTCATCCATACACTGCTATCTTTATGAACCATCATTAGCCGAACAATCCTTTTCTTCAAAAGATTAAGAGTGAACCTCTCCATATAACTGATACCGTACCATTCTTAAAAAATACTACTTTGTGTTGATTCTGTTACAGGTTCGTATATCAGAATATTGTACCCAATTGCATATTATAGCTTAAGCACCATGAATATTAATGAATATCCCATCAAATCGGCCAAATGAGACATAGTGACCAGTTTCTGCCATGTCAGATTAGTTGAGATGTTAAATAAGTGATCCGTATTCTGTTTTGGCATATTGTTTGATTTATACATGTATATATACAAGGTTTTTCAATAGAAGTTTATTCAAGCTTTTTCATTTCTTTCTTCCTTTTTTCTACACTGTTGGTTATATCGACGTCTCGCTCTCGATCGTGCAGTTTACATAACAGATTGATTACTTGACTGTAGACTCCTTTCTTTAATCGGTTTCCATCTTTGCTTCTGATTTGAGATCTTCTTCAACTCCACGAATATAAAGCACATTGTTACATCTGCGCAAAAAAATAATGAAAGTATAAACCTTGCATTAATTCGATGCCGAGATAAAAAGGGCACAATTAGAAATACGTCTGTCGCCATTACCTGATCAAAACTTCACCTAGTGTACCCACAGACACACCATTTTGGAATTCTTCTGTATTTGCCAACTGATGCAAGAAAGAGAACAGGGTTAAGACTCGAACACAGATACGCGTAATTGTAGAGCATTACTTACTTGAAGGTTCATATAATTATCTACAGAGACAAGGTAGCCATGATATTCACCACCCCACTTCAACTTTACAGCTACTGGTTTGCCGGTAAGATCGTTGAGAAAAGGCTTAGGATTTACGGGAACAAACTAGCAATGAAAGAGAAATAGAGCGCGTTAGTATTCCAAGATCAACGACTGAGATGAAGAAAGGATCGATGACTTTACAGCTGACATTTGCTTTTATAAAATGAATAAGTTTTTGAGGAAATACAAATAGAAAGGTAAAAGGAGTCTCAGCACCAGAATTGTGTGTCTTTACACCCTAATATTTTCAGACGGAGGTTTTCTTTTTTTTTTCCAGCTCCACTTTTTGTCAAATTCATAAGTATTACCGCCCTTTTTTTTGGTTATTCCAATGGGATTCTTCATGGATATGTCTTGTCATTTGGCACTCTTTTATATTTGCATCGAAATAAGAAGCTATTGTCTTGTCTGTCATCAACCTTCATATTTTTGAATAGGCAATAAACTGCAAAATTCAACAAGAATGGAAAGGAAGGAATCATCGGTTTATTACAGTGAATGAATTTTTAATCCGATCGTATTCTGAAAGCTTCTTAACATAGTACTACTACAAGTCTCAGTGTCCCGTGGCATCGAGCTCTATATAACATAGGTATTCACTCAGATGTACGATTCCGAATGTTTCTTTCAGCAGCGGTAGATAAAGACTGTATAGAATTCTTTTGTAGCTATCGTTTTCCTAGAGCAGGCCTGATTCGTAAGATGTTTAGTTTGAAAAGCTTTTGTACCATACTTGATTTATCGTGTCGTAGTATAATCGATAAGATCAAATGAAACGTACGAAGCTTTTTTTTTACCTTCCTTAATGTTCATTAGATGTATAGGTTAACCTGCCAATTGTCTGATTATTGCAAAATAAAAACAACGTTTGCCTGACAACGTTCCAGTCCTTCTACATTATTAAAAATTTATAAGCATAAGTGTCGACTAAAAGCAAGGCTGTAGAGTTTTGAAATCAGCTTGGAATAGACAAAGAAGATGCCGGTGACTTGAACAACAACAATCCTTTCGTAAAAGAACATTTGATATTGCTTTTTCCAGCTTGGAATAGACAAAGAAGATGCCGGTGACTTAAACAACAACAATCTTTTCGTAAAAGAACATTTGATATTGCTTTTTCCAGCATGTAATGGTAAAAGGGCAATTTTTAGGTCATAAGGGTATCATGTATGATAATACTAGGTCAACTTGTTGAATATGATTTCTTTTCACTCAGATACTTTATATTATAGAATAATCTGAAGACTTGGGGAAACTTCAAAGCGAGTCATTTGTTCCCTTTTGTTTGTGTTTGACCTTGTCAAGAGATACATAGTGTTGATTAATATGCTACGAAATACGCCACCATTTATTGTGGCCTATCAAAGGACGGGTCAGCATGTATGCAAGCGTATAGTAAGCTCCTTTGATCTATCGGATGGGTAATGTATCACTGATCAGCGAGCAGAACAGTAACAATAGGAAAGAATGATCAATACATAAAAAGAAAAAAAGGTAATTTTGGACCTCCTTTTTTGACCTCGAAAATCAGCATTAATCAAGCAAACAATGGTAGAATAGCATAAGGTTTTGATAGAAACGGCATAAATAAGAAATATTTGTGAGTGTGCTTGTGAGTATGTGTAAGTGTGTGTGTGTGTGTGTGTGTGTGTACGTGTACAACTTGAAAACGAGAAATGAACGTAATCCAAATGACTTTTGGGCTCTTCTGTTTAACGTGATATGAGAAACATGCATTTTTCAGACATTCAGATCAAGGAAAAAAAAAATGTTTTCTGTTTTGCACACATTGCTTGAGTGATCTTACAATTGCAGAAAGAGAATGCATTTATCAAGTTTTAGTCTTTTCTTTTGTCATCCACTTTACAATTCTCGCCCCTTACTATTTCCCTTTTCTTCTTTTTTTCCTTATTTTTTTCATCTGAATCCCTGTACCTTCTTTATTTATCCTTTTTTACTAACTTGATAACTCTTCAAGTACTGACTCTGATAATGATGATAGATGACAGTTATGGACCGCCCAATGTTATTGTTACGTTAGACAATTGTAAAGTACCAACGAAGCGAAGGTTATCACAAGCCGAATCATCTTCAAACAAAATACCGAGAAGACGAAAGCGTTTCAACAGTGTCGGATCAACCAGTATCCCGAGAGGATACGATGAAAATGAAATGTTGGAACAAAAAGATGACACATATCATTCTCTTTCGACAACGACCACAAAGCAAGACGGCTCGACATCGCAAACAAGCCGGTGGCCCTGCCATACATGTGTACTCTTTAACGAGTCGCCGTATTTTGCCGCACTATTCGGCGAGAATTTCAGCGAATCCAAAGATTTTATTGTCTACTTACCATCGACGTTCATAAAACGTTCAGCGTTAGACAGTATTCTGAAATACATGTATACACTGACTATCCAGAAACCCAAAAGTTTGAAAGAGCTGTGTGATATGTATTCTGCTGCCGACTATCTAGGAATGGATAAATTATGTACCACCTTAACGGAATTACTGAATGAGGCGGTTCATCACTGTGTGTGTTATTGTACTGCTTCATGCATCGAATCAGTACCTGAATTGTTTCTTTTCAGTCGCACTCGTGCTGTGCAACTCCAAGACGAGAAAATGGCCAAGATGACGCAGAAAGTAATTTCTGTCCTCGCCAATGACCCTGAAAAGACGTTGTCTACGTATTGGTCGAGTCGTCACATGGCTTCCCTTTTGACACGACTGCCAGCAGACGTGAGTCAGGCGTTATCACAGAAAGTGCTTTATCGTGTGAATAAATCCAATGCAATTGAATCCCTTTATGCGTGCTTCACAGCGTCCAACTCGCTCTCCGTGACAGATCCCCTTCTTTCTTGGAGCAAACCGCTGCATGCAACACTCACGTCTGTCCAGTCTCGTGCAACAAGAATAATTGCCCGCCATTTTGACTTTTACTGCTGTCAATATCCCGCTCTTTTATCATGCATTGATGGGATCACCTATTCCATCGAGTTTTTGGAATATCTATTGTTGCATATATTGGAAGATCAAATGGATTGCAGCAATGTAGGCAAATTATATCAGGGCATCGTCTGCGACCTAATGACCCGACATGCTGTTCAATACAATGAGCAAGTCAAGCATATCTTGAACGTTGCCAAAGTGATGATTACACATTATATTACAAGACGCATCAGTGATATACGCAGAGAAAAAGGGTTAGATGAATTGGAGAAGCCTGTTTTGAAGCAATTAGCTGATGGTAAGGTGATAAATTTAGGGGAAAAAAAAAAAAAAAAAAAAAGAGGGAGACGAGCGGTACTGTATCTTGGGGGAGGTGGGGGGGGAGCCTACACAGACACATACATAGACATACTAAGCCGCGTTGTATTGTTGGTTTTCCTATTATCTTAGAACTGGGTGTGCGACCCAAATCACTTATTAGCTCAAGCCATCCTTTATTTCATCGTGGATTATTTTCATTCTTCTTGCCTGCCATTCCAACATTACAACCCTCGTCCTCCTCCGCTTACACTCGCAGAAGTCTGTCCCGACACTCATCCCTCTCAACTACAACCCATACCACCCTACGATGTGCAAGTTTACCTGTGAGATCTACACCGGACAGTCGGTATAGCACCCTTACTTCGACAAGGACCAGCAGCAGTTCTTTCACAGGTCAATTGACGAAATGGTTCAGGAAACTTAGCCATAGAAACCATACATCTACAAATCGATTATCTAATCGAACATTATCCACCTCCACAGCTCAGACAAGCATGTCTGCTCATTCTTCTTCATGGTCACACATCAACCTCACCACTACCTCTACGTCAAAAATAAAGAGAGAAAAACCAGTCATTTCCTTCTCGACGATAAAACGAAAAAAGCCCTCCGAAAATAGCGCCCAGCAACAAGTGAGTGCGCCTCTTGTTGGAATGCATAGAAGAGTTCAACTGAACCGCCGACCTACATTGACGGTGGGTACAGTTGCATTTGTCGGACATGTCAATTTTGCAGAAGGTATATGGATCGGTGTGGAGCTTGATAGGAGAGGTAAACCAGAGCAAACGAGATGAGTAAGAGGCAACGGTTCATCATTTAGGCTGACTGTAGTTGGGTTTATCTATCTATTTATATGAATTGCAATAGTTGGGAAAAATGACGGTTCTGTAGATGGTTATCGCTATTTTGCAACATCTCCTAATCGAGGAGTCTTTGTTCGACCTGAAGATGTATCACCCGTCCTTTAAAGCACTATACAATACCATGCAGTTTATACCACTATCCTTACGAGTACGCCTTTTTTTTTTTTTTTTACTTTTTGGTCATGCTTCTTTTATGTGCCGTTCTACTATGTATGCCGCGTTTATATACCTCATCTTCCCTTTCCTTCTTGCCAGGCTGAAGATGGTTGAGTTAAGTAATACTAATATATGAACATAACTTTGTCTGTAACCTTTATCTGCAAAAATGAAACAACTCGATCAACAGAAGCAATATGATTTTGGCGCTTTTTCTGCTGCCCAATATGCACTTTTTCTTTTTTCAGAAAGATCTACACTAGAGGAAAAGCTTTTATCCGGACTTCATTTCTTAACTAGAAAAAATCTTTTCGAAAATGTGTGTTTAGTCGTTTCCAAATAGAATGCTTGGAGGAACAATTGTCCTTTATGCGTCTACGTTATATATCTGCTTTCGCTTGTTTTTTCCCGGGGGGGGAGGGGGTTTACAGCGTTTTCTGATCCAACAAAGAAGCCAACCTGTCATTGAAAAAGGTTCTGTTTATTGTCGACTGGCAAATAACGACTTCCGTGATGGCTTTGGAAAGAAAAAATAAGAAGAAACCAAACAAACAACGCTTAAGGCTGCTAAGTGTAGTGGGATCAAAATATCCGCGAAATAACGACTCTCAACGGCTATGTAAAATGATAGGGTTGTTGCTTAGTTGGTACAAGTTCTTGGCAACAGATAATTTGAAAGTCCTTTTTCCTGAGGTTGATTTGCTGTCCCCTTTAAGTTGAATGGGAAAATGGTACCATTGTCCTTGGAAGACCTGAGACCTTTCGAATAAAGTGTGTACACGCCATCCTATTGGTGGGGGGATAGCATGTGCAGTGAAGCCTACTAAATAGAAAATTTTTAGAAAAAGCGCGTTTAAAAAAGAAAAATACACTTTTATCTCAGCCATATTTTAGGCTGGTTTACTTGGTCAAATGTCATTGAGTTTGAGAAGAAATACACGCGACCGAGGAGTGGTTGGCAACAGCGTTGACTGACAACAAATGAGAATGATTAATTTGGATATGTATTTGACGATAATTAAAATGTTTACACCAAAGTATATATTTGTACATTGAAAAAGTGCTCGCTCATATTCCAAAAAGCCTTAAAAAGGAAAAAAGATATATATTTGATAACCCGTGCCTAACGTGGATTTTTTTTATGGCTGATTTCTTTTTTTATATACTTTACACAGCAAGCTTATCTATCTATTGTTTAATCCCAAAATTGCTGTCTCAACGGGTTATTGACGCTCATTACCCTTTTTAAAAAAGTACTGACTCCTATTACCGCATTCGTTCGGATCAAGAAAGAAAATTGTGACAACGTTTTTATGGGTGATTGAATCATCACAGAAAAACATCACTGCTGTTGCAGTCCGATAAGGCTTGATTTTGTTTTGAGATGCTTTTTTGCAACTAATTGGAGGGTATACCACAGCTTTTTATTGGTTACACTTAGACAAAAGGCGGGATCTGAATTATGAATAAATGATGAAGGTCTTTGGGCTGAGGCCAAAGAAAAAAAATGAGGGAGGATGGAAAAAAAAAAAATCAAAAATGGGTAGGGGGGGGGGAAGAGGAAACCCAAAAGCGGCATTTAGTATTTTATTTCCTTTTTTCTAAACTTCTTTTTCGACCTTTGAACAATAAACGCCATTTCCTCTCTCTTTTTAATAAATTCTCACCTTTTCTTTTTTCTTTTAACCTTTTTGTCTTCCTCAAATTTCATTTGCTTTGATTGTCGAGAAAAGAAACGGTAAATTGATGAAGAAAACCGATTGATTTCAAACTAAATGTGTGTATTTTGAATATTAACAAAACGATGGCTACCCCTTCTTCCCAATCTAGCAACAACGCATTATGTTTGAAGCGATACCTATAAAATATCTTTCGCTACTGATTTTAGTAGTGCAAAACAGTGCTCTTATTCTTATGATGCGCTATACTCGAGCCAATGTTCAGCAAGATAAATTGTATCTGGCTTCCACCGCCGTGGTGATGAGTGAAGTGATTAAAACAGTAACATGTCTTTTTGTGCTTTACTTCAGTCCAGCAGCTCCAAAACGTTCATTGAGAAGACTCTGCAAATTACTGAACCGCGAACTGATTTTAAAATGGAGAGAAACCGCCAAACTAGCATTTCCTGCCGTATTGTATCTTATTCAGGTAAACAATGATCAACGATTTTAGATCAGATTTTGTAACTTTTTTTTTATTTTTTTTTTTTATTTTTTTTTTTCTCTTCACATGAGATGTATTCAACTAATAATGTATCTCTTTTTGATATAAATAGAATAATCTTCAATACGTGGCAGCTTCCAACCTTGATGCAGCTACATTCCAAGTGACTTATCAACTCAAAATCCTGACAACCGCCTTTTTCAGCGTGGTCATTTTAAAGAAAAATCTCACGAAATTGAAATGGGCAGCTTTAGCCCTTTTGACTGTTGGTATTGCTCTTGTTGTATTACCCGAGAGTGCATCAGCTGCCTTCATTGCTTACATCGTTGGAAGCAGTACCTCTACAGATGCTTCAGCAGAAGAAACCAGAAAAGCAGTTGAAGCAGTAACCACTGGTAATCAGTCGAATTTAGAAGGTTTCATTGCCGTCTTAGCAGCTTGTCTGTTGTCCGGTTTAGCGGGCGTTTACTTTGAAAAGATCCTCAAGGCACCTGCTTCCACTCCTTCTCATAAACCTGTTCCTACGGAAGATTGGTCGTCTGACGATGAAGAAGAAGTCAAAAGAGCCATGATTACAGAAAAAGAAGATATTGACGATGAAGACGAGGATGCATCTAATAACAATGGTGCAGGCAGTAACAACAACAACAACAACAACAACAGTAATAACAACGCTATCTGGATCCGTAACATCCAAATGTCTATTTTCTCCGTCTTGTTGGGCTTAGTCTTTGTTGTGATGTTACAAGATGGAGTGACTATTGCCGAAAAGGGCTTTTTTGTTAATTACACTTGTTTGACCTGGGTAGTCATCTTTATCCAAGCTTTGGGTGGTTTGATTGTCGCTCTTGTCGTGAAATACGCTGATAACATCTTGAAGGGATTCGCCACCAGTATCAGTATCATCTTGTCTTCAGTCATCAGTGTGTGGATTTTCAACTTTACTTTTTCAGGCGCCTTCCTGCTGGGTGCGGCTTTAGTGATATACGCAACCTATTTATATGGTTTGTAATACCCTTGTACACAAAGAAGCAGAAAACAAAAAACGAATCTAAACCTAGTTGGCACACATACACATATATATACATATATATGTATATATACACACACACACACACACACACACACACACACACACACACACGTAAACACGTACGCACACGCACAAAACATTTGCTATATTTAAAACACCTCAAGCCTTCCTTCTGTACAGTAACTTTAAACAATACCCAGTTCTTTTATTATTTATATTGATCCTTATTACTGCTCTTACTACTACTACTACTACTTCTACTACTACTATCATCATCGTTATTACTGCAACTAGTGCACTTTGCTTCAAATATTCACGTTCTTTAATTTATATTCTCCTTTCCTTACCCTTGTTATTTGAAAGAAAATACCACCGTACCATATCCATCATTAAACAAGAAGGAAATCATTTGATTTCTACACTTACATTTAGTGATGGTAAAAGTAATTCCGCTTACTTTACTTTACTTTCCTGGGAAAAGGGCAAAAGCGGTATGCATCCAATAAGTTGATTTTTTCAACAGCACGTTAACAGCATCGCTCCTATACAGTTTTTGGAAAATGGCTGTGCTTATTAACCAACAAGCTCCTACATGCTCATTTAACTTGTTTATCACCCATAATAATATCTTGCTCCAGGACATGTTCAAGCAATGATATACTGCACTGTCTTCAAAAAAGGCAGAGTAGCTTTTCAGTTGAATGGAAAAAGTCTGGAAATAGACTGGGTAGCCATTTCCCTATTTGACTTCCCATACTTATATGCTTTTTTATGCGATTTGAAACACAGGTCTAAACTCGAACAAAAAACGCGCGAGCCGCCATCCGAGAATCGGGGATCAAAAAGGAAAAGAGAAAAAAAAAAGGAACCACAGTCCCCTCTTGCCTTTTTTATTTATCTAAAAATTTATATGATTTTAGGCAAAATACAAGCAATGATAAACGCAATTCTGTGTTTTGCTATTCTCAATGAAAAGAAAAACTAAAATTCAAGATGCGTTCAAAAAAAAAAAAAGAAAAAAAAAATTAAATGCTTTCTTTGTTGGAAAAAAAACATGTGCGTGCAATTTATTAATTTCATTTGACAGGAAAAGCCGTTTATATTAGTGGGCTTGGCCCTTTCCCTTTTTCCCATTTCAAATTCAAGTACAATGAGAAAGTTAAAAACATTTCAAACCCAGTTAAATATAACAAAAGAAGTACTGAATTTAGCACGGTCCTTGTGTAGCGCCGCGAATGTCCAATGCTTTTTTTAACTTTCTGGTGTAAACAATAATGGAAACGATTAGTTTAGTTTTTTAATTTTTTTTTTAATTTTCTCTTTCCGCTTTTTATTCCATCTTCTTTCTATATTTTACCGTTCACTTATTAAGAGCAGGCTTTTCTTCTAAGTGGTGGTGAACCTTACTATTACAGATTCATCCTTTATTTAGCTTCTAGTGTCTAACAATGAAGCTGTCAAAAGTCCGTAACGTAACGTTGCATGTGTTACTATTTATTCAAATCTATTCTTGCCAGGTCGCACATGCTCGACCAAATGGCACTATGGATCGTAGCAGTAACTTGATTGAAAGCAAAACGGATAAAGATCAAATACCAACACTGAGCCCAAGTATGACAGACTTTGAACCTACTGTAAGTTTTGAACCTAGTTTTTAATGTTGGGTGAGAGAAGGGAAAGAAATGTAAGTTGACAGGAGCACTAAATCAATGAAACATATTTCTATAATGTCTAAAGGTATCAGTAGATAAGACCATGTCAGTAGAAATGAATGCCAAGTCATCACCGCTCGCACCTCTTTCCTCTTTGACAGAGGAAGTATCGGAAGCACCACCATCATCACCTTCTCCTCCTTCCTCGTCTGAGGAACGACCTTCAAAGTCGGCAGATGATGTTGAAGAAGCCTCAGCAAACACCAGCTCGAAAGTATCTGTAAAATCCGCAACTAAAGATGATTCGAGTATCAGTACAAAAGACGATAGTTCAACTGAAGTGCATCCATCATCCGTCCCGATCGAAGAGAAGCCAACTAAAGATCAGGAATTGCCAACAAGCACCTCTTCTGGTTCTGAATCCGCTGCATCACCTGCTCCAACGAAGCCGAAGGACGGTAGTCATGCTGCTTCTGTCACAACTGACGATGACACCACGAACACTCCAGTTTCTTCACGTTCCAAATCCTCAAAGAGAACAGAAGCCATCCCAGATCCAGAGCCAACACCGGCAACATCTGCACCTCCAATGCCAACAGAGACACCTTCTATGACACCAACTATAGATGAGCAAACGCCTACTGCTATTAGCTCCTCAGAGAGCTCTGAAAAAGTTCCGACAGAGACGACTACGGCTGAAAGCTCTTCCTCTGAAACGAATACGGTTGTTCCAACAAGCAGTATCATTTCTCCTACCTCATCCATTAGTGAAAGCTCAGTCACACCTACGGAAACATCGACGACCTCGAGGGAAGAAACAAGCAGTAGTACTCGTGAAAGTGCGACCAGCCAAACTGAAACACCTACTAGTTCAGGAACGCCATCTGATATTCCATCTACCACCTCAGTTTCGCCTTCCACTTTACCTCCTACTTCGTCTTCCACGTTACCTCCTCCTTCATCTTCAATGTTACCTTCTTCGTCTTCAATGTTGCCTTCTTCATCTTCATTGTTACCTTCCTCGTCTTCAATGTTGCCTTCCTCGTCATCAATGTTGCCTTCTTCGTCTTTATTGTTGCCTTCTTCATCTTCATTGTTGCCTTCTTCGTCTTCAATGTTGCCTTCTTCGTCTTCAATGTTGCCTTCCTCGTCTTCAATGTTGCCTTCCTCGTCTGTCACGTTGATTTCTTCTTCGTCTGCCGCGTTGCCTACTTCTTCCTCTTCGCGCTTCTCCTACACCTCTTCTGCCTCTGCTTCTTCTTCTTCAACATCAGCAACAGCTTCACCCACTCCTTCTCATCCTGTAGATCCATCGCCCAAGAAGAACAATGCTGGTACCATCGCTGGTGCCGTCGTAGGCGGTGTAGTAGGATTAGCGCTTATTGGTGCGGCACTCGCCTTTTTGTACCGTAGACATAAAAGGCATAATAAGCCTATCAAAAATGAAATGGCAACAGCACCTACACCATCAGCATCTGTAAAACCCATGAATAATGACTATATGATAGATGCCGATGCTACCGACAACGATTTCCTGACTCGCCATCAACAACAAACGGGTTATCCTTCTGTAGCTGCTGCAGGTGCCGGTGCTGCTTTGGGCGCTGCTGGTTCAGCCACCAACGACGATGCATTAGCATCGCCTTACTATGCCCCTGCCACCTATCCTACTGAACATGGCGTTGCCTATGCCACCGATAATAACTATTATGCGCCTGCGGACGGCAATGGTTATTATGATGGTCAACAACCGCATCAGTATGTCAATGACGACTATTACAACAACAATTATTATGCTAACGAAGGCTACCCTAATGATACAAATTATAACGATCATTCGCTTTATCCTATGCCTGTGCCAGGCAATGAGAACAATTACAGTGACAGTCATCGGTATGAAACTGCCCCCTCTCCTCATGAACGTTATTATGGTTATCCTCAGCAACAACAACAACAGCAACATTTCATGAGTAGTAATCAATCGGAAGCTGGATACCTGTCTCATGCGTCAGGATCAGCCATGACGGATAATCTTGGTAACAAGCCCAATGTTAAAGATGACGACAATGGAGCTTTTACTACAAAGCCTAACGCACTCTAAACTACAATGAAGGCATGCATATATACACTCATATATAGGTTATATGCGGTGTGTATATCTCTTTAGACTTTTTTTTTTTATTACTTTTTAAATTAATCTTTTATTATTTTTTGTACTTTTGCCCTTAAATTGCCCATTTTTGTAATAATCAAAACACATACAGTCCTATATGCATGAATATATTTATACATGTATTTAACAATCTTTAATAAATAATTGGTTGAGCCTATTCTAATTCTTTTTTCTTTTGTACAGTAACTGACTGCTGTCAGTTGTTTTTGTCTTTTTTTATTTTTACGTCATGGTGGTCAGTTGCATTGATCGGCTAATGAAAAAAAAGCTTAATTCTTCTATCTTTTGTGGAGGCAGAAAAAGAAGCCCCCCTTCCTTTCAACTAAAACGTAGAATAACAAGTCGTAGAGAACACTATTAAAACATGTCGAATAAAGAGGTACAACGTTTTATGTCAATCGAGCAGCCAAACTCTTTTCAGAAATAGAGGGACTCACTTTCGTAATTTGTATGACCTGCTAGGAATCTCCTTGTCTAAAGTTTGGTAAGTGAAGATGCAGTGCATTTCAAACCACAAGAAAATCATAAAAAGTCGGACAGACAGCATTACTTATACATAATAGCTTGTGCTATTCAGGATTGTTTACAAAAGAATGATTTTCAAGAATCCAAGTGCAAAAGTCAGTTAGCAGCTCTAGATAATTGCTGCAAATCGCTGTTAGCACAAGGCGGCAAAAGTGTTTGCTGTCCGGAAAGGAAATATAAGAACATGCAAAACGATAAAGACAGTCAACAGTCATGATAATAAGCACCTATACTTTCTCGATATCTACGCTTATTTGGGAAGTTTTTTTTTTTTGTTTTTTTTTTGTAACAGCGTGTCCTAATGACGTAAAATAGCAAATAATAACGATAATTTCTCTTTTTTTTTTTTTTTTTTTTTTTTTTTTTTTTTTGCCTTTCAAATAAAAAACGTTTTTTATTTTTTTAATTCTAAATCGTTTATTTCATTTTGAAACAGTTTTTATCAAACCAAATGCATTTTATTCTCTTTCACTTCTAATTTTTCATTTTGTATCTTTACACATCACTATTCAAGCTCATCAACTGACATTTTCGATCTCTGCCATGTCCGAAGATTCACCCACATTGCCACTGCCCACAGAGAAAGGCGTGAATGGTCCTTTTCCTGTCGAGCTTTTATTATCCGTATTTACTTATTTAGACGGTATTACTCTGTCCACTTGCAGTGAAGTATGTCGGCAATGGTATCAACTTATTCATCATTATGACGACCTAATATGGCCACATGCATGCCGTCGAGACTTTGAAGGAGTTACCATTCGACGTTTTTGGTCTTTGCAATTCCCTGATCCAGCAACGTCAACCATGTTAGCAAACAAAAGAACTTGGCAAGACATGTACCGAATTAGTAGAAACTGGTATACAGGTCATTGTAAAGCATATTATCCACGAATAAATACCGCCAGAAGCAACAAGAACAGCAGCTGCAATAGCAGCTCTTTAACTCCTTGTACCGTTATTGGATCACCTCAAGAACAAGGGATGTTTACTACTTTAACTCTATCTTTAAATGGTAAAATAATCCGTTCAAATCCAAATTACCACCATCATCACTCAAATCGACACCACCAACGACCACATCCAAATTTAATGATTCAGTCTCCATATACGCACGAGAAAAGCTTTCTACAACCTATGACCAACAATCTAGAGGAGCAACAGCACCCATTTCATTCTATTGTTTGTCATTATACCTGTCCGACCTCCAACTTACTAGTCACAGGCGAGTTGAATGGTACTGTCGCCGTTTGGGATCTGTTTACCAAGAAACTGATCAGACGATGGACAAATGGACACCGCGGCAGAGTATTATGTGTCAGCATCAATCAACAAGTGGTGGTGAGTGGAGGATCCGATAATCAGATAAGAGTGTGGGATTTGAAAGACAAGCACCATCGCACCACCTCTACTTCTGACGATGACCAAGAATGGCTTTCTGCCTTGCCTTCTTTCAGAACAAAAAGACGTGGCATGATAGATATCACAACCTATTTGTCTGAAAGACATGACTGGTATCAAGGTGTCGGTGAAATTGCTATCAATGGGAACTTGGTTGCTTGTGCTCCGGATGCCTCGGGTCCTATCTTGGTCTTTTCGCTGTTAACCGGTTCTTTAGTCTATGAACTGAGACCGCCAAAACTATCCTCTTCGCATTTCATGAATACATCAGCACACGACGATCACGAAGCCATAGAAAGCACAGCATTTATACGTCTTTGTCTGACGCCTTTCTTCTTGTTGACAAAAGGAAAAGTGGCAGTGCATCGCTCCGATAGCGATCGATTAGTACCTTCAAAAGACAATGTTGTGGAGCAACGTAAACAGTATACACAAATGAATAGGAAAACAACAGTAGGCTATATAGCGAGCACAAGTACATTATTGAGTAATGAACGACCACCACCATTAGCACAAATGACTCCTTATCAATTATACCAATATTATCAGTCAAAAAACAACGATACCAGTGGTAACAGCAGTCATTTTTCTACGTCGTTCAACGACAGCGATGCCAATATACCAGTACCTCAAGTATGCGCTTGTATTAATGTATGGGACCTACGCACCGGCAAAATCATTTATCGACTTGTGCCTAAATTGGCTGAAGGAGAAATTTATCAAAACTACACCATTACGGATATACGTGTCTCGCCAGATTGTTCAAAGGTGTTTGCATCCATTGAAATTAGAGGCAGACATCATCATGAAGAGAAGCTCTATTGCTGGGATTTTGCGCTTCGTCATTTAGAAGATGAAAACCAAAAAGACTTGGAAGTGACTTATTTGGACACTACGGAAAAAGAGTTGGAGACGACTGGTAAATCATGGATTTGCTTTATGTAAAATTAGCCGTGTACAGTATCCATGCGATGCTCGAATAGGTCATCCTTTTCTCATATTATACCCTCAACAAACATTCATTTCTTGTTGTTCCTGTACATAATAAACTTCTTATCTTTTATTTTATAAACTGAAAATGATTAAAAATGATAGTATGCATTATAAATTGAAAATTGGCAGAAATAAACCGTTGATTGCTGTTTGATGGTCGTAGTCTCAATTCAATCATGGCATAAACCATTCCTCTAACCCGACAGATCCGCAAAAAAAAAAGACTCGCCTACGAAAAAAGCTGTCAAAAATGACCCGAATAATGCATTGTGCTTAATTTTTAAAAGATATTGTTCATCATGGATTCCGATGATGAAGAATTCAACCCTCTCAACGATTTCAAATATACCAAGGATGCAAAAGTAGGTGAAGGTACTTACGCTGTTGTCTACAGAGGTAAAAATAGAAACTGTGTTTTCCAGCTCGACTTATACTTTCTCCTTCAAGTCATGGTGATGATTGACATGCTTTTGTTTAAAAGGGACATGCGTACAAAGCGGCCGAAGAGTTGCTATCAAAAAGATTAAAATGGGTCAATTTAAGGATGGACTCGATTTAACAGCTATCAGAGAAGTCAAGTATCTGCAGGAGTTACGACATCCTAACATCATAGAAGTAATCAAACAGAGATCTTTTCGTCGATAAAAGCAGTACAACAGTAACTGAACCATACTGATCTCTTTATTGGTGTACTTAGTTGATCGATGTGTTTTCTCAAAAGACGAATCTGAATCTCGTACTAGAATATTTGGACACTGACTTGGAACAAGTCATTAAAGACAAAAGCCTTTTGTTTATGCCAGCAGATATCAAATCGTGGATGATGATGATGCTCAGAGGATTAGACCATTGCCACCGTCATTTCATCCTACACAGAGTAAGGTTTTATGGTGTTTATAGAACAAAAATTGACGCTAGAGAGGAAATAAGAAATTGATACCAAACGATATACTGCAATCTGTTAGGATATGAAACCGAATAACTTGCTGATAACAAAAGAAGGACAATTGAAAATTGCAGATTTTGGTCTGGCTCGAGACTGGGGAGATCCCAACAGACAAATGACTTCAGAAGTAGTAACAAGGTAAAGTATCTAAAATAGTTATGATGGGGTTCTCGACGCGTAGATGGAGAGCTCTCTCCATCAACTATACATCTATACTCACCATCCTATGTTAGATGGTACCGTTCCCCAGAATTGTTATTAGGCGCGAAAGAATACTCATATGCCGTGGATATTTGGGCAGTTGGATGCATTTTTGCAGAACTTATGTTAAGAACACCGTACGTTGCCGGTGAATCAGATATGGATCAACTTACGAAAATATTCCATGCCTTAGGCACACCTACTGAACATGAGTGGCCAGGCCTATCGACTTTGCCCGGTTACGTTCCTTTCAAACACTTCCCTAAAGTACCTCTGCGACAATATTTCACAGCTGCAGGCGCTGACGCTTTAAGTCTACTCGAGCAGATGTTGGTATTCGATCCAAATAAGCGCTGGACAGCAGAGGAGTGCTTGGGCCATTCTTATTTTAGAAATGCGCCGTTGCCTACGACGCCAGAAAAGTTGCCCAAACCAAAAATTGTCATGGAAACGGAGACTCCACCCAATGATATCAGCAACCCTAATACATTGAAACGGAAATTACCTCCTTCTACATCAACAGTTAGTAGCAATAGTAATCGAACTGAGGACGTTCCCAATAAGAAACAAGCTACTTGATACCATTTTCAAACCGATCAATAAAACTAAAGGCTAATGAATCATAAGTATATTCTGGTTTTGTCAATTATCGAGCCAATGAGAGACTTTATCGATTTCAAGCGAGGGGAAGCCAAAAGTGGGTGTGTTACATGGTTTTAGTGTATGAAATTTATTTACAGAAAGAAATTTACAATTGAAGGCATCTACTAGAACATGAGAATAGTTTATTTGGCATCACTTATGTTATTATTACTGCTCTCAGCATTGCTGTTATTAGTCAACCATTTTGGTGTGAAACTCATCACTTTCCAGCTAGAATGATCTTTTGTTGGTATAGGTGATTCAAAACTTTTATAATCAGTTTCGAATGTACTAGGTATATCTTTTCTTTTCGGTCCAGTTGAAGATGGGGAAGACTGTGGTAGCAAGGATGCTGAAAGAGCGGATAAGGAAGACGTCCTTGAGGGTGTGCTGGTATTGGCTGCTGCAATAGTTGAAGACGAGAAAAAAGATGTTAAAGAGCGACGTTTGTTGGTATCCTTTCGTTGTTGACTGTGTGTTGATCGTGAAAAGCTGGTATGATAAATAGACTCTATAGTTGTGGTCATAGCAGACTTCGGGGATGACTTTTCCGGAATGAAGCGCATATTGTTATTGTTCCTTGTGTTGGTAACGATAGAAGTCGTATCTGAGGTAACACTTCTGGTCATACTTTCTGAATTTTGATTATTTATGGCGATGCCGGTGGCGTTGGACGTGGTTAGCGTGTACTCGGGAACTTGTGATGGACAGTGTTGAGGTATTTGAGAATAAGCAGTTGGTCCCTGTGGTAACAGTTGGGGTGAATGAACAGAATGGCTGACTCTTGTAAAATCACTTCTATTACTGCTGCAGCAACTAATGTCATCGTCGTGAACTAGACTTGATTTAGAGAACATATTAGTGAACCAGGACAATGGTCTAGCTGTCTTTGTGGAGGATGTGGAGGACACTGTCACAGTTGAGGCTGATTTGGATAAAGAAGGCATATTCAATGTCTCTCGTCGTTTAAGCTGTCTCTTCTTGATAATCTCTTCCTGAACTCTTAACTCATCTTCTTCAACCTTCTGAACATAAACAACTTGTAAATCGTTCATTGTCGTTTTCAAAACACCTAGCTCGCGCAGCATATCTTTTACTAAAGTCAGAAATGAAAAGAAGGCCGCCATATGCTCTTCCTGACTATCAAATTGTTGCGGCTCTATCTGTTGTTGCTTATTGACATTATTATGGCAGTCGTCTGAATTGCTGTCAGCAGTTGTGAAAGCAGTTAACTCGCTGCTGACAACGGATGGCTTGAGCCATAAAAATCGACTTTCTAGCGTGTCAATATCCACTAAGAGATTTTCAATAATGGAATTACTCATGCTACTTAGTTCTTTAATATCAAATGCACGTTTCAGTCTTCTGTTTAAAACTCGGATATCAGACCCTCTTAGCCTATCCAGGAGCTGTGAAACATGTTCGTGTAGCTTTGTGTAAGGCGATTTTGCTAAAGAAGGCGTACAAAGTGCAGTTACTTCTTCAGGTGTTGTATTTCCTTTACTTCCAAACGACATTGTAGGTGCTGAAACCATTCTATATCCTTCTCTTTGATTAGCTTCCTGTTGTTGCTGTTGCTGCTGTTGTATAGTATAGTCTGGTGGTTGCTCTTCATCTTCTTTATTATTGACATAATAATGATAATGGTGGTGATGTACAATGGCATTTTGGCCATCCTTACTAGTAGTAACAAGTGGTGATGTTGAGAGAGAAGGCTTTAATACTGTAGTTGTTGGCATAGATGCTGAAGAAGTTGGCCTTCGTATCGGCTGATCTGGCGTCCTCATAAATGTTTCATTGTTTGACTGTTTTCGATGCGTTGGATTGCCTTTACTAACTGAAGTGGCGCGTTTCACTTCACTATTACTATCATCACTATTCTTGTTTTCATTACCTCTAAAGGCAAAGAGATCACTAATTGTCTCACTTTCTGTTTTTCTGCTGCTCTTATTACTGCTGTTATTGATCAAAGTATTTGGTACTGTATCAGTCGTAGGGCGTATATTCGACGAAGAAGTAGAAGATGAGGGAGATAGAATCAAATCTTCTTGCAACCGTTTCTCTAACGTAAGTGCAACAATTTCTTCTTGCGCTTCAGATAACTGTTCTTTGCAATTCATGAGATCTGTTTTGAGCTTGCTGTTAACGGCTGAAAGCTCTTTAATAAGATGAATGAAATCATTTGTATTACTGTTATTATTGCTTGTTTGATTTGTCGACGGCAGATACTATCAACATTACAATTTGAAAGTCAATAAGAGACGCTCTCAATGAGTTTGACATTTATAGCATTCCTCAATTGTAAAAGTACCTTAACTTCATCATTGCCATTCATATTAACGTTTCCATCGCTCTTGCCATTAAGCACACCATGAGTATTGGTTATTCTTTGTTTCATCTGTTTCGTTAGCTTTTCATGATCAGCATTCAATGTCTCTAACGAATTAGGTTAAGTATGACAATATAGACCCTTGAAACACATATAAAATTGCGTATTTACCATATCTTGCTTTCAACTTTTTGACTTTTGCTTCTAAAATAAGTTCATTCTTCCTGCGAATCGCTAATTCCTGATTTGTATCTTCCAGCTTAAGATATTCTTTTTAGTATTCCATGCTCCTCTACCATTTGCTTGAACCTATTCCTTCCTTCTTTCAAATTACATTTAAATAATATTTAAATTTTTACCTTCGCCGTTAACGTCTCTTCTCTAGATTCTGAATGTCGTGCCATAAATTTATATATCCGTAACTTTTCTAGCTCTGCATTTTTTGCTTGAATATCGTTCGAAAATTGATTGCATTTATCATTTGCCATTTCTAAATCCGCTATTGTTTCATCCAAAATCTGTCGAAAAACGTCGCATGTGATTTGTTAGTGTTGCTGTTATAGAACCGGGCGAGAGAGTTGGGACTAGGGAGGGAAAGATGTATTGCGTGTTATCAAATACAATATACCTTTTGTAATTTTTGATATTCCCAAAGCCATTTATTCTTTTCTTTCGTTATTTCTTCTTTTGATGATTCCACATCGTCCAATGACTGCTCTAACTCAAGCAACCTCTTGTGACAATCATTCAACTTAAACATAAAATATATAAGGTTAGAATTGGTATTGCAACATATGTATGTGTAACATTTTTAGAAGCACACAATGATCCATGCAAACGTGTACCTGTTGCTGTAATTGTGCTTTCTGCTGATTTGCTTCATTGACATACGTTTCGTGCTTCTGAAGTAATCCCTGACCAATTTCTTTGTGTGCATGCAATATGCGTCAAGTCAGTTGCATTTAACATAATGAAATCAGTTAGCGATATTTTGTTTACCTGCTGCTAGCCTTGTATCTGACTCCAATTTTCTTATTTTTCGATTATAATACTCGAGATTATCACAGTCTTGTCTTCCACAACATCGGCATACCATGCTATCGTATAAGAACAAACTGCCAGTTGAGGTTGAGGTTGAAGGAGTAGAATCCAGCAAGAACAATTGACTGCCATTGTTCATCATACTTTCTCTGTCGTCTGCTAATATGGGCATTGTTGGAGTGCTATTGCTTTGCTGTGGTTTATATTCGTAACTGTCTGCGCTTTCCGCATTATTGATGGTACACGATATGGATGATCGAGACTTATTACTACTTCTGCTGTTCGCTACTACATGCGCTGTAGCGGATTTTGTCAACGAAGGTTTACGGCGCATTATGGAAAATTGGAAACTAAGGGACTGAGAAGTGGATGAACGAAAACCTCTATTACAGCTGGAATGTCTCCGAGTTATAGCTCGAGTAAAATGTGTCAAGACCAAGAAAGGGTAAGAGAAGTAGTTTTATGACAAATTATAATAATTGCTACTGAATGGTTATAAAAGAAGAGAAGAAGGGTCAGTTCAACTTCTTCTTGTGCTAGTAGTGCTTTTTTAGACAACGTTTCCAAACTTTTTCATTATGAATTCAAATTCAGATAGGACACCAATATTCGGTTACTAGGCTTTTTTATTGTTTTAAACAGTAGATATATCTCTTCCCCAAACTGCACATTTTGTCCAATCTATGCTTAGGTTCATACGTGTGCGCATACTGACTTGCTTACTCCAGTAAATACTTCGCCAGAGATATAAAGCCCATAAACCACCAGTCATCTTATACCCCCATTTGAAATCACCCACTGCTGTATTGCCTAAATAAGCCAATGAACCCAAGTAGTTGTAGGTAAAGGGGCCAACTATCTGCTTCATTGTAGATTCATCTCTTGTGACGAAGGCACCCTCTTTGTTCTTTTCAACTAATCTATTCAAGTATTTAGCCAGATATTTTCCTTGCTGACTTGCAACTTGTGCGGTCTTTAAGTAAAATATTACATGTGAACAGGCGATATAAAAAAGGAGTATTTGTTTCCTATAAAGTGACTTACAGCAGGCAAATGTGTCAGCTTCTTATTTACATCCTCTAACATAGCCTTCATCTCATTCATATCAAGGGTACCGCTATGGTCCACATCATATTGTCGGAACATCTTTTTGAGGTTCGTCAAATGTTCCGCTGCCAAAGGGTACTTTCGGCGTATCTTGTCACAGATGCTAAGGAACTCTTTGAATTGTAATGTGCCATCTTTATCCCTATTGAGTTCAATATTAAGATAAAAGCTGTTAAGCCATCTAGAGTAGCAGTTATATACACACTTACACATCGCCTTCTTCGAATAGATCCATGATATTTTCTAAAAGATCGGGGTTTTCGATTGAAGCGCAATCACCAAGGGCAAAGATGGACTCATCCTCTATTCCTTTCAAATGCAAATATTCGTCCGTTGTCAGCACTCTTTTATGCGCCTGAACTGGGAGTTTCTCTGTAAGGTTCTGGGCAAATGGTGTCATAGCTATTATGCCAGTAATAAGAGCATGCTGATCAGATTCTGTTCTTTTACTAGTTGTTCACCGTTCATGAGGCTATCTAATTGTACATCCGTTTCACTTACCAATACCAGTTGACCATAGACATAAACCGTAAGGTAGTTTTTTTGTAATGGGTTTATCATCTGGGTTTGCTGGTTTGATTGTATAGACTACTTCGTCAGGGTCAATCTTAACAACTCTTGCATTAGTGATGACATCTATTTTCTCGCGTTCAAATCTCTTCTCTGCATAGTCGCTGATTTCACTATCAAAGGTGTTCAAAATATGATCTCTGGACTGTATAATGTGGATAGTGATGTCCTCACGAACCAATTTAGGAAACTATAAACACATATATGGCTGTTAAGCAAATGGTTACCTATTATGCAATACTACCAATTAGATGTTCACTAACCCATTTCACTAGATCCTCATTGATCCAGTCTGACACTTCAGCTGCAAATTCAACACCTGTCGGCCCTCCACCACAAACAACGAACGATAACAGCCGCTTACGCTCTTCTGGCGTAGTCGTTGGTAAGCATGCCTTTTCTGCATTTTCCATTACTTTATGTCGGATTTTTATAGCATCTTGGATCGTTTTTAACTGCACTGTATGCTGAATGCCTTCAATACCATGAGTTATGCCCGTAGCGCCGACGGCTACAACCAATTTGTCATAAGGTACATAAAAGCTGCTATCACCGCTTTTACTGTGCACTTCCACAAGTTTGTTCTCTAAATCGATGTCCAGTGCTTTCCCTTCTACGAAATGAGCTCTAATTCTTGCGACGATTTTACGTACTGGTTCCAAAAGCGATCTATAATAGCCAATACCCGCAATATGTATGCAAGAAAGACAAAACACAAACCCACTTTAATTCCTCGTTTTGCCCCTGTCTCCCCTGACCTGTTTCGTTTTTACCTTAATTCCAATGTACCGACTGTCGCGCTAGGCAATAACGGCGTGAATAAAAAGTAATTGTTATCACTCACCACCGTAACATTATACTTGTCCTTATCCAAATTTTTTAAAACAGAAACCGCTCCCCATCCTGAACCAAGAATAACAAGACGCGGTTTCTCTTCTATGTTGAACGCTATGTGTTGTTCAACAGAATCGTCAATATAGTATTTAGCAATTGGTAAGTTTTTGGGACCTCCTCTCTCGGGATAGAGCGCAAGACGCGGAACATGTTCATGAGCGCCAACCACGTCAACGAAATTGTCACGGTCTTGAGACAAGTAATAGACCAACCAGCTTGTTCCCCCAAGCAAAGTGCTGTAGGCCGCGAGTCGTTTCAATTTGGGGCCAAACCATTGATTAGGTAACTTGTTATTTGAATTAAAAAATCTTTTGTTGGCTAGCTGTGACAGTTGGGAGTGTCTTGTGCCTTTGATAAAAGCAGAACGGAAGAGCATAAGAGTAGGATATAAGGTAACTAGGTAGAGTATTAAAAAAAAGAAGAAGATGAGGGGACACCGACGAGAGGAGAGAAAATGGTCTTTTGAAATATTCCAACAGAGATAGACTTTTCGCATTGATTACATCATTTAAAGTTATTTCAAAAAAAGGAAAAACGTTTCCCGCTCATTGTTGTGAATTCGCCCTGTAACAACAGTCGCCTAGGAGAAGCTGCCCCGCAATACGTACAATTTGAAACAATTCAGTCCTTCCAGCCGTAACTGAAGGGTATAAAATTAGTTTCGCTCATGATTCAAATAAAACTCTATGGAAGGAAGAGGAGAGAAACGGAAATCGTATTAAAAATAAACAAGATGAATATGCTGGTCTATTGACTAGATTCATAAAGTAAAGTCTGCTTTGCTTGTTTGGAAACGAGGTATAGCCAAGTCATCGCAAATTCATTTTGCTGAATTTTTTTTTTATAGCTTCAGCCAAGCTTACCAAATTTTGTATTACAAATGCTCATTATGAGCGCATAACATTCGTATAACCTTTTTTAATGCGCATAACTCTTATATCCGAAGCCAATAAATCCAATTTGCAATAAAAACGGAATCAGAAGAGCTTGCAAATCATGTAGCCTGTTGGCACTTACCGATAGAGGTACGTTATGAGGGACCATTATGGAGAATCATTAGAGCGGCTACGTTTCATGGATTGACGAATAAATAAATTATGGGAATAATTCAACCAAATAAAAAATGGCCAAAATATGCCAAATCGCTTGCTTTATACAGATTAGGAAATGAAGGGATTGAGCTTCACGATAAGACATCCTTGTAGTTCTCTGTGATCGGTTTACATTCGTATTACAGTCTTTTATTGATGGATCAACGTAGTAGACACTCCAACATCTTCCCCCCCCCCACTTTATCTTTCTTAATACCAATCAAGCGTAAACATATGGTCATAGAGTGCTTGCGCTATGCGTGCGTGAACAAAAGTGGAATAATGTGCTTTATCCCAGTAAATTCTATGCGTACGTATTCAATTTCAAATGTCAAAATTTTGTTAAAGAAAGTTTGTACAGTCGGTATACCTTACCCATTGCATATTGCACTGTAGTTGCAATGCCACTTTGAATTTTCCATTATAGTTTGCTCGGGAAAAAACGAATAGAATAGTTTGTATGTTTCAAAGAAAACTGCTTTCGAATCATTATGTCTGCTATTTAGATCCTCTATGTTCGTTTGTAATCGTTCGTTAAATTTCATGATTGACTCTTTGTAAGACTGTCTGAATTCCTCTGTTTTGTCATTATTCGCTGGATAAAGATGTGTTGGATTCACACCCAAGCAAATAATATATCGAGCTCCGGTCTCGTATAGCTTTTCCTAAATGTCGTTGGAGTACAACGCAAACGATTAAGCATTTAGTTACCCTATCACTGAGTAATAATGTTTGCACACGCTTTATGTTTGAGAATTACCAAATTATATCTAATTGTAAATTGAGTATCATTCAGAATGCGATCTCTTTCCACGTTATTGTTGGGATACTTTTTGTTGTTGTAAAGCTCGGCTATATCATTTCCCCCTAACCAAATGAAGTAAAGCTTATCGTATTTTGGTTCAGTAGTATCTTCTGTGAGCGTGTATCGATAGACTTGACCGGAAAAGTCAGGCTGAGGCCTAAAGACAAGAGACTGTTGCAATATTTGAGATAGCTGCTACTACGATCAACATTAATGTTCCAAGCTTACATTATTGACAGTTGCACCGACACGGGCAAAGGTATATAGATCAGCATCATTTAGCATAGCTGTTAAGTATTCAACCCAAAGCGGACCGTCCGAATTACGCATGATCTAAGCAAAGGAGTGAAATCAGCCAGGAGTTAAATATGCAGAGTGTGTTGTTAGAGCAGTGAAGTAAGGTCATGCTTACAAAGTTTGCGGTATATGGATGCAAGCTAGATTATACATAATTGCAAAGGAAACTCTCTTTAGTATTTTAGCCATACACAACTCCCTGCGCGTAATTGTATAAAGTCCAGACATAGCAGTTTCTATATACCTATTAGGATCTATTATGGCTGCCATATTATCATAAAGGTAATCAAACGATCGATTATCCGTCATGGAATCACCAAAAACAACAATGTCTTGAAAAATAGCGTCATTTCTTTTACTGATGATGTTAGCATGGACTGCTATTGGCAACTGTATGTAGGATTGCTGATAAATAATAATTGAAATTGTCAACCACATGAAAACGTTGCGCATCTTTTATTTCTTACTGCAAGAATAGCTTTTGGAACAGTATAAAAAATGAAGAAAGAAGAACAGTAGAATAAAAGTAAAAAACAAAGAAATTAATTCTATTGCAACCCAAATAGTCGAAGCAAGAAGATTGTAAGTTCAGTGGCTACTGCAGTAACATGCAGTTTATCTTTATACTGTTGGAAATCGTACTGAATCCCTTACTTTAACCGATTGTCAGGCCATACAGAGAGTGTGATTGTTATACCCTTTTCAATGAACATATTACCTGTTTTCTCTTCCCCGAACATTATGGTAAACACTGTCTTTCATCGATGTTATTCCAAGTAAAGAATGATATCAGGCATGCACGAAGGAAAAAAACAAAAAAAAAAAAAAACTTATTGTTGAAGCCACAACCAATAAAGTATTAAAAGAAAAAAAAAAAGGCATGCAGCTATTGTAATACTTTGGTTGATCATGCATTGTTCCTAAGCTTTTTGAAATATTTAGAATAGCTTTTAAACAAACGGGAAAAAAAAGGCAGAACTTGTCCTTGCCAATACTTCATTTATAAAAACGTGACCCGCTAACTCTCATAAAAAAGAAAAATGAACAGCTATTTCTCACTGGCTGTTTGGCAGCTTCCATCCAAGTTACAGCTTCCAAGCAGCTAGCGCATTCGAACTGCCAAGTTCTTGGTAAGTAGAATATTTTTGCTTTTAATTTTTTGGTTTCTGACCGCACGGCTCTCAGTAGGTGAGGAAATCCCACCGCAAATTTTTGATCTTCCGTCAAATAGAAAAAAGAAAGGCCAATTTTTCTCTCTTCTTCTGTGTTAGATCTCCCACTTTCCTTTAGATCGATCATGGCAGCGCCGCAAAAAAGATCAAAAGAGTCAGATATGACTGAATCACAAGCAAAAAAGAAGCAAATGTTGGAGAAAGTGAGTGATCCTAATTCTCTCTTGCCTACCAATGCTTTGCTTGACATTCAAGAAGATTTTCGTGTTATAATCGGCACCTATGAGCGATTATTGTTTGGTGTAAACGCTTATTGGACAGAAGAGGTTTGTTTGTTTGTTCTTGCTACACTGTTTGGTTAAGTAGAAGATAATAACTCTTTTAAACTCTACACAATGTCTCCAGAAGAAAAAAGTAAAGATGGAACCTGTATTTATTATTCCTGCACATACTGGATGTATTCGCACAGTATCTGTAGGTGGTCACTTTTTGGCCTCTGGCAGTTCAGATGAAATTATTCGTCTGTATGATGTGAAAAAACGTAAGGAGTATGGGTCCTTGGGAGGACATCATTCAGGCGACATCACGGATATCAAATTCCATGGTAAATACATGCTGTCAGCAAGTGAGGATCATACGATCAATCTGTGGAGAACGAAGGATTGGGAATTTTTGAAAACCCTGAAAGGGCACAAGTAAATTCATTTGATAATGTAGCATTAAGATCGAGCTGTCAAAAATTGATCGTACAATTTATAGGGGCAAGATCAATTCTTTGGCTATTCATCCTACTGGTAAAATTGCACTATCTGTTGGTTCTGATAGACTTGCCATCGTTTGGAATTTAATGACGGGGAGAAAAGCAAGTGTAAACAAATTGGATAAAGGTAAGTGAAGAGAGATTGTGATTGTGTTAGGGTTCGGTGTTAAGAGTGTCTGACACTTTCAGTACAACAATAGAGGAGCCAATGATAGTCTTATGGAATACAGAAGGCAACCAGTATGCTGTCATGTTTGATAGGAAAATTCAAATATATAACGTCTCAGATGCACAAGTAGCAGTGACCATCAGTCATAGATCAAGATTCAACACAATGAAGTTTTTCCATTCAAAAGCGACAAATAAGGACTATATTGTAACAGGCAGTGAAGACAAATATCTAAGACTTTGGGATTTATCAACAGAGGAAGGCAAATGCATAAAAGAAATACAAGGGCATAAGCTCCGAGTTAAAGCAATCAGTGTATTAGAGTTGGAGGAAAAAACCTTACTCTTTTCTGTGTCATCAGATGGTGTAGTCAAATGCTGGGACCTGGATGATATACTCGCCAATTCTAACGATACGAACAATCAAGAAGGAGCTATTGAACCATTAGGCGAATATAATACAAAGTGTCGTGCGATTTGTATAACGTCTCATCAAGCATTTTTAAAATAAAAAAGCCCTTCTCACTCATTTTTTGTTTAAAAAGAAGGCTTGCTAACAGCCCTTTTTTAGGTTTCTTTCTGTATCACAGAGCCGCCTTTCATCTTTTTAATTTCTCGTTATTGCAAATCTTCCGCTTGTACGTGCGTTTACGTTGTGTGTGCCAAAAGATTGGTGGTTTCTATATTTAAGTAAACATGTGTATTACGCGCGCGTTGTTGTTTTGGAAATAAACCTCTCGTTCCATTATCAAATTTCACTTTTTGTACTTTTTACTCTTCTTTTCCCCCTTTTTTTTTTATTGTCGTCTTTTGTCATGAAACTATGAAATTAAATTTGATATGCCTCCCAAGTCAAAAAGTACAACCACAGAAGAAAAGACATTGAAAAATGATAATGCAAAGAAAAAAGCATCTAGAGCATGCATACCTTGCCGGAAAAGAAAGGTAGCAGTCATCAGTGTAGAAAGCAAAAAAACTGTTCAATACTGTGGGACTTCGGAATGGATGTCGTCCTTTATCATATAATTATAATTATTTACTGATAACGTTCGGACTTATCCTTTAAAAAGGTTAAATGCGATGGTTTGTTCCCATGTGAACGATGTTTGAAGGCAGATACGACTTGTGTGTACGATAAACCACAACAAAAGAAAGATTCTGCCCTTAGGCAGCACATAGACATCAATGAGGCCAGGCTTGACAGAATTGAGCAGTTTCTCAAGCACTTTTCGATTATGCTTGATACAGCTAATGATGAAGTGGTCGACGCGCCTCTACTAGCTAACCGCGATCAAATGCGATTCGAGGATATTATAGGACCAGGTACGGCAGCAAAACCATCTTATTGAAATAGGCATTATTGATGTAAAGCTGGTGTTCTTTCCTACATAGACCAAAAATTATGCATCCAGCCGTCAGGCAAAGGTTTATACACTACTAAATCGCAGCAAACACAACACTTGCAGTATTTAGAGTCCCAGCACAGGCAACCTGTTTTGTTCCATTTGATATCTATATATTTTCAATACATAGATCCTATCATACCTATACTGGACAGACCAACATTTTTTCATCTGCTACAAAATAATCTAATAAGTGACCTACTACTTAATGCAATATACTGTGTATCTGCCCGCTGGGACGCTGCAAATCAGCACGTATCTATAACTAAGTATTATCTAGCGCCCACAACGGATCAACCACGAGGTTGGATTTATTACCAAAATGCTGTGAAATTGCTAGATAAAGAATCTGAGCCGAATATAGCAACAATGCAAGCAGTATTCCTATTGCTGAAGTACAGTGAACATGTGCGAAGACCTGGTTTTATTTGGAGAACAATGTACTATCATCAGATCCTCATCCAAATGTGTACAGACCTAGGGCTTCAACCTTCTTCAACGATTACAATTGAAAACAATGTGCAGCAACCAAGGTCCACATCGACAGTAGATGCCGAGATAAGAAGGAGAATTTTTTGGGCCGTTTATTGCTACGATGTCATGCTAAGGTATGGAACAGCTGTTATGCGATACAATAGCAATTTAATAATATGCAAAATCGTTTACAAACTTAGTGCGGAAAGTGGCACTTTACCTCATTTTAACATCTCAGAAATTGACGAAAAAGACTTGCCAACAATATTATATAATGATACAATTGAATCGTTTATGGAGCACCAAAAAATACTGCAATTTGTTATGAACATAAGAATATTACAGAACCAAGCAAATATTTTACATTATTTACACAATAAATTCAACAGAATATCGCCTTTTGCTCCTATATACAACCATATACTCACACAAGAAACGCTAGAAAGTCAACTACGCACAACACTTAATCTGATTATATCCACAATCCCACCGCCGACACGTCAAAATATGCGCTATACAACATGCTTTCTTTATTTTATATGCAATTTTACTATGATCTTACTTTATCAACATTTGGACCTCAACCGCTGTCAGGAACCAGCGTTACACATTAGGCAACTAACTGAACTTGTTTTAGAATGTAACGCGTTCGAAGATATGTATTGTTCAATTAGGGGTATCCAGCAAATTATACACTATTTATCTGCTTCTAATACTATTTTTATGAAATTGAATATGAAAGAGGAACTCCAACAAACATTGCAATTGACCAAACAATTAGCATCCGTATCACCTCTGACCGAAGTTATCCTCAACAGGTGATTCTGTTGTCGAAAATTCTTCCATGAAACCCTTGATCAATTCTCTTTGTACCTATCATAAATAAAAGCGTTGGTAGTTACCTTTTGTTATGATAATTCTACTTTATTCCTTTACTTACTTCACTTTGAGACATTGATTTTTTCAAACGATATCTATACTGTTTTGACCGTCTTTTGTTTCCTTTTTCATCCAAAGTCTCCAATACTCTCTTTTTTGATGGCACAGAAATGCCTGACTTCAAGTCTTGTCTATCTATCGTTGTAATAGCTTGTTTGTTGCTTCTTTGTAACTTTATCTGATTGGATTCGGCGACAATCTTATCGTAAACCTCTCTGTGCGAATTTGAGGAACTTTCATTTAATATTGTGGTGTTTATCAAATATTTTCTCTCGTCAGGCAGACTAGTGCTTTTTAAATTTGAAGCAAGAGGCGGAGGGCCAAGGAACGAAGTGATTTGTGAGGATTGCTCGTAAAAAAACAGAGATGATAAAGGCCGTCTATTATATTTGGCCGTCTAATGAATAACGGGTGATTGATGTTAGGCTTCAGACTTCACTCCTGCATTATAAAACTCAAATGGTCTCACTTTGCGCTTTCTTTCTGATGGTTTGACATCGAATCCTTTAGTTTTCAGTAAGCAAATATTCGAGTGTCTTTGTAAGGAATCAGTAGGAACAACATGACTGTTATTGATTGGACATTTTGATAAACTCTGCGATTGCTTTTTGTACCATTGCAACAACTCTGCGCGTTCCCATCCCAACTTTTTCAAGCACTCATTAATTTTGTCATCAGCACTTTTTATTCGTTTGGCAAGTACGACTAACTGATTACGACGTGCCTCTTCCATTACAGCATCTTCTTGAGACTTAATTTAAAAAAAGGAAAGTTAAAAATTGAAGTTGAGTAAAGTTCCTCGATGATGACTAAGCAAACCTAAATCGCACTTTTATGTCAAACCGCACAAAATAGTTTCAAGGCCAGTCGTTGCATAATCTCCCTGTAAATTGTCTTAATGGCAATAGACACATTTTTTTCCTATACTACTGTGTTTTTGTTTTTCTTGGCTGGTAAATTAAAAAAGACTAGCTGATTTCTTCTAAAAGATTTTTAACTTAGTAAATCCATCTGTGCCCAATCGGCGCACGGAGAAACAGTTTGCCAAAATTCTTGCAGATGTCTATCTCCAAACATTTGATGATCCGACGATGAAACAAGTGTTTTTGTTAAATGCATAAACCAGGCTTATACTTTTTAAGAGTCCAGTCCCCTCTTTAACAGATGATAATAAAAAGACCTCTTATTGGAAAAGTCTAAGACAAGCTGAAAAATGAGAATGAAAATCGTAATTCATGCATGACGTTTTCTAGGTAACCATAAGCTTATAAATTTTTCAAAACGGCAAAGCCAAGCATTTAAATAATGTCATAGATATATCATCCCATAACTTCCTCTATCAGTGTCTGAAATCTGAATCAGTATAAATAGCTGGCTTGCCTTGAAGTATACTTCAATTGTCTTCTTAAAACATTCCATTTTGTCGTATCTATCGAATTATTGAAACATGAAATACATTTCTGCTGCAATCTTAGTTTTCGCATCAACATCTTTTGCTTGGCGCCTGCCTCAAGCCAATAACCAGGAGCCTCAGCAACAAGGTTCTGCTGATGCCTTATCCCATTATCCACAAGGAACTAATATAAACAGTTTTAATGGCACATGTAAGTTCTATTATCTAGCTTAAGTAAGAGGCACAATCGAATCGAGAACATTTGAACTGAAAGGTAGCTATAATACGCAGGGTATATAACTGGAGCTACGAAAAATGCTTGGGATGTTTATCAAACTCTCTCTCAAAGATTCAATATCCAAATTGATTGCGCTCAATTCGATGTCAACACCACGTCCAACTCAACACTTGATGTATTATCCTCTGCTTTCCTGAATCAGACCACCTTAAACCTTGGTATAAATGCTACAGTTGCTGGTTCCCTCATTTTACAAAACCCCGACAGTCAAACCAATGTTTCGAACCATGAACTATTGTGGGAAGCCTACACGTCCCAAGTCTTTGTTAACAAGGGTCTGTGGGACAAGTTTACCCAAAAAGATCAGTCCAATGCTAACAACAACAATGCAACCACTGGCGCTACACCCCTTCCCGGCACAAAGCCCGTCGAAGCTACTATTTACACTCAATTGATTGATACCAACGCTCAACCTGGCACAAATACTTCTACCAACTTTGATGCCATTTTCATTTGGGGATCCCATGCAAAGACTTTGGGTGGTGGCAATAACAACAACAACAACAACAATACCAACAATAACAACAATAACAACAATCAAAACTCCAAGAGAGATGATCATAATGACATTTATGGTGTTTTACTTACAAAGAATGCTACTATCAGTCCTGATGTTTTCAATAGAACCGCTGGTCTCTTACCTCAAAGAGCCGTTTCTAATAATGCTCAACTTGTCCAATTGAATGATACTTGTACCGTCAGGAACAACGGTCAACAAGGACAACAAGGACAACAAGGTCAACAAGGCCAACAAGGCCAACAAGGTCAACAAGGCCAACAAGGCCAACAAGGCCAACAAGGCCAACAAGGCCAACAAGGTCAACAAGGCCAACAAGGCCAACAAGGCCAACAAGGCCAGGATCAAGGCCAGCAAGGCCAACCACAACAAGGTCAACCACAGCAAGGTCAACCACAGCAACAATCAGATCAACAACCAGGTTATCCATCATTTTTAAGCCACTAGTTTTATAATGACTTAAACTATTCTCTAATCGATCAACTGTTAATATACTTTCATATAATATATATCTCTACTGTTTATCAAAATCTTTCAAAGTGTTCTATCTTTTTTTGCTAATAAATATCTATGATTAATGTACGTATTGCTTCGAATATTATTCTGCAGTTTGATATTTTCCGCAACAAGTGCAATTGCCAAGAAACGGTAGTTGTTTATCAGTTAGCTGTCATTTTTATTGTGTTGCAATGTCATTTGACTTTCTCCTTGGCACTTATCTAAATGGTTCTTTGGCCTTATTTTTTATGACGCGAGAATGTCATCATTATGCTTAACTGTCCAATTTTATTGATTTACAAATAGTAGCCTTCATGCTATAGTAATGCTATGTCGAACACAAAGACCCCATTTACATATGTACATCGAAGAGCTGATCTGCGTAGTCATTTAGCCTACCAAGTATCACTGTTACGGACTTCAACTTCTTTACCATTCAACTCATTAATGTCAGTAACATAACCAAGCTTAATTACTTCTTCATGGTTTTCTTGCAATAATTGAGTGACATCTGCAACATTTTCTTGACTCACGACCAAAATCATACCCACACCACAATTAAAAGTGCGGGACATCTCATGGGAAGAGAGACCGCCAGCTTGTTTCAACCATTTAAAGATGGGTGGTAACTCATATGATCTAGCGTCAACGACTACACCAAGATTTTTTGGCATAACGCGGGGTATATTTTCAAGAAAACCGCCACCTGTAATATGAGCCATGGCCTTGATCAATCCTTTTCTTACAATAGGTAATAGTTGCTTGACATAAATACGAGTAGGAACTAATAAGCCTTCACCTAGTGTCTTTGAGGTATCCCAAGGACAAGGACTTTTGTAATTCAAGGCAGGTTGAGATTCTACAATTTTACGAACAAGTGAGAAACCGTTGGAGTGCACGCCGGAAGACGGCAAACCAAGCACAATATCTCCCTGTTTTATTTCATTGAGACGTGGTAATATCTGGTCTCTCTCCACAGCTCCTACTGTGAATCCTGCCCCGTCATAATCACCCAAAGCGTATAAGCCAGGCATTTCGGCTGTTTCACCGCCTACAAGCGCGCATCCAGATTGAAGACATCCTTCAACTACACCAGCTACAAAATCTCTTCCAACATCAACCTCTAGTTTACCGCAAGCAAAGTAATCAAGGAAAAACAGTGGTTCAGCACCTTGCACAATAAGATCATTTACATTCATAGCAACAAGATCGATGCCGACCGTATTATGAATATTACACTCCTGAGCAATTTTAAGCTTGGTACCAATACCATCAGTTGCGGAAACAAGAATGGGATCAACGAATCCTGCAGCCTTCAAATCAAAGAGACCGCCGAAACCACCAATATCGGAATCAGCGCCCACGCGCTTCGTCGATTTGACTAAAGGTTTGATCTTTTGTACTAGTAGATTGCCGGCATCAATAGAAACACCTGCATCTGCATATGACAATCCCTTTTTATCACTGCTCTCTTCGGCATGTTTAAACGCTCTAATTTTGTAGGCAAATTTCGAATAAGTCAAGCATGATATTGATATTCGAGAATCAAAAAATTCGTTTACCTGTGGGCTATATCGTTACGATAATACATCTGGTCAAAATCAATGGATTTTACGCCTGCATAGGCTTTATCAACAGCCTCACGCAATGTTGGAGCAACGGCAGAAACTGCTAGTACACGCCCTCCGTCAGTTACTAATTGACCATCTTGGACTGCAGTACCAGCATGAAAGACTATGGAGCCTACGTACGATGCAATTGTGTTAAGAATATTTTAAGCAATTATTCATGCTGTTGGTGAGTGTTTCGTCATTTAATGACTTACCTTCTGTGTTTTCAGGGATAGCAATAGCTTTCTTTTTAGTATAAGCGCCTGGGTATCCACCAGATGCAATGATAACAGTTGCTGCAAACGCATTCTTTGTTTGAATTGAAACAGCATCAAGTCGGCCTTCAACACACGCCAACATAATTTCAGCTAAATCGGTATCGTCGCTCAGAAGTGGTAAAACAACTTCAGTCTCAGGATCCCCAAAACGAACATTGAATTCAAGAACCTTAGGGCCCGAAGCGGTCAGCATGATGCCTGTGAATAACATGCCTACGAAAGGGAAGCCATCGCGACGCATGCCATCAATGGTAGGCTGCAAAATTGTACGCTGCACTTGTTCTATAAGTGAAGGTGTTCCAATTGGTGTGGGTGCATAACAGCCCATACCACCCGTATTTGGACCCAGATCACCATCCAAAGCACGCTTATGATCTTGAGCCGGCGGTAAAGAAGCGACAGTGTATCCATCAGAAAAAGTTAAAAATGATAACTCTTCACCTTCTAAGCATTCTTCAATAACAATCTCTTTTCCTGCGTCGCCAAATTCTTTCTTCAACATTATACTTTCCAATCCTGCAAGTGCCTCTTCTTTGTTCTCAGGCATCAAAACACCTTTTCCAGCAGCTAATCCAGATGCCTTTATCATAATGAAGGTCAGAATTTTGTCCTATTCTGCAATTGATTGTTGAGAAGCAAAAAATGTTACCTTCAGCACAATTTTATGATCAATAGATTCAATGTAAGCTTTAGCCTTTTCATAATCAGTAAAGTTCTCATATGCTGCTGTAGGTATATTGTGTCTCTTCATGAAGTCCTTCGAGAATGCCTTGGAACCTTCCATTTGAGCAGCCTTAGGTGAAGGACCAAAACAAGGAATGCCCACTAAAGTAGTATACGACCCTTCAGCTTAACATTTCCTATAAATTCGACGCTTGCGCTATTCTATCTTACCCTTTCTGAAAACAGCTTGAATACCATCTACTATGGGTTGCTCAGGACCTGGAATAACCATATCAACCTAACCTCAGCATTAGATCATTGAGGATTTGAGCCCCATTTAGAAATACTACTATACTTACCTCATGCTGAATAGCAAATTCGATCAGCTTTTCAAACTCGCCAACACCAATAGGTACATTTGTCACTTTATTGTTGTTTGAAGTACCTCCGTTACCTTCAAAACGAATTGTTAAATAAGTATGCATGACGTATACGTTCAGCTTGTACGTTGAGGTTGTGTGCTAGATAATTACCTGGCGCAACATAAATTTGCTGTACCTTCTTTGACTGAGCGAGTTTCCATGCGATAGCATGTTCACGACCGCCAGAACCGACCAAAAGAAGTGTCAAATTGTCTATATCAAAGGAACATGCTCAATATCGTTTGAGGGATTGTGCACATAGTAAATCTACCTTACCAGAAGCCATGGTTTGTATAAATTAAAGAGACAAATAAAGCAAGAAGATAGTGAAGAATAGAATTTCACTTATCTAATTACATGATTTTGTGGGGGTGTCTGAGTCATATCAATTTTTAAGCCACAGCGACAAGTAGTCAATAATGGCATGATTTTTAAGCTAAAAATACAGTTTTTATTTGTGAAAAAGTGCATATGGATGAGGGGAAGTCCACAGACCATATATAATTGCTATAAAACGCTATATGAATTCTTTTTGATTGTAGATGAGAGATAGATTTAAGTAAGTCTCAAGCTCTCATATAGAGTTGAGATTAAATTCATCAATCTAAGGCAGAAACTCTGTCATAAAATTAAACAGATGTGGGGGTAGATCCAATTCTCTGCTCTTGAATTACAGTTTTTAGCTTCGGTTTAGACAAAGCTGCAATATAACTGGATAGAACGTACCAAAAATTTGAGACGTTTGATTTTGTGTTCAAAGACCGAACTAAACTAAAAATGGATGTGTTTACCAGTTTCCTTCTGTCGGTAATAGGATAAGGAAGATGTTATCTTCCCCAATCAAAATGCTGATAGCCTTCATTTTTGCTGCACTAACATTACAGTTTTATAGTATGTTAACAAGTTTTGCAAACGAGGATACTACAGCCACGGACAGTGTCTAATGCTTCTAATGTGTCTTAGCGGCAACAATGGCATTCACGCGATATCTTATACCTCCATCGACAAGCATGCTCACCATCATGTTTACAGTACGCTTTCTCCCTTGTTACAGCCGGAATCCTGTTTCAACCATACCAGGCCCGTAGAATAAGAACAGGGTCTCTAATTGTTGCAGTGTGTAAGTAGTATCACGCGACGAGCCTGTTTTGCTACTCGGCATATTGCTTTCTACTTCTTTTATCGTACAATTGGCTTTTTTTCCTTTCTAATCCTGGATCGACAGTTGATAGTAGTCTCAATATTGGTATGCTCTAGAAAGTTACAACAAGTATCAGAATCCTTGTATTTTGATCTGATGGTTCTCATACAAGTATAAAGCATTTTACCAAGTAGACCAATTCTATGCTTCTCCTTAACAGATCTAATTTCCTGTATAATAAAACTGTTGTAGGCACAAAATGAGTAAAAAAAGAAAATAAAACATAAAATAAAATAAAATAAAAGGGTATTTGTAGCACAAGCTTAAACCACCTCTCTTTTTGTAAGTTCGACATGAGCATTTTGAATTACGTCTGTTTAATTGAATCTATCTGTCAAGCCTTTCACTCTCAATTGCCAACGTAATAAACCGGAATATCAATTAATAAGAGGCAAAGAAGAAGAAAATTACTGTAAGTCTATTAACTGTCGATGTTAAGTTCCTTCTGGACGGCGTTTATTGAGTTGTACCATTTCGGCCTTAACACTTCTAGTTTGCCCTACATAGCTGATCATGTCTAACGTAGTATGTGAGAGGGTGTTGTTTGATACTTCAGTGGCGTACAACATTGAGAACTACTAGCTGTTTTTCAGCATTTTCTCCACATCCTTCAATGGGCCCGCTATAATGTCTGCAAAAATGAAAGATTCCTTAGATCTAAGCAAATTAGGCCAAAATGACTGCGACTTTTATTATAGTAAAGATGGTAGTATTTTGAAAAAAGATAAACAACCACCCATGATGAATGGCCCACTTCTTTTGCCTGGAATATTGACGATAATTCAAGCATCATAGTGGCATTCCAGCTTGCTTGAGAGGGACTATAAGCACTTGATTATAGAGCCTTTTTTTTTTATATCGTGCTAAAACACCTTCATCATATAATATACTCCTAATGCTCACTAATAAAGCGGCGCATTTATTATCATTTATTAATATAAAATAGACTGTACAAAATCTAGCTAATAAGGCCCTCAGTCGGCTATTTATTCTATTTATTGGTATTGTATTCCACGAAGCTTGTATGACCTGTCCTCTGTTTGGGGGAAAAAAAAAGGTAAGTACTGATCCAGCAAGTTATATATGCTTAATAAAAACCTACTGTGGCGTGCTCTTGCGCATCTAAAATGGGATAAAAAAGAAAGCGTTAACACTTCGACCGTTCAATAAACCTAATAATAAAAACCAACATTACCTTTTTCGCCTCTGAGGCCAATTTTGCATTGTTCACAACGGATGCTGAAGTTGGCAATATCGGTAAATAAGTGCATTGCCTTGAAATGACTCACTAATTCCTGGGCCGTAAGCAATATATTGTTGTTGGTAGTAGGAAATTGGGTTTGATCGTATCCGATATCGAGGTTCAGATCGGGGGCAAGAGCTAAGGCATCGTAGTCTGCAAAATGAAGCAGAATATCTTAATATGATTATTCTTGAAAAGGTATACCTTGGTCAAAGATTATCTTACGTATGCCGTTATATACAATCAAGACTCTTTCACTGTAAAGTCCTTCGCCGAATTTGTCAATTCTACCAGTTTGTACATCGATACTATCGATTTCTTGATTATCCAGGCCAAAAACAAATAAAAGCTTCCATTAACGAAAAGATTGAAAGATGAGTATATGATTCAGCTTACCAACTTGAAAGTAATTCGAAAAGATCGCCAATTCTACATATAACCATTCAGCTTAAATATTTCGATTTGAAAGCTTTTTTTCATTCATCATTTACCAATTGCACCACCCCATGAGTTTTTTCGTTGAATCCATTCCATATATTTCTCTCTGGGTTGACCGAGTGTCACATCATTGTAAGTTATTGGATCAGATAGGATGGCACTGGCAACCACTTTTAAGCAAACAAACAAATATTTTAGTAAGTCATCATATTTTCTTTTTCTTTTTCTATATACATAAAAGCATATTACCTTGTCGAAGTTCTGCTGCGATTTTCGGGTCCTTCTGCAATACATAACTGTTGTAGAGATAAGTTTGATTAGACTGTTCGTGTGATATGGGTTGTGATTACAGCTACGTCTTTTGGATCACTTATATTACCCTAAATAACATAAGATGATTATTACGTCTGGCAAGAAATTTCATTAAAGTTATATGAAAATTAATACCCATTGCTCTAAATAAACAAGAATTGTCATCCTCCATAACCTAATGCCAATGTTTTCGATGGATAGCAGAAAGGAAAGGGTAAGTGGGAAATCATTAAATTTAATTTTACGGGAAGATCATACTCTAAGAATAAGATATCCATCGTCCGCTTTAATAGCGTTGTTGCTTATAATCTTATTGCTTGATGCTATGATACCGTTTGATGGCAATGGTTGAGTTTGATCTTTCTGATTTGTCACTGTTGTGCCCGTCACTTTTACATTCAAACTATCTCCATCCCTTATTCCAATATTAAATAGACTATCATTTTCGGATCCATTTATCGCCTTGGGAGGGTACCCTCCAGAAACTTTTTAGAAAGAGGCCGTAAGGTCAGTCTTCTCGAGAATATGCTAGGGTTTGTACGCATTTAAAAGTAGTTTATCCCTACTTTGTATCTCTTGGACCATATTCAAACCAATCGTCTTTTTAATTTGGTCCTTTAACTTTAAAAAAGTGTCACTTGAATCAATATCAGTTAACGTAGACGTGCCCTCGGCATGCTTTATACGTAGTCTCATCTTGCGGTTCCTGCGTTTGTTGTTATTCGTAACTGTTTTCCAAAGGAAAAGAAAATGCTTTTTTTTTTTCTATATTCCTGCTACGACCAAAATGCAAAAAGAATTCCGCTTTGAATGTTTTGATTGGATGAAGTCTTATCAGATAAGTCTTTAGTCCGGCGTGTTTTTTTTGATGAGAAAAAATCCTCATGTGCCTCAATAGCATGAGTAAGTGTATGGAGAAACCCAAGTGTGTCAAAGTTTTTCGTTGATGGAAGGAGCAATTTTTCTGTATCATCACAAAAGATTAGAAAATTGAAGACTTCATTTTGAAGAGTTGCATCATCGGTTGATGAAACAGAGCTCATGTATTATATTGTTTGAATGTTATGAGCATGTACGTAGCTTCTTATATAGGAAAGATTTACATATTTTGCAGGTTTGTTTGCGTTTAAAATGTAATAAAACCATCATTAATCTAGTCTAATACAAAAGTTCATTTGCTTACTGATTCTGGTGACAAGTCGTTCGTATTCCGTTTGATTGTTCTTTGTTTGCCCAAGCAATAAAGCCGCTTTGCTGACCTTTGGCATTGCCAATGCTGGTTTCTTATTTGTACCCACAGACAACAAGCTTGAATCTGATGCAGCTGAAGGCTCACTGTAGAGAAAAAGGAATAGAAATCCTGTTTATTAAATGCAATATAATACCAGTTTCCAGCGGTTCAAAATTGCTTACTTTGCTTTGACTTGTAACATCTGTTGTCTTTGCTGCTTTGCTGCTCTGGCAGACTCTATCATATTTTTTCTTCTTTGTTCTGCTTCGCGACGTTCGACTTCATGTGCTTCAGTTCTATCTCTTTGTCTATTCTGCTTGTTGATATTGGCCCAAACGTCACCCTGAATATTATCTGGAGCAAGACCAATACGTTCATCCAGCTCTTTCAATTCTTTTTGCACTCTTAGGAATCCTTCTGTATCATTGTTAGCTTTAAAGTGCTCCATTCGAGCTAATAAATTAGCCCTTTCCATAACTGCATTGACAGAAGCTCCTTTGACTGCCCTCTTTTTTTCAATCATTTCGTTCACTTCTTTATCATTCAATACATATCGTTCAGCTTGTTTGATATCCTCTTGTTTTTGCTCAACTTGCTCGATGGTGGGCGGTCGAACACCGTCGTATTCAAGTGTTGCCAAAAAGCGTTGGTATTCGTGCTCAGTGACAGGTGAGTTAGATAGAATGTCCATCGGGAAATCTTTTTCAGCTTTACCGTGCTTTAGCTTAAGGGCTCTATTACACCATGTATTTTCACCAATTTTATAGGTTTTATGCCATGGTACAACATCCAATACTTCACAAAGTCGATAGACTGATTCTTTCCTCGAATCAGCACCAATCAATAGACGAACAAAACAGCCGATAATTGTATTATCAAAGTGAGGCGCAAATAACCATTTCTCTATATCCTTTCTTTTAAATTGTATAGCTGTAATTTCGTCTAGTGTTGGCGTTCTCTTTCGAGCCTAAACATTAGAATGCTCGATATAATTAGTTTTGTACTTGATTAGCGTTTGTAAAAGTGTTTTTACTCACTTTTTTCTCTACTTCTTCTTCAGACTCTTCGCCGGGGCTGTAATCGACATCACTATCATAATTGCTACGGCTTTTCCTTTCTGGGCTAGGTGATTTGACACGACGTTGCTTTCGGCTTTTATGTTTTTCTTCTCTACGCCTAGCTAATTCAGTCAACGCATTTGCAGTACCACTTGCTTTCGATCTTGTAGAGCCTAAAAATTAACGTAATATCTAATTCAAAATGGCTTTCTTCAAATGCACTGCTGTTGCAACGTTTGCATTCTTACGTCTTGTAACATCCTCTCTTCTACCGTCTTTCAACAGCTTTCTAACTTCCAGACGTTCCAAATGCCTTTGCCTTTCTTCTGAACGTTCAGCAAGAATTCGTTCTCTTTCAACTTCAGGTAATGCTTGTAGCCTAGTGTGATACATTGTTGGTGTTGTGGTTTTGTCGTAAGGGTAAATAGTGAAGTTTCTTCTTTTTACCTGCGACGATCTTCCTCATCCTTATATAGATCAGGACCATATACGTTAATGTCGTCCAGGTCCTCATCAATTTCTTCTTCTTCAGAAAATACAGCGTCTTCATCATCTGAGTCAGAGGCACTATGAGTACATGCAGTTCACGATAAGTGTTAATGCAAAGGGGAAATAATGAGTCTATGTTGTGGTTATTGAAGATAAATAATTAACCATTACTCTTTTCTACTTCGCTTTCCACTTTTTCTTTCGGCTTGTTTTTTGTCTTCAGCAGCCTTCTTTTGTTCTTCAATTTGCTTATCAGTTAAGGATAAAATGAGATCGTCAATATTGTCCATTATTGTAAAATTGTTGATTAGTTGTGAGTAAAAGTGTCAACGGTTAAAGTATGGCAAGTGTGAAAAGGCAATGCGTATTCGCGGTATTTAAAAAAAATTGAGAAATTCCTAAAATTTGTACAGAGTAAATTACAATTCTGAAATGAACCTTTACTTCAAGCGCAGTATACAATGAAAGTCGACACTGAAGAAGTTGATTCGGAGGACTAAGTAAGCTGTTGATTTTGAATCTTGATAAAAAATTGATAGTCGACATGAGAAATGTGAAATTAGCACAAAGAACAAAAAACAAAAAAAAAAAATATGAGCAGAGCAGAACGAACAGTTTCTTAAAATTCTTCAGAAAGAGCTCTTCCTGAACTTCAGCGGTATGCGGTATACTTCATTCCAGCGCTGAGGGAATAGTAGACGAAAGCACGTCGGATTCTCCACTGTTCTACTTAATACTCAGTAAGAACTCGTCGAGTATTCTTGAAAATCATATCACAGTGATTAAGCAACTTCCCAGAAGTGAAGGCATTAAGGGCTCAAGCACTTACTTTATATTGGAGAAATGATTTATAACTTCAGACAAGCAGGCAAATATACTGCAAAAGGGAGACGCCAAAAATATAAGACCTTCGCCAACATAATGAGGGAGTAGTAGGAATTTAGTTTATTGACAATTGTGTATGTGTAGACGGGTTATCATTTCAAATGAGAAGTTAAGCTTGTCCGAGAATTGGTCAGTTGGTTAAACTTCAGATCCATAGTTAGGGACATGTGAGCACCAGTATTACTGTATGTATAGCTGCTAGAAAACCCTTAGGTTTCCAAAATTAACCTTAAAAATCAAAAATTAACACAACTTTGATAGTGAATATCATGTTGAGTAAAACGCTGAATCAAAGTCCAAACATCTTTCAAAAAGGTACAAATGTTTATCGTAAGTTCATTGAGTCAATCATATAGCTTCCGAAGCTACCCAAGCTACCCAAGCTATTCAAGCGTCTCATGCTCCGCATAAGGCATGTACGATATCGATATTATGGACTTTTAAGATGATACTTGATTTGCTGAGCATACCATTACCGATTTAGACGGAAAGGGCTTTTTTTTTTAATCAATACAGTGAGCCCTTCTAAGAGTATCCAAATGCCAAATTGCTCTTGCGAATTTTCGTTAAGATAGCTCTACCAGTTATGCTTCTTGTTGTTCACCGTTTGTAGTCATTGATTTCATTTTCTCTATATTCTATTCCGTAGTTCTTATTCTTCTTTGACTGGTTTTTTACTTTTAAACGACTTATTGTACCAACAAGTGTATGAAAAAGTTTAACGCTGCAAAGAATATTTGTCATAAAGTTTATAATAGTCTAACGATATCGTCTTCTTTTGAGTGTATAGTAGGCTCTAGAAAAATGCATATCTTCTTTCAACAGCTTTGCTACAGTTCTTAGAGTCTGTTCATCAAGAGAAAATGTTTACCAGTTGTATAAGACGTGGTTTAGCACCCTACATATTTTTGTTAGCAGTAGTGTATAATTATCATCAGCGGAAAGTAATGTTCTTGTAAGAAGGGTTTCTAAGGGAATAATTTGAACAGTCCTACCTGATTACTATCATAGTGACTAACGATAGTTAACACATTACTATTACGCTCTTCTGTTCGATATCTCTGCTTTGTTAAGCCAAAGTTTAGTAACTAATTCCTTACATATTTGTTCTTTTAACAGACTTTTCTATGTCATACTTGTGTATAAAATTATCTGCTTTGGGAAGCGGATGGATATAAAAAGCAGTAAATTAGACCGAATGCCTCTTTGGCCAATTAAACTTTTATGTTCGTTTGTCGAACCAACAATTACAACTTTGCTTACAAAAGACAAATACATTTGTTAATGATGTGTGTACTTCTTATGCGCTGCATACACTTATTGTTCTAATCTATAGGGTTGATGATGTTACATTTTCCAGGTTCATTTCCCGCGCAAGTCATCCATTTATCTATCCAATACACGTCATCAAATTTTATTTTCAAAAGGATAAAAGGCGGCTCATTTTCCGAGATATCGCTCTCTTCAATTTTCTTCAACCTATTTACCCCACAGCAGACCATAAAAGCTTTCCAGGAACGTTAGAAAATGGTATTGTCACCTTTATTTGGACAAGAAAAGGCTATATCTCTTACTTAAACTGCTTTTCACACTAAAACCAGACCACAGCCACGCAAGACATAAAAGTAACTTGCCATAATCACGTTCTTAAAGGTTCAGAAGCCAGATCTGAAGATGGTCATCCTTGGAGAAACTGGAAAATTTCTCTCGTTGCTATGGATAATGGTGAAGAAGTCAAAGGAAAACTCTCCATGATTCTTAATTACATTCAATATATTCTACATCCTACATTTTCAGAGCCGCATAGAAGTAAGTCTCTCTTACTCTCTTCTAAACGCGTTTTTTGAACCAAACAGCTAAATTTCTTTTTATTTCCTCACAGCCAGGAAAGTTGAGCCTTATGTTTTGCAAGAGAAAGGTTGGGGTGAATTTGATCTGAAGATTGTTCTTTACTTCAAGAATGATATTGCAAACCCTCAAGTTCTGTCCTTTGATCTCAACTTTGCGCAACCTACCTACTCTAAGGTCATTACTCTAGAGTTTCCCAATGCTTCTAGCGAGCTCATCGAGTTATTATCTGGTGAACCTTCATCTTTTTCATCAGAAATATCTTCTCCAAATGCAAGCCGTCCACGAAAGGGTGGTAAGAAACCATATGGTGCTACTAGGAGCTCTTCTATTGACAAGTCAGGAAACCTATCTCCTGCTGCTTATCAAAACGATATTGATGAAGACCATGAACATTATCAAGGCCCCTCAAAGGTTAGCGCAACCAAGCAACATTTGCCATCAAGAAAACGTAAAAACTCGTATACAGTTACCAAAGAAGAGGAGGAAAGAGCTGCTCCACGCTCAAGACGACGCTCCGCTGCTACTGTCAATACTGAAGAAAACTATAACCGATATCGTGAACAACCCCGTACTGCATTTAAACCATCTTCGCCATCAAGTAAAAGGAAGAACCCATTCAGCTCTGCACAAGAAGAGGAGGAAAGAGCTGCCAGACGTCCCAGACGAACTTCTGATAACATAGCTATCAAAACAAATGAAGAAGAACATCATCAATTCCCGGAACAATCTTTTGATAGTATTAGCAATGCTAAGTCATCTCGCAAAGCAAAAGATTCAGTTACTGTTACCCAGAAAAAAGAGGATAAAGCTCATGCGCTTTCAAGAAAACCCTCTGATGCCACAACTATTAAACCTACTCAAGAAGGCCATGATCAATATCAAGAACAAGCTCATAATGCAATGAAAACGCCTTTGCCGTCAAGCAAAAGGAAGAATTCATTTATTTCTACCACGGACAATGAGGATGGATCAAGTGTATGCTCTGACGCGCCAGTAACAACGTCAGAAACATCTACAAATGTTATATATACCTTAAAGGATGTGTATGGATTAAGTTTCGTTGATCAGGCTGAATTGTCCAAAGAAATAAAGCAGCAACTTGATATACCAGTCCAGGTGGATATGCTGGAATTGGCCAAAAGATTTGTTACGCTGACACCGGAACAAAATGAAGATTTCCAAAGGTTGATTGTGGAATATGCAACCGACGATGTCATATTAAAAAATGGTCCTGGTAAGTTTAACGGCGCAGCATTACCTGAATGTTAAGCTTCAACTTTAATGTTTTCTTTGTATCGTAATATAGATGGTAGCATACAATTAGATCTTTTCTCTTGTAATAGAACATTGCTGGCAAAATTGTGGGATTTTGTTGAGGAACTAAACGAAGAAGATGAAGAAGAAGGCTATGATCTTGATGATTCACTATCAGATGATAGTATTCTTGACCCGAACTATACGGCTCCTTATTTATTATAGATATTAAATATCTATTTCTTTGAAAAAATTGTTATTAGATCTTATCAATTCTATATTATAACTGCATGTTGAAAAACCAAGTTCTTCTTTATTAGTAGTGAGTGAGCTATTCTTCTCGGTTTCGGAATGCAGAAAAATAGTGTCAAATTGAGGGTTTTAGCCATAATTCATAGGTGAGTATACAATTATTTAAAAAGCTGTTGTGTTATTGCATGGTACTCTTAGTATTGTCGCAGTTAACACAATTGTATCTGGGAAAATCTAGGTCACTTCAAGTGATACAAATATTCTTGTTTTTGCAGTTTTAAGAAAAAAAAAAAAAAAAAAAAAAACCTGTGTTGTAAGATACGGCCCCCTTTTTACGTCGTTTGACTTCGCCTTTTTCAATTGTTCTCTCTTTTTTTTCTGCAATAGTATATTCAGCAATGATGAATGAAAATAGCAAAAACGACGAGCAAGAGAATAGCGATACTGCATTTGACTGGCGTTTGAAACTGACAGAACAGTTTCTAGACAATAAGAATAATGCAACACAAAAAGCAGCAAAAATCACACGATTACCAACGCAGCAGCCAACGTCAACAACTTACATTTCTTCTTTATCAACTGAAGCAATGATTATACATTCGTCGCATAATACTGCTGTGCCTTTTAATGAGAGAAACAGTGCATATGAGGACTATATTGATCGTGAGTTTACCGAACGTAATGCTGCCATTTTAAAAAATCGGTTATCAGATGCAACTACATTACGGAACTCGTCTGCTTTTGCGAGTCAACCATCAGACAGCCAACAGCAACAGCAAGGGGATTTGGGTGACTATTTTAGTAGAGGCCGAACAGATAGAATGGCCGAAAAAAATCTAAACGTGACAAACGGCAATAATATTGTTACTGTAACAACACCAACGTTAAACGACAAAGATATTACAGATGTGGAAGCATCTCACTACTTCAATAATTGCTTGAATGTAGACAATGTTCATAGTGTTGATAAACAACAGCGGCCAGGATCTGCGGCGAATGATCATAATAGCATTGCCGGTGATAACAAAGACACCGAAGATACTAGTGATGCTGCTGAACCTGTCTGGTGGGTGGCTGATAAGGATGAAGGAGATGGCTTTTACTCTATCAGCGGCTTACTATTCTTATTGGGCTTTTTATTTCCCTTTTTTTGGTGGATTGGGTCAATCTGGCCAAAACACGTATTAGAAAAGGGCGGTAAAATGGCAGACCGTTGGCAAAAGTTGAATCAAATCATGTCCATAGGGTTTAGCACTATATTGCTTATTTTAGTGATTGTTTTTGCGATACTTTACGCGACTGATAGTGTTTGATGAAGATCAATTCATTTTATCAGCTCCTATCCAACATATACCCTTCAATGCAATCTGTTTATGCTGATCTTTTATTTTATTTTTTTCTTTCTCCTTTTCTTTTTGTAGGAAAACTGACATAGTAGTGAGAGTCATATTGATCTTATGTTTAATAAAAGAGTCAATGTGGGATATAAGTGGGAAAATTGTGGCGAAAATCAAAAAGAAAGAAAAGGCAGAGAGGTCAGAATGTTGTAAATCTTTCATTCGTTCAGATTTTTCTTTTATAAATAACATTGTTGATGTTACCGCCTATGCGAAAAGGAGATGGTTAATTATGAGTCTATGGATTTTTTGCTGTTATACGACTTACGCCAATCAGTGCGGTGTGGTAACTCCTCTGCGTATCTCCATTCTCCATCTACAACAAACTTAAATTCCATGTCCTTGTTCACATTAGGTATAGGTATTTCTGCAAAATAACGATTGGGGTTTTCAGTATCTTTGATCATATTGATGGAGACTATTTAAGTATTACAGTCATGTGAGTGTCCGTCCGTCTTTTTTCTTTTTTAAGTGTAAGAAAAAGTGGAAGGAGTCCCGAGTATACCTGACCAATTATCGAATTCTCCCGTAACTTGAACTTTATAACCACCGTGATTCCAACAAACCTGCTTGCGTACAAGTGTTAGTAATCTGAGAATATGTGTAATAAAGGCAATTAACGCAAAGACGGAGCTATACCTTAGTGTATACTGTTGTTTCAGCGGTGGCCTTTTGGTTATTCAAGTCATTGCCAGCGGTTGTAGGTGCAGACAGTATCTGCGAATTAGAAGGTGTAGAGTTATCATCAGAGTCAACATCTGTTGAAACGATGCTGCTATTTGCTGATGAAATACTGTTCCTATGGAGTGAAGGCGATGAGGACACCGCGAGCTCTTCCACTTCTTGCAGTTCCTCTTCTTGTTTTGCTACTATAATGGGCTCAGATGCCTTATTTTCACCAAACTCTTTAGGTAAGATGGTCCTTGCGTTTTGTGTTACTTGCTTTTGTATGTGTTCTCCTTCGTCTTCTTTTATAATCTCATTTACAAGTAATGATGATTGCTCTTGTTTCTGTTGTTGTTCTCCCATTAATGCTTCTTGTGCTTGTTCACTTTGTTTTGAATCATTACGTTCTTCAAAGATGGGTTGCTCTGGCGCTGTAGTTGCAATAGAAGAAGCTATAGATGAAACGGTTGCACTAGAGTTGCTTCTATTACTGATACTCAGCTTCTTTCTTGCTTTGGATGATTTGCTCTTTACTTTATTCGAAACACCAAACACTTTCAGAATAGAAAACCAACTTGGCTTTCTTTTTCTTCGTTCAGGTCTTTCATCATTCTCTGTGAGTTCACCGTCGGTTGAGGTGGTGTTAGCTGATTTGCTGTTTATTATATCATAATTTTGTGTGTCATCATCACTTGTAGTTGCGGTAGTTGTAGTAGCCAGACTTCCTTCGTTATTAGTATGACTGACTGTACTAGGTGATAATGGAAGAGCAAGCCAATCACGCATAATATATCTCAACAATTGTAAAAGGATGAATTTGACTGAAAAGGAAAGAAAAGTAGAAAAAGAAGAAGAAGACGAAGAGTAAGCCATTTTCTTTTTTCTGTGTGAAGGCCTGGAAATCCGTCGTTGTTGATAAATTTTGTATCCAAACTCCACTTTTCTTCAGCCAGTTTTTATAGTCGAGAGATATGAAAGTAGATAAGAGAAGGAAAAGGAAACGAAACCCTTGATTACGAAAGCTTCTCTTTTTATAGTAGCGAGCGTTGAAAGCATGGGTATTTTTGCCTTCTGCAACATTGATGCATTTTATCTATTAACGCAGTAACAGATTGAATTCAACCTGTTTGTTTGCATGTATGTTAAAACAACATATAACAATGAAACACTAATCTTTTGTTTACACACCAAAAGAATGTTATATCATTCTTCTAGTTGACGTTTTCAGCCCTCTTCTTTTCGTCGGTAAGTTACGTTTATCCCGTCGCTTCCATTTTGTTAACTTTAGCGGAAGATGCGGAATGAATAATACACTTTTTCTTTTCTAGAAATGAAATTGATAAGAACTTTAGATACAATGGAAACCGCATGATTGAACTTTATGACTCCTAAAAAATCAACTTTCAAGTTCTTACTAATCCTTTAAATAAATAACTTAGAAGGAAGGTGTCATTATTTTGAGTGAAAGGTACTTTGATACATTTGTTCAGGAACCAATTAAAAGCAAGGCATTTCCCGTTCTTTTCAAAGGAAAAAAAGACAGTAGTCGCAAGGCCAGTACACTGTTTGTTTTGATTAATAACAGCAGATAGTCACAGATTGGTTTTAAGCTTGCTAATAATCCCGTATATGTTTGTCAATAATTCAAGTGTCAAGCAATTAACCAAATTTATGCTGAAAAATTGCATGAACAATGAGGATCCCTCTCATTTTAAATTTCCGCGTTGTTTGCTCCAAGCTGAAAGCTCAATTGAGGCAAAAAACCTGGATTTTGCTTAAATGGACTCAGGAAGAATAAAGATGTTTTATTAGTAGTTCACTAGTCAAGTGCAAAGAAAGAGATTTTATTTGACTTTGGCTATGCTATGAACCATTTCCTATTGATAAAAGTTGAGATAAATATAAACGTTAGTTTCTTATCACCATCCTTGAATCTTTCAGTTGAAATTACCTCCTTTGAGATCAAATGGCAAGTCTTTTCGATCAAATTCAATAATGTGTTGATGTCATTCGACCAATTATTCAATATTTCATTTGCATCCTTCTTTGTTTGGAAATTGATGATTCCAGCTGTACGATCGATACGAGCATAAATTGTCTTTGAAACCACCAACTTGGACAAAAGCTCTTCTGTATCCTTCTCGCTCAAATCCAACAACTGCGTTAATCGTTTTGTGCTGACGCGAGTGTAATATTTGGCAATTACGCGGATGTTGTGCTCAACTACACGATGATGAAGCTCCTTCCATCGCTTTTGTCCATCTTGGGTGGATTTATCAAAAGCCATATGCTGTTGTGTAAGAAGAGGGCCGTAGGTTTGTTCTATCTCAGTCCAACGCATGAGCTCGACAGTTACAAAGCATTTGACAATTTGCTGATACTCAGGGATATAAGCTAATTTGGGGTCTTCATAAAGTCTGTGTAATAAATCCGATTGCTCGTTGTCATAAGGTGCCAACACAATGAACAAAACTGCATTTTGAAGTGCGGCTTTCCATTTAGCTTCATCTTGTTGAATTGATTCTGAGTCGTAGATCTGTTTGTAGAATTTGTGAACATTTAAATATTGATCTTCATGTAAAGCATGTTGTATCATTAACTCATAGTATCTAAGTTTGAGATCCTGTAATATTTAGGCAGCTGAGCATCAGTTGTCTTTGGTTCTTTTCTATATTAAAATCCAATCAGTAAATTGCTTACTTCGTTTTCTTTGTCTTGGAAAAATCTGGTATTAATCTTCTTAGAAATAATCTGCGTTCTGATATAATCGGATTTGGCTAAACAAAGTCTCATCTGTTCCAGAATAAAATCGACCTTTTCTCTTTTATCCATGGAGCCAAATGTTTCAACTTGGAGTTCTTGCAAAATATCAGCAGCTTCTGTGATTTTGCCCTCATCCTCACGAATTTTGGAGAGAAGACGAGTAATACGGGCACGTTCGACTTCAACATAAATTTTACCATCAGTCACTGTACGAAGTGTATCAATTAGTTCGAGTTTAGTATCCATATCAGGAGTTGAATCAAGATAACTCATTGCTTCTTGAATCATTTTAGATGTAGCCTGATTGAATTCAAAGAAAAAGTCAGTTTGGTTTTTTTTGGCATCTTCGTTGTTTGTTTTTGTGTTGTCGTTTTGAATGCTTACAGCTTTCAGTTGACCGTGCTTTTTTGATAGTAAAACAATTTGCTCATTCATGAGTTTCCATTCATTGGCTTCTTGGCATAATTTAACAACTTGAACAAGGATACGACCAGTCGACGCCTGATCAGCAGCCTACATGCATAGACAAAGTTAAAATCGGGGAAGGTTAGTTTGTTTGTTTTTCAAATCTGCTGAAGTGCATCTGTTTAAAAGTTAACATACATTTCTGGCTTGCTTTTCCAAAGATAACAATTTTTCAAGTGCTTCATTCAGTTTGCCTTGCTAATAATATTCATCGTTGAAAGACAAAAAGAAAGTTCAAGGTGAATAAGCGCGTACTTTGATATCGTTAAGTTTCCATTGAAGCTAATTATACGCAATGTACCTTAGTTAATCCTTCAGTTTCAGGCAGCAAGGCGTCAACCTGAGGACTGAAGTCCTTTTCCATTTTCTCCAGAGATCCGTCAGACATTCTTTGTTATAATTACTTTAAGTTGAGAGAATCAGTGTAGAAGGGAAAAAAGCAGAAGCTTACGTTTCTTGCTTGAATTGTAGACTTCTCAAGAACACGTCATTCTTATTCGAACTCAGTGTCTCCCCTTCCTTTTTCGATTTAGAAGACGCGAAAAAAAGAATTTTTAATCCTGTACCTGAAACGCAGTGCTGCTGTTATAAGCGAGCCGAATTAGAAACAGTGAACATGAAGCATATTCTTGCGTTATGACCAGATTATTTAAATAGCATATACTACTACTATTCTGGGAAGCACTAATAGCGTATTGTTGATTACGATGTAAGCTCAAATTCTGTTTAAAGACAGCTTTTTTTTTATTCGTTTCTTTCTTTTTATATGCAGAGAGGAATGGAATGTGTAGGTTTGGAGATACTATTACAGCACTATGCATGCGATGATGGGCTCCACTACAGTATAACGCAAACAACCAAAAAAAGGGGAATTACATAGAATAGTGGTCAATTTTTCCTTGTATCTTCAATTGTCGTAACTTCTTCAAGCTTTGATTCTTTTGGTTGATACTCATTTACTAATTGCTTATGAGCCACAGTTAACTGAGCTTCCAAATCTTGAATTCTTTGTCTGTTACGTTCTTCTTTTTCTGCTGTATGAATCACTTCACTTTCCAGCACAGCTAGCTTAACTTTTAGTTGCTCATTATTAGCTCTAAGCACCTCAACACGCTTTTCTAACGTTTCCATTTTGACCAGCTTTCGTAACCGTGACCTACGTGCCGCATCTGTATTACGCTGTCTTTTTAATAGAACGGAGTCGATGCTGGGTAAGTTGTTGTTTTCTGACCTATCAGCATGCTGGCGGCTCCGTTTTCCTTTGTTATTGCTGGTGATATGCTTGATTGTACCATTCTCTACACTCAGTACGGGTGAAGGCAACGAAGAAGGAGGAGGTTGGATTAGTGGTATAGTATAAAGAATATTTGTTGTAGATGATTGTTTGGGTGACAATGGCTGTTTATCAGTTGTTCCTATGTTAGGTGTTTGTTGTTGCTGCCTTTCATGTAATCGAATTGTACTCAATATTGAATAAATTTTTAATAAGGACAGCAAACTGTGTGGCAACAGCTGTTGACCATCTAACTTGCGAGTGTCTATCGGTGTATGGGTATTGCTATTTCGTTTTTCACTGCACTGCGACGGTTCAAAAGTTGAATAACGCTCTTCATCAGGAGAAGGCAATGATGAGGCAGGATTGGAGCTAGATTTTTCATTTGTAGGAGCGCTGTTTTCTTCACATTTAATCAGTTTTGCTTGGCTGAAAAGAGTTGATTGCTCCAAGTCATCCTCTAACCACTTATCCAAGGAATTGTTATCCAATTTCCAAGATGACGAAGGGATAGGATGGTCTATGGAAACTGTCTGTTCTTCGCGTTTTGAGGACATTTTATACGGTGAAAAAAATATGCTCTGCGTTGGTAATATAGTAAAACTTATAGATATGGAAGAGAACAAGATTCAGTTACAAACTGTTAACAGAGGTGACCTTTTTTTTTCTTTTTTTTTTTTGTTCTTTTATTTGGAACGCTATATCCTCGCTTCTCAGTTCTCTAACAGACAATAATCTATATCACAAACAGGCATGAACTTAATTTTGATTGGGCAATTTGATGACAAGTTTTGTCTCCTTTGATGGTTGTACGTTATGATTGGCTGTGTGCAGATTTACGAATCGCTTCTTCCATTGAAAAAGCTTAATCGTTTATAGTATCTGTAATTGGTTTCGTTATTCTGTATAAGGGCACATTTATCATTCATAGTCATTGAACAATTAGCAGATCAAGATTAAATATCCTTTTTAGCTTGGATCTGGTGTTGATATGAACAGTACTTGGTAGGATTAAACAAAATCAAGAAGCAATTACAGTACCTGAGTAATTTATAGTGAACGAAAAGACAATGTGTATATTTGTCTGAAGCAAATCAGAAAAGGCATTGACCAATTCATGCACAATTGAACACTATTTGATGACCAATGAAATCTCGAAATGCCTTTTTACGAGTTTTCACTATGACTAATACCAGTGGACCGATTTTTCGACAAATTCTATAGACATTGAGAAGTAAAGTGCATCCTCAAAGCAACACTTATTTTGAATTTTACGGTTTCACAGTATAATTCCTGACTGTGATTGTTGCTTTTTACCAACAAGCTATATAAATGTTCAAGGTATTCAGTTTGATACATAACTTGGACCACAACTGATGATAATAAGAAGGCCCTTCTTGAAATAGAATATTTAACGTGGACTGACTCAGTATCTGCTATAATCAATTGCAAATTGCATCCAGACCTCCCTAGGATCAGCGTTTGTATTGATGTTATACAGCGCACGTCTACTTTGCTTTGGACGAAAATAGCTATATCTGCAGGAAAGTTAGATCTCACCATTAACTAACCGATGAATTCTATTGACAATTGCGCTGTTTACTCATCCCGTATGGGCAATGTTTCTGGGTAAATAAGAAAAGCGGCTTCGATAAGGATCAGTGACTAACTTGAAACTGGACGAAGCGCAAACAATAGTTTTGCTACATCTCATAAACAAATTAAGATGATATCACTGATGATGAGTGTATCTTCTTTGCCAATATAGCTTGGGCACGTTCATCAAGGATTTCTTTTTGATCTTTTAGAAGATATGATAAACGACAATGATCTAGCACTCCTGATAATAAAAAGCTGGTTATATTGACTTCTAATTATGTTTTACACACATTTAGGCACAATACAAAACAAACCTCTAGGAAGGAAAAGATCAAATTTTCGTGTAAATAAGTAACAAATGATATATCTTTTGACCGCTCATATGAGATTGGCCATCAAATTTGCTTCTCGATGAACTGTATTGATAAGTCTTACGCCCAAATAATATTTGCCTTCTATAAACTTAAGTGCTCTTGCTTCAAAAACCGAACCCAGTACAGCTCTCAGTATAAAGGGGGGAAAAAAATGCTTTACAACTAAAACTGAAGAAATTTATTAAAATAAATAGAAAGAACAATAAGCGAAGCAAATGATTAATAGCATAGGACTTTTTAATACGGGCAATTCTTTTAAAAGCAATTCTTCTTTTATACTGTAAAGATAAGACAATCTATTCGATAGTCCACAAGGCTGACTGTTCATTTTTTTGCTTTAATCCAATACGATCGTCATCTGCTTCATTGTATGCTGCAGTTTTCTCTTCTATCTGTCTACCCTTCATTTCGAAACCATGCAGACTCTCTGTATCGATAGCTTCATGATCTGTTTTGTCATTGACTTGTCGTCGCTTGTAAATTGAGTTACCTTGGAATAAGTAGACTCCTTTTCTGATATTGATGAGGCATTTGAATGCTACCGTTATGGTGATCAGAATCAGCACGGCAGCTATTACTGTGGTAAAAATAAGGAACTGCCTTGTATGCAAGTAAGGATCATAACCATTTATACGGGGTCTAGCAATAATGACGATTCGATAAATGAAGTAAATGACGGATAAGCAGCCTCCACAAATGAATGCTCCCATAGCATACAAGTTTTCTTGATAAACAGCAATTAAAGCTAGTGATAAACCGATACTACCAAACACAAATACCAAAACTGTTTCAGTAATTGAGTCGTTGTAGCCTAGTAGTTTAGAAGGGATCAACTGAGCAGCAAATCCAAACACAAAGAAAAAGTCCAGTTTGAGCAGGGTCAAAAGTAAGCTCATCTGAATCAAAGCACTTCTTACTCTATTTGGATGTTGAATCATATAGTTAGTGAAATATGCTACCTGGTTAATCGGAATTTGTAGTTTTCCTTGCTTCTGGCTTTTAGCAGCTTGCACTTATTGTAGTTACCGTGTATCTGCTGAAAAGTTTCTGTAATTATCCCAAGCAAATTGTTTTCGTAACCTCCATCCGAAGTATGCCAAAGCTAAGAAGCATGCCGGAATAAGTGCAATAATAGTGTATTCAATTGGTCTCATAATACTTCTATAGAAGTCTTTGGCTGAGTCCATTCCGAATAAACTGTCTTGCCAGCGTGAATCTACTGGATGCCAAAAAGCTTCATTACCGCTATGGATAGAACATCGTCAGTGCATTTACTGTCTAATCTGTAAATATAAAGTGACTAGGTGGAGTTACTGACCATACTGCATTTTCCAAAATAACATGTTGTTGAAGTTGAATGATTGCGTAACTATTTTCAAGGAACCTTGCTCAGTCATTTTGTATTTTTACTTTTACAGTAAGGATCATCATTATCAGTCTCACTTACACTATAAAGCAGAGAATTTGTTAGAAACCAGACTATAACAATTGACAATCTAAACTGCAAATAATTTGGCTAAAGTGTGATCTACGTACCTACGACCAATAAGCCAAATGTGATTAAAGCACAAAGTTGAGCTAAAGTTGTAGAAAAGAATGATTAAAAGGTTGCTTCTGCAGTGGGTAAAATTACTGACTAAACTCTTTAATTGTAGTATTTGCTTTCTTGCTTTCTACAGATTACGTACCTGTATTTCTCTGATATAACGCGTCCACACATAGGATAACCTGAAATATATGTGCGATAATGAACAAGGAATGATAAATCAAATCAGACTCGCTTACGCCTAAGGTATTAGTTAATAGCAGTGTTGATCAGATATTGTAGTCTTTTAACTATTGCTGCCTCAATGCTTCTCATACCAATTCCTGCTGAGTCTGGGTTACAGTTCTGTACTAGACCTAGATGATGCATTATCACCATACCTTCCAATATGCTAATGATGAAGGCCTCAAAGGTGACCAAGCATATTATTACACTCGACTCTTTTGACCGGAATAGTGGACTATCCTTTAGCTCCATTTTAGCTCTGTTAATTGATGGAGATCAGCAAATTTAAAGTGAATCTAATACAGAAAAGAAAGACAGCAAGAGGATCAAAAGAGGTCAAATAACCTTAAATATAAAGTTTGGGCTTTTATTTACTTTTAAAACAAGCACTTTTGATTTTACCCACAATGTATACATGTATTTCACTAAATAAAGCATCGGTGTTGATCGCTCACTGTAGAACATGATCATTAACAACTTATTATTGATTGCTTTCTGTTTACAACAGACAACCTTATTTATATACAATAATAACATCTCACTAGATTGCTATAATTCAAGCCTGTTGGTTTCCAAAGAAATGCATGTATATTAACAAGCAGCTATTCATAGTCTAATAAGTAGAATACGAATTCAAAATAATGGCTTTTTTGTTTTGCAAACTTGCAAGCCCAAGTGTAACCTAGATGTAGTGTAACAGTAGTAATTGTTACTCTCAAACCGAGAAAAAGACAATTTTCGATGCGTGTCAGCCATAAAAGGGTACGGCTGTAACCGTCCTTTTAAATGATCGAAACAGAGTGAAGAGTCTTACTTACTCGTGATGTTCGGGATCAATTCATTATTGCAGCACATTTTTGACTTCCAGAAGCTTTATGGTTGACATGATGACAAATTCAATTCTATTTGCTCAGTCGACAAATACTTTATTAGCAGTTTACCATTATTCTGTTTATATGCATACTGCTGTTTCAATTGCAGCAATTAATCGTAACAATTAGTATATTTCCTGAAGAATATATGCTTTTGTAAATATCAACTTCACAGTTTCTATATTATTTTTGCCACATTGGTTTCGTTATTCTAGCGAATGATGTTATATGCTCTTTCCAGACTCCATCCAATTGCAAGTCATATAAGATACACCTCCTATTACTATCACCAACATAAACAGTTGACCTTCCGTTTACAGTTATATACTCATGGCATATGCTTCACAGATATGAACTGACTCCTATAGTAATACCACTCCAAATGGTACAGAATAAGTGGTTTCCTTTCGATGGGTTATATGCCATAATCTCTTAAAAGAGTTGATATATCCCTACTAAAAAAGATAAAAAAAATAAGGAATACGTAAATGAGGCTTTACTCTCGTTAGGCTCTAGTGCGCAAAACCTTTTATGTTGCCATTAAGTTCAGATCCGAAGCTATGCCTTCCAAGGGAATCTCAACAATTTAACCAGCACCGATCTTTGTTAATTCAAGCGTCTCGTTTATTATTATCGCTGGTTATTGCATTAATTCAGGATATAGCACTGGCAAATAAGTAATCAATTTTTTTCTTATGACTTAACGTTACTTAGATGGCCTTAGATGATACATAGGTATACCAAGTCAAAATACAAAAAAAAAAAAAAAAAAAAAAAAAAAAAAAAAAAATCTATCAGAACACCAAGTCCACCTTTTCGAAAAGCGTAAACTTGTTCCTCTGATCTATTTCGTCCTGGCGAGCTGTTTCACCAATGTCTGCTCGGTACTTTGGTTGTGTCTGTGAAAGCCGTTCTTAATCGAACAAAAATTAATCAAGTCGCCATCAAGGCTGAATTGTATAGCAGTTTGTTGTACGCAGTTTCGACTTTGTAGAGAAGCTTACAGATACACATTCTATTTGAGTGAATTGTCTTCAAAAATTAGATGAAATAGGATAATTGTCAAACTCGATTTTAATAAAAGTGCTGAAAAATAAACGCTTTTAACTTTTTTTACAATGATCAATAATTCGAACAAATTTTCAAATATTTACACCTCCATATAATTACTACTTCAACGTATTATAACTGCTGTTGAGGCTATTTTGCAAACTTAAAACGGTATTCCGTAAAATTAATTCCTTATCTATGAATCGACACATAATGTATTTTTGGAATTACAATTAAACTTTCATTGTCGAAGTATAAATTTGACACATAGATGTTTGTCATTGCTTTTTTGAATACTCTAATACCATCTATATCGGTAGTATGCGCATCGAATGTGTAGAGAACAAATTTTTTGCGCTCTATGGTATCAAATGATTGACAGTCAGCATGCAAACGGCAATGCAACTGTGGTAGCACAATATTTGTGTGCAGCTGTTTTATGAAAGACAGGTTTGACAATCTCATTGAGCATGTCCTCTCGACACGATACACAGGAAAATCCATTTGATTGCCAATGAATAATATCTCTCAAACTAGCCACTCTTCCAGTCCACGACAGCGTCTTAGATCTTTAAATACTAGATTGGTTCGTAATAACGGAACGAAAAGTATCAAACGAATACGGGAAAATTAAATGAAGCTGATAAAACTGAGTTGAAAATGAATGAGAAGTCCTTTAAATTGTAATTAAACCGTAGCAGATTTGATTTTCCCTTTGCCATAAGCAAAACATTTAATTCACTCAATCACCCTTCTTTTTGAAACAGATATTCAAGCATTATTATCAATTCAAGAAGTTATAGCAAATTCAATGAGTAAAGTGGAGTCGAGAATTCAGTTGCTGACAAGCTTGCCGAAATTGAATACTGGAACAATTATTCCTTTCTACCAACAGCATCATAACAATAGCGAAGGAAATCGTAAAACAGCAGCAGTTCCTTATAAAACAAGAGCTAGGAAGAGCCATGATCTAACAAGCTATTATGCAGATAACAGGAGTAGTTTTGCTACTAACTCTATCATCAACTCATTTACAGCTTATACACCGCCATCGTCGCCCAATCGAAAGGACCGTTTGCGGTCTTCGATCAAAAGTACCAAAAGTAACCAAATACAAGCAAAATCTAGAGCTGCAACAATCAATACTTTAGCTACTGAATTGACACAAATGTTTGAAGATGTTCTTCAACAATACAACGCTGCTGAAACAAAATGTAAAAAGTCAGACAGTGAAATGATCTTGGCACTTAATGTACAGTCAAATATGTATGAACAGCGTATAAACGAACTGCATCAGCAGATAGAAATAATGCAAAGCGAGAGAACAAAGCGATTTTCTGACGACTTTATAACAGATCTCATTCATAATTACACAGATACACATGAGGATGATAAGGAAGACTCACAGTATGATGTGCTGCAAATACGGCAATTACTGGAGGCTAATGAGCGAACTATGCAAACTTTAATTACTCAATACGTTTGTAGTTTAGAAAAAGAACGACTCGAAAATAAAACGTTAAGGGAGTTAATTGAAAAGCAGGATAAGCTGATCTCTATTCTACAAAAGAAATTGAGTGATAATAGCCCATCGACAGCAAATATTACTCGAAATGATAGGCGTAGAGGATATCAATCAATACATAATAGCGAGAAACTTTTGAAAGCGCAACTGGAACTTCAAGGAATTGAATTGGAGGATAAAAAAAAATTGCTGTCCGTCCTCATTGATGAACGTGATGGTTTACTTAAACAAGTGAACGAACTCAGAACTTTGTCATCGGCAGAAACAATAGGCATCCCCAAAAACCGAGTAAATGACGAAATCACACTGAAAGACGACCAACAACGAGACAGTGTAAACTCAATCGATATTTTGGCAAGGATTGCTCAATCATCAACTCCAACTTTGCCTGAATCACCCACTCTAAGACAAACACCAACCTCACTTTCGCTAAAAAGCAAGTATTCCTATTTTGTTGATCAAACAGCAATACCGCAAAGCCCTCCTCCAATAAGCCCACTGCCACCCACACCAACTTCACAGCAACCACAGCAACCCACTTTCCTATTGTCAAAATGTCATAGCCAACGTGTACAGTCAAGTTGTCGAGAGCATTTTGAAACGCAATATCGGAATTCAATGCAAGAGCATCGGCATCCTTCATCCACGTCTCCTTTGAAGGTAGATAATATTCCTTCGTCAATACAAACGAGTGCTTCAGTTATCAAGCCTAATAATCCCAATACGACTACAACTACAAAACCTGCGCACCATAATTATGGAAGTCTTTTCAAAGAAGAAGTAGTGCATTCTCATAACAAGAACCACCGTCATTCTTTAACCTTATCCTCCATAATCAAAAGTTTTAAAAGGCATCCATGACATTGAAGATGCTCTACTCCGTAACTTAATGTTTGCAATATAATATACCCTAATAATACTTACAAGATTTTGCTACTTTGCCCTTCTTCCAGATCCTAATAAATAGCTACGTCCGAAATTTATCTTGATTTGATGCCTACAGTAATTTGTCGTAAAGGATTCATAGACATCGCATTCATAGTAATAATTCTTTTTATCTATTGCACCTAAAAAGGAAGAAAAAGGTTCAAAGCAAAACTGTCTGTGACGCTTAGCGGAGTGACGCACCAAATGACGCATGCGCTGCTTTTGTGTTGCGCGTCCCAATTTTCCACTGTCAGATTTCCGAGGATATTCAATTGAAACGCGAGGCAAACGACAAAGAGATTGCACCTTTTACCTTCTCTCAACGCTTCAAATTTGTAAAAGTAATAATAATGGTTAACGAAAAGAAAGATGAAGTATCAAAGCCTTCAGAGGCCGTAGGTGATGAAAAGGATCTTAAGAACGAAAAGAAGGATAAAAATGACAAGAAGGCTGAAGAAGAAGAAGAACTGGTAAAAGCGTGAAAACACTTCAGTTTGAATGAACCCTACTGATTTTACATTTGGTTTTGTATAAATTAGTCAGAAGAAGACCAACAATTAAAAAATGAGTTGGAATTGATGGTTGAACGTTTGCAAGTAAGCATCTACAACTTTTTTTGCGTTCCTTAAATTCGACAGCTAACATCGGTCTGCTAATTTATAATCTTTAGGATGAAAATACAGAGCTTCATCGCCCTGCACTTGAACACTTACGTACAGCTATCCGCACTTCAACAAGCTCGATGACATCTGTACCAAAACCTTTGAAATTCTTGGGTAAATGGTATCCTTTGATGAAGAAACTTCATGAATCTTGGTCAGACTCTTCCGACAAAAAGCTCTTTGCCGATATTTTGTCAGTCCTTTCAATGAGTTATGGGGAAGAAGGACAACGTGAAACATTAAAGTATAGATTCATTGGATCGGATGAAGAGGATATTGGTTCTTGGGGACATGAGTATGTTCGACATTTATCCAGCGAAATAATGCAAGAATATCAATCACGACTTGAGAATGATCAGCCTACAGACGAATTGATTCGCTTGGCTCTTGAAATTGTACCTTTCTTTCTTAAACACAATGCTGAAGCAGATGCTGTTGATCTTTTACTTGAAGTTGAATCCATCTGTCAAATTATTCAATTTGTAGACAAGAACACTTATGAACGAGTATGTCTTTATATGGTTGGGTAAGTATTGTTTTATACATATGAATGAAATTAGTATTTTATTACTTCCTTTCAAGTAATTTAACGTTACTTTATAGCTGTGTCAATTTGTTAGCACCTCCCGATGATCTTGAATTTCTCAAGACAGCTCGAGCAATTTATCGCAATCAAGAAAAATGGGCACAAGCACTCACCCTCTCTATTCGTGTTGGTGATATGGATTTGATTAGAGAGGATTTCGAACAGTGCCCTGATCCGTAAGTTTTGTCCTTGATTGCAGTCTTGTAGGATGGAAGGTCTAATTGATGGAAAATATTATACTTATAGTTTATTAAAAAAACAAATGGCATTCCAACTTGCACGTCAGCAAATATATATAGAAACAGAAGATGCAGACCTCAACGCTTGCATTAATAACTCCAATCTTTCCAGTTATTTCCTTTCGCTTGCTCGTGAATTAGATGTAATGGAACCCAAAGTACCAGAAGATATCTACAAAAGTCATTTAGAAAATCATAGAACTGCCTTCAGTAGCAATATCGATTCCGCTCGAAACAATTTAGCATCTACTTTTGTCAACGCCTTTGTCAACGCAGCATTTTGTAAAGATAAACTTATGGTAACAGAAGATGAAAGCGATTCTTCTTGGATTTATAAGACCAAGGAGCATGGTATGACCAGCGCCACTGCTTCGTTGGGTATGATTTGTCTTTGGGATATTGAAAATGGTTTAAGTTTGATCGACAAATATATGTATTCAACCGACGATCACATTAAGGCTGGCGCTTTACTTGCCATTGGTATTTTAAATACTGGTGTCCGTGAAGAATCAGATCCTGCCTTGGCTTTATTGTCCGAACATTTGGAAACTGGCAGTGTTTCTATCAAGCAAGCTGCAATTTTCGGGTAAGCTTACAGTTCTATTCCAGTTAGGTTTTTTGTCAGTGAGCGATATTGTAATGGACCTTAACATATATTATAGCCTTGGTCTCGCTTATGCAGGCTCTGCCCGTGAAGAGATTTCAAGCCTTCTCCTACCATTGGTTAGTGATACTACTCTCTCCATGGAGATTTCCTCATTAGCTGCCTTGGCACTCGGTTTAGTGTTTGTTGGCACTTGTGATGGTGATATTACTAGCACTATTTTACAAACAATGATGGAGCGTGAAGACAATTATCTTAAGGAATCATGGTCCCGTTTCATGGCTCTTGGTCTCGGTTTATTATACCTTGGTAAACAGGATGCGTCGGATGCTACTTTAGAAACTTTGAAAGCCATCGAACATCCACTGGGCAAGCAGGCTGAAGTTTTGGTTGAAGCGTTATCATATGCTGGAACAGGCAATGTGTTGAAGGTTCAAAAGATGCTCCATCTATGTAATGATCACTTAGATAAGGAAAAGGACGACGATACTTTTCAAGGATTTGCTACCTTGGGTGTTGCGTTGATCGCTATGGGTGAGGATATCGGCTCAGAGATGTCTTTGCGTACATTCAATCACCTGGTAGGTCTCTCATCCATGTGTGTGTTATATTGAATGAGAATTAGGCTATCTTTATTGACGCCCGATTTATGAACCGATAGATGCATTACAGTGAACCTGTTGTTAGAAAAGCAGTTCCATTAGCATATGGTCTGCTTTGCGCTTCCAACCCACAAGTAAACATTCTTGATACACTTAGTAAATACTCTCACGACAACGACGGCGATGTTGCTATCAGTGCTATTTTCGCTATGGGCCTTGTTGGCGCCGGTACTAATAATGCACGTCTTGCCCAGATGTTAAGACAACTTGCTAGTTTTTACCATAAGGATGCTCCAAGTTTGTTCATGGTTCGTATCGCTCAGGGTCTTTTGCACATGGCTAAAGGAACTATGACGTTGAACCCCTTTCATACTGATCGTCAAATCATGTCTCCTGTCGCCATCGCTGGTTTAATGACAAGTATTATAGCATTCACAGATCACAAGACATGTAACTATCCTTGATCAACATTATTACTTCGTTCGATATTCGATATTAACATTATTTGTCGACGCATCTTGTTTTTAGTTATGTTCGGAAAACATCATTACTTACTATACTCTTTGGTTACTGCTATGTATCCACGATTCCTGATTACATTCGATGAATCCGTGGAAAGCTTGCCAGTTACTGTACGTGTCGGTCAAGCCGTAGATGTTGTCGGTCAAGCTGGTCGTCCTAGGACAATTACAGGCTTTCAAACACACTCAACACCTGTCCTGTTGGCTCACTCAGAACGTGCTGAGCTTGCGACCGAAGAATGTAAGTTCCATAGTGTTTTACAGTCAACAATTTATTTGGTACTAATTATTTTTCTCTTTCCTTAGATTTACCTCTGGCACCAGTGTTGGAAGGTATTGTACTTTTACGAAAGAACCCAGAGTATATGGAAGAGGACCAAAAATGAGTGTAAACCGTACAAGAAGTACCACATTTTCAAAATTCCGACCCATTGCACTAATAAAAAAAGAATAGTAAAAAACAAAACCATAACACTGAAAAAGGATTGAATATTTGGACGTTTAAGTCTATTGTACATGCTTTTTATTTATGATCGTGAATTTGCGTAGGCAATGAGTTATTGGTGCTTATCTCGTGGAATCCAAAGTATGGGTTGTAGACCTTAATTTTGCGTTTATAGGATCAACCTTTTTGTTTAATTTGTTCAATTGCTTATTTTGGCTGGTAAGCTCATCGTTCATACCGGTGGCTATTATTTTCAAACGAGAAGTAGCATCACTTAAAAGATCAAGATTTTGATCGATCTCGTCTTCAATCGCGTCGTCTTCTTCATCCGCTTCAAACTGGTATTTATTACGATCTGCTCTAGAGCGACTCTTACGAAAACCTTCCTTTTCTGTTTGTCTGGAGCCTAGTCTTTGTGTTTCTGCTATACGTGCAGAAGAGTCGTATTCGAATTGACGAATTTGATTCCGTTCGGCCATATGTTCTTCATGAAGTTTTTCGATTTCTTTTCTTTGTTTAGAATCTCTACTGAAGGGATTTTTCACAACAGGTATGAAAATTGATCGATTTAATTTCTTCAGCTCTCCAGCTTGAGCGGAAGCACGGTCAGTATAGGCCTTAGATATATCCATATTACGGTTTATGTTTGCAATTTGTGCTACGCGAAGAAAGAAAAAAAAAAAAGTTAATCAATCTGATTCTCTTTCATGCTTTTTTTGCCTTTCTTTTGTTTATTTGGTTACTTGATTGAGTTCCTAACATATTCATCGTAGTGACAGCAGAGGCCTCAGCCTCGTTGATTTTTTGTAGTGCATTACGAGTACTTGCTAATGAGTCCTGTTTGACATTGCGAATCTGTTGCTGAATCTGTCGTACCTCGGGATCTTCTTCTTCAGCAAAAGCACTGTTATCATGCGCCTTAGAAGTATTGTTCGGGCTTCTTTCATCATTATATCCACCAAAAAGGTCGTTCCTATTCTGTTCGAAATCTCGGTTGCCTATTGTACTTGAAGGAGCAGAACTGTTCTTATCTTCATAGATTGATTCGCTAGCAACAGATGCGGTCGATGATGCTAGCATTAAATCCACACCCTTTTCATCGAAGGGATTATTGGTGTCTGTTTTGCTTTTATCTTTCTTCTTCCAGAACTTCATCTTTAATTAAGATTTTTTAATTGATGAAATCGAAAGAGAGAATAAGGTTAGTTAAATTTGGCATGAAAGTCAACATGTTTGACATTTGCGGAGAATAAATTATACGAATTTCGTAACAGTACCAAAATGTCGTTCAAATCCTGTTTCTTTTTTGTTGTTCTCTTTCCGACATGACAGTTCACAAGCAACTCTATAACGGGACGAACATCCCTGTACTAGGCTGTAAATTCACCATGCTAAAATTGATGAAGTTTTATTTGTAACGCAATTGTTTTAGTGGGGACTTATAGGATGCAGACCATTGAAGAATTACGACCTGTTGTCTTTGAAGCTATACGCGCTGGCTATCGGTTGATAGGTGAGCATATCATATTTCAATATCTGTCAAGCTCAAAATCATTGGCATTCTGACATCTTAATAACTGGAAAGATTCGGCAACCGTTTACAGAAATGAACATATTTTAGGTCAGATATTAAAAGAAGTATTTGCTGACCCACAGTTTAACATCAAACGTAGTGATCTCTTTATAACGTCCAAACTTGGTAAGGAAAACCTATTAGTACTTGAAATGTTCTTCTACGACTTATTTTATGCATATAGCACCAAAAGATCAAGGGTATGATGCCTGTTACAAAGCTGTAATTGACTCTCTGAATAGATTTGAGTTGGATTATTTCGATCTTTATCTGATCCACTGGCCAGGGTACAATTTGATTTTTTATACTGGATAACTCATACTAGTGTCCTAAACGAAATAATTACTTTAATTAATAGCACTTCTAAAACGAAGTTATTGGATCCTATAAATGAGGAAAACCGTACAAATAGCTATAGGGCTCTGGAGCAATTATACAACGAAGGAAAGCTTAATCACATCGGGGTTTCCAATTACACTGAAAAACATCTAAGGCACTTGCTAAGCGTTTGTTCCGTTGTTCCTCATGTACATCAATTTGAACTTCACCCATGCCTACATCAACCCGAATTATTAAAACTTTGCAGCGAGAACAATATACAAATACAAGCATATTCTAGCTTAGGTGAAGGCGCTTTAATCAATGGTAAAATCAAGATTGAATGCTTGGATAATATTGCAAAAAAGCACAATGTTAGTGTTGCACTTGTCCTTTTGCGCTGGTCAGTTCAACATGGTAGAGCTATAATTCCCAAAACAAGTTCAACCGCCAGAGTTCGAGAAAATGCAAATGTATTTTCCTTCGAACTTTCTAAAGAGGTAAGAAAATCTTCTTTAATAATGGTACCGTAAATTAAACATCCAATTTGTATAGGATATGCGATTGCTTGACGAGATCCATACGTATGAGCAACATCGCTTCTGTTGGGATCCTAACGGTGTCTACTGAGAAGCTATAGTTTCCAAGCTCCATTATCCATTTCTAAGAATAACTTCAGACAATTGCAACTACCAATTTTTGCACTTTCCAATAATCTATTAAAGCTTTTCATGTTTAACAGAACATGATAATTTCGCGATGCTGCTTTCTGTAACGCATTACTTGCCGTATATCTATATTAGTCTTCATAGAATAAGCGGATTAGTTCACAACCTGATAGATACTGTGATCTAGCTTTATGAGACATGATAAACACACATGTATTAAAGTCTGCTAATAGGGGTTTATTTCAAGATGTCACGTCACAGATAAGAATTCAACTACCCGCAATTATTTCAAGCATAAACAGTTGTCAGCTCGATGAATGCTCTCCATCTTGCTATAAATAAAGGATGAAAGAGACTCAATCACTTAGTTCAAATTATTGATCAAATTAACGTCGATTCTAATCTTCGAATATCACATAGTCTGATAGAATAAGTAAACTAAATATTCAATGATAACCTGCTCAACCTTATATGAAAGAGGTATGAAGGTCTCGTACAACATGTGTACGAGACAATTGCATTTCATATGATCCTGTCAGCTAAACACAACACATAATTCACGGTAATAATAACTAGAGTTTATATAGTTTCTATTAATTTTCTGGTCTGTAATATTGCATGATTACCAGTATCATGAAAAGTCCACCTCTAATATTTGTATATCATCTTCCTTAAAATACGACACACCCCACCGTAAGTTTGACTTTTGTGATCGTCTTACTGTCATTTGTGACTCTACAAAACAACACTTATAATTTACATAGAGAACTATACTACACTGATAAAGTCGTTGCTGTCATGGCTGATGTATAAATGGAGGTGGCGATTGCTACCATCATTGTGTAAGTATAACGGCAAGTGGCTTACGTAGCTGACTATGAGATCTTTTCCCGAGATAAGACAAGATTAAGAGTTAGTGTTTAAATACTCTGAATAAATGAACTACAACAATACATACTAAGTATTCCTTTTTTAATAATTAAATAGATGGGTCAATAAATGAGAAGGTAGTGATTCCGGAAGAACAGTTAAGATTAGTACAGAGTAGGGATAATGTACGTAGTGTGGTATTCGCTGATTTCAACTATAAGGATGATAAAAAGAATAGGACAAGATGTATTCAGAATTATTAGGGTGCTGAATTTTGATAAGTTGCATGCACTCAAGATCCGTGTAATACTTGCGCACTTCCATGAGATCCAATAAGAGATCACCAGAAGAGCGCGAAACGCGATAAACGCGTGAATGAAATTCACTATAGGCAGTATCTACATCCAAATCAGAGGGGTCTCAACGCCTTTATGCCGCGCTTTGACCTATAATTTATAAATACATCCTTAAGATTTACTGCTTTAAATGAGGTACAGTACACGGGAATAATTCAGGTTTCAGGCACACTTTAACCTTACTGGTACTCTCGATATCTCGCAGTGGCGTTGTAATTCCATTAGCAGGAACGGCATGACTCGGTTGTCACCACTACTTCCTTAATTCCATTATAAGCTCAGTGCTACCTCGAATTCATATAAAATACCATCTAAATTCTAAAGCACAAAATCAAGAACTCTTAATCGATCTCGCTGAGTCACCTAGCCTTCACGGAACTTAGTCAATTATCTTTTTGAATTTAGGGAGATATTACACTTTATTATACAGCAAGGATACCTTTTTTGTAGCAGTTATCACTTGGGCATATGAACGAGATTCGGGTGAGCCTTTGATCTTCGAAGTCCTTTCTGAATCCGTTGACAACGAAAAGTGTTGGGAGTGTGGAAGAGCCATGGTCTTTTTCTGTAGATAACTTCATTTGAAAATACAAAATTAGTCACATATCGCGGAGGATGGGACAAAGAAAATGTTAAGAGTTTCCGCCCACTAAGTTTGAGACGTTTGAGTTTGAAGTTGAAGACCGAACTACACTAAAATGGAGACATTTACCTGTAAAGATCGAGCCAGTTTCGTTCTGGCGAAAGTAGGAAAGGACTGAGACGATGTCTTTCAGCTGAACTCCGTCGGACGTTCCTTGTCTTTCCAGATAGAAATGCTGATGGCCATTCATGTCTTTTGCTGCATTGACGTTGCGGTTCCATAGTGCCTTACATGTTTTTCAGACAAGGATACTAAATCACGGACGGTGTCTAATGCTTTTAATGTGCCTGAGCGACAACAATTGCATATACGCGATGCTCGATATTTATCAACTGTCATAGCGAGGAGATCACCAGCTGCTTCTCTAATTTTTCAAGCACGCCACGAAATGCCTAGTACACCAGTTCTAACGCCTTGTAGATGAACGGCAGATTTGTTGAATATGCCGTCACCAAATGTATATGTTATCGGTTTGATAACAGGAATTCATTACTCTAATCTTTCTTTTGTAACCAACCTAGTTTTAATGTCTATATATTACTATTTACGATCTAATCGATACTCTAAAAGTACTCAAAAAGAATATAAAAGTGGAAAAGCCCCTTTTTTTTTATTCTCAAATTTACATTGTCGCTACTTATACTTTTTGTTAACTCATCTATAAGCACTGATCTTTAAATTAAATATCGGTTATAATGTATATGGGGGTACTAACATAATGGGTTGTGACATAGGAACATAGATAGATCAAATACGTTGTTCAAATTTGATCGAGTATGAATTTTACAAATTTGGAGGAATGGAAATTTTAAGAGGTGTAATCTCCGACGAGGAAAGAGAGCGACCAAATCACTCATATACCAAAAATACAGTAGAAACAGTTAAACTCCGATTAGTCGAGCCGATCTCACAGAAATGCCACTTCTCAAATAATGATATATTTAATATCGTGAAAGAGTGTTATAAACTCCAGGTCAAGTTTATAGTACAAAAGTTAGAATCAGGTAAAGGCCTCGTTTATTGTTTAGATCAAATTACTCTTTATATACGCTTTCTTAATTATATTTGCACACCTTATTCTCTCTATAAACTCCGATTATTGAGATATCCGACCGACACCTGGAGCTACAGTTTTTTAGCTTTGGGTTTAGACGAAGCCGCAATATAACTAGACGAAAAAAGTAAATTTTTGAGACCATCAAGTTATAATTTCAAGATCGAGCTACACAAAAATTGAGACGCTTACCTGTAAAAATCAAACCAGCTTCGTGCTGGCGATTAGAGGATGGTGTTTAAGTGGTTGTTGCGGGTGATTTTGGTTTTCTAGAAAACTCCGCAGGTCTTCCCGTTGACTTCCAGATCGAAACGCTAATTGTCAACATGTTTTTAGCAGCGTTGACGTCCCGGTTCCAAAGTATCGAACAGGTTTTGCAGGCAAGGATACTTTGGCCGGGAACTGTCTTCAATGCTTCAAGATTGTTGGAATGACAATTATTGCATATTCGAGAGGTTTTGTATTCATCAATTGTTATCGTCAGTAAATCGCCAGCAGCCTCTCTTCGCTTCAAGGCACGCCAAAGAACTCCCACGACACCAGTCTTATGGCCTTTGATGGGCACTGCACTCTTCCCGAACATGCCATTACCAACTACAATTAAAGGGATCTTTTTAGTGTCGCCTACACTAAAGGGTTCAGGCTTCCACTTGCTCTTCAGGGAATTGCTGTAGAAAGCATGAGTTCTATCAATATTTCTGCGAATAGTGGATGAATTGCTTATCATTTAAAAACCTTACCTATCTTTCTTAGCGAGAACATCGCTTACTTCTCTCGCATCTGCTTTTTCCCTCTCTTCTGGAACCTTTTGCTTCTTCTTCTTCTTCTTTTTACGTTTACAAAAGGCCATTCTGTCGGTATTCTTCTTTGGCCACTTGCTTCGATCTTTCTTCTTCTTCAACCTCAATTGCTTATTGTACTTTGTGGTTCCATTAATAAGCAAATTGACCATGTTGTTGGCAGCACGCTCTTTACCCTGGTATAAACGAAATCTGTCTTCAGCAGTTCTCTCGTCGTAAAAAGAAGATAAGGCTTCGAAGTGCTGCAACATATATTGTACATGACGATCATGTTGTTCGATGATAGAAGTTTTGGCGGTTGGTATGCCACTTTCGATCATTTTAAGTGTGCCTGCTTTCTTCTTTTCCAGCTTTGCAGCGTATCTGGTACTTCCGGTCATATGATAATATTCCTTGGTAGAGCAGCTGCGTACTTGATGTTTGTTACGGTCTAGTCCGATTGCCGCTGTGAAGACAGATCTTCGCCCTGGATCAAGGAAAGCGGGTCTGTAATTGTCTTGTACTTCGTCATAAGAAAAATCTTCCAAAGTCAAGGTGTGATTATGAATGATCATGTCTTCTTTTGTTTTCTTTTTGCGGCTGAACAAAAAGTCTACAGTAAAACCGTCCGACCTAACCATGTTTCGAAACATTACATCAGAACTTTTCTTCAAAGCGGTTAGACTATGACAGAAGCAAAAATAGGGGTGTGTTTACTATTAGGGATAATTTTGCTGAAGAAGTTCTTCTCTAGTTTTACCTCTTAAAGCCAACCTTTTTGAAGTCAAAGACTTTACAGAATTGTTCGAGTTGGGCTGTATAACCCTTGGCAACTTTTCCGGGAAACATGAAGGGTGTAAGAGCGTTTATACTTATCGCGATGAAACGCCATTTCAGCGATGGAATAGGAAAGGGAAAGAAACTCTGAGGAAGTGGTAGGACACGGACATCGTACGGCTTATGCTGTATATGTTCTTGCTCGTACGCAAACTGTATGTTCCATAACGCATTAACAAACTTTGCAGGAGCAGCAGAAAGAGAAACGAGGGTTACTTCTCCTGGAATGAACTCTTCAAATTGTTTGCAGAGTACTTCAATTCGGTTTTTGTCAACGGCCGCCAGCTCGAGGTTTTCTGGCCAATGAGGATGACCATGGCAGACAGATTGGTAACAATACAGCTGTACAATTCTTTGTACATCAGTGCGTTTGATATTCTAGAATGTGTATAAAGAGAAATAAAATGAATAAAACAGCAGAGCATTAAGAAGGTACTCGGTTACAGCCTTACCGGGAGCATAGTTCTCAGTTTGTAAGTAAGGAACTTTGTTAAGCGCTGCTCGAAGCGCTCTACAATGGAGTTCGTGTAAGAGACGCTCAATTCCTTTGCTGCCTCTGTAAGGCATTGGCTATATCCCACGG